CGGCGCCCATCTCCCTCTTGTGGTTGGCCGCACCCCCGCGCCACCCCCCCGCGCCGGCCCGCCTGGGTCCGGGGCCCGCCCCCCCCCCCCCCCCCCCCCCGCCCCCAAACACCGACCGATCCTCGCGTGCTTAAGCCGTTAAATGCTGACTCTCTGTGTCTGCCAGTGTTCGAAGATGAGAGAACGACCGGAAAGATGATGGCAGAGCAGAAGGAGGTTTCGCCATAATTGGATTTCAAGATGCGGGATTCGTTTGAGCCAGTTAGACGCGCTGCGACAGCTACGAAGGAAGAAACGTGCCGCGGTAATTATAGAGAGTTAGATGTACTCCGAGGTCCTTCGAGTTGCATTCGCCGTCTTTGTATACTGTTGATGTGTTGCCGCTACGTGATATCGCTGAATCCGCTCTCCTGGTTGGCAAGACAGAAGAAGCCCCCGGAACTTGGGACGGTTGCACACTAGAGACTGACAGGCTTCTAACTGGTGAATAATGATGGAGACGGCGACACTACCAAATAGTTTAACTTTTAGGCAGTACCTTGTATTCCTCATTAATGCACCAAAGAACTCCTTTGTGGAATCGCGACGGCGGGGAGGGTGGGGGGCGGGGGGGCGCGGTCGGTTCGCTGATGTGCATAAAATTGGGCGCAGCCCGAAATGAAGATAATTACTCGACCAATTTGGGTTTCGGTTGAGATCTCCAGCGTTGCGAGAGGCTTGGCAGGGTGTTTCAATGCTCGGTGAGAAGACGCAGGATCAAGCATTGCGGCTGAGCCAAGCTCCGGTATCCCGGTTGGATGATCAGAGTTGGTGCAGGCGCCACGTTCATTCACTCGAGCCGATTGGAACAGATCTTTCGCCAAGCTTACCGGTCTTGGCATTTATTGAAGCGCTTCCCGCACTCAGCCGCAGCTGTCATCGTCACGCGCGACGGAGTGGTCGTCTTCGTACATTGGATGGGCAATTAACTATATATCTAAGCGGGGCCAACACGACAATGCCGGCATTTGGAATAGGAACCTCCTCGAACCCCAACCCCTTCCATTCCGCCCCCAGAACCCCCATCATTCACCATAATGACGTTTATTCCTCGACGGCGCGCCGCTCTCCTCGCTCCGATCCTTCAGCTTCTATCCGCGACACTCCCTCATCTCGCCACTGCTGCTCCTGTGCTCCAACGGGCTACCTCTATCTCCGAAGACGACATTATTCAAAGTGCTCCCATCACCAATATCGCTCTTCGTCAAGAATCATCCAGCTCCTCAAGCTCGGGTACCCCGATCGTCGAAAAGATTGGCCTGGTCGTTCTCCTCATCTTCATCTTCATCCTCGCAGTTTTCATAATCGGATACATCGAGTGGCGCAGAGGCTGCACCAGCTGCTTCAGCAGCAGGCGCCAAAGCTACTCGCCCAGCGACGGGGACCTGCGAGAATGCTGGGCAGCGCACGGGCGGGGCCAGCTCTTGGAGTGGGATTGGACGGGAGGGGTCAAGAAGGTACCTCACGATGGCAGCCGGGGGGGCGGAGGTTCGTGGAGGGAGATTGGAGGAGAGACGCCGAGCAAGCGCAAGTTGATGGCTCTCTGGTATGCCTATGGCGTGGCTCCTTATAGCCATAGTAACTGGGCTGGTGAATCGGGAGGCGGTACTTAGATCACTGGGCGACGGCACTGCAGTTATTGAGTTGTGGCCAATGTTCTGAGGAACCTGTTGGATTGGGCTCCCCTGGCTAGTTATAGAAAGATGTTTGACAGCACTCTGCAGCTAGGTCGAAGCCTGTTTCTCACATCTTCGATCACATCCTCATCATAGCCAAGCTCCTCAATCCTCCCGTAAATCCGGGATTTTAGAGTGCATTCGAGAGCCCACAGTTCCTCCCGCAACTCAGGTTTATGAGTCTCGCTGTAGAATGGGTTTACCAATACCTTTTGCAACTCATGTATTCTGATCAAGTCCTGATGGTGTACAAAGGTGAAATCAAGACCCATACACAGAGGGCAACCCACCTTGTCTCCGCAGTATCGTTGGAATATGTATAGCTCGCTCAGTATCAACCCACCGGTACAACCTGGGCATATGAATAAATCCATACACATCCAGCAGCCCTCACGTTCGATATCGGGAACCTCGATGTCCTGGTAGAGAAACGGCATCTCGGGAAGCGAGGAGGAGAGACGGATTGCAAACTCATTGCTCGGGCCGTCTGGGTGGTCGATCCTCCATGTACTGGGATCGACGTGCTTACTCACGTTGTTGCTCGGCTCCCCACAGGGCTCGTACGGCGCGGTCGACCATGCTTCGAACGCTTCGACATCGCCGACTCTCTGGAAGGTACCGCACCGCGCGACTCCCTGCAGTTCTGCCCGACGGCAGAGAAGGATCTTCCCCTTGGGGATTTCCGTAATGCAATTTGCCTGGACGAGACAGAATCGGTCGTTCGTATCGTGATCCTTGGAGGCGACTTCCTTCAAGATCATGTCCCAAATTTCGCGGGGGAGTATTAGACCGTTCTTGCTGGTGACATTTGCCAAGCTCTCGTCAAGTGCGTCCTCAATGTTGCGGACGGCGAAACGGTTCAAGTTTAGAAGTAGAAGGGCTCGGTCCCGGAAGAATGCCGAGCTCAGGGAGATGGTTTCGATATTGACTGGTCGCATGATGATTCACTTAGGGAGGAAAGATGGTGTTAGGGTGAATAAAATGTGTGTGGTCAAGAAAGGAAGAAAAAAAAAAGGTAGGTCAGCCTGCTATATATACCTGATCAGCACCAAGGTTCGGCAACAAGGTTTAATAGTTAAGGTTAGACCCTCGGTCCATCTAATCAATCAGCTTGGTTACCTGGTTAAACCCTACCCTACTCAGTCTTGAAACTCTAACTTTGGTACATTAGCTATTAATTACACTTTTTAGGTAAACCTTGGGGAAGCTCAGATGGCGATCACATGGTGTATGTTGCTATCGGTTCTGTCACCACCGGCCTGTCCGCTTGCCCCTACCACTCCCGAGAAGCTACTCTGACCACAGCCAAGTTAGCCGCTCAGCCCGGGCCTTGGTCTCTGTCCTGCCCTCGCCGCGGAACGGTGGCTTCTTCCTCCTGCAATTGCTCTTGGGTCGGTGAGGGCGACAGTCGAAGGAAGGCTGGAAGCTAGAGCAGCAGTAGTCGTCTTTACCTTCGTCCCCTGTCTTGAAATTCGTAGCTAAATCTGTCGCCGGAGAGAAGCAGGGCGGTGGACTTTGGCTGGCACGCCGAACCTCAAAGAACGAGGGTTTTGTTGCATGTCCGTTCCGTATGACCCCAACAATTGCAAGCAGGTCAGGGCATCGCTGGCGTAGATTCACCCCACCCGCGTCAGCGAGGGTGGGTGGCCCAACTTGAGGTTGGACATGGCCTGAGTCTAAACCTTGCCTGCCTCTAACCTTGCCCGAGCTTAGACATCGTCCGGCGTCGTACCAGGAGAGCAATATTGGGAATATGGATGACACGACTTGTGGGGTGAGCTAGAGGTTGTCTTGAAAACTAGACAATAATATATAGCATCTCGCTCTTTTCCATATCGATCGATGTAAGACAGACTCCGACAGCTGCAGGACAGAATCGTGACAACCGCAAAACGGAACACTGCTAACATCAAGATAGCTAGCTATACGCCCCTTAGCGTCCGTCCCAATAAGTTCCATCTAATACCATACCAATGCTGACAAGCGGTACCTAGCAAATACATCTCCTCCTATCTCTCTGCACACCCCCACCCCCCCCCCCCCCCGGCCCGGCGCTACCGCCGCCACTGCTGCCACCACCACCACCAAAGTCCGGACCGCTGACGCTGCTGGCAGCAAAGCTGCCGTCCCCGGCTGCAGGGACTGCGGCTCCAGCGCGGCAAGCGCGAGCACAGGCAGCCGCGGCAGAAGCCTTGGCTGCATTGGCTGCATTGGCCTTCTGCTTTGACTTCTTCGTAGGCGCCTAAGGGCAGTTAGCGTGTCAAGCGTGCGTCGCCGCTGTGGAGTAAGGAAATCACTTACCATTTCGAGAATCTGAGCCTGGAAAAGAGAAGGATAGGCTTGGAAAGGCCTCGATATCGTAGCTGCAGAAGGCTAGCAACGCAAGACTGCGAAAACCCAAAGCCATACTTACTGAAGGTAGGTAATTGAGGATGACTGGAAAAAGAAGAATTGAAGGTCACTGCCTTGAAGACTGCCCGTGGCCGCGGAGATCTCACTCCCCCTCACCCTGCCAGCCGCACGCCTGTTCGTGCCGCTCAGATTTCCCGGCGCCTAGTCGCGGCCAAGCGGCCGTCGGAGGCGCCTTCGGATGGGTCTCAATCGTCCAGCAGTGACAGTTTGTCCGACAGCTCTCCGTCCGTGCGTTGTACTTAGGCGAAAGGCAAAGGTAAAGGCAAGGCCGTGACGAAGGGTAAGGGCAGGGCTGTGGCGAAGCCCGCAGCAGCGGCTGGGCCTGCAGGGGCGCCCGTTGCCAAGGGCAAAGGGAAGCGTACTGCCGACGACTCTGGCGAGGCTGGTGGTTCAAAGGAAAAGAAGAAGAAGAAGCGGGCCAAGAGGTCCTAGCTTCCCTAAGGTGTGCGAAGGTACTCTGTCCGTTGTCCGTCGATTCTGCGAAGGTATTCCGTTCGACACCTACTTCCTGGGCTAGTCTTGGTTTTTCTCGAAATCGTCCCATTTTCTGTGGGTCTTCTTCTTCTGCTTCTCGTATCGCCGTACGATTGCCGGGGCGTTCTCCAAGTGATCGGCGGGCTCCCAGGTGTTGGTTGTGAGGGCAAGGAATTCGGAAGAAGGTGCAATATAACCTAGCCAAAATAGGGCTAGGCCTAGGGACAAAAAGGGAAGGTAGGCAGAAAGTAAGGCCATTCTAACCCTGAAAGGGTTGCAGTACAACTGAGAGCATTTCCTTCGTCCTTCTGCTTGGCCGCTGAAGTGCGCAGCTTGACGCAATTACAGCCACATCACAAACGTCCCCATCAGGTTGATCGTGGTGGTGCTGTAGTCGATGATCGTGACAATGAAGGTAGCTTTTTCAAGGTCAGCCATGGTGAATCTCGTTTGGCGTTGTGGAGGGTGCTTGTAGTGTGTCGGCGGCGGCTCTTCAGATCAGGAATTGAAATCTGAAGAGTCTCGGGAAAGGTTTAGAACCCGGGGACCAACTGGGCCACAATACGGTGACTCGAATGTAAGCAAGTTCGCATTCGCTAAGCCTAAACGTGTCAATTAAGGTGCCACCTGGATGCCTCGAACGCCTCCATTCACTGCTGCGGTGGTTTAGCATTCACTATGAAATATATGAGTAATGGCCTTAAACCGCCACCAATACTGCCCCCTATTTCAGTATAAATCTAGCGGCTGTTACCCATGTCCAGTGCAACAGAGAACCAGTCTAGCCTAAACCAGACAACAGCGACCTTACGATCTACTACGAACGACATTGCCATGCCTGATATTTGGGACGCGAATAACCCAGCATCCGGGGTGCGGGGTGGCCATCACGACAATACGGGAAACTCCAGCACGAAAGGCGGACATACTCAACCGACCTGGGATAATCACGGTGGTGATAACGGGATGGATCTCAGCACTGGCGAGAAGAAGAAGAAGAAGCGGGGGACCAGCAAGGCAACCAAGGGAGGTAAGGGGAAAGGTAAGAAGAAATAAGGCGAGGAACAATCGCGCACGACGAAGAATGGAAACGCGTAATAATGGAAAATACGCCGAAGTGGTAAGACCAAAGCTAAGTCACTATCATTAAATAATGCATTGATAATATTTGAACGTTCTCTACCTCTCCGACACTTTGAAAAGCCCCGTGGAGTAGAAGTCAATGCTTCTTTCCTCTTTGGTACCGTTCCAACACTGCCCTCGGCCCGAGAAGGCTCAGCCTTAGAAAGGTCTAGATCCTGAGAGTGGAGAACTGATTGGGTCGAGTGGTCGCCATTGCTGATCCTCTTTGTCTACTTCCCAAGCAATATTCCCCATACGTCCTGTTTTCTCTAGTTTAGCGGAGCGTCGATGCGTCGTACAGTTAGCGCACCAATCAGAGCAAAATATCGAAATGTATTGGGAAACAAGCGTGCCGAAATGGGACAGACCCAGGGACAGGGGAGAGATCACATTGAAACTGCAGTTGGTCCTTGGGATGGCCTTTGTTCTCGGCCCGTGTCGTTTCCTATTGCGGGGATACGTGATGCACGTCGGTTGTAGTAACCAGGATTAGATTAAACGGCCGCTTCCGCTGCTCACTCGTTGGACCCCAATAAACGATCCCCGCCATCCCCACCTTTTCGCCGGGGATGCCGGAGCCGAGACGGCAGATAGGCTGGGTTGAAGCGGGACCCATACTGCAGGGGCAGGGTTCCCCGCATGGGGTATGATTCCAGACTGATTCATTTAAAGATGCTATCACTCCTTCCCTCTCTGTCGTCTCTTCGTCCCTTCGCCTTCCTGGATCGACATTATTAGGCTTTCCTCCTGGCAAGCAATCCCCCTTCACACGAGACATTTTATTTCCAACCCCATCCCATGTCTGCACCCGCCAACGAAAAGGACGCAGCTGCGGCCCATATCGATGATGGGCGAGAGCACAGCGCCGACGCCGCCGTCCAGCTTGCTCACGATGCCGACACTACGGTCTACTCCCCCTGGAGCAAAGGATTGTTCAAGCTCTACCTCGTCCTCTTCCTGCCATATCTGTGCGGCTGTCTGAATGGTTACGATGGCAGTCTCATGGGAGGACTCATCGCCATGGATTCATACCAGGCCGTCTTTGACATGTGAGTCGACCCTTTCATACAAAAAGGAAGAAAGACAATATAGGCTAGTTTGACTGACTAAGTGGCTTGGTCAACAGCGGTGTCGAAGGCCACGACGCCGGCATCGTAAATGCCATGTATAACATCGGCTCCGTCGCCGCAGTTTTCTTCACCGGTCCCATCAACGACTACTTCGGCCGCCGTTGGGGGATGTGGGCAGGCTCCCTTTTCATCATCGTTGGGACCTGTGTCCAGGCACCGAGCTCGAATCTCAGCCAATTCCTTGGCGGCCGCTTCCTACTTGGGTTCGGTGTCAGTTTTTGTTGCGTCTCGGCCCCGACATATGTATCGGAGATTTCTCATCCCAAATGGCGTGGGACCCTGACAGGACGTACGTTGGATCATGCCCCCCTGAATTTAACCACCCTTCCCTCTTTTGCCCCTTTTCTTTCAAAGATGACGACCGCTGCATCCCCGACTTGATGACCAAAATGACTGATACCCCAACAGTTTACAATTGCACATGGTATATCGGGTCCATCATCGCAAGCTGGACAGTCTACGGCTGCTCCTACATCGACTCGCCGAATGCCTGGCGGATTCCCGTGTGGATCCAGATGGTCACCTCCGGTCTCGTCTTCTTCGGCGTCCTCTTCCTCCCCGAGTCTCCTCGCTGGCTCGCGGCGCAGGACAAGCACGACGAGGCGGCCAACGTCCTCGCCGCGTACCACGGCGAAGGCAGCCGGGATCACCCGATTGTGCAGCTCCAGCTCAAGGAGATGATGAACCAGATCAGCGCCGAGGCGTCGGACAAGAAATGGTGGGACTACCACGAGCTGTGGAACACGCACTCGGCCCGGCGGCGCCTCATCTGCGTCATCGGCATGGCCTGCTTCGGCCAGATTAGCGGCAACAGCCTGTCGTCGTACTACATGGCCGCCATGCTGAAAAACACCGGCATCGAGAACCAGCAGCACAAGGTCCTCGCCCTGAACGCCATCAACCCGATCCTCAGCTTCCTCGGTGCCATCACCGGCGCCCGCCTCACCGACGTCGTCGGCCGCCGTCCCCTCCTCCTCTACACCATCGTCTTTTCGTCCGTCTGCTTCGCAATCATCACGGGAACCAGCAAGCTCGCCACCGATGATCCCACCCATATCGCCGCCGCCAACGCCACCATCGCCTTCATCTTCATCTTCGGCATCGTCTTCTCTCTCGGCTGGACGCCGCTCCAGAGCATGTACATCGCCGAGACCCTACCCACCGCCACGCGCGCCAAGGGCACCGCGGTCGGCAACCTTGCCTCGGCGGCCGCTTCTACCGTGATCCAGTACTCTTCGGGCCCGGCATTCAAGGCCATCGGGTATTATTTCTACCTCGTTTTCGTCTTCTGGGATCTGCTCGAGGGCGTGTTCATGTACTTCTTCTTCCCCGAGACCAAGGACCGGACTCTGGAGGAGCTGGCTGAGGTTTTCGAGGCGCCGAATCCTGTGACGAAGAGCCTGGAGAAGAGGAATGCGCAGACGGTGCTCAACACGCTTAATGCTACTCATGATGGGAAGGAGATGTATGTCTGAGGTCTGGCTTGGGGGTTGAATAGTAATATGTCAGGTTTCAGGAGGACCACACTAAGGGTTGCTGAAAACGGAACAAGAGGAAGAAAGGTAGCTTAAAAATCATCGCGAAGCAAACGATTCTGTGCTCACCAGTCTAAAATAACCCCCTCATTTCCTCCAGAAAGGCCTCCCAGCGCTTATTCGTATGGCAGAACTCATGCTGGCACCACAGATCCTCATCCAGTGACCCCGGCCCCAGGCCGAAAAATACTCCGGTGCAAGCGCCCTCAGCCAGTTCCGGCTGGTCGGGCGGTCCGACACGAGTCTGCTCCACGTGAACGAGAGGGAGACTCGGCCGCCTTCCCGGCGCCAGGTATAGACGCCGCGGCATACGGGACATATAAACTCGCGGTAGAGGCAGCAATGCGAGGGGTTGTCGTCATCGTGAGAGGTGGCGGCTGGCCCCGGGACGCACGGGCACGTGTCGGAGGCAGGGGCCCGGAACGGGGCCTTGTCATAGTCGTCGTGGACGTGGGGGCAGAGCCGGTAGCCAAAGAGCGGGCCGGCGACTGCGCATTGCCAGGAAGCCTCCAGCTCCCCTCCTTGTGAAATGGTGGTGCGGGTTGGCGAGGTCGAATAGCGGCACTCTTGACGAGAGGGTAATCCTCATGAGGTTGGGGTATGGGGGCGAGAAGCTGGCGGACCGTCTGACTTTTAACTGTCGGGAGGTTGCCGCGGCTCTCGAAGGCGCCCCGAGGCCGTAGGTTGGTAGGCAGCATGCCGGCCCACCACTGGCTCCGGAGAGGTAGGTGGGATCGGTGCGTGCATGCGATGCTTGTGGGGTTTCCCGACCTGTCTCTCACCTTCTCCACGTCGCTCCACGAGACAGTCTTGTGGGCGCAGAGCTGGATGTGGCCTATCCGGCCAAAGCACATGCGCGGCCGCTTAGGGTCCTCGCCATCCGCCCTCTGGTCTAGCGGGAACAGGAATGCCGGGTGTTCAAGGCCGCAGCCATCGCAGTACAGAGGCATACGCAGACGACGGAATGCTCCTTCAAGGCGGTCAAGGCACCATCTGCAGAAGTACTCCCCTTGGAGGAGTTTGCGGACGTCTCCGATGCCAAAGTAGACTAGAGGCTTCTTTTCAAGAACGCCTTTGTCTAGTAGAGGGATGAAGAAGGCAGATGTATGGCAGAGGATGAAGACAGAGGTCGGTGACAAGTAGGCCTTGATCATGAGTAGCAGCTCGAGTGGCAATCGACAAAGGGGCGAGGTGGCTAGGTTCTGTCTTTTCCGGATAACCCACCCCGGCTCCTCGTCTTCGTCCAGCATGTTGGAGATAGGGCTGATGGTAATCGTGTTGTTGTGGTGCTGGTGCAGGTGTAAGTGACGACGAAATCGGTCGACAAGTTCCCGTGTGTGCTGCCTTCTGGAGGGTTTAGGCTGTGCCAAGGGAACCGTCTGGGTGCAATCTGGTCCCCATAATCTGCCACTAGGCATAAGTGATCGTGATCGCCGACTGGCTAGTAGGGCATCTATGTTGTCCAACAATTGACGTTGAGTTCTCAATTGCAAGTGCGTCATCTTGCTACTGGTCTTTGTTTTTGGTGCTGAAGATGATAAAATGCGAGAGGCAGCGGAAAACGTCCTTTAACCATGGAACCTGAAATTGGCTCACCATGAGTGGTCAGACCTTCAATTGGGGCAAATACGACAAATTCTAAGCTAAAGTTGACACAGGGTTCGAGGAGGTCGAGCTTATTCTGTTGCAACTTTCTCCTCGGGGCTGGCATTTAAACAAGCACACCTCAGTAGAGGCGGAGGACAATGGCAATGCCGGGGTTTGTTCGGACGAGCTTCCTTGAAAATGGAAGGGGTTTGGCCAGGATTTCGGCTAGTTGGCACTATGCATCAGACCTGGGGATTGGGCTTGTTGTTTGGCATCGAGGGGAATGTTGTAGAGGCTTCGGTTGGGCATGGGTTGGCCGCGTCATCTGACAAAGTTCATGTCCGGAGTCCGTGATATACCTCGTCGAGCGGGCAGGCTTCAACAGCCGAATGGGGAAGATTATTTTAGCAGGGCCGGATGTTAGGTTTGGGAATCAGTGTGCAGCAATGTTTAAATCGCTTTCTCCGTCTCCGGGTGGCGACAGGCCTTCTAAGGGGGAAACATTAACGAGATTCAGGATTCCACGCGCACATTTTGAGAGTGTAAGGTTTGAAAATTGGCTCCCTGCTGGGATATAAAGTATGGACAGGGAAAAAACTTCGCACCTTGGAACGGTGTCGCGGATCACCGAAACCTATTCACGAATAAAGTTACCATTGCACCAGTTTAAGAGACTGTCGGCCCCTCGCTCTCTCCCCAAACCACACTTCTTCCTTTTCCCACTTCCCACTTCCTACACTTTCAAGAACACACTCGCCGCTATGGAGACACTGCTGGCAGATCGCAGGGATGAGCGCCCTCAGGCATCGCCATACCGTCCCGACGAAGAGGAGCGTCGGTTCTACTACTCGGGCGTCCGCGGCAGTCCAATGCTGGTCGCCCGGACGAGCGGGGAGAAGTGGACCAAGGTGACGGATCCCATCAAGGGTCTACCAGAGTCCCGGATGTTTTTCGCGCTGAAGCAGGTCGAGGGCCGCTACTGGTACGACGTCGTTCAGGAGCCGCCGATAGCCAAGAAGTGGCACGAGGGCCCGGCGCTTAAGCAGGCCCTGCTCGCCCATCTCTCAGCATCGTGCGATTGGACGAGCATGCAGGTGATGCAGTGCGGATCCATGTCCTTCCACGCGTTCCTCCCTACCGTCCTTCTCGTTAGCGTGGCGCCTGGCTCGCTCGGCTGGGACGAGGGGATCGAGATCGCAAAGAGGTGCATCTCGATTCTGGAGTCGTTTGAGGTCTACGGCATAGACTGCGAAATCATGGAGATGGCCGCCATGGCCAAGTATGGCTTCCGAGACATCGACTCCCACGATTTCGTGCGCGAGGGAGATGTCCTGAAGTACCCAATCTCCACTCTGCTACACCTGACCTCATCGTCGGGCTACCCGATACGCGCCCTGGACAACGACGTGCAGGGAACTGTGGGCCTGCACATCGCCTTCAAGGGTCAGCCGGGGGTATACGGGCTCACCTGCCGCCATGTCGTGCTGCCGGATCTACCCCCAGACACTCCATACAGGCACGACCCCCAAGGCAAGGAGAGGAAGATCATCCAGGCCACGAAAGAAACCATCCACAACGCAGTGCAGACAGTCTATTTACCGCACGACTCCGTGGCAAGGCAGCACGGTCGGCTGCGAGTGATGCTCGCCCTGCAAGAGGCGTTCAGGGGGGAGATCAACGCCACCTTCCGGGAGCGCCTGGCTAAGGCAGAGCAGGACGCCGACTGTATGGCCCGCGTCATGGAGCTCCTCGAGGAGATGCGCCGCGACGAAGACCGGGTCATCGGCCACGTGGCGTACGCCGCGCCCGCCACGGCAACGACGTTGACCACCCGGGACGGCGAGCAGACCTTCTTGCGGGACTGGGCACTGTGCAGGCTCGACAAGGCCATGGCCGGTGACGGGCGCAGCGGCATGTATGTCGACACGGGGTACTCGCGTGATGGCAGGTGGCAAGGCCTTAAGGGGATCGAGACGTTTCGCCGCGTGATGGAGCGCACCATGACGGGTGGCTGCAGGCTTGAGGTGGTCAAGAGAGGTGCTGCGTCGAACATCACTCACGGAACGCTCAACCCCATCGGGTGCGTCCGCCGGATGGCCGACGGGCGCGTCACCTACGACCTGATGGTCTTGCCGGATACCGTAAGCGCGTTTCGCTCTTGGTCACTACCCTTTGCCGCGGAAGGGGACTCGGGGTCGGCTGTGTTTCATGGAGACGCGGTCATTGGAATTGTCAGTGGTGGGTATGGGGGCCGTCGGCAAAACCAGTCGGAGGATACCCCGGACAAGTCGGAGGATACCTCGGAGCGGCAACAAGAGGTCGACGTGGCACTTGTGACGCCGATCGAATGGATTCTCCAGAGCATTGCCGAGTTCACCGGATTGGAACCCTACATCTGGGGTCTAATCCGCCGGAGCCGTCTTCACGCCGGTATGGTCGCGTGATCGAAACCTTGCCGCTCGGACGGGGGAGATCCTCTCTCGCGTAGCCGGATCCAAGACTAGAGGTATAGATAGGCACTATACGCAGGTACGGAATATTGTCAGCTTTTCGTCACACTGGTGTATGTTATCCAGACTTGCGGTAGGAAACAAGGATGTGGAATGTGCGCCACGTATACAGACCAGTCCTAGATGGTTCGCTGGGAAACATGACAACAACCAGTAACCTAGTCCAAACAAGCGCTACAGCGTGTCCGGCACCGAAGACCTCGCCCCTCCCGGGCTCTCTCCACCGGCGCCGTCAGTAACACGCAGCGACCCAACAACCCGGTAATACGACGTTTCCGCATCCTTATCACAGCCCTCGGACTGTCCCTCCGGCGACACGAACCTCCTCCGTTTCCCCGCCTCCCTCTGTTCCGGAGACGGACTCCGCAATCCCAGGTCGGGACTTCCCTCGGCACCGACCACACGTTGCGATGCCGCCACAGCCGCCCAGACATCCTCCTCGGCAAGAGCCTCACTCGCCGTCGGCCTCTCGTCCGGATCAAACGCCAGCATCCGCCGGAGCAATCCGGCCAAGCTCCGCGATATCTTGCCCCGGCTAGTCTCTCGCCCGAGCAGATCGAGGAGTCTGCCGTGCCGGCGGGCATCCATGCGGCACTGCGGCGACCTGTTCCAGTCCGGCAGGCGCGAGATGGTCCACAGCCAGGTGTAGGCGAGACTCCAGATGTCGACCCCGTTGGTGTATGGGCGGTCGGGGGTCGAGGTCCATACCTCTGGGGCGACGGTGTGCTCGGGGCCGATGCCTGTTTCTGTACTTGTTGGGTCGGTCGTTGCCTAGAAGACGGTGTGAAGTATGACTACGTTGTTCTTTTGTAATTGACAAAAAAGAGGGGCATGCCACACTAGGAAGGGGGGAACTTACTTTACCAAAATCGCAAAGACATGCCATCGGCGGATCCAGCGACAAGATGAGCAGGTTCCCGGGGGAGATGTCGCGGTGCATGACACCCCTAGAATGCAGGCTCTCGACGCCGCGCAGCGTGTCGCGGAATAGGGCGAGGCGGACGTCGGCGTTGAGACCGGACCAGTCCGCGTGGGCGAAGTCGTGGCGGGCGAGCGGCATGGACATGAAGATCTCCTCGCTCCGGTACCGCCGGCAGGGAGGAGAGCAGCCGTGCTCGCACCACGCGTCTAGAATCGGGATGATACCGGGGTATTCAACCTACAGCAGGAGTGTGTACGTATCAGCGATGAACAAGTGGTTAAAGACTGGAACAAGACAAGGGAGGGGGAGCATATGCGGCTTGCATCTCGGAATAGTTTGGCAATCTCCAGCTCCCGGTCAATCTGCCCCTTTGCCCCCGACTTCCACTGCAGGAGCTTGATTGCAAGCGGTTGGCCGGTCCGGGCGTGGATCCCGGACTTGACCATGCCGAACGCGCCGTGACCCATGGTCTTGTGGATGATGACGTCTCGTATCCGGTGGTGGACCTGCCTCGGCAACCTATCCAGTTGAGGATGGGGCGGGTCGCTACTCGCGGGCTGTGTGACCGACTGGATAAAAGCGTCCCTCGCGATTGTGAAGCGGGTCTCGTCCTCGACCCGGAAGGTGAAGAGGTAATCCAGCGGGCCGAAGCGGAAGCGGTTGGCAGTCATGTGGAGGACGGCCTGTTCTCCGTGGCGGAGGATGAGGTCGTCATCACCGTCACCGGATAGGTACCTTATGGGATGCTTGCTGGTCGACCGGAGGATAAAAGCGCCGGAATCAGGATGGAGGAGGATCACGGCATGCACATTTGCAACCAGGCTAGCGCTGTTGTGTCCAGGTCTTGCCAAGAGGATGTCAACCCCACGCGTAGTATCAATCTTGGACGTCCCCTTGCCAATCCGCCAGAAACCCTGCGTCACCTCTGGGAGTTGGTCGAAGGTGAACACATAATGTCCGGGAGACTCGGGGTCGTCTTCGGAACGTGTGATAAAGCCGCCGTGGTAGGATTCGGGGTCACCGCCGACATACGTTACCACTGCCTCAAAAGCGCCGTGCGCGGCGGGATTGTCGGGCGCCAGGGTAGCAAAGCTGCTCAAGATCTCGGCCGGATTGGTACTGGCCTCACTTGGGGCAGACATGGCGCTGGGCGACAATCTCGCGCTTCAGTTGATATAGAAGTTCATATATATATGAGTCTTGCAATGTTGATTGTCAGGTAGGAGTAAGGTTCGCTTATTCGAGAGAAGAGGATGCGGTTAGTGAGATGCATCCGGAGAGAAACCAGATGTTGTTAAGAAGGGAGACACGTGACTTCATCAGGGGATGAGACATGTGGCGGCGAGACTCAGGCGGGGTAGCGCAGAAAGCAGCAATGGTCCGAGGTTAAAGCGAGCCAATAGACAATTGAGAAAGACGCCGGATACTGTTCCGCGGGGTCTGACGCGGCACGTGAGCGGGTCACCATGTTTTCAACATCTCACCAACGACCATCAGCAGATCCGCCTTCCCATCGCCAGCCATCACCCAAGCCCCAAGACAGCATTAGCGAAACATCTCTATCAAGTCGGCGACCCCTTCTTCCAGGAAAAACAGTTCTGGGTTGGCACGCCCCATTCTGCGTCGACAACCACCGATTCCAGCGATGCCTCCCCTTCGCAGCAGTCGATGCTCACCGAGGCAAATCGGGGAGGAGCACACGCAGTATTTCGCCAGGCATAGGAAATACATCGATATGGTTCGGATGCGCAGGATAGAAGAGGAGCGGGTGCGGCGGATAGCCCGGCTCCCGTCTCCCAGCTGCACAGACAGTGAGGACGAGGACATTGTGCCCGAGAACCTCGGAGGTTTGTGTTGCCAACCTATCGGCTGGTGCAGCGCCCGCGTCATGTCGCTAACTTGTCTTATTCTGAAGTCTTCGCTCCGTTACGAACTCCCCATGCGACCTACATGCCGTCAGCCAGCCGCCGTGCTCCAACCTACCAAGCCGCCGAACATTCGCAACAAGCACAGGCATCCGCACCGTCTCTTCCCCCGGCGTCGCCCCGACATCCCGACGGCCTGAACACAGCTGAATCACATCGTGCGTTCCCGGACCTCTCTTGTTCCCTCCACATTTCCCAGCCTGTCAATAAATGTCGTTCTGACCTTGATTTCCTAGCAGTTCCACAACCACGTCCTCCCCGTCAAATCAATACCCGACAATCCCCCCTTCGAACCTCAACACACAACTCCGATCCACAAGCAATGCGGAACCGCGACAGGCGCCATCATGCCCCACACCTGCCACGTCCGCCGCGGACAGGCCGCGCACTCGAGGTGCAAGGCAAGAGCAAGGCAGAGCCGCCGTCTCGTACCAACAAGTCGCGAGACGGTGTGTGTAAGAGACGCAGCCCCAGGAGGAGGCCGGGGACGCTTTTATACGAGCTGGATGCACGGGGGCGGTGTTGTCCGCAATAGGCGTTGTTTTGTATATATGGCGAGTCTACTTCATCAGGATATGATGGCATGGCGTGTGCGCTGTTGTGTTGCCGTGACTATCGGTTCGGTATCTCCCCGGGGGTGTTGGAGCCTCGAGTGATCGGTTACTCTCCCCTCGCTTTCTTCTTAATCCTGGGATGGGTTTGCATGGTTGTTCCGTTGCCTTGACAAGGTCTCATACATTGGGGTCCGTCAGCTTGGCGGTTTTATCAGGCAGAAAACGGAGCTGCCCTTCGGTCATGGGCTCCTGTGGGGGGCCAGTCTCAACTTTTGGAAGTAGACACCATCACCAGTCAAATAGAAATACCTGCACGAGTTGGCAACGGCTCACCCACGTTCTAGAACTAGCAGCAGCGGATGACACGGGGCCCAATCGTCTAGAGGCTGTCTCAGATGCGCTGGTGACTGTTGGGAATCAATCCCGCATCACTTACCTACGTCAAGTGAGCGTCTGGTTCGCCCTTTTGACCCCATGTATCACTGCGCCATGATCAATTTGTCACTAGACTCAGCATCGAGTCGCTCACAAACCGAGACAAGGCCCGTCAACGATAAGTTCAACTCTGTTGCCACTAACTACACTCCGCCAGGGTAATAAACGTTAGCTGGAAACTTGAACGCCACAAGACCCACTCACAAACAAGCAGGATCTATTGGCTGAATCATGTAGAAAAAGCTTTGGTAATTTATTCGTGATTTCATTGGCCGTGAGGGCCTCTCTGTATAGAAAGTCCTTGCGCTAGTTTCAAATTTGGTTAGGTGTGGCGTCACAGGTCTTGAGCTAACATTTATTACCCTGGCGGAGGTGTTCAACATAAACCACGCCATCAACGCCTCGTAATATCACATTATTGCCATGCGTATCCAACCAATCTCGGGCGAATTCCAATACCCCTTAACTCTGGCCGAGATTACGAATATGGAGTGGGGATTGCGTGATGATGCCCACAGATCTTATGACAGGCGCCCCTTATGACATGGATTTTGTGTACGGTGCCACAGAACAACACGCGATCGTGCAGAGAGTTGCTGTCAACGACAGACACTCACCCACGGGGTGTGGCAGTGCACAAAAGACAGGAAGATTCCCAAAAAGGAGGGACCTGGTATTCATCAGTGACCAGATAGTTTGGTCCACGTCTTCTTTGCTCATTTGTATGGATATCTACTGTCCTCGGGCCGGCCGAACGCCACACCCAATCTACTCAACCAGCTCACACTCAATAATGCTCTCCACCCCATTAGCAGCCGTGTAAATGCTGGTGATCTTCAACCCGGCAAGCCCCTCGAGGAGACTCCGCCAGTCGCTCTCGGTGCGCTCGCGGGAGCTGAGCAGCGTCAGCATCATGATGTCCAGCGCCGTGGCCTCCCACTGGGCCCGCTCGGGCGGCACGACGTTCTCGTTGATCAGCAGCCGGCTGTAGCCGGGCTTCATGGCCGCCTTGACGTTGGCGAGGATCGTGGCGCACGTCTCGTCCGGCCAGTCGTGGAGGACCGAGTGCATGTAGTAAGCGCGGGCACCTGGGTGGGGGGGCGGGTTAGTGGGTGGGACATGTGGGGGGGATGTAGATGAGGAGGGAGGACGGGGAAGGGCGTGGAGGTGATGGGAAAGAATGGAAGAAATACACACCCTTCACAGGCTGCTCCGTGTAGAAGTCATAAGGCATACGCTCGATCCTCGAGTCCAGCTCCACGATCTGCCCGATGATGACAGGCAGGTCCTGCAGGACAAGCCGGCCAGGCGCGTCAGGGTGCTTCCTCCTGAACTCGTCCAGGTCGTGGCCCAGGCTGCCGCCGATGTCGACGATCAGCGCGGCATCGGCACCAGTGTCGGCACCCTCAACGAGGCGCTCCTGGACCGGGTAGAAGCCCTGGTCCATCCACGCCGGCCTGCCCTGCCGGTAGCCGCCCATGTGGTGGTTGAACTGGACGCCGCGGGGCGGGTTCGCCTGCAGGTACTCAAACATGTTGAGCTGGGTGTCGTAGGCGTACTGCATCGGGCCGTCGGAGATGCTGTTGGGGGTCTTGTAGCCGTTCTTGCTTGCGTATTCGGGGAATTTGTACAAGGCCGCGGCGAGGGCTCCGGAGCTGGTGGGTGGGTGGACTTATTAGCCTCTGCGGGCAGGATGAAGACAAGATACCCCCGTTTAACTGGGCACTTACATGCATGGGTACCCATCGCCGATGATGGGGATGCTCAACGAGCTTGAGAAGTTCGTTGGCTTGTATGTGTCTGCTCCGGCTTCCTCGATATATCCCATGGCACCCAGATGGCGCATGAGCCGGCCTGGAAATCGTTAGCGTCGGGATCCTTCTCCGATAGCCGTGTGTTGTGACGACCTACACAGCAGAGGCGGGTCGACCCCGAGCTTCTTTGCCAGATCGTTGGCATTCTTTGCGCTTCCGTTGTCCTCGGCGAGGGCAGTGAAGAGTCCGGTGTCGATACCAACAGTCAAGGCGGTGAAGGCTGAGGGCTGTGGACGAAGGAAAGACGGTTACAATTGTTGGAAGCAAATTCATTGGCAAGGGAAAAGGTCTAACCTGTGCCCAGCAGTGCTTGATCATGGTCTCACGGGGCGTCTCTAGGGCCTGGACAAGAGACCGAGCCTTCTCGACGAGGTCAAGACGGGCTTGCTCATCGCCATTGGAGGCGGCGGTACCGAGGGATGAGATGCCATTGACAAGTCCCGAGACTCTCTTCAGGTTGTTGGCCGCCAGAGCAACCGAGATATCAACGGCTGGATTCTTCACGAAGCCATTGGTCTCCGTGACAGTGACCTCGGGGGCTTTCACCTCGGCAACGACAGGAGTGGGCTTGGTGCCGTTAACTTCAGCCATGGTTATTCAAAAGTGCGATGTCGAAGGCTGAGGAATTTGGGGTTTGCAGATCGATTGGAGTGTTATACAGGACCCAAAGTAACGGTAGCAGGACAGGAAGAGAGATTGGGACGGGATAAGAACAACGAGCTTCACGGACAGGGGGGAAATGAGGATCACCTTTGCCCTCATGAGACCCCTTAAAACGAAGAAGGGGCATATTCCAATCGAGCTTTCTGTAATGCAAGCCACTTCGGTTAACATGGGGGGTACTCAGGGTGTCCATCAGGAGGAGATTTGGTAATCTGTATGCACCTAGTCTATCTTTTCTTCATCATATGTACTGTACCAACAACCCGGTCAGTCGGTGAGTGCATAAGGTAGCGTGATAGTTATCGTTAGGGGGGAGAAAAAGAAAGCAACGCAATGAAACCTCTCGCCGAAGACCAACGTCCCAAAGGGCACCCGCGGAGGAAGTGATCAGCACCGGCCCCACCAATGTTGCATTAGTGAAGGCCTAGGCCAGGTACTCTCCAATTGGAAGTAATGGAACTCGCCCCGGAGGCTTCTCTTGGCAACGTTGTGCCGGGCCGTCTCTTGGTACTGTACCATAGCTCGTCATTGCCAATAATGTTTAGTGAGCGGAGCCACTAATGCATCAGTAGGGTTACTTTGTTTCGCCCGTCCCAGATGGAGGAAGAATAACCGTAAATCAACCAGGTAGACGTAAACAACCCCTGTTGTTTCCCTATCGCTTTGCATAGTGGCATTTCCCAAAAGAAAGTAGCGTGAAAATGGTTTTTAAGAAAATATCTCCAGAAGAAGAAGAAAAAAAAACATGGACAGAAAAAGGAACCACAACTACTAAAAGTTTCTCTTCTCCCCTTTACTTTTTCCTCCGTTTAAACGAATGGCTGTTCCACTTCAGCAGACGCCAAGCCAGCATGCACATTGCTTCTTCTGTGATATCGAGCAACTTTACTCGGCTGGCCCGTATTGTTCCACTTCACCCGTGGGGTAGCGTGGGGGCTAGTAGCCGCGACTGTATCGCTTAAGTGCCGGAGATTTTCAAGCGGTATTTATTCTGGACCCCTGACAAGGGTACCATGGGGCGTATGAACTCTTCAAGCCAATCCCGAGTCCACGGTTCAGAGCGGACGGCGCAGCCGACATTCATCTTCCGGCGAAGAGAAGGCAACATTCTCCCCCCACTTGCACAAGTTGATAACATATCACAAAATCAACACCATCCCCCCCCGTCCGATGAGTTTTTCACCCCTGACCCTGCATCTCGCATCAACAATGGCCTCCTGGGTAAGCACTGCTGATCCCCATACGAGTTGAAACATGCCCAGTCGGCAGTCGAGGATGCACAATACATAAGCTTGACAAGGCTGCAATCGACTTTGGCGATTCTGTCTCGGTCGTCCCTTCGCTCGCTCATGTGCTCTATCCTCCCACGCTTTGAAAGAACCAACCAACGGTGCAGCGTTGATGCAAAGCCATCGCTCTTTCCGCTCAGCTTTGACAAGATAATATGGCTTCGGCACCGCCAACCGACTTCGACCCGGCCTGGGCCGCCGAGGACAAAGGCCCGGCCATCATCGGCGTCATTGTGGCGGTGACTATCCTTGAGACTCTGTTCTCAGGCGCTCGGCTGTACGTGAGAGGCAGGATCATGGGGAAGCTGCACCTCGACGACTACCTCATCGTCCTCGCAGTGGTAAGTAACACTGCCTGCCAAGCACTTCAATGAAGCTTAGAGGAACCCTCAAAGTCTGACACTCCAACGGATATGCGGATGGTGCGCCGTCATCTTCGGCATCATGGCCGTGCACTCGGGCAACGGCAAGCACTTCGCCATTCTCGACGCCGACCAGAAATCCGGTGCCATCCTGTGGACCATCGTCGGCTTCTGCCCGGGCATCATGTCCTTCGGCCTCCCGAAGCTCGCCGTCGTCGCCCTCCTCACGCGCCTCCTTAACCCCAGCCGCGCCCACAGGATATTTCTCTGGGGCATCGCCATCTTGTGCAACCTCAGCCTGCTCGGCTGCGTCGTCGTGCTGTTCGCGCAGTGCACTCCGGCCAAGTCGCAGTGGGACTTCTCGATCACTGAGAAGACCTGCTGGAGCCCATGGATCCTCGTCCACTATGCCATCTTTGCTGGAGGTGAGTCTCGTGTCTCAATTCACGACAATGCCTTCAGGCCCGCTAACCGTGGTTGAAACACAGCCATGTCTGCTGCTACCGATCTCTACCTCGCCGTCTACCCTGCCATCGTCCTGTTCAACCTTCAGCTGAAGTTGAGGAAGAAGCTGGCGCTCACCGCGGCGCTCAGCATCGGGTCCATGTGCGTCATACTTGCGGAGAAGGCACGGGGAGTTAAATGCTAACCGGAATCGATTAGTGCCACTGTCATTGCCATCTACAAGACGACCCGCCTCCCGAATCTCGCCAGCCAGGACTTCTCCTTCGACACCTCGGACCTCGTGATATGGACTTGGTAAGTCGGACATATTTCCTGACACAATTTCAGCGATCCTAACTTCCCCGTCCCCCTCCAGCGTCGAAGGCAGCGCCATCATCATCGCCTCCTGCATCCCCATCCTCCAGCCCCTCGCCGACAAGATCCTGGGCAGCCGCTTCTTCGGCAGCACCAACGACCGCCGGGCATACAAGAAGTACGGCTCGGAGCGCAGCGGCGCCATGCGCTCCGACATGGAGCTGTCGTCGCACAAGAACCGCACCACCGGCGCCGTCGGCGGGCGCTCGGCAAAGGACCCCAACAGCCTCACCTTCCTCGACAAGACAAAGGCCAGCAGCGAGGAGAGCATCCTCAACCAGGACGCGGGGAGGAAGCCCGCCGCCGAAGTCGTGGTGGATCCTGCGGCGTTACATCCGGCGGATATGGCGGGGCGGATTGTGAGAACGGATGTCGTGACTGTGTCGCACAGTGCCAGGAGGGGGCAGAGTGAGGAGGATGTCGAGGGGTGGAAGTCTTACGGCTATTGATGGGTTCGAAGGCAGCCCTAGACTGAAATCATCGCGACAGATGCCCACCCATTCCGCCGGTGCGGTCTGTACAACAACATTGTACATACATACATTACTCTCTCTTACTACGGGCGTTTTCTAGCTCCTCGAAGAGACAGCTTGGCGTAACGGAGTCAAAAAGTAGACAACGAAGATGGCATACCATTTCTGCTCGGCCGTGGTCTATGTTACCCGATTGAGTGGTGTGTCTGAACTCTTTTGAGATGGAGGACTATGGCTCCGAGTCCGAAGGCCGGGTCCTGGTCCCAAAGCTCTCAATGGTATCCCAGACACCCATAGTGACTCTCAATGGTCCAATCCTATCAGATCTCCCTGAGCTGTCTGTTGCAGGTGTGTGACAGAGTAGCCACCCCCGAAATCCACCACTGCTGCGTCCCTGTCTGCATTGCCCCCCGGACGATGCTAACTTCATGTAGTTGCCCCACCGTCGCCCCTTGGCGACTCCACTTTACCTCCGTTGCCATAGAAGCCCCTGCAATCATGATGCAAGAGTATCTCCATCGAGATATTCCAAGACAAACCACGACTAGTCCAAGGCGCCTGCACGCTCGGAAGGTGCGTCAAATCTGCCGCCGCGAATGACCCGAGCCAGTAGCTCCATCTTTCTCGAGTGGCTTAAATCAAGAAAAGCAGATCGCCCGATCCTTGCTGCCGAACCTTCCTTGGCATGGCCCTCATTTCCTCACCACGGAGTCCACCATTAACCCGCTCAAGTCTCGAGACGCCTGGATGAGGGAGCGAGTGGCAATTCACCGCGGAGAATGGCGCCCTCCTTAAAGGATCCCATGCCCTGGAGGAGATTGGCCTCAGCTAGAGACTGCCGCGAAGACCTAGAATGCCGCGAAAAGTCGACGATCTGCGTTCCAGGACTTGGGGCACCGTGGCTCTAGGGATTGTAGTTCTCTTGGGTAGCGCGGAGACTACCTTCTTCGTTGGCAAGCGCGAATGTATATCTAATGAAGCGAAGAGAAAGATCGATGTCGAGGGGATAGCCGAGCGAGGCATTACTGTTGATATTGTTTAGAACATTAGGGGCACTTGCCGAAGCCCGGTTCAGTAATTCAAGTCGTCCGTTATCAACATCTACGGAAGATACCGTGCAGGTGATGCTTGAAGAAATTATGTGAGTGGGTGCCTTTATAAGGCTTCTGAGTGCCATTTATTTCGTGTCGCACTTAACGATAGTGCTACGCTTCTCTTGAACTTTGTTGGATACTGCCCAGCAGGGTTACATTCCGTGACGCGTCGGTCATACATGTCTCACTTGCAGAAAGCAGGAGAGGTTGTGTTGGAACAGAAAGTTGGTAGCATACTCACTGATAAAGGTGATTTGCGCACTGGAAAGCTTAGGAGAATCAGACGATAATTCACAGACAATCTACATAGCAACAGGGCTCGCAAGCACGAGATTTCCATGTATATAAAGAGCCAGTCGGCCAGGTTTATCACCAGTTTCAGCTTCACTCGGCATTGCAACAAACCCAGACGCGTAGACCTCGAGTGGCTGCAGTTATCGTCCACATCGGCCAAACATCCTCTCCACCAACTCCCCTCCCTCTCCTTACTGGTTTAGCGCTATGTCTGGCTCGCAGGCAGGCTCGAAGTCAGCCTCGAAAGCAGGACTCAGCCTATCAAGTGTAAGTACGGAACAGCGTTATAATCCCGGGTAACGGCTAATGCATAGATACCGCAACGGCAGGGCCTGGGGTCTACGTTTGTCCAACCTGGGGACATCCTATGGTGCGAATTTGTCTACACCACGGGCTGCAAGATGAGGTTCGCAGGACGGGATTGCGACGCCTGGGCTGAGCACATCCACGAAGACATAGGCGACAAGCTACCCAGCCAATTGTTGTGCTGGTTCTGCGATACGTTATTTGACGCCCGGGACTGCCCGAGGGATGACCCGGAGCAGAATTTCACGAATCGAATGCGCCACATCCTGGAAGACCATATCCTAGGGAGGTTCGCCACCGAGAAGACTATGAAACCCGACGGCTTTACGATCAAGCGGGCGTACAAGAACGGCAAGATGAGCAAGGCTGATTTCGAGGCCGGGATGGCCGCGGAGCTTCCCCCGGCGCTCCGATATCCCGGCTGGGAGGAGGCGTATGGTGAGGTCGATCCACCGAACGAGGAGCGAGATCTTGTTGCCGTCGACACTGCGAAGGAGGACCGTGATCGACGCCGAGAAGAGAGGGACCGGAAAGGGAAAGGAAAAGAACGCGCCAAGTAACTTGATCAAGCCGCTTAATACAAAAAGAGATACGATAATGGGATGCACACGGACCGTTACCGTACCTCGATCTCAACCGCGCCGGGAAACACACTGGACTGGCGTTTAATTATGACCTTGGTCGCCAAGGTTTCCTTTTTGGACTGCTAGCTAGTCATGCTTGCACTTTTAAGATAGAACATATATCAATTTGATTCCTTAACAACAATAAATTTTCGTCTGGCAAAATGGTATGAAGAGTTGGCTCGGAGGACTGCCAGACTGCCAACGAAGGATGTTGAGGGGATTGAATCATGTAAACAAAGAAGAAAGTCGTAAAATGGAAGTAGAAGAAGTGAACTTTGCCCAACCTACGAATTTTGGCGCGAAACCATCGTCCATTCGCAACCACCAGAGTTCGTTCCTCAATCAAAGTCGTTGGCTTGGCTCAAGCTTAACCCATCAATCCTAGTCAGTTGGATCTTTCCTTACATCCTCTCACTGAGATTATCATCCGTCTTCCGCGTTGGCACCCTCTTGTTCGCCGGTCAACAGAAGGTCTAACGTTCCCCCCTGTAGGAAGTGCGCATCCGGGGACATGCATCGGGGATACGTGTGACTATGGAGTGTAAAATGGTTTACAGAGGGTCCTCAACCAATCCTAGGAGTGGCCGGCGTGCTAAATCGATGGTCTTGTCAAGAGATTCCAATACTTCGGTCCTTCACCATATGTATTTGACCCGGTCCATGTTCTCGGCTGATGTGTGCTGATGATCCGCCGAATCTTTACCAGCATGTTCGTCTGGTCTGCCGATTGTTACCTTGGTCCGTATACTGCCATAACCTCGTAAATGGCGTTTCCGCTTATCAACATACTCTGAGTATTGCGTGTCGAACCCGGCATGGGCGAACCCGGACAAAACGGCTCTCCGACTTAACCATTTGCTGCTTCACAAGCTAATGTGTATGCGACTTATGGCCCTCGATGTCAATAACCAGCTGCCCTTCATCTCCCAATTCAGATGCAACCTCTGTACCGAGCTCACCACAGAGCCTCATCAACGTGGATCTGACCCACTGATGACCCTCCTCGTCGGGCCTCATCAGCCCAGCCTGGAACAGTAAATTTCGCGTTGGGAATACCTCAAGTGTCTTCAAACCAAGAGAACCTTTTGCCATGCCCTCCGCGTCTTCGGTCGCGGTCACGCGCCACACAGCACCGAGATCGTTCCGATAACCCGGCGATACGGCATAGTCATCAACGAAGTCGCCACAACCGTAGAGAATCAACTTTCCTTTGTATATCTCCACTCCTTGGATGTGGTGCGCCGAGTGCCCGTGGATAATGTCGATGCCGCATTCGTCGATGAGGAAGTGCGCGAGAGACCTGATAAGCGGTGCAGGGGACCAGGAATAGTTCGGCCCCCAGTGTACGCTGAAAACGTTGAGTGTAGCGGGCGAGGGCTCGTCTGCGGTTTGGTGGCGAGTCTGGGGGAGGATGGTGTCTCGCAAGTGATTCCGGGTTGGTTCGCTGTAGTCGATCAGCCGGAATGCCGGGACAGATGACCACGAGACGGGGTGGTCGGAAGCGGAGAATATCCGCAGCAACGGCCCGCGGTCTGTCTCCCCGGACGATCTGCCACTGCTAGTCCGTCTGTCTCTCGGGATTTCCAGGACTGCAGGTCGCATGCCTTCCTCTGCTGACTCTCCGGCACCGGCAAAGCTGATGCCGGCATTTCTCAGCGTTGTGACGGTCTCATACATGCCTTCCTCGTGGAAATCAAGAACATGGTTATTTGCTAGATTGGCAAAATCGACATGAGCGGCGCTGAGGGCAGCAACGTTGGCGGGATGCATCCTGAAGTTAAAGGCCTTATTCCGCCATTTTACCGCATGTGTGGTGGCTGCAGTCTCGAGGTTGATGAGATTCACATCCGAGGAGTGGAACAGCCGAAGTGTACTACCCCACGGATGTTCTGGTCCATAGTCTCGTAACGATGGATGCCTTGTCAGGAGGGTGGCGACGATACTGGCTTCGGACGGCTCAAGAACATGCGTCGGAAAGAGCTGGTCGACGAGCCGGCCAAGCATAACGTCGCCAACGAAGTTGATCAGGAACTGTCTCGGAGGCGACATGGTTTCGTCGGGAATTAATTGATGCGTCGGTTTTGTCGTGATTATACAGGCCCGAGACGAAGCGATGTCGGTGATGCTATTGAAGTTTGGGTGTAAATGAGGTACTCAATGTTTGCCACCCCCACCCCGACACAGATAATTTTGTCATAATCACATCAACTCTCCTCAACACATTGTCTCACACATCTTGTCACGCATCGTCGTCGATGAGCAAACAAGTGTAGAGCCTGGCTAAATGGTATTTTTGTCGTGTAATTTGTGGGATAATTAAAGGTTGCTAATAAGGCGGAAGGTGGGAAACCCTCTGAGATTAGTTAAACGTTGAACTCCGGGATGCTCAGCTCCGTGTCAGCCGTGTAAGTGAACTTAAGGCTTCCGGCCTTGATACTTTTTTAAACCTCTCTAATCTAGTCTAGGAAAACAGTTAGACCAGCCTGATGTTCGGGACACCACAAAAAGTAGGGGAGTAATAGATGTCGAGTGATCAGCCAAAGAAGCAAAGTGTGGACGTGGTGCTAGACTTTGTATTAGAGAACCGGCATGCTCGAGCTTAAGAAGACCGAAAACTGATCTGCTCTACGTGGTCGGTGTGCACAGGCCACCAACCGCCCTTTACCCCCTTTCCCCCTTCTGACCAGCAGTGATTTGGAAGCATACGGAATTGTGTGCCGCCGGACAGCCGAATTAGGCTCATTTCAACACTGCATGGCGATGGTATACAGTGAGAAGTTCTACTTCTCCTTGCACTTACAGAACACCGTATCGACGGGACGGCAGCTCGCAGATATAAACTTCTAGAGTATCCTTCAAGTCCACCTCCGCGCCCCGTGGATATACTGCTACTCGTCATGAGGCCTATGGTAACCCAAACCCCCTTCAATGTACATAATGTTCTTGTTTTTCCGGGCTCTCAATCAACGTCCCGGCTTTGACGCCAAAGCCTCGATCTCCGATAGCTCCGGTTTTCTGGAATAGAAGCGATGCGGCGCTATTTAACTCGCTGTTCTGGGCTGAAGTAGTTGGTGGAGCCCGATTCCATCCGGCCAGCCAAGTCGACTTGCTCCCAGTGACGGTGACGGTCGTAGTAGTGGAGGCTTCACTCGCCAGTCACCAACGGCTTCATTCCCCTCGAGTGGTAGCCGTATCATTGGCCCTTCCTCCTACCACCACCCTCCAATACAGATTCCCTAGATAGCCGCTGATAAGCACCTGCCAAGACGGGCAGAGAATGGCAAGGTTTGTGGAACCCGGGCAAGCAACGCGGGGTTGCATCGCACCGCGCATCTTGTCCAGCTCGGGTAACCCGGCACTGACAACGTGATGGTGGGGAGCGGCACAGTTCCAGGTCATTGGAAGGCTTAGCCCTTATTTATGCGCAGCGGTGGGTATAATGCACCTCCGCCAGGGTTTCAACTACCAACTGCCTCTGGCGTTTTGCACCTGCCCTATTGAGCATGTTGGGGTGTGTTCCATTGTAGTTCCATTTGACAAGGTTTATCGCTCCTACGGATAACCTGCGACGACAGAATAGCGGCATCCTGGTTCTTCGTCCCAGAAATAGTAGACGTTAATTGCCTCAAACCAACACACGCTGCAACACTGTAGAGATCCCGCCCCCACGCAACCCTCCCCGCTTAGGAAGCAAACCTGAAATCCAGCCTCTTGTTCCCCGCCCCCTGGTTGTCCGAGAGGTAGTACAGCCTCTCCTCAGGTGTCATCCCCTCCCACTTCAGGTCCCGCACGCGGTTCCGCCAGACGTAGTACGACTTCGCCAGGACGTACAGACACAGGTTGAACCCCACCAGCCCGAGCAGGATGGCGTTGCCGCGCCGATAGAGCGGCGCGTCGTCGGCGCGGTAGATGTTGGACGAGACGATGACGCCCGTCTGCAGGAACATGTTGTACAGCGCTGCCCCGACGGCGCGCGAGCGCACCGTGTTGGCGTTTCGGGAGACCCAGCCGACTTGGACGGGGTGAGCTGCGGGGGGTGGGGAAGGGCCGTTAGTAAAAAGTAAGGTAGGGACCGTGGGAGGGCGAGATTTTGGAAAGAACGCACCGAGTGGAGCGGCAAGTAGGAGGGAGATCATCCCCCAGGTCAGCCACTTGGATGCCTTGGTTGTGTCGACCACCTCGAGGTAGATTAGGAACGGGATGCACCAGATCTGGAATACTGCTGCGCATGCTGCGAGCTGGCCCGTGAGCTCTGCCACCGTTGCTAGGGCGAGCATGTTGATGGCTGAGGAGGGTTGTTAATAATGGGATTGCTGATCAAAACGCCAAATAAGAACTCACTCTTAAGGACTAGGTAAGGGATCGAGAGCAGATTGGTTTGGAAGGTGCTGAAACCAAGCCCACGGAGGGAGAGGCTCAGATACTGCTGCGGCGAGAAGGTTGGGATGTTGAAGGTGAAACCGATCAAATACATCGGCCTGCATTTGGTAAGCATACTTGAAACACGTCGGAGTCAGTCAGTCAGTCAGTAACGTACCATAAATCCACGTCAGTCAGGCTCATCCACAAGAGTTTCCAAGTGATTGGCTGTCGGTTATGCATGGTTCCCTTGCTTGGGTCGTCCCTGATGACTCGGTTGACCATGATGGCTTCCTCTCTGTATCCAGTCAGTTGTAGGCTCCGGGGGAAACGAGCCACCGACTTACCGTGGTGAGAACCACCCGTTCTTGCCGCGGGACCAGTTAGCCGTCTGGGTCGGTCCCGCAGGCATCATGACGTAGGATAGGAGACCGACGGTGCCAGTTATCAAGCCCTGTAGACAGAGTTAAGGATCAGTGCGCCTCGATAGTTCGTCGGATGAGACAATAATCATACCTCGACAAGGAAGAGCCATCGCCAGCCGGCATAGCCGCGCACATTTCTCATATGGAGCAGCCCGAATGCGAGGATGGCGGCCAGGATGTCGGCAATGAACATTCCGGTCCAGAAGAAGCCGAGGCGGAGTGTAAGTTCATGGTGTTTGTAGAAATACGACAAGTAGAGCACGACCTGCCAGGGGGTACGAGTCAGTTTGTCTGTCAACTGCGGAAGACGTGCCGAGTGATATTTACCTCGGGAATGAATCCTCCCTGCAGAAACGCCAGCAGTGCCCGGGTTGCGAGGAATGATGACCTCGTCGCCAGCGAGAATTGAGAAGCGGACACGATGGAGAAGAGGATAATCTGGGACGGAATCCACCGGTCCGGACCGAGCCACTTCGCGAGCAGCTGGGACGGGAACTCGCCGGCGAGGAAGCACACGGCGTAGATGGTATTCCCGATATTGTAGTCTGGGATTGCTCGTTAGCCGCCATTATCACCACCAAGACCGACCAAGCCTGAAGAAGCACGACAAGGTCTGGTCCGCGAGGTAAATACCGTTGGTGGTCATGTGCATATCCGCAAGAAAGTTATCCGTCAGGGCTTGGCTCAGGTTGGCCCGGTCGAGCTCCATGGCCATGAACATGACGGCGCACCAGATCATGATTCGCCAATCCATCTTCCGAACAACCTTCCTCTCTTCTCCCCATGTCCATCTGGCTGCGGGGTCAAATCGATGCAGATTTTCCCTATGCGACTGTTTAGCCTATAGTGTGCTTTTGATCCGGCGATAATTAATGGTGACGTCTCACCAGTCCTCGCGCGGCTGGTACTGGGCGCCGACTTCCGGCACATCGTAGACGCTCGGCTATGTTGTTGCGCGCGCGTGTGTCAGCATTTTATCCTGGAAAAGTCGCATGGTCACATGCTATGGTGATGTTGTTCATATGGTCATGATGCTTCATACCTGCGTTGCAATGGCGTCGGGATCGTACTTGGTCTTTGTCCGCTGGAACCAGAACTTCTTTTCCTCGTGTGGTTTGCCCAAGGGCGCGACGGGAGAGACAGTTTCGGTCTCCTTGGTATCAATTCCGGGCTCCGCATCCTCAAGCGGAAACGTCTTCTCCGACGACACTTGCTCCGGAATTACAGTCGCCATTGTGACACTCGCAAAAAGAGTGAGGGTGATTATGGGCCGCGCAGTCGGAGCTAGACGAAACCCCGGGATGCTTTATGTCTAATATAATAGAATGACTTGCCAAAGATGGCAGGCTGGTCTAGAAGGATCTCGCCTGCGACTTTGGAAGGCCGCGTAGGTATATCCCGGTAGTTATAAATATATATCCCTTGCCCTTTCATGCGGGTAAAAAGCTTGGCATGCTTCCCTTCGCTTGGCACACTACACTCCATCCCAACTGGTGCCGACGTTGATTGGGTGGAAAAAGATGACGACTTCTTCATGACAACTAATAATCCCGAAATGCGGGGTAATTGCGGATTAAGCGATGTCGAAATGGGGAAGGACCCTTGGGCTGTTAAGATCTGGGGTTGAAGCTATTTGCAACCACCTCGTGTCTCCGTGGGTTCTATCTTTGGCTCTTTTGGCCTCCGCCGGCATGCTCAACCTGCTCGTTTTACTGGGGCGTCGTAACGGCGAATCAACAACAGACGGTGATCGACACTGATCGACAGCAGACCCAGACCCGGATGCTCTTCTCAACCAGGATGACGACTGCAATTTTCTAGCACGCACCTCCCAACGGCCAACAAGCAGTATTCTTGGCGGCTTGGCAATATATGTACCACTCGTACCGCCACCTATTATTTTATTACTCCAACAGACGTCAAGTTGCCCCCACCTCCGAGCCTGACAGGGACGGTGATACCATCGCAACCACAACACCGGCATCGGCACCATGCGACTCCTCCATTTGCGAAGCGTGCTGCTTCCAGTCTGCCTCATGGGCATAGGCCTGGCACACGCGCAAGTGACGGATTCCAGCCCTCATCAAGCACCTCTCCCACCCGCCGCCAATGGCGACGCTCCGAGTGAGGCTGTCCGCCCCAACATCGTCTTCATCATCACAGACGACCAGGACCTCCACATGGACTCGCTGGATTACATGCCCTTTGTCAAACAGCATATCGTAGACGAGGGGACCTTCTTCCGGCGCCATTTCTGCACCACGGCGCTTTGCTGCCCTTCAAGGGTATCGTTGTTAACTGGAAAATTGGCGCACAACACGAACGTGACCAATGTGGTCCCCCCATACGGTAAATACTGGTGGCGATGGGGAGATTCAATGTGCAACCACGGCCAACAAGTAAGCTAACAAATATGGCAGGAGGATATCCCAAGTTCATCTACGAGGGGCTGAACGACAAGTACCTTCCCGTTTGGCTGCAAGAAGCCGGCTACAACACCTACTACACTGGGAAGCTGTTCAACGCCCATAGCACGTCCAACTACAACAACCCATATGCGGGTGGGTGGAATGCCTCGGTACGTCGTTCAAAGACACCTTGACTTTTTACGCCCAGTGTTCCTGATGGCGAGCAGAGCTTTTTGTTGGACCCGTTCGTGTATTGGTACATGAACAGCACCTACAGCAACAATGAAGGCCCGATAGAGAGTTTCGAAGGGCTGTATAGCGTGGATGTGCTCGCCAACAAGTCGACTGCGCTCCTGGACGAGGCAATCAAGGCAGACAGGCCCTTCTTCCTCGGGATTGCCCCTGTCGCCCCGCACGCAAACATCTGGGCTCCGGGATACAAGGACGGCCTGGGCAGCAACGTCTCGGATGTCGTATTCTCGCCGCCTGTATGTGCCGAGAGGCACGCCGACCTCTTCGAGGGCGTCCAGGTTCCGAGAACGGACAATTTCAATCCCGATAAGCCGTCTGGCGGGAGCTGGATACGGAGGTTGCCCCAGCAGACGCAGGAGAACGTCGATTTCAACGATCACTACTACCGCCAGCGCCTCCGGGCTCTGCAGAGCGTCGACGAGATTGTGGACAGCGTTGTCAAGCAGCTAGAGGCCAACGGAATCATCGACAACACCTACATCATCTACACGACCGACAACGGATACCACATCGGCCAGCACCGCCTCCAGCCCTCCAAGCAGTGCAGTTTCGAAGAAGACATCAACATCCCCTTCATCGTGCGCGGGCCCAACGTGCCCAAGAACCTGGTAACCGACATCATCACCACGCACACCGACGTGGCGCCCACCCTCCTCAGCATAGTCGGCGCCCCGATGCGCGACGACTTCGACGGCGTAGCCATCCCGCTGACGGCCGACGCCATCGCCGACGCGGGCCGCACGCGGCACGAGCACGTCACGGTCGAGCACTGGGGCTTCGCGTCCAACGAGGGCACCGTGTACGAGGGCTTCCAGAAGATGTACTTCAACAACACGTACAAGGCCGTGCGCGTCTACGGCGGCGGCGGGGCTTACAACCTGCTCTACCAGGTGTGGTGCAACAACGAGCACGAGCTGTACGACATGAACACCGACCCGGGCCAGATGGTCAACCTGCTGCTCCCGGAGGAGACGCCGTCGGCGCCGGCAAGGAAGCTGCTGGGTGTGCCATTGGAGCAGCTGACGACGCGCCTGGACGCGCTGCTGTTTGTGCTCAAGTCGTGCAAGGCAGAGGCGTGCGTGCAGCCGTGGAAGGCGCTGTTTCCGGCGGAGAATGTGGGGAACCTGCAGGATGCGCTGGCGGAGCGGTATGACTCCTTCTTTGCGCAGAGGTCGGGGGTCGAGTTTAATCAGTGCGAGATGGGGTATATCCTGGAGTCCGAGGGGCCGCAGTTCGGGGAGGATGGGGCGGATGGTCCGGCTTTCCAGATTGATGCGAATTGGCATGAGTTTACTTGATGGGAGTGGATGGAGAGGATGTGATAGTTGATTGGAGATGCTGAATTGGAAAAGTGGTAGAGAAGAGAGGAGACGAAAAAGATGATCCTGAGAAGAAAGGCCGCGCCCCCCAAGTCCTTCGATCTGACAACTGGCAATGTCGCGGCCATTGGAATAAAATTGTGTGTGACATGCTCAACATGATACACGTGGGACGACTTCTTACCTACGGCCAGCTGGAATCGGACTTGGCGTTGCTTGTCAACACCGTCACCACTCTCAAACCGGTAACTGGTCGGGCATCGAGTCTACATTCCCGACACAAGGAGGGCGAGTAACTTAAACTTCGCCGGGCCGAACGAGCCGAACGAGCACGTTGTTAACCTGAAGGATTGCGGAGAGACCTTGGCAAAACAACTGTTCTCTGCTGCTATTGTTAGCTGCGGTTATAAACAAAACTAAGAGGGTACATGGGAGACGGCTCGAGAGGTTACTTCTGGCAGCCTGGCCAACAAGTCATCAATCCAAAGTAAGCGTTGACGTGCGGGCTCGTTCTCATATGCAGCAGGTTTGTCTGGACGGACGGGACAGTCACTTGTGTGGAAATCCTGCCGTCCTGGCTGCCTTTAGCTACGAAGAAGGGACTAGGGGTCGGTGAGGCAGCGGTATGGCAAGGCAGCCTTCGTATTTCGGCACCTCCATACAGATGCTACTTCCGGTATCGGGCTTGGAGTACGGGCACAGCCCTTCTCATGTTGAAGGCCGCTGGAGTGTTTACTATTACCTCCTGCATTACTAACATCCTGCTGTGGCGAGGAATCCAGACAAACCCCGCAAACTCTTGCTCTTTCGTGTAAAAGCTCAGGGGTACCTCATCAGGAGTGGGTTGGAATTGGATGAGTTGTCTCAGGGGCAGATTTCTTTGGCTTTGGTGACGTTTCCCTTTTTTTTCCGCATCTTAAAAGAACGTCAGCCAGGTCTAGATGTTATTCGATTGGATTTGCCAGCCATGATCTTCAGGTAGTTAGTCAGTGATGTAGGCTCGCAACAGTTTACCATCACCTCGCATCGCCAAGTCGCCAAGACGCCAAGACCAAGTATCGTGTATTTCATCCCACAGATTTTGCGTGGAATGTTCCGGGCCTATTAACAGGCGCTCAGTAATCGCCGCCATGGATGAACAGACATTGTCTCGGATTTGCCCCATCCTGGGGGCCAGATGCTTCTACAAGGCCCATCGATGTAACGTTGGGAAGTTGTGAATAATGTTACTAATGTTCTCCCCAATGATTACTACGAAGGTCTTTCAATCCGAGTGCTCACTCAGCACTGGTGCTACCACTGAAGAAGAAAGGGAGGATCGTCGTATTTACCTAGGGCTTAGACGTCTGTGCGCCGGTAAACATACCAACAAACTCGCCCGCTGGTGTCTTGAGTTATGCTTTGGGATATCGGATAATATAGTATGAGAATAACACGCTATGTACCCCTTGATGATTAACTCTGAGTTGATAATTCCATTTCTATTGACCTTGCTAACTGAAGGTTGCTCACTGAATAGTGCCCTCTCGGTAACCGCAAACTTAGAAGGGGAGACTTCACAGGAGAATATGATCAATTTTGCCCTATTCCATACGCTGAGTCAAATTTTCAATATTTGTCTCACAAATAAGCACTAAGCGGACGGACAAGTCGCATCACATGCTGCATTCTTGTGGACATGACAAGGAGGCTCGTGCCTTAGGGCTATGTCCTGTCTGGTGCGCTGACTCATTTGAGTGACAGTCTTGGCACAACTTACCCCCGACGTCTTTCATCTTCAGACTCTCGGCTGGCTAGGGCCTCCGATATCATTTGTATAAAAGGAGCCGTCGCTCCTAGGAACATATCTCGATCTTGACCAGCAGAAGCAACAAGAAGTCGCAAACTACCAGCCACCACCTTCGAAACACACTTGTTTAACACACATCGCTCTACCAGTATGTCATTAGATGTCCCCAGGTGATGTCACGATGCGGTTTCTGAAACTAACAGTTATACCAGACCCCAATATCCACCATGATGTTCGGAAACGCCGCCGCCGCCTTCATTCTGACCGGCATGGTCGGGATGAAAGTTGCCGGACACGTCCTCCCGAGAGCCGACACGACCCCGGACGGTCTCATCGTCATCGATGTTTCACAAGACGGCAACAACACCCTCACCTGGTACGCCGATGTGCCCGGCAGCGAAGCCAAGCGCTCCGGTCTGGAGGCCGCCGGGGCACCCCTCGAGGCCCGGGCCTGCGGCTCCGTCGCTGTGTCCTGCTTCGGCAGCAATCTCGCGGACGCGACCAACTGCGCCAACCTCATCTCGGCGCTGCGCCGCGACCCGTTCAGGCAGCTCTCCCAGTCACCTCGTGCCGTCTGTCTCGGACAGGGCGGTGGCGAGTGCTGCGTGAGCTGGTCCAAGGCTGTTTCGGGTCTGGAGCAGGGCGATCTGCTTAACGGCGCCAACTTTGTCCTCCAGGACTGTCTGAAGTCCGGGAACAGAGTGTCTGGGCTGACTAGGAATGTCCAGCTGCAGTCGAGCTGTGTCACCGAGTGCCTCTCGAACCGCCCTGACGGGTGTAGCTAGATGATGGTCTCGAAGGGATTGGGATTACAGGGAAGAGCCCGAAGCCTGTACGGTGGCTTTCGGGTGATGGCAAGATCCTGTCTCCCATCCAGCTTTGATTGTTGAGAGGGTAAAGGGGGGGTGAGGAAGGATTGGGATTATAGAGAAGAGCCCGAAACTTGAACTCTACTTTTGAGTGTGACGACAAGACCATGTGTCCCCTTCGACTTTTGTGTGTTGAGAGCAAATATAGTTGAGAGAATATTCAGTTGAGTAACCACTGGCGCAACTATAAACAATTTGCAACATCTCAAGATCACTTGGGATAGAAAGATAGTTGCGTTCGAGCCGCGCTGTAATTACCTAGTTAAGATATATCGTGCGACACGTGGTTGCCAAGCAAGTCGGGTGAAAGTGTGGTTGTCTCAGCAGCCATTACGGCCCCGCCCGTGCGTAAGCGACATCAGTCAGGGGCGCCGGAGGTATGTACTGCACGAGCTAATTAATCCCCGATGTCAAGCGAATGGACGGGTACCTGACACGGCACTGCAACTCTATGTTAACGACCCTGAAGACTACTGATCTGTCGACGTGTGAGACCAAGTATTGTTGCTCGCTAAACCACGACTTGGTACGGTTCCTAGAGAGCCGGGATTTTCACATGATAATTAATTACCAAACTGCGATGACTGGTGGCCTGTAAACCACGATATGGAAGATGTTGGGCATATTAATCGCCACATTTACTCTACGCGATTACGGTTAACCGAACCATCGGCTCCCCTTCCAAGTCCCTCTCATATTATCCAAATTCTCGGCAGTCTTTCATTTCAATGACTTGGCCCCTGCTCGCGTGAAAGTCTAATGGCATGGTCTATTCGGGATGCTGATCGTCGATAAAATAATATATTCGTCTATCACTGTGGACGTTCTGAATGGCCTTGTAATTAACATTGCTAAGCCCGGTATTTCGCTGGCGAATATGAGCCGAGAAAGGGTGAAAAGGGCGGTATCGGTATCAACTAGTGGGAACTAGCTCAATGATGTCTTGGGACCAAGGGACCAAGGGCCCAAGTAGGTTTATGATATGTTATTTTTGGGTTGAGCTTTGACAACGCCCGGACAATCCCCACTCGCCAAGCCGGGACTTTACGCGAAACACTCACGACTTGATAGAGTCAACCGAATCATATCCCTTCACCTCCGAATTTAGGCGCCTTGACTATTAAGAGCACTTCAGCCGTGTCCTGGCTCTCCTGGTGCACCCGGTCAATTGGGCTTTCCGGAAACCAGGGCAACGGGTAAGATAGGAGCCGCCCGGAAATACCAATGAAACATTGTTGGATAAATCCATCTTCTCAAAAAATGTCCTTTGCAACATGGATTAGGCATGGATAAACCTGCCAGTGTTCCGCGCGCGGGACATTTGCGATATGATGTTAGATTAAGCAAAGGGATCCTCTGCTGGTAAACGTGCTTGGGGGTGCTGGTGTCTATCCTGACAGCAAAGCTTAAAAGGAACCCACTCAGCCGCCGTTAAAGCAGCTGTGGATTTTTACTTCAGTACGATTACCGCTCACAGTTTGAGGGCTTGAATATCACTACACACAACTCGTGCTCGAGCTACATCCCCTGTCAAAACCAGACACCGATCTCAACATGGTTCGCCTTGCTCTCCTCTCCGGGCTTGCCCTGCTTCAGGCCATTGCCGTCCGCGCAGTCATTGTCCCCGCCGGCCTCCCGGCCGGGCTCTATTCGATCCCCTTCGACGCCAACGGCGACGCCATCGGCGAGCCCATCCTCCTCAAAACCGCTGAAGCCGTGGCTGAGCGGTCCCTCTCCCGGCGGCAACAGAATGCACGCCCTCTTCCCAACTCCCAGGAGAAGTGCGGCACAGGCGGCTACATCAACGTCAACAATTTCGCCGTCGCCAAGGAGCTTCTGCAGTCAGAGTGCGACTACGGCGACCAATACGGCACTAGGACGGCCATCGTGTTCACAAACGTCAACACGATTGCGTACTTTTGCACCTACGACACCCAGGCCCGCTGCTGGAGGCAAGAGATGAATACTGCCATGGACAGGGTTGTGGCGAGCTGTGGCTACGGGAACGGGGGAGAGAGCTATGTCCCGTCGTACTCCATAGCCTACGGAGGGGACAATGTTGGACAACAGATTTGCCGGTTTTAAATAAGAGAAAATGGATATGAGGCGAGGGTGGATTGGCAGGCACAAAAAGTTGACCCTAGTTTTTGAGATGGGGAAGTCAGATGTCGCGTATTAATGTTGGTCACGAAAACCACCGCAGTCCCATGCCTGCAAAGTCGAGTAACTAGTCGTAGTCTGTTTGACACTTGAGTACAAATGAACTACCGCTGATGCTGATTGCAATTTTATGATGAGCTAGCATGTCAATCGACGAGGTTGGGACAAACTGTCCTTCTCCCCAACATCTGACGTCGGCGAGCACGTTTTTCTATCCATTCATAACACCTTGGACTTCATTGTGAACCGTAGCCTGGTACCGCATACTATGTCTGTTCACACACTTCCTTTGAGCTCAGCAAGACACTTAACGCCCACGAAATTGGGACCTATTTTGTCATTATTGCTTCTAATTATCCATCCATGGCGTGAGACCCTCCCCATGGCTGTCGACACCACCCTTTGGCAAGGCTTCATCTCGCTCCCCCGTCATCGAGCAGCCCACCTTTTGCTTCGTGATCGAGAAGCCGTTTTGGCTCTACGTAATTCCTGGGGAGCAAACGCCCCTGATTGGAAACGACGATGACATAATCACCACATCGAGACAGGTTTCTTACTTGGGAATGACAAGGCTGGTTGAGGCACGCACAGTGCCTAATGCAGGGGTCAAGCATATCTCATCGATTGACTGCCGAGCAAAGAGCAATGGTGATCGGTGTCCCTAGGCTCATAGCTCGGTAGCTGGCGGGGGAGGGACGGAGTAGTCGAACCGGCGAACGGGAAGACGCAACGGTGCCCCGTTTTCTCAATTTGTTCACTCTAGTTGACGAGAGATCCACAAGATTGGCAGCAAAGCTAGTTGCTACGCTGAGCTGTGACTAATTGGTTGAGTGCGCGGCCCGAAAATACAGTTACACAGCAATGCAAGCAAGGTTTGAGAATAAGTTAGATTGCACCCCCGATCAAGTCGCGATAAGGCCCGATTTAAGAGTCTGTATGGGGGCGAGGGAGAGAGTGGTCAGCACTGATCTGGGGCAATGGAGACCTATTTGGTCTCCGAATATCAGGATATCTACACAATCCAGAATGTCACGATTTCTGGGGATTCGAAGAGGCACAAGGTAGCGCAGTCGCCCACGGTTTCAGACCGAGGATAAATCGAATTTCCCTTGGCCGATTTGACCCGTTATTACTATGTAGGTCTCGTGTCGTGCGATCGATAACTACGTCGTTGCATGCAGGAGGCATGCCGACGGGGGCATTGAGCCGTACCATGCAACCCTGAACCCAGCCATGAAACCATCAAGTGTAACGCTTCGAATTTTCTAGAAGGTCCGCTTCTCCACAGCTCTGGACTTATCTCAAGGTCTTGATCTCGGATTCAACACGAAGACATACACCAGGGCTACACGTAAAACCCCATTTTACAACCCATTCTGTTCGCCGAGCATCACGATTACCTTGCCTAGGCTCGGAAACACCGGGCAGCCGAAATGATTCATTCAGAATTTAGTTATCGCATTGTAAGACCCGGTCTCCGGGATTTACTTGATCTCCGGGGGTTTCTGACCATGAGAGCGGAGTGGAAATGCACGGTACCCGACACTGACACCTCACGGTGGTGTTGTTGGAATTGGCCAATAGGATGCCGGAGCCGGGGCACCCCCCACCGTCCCAATCACAGCGACCGGTTAAGCCACGTTTCGACCGCATTCCCCACCCGGGAACCTAATATCAAGTCTTGGCACTTGGCAAAAGCTTCTAGGCAGCTGCGGCTCGCCAGCATGACCAATAGTTCACCCAGTAGGGAGTACGCAGGGCAGGGACACGTGCTTCCATGATTGCTGGCGGTTTGCAGCTCTACTCGACAGCTTCCTAATCAATCTGTAGTTCCCAGGGCTTGCTGTTAGCACACCATCAGGACTGACCGGCCCTTGACCAATTGCAAAGTATTTTCCTGCACAGCCTATACAAATTTTATCGTGAATGGAGTCATTATCCCGGTAAGTAAAAGTGCCAAGCTGCAAGGGCAGAGGTGTTTAATATCTAGAAATGGAGCGCCGATCCTTTCCATGGCATGCTTCTGCTCTCCACCACCTCGTTCATCTTTCTCTTGTCCCAATTGTGTGTGAAGCTTCGAGTGAAGCCCAACGTCTTACACAATGGCGGCTAAGTTTGCTCTTACAGCTGCTGCAGCCCTGGCAGTTTCACTCTCTGCCGTCTCGGCGCAAACCTTCCAGAGGCTCGGCACCTGCCCCACGCTGGGGTGCATTCTTCCCCCAGACCAGCAGGACTTCCTCCCGGGACAGCAGTTCGACATCCGATTCGAGGTCCACGCTCCCGTCAACGGCTCGGAGGCGTTCAACGGAGGAGTTCCCGACGACAAGTTCACCGTGACGATCGAGAAGGACGGCGCGGCTGCAAAGAGCGTCGCCGACTTCTTCAACAAGAAGGAAGCGGACCTCGAGACATGGAAGTTCTCGTGGTTCGAGGACCTCTTTGCCCAGGAAGCAAAGTCCCCGTCGGTTGTCAATGTGGCGTCGAAGGTGTACCGCCGCGTTGCTCTGTATGAGCCGGGCGAGTACACCATCACTCTCAACTACTACGATGGGAAGAAGACGGTAGCTCACTGGACCGTGCGGCCTCTTGCTACCAAGAAGAGAGCAAAGAACGTCATCTTCTTCATTGGTGAGTATCTTACGGGTGTCGGGCTTCATCCTAAGACCGCCGACTGACGAGTCCTCCCAGGCGACGGAATGACGTCCAACATGATCACGGCGGCACGTCTCCTGGCACACAAGTCGGTCAACGGCAAATACCAGAGCCTCCTAGCTCTCGACAAGTTCCCAGTCTTGGGTCATCAGATGGTTTGTACTAGCCCTGCCGTAGCATCGATGTTCGATCGAGGAAATCGACTAATGACAGATCTAGACTCACTCCATCGACAGTTTCATCACGGACAGCGCGAACTCGGCCTCGGCTCTGTACTCGGGTCACAAGAGCACCGTCAACGCCATGGGTGTCTACGCAGACTCGTCTCCTGATCTATTTGATGACCCCAAGGTTGAGACGATTGTGGAGCTCCTCAAGCGCATTTGGGTACGTGAATGTGCCGTTCCGATCTGATTCACTGGCAATCTAACGCGGGGATCCATTAGGGCTCTGCATGGGGTGCTGTCTCGACTGCCTTCCTGGCGGATGCCACGCCGATTGCGCTGACCTCCCACACGCGGTCTCGGTATGCCTACGGCCCGCTGATCGACCAGGCCCTGCACGGCCTGACAAACTACTCGTGGACCAACCACGGCGGCCCTGATGTCTTTTTCGGCGGAGGTGCCGAGCAGTTCCTCCCTGGGTCCGACTCGTACCTCGGCAAGGACTACTACGCCGAGTTCGCCAAGAAGAACTACTCCGTCAGCCTGAACAAGACGTCTCTCCTCCAGGCCTCAAACGACTCCAGGGCGCTCGGCATCTTCTGCAAGTCCAACCTCCCCGTCTGGCTGGACCGCAACGTCTTCCCCGAGAACCTGGACAGTCTGACCAACGACCCCGCCGGCAACAAGGCCTCCGCCACCGACCTCCCCGGCCTGAAGGAGATGACCCTCAAGGCCATCGACGTCCTGCACACCAGGGGCGGCAGCAAGGGTTTCTTCCTTATGTCCGAAGCCGCCTCGATCGACAAGCAGATGCACGTTCTCGACTACGACCGCGCGCTGGGCGACCTCCTCGAGCTGGACGACACTGTGGGGGCCACGATCCAGCACCTCTCAGACCTGGGCATCCTAGACGAGACCCTCATCGTCGTCAGCGCCGACCACGGGCACGGCTTCGACGTCTTCGGCAGCGCCGACACCAAATACCTGGCGGCCAAGAAGACGGACCGCGAGAAGCGCGGCGCCGTGGGCGTGTACCAGAACTCGGGACTGTCGCAGTACACGGTGGAGCAGCCGGGCGTCAGCTACAACACTGGGCCCAACTTCCCCGTCAATTGGGACCCGCGCTACGTCATCGCGTCGGGCCTCGGCGCGAACCCGGACCACCGCGAGAGCTACGGCCTGAACAAGGAGGGGTCGCGTCTGCCCGCGACCAGCGTCGGCGGCGCCAACTTCGTCAACCCCGCCGATAACCCCGACGGATTCATCGTCAACGGCACCTTGCCTACTTCCGAGGCGCAGGGCGTGCACAGCTTGACTGACGTCCCTGTCTACGCGCTGGGGCCGTGCCAGGAGGTGTTTGGTGGCACGTACTCGAATATTGATGTTTTCTATAAGATCGCCGACTGCCTTGGTCTCGCGCAGCCGACGAACAGGACGACCTGCGCCAGGTAAGGCGCTGTGGGGAGGATTGGTCATTAGACTAGGGAACTTATCCACTTTATTATTTGCCATCCCTTTCCGCTGTCTCGTTTGTGAACACTGGGCATGTGTGTCAATGTCGTTACCCGACCACCTACTATAAGTGACTGAAAGGGTGTAAAAGGGGTAAAGCATATTATAACTACAGCCTGAACGCAACTGTGATGGACGACGGGCTGGACAGTAAGTAAAAAACGCACAGTCGTCTATCTTGAAATAACATATTCTCGTGGTACCAGAAGGGCCCAGTCATCAAGTGGCCTTCGCCATGATGGCCGTCGTCATCGGCATCCTTAGCACGTCCCATTGCCCCCCGAAGGGGTCCGAGAGAACGTCGACCAGGCAACTGATAAACTGCCTGCCCAAGAGTCGGAATTGGGTGGAAGGCCCTCCAGCTCCAGCAGGCGTTCGAGCCGTACGGGCGAGCCATAGTCGCGTCAAGGGGGAGCGCTTCCAAGCCGGTCTCTCGTGCGCAGTTCTGTGTGACTATCATGCACAGGCCACCCCCTTTTTATCCCCCCTCAATGCCACCCACGCCCCGGTTACCATCTGTCTCCTTGGACTGTTTCCCCAGGAGTGGCTGGATACTGCTGGAAAGGGTTGCTGGCGGACAGTCCTAAGACCTTGAGCTGGGCCAGCGCCGAAGTCGGTGCCACCACTATCAAGACCGGAATCGTTCGACTTGTCCTTAGCGTCCTCGAGTCTCAACAACATTGTCTCTCGATATCAGATTTTGGAGTCTGTTTGGCAGTGCCACTGCTCCTTACTGTTGCTGTGGAGACTTTGGGGAATTACCGCCATGCATTACACTGACGACGTCCAACTCGAGCGGCAAGTCGGGTTGCTGCGAAATGCAGCGAATATCAGCCTACGCAGGGAACAAGACCCTTTGGATTTGAAATGCAACACACCGACGGTTGGAATTTCAGCGATCTAGACTCGCAGGCCGTCCACGTACACCCGCCCGGGTGGAACACGGAAAAGCGCGGGTGTCAGGAGGAGGGAAGGAGCCTCTCATTTGCACATAACAAGAAAGTGCGCCGCGGACGAACGAGCAAGATTGAGGTTGGAGGCTTCCTACAGCGGTGCGAAGTTCGCGTGCGCGGCTGAGAAATGGACCCGGGTCCTCCACAGCGGCTCGGCGACTTATCTCGCCGGGCAAGTGCGAGCTGGTGTCCCTAGATGGGTCCGCCCATTTCTTTCCGGTTCCTGCCCCATGGGGGTTGTGGGGACCGGGAACACCATGAAATGTGGTGGTATGCCCCAGGTTCCTCGACCTCAAAGGAAGGAGCGATGCAGTTGCTGCCACTTTGGCACTTTGATGAAGTTCCCATGTCCGTCTGGTACTTATTGTCGGTTTCCCTTGGAGTTTGGGAGTCTGATCAGGCTCTTTGGATTGCGCTACTCTCTACCTTGCTCACCAACTTGACCAGACAAAGCCATCACCACCAACATAACTCGCCCGCCCGTGCCAGCCATGGCAGTTGAAGTTGAAACCCGTGGCGTCTGTCATTACTACTATCAACACCATCCTCCAGATCATCATCGTCCTGGTCAAATTGGCCAAATTTGGTCTGAAATGGCGTGCGGCTAAGCCGAAGTCCGACGAGGAGAAGGCGAATGAGGCCTGTATGTGCCCTGACACTTATAATCTGCCACCTGTCTCGATTTTTGCTGACAGCCCATGGCGGGCCCAGCGTTAGGGGACATCAAAGACGAACTTAGGGGACTCCGGGGTGTCCTGAATGGGCTGATGGACCATGCCGCCCCTGTCGACGCCGCCCCGGCGATAGAGGCTCGTCTTGCCGCCCAACCGCCGGGCAGATGCCCGCATGAGAATTGCCCCTCCTGCCAACCCAAGCAACCAGACGAGGCTGGCGGAAAGGGGAAGGGGAAGGGAAAGGAGGTTGGACGGCGGGCCGAACCAACCAAGACCGAGGATGCGGGCCCCGCCGGCAAGCAGCCGTTGTCACGCCGGGCTACTCGGTCACGGATCCCGGTGCCTGTGTCCAGGGCCGTAGCGCCGCAAGCACCGCCACCGATCGCCGCCATGGCCCGGATCGGGACCTGGCCTGGTGTTTTGGCCAGCGGAGAAGGACTGCGACGGCGCGGGCGGGCTTTGCGGCAGTTCCCGTCGGCTTAGGAGGAACCCCCCGGGCTCTGAACAGCCATACCGATTCCCACATCGCGTGGAGCTCGTCCTTCACATCATGGGGTGGCACCTCTGGGCCCGAAACAGCTCTACCAACCCTGGGGTGGCGTTTCCGGTTGTTTTGGAGGAGTAGCGACGGCAGTAGCGATAGACAGCTAAAGAAGGAGTGATAGACAGCTAAGGAAGTAGCAATAGACAGCAAGGTAGTAGTGATAGACAGCTAAGGAAGGAGCGATAGATAGCAAGGCAGTAGCGATAGACAGCGAGGCAGCAATAGACAGCCAAGGAGCGATGCAGTTGCTGCCATTTTGGCACTTTGGGCTGGCAAGTCGTGGAGCCCTTTTTGTACGTGGCAGTTGCCTTTATCGAGATTCATTTATATCAGATATCAGAGCGGCATTAAGCTGGCGAGCATGGTTTGATCATTTGGCTGCATCCAAATCTAGCAAGTATGATGCGGTAAAAGTGTTAGATCCTTGCGACGGAGTCTCAAGGGAAACGAGAGTTCCTCGGGACCCACAGGCTGAATGTTATGGGAAGTTTGGGCATTATTCGTGCGCCCGAATTGGAGGGGCGAAAAAGGTTGGGGGGGGAGGCTCAGGCCTAGCGCCGAACGACATCGCGTACAGACTAGTCAGTGGTGATCAAGTCGGTGGCGATGCTATGCAAGGACGAAGCAAGGGAGCTGGACATCAGCAAACTTGTGCCGGCCATGGAGGATGACGTTCAGGGGGTCGACTGCTCAGTCTAGCATATTCTTGTATAGGAGCTGCAAAACGAGGCTACAAGGTTTTAGCCAAAGTCCTAGCTTGTATTGAGAGGCTTTATCTGTAATAAACGTCTCTCTACTTAGTCACTAATTGCTTGATCATGCTTTGAAACAACTCGCTTTCAACTACTCTCTTTGACACTCACTATCTGAAGTTCCAATTCTAGATGACACCGGACTGCACTAGGGCCGTAGAATTCTCCAAGTCGCATAACACGTCCTCGCCAAAGGTCTGCTGGAAATGAGCCTGTAGTACTACATGCTTCCAGCAACAACTCCTTAGAGTATCATTAAACTGTGTCAGGGAACTCTCACGACCGGTCCTGGTGGTTGACAGCCGCCGCCGGAGCAGCTCCTTTCTCTCCTGTCTGTTCCAAATCCCCAGTCACCTCTTCGGGTGTGTACTTGCCAAACTTTCGAAGGGTTATACCCTCGTTGAACATTCGGTCTACTTGCTCCAGTGACTTGCCCTTGCACTCTGGAACACAGAAGAAGACAAAAATGATAGCCAAGGCAAGGATGCCGGCAAAGACGAATCCAACCTTGGATCCAAGACCGGCGTACTCATCGTAAATCAGGTACGGGATGCTAAAGCTGACGATAAAGTTGGCCACGACGTTGACAATAGAAGCAGTACGCTGCGATGCATCTCGAAGGCGAAGAGCTGGGATCTCGGTCGTGACGACGTAGTTGAGAGGGGCAAAGGCAAAGGTGAAGCCCGAGCCAAAGAGTGTGAGCATGGCTACGATGCCTGACTTGACGCCGAAGGAAGGGTTTGGCACCGTGCCGAGGGCGCCCATGGTGACGATTGCTGAGAACATCCAGCCTGCGCTAGTGAATAAAAGAGGTCTGTAATTGATTAGGCATGTTTAAGATGGTATTTTGTCTGGAACTTACCGACGGCCGAGTCGATCAACAAGATACAGTCCAGTAAATGCAGCAGTAAGATTGACAACAGCGTTGACGATGGTCATGGTAAACGGGTTGACGGTTCCGATATCTCAGATGAAGATGGCGCCATATGTCGAGGCAAATGCTTGACCTGTTGCCTGCTGGAAGAAGTTCATGGCAGCGACGATGGCTGTCCGCTTTAGATTCTTCCCCTGAAATAGCTCAATGTATCTTCCTTGCTCGGGTTCATGTTCCAATGCGTATTGAAGAGCGGCAAACTGCTCGTCGATCTCGGCTTCAGTCAGTCTCCCTTGTCGTACTTTTCCGAGGGAGGTGCGTGCTTCTTCGACTCGATCCTTCGTGAGCAACCATCGCGGAGACTGTACAAAGTTAGGGGCGGCGTTTTATGGTGGCGGAATCGACCATACCTCGGGGATGAAGAAGATGAGGACCATCACGAGAGTAGGAATAACGAAAAAGAGGCCGAATGGGATTCTGAATGATTGGTTGCCGGGCAAGGTGCTTGTGCCCCTGCAGACGCAGCTCACAATAAGAGTTCCCATCTAACAAAGTAAGAAGAGTGACACAGGTTGCAGTGGCGGTGAGACAGGAAGGCCATACCATCAAGCTGAACTGGTATGAGCCAACAGCAAAGCCACGAATCTCTCGCGGCATGATCTCGGACTGGTAGACGGGGACGACGGCAAGCTCCATGCCAATGTAGATATCTGGTCCTCTTTATCAGCGACAACATGAAAGTGAGGAACTCTCTTTAGCCAGAACTTACAGTTGAGAATTCTGGTCGCCATGATCTGATGCTTGCTCACAGCTGTCACAGCCATGATAGCTGGAACAAGTGCCCACGCACTCATGCCAAACATGCACCATCGCCGACCCCATCGTTCGCTGACCAAGCTGCCGATGATAACTCCTGCACCGAAGCCAATATAGTTCAGGCTGTTGAAGAGCGACAGCCACGACGGCGAGATCTTGTAAGTGCCAGTCTCTGCATCCCAGTCACCAAATTGCGTCTGAAAGGCCGTCATGGCTTGAGCGTTGTTGTAAGCGGCATTGTCAAAGCCATAGTTGAAGGTCGACACGGCGATGACACCGAAGGCCAAGGCCAGATGCCGGTTGAAGTGGTGGAGAATTCTGTTCTTGGACAACATGGCGTCGATGGTACCGCAATCCGAGTTCCAAGAAAGGATGACTGTGGTTTGGCGCTTTTCAGAAGGCGTCGAATTGGAGCGAGTTGGGATATTTGCATCTTGATATACCTTGGCCGGCCGGGGTTGTCAAGCCGACGGCATCCTTTTCGGCAAGGCCTGCAAGTCATGGGTCACGCCACTGCAAGGTAGCTTGTTCGAGGGCCTATACTTTCACCGACTGCATGACATGCCGACGATTGTCCAAAACCCCAGCCTTTTTCAGACCCCAGCCTTTGCCCCAAAGACTGAAAAACTTGTCTCCCCCAAGTGCGCAGGTACATTTCCGGGGAAAGTGGAGATGGATGGCACTAGCGCAGAACCTAACTCGGATGTCGGGGGGAACGACTTTATGGTATATGAGGGGTTTTCGATATCAATTTGATTTATCTTCCGCCCGACTTCCTCGTCACTCCCCGAGTCCGAAGCATCGACCAAGCCGAGTGACCTCTTTGATACTTGTCAGATTTGCTTGGCAATGGCGGATCAACGAGACAAATCTCGCACTCGCATCCGCAAGACCTCCGAGATATGCGCCCAATGTCGGAACCGCAAGGTAAGCGGCGATTTTTTACTCTAGACCATCCGTCCGTCGGATAGCTGACTAAGCGTCATGCCCCTAGGTACGATGCGATGGAGACTCGAGAGGCTGCGGGAACTGCAAGAGACTGCGCTTCGGATGCTCTTTGGTGGCTTCGTCTTCAGAGACCAACGAGAGTTTGGAGCTACTGGAGAGACGACGGGTTTTGAGAGCGTGCATCCCTTGTCGGGATCGGAAGCTGAAATGCTCGGGGCGATTCCCAGCCTGTTCCCGGTGCCTCAATCGCGGTGTCACATGCCACTATCCCGCCACTGCAAGAAGCAACACGAGTGGTGATCCTCAACTGTCTGGTCAAGCTGAAACCTCCGACACGGGCGTATCTGTACCACAGACCCAATCTTTCGCAAGACCCGGGAAGACCCATTCAGGGCATTCAACGCCCGGGACGACCCATTCAGGGCATTCAACACCGATGCTTGAACCTCACTCATCATGGCAGGCTTTATTCGTTTCACCACCCGGCATACCGCATGGCTGACAGTTGCCCAGGGAGCTCGAAATCGACAAACAGACCATCAAACAGCACATCGACGCCTTCTTCGACTTTGTTTACCCTATTCCATGTTATGGGTTCTTCCATCGAGCAACTCTTCTCCAGTCCTGGTCTAGAAACGATCTAAATCCATGTGTTCTAAAAGCAACTTGTGGCTTGGCGTCTCAGTTCATCTTCCGAGGCAGCACTAAACATCGAGAAGTGGCACGGAAATGGATCGAAGCAACAGAAACCCAGCTCCTCTCAAGACTCGGCGAACCACGGATGTCGGACATCGAAGCGTGGTTACTTGTCATACTGGATCATTACCTGTCCCGCCGTTTCACCAAGATGCTCGTCTCCATATCTCTGGTCTCTCGGCTCGCGTACATCCTCCGCCTCAATCATGAAGATAGTCGCCAGACATTCCTCGTACAGGAGCGCCGAAGACGGTTGATGTGGTCTATCTACGCAATAGATACGCTGTACTCGAGTGGCAAAGCAGAATTCACAGCCTGCACCACCGAGACTCTCCACATTCGACTACCCTGCAATGAGAAGTCCTTTTTGATGGACATACCGACTTCCACGGGCTTTCTAAATGCAGATTCCGACCCTAATTACCCAAACATTGGACTTGTTGGATACTGCTTACGCATTTTAAACATCCGCGACCGCGTTCAGAGGTAACAATTACATGCTTCGGGTTGACGATGGATGCGCGTCGCCTGCTGACGCTCGCACAGGCTCACCCTCACAATTACCAACCACCGCAAACCCCTTGACGAATGTCTCCTTGCCGTAGGATTCATCGAGCATGAACTTCAACGCTTCTACACCTCTCTGCCGTCCCGCTACCACTTCGACTCAAAAGCCTTCTCCCTACGCTCTTTCTCACCCTCTCGCACACCATTCCTGATGCTTCACGCTTGGTGGCACCAAGCACACTGCGACCTTTTCCGTTTCACCATTCCCGGCTTCCGAGAAGGTCTGCCAACCGCGGAGATCCTTCAGATGTCCCCCGACTTCACGACATCTTGTCAGGAGAAATGCCTCTTCCATGCTGTGTCTGTATCGAGAATCCTCGAGACGCCGAAGCTAGTAGGAGGCTCAGACTTGATCAGTGATCCATCTCTTGCCATGTGTGCCTTTCACTCGGCCAGAGTCATCTCAAGGTTGGGTCAGCATCCTATGGGGCACATGGCCCAGGTTGAGTTAGTGGCAAGATTAACTGCTTGTGCCGAAGCGCTAGAGGAGCAAGCTGCAATCTTTCCAACGACTGCTATCTTGAAGAAAGGCATCCAGGACTTGGTCAGTGATGCCCAAAGAAACCGTGGTCGTGCGCACGCCTGCCCGTCCATTTGGGAAGATGAAGAAAATGAGAGTATCCAGACTACGAGATCAGTAATGAATCATGACGGCGAATCCGAAAGAAGGGAGATCTACTCCAAGCACAGTGTCACAGATATTGTCCGAAACCTTCACTTTGAGTCAAGAGACCAAGATGAAGACGCCACTAGGGCTCAGACGGCGCCGATATTGTCAGAAGAATCCCGGCCAATGCCCACGGTGGCATCCAATAGCATCACGACGGGCCAATATGTGCAGATGGACATCACCTCCAATGTCTCTGAGCCGCTAAATCCCGACTCCAGTGAGTTCAGCAGTCATTCCAGAGAGGTAGTCGAGTATGAGGACAACTTCTTGACCCTGGGGTTTGACCCGCGGTATGGCTCGGGACAACCAGATTTATTTCTGGACTCGTTCTGGCCAGTCACCGATGGAGATTGGATGATGCCGGATGTCAATAACGGGTAGGAAAAGCAGAAGGAACATGCCATGGGAAGATAGAGCAGATATGGGATATTAGGATGTATCAAACGTTTACAAAGCTTGGCGCTGATAACATGCCGTAGCCGTATCCTCCATCTCATGCGCCGTTCCAGTAAACATCTTTATCGACGGTGAAACTGGCTTCCAAGCTGTCACTGGAGGCCACAATAGAAGCTGTATACGTCCCTTCCTCACAAAACCAGCTATCGGTTGGTTCATCCCATACAGCAGTGCTGTATTTGTCAAGAGTGATGACCACCGGAGCCTCTTGATCAGGCTTCAGGAAGATTTTCTGGAAACCGACAAGCGTTCGGACAGGCCGCAGAAACCTCGACTTCTTCCCAGTCTTGACAAGGTCAAAGGAAACATACAGCCTCAACACCTCAGCACCCGCCATGGGTCCAGTGTTCTTAACGTCGACGAGCACGCCACTCGCCGCCATCCTAATGTTGGACACGGAAAAGGTGGTGTAGCTCAGGCCATGCCTTGAGACGATCAGCCAATGAATAACGAAAGGAATTTTCTTGTCCGAGACTCACCCGAATGGAAATGCCACGTCGATGCCACGAGCTTCGAACCATCGATGCCCAACGAAGACATCCTCAGCATAGTATATCCGCCCATTGTCGCTCCCAAAGCTGAGAAACGTTGGGCCATCCTCCAGTCGGTTCGGGAAAGTGACAGGAAGCTTCCCACTGGGATTGACCTTTCCAAACACCACATCTGCAACAGCATTACCAGCCTCGTTGCCCCCATACCAGCTGTGAAGAATTGTCTTGGCCTGGTGGCGCCATGGCATTGCGATGGGATTGCCTGCTTGAGTGATCACGATGGCATTGGGCTGGACTCCCAGGACTGCTGAGACAAGATCATCAACATGAGGCGGAAGCGACATGGACTCCCTATTCTTGCCTTCCTTTTCGAGGTCGGCATTGAAGCCGACAACAACCAATGTATGTTTACATCTCTTCGCTAGAGAAACAGCCTGGTTGATTCCGTCAGCGGGCTTCAGCTTGAGACAACCACCAAGACGACAGGCTCCTCCTGGTATAGGTATGAATGAGCCCCCAGTCACCCTCGATGTCAAGGCACTGCCCGCTTCCACTCGGAGTCGATAGGTTCGACCAGCCACCATCTCGCATGTTCCACGCTTTTCCACAGACCCGTGGCCAAAGAACATTCCCCCGTGGCTTTTCTTGGTCTCGTTGTCTATCACCAAGTCGTCGTCGATGTACAGCTTTGACGTGCCATAGCTGGCGAGCCCAAACTCGTACAATCCATCGACTTCGGGCCGGTATTTAGCCCGCATTGAAATGAAGAAAACGTCCCTTTTAGCCGGATGGCTGTAATCCATGAGCTGGTACGTCGTGTCGGGGATGTTCTGGTAGTCAAAGAGCTTCCTGTCTTGAACCGAGTCCGGCTCGTTGAAGAAGGCGATGGAAACGCCCGGGTTTCCCGATTCATCGGTAACATGATCCTCGGTGAAGTAGGGAAGAAGAACATGCCCAAATACTCCCGGCTCGAAGTAGACTTTTGCATTGGAAGGCAGTTGGTCCCGAATTCCCTGAAAGACCGAGCTTGTGAAATAGGGGCGTAGATTTGCACTTCCTCCGCCACATGCAGCGGGGAGTTTCGCGTTTGGGCCGATAATGGCAACGTCCTCACAATCCTCAGGTTGGAGCGGAAGAATATTGGCCAAGTTCTTCAGGAGGACAACACTCTCAGTCGCGAGGCGTCGATTAAGGGCACGATCCTCTGGCGAGTCACGAGTTGTCTCCTTTGTCGATACTCGCGATGTGGCAGAGTGGTTGACGAGCTCGAGGACTTTCCTTGCCCGGTCATCTATCGTTTGATGACTAACCTTTCCAGATGTTACCGCCATGACAGCTTGATATGCACGGTGCATCGATGGACCTGGCATTTCAATGTCCACCCCGGCATTCAGTGCGCCGGCACAGCCATAGGTCCCGAACCTGTTATTGTGAGCTGGTGTGCGTACTGTACTGATGGCAGAAGTTACCTACCAATCGCTCATAATAAGGCCATCGAATCCCCATTCTCGTCGCAACACTTCGTCCAGAAGTTTTTTACTCTCGGACACGTGAGTCCCGTTGACTTTGTTGTACGAGGACATCACTATCCTTGGTTTGCCATCTCTCACAGCCATCTGAAACGGCTTCAGATACACCTCGCGCAATGCCCGCTGGGACATGCAGATATCGACCGACATCTTAGCTGTTTCCTGGTCATTGGCAACGAAATGCTTCAGAGCAGCCAGGGTGCCTCGACTCTGCACCCCCTGGATAATGGCGGCGGCCAGCACGCCGCTCAAGTGAGGATCCTCAGAGAAACTCTCGAATCCGCGGCCGTTCAGAGGACCCCGGACCAGGTTGACCGTAGGACCCAACCATACATGGGCGCCTTTGGCCTCGCATTCGCGGGAGAGAAGTTGTCCTGCAGCGTAGAGAAGGTCTGGATTCCACGTGGCACCGAGACCAGTGCCGCAAGGGATGCAGGTTGCTGGGACGGGATTGAAGAATCGACCACCTCGAGCGCCGTTGGGGCCATCTGTGCATTTCACTGAAGGGATCTTGTGAAAGGGGATGGCGGTAGTATGCCAAAAGTCGGCCCCTTGCAGATGTCAGTCACGCACAGGAAAGCAATGAGCGGCAGACGAACCGGAAAGGAGTGAGATTTTTTCAGACAGCGTCAGAGATGCGAGCGTCGACTCGACATCGATTGAAGCCCGTTGGTGGATATACATGTTTGCCTCTACCTATTCATCGAGGGTCAATGCGAAAAAGAGCTAGGCAAACATTGTAGACGACTTGACTAGCGAATCTCAGCTATAAGACAGTTTGCTTCGCGCCAAGTGGTGCTAAGCCAGTCATTTGACTTTGATCTCGGATCTGGGCTGGGCACAAGTCAGGTGCCGATGTGTATTGCCAGAGTAAAATGATGTGGGTATGTGCGTTGGGAGCCACGTCGGAAGCCATGTCGGATGTCGGGCGGGGCGGAGTGCCGAGCGGGTCCCGCCCGTTCCCCGAGACTGGGGATCCTTAGTAACCTCCCATTTTTTACGTAAGTAGGTACGGAGGTACTTTTCAATTGATACTAGAGTAGCAACCTCGCCTTGGCTCAGCGCCTGCTTGGAGACAAGAGGGTTGATCCTAATCCCACAAACTGTGAGTCCCGAGCCTGCCACGCTCGAGCTCTCCTCAGCAACCGGGCCAACCCCGACATCCCAGGTAATTCAGGTTGCATCCATATTCTGATCGATTCCTAGAGATAATCAAGGGACATTAACCCTAACTAAAGCTCGTCCCTTGCAAGCTCCTTCTTCTTCTTCCTCCTCTCCTCCTTCTCTTGTTTCCTGGTCTGTCTGCGGATGGTCTTGTACATATGCTCGAACATCTTCCGCGCCGCCTTCGCTTCCTCCGTCTCGCGCGTCACATAGGCTCTGATTTTTAGCGAGATGTTTGGATCTTTAGACTTCTCATTCGGGGCCGTACGCTCTATCGGCCAGGCGACGACCCCGCCCTCCTTAGCATCAGCATCGTATTTCGTGAGGTCCAGCAAATCATCTAGAAGAAAGACCAGTTAGCAAGCCCAAACATTTTTCTTGGTTTCTCCCATCCATCAGCAAAAAGGACTCACTCTCGCACCCACTCCCCTTCGCGACCCACAACGGCAGTATCTCATAGATTGCCGCCGGGGCAAATACGAGCACCTTCTCCCGATCTTGGCCCTCTCGCGTGGCCTGTTCCTCCACCTCCGCCACTGTCACCGCTGTGTCCCTTCCCGGCAAGACAAACCTGGCGGTGGCCTGTTCCCCCACTGGCTTCTCAAAAACGCCAAAGAGGTGCCACTTCTTCATGGATGCACCGGCAGCTTGTTCCGCCGTCCAACCCTCGTACTGCTCCTCGACCCACGTCTTGACGGCCTCGGGCACGTCCGCGTACTCGACGGCCACCACGACGTTGTGGTTGTTGTTGTTGTTGTCGTCACCCGCGCCGGGGCCCTCCCAGTCGCCGGGGTAGGTGTGGCGCGCCAGGAACTCCTGGACGGGCGCCAGCCAGGCGCCGTCTAGGTCGCTCACGGTGTACTGCTTGGCCTGGAAGGTGGCCTCGGCGCTGCAAGCCGCCTCGAAGCCTGGAGGTGGACCATTGTTGGTTTGGAAGGGGTTTGACCATTTGAAGAACGCGTTGTACGCGTGGGAGCCGGTAAAGAGGGCCAGGAAGAAGGTCAAGAGAATGGCCATATTTTTTTTATTTTTTGAGGGTTGGGGCGGGGGGGCTTCTTCCTCGCTTTCTTCTATTATTTATTTTACTTTGACAAGAGTCTTCTACCACGTTGCGTTTATTCAGTGGCGGTTGTGTGGTTGGCAAAATGCGCAGGAATGGCCTTGCGAGACGATCGCGGTGGATTGCCGGACTTGTAATATTATAAGAAAAGTCCAAAAAGATGAAGAGGGTCGCTTTCCTAATCGTCTTCAGGCCTCGACCAGGCCAATCAAATTCATCCCGGGCATGTTCTTGGAATCTAGATGATATAGGCTAATTGCTGCACTTGGGCCGTTGTCAAAGAAAGAAGGTGGTCGAAACGGAGGAAAATTCGACGCCATTCCATTCCGAGATTGACATGTGTCCTCTCCGGAGTCGTAGGCAGTATTGCAGACAATTATCAAAACTTAATCGATTTGGCAGGTTAAAAGCTATCAATGCACAGTTGATATTATGTTGCAGCTGGTCCGTGTACTGTATGTACATCAGCATTACTTGGTCCTGCAGTAATTTAGGAGGCAGCTTGAAGGAGAAATTGACACTTACTCTCAGTGGAAAAAGTTACGAAGGGCTAGCAAACTCATCCGGCGAGTGATGCCGCATAGCTAGACATTGCGAAGCGGATGGTTGAAATTGATGATGGAGATCGTAGCTTGCGCTTGCTTTTGACTTGGCTTATGAAGCATAATCTGACGCTTGCTGCACTAGACGCTTCCTCTGGCTAGGCAAGCATTGCCAACCTGGAATTTAACGTGCTTTTCATTGCTCTGCCTTGCCCCTGTGTGGTGCCTGTTTGAGGCTTTGTGTCTTGCCTTGACCCAACGCCTAACGACCTCTGAACCTCCGAATGCAACACCACCTTCTACTGAACGGCAGGGACGCAGAGCAAGGCAGCCTCCCCATCCGATAGTATCTCCAGGGACTCTCAGCGAGCTGCGCAGCGATGCGTGATTCTGGGGCTGGGATACCACTAGCGCTATAACAAGGAAGCCTTCTCTGCTAGATGTTGAGTTTGCTAAGGTAATTACTGGTTGTACTGCCTTACTGATTACTGAGGTTGCGCTACTTCTAGCTTCCTGGTTCACTTGCCAGTTGTCCTCTATTCACAAAATGAGACTAGGCTTATTAAACCTGATAGGCTATCAACTCAGAGATATCCCCACCTATGCGGATCTAGTCCATGCTTAGCGACTTTGTGCAGCAACACACTTTGCGGAACCACATCCGCCCCCTCAAGGAAGGAAGCCGAACGGCGCGCACGCAACCTCGGCAAGCCCTGCCGCCTCTTCAAATCCGGAAGGCCACCGAATGGTGGGAGGAATATGCTCCATTTAAAGAAAGAAAGGTAACTCGAATGCTATTACAGAGACTCGTTCCGCACCTTTCTTTGTAAATACCTTTATAAAAACTAGTTATTGCGATTGATTATACCGCAGGGGACGCAAGCAATAATTCCTCAATCCCATATTTTACCAATAAACTTTCAAGCATGGCTCCCCTTTCGCTCAGCCCCCAGACCAACCTCGAACTCAAGAAACTCATAGACGATGCCTGCTCGAACCCAAATGTCGACCTGCCGTATGCCGCCGTAGTCGTGGTCGGGCGCGACGACAACGGCATAAGGGAGCTCTTCGCCTACTCGTCCAGTGGCCTCTTCACACACGAGGTACCATAATAACAGCGGCAGATCAGGGAGACGACGACATACTGTGGCTAGCCTCCTGTACCAAGCTCGTCACCAGCATTGCTTGCATGCAGCTCGTCGAGGAGGGAAGCCTCGCCCTCGATGACGTCCATCAGGTGGAGACGCTCTGTCCCGAGCTAAGAGACGTCAAGGTCGTGCAGGAAGACGGGTCGCTGGTGGACAAGAAGAGAGGCATCACCCTAAGAATGCTGCTGACCCATACAGGTGAGTAGAATTAGCGTAACTAGTAACTAGTTACTCGCTCTAGAGGACTCGGTGTGCCAATGTCGCCTCGTCTATAGTGGGCGATCAACCTGGTCGAGATGCATGTGTGCATAGTCCAAAACGTCGAAAGCTGACCTCGCGTTGTAGCCGGGTTTGGATATTCGTTTCTTAACCCCAAATTGGAAAAGTACAATGCGAGCTATGATGAGTTCTCTGGCAGCTTTTCTGACTTCCTACAACCGCTTGTTAACCAACCAGGAGAACGGTTTGAGTACGGTGTACGCCCCCTCGTTCCCCCTTATCTTCTCTATTTTCCCAGGTATTGTAGCAAAAAGCTGACCATTGTTCTTTCTCTCGCATCCTAGATCTCCCTAGACTGGGCCGGTATCCTCGTTGAGCGCGCCAGCGGCCTGAAGCTCAACGACTTCATGCAGCGCAACATCTTCCTGCCCCTCCAGATCCGCAACCTCACCATGGTCCCATCGGCACAGATGAAGGACCGGCTTGCACATCTATGGCAGCGCAGCGCGGACGGCCGACTGTCGCGCGGCGTGATCCCTCTTAGCAGAGCACTATCTACAGACCCTGCCGAGGTCGCCGACACATTCCACAGCGGAGGTGCAGGGCTGTTCGGAAGTATCCAAGAATATAGCAGTCAGTTCACCCATCGCCTAATCCATCCCCGACCTAGGTCTCCCTTGTTTTATTTTTTTCAGCTGTATTCATTTCCTTCATGGAGACGCTCTAACTCACAACCGTGGCGCGTACGTAGAGATCCTAGCCACCCTTCTCAACGACGGCACCTGCCCCCTGACGGGCGCACGCATCCTCTCCCCAACCGCCGTCGCCAAGCTCTTCACCAACCAGCTGCCGGACGCGCCCAACTTCGCCCGCCGGCACCTCCCCGCCGTCAAGCCCAGCCTAGTCCACCCATCCGAGAGCCTCTACCCGCTGTGCCCGCCCGCGCTGCCGCAGGGCTGGGGTTTCGGCTCCATGATCTCGCCGGGCGTGACAGGGCGGTCCGACACCACGGCACACTGGTCTGGTCTGTCTAACGTGTTCTGGTGGCTGGATCGGGGGAAGGGTGTGGCCGGCGTGGTTGCGTCGCAGGTCTTGCCGTTTGTGGATCCCCAGGCGGCGATGCTGTGGGTTGGAGTGGAGAGGTTGGTGTACCGAGGTATAGCACACAAAGAAAGGGAGGCCTGAGGGAATCCTTGTTGCTTTTGCGCTTGACACACACCTAACTCTCCAGCGCCAGTTATCCAATGATACATATATCCGTACACAGTTAACACAGAGTTTGATCCCAGGTCTTCAGGTCGTCCATTAGTTACGACATGCCGCCGTTCCCCTGGTCTTCTAGGAATGGTACGAAAGAGAGCCAAGTCAAATCGGATGGATTACACATCAACGTCTGGTTGAAGCGGCCATCATCATGGAAGAAGTCGGGAGAGAAGAAGTCGTCATTTTGCCACGGGAATTCGGTTCTCGTTGTCTGCTGCTGCTGCTGTTGCTGTTGCTGCTGCTGCTGCTGTTGTTGTTGTTGTTGTTGTTGTTGTTGTTGTTGTTGTTGTTGTTGTTGTTGTTGTTGTTGTTGTTGTTGTTGTTGTTGTTGTTGTTGTTGTTGTGGTGGTACTGCTCGAATGTCCTCGGTAATCACCACGTCCTCTCCGTCCTCCCCTAGCTGTATATGATCTCCTCCGAAGCTTATATGAGCGGCGATGGTATAATTGTCTGAGTTGGAATTAGTTAGTTGCCTATTATGGTATATTTTAGACATGACAGTGTACTCTGTGGATGATGATGCTGGGGTGGGTGAGGTAGATGGAATAAAGGGAAGGACGGTGGTAATATATTATCTTGTGTGAGTGGATAGGTTTACCTCCTCGATCAGTGAAAACTTCCTGCTTCACCAGTTCTAGGATTTTGCTGCACTTCTTGGCTGAGCGGCTCTGTGATTCGTAGCCACTGAGGAAGGCGAGACAGCGGTCAAACGCAGCAACTAGGGATGCTTCGTCCATGATGTTGGTCTGTTTCGGTGAGCAGAGATAGCCGAGGAGAAACACCATGGCCGAGCTGTGGATGTCTTTTTGAATCAAGTCAGCTCACCAAAGTTCACGGGAGTAATTGGTGATACCACGGCAATAGAGACTGCTCCATCCATGCAGCAGAGGGCAGCTTACAAAATACATTGTACCACGGTGCGGGAGAAAGACCTGAAGGTGCGTTCTCAGTTATGAGGTCGACTAGTTGCTGCGCTACCGATAGGCACAACTTCGCCGCCTTGAGGAGCATCCCCTGACGCATATTAGACTCGATCGAGCCTTGGTCGGTTGCGGCACCGCTGCCACTAGACCGGCGGGTTATATCACAGAGCACCGACAATACTGGCCGGAGCATGGTGAGTCGCACATGTAGGTATCTTGACAGGGAGGGGAAAGGTTAGTTATTCAAATTCAACAGAAAGAAAGAAAGAAAGAAAGAAAAAGAAAGCTACCTAAGGGGATGAAAAAAGAACCAAATATTGACATCAAATGACTTAACAACCTACCTTACTTCTAACACCACGGCCTGTCTGTGGAATAGCAACGCCCGAGCCGGATCAACCGGACCAGACGGCAATACTCCCCCGTTTCGATACGTCTGGACCTTCAGGTGCGGCGGCAGCTTCTCGTGCCACGCTGTGAGCAGACCATCGACGTCGAGGAGCATCTGGAAATCGCAATTCTTCATGCCGTCCGCGGTCCCCATAACCGAGGAGGTCATGTAGTTGAGCCCGAAATCCAACACGGCGGTGTCTCGGTCTCTGTGATCCGGCTCGGCGTAGTAGAATGAGACCAGCACCTGGCCGAGGATGTCTTGCAGCTTAATGGCCTGCACAAAGCAATCCATGGTGCTCGGCACGCCTTCGGGCTGAAACCCCGGAGGATCTGGGAGGCCGGTAAGGTACTGGTCTTCGGTGGCAGAAGGGAGAATAAGCCGTTTCTGCGTCGTGGTAGGGTGGATCATCAACGGGCGCCCGTAGGTTAGCGATAGGACGCTGTTGTCATAATTAGATTAGCTAGGACTTGTCCAAAGAATACGGACATGAATGTCGTTGTCGCGCTCCAAGTGCCTGCAGTGCGATGAATACCAAGGCGAGCGGGGGGCTTACCGGTCGAGAAGAACACAACCGGCCCAGGTCCTTCGGCGCATCTCTGTGTCCACCTGGCCATATTTCCGTCTCGGATCGCTCCCCTGCTCGCTCCCGCTTGGCTCATGATGTAGGCCGATGCACTGCGCGACCCGTATTGCCATGCCCACAATGTTCCAGCACGAGCTGGACATGTCAGTGCTTTGGAGATACTGGCCCATGAGAAGGAGGGTCTGCACTAGGGGTATACTACCCTGGGCCAGAAGGTCCAGGTCGAGCAACTTCTTAGCCCGCGTGAAAAACAAGCCACTGATGCCGTCGCGGTCCCGCTCGTCGATGTCCGGGTTGAAGAGGGCGCCTAGGGCAAACACGACGTTCAGCAGGCGGTGGAAGGAATGGTCGCCGAGGCCATCGTAATAGTTCACTGCCGCCAACGGTTGTGGCAGCGAGTCTGCGTCTTGCGTGTGCGCGTGTGTGTCGGCCGTCTGGGGGTTCCAGATGGCAAGATAGCGATGGATGAAGGACGGCCGGTGCAAGAAGGGATACAGCGAGTGGAAGAAGGCCCAGTAACTCTCCACCAGACTGTCTGCCTCTGCTCGCGGCGGGACGCTCCAGCCAAACATGACGTTACCGCTCTGGGGCTCCGGGACTCGCACGGGCGATGCTTGCGATATGCTACTCTCTACCGAGACGGCTTGGTCCTGGCAGACTGGACAGGTCTCCGACCCCAGCGGTCCGTGTCCGCCGCACCGCCGGCCTAGAACATTGCGCGCCTTGCCCAGAAGACTCATCGTGCTCGACGGGCCGAAGTAGTCCGACTGCCGCCGCCTTCGAGCGCCGCTTATCGCATTAATGGAGCCGAAGACTCCCATGCCGTCCACGCTAGTCTCGCCGCTATCCGAGCCCAGAGTATCCAGACTGTTATTTCTGTTGTCCTCAGCAGCCACTTCGGGGATAGCAGTAGGCTGTGGGAGAAGAGGCGGGGGAGAAACAAGATCAAGACGATGAGACTCTGCCATATGCGTAGGGGATGCAGCACTGCGGGAGTATTCTCGGTCTGTGCCGCGTGAAGACGCAGACGCGGCATCAACGTGGATGGTACTGTTGTTGGCTGGCGCCTGCGCCTCCTCCAACTCTCTAATGCGAGATTGCAACCCTTGAACGTAACTATCAGAGACATTGTCAGATTAATGTCCCACTGTTTAGCATGGCATCTGCTCCTCAGCCGGGGTTCTGCATTCTATTCCACTCTTTTCTAACGACCGAAGTGAAGCAGCGAAGGCCGGCACATTCGGACGGGATCACCTCTAGATTCGGTTTCGGGACAACCCACTCACTCCACTCACCTATTACTCCAAGCCCTGTTGGGCCGGTCATCGTTCCAGACACAGCGCTGTGACGACCGCCTCGCGCAGGATCCACAGATGGGCTTCTTGCCGTCGCACTTGCGCTTCCGCTCGCGGCACTCATCGCAGGCTAGAGCGGTACGCTGACGTTTCCTTGTAGTGGCATCGGGCTCGGGCGACGCGGCTGCCGAATTTGGCGGCCTAGATGGCATCGGCAACGGGAGGAGTGGCTTGTATTGATTAACAACCAACGATGAAAGGTAGGGAATTATAGATAACTACGCAGAGAAAGCGAGAAATTTTACGCAGACAACGGCTCAGACTCAGTAACCTAGGTCTGTAGGGGGTGGCTTGGGAGTCTGCCAGCGTCTTGGTCTTATCCTCTGCAGTCTCAACCAACAAGCATCAGATAGGCAAGCATCTTGGCTAAGTAGGTAGCTAGGGGTGAATGAGACGAGGCAGGATTGTGTTGGCGGAGAAAAGGAGTGCGGGCGGACCTACGGCCGTGGGGTTGGGGTTGGTGTGGGGCTCTCCCCCGCTTCTCGGCAGTGGGTAGGCAGTGGGTAGTGGGTCTCAGTTGGGGTAGCGCGGTTCAGCCTGGCCAGCGTCCAGCATTCCGAGTCTGTCAGAACCGTCTTTGTCGTGCTCTAACTACGCCCTAATTACTTAGTCTTATAGTGAAACAAGCAAGTATGCAGAAATCGGAAATCGCTGAACATTGATGAGGCCGTCTCGGGCGAAATGGAGCAAAGGCTAGTAAAATTGAGGAAGTAGGTATGTCGTTGGGACTACTTCACGCGAGCTTCTTATAAATACACGTGCCAACCTCCGGCGAGATATATCTTAGGCTGGCATTCATAGGCTGGCATTCCTGTCCTGCCCTCACACTCTCAGCTGCGAGTGGAGTCCCCCGTCGACTGACATGTTAAGCCCAGTTATGCCATTGGACAAGTCGCTCGCCAGGAAGACTGCGGCATCCGCAATTTCTTGCGGCTCTCCAAGTCGTCTCATGGGGTGGCACTCGGCAACGTGCTTCTCTATTCCACTATCGTCCGTCATAGTTGAAATCATTGGAGTCCGAGTAACTATTCGAGTCAGGCTTGAGTCGCAGATCACGGGAAAGGCGAAGGGAAGAGGGGCAGGAGGTTGCTTAACGCACATCCCGGGAGGATCGAGTTGCAATGGATCCCGTGCGGCGCGTAGTCCATCGCCACTGTCCTGGTCATGGCGATGACCGCCCCCTTGGCCGTCGCGTACGCCACCGTCCCCGGCTTACCCAACACCCCCAGCACGGAAGCCAGGTTGATGATGGTGCCGTTCCTCTGCCGCTCCGCAATCCGGGGTTGTCCGAGCATCTGTTCGCCCGCGTACTTGCAGCCCAGGAACACGCCGCGCACGTTCACCCCCCAGGTCGAGTCAAAGACTTGCTCTGTCGTTTCCCACACGGGATGCGCGTCAGACGCCTCGGGGGCGATGCCGGCATTGTTGACCATGCTGCGATGGGAGTTGGGATTAGAAAGCGAAGCCCGGCAATGCCGGGCTACGGGGCAGACTCACATGTCCACACGTCCAAATTCCTCCGCCGCGGCTCGAACTAGGCGCCGGACACTCTGCGCGTCCGACACATCCGTGTGGGCAAAGATGCTCCTACCCCCTTCCATTCGGATGAGTTCATCCGTGGGCTGCATCGCTGAGCTCGGGGGGGACGGCGTCCGGTCAGCGCAGACCACGGTCGCTCCCTGCCTCGTAAATGCTAATGCGGTCGCCCGTCCCAGGCCCGACGAAGCACCTGTGATGATCGAGATGCGGCCCGAAAGGAGCCCCCCAACAGTGGTTGCGGCGGACTTGGTGGTCATGTTGGTTGGTCGATTAGATAACTGTGGGCGAGCGGGTGGGACTAGCTAATAAACTCCACGTCAATGTCTGTTAGACTGAAGTAATCAGTTTGGTTTAAGAGGTAAGATGGATTCATAACGAATGGGCAGCGGGGTAAGCTTTGCGAATGCTCACTTCAGATGTAGACTTGGCTATCCGTCGACACTGCAATGAGGTACCTCAAACGAGGGTTACGTAACTCGCCAAAGTGTTGGCGGGCGTGTTTCCGCAAAGCAGGCGGCAGCGTTGCCGGGGTCCACTTTCTACCTTCGAACCTTCGCCCGAGAAGACGCCTTTCGACCTAGGAACAGTGCTGGGGAGGATCATCTGATTAAAAGGTCGTTAGATATCCAGCCGATCGACAAATCTCAGTCAAGATACATGCACATTGTCGAACCTTTGTCTTGAACTCCCCCATTCTGTTGTACAAGTGCATAGCGTCACTTCGGAGTCGATCGAGATGGTGGAACTGAAGAACATATCAACAAAGGCCTATGTTGTCGAGAGCAAAGGCTCCCCATTTGTCTTGAGGGATGTGATTTTGGACGGGGTCCAGCCCAACGAGGTCCTTGTAGAGATGAAATACACGGGACTATGCCACACTGTAAGTTTAATTATTACATGGCCCGCCATAGTTCGCTTTCATAGCTACCAGGTGCTGCCTGGCCAACTAATACATCATAATTAACACCCTCCCGTAGGATATCGTGGTCCAACAAGGTGGCATGCCCATCGGCAGCTATCCCGCCGTTCTCGGGCACGAAGGCGTCGGGATCGTCCGTTACCTCGGGTCTAGCGTTGTGGACCAGTCTCTGTCGCCGGGCGACATCGTCTTGCTTTCCTTCCACTCCTGCCGGCGGTGCAGGGCCTGCACCGCCGGCCGGTGCGGCAGCTGCCCTCACATGACCGAGACCAACTTCATCAAGACGGCACGCGAGGGCGGCCGGTCACCCATATCCCTTCCCGACGGGACGCCTGTCCACGGCCAGTTCTTCGGGCAATCGTCGCTCAGTAAGCTGGCCGTCGTGGCCGAGACTTCGGTCGTCAGGGTTCAATCCGCGGTGCAGCCGGCCGATCTGCCCTTCCTGGCGCCGCTGGGGTGCGGATACCTCACGGGCGCGGGGACGGTGTTCAACGTGCTGAAACCAGAGCGGCATGACAAGGTGGTGGTCTTGGGGATGGGCGCGGTGGGCCTGGCCGCCCTGATGGCAGCTAGAGCGCTGGGAGCCGAGACCGTTGTCGGTGTGGACATGGTCGATTCGAAGCTTGAGCTAGCGTCTACCTTGGGAGCTACCCACACCCTCAACACGAAGACGGTGGCCGATCTGAACGCGGGTATTCGAAGGCTTTGCGCGGGTGGTGCAGACTTTATCATCGATGCGACCGGGGTACCAACCCTCCACGGACCAGCGGTGAAGGCGCTGGCGCACGAGGGGACGCTGGCGTTTGTTGGTGTACCGCCCCCGACGGCACGCCTCGAGATTGACACGTTGGACCTTTTACTCTCGTGTAAGCGCCTCATTGGGGTTATTGAAGGGCAGGCGGATCCTCATGAAGTGGGTTAAAAATTCCATACCATCGGCCCTGTTTTCCTGCGGAGCAGTTAACTACGGTTGGTGTCGACTAATTGCTGGTTACTTACTTACATGACGCGCGCTGTAGCTCATCCCCCGGCTCGTTGAGTTGTATCTCGGGGGAAATTTTCCCATTGATCGAGTGTCAAAGTGTTACCCGGCCGAGTCATTATCTCAGGCCTTGGAGGATATGAAGTCTGGAACTGTAAGTATCTATTTTGACTTGATTACTTCCAGTCGTCTTGGGTACATAAATTAACAAATTTGATTCCTAGGTTGTGAAACCGGTCTTGTCATGGAATAGCATCAATTAAGAATCACCGCTACCTCTGTGCACAAGGCCCCCAGAATTACAAACAGCATTCCACAAGCTAACTAGCATATCTACCCTACTCAATCAATATACATCCCTTGTTTACCTCCTTCTCCTTTGTACTGTTTTGTATACCTGTGTAACAACGAAGGCCCAATTCTGCCAAGAAGCTGAAAAGTGGACCCCGGGAATGCTCCCGCCTGCTTCGCGGAAGCACACCCGCCAGCAATTTGTAGGCGGGTATCAACGGAGTGCGGACCTTATCCGCACCCTTGGGTACTTTAGTACATACATGTACAGTACATGTACATTGGACATGGGCGCGACACGAAGTATTGTGCGCCCGGGACACTCCTGGATATAGCACTTGAGTAGAATGGAATACTGAATTACAGCAATGAACGTAAGAATAAAAAAATACAAAAAAATAACAAAAATACAAAAAAAAAAATTAAACGTTTTTGTCACTGTGTTGATGCGAGGGCAAGGGAGTTTCAGGAGCAGGATAGCATTACGCCTGTTGGGCTGCCGACGTTCAACTTCATTGGTAACTAATTATCTTGCCACCAGTCAAAAGTAAATACCCAGTGGACATAGCTACACAGTTTGCTTCAAACTAATTCCTGGAAAATCGAACCCATTTCAATCCTTGAGTCTAGGGATCAACTCGAGCGCATTCTCCCTGTTGATCTTGTCATGCATCTTTGAGTCCTGGAACTTGTAGCTATCCTGCCGGCTGGTGTGGAAGTCGATGATGCTGTTGTTCGCGTAGGGCGTGTCACTGCCATACAAGAGATGGCCCGGCTTGGCAAACGTCTCCAAAACCTTGAACACGTTCTCCGTGCCCGCCACCGCCGTGTCGTAGTAGAAGTTTCGGGCGTCGTCCCAGAAGGCATCGAGCTCCTCCTGGCCCTTGGGTAAGATGCTGGCCGGGCGGCCGATCAGGTAGGGAAGGGTGCCGCCCCCGTGAGAGAGGATGATCTTGCAGTTGGGGTTGTTGCGCCCCGTCTTGTTGTGCAGCATGTCCAGTGCCGTCGTCGTCGTCTCGAACGGGTACCGGATCACCGGCTGCGGCATCCCGCTCACCTGGCTGATGTCTACCGGGTGCGTTGGATGCACGAACACCACGGCATGTCGCCGGTTCAGCTCCGCCCAGATACCTTTAAAGTCCGGGTGGCCCAGGTAGTGGTTGTCCTCGCCGTAGCGGGTGAAGAGAGTGACGCCGTCAGCCTTGAGTATGTCCAGGGAGTAGGCTATCTCGTCCAAGGCAAGATCCTCGTCTAGGATGTTGGGGAGGGCGGCGAAGAAGCCGTATTTTTTGGGGTTGGAGTCCCGGAGCTTGGCAGCATACTCATTGGTCTTGCGGGCCAGGGCTGCGCTGGCATCACGATCCTTGAGGATGCAAGCCCCCGGAGCGGTGAGAGATAAGATGGTCGTTGTGATGCCGAACTTTTTGTTGACGGCCTCATCGAGCTCGGGGGTCCAGTCGGGAATGAACCAACCCGAGGGATCTCCCCCAGACGTGATAACAGCTAGCCACGAGTGCTGTTAGCCAAGTGTATACGTATGGAGAGATACTGTCGTGTAATACACGCATTCGTTAACCACTTACCTTCTCTATAGAAATCCGGGACGAAGTGGTGGTGAATGTCGATTCTGTTGGGCGCCATGTTTGCTAAGAGGGTTTGCTAATATATTTTTTAATTGGAGAAGAAATAATCTCAAGGAAGTGATCTGTAAGGTTAATATCTCGTTGAATGACAGAGAGCCAGCAGCTCCGTATTTGTATTCGTCCGTGGTGGTTACTGGCGCGTAGGGCGGGGGGCTGTCAAAGCAGGCTCTAGATGTCTGTAAAGGGCGCGCAGGATTTAACTGCCCCGCGCTAACGCACAAGCCACTTCACTGCGGGCTACTATTTACAACCAATAGAATCCATCCTTGGACCCCACCGGGGCCCACGCATCAGTTACTCTCCCCGGTTCCCAACCGCCTCCTGGAGCGCCTCTATCCATTGACGCTATCGATCCGGATCACTCTCCATCTTCTCCAGGGCGTCTCCCGCATGTTAACGCGGGGAAACCTTCCAGGGCAGCTGCCCGGATACCAGTTGATGACTAGTCATTTCCTTCGTCGGCGTGTCATAGGACTGTGAGTGCGGAACGTATCCCCGGGTACCTACCCGCCCTCTCCATTCACCCGAAGGTCACGATGGGCTCTCCAGGATTTTCTGGCTTGCGGCGCAGATCGGATACCGGGGCGCAACTGCATTTCTTACGTTGACGAGACAAATGCACGCCCTAGCCCCTTTTCTCTACGGCGCTGCCTCGGAGTGACGGGTTTTCCTTCTCCTGTCTTCAAATTTATTAGAGGAAGGACATCCATCCATCCCATCTTCCCAGGGCCCATTTTTCTTCTGCTCGCTGCTCTCGGTGTTCCTCCGAGGATTCTACATTAACAAGTAAAGCCTTGCTCACGATGAGAGCCAACTGTGATCACGTCGACCAGTACGATGTTGTCATCATAGGCGCCGGCATCTCGGGAATCAACACGGCTCATCATATACAGTCCAAACTCCCGTCCCTTAGTTACACCATTCTCGAAGGGCGGGCTGATATCGGCGGCACTTGGGATCTGTTCCGCTATCCCGGTATCCGCTCTGACACCGATCTCTTCACTTTTGGCTTCGGGTGGAATCCCTGGACCGAAAACCGGGCCATCGCAGACGGGCAGTCCATCATCCGCTACCTGCAGTCGGCCGCCGAGAAAGAAGGTATCGACGAACACATTCGCTTCCAGCATCGCGTCGTCTCCGCAGACTGGGTAACCGATAGTCAATCTTGGACCTTGGCAGTCGAAACGCCTGGTGGCCAAAAAAAGAAGATTGAGACACAATTCATCATCCTCGGCACGGGATACTACGACTACCAGGAGCCACTGCGGCCGGACATCCCCGACTTGGAGAACTTCCAAGGGAAGGTCATTCACCCGCAGTTCTGGCCCGAAGACCTCGACTATGCTGGCAAAAGGATTGTCGTCATCGGCAGTGGCGCCACAGCCATCACCCTGCTCCCCAACCTGGCAAAAGATGCGGGACATGTGACCATGCTGCAGCGCAGTCCCACATACATCATGTCAATCGATAACTCGGCCGGTAGCTCCATGATCCACAAGACGATCCCGCGGTCATGGTCCTTCAAGCTCAGCAGATGGCTGTTCATGTGGACCACAGCCCTCATATTCTATCTCTGCAGGGCTTTTCCCAATAAGGCCCGGTCGATCCTGCAGGGCAAGGTGGCCAAGCAGCTCCCCGACCACATCCCCCTTGATCCCCATTTCCAACCCAAATACCGCCCTTGGGACCAGCGTCTCTGCTTCTCGCCGAATGGAGACTTCTTCGAAGCCATGCGAGAAGGTCGGGCCAGTGTCGAAACGGGGAGGATCAAAACCATGACGGGGGACACCATTATTCTCGAGTCCGGAGAGCAGATCGTTGCGGACATCATTATCACCGCCACGGGCTTGAGGCTGGGCCTCGGCGGCCGCATCAGGATCAGCACCGACGGTAAACCCATCAACATTGCTGACCGGCTCGCGTGGAGGGCGGCGCTCCTGCAGGACGTGCCCAACATGGCAGTCATGATAGGCTATGTCAACGCCTCGTGGACGCTGGGCGCCGAGACAACAGCGCAGCTCGTCTGCCGGCTGTTGAGACACATGCAGAGCAAGGGATACACCAGCGCTATCCCCAGAGTCCCGGACGAGTCCAACATCCAGCCGCGCTTGATGTGGAATCTAGATGCCACATACGTTAAGCAGGCGGCGGGCCACATGCCCAAGGTCGGCAACGCCGGGCCGTGGACAGGACGGACCAACTACTTTTGGGACCTCTTCCGGGTTCGCTATGGGAGGATCACCGCTGATATGGAGTTCTCCAAAGGGCCTGGGGGCCCAAAGATGGGCGAAAGGTGGTGGAGGAAGGCTTCGTAGGGAAGGCGATCTAGGACTAGTATCTAAATTAATTATAGGTCTCACTCTGTTATTCGTAACTAGTATCATAGATTCTGTATTGATGCGTGAACCTTTGCTGTCTCCCGGAGCTGACTCGTCGCCATGGAACACCAGGTCTGTTTTTTTAGTGAGCTCCTATATTTACTACTACCACGGAACGATATGCGGTTTTAAGAGAGCGAATATAAATGGAATTATGCGATTGGCATAATTTTATGCCCATTGAGTCACGGCCGAGCCTCTCCCCGACCGACTTTGACTCTCGCCGTTGCTATCGTGCTGGTAGTCCGCTTCCCAACCATCGCCTTGAACAAGTTCTCATCCTTTGGCACATGGTTAATCACTAGATACAGGGTCTTTCCGTCCTCGCCCCCAAGCGTACAAGCAGTTGCGTGCCCATCCACCTTGATGCGATGGGTCACGTCGCCCTGCGGGCTCAGGCGGATGAACTCCTCGTACGCCAGCATACTCAACCACATGCCGCCTTCGGCGTCCATGCATCCACCGTCGATGCCGATCATGTTTCCGGCCATTTCCTCCTCCTTTACGCCGGGGAGTACTGCAGGCGACCAATAACCTTTCCGGTTGGTTAGCTTGCCATCCGCCTCCCCCACGTCGTACCTGAGAAGCCCGTATCGAAACGTCTCGGCCACATAGAGGCTCTTGCCGTCGCCGCTGATGAAGAGGGCGTTAGGGAAGACAATATCCTCCGCAGCCACCTTGACGGTCCCGTCCGTCTCGATTACGAGCAGCCTGCCGGGTGAGGGGCTCTCCCCGTGGAGCACCCGCGCTCCTGTGTCGTCCAGGTACACCCTGCCAGTCTTGTCGATGACCATGTCGCCACAGTAGCCGGTCATGAACTGAGACATGTCGGCGTAGAGGGTCGACGTCCCGTCTTTAAGCCGATAGAGCTTGGCATCGAACATGGACGAGTATATGAGCGACTCATCCGGGTGGAAGTCCATGCCGTTGGGCTGGTTCTCTACCTCGAGAAGAACCTCCTTCTTGCCCGAGGAGACGTCGATGGTGTAGACTTTGCGGCCTGTCATGTCACTGACGTAAAGGAGGCCATCGCGATACCGAGGCGATTCGCCAAAGTAGAGACCATTGGCGAGTTCCTTGTCGATGGGGATGATAGACATGGTGAACGGGAGCGGGATGTTGAGACAAGTTCTGGATGCACGGCGACGACGATTAACATTCCGTGGCCCAGCAACGGGGATAGCCATTGGATATTTATAATGCCAGTAGTCAAGTTCTACCTCTAAATAACTAGTTGATGTCGTCTACGGCTAGGGCACGCTAATAAATTCCTGCGCCATGGTTCGGGAACCACGGATCTCGAGGGCCCGGATACCAACCCGCAGCAAGTAATTACCTAATTATGTGGAGTCAACAGCAAAAATACAGGCTTACTTGGTCGCCGGAATGGTTTCCGTCTGCGCAAGTTGCCAACTATCACCGGGCAGCGCAGAGACATGGCAAGCAATCGTGAGATGCTAGAAAGGATGGGGAGGTTACACCCGAGATGTTTCCCCGGCCCAGTGGATCACCAAACCTAGTCTATCCTCCCCCGCGTCGCCAGTCCTGCCCCTGCCCTGCACTGCACCATCCATCTAGTGGTCTCCATGCGGAGCGGCTGGGTCTAGCAGTGTGTCCAACAGAGACTTTGGCCCGCAGCAGGACGAATACTTAACAGCAAAAAGCCGTCGTTACTCAACCCAAAGCCACAGGACGCAGGCCAAGATATCTACACCTTGTGGTCCGCTGTGTTGGAGGTAATCGGAGAGGAGTGGCTGCTGCACTGGCACGGCAACGGTAACTTATCCTCACCCTTTACATGTCTAAGTTACGCACATATCGAGAGGGACTTGGGGACAGGTGTTGGTGTGCTCGAGTCCTTCTAGGCGATTTACATAATATGTGTAGTCGGCCAAAGAGAGCCGAGACCTATTAGAGAGAACATAAAAATAGAGAGGTCTAATGAACAGATCCGCTAGACCATTTCGACCGGGCCCTGATACGTTTCCCGTAGATGTAGAAAATGTATGGTACGGGGATCAGCAAAGCCGCAAAGCCACCCGTGATGCTCAACCCAGGGCCGACGCCGATGTTGTGGAACATGGGCGTCACGGTGAGCGGGAAAGCCGCAGCGAACATGGACCGCAGGAAAGTGTTGGCCGCGATGGCTGACGCGGCGTACTGGGTGAAGGTATCGACGAGGTAATTCAGCGCCGCCTGGAAGATGGTGAAGAACCCTGTGCCCTGCAGCACGAGGCCTATGCACGGCACGACCCAGTGGATATTTTCCCCGGAGGTCCAGCCTGTCATGAACTGCCCGCCGCTGAAGAGCACGGAGCCTACCATCATGGGCGGCAGCCGCTTCTCGGGCACGGCGCGGTCGCCGGCGAGATGGTAGGCCTTGTTGTACAGCGTCTGGTTGTATACGTTGATCAGGGCGCCTAGCGTGGCGCCGATGATGATGCACAGGAAGGGCAGCTCGGCGACGAGGGTACCCCAGTGCCGCACCTCGCCGAAGATGATGGGGATAGCGCCCAGCTGCATGTACAGGATGCCGTAGCAGAAGCTGGCGTACAGCGCTACCAGGAAGCAGATGGGTGTGCAGAGGAGCTGGACGGGTCGGATGATGAACTTTTTGGTCAGCTCGACGATGCTGACGTCCCATTCCTCGAACTTGGTGTGGAGCCCCCAGTTGCCGGTCTCGTGGCGCAGTTTGCGGGCCTTGTAGATGAGGAGCTTGGGGGGGTAGCTCTCGTCAGTGACGATGACGGCGACGACGAGTATGAAGGCTTGGATTATGCCGGTTAGGTACTCGGTCCAGCGCCAACCGAGAGAGGGGTCTTGGACGAGCGCGGCTGAGACGATGGGGCCTATGGACAACAGAAGCAAAATTGACTGTGTGAGTGAAACCGCGCGGGACCGCCAAGAAGCCGCAGCTTGGCTAGGGAATGGACATACCTATAGCCGGCCCGGCGACAACAGCCATCGCATATCCAGCCATGGCTATGCCCCTCCAAGCGGGTGTGTACAAGTCGCCCAGCACGCCGCCCGTGTTGGTGACGGGCGCCGAGGCAAAGAAGGCGCCAAAGAAGCGTGTGATCATGAGCGTCTGGAAGTCCTTGGCCGTGGCGCTCCCAAAACTGAAACAGATAGCCACAAACATGGGCACCAGCACAGCTGACCGACGGCCATACACCTCACTAAGCGGCGCCCACAGCAAAGGGCCCGTCCCGAACCCAAGCAGGAAGAGCGTCGTGCCCAATGTGGCCACCTGGGTCCCCACGTGAAACTCGGAAGCGACTTGCGCGGTGCCCGCCGAGTACGAGGAGGAGGCCCACGTCGCGGACATGGTAACGAAGCCGTAGGCCATGGTCGTCGCGATCTTCTTGCGCGTCGGCCAGTTGACCGGGCGGTACGGGTCGTCGGCGCCGTCGAAGTCGACGAGCAGTTCGGGACCTGTGCGCTGGTGGGCCAGCGGGTGGGTGAATTCGGGGACGGCGCGCGAGCGGATGCGCGAAATGATGGACTCGCGGCGGGAGATTGTGCCGGCGATGCCGGTGGATCGGCCGGCGGCGCCGAGGGCAGCTCCATCCGTGGCTGTCGCAACGGAGGGGCGACGATGGATGCTGGAGCCTGTGCCTCGGGAGGAGGTTATGCGACGAATCTCGGCCAAGCTTAGGCGATGGCCGTCATAGTCCTCGTCGGAGGATTTCTCCATGTCCTCCATGGCGTCGCCATTTGACACGCCGTCGCTGTTTGACGGCCTACCCTGGGTGCCGGCTTCGTCGGCATGCGCTCCCGCAGCCACAGGCCGGGTGGCGCCATCACCAGGTACAAGTACGGGCGACATTCAGATTTATTTCCCCCTCTTTACGTATGTCTTTTGAGACAAGATCGCCCTAGCCGGTAATTATACAGAGCATAGTAGGTAACCTTGTCGCGACTCTGTGGTGGGACGGCGCCAAGACTTTTTTTTTGGCCACTATCGTAAGCCTCGAACATCGAGGGAAGAACCAAGAGGGAAAAAAGGGAAATGAATCAGGGCTTAAGGCAATGGCACTTGGATTGGTAGTGCGAAATCTAAAGGGACTGTTTTCTTCAGTCTCGCCCCGAACTCGGCTCGGATATAGCAGAGGAGATGGGCCAAGGTGACGTCATAGGCTATGCCTACGAAGGGTTGGCGCTAAGCTAGCAAATGGCAACACAAATACTAGCGGCTTACTTCTAGGGAATTTCTCTGTAGCCATGCGAACCTGTCATATGAGGGGCGCAACAAGTGTGGTGAAGCCACTCAGTCCCAAACTCAAGAAAAACAGGGGCGAGACTGATCACAACAATAATTGTTGCAATGACAAATAGGAGGCACTTGTGTCCCACGAAACGAGGGCAGCGGCCCCGTCCGAAAGTTCAGTATGCTCCGGCGCCGGCTATTCCGAGTAAGCAGCAGCTCCAAGGAAAGCCGACCGTTGACTCCGACGGTCAGCAGGTCATCGCAGTCGGAGCCTCGGACGTGTCCGTAGAACTGGGTCATAGGCCCAACCTCGTCTCTCTGGGGAGCGCATGCACACGGACCTCAACTTTGAGGCGACCCTCTTCAACCGGACGTTTTCCATCCATCAGGCTTGGTTGGCCGGCTTGGGGAGTCGAAGGCCCCGGAGGGTGGGGAGATGAGACTCGTCGGGTCGCTGACCTTGATTGGTGGCCTCTTATCCGTCCCGTTGTCAAGGGTCACCTTCGGAAGCTGTTGGGTCGGTATCGGCAACATGACTCCAACATCAAAACTAACTCCAATGTTGCGGAGGAACTCCTGATCTCGAGCCGCGACATTCCCCCGCCCACGCCACCGAACCCCGATGTCCGCTTTGTGGCGTGCCGCAGGCAGGTCAAGGTTGATCTAGATCTCCTTTGCAGCTCACAAGGAGCATGTTAAAATGGGGAGGGGGAACGTGTTGCTGAGGATGAGGCACGAGGTATCTCTAACAAGAAGAGTGACAGGAGATGGACACTGTCGCGGATATGTCGTATTTCGCTTTGCCTCTGAATCGGATACTCGGAAGACGGAGAGCTGTACGCCATGAACGCTCTCGGGGCTAGAATGCATATTTTAAAGGAATGGATCCCCTCTTGATCGAAATTTGTTATTAGACATTGTTGGGGGTCAGATCATCGGTTAAAGACACATCATCGAATAAGTTGATCAACTCCGAGCGAGTGATAATAGATTGATTCCACTGTTCCCCAGACCTCCTACTGGCGACCATGGTGGAGCGTAGTATTGGGGGCCTTTGAGTAATTCCAGTGAACCATATTATATATATGACCGTGACCAATCACCGTTACTGGGCCGTAATTACTGAGATGTTGACTGGTTGGCTTTATCCGGATGCATTCGCTTGCCGGCTACCAAAGCGGCAGGATAGTGAAGGACCCAGGGTCGGGTTAAAGGATGCGAAGCCTTAGCCTGTGTTCATTCTAACGTATGCCTGCTATTAAAAGTCCTCAGTTATCCAGCAAAAGTCGGGAGCTTGAATTCGGGAGCCTGAAGAGGAGTATATTCAGCGAGATTTCTTGGCTCTCTAGATCTTTACAATGGGGTTTGTACGAGCTGCCATCTTCGCCTTCCTCGTTAGCTTGGTCCACGCTGCGGCTGTAAGCAAGCGGCAGGAAAAATACTGCAATCCCGGCACGAGTGTCTGCTACATCGAGTATTCAACGACGGCCTCGAACCCAATCTACCGCATCGCCGTCCAGGACAAACCCGCAGCCCCCTTCGACACGCTACTCCAGATCATCGCCCCAGCATCACTAGGCTGGGTTGGCTTCTCATGGGGCGGGGCCATGACCCTCAACCCGCTTACGGTTGCATGGCCCAACGGGAACTCGGTAGTGGTTTCCTCGCGGTGGGCGACGTGAGTCCAGACACAGCCCTTCCCTTGCTTGTCGTGCCGAGGTAGCTTACATTGCACCACCACAGCGACCGCGCGTTGCCTGCCACTTACAACGGCGCCACCTACAAGACTCTCAGCTCCTCGACAAACTCGACGCATTGGAGTATTGAGGTTGTCTGCACGGGCTGCAGCAAATGGGCGACCCGTAGTCTCAGTCCTACCAGTGTCAACTCCTTTGCTTGGGCGTGGAGTAAGACGGCTGTTGCGCAGCCCGCAAACCCTGCCAGCAGTTTCGCGATACACAACAACGTCGGAATGTTCTCCTCCGCCTTGACTGATTGCAAAGTGTCACAAAGCGTTTTTGACCAATATGTCAAGTCGTTCTAAGGCACATCGTGGGGATGGGGGGTGGTTCGGATAGACTAGACGAGTTATGTCAACTGTCAGAGGTAGTCACATCAGTAATATAGCTGTGCATGGCTCTCGACTGTGATGGTAGTGCCAGGGAAGTTCTTCGTCACCGCCAGGAGGTCGGAGCCTATGGCCTGTTTACCATGTTGTCTTCGGCGTTTTCCGGACAAGACGTCCACAGATATCATCAATTGCGTCAATGCACAGGGGTATGGTCCAGGTAGATTTGTTCACATTCCTGCTGCCGCTGGTGGAGCTAATAGTATACTAGGCAACGGAGGATGGCCGTAAAATCACATGCGCCAGGTCGCCAAACTCCACCTCACGAACCTGCTTGCCGTAGCGCCCCACTCTGGAACAACGTAGTATTGATGATTCTTAACCAGGGACTCCCAACGTTTGTTCGTGAAGCAGCGCTTATTTTCGCACCAGAGATCCTCGCCGAACCCCTCCGGTCCGGCGCTGCCGAGGGAGTCGGGCGCGAGAGACAACAGCCAATCGGAACTGATCGGGCTCCACAGAGCCTTACTGCCCTGAAAGCAGACGGAGACCTGGCTACCATGCCGCCTCCAATGGTAAAAGCTATTGCACGTTCGACAATGGAATGAATGGTTATCAAAGGGGGAGTAGAGGAATCGGCCAGACCTCTCCTCGGGGCGAGACTGTGCGCGGCAGACGCAGCAGATCGAGGGGAAGTGGTGGTCCGGGTGGGGTATCGGTATCGGTATCGGCATCGGGAAACATGCGCAGTTGTCGGGTCGGAAAGGCCGTAGCAGCTTGTCGCTGTCGCCGCCATGCGCGGGGTTTACGTGGGGGCAGAACCCGCAGCCGAAGAGCGGGCTGGCGGTTGCTTGTCTGTGGGCGGCTTCTAGCTCTCTCCTGGTGAAGGGGTGCCGGCGTGGGTTGGTGATGTCGAACAGGGGAACCGTCGACGAGACATGGAGGAAAACATGGTCCGTTGCGCCACCGCAGTAGCCCCGTTCGATGATGGCGGATGGGGGTGCCGGGCTGCTCCCGAGTGGCCGGTTGGACCGGTCTGTGCATTTAATAATACGTGAAGCAGCCTCTGGACTGCTACCTGGAAATCCCATTCCCACCTCCTCCACATCGTCCCAAGAGACAGTCTAGTGCGAGCAGATCCGAATATATCCTGTCCTGCCGTAACACAGGCGAGGCTTTTCCGTATGCTCTTGCCTCTGGTGCGCTGGGAAGAGGAATGCCCGGCGACCAGAGTTGCAGCCGGAGCAGTATAAGAAGGTTTGCAGCTGAGATAGCCGCTCCTTCAGCAGTCCTTGTCTCTGGCGCTCAAGGCAGCGCTTGCAGAAGAACTCCCCTCGAAGGAGATCGTGGACCCTGGCTGTCTCTGCTTCGTCTAGCCGCGCAAAAGATATGCCGTTTCCGTGGGTTGGAAACAAGGCACGGTGGTTCAGTATGCGCATCCACGGGTTGTTCAACATCTTAAGTACAGGCCTGGGCAGGAGGGGTATGTAGATAGCAGAGGCATGGCAGAGAATAAATACGTCGCCGGGCAAAAGGTAGGCCATGATCATAAGCAGAAGCTCGTTCGGCAGTCGGCAGAGGGGCGAGATGGTTAGATTGTGTCGTCGCCCGGCCACCCAGTCCGGCTCGTCGTCCGGCAGCTGGGTTCGGGTGACGATGTCTCCGCCTCCTCTTGTCTCCTCTTCTCCTGCTTCTTCTTCGGTGTTGTCCAGCGGGCAGGAAACAGCACCACAGTTGAAACTGGTGTGCCAGAGACGGCAAAGTTTAGCCAGGAGATCGCCGAAACGATTCCGTTTGGGGGACTTGGTCTGCGTTAATAGGGCAGAGTCGGTGCATGCTGGACTGCTCGATGTGTCGCGGGTGGCACGCGGTTTGGCCACCAGAGTTTTAATCGCTGTCCGCCAGGAATGATCCATGGTTTTAGTTTGCTGTCTTTGCTTCCGAAATGTAGAGAGTTGAATAGAAAAGGAAAGAAACGGAAAGAAAAGGGAAAAGAAATGAGTTCTGGGTTCATGTCCTCGTGTTATTTATAATGAGCAACTAAGTTTTGGTTAAACCTCCCCAACAGACCACAGTCCAAGAGTTTAAAAATTGGTTGTCAAACTTTAGCTAAAGTCTAATTAATCCGAAAGCCTATGAATTACCTTATTCCAAAGGCTCAACTGGAAGAAAATGCGAGACGTCAACGGCAACCAGCCACTGACCTACTGTCAAGTGCAATGGCCGAAGACTTTTTGCAGTTCAGCGCTTCCAAACGCTTCACTTTCTAACAATGACTGCTTTCTTGCTCCATTACGTGGGATCTCCCTTGTAGTGGCTCTTCTCCTACGCTTTAGTTTATCTAGATAATGCAAAAAGGTGTCGTTTGGTGTCAAAAATCCGCCGCTGCTTGAGGAGAGAGAAGAGGGAAGGACTAATAGGTAATGAAGTATTGCAGGGTCCACTGCAGTAACACCAGAGACATGTTAATAAAGAATCAAATCAAGTGTCGGTTATTATTATACTGAGGAAAATATAATACACGAGTATGAACGAAACAATTGCTGGGAACCGTTGCATTTGCAAGTCCCTCTAATCTACTACTTGCGTAATGGAGATGTCATCAACATAGAATGTATTCCCTGCAGCGCCCATGTTCGCCATCACGCTGAACCAGATCGTCGCAAAGGAAGTCTGGGCCGTGAAGGTCTTCGTGGCCTGCACCCACTGGTTGGTGGGTCCATTCAAGGTGGGCGCCGTAAAAATGAAGGAGACGCCGCCGCCAGTGAGCTGCATCTGCGACCAGCTGGATGAAGCCGAGTTGGTCGAGTACCACCACCACGAGATCAGGTGCGTGGCGCCCGGCTGGAGCGAGATCTGCTTCATGTACATGCGGCTGCGGCCGTTGGCGTTGTTGTAAACCACCTTGAGGCTCTTGGCGCCGGTGTGCGGGAGATCGCCCGAGACGGACACCTGCATGATGGAGTCGTCAGCTGTAGAGCCGATTGGGGTCCATGATGCGACGCCGCCCGACTCGAATCCGCCATCGGTCACGGCGTTGGTCGGTGCCGGCGGTGTGCCGGTGCCCCCGGTGGCTGTCGCTTCGCAAGGTGGCGTGGTGTACTGGCAGTAGACGGACGGGGCGTTTTGGATGCAGCTGTACATGCTTGTGGCAGTGAAAGCCGGTCCGATCATGGCGGTGAAGCAGCTTGATATCGCGGGCGCTACCTCTGTGCTGGCGAGGAAGGCACTATAGCACGAGAGGGGGGCGCCTGGGACGCTGAGAGTGCTACACTGGTCCGGTACCGAGGCCCAGCAGGTCTCCGGGACGCCAATATACGTGGGTGCTGCTGAGCATGATGTGATTGTCGTCGGGCTGGGGATTTCAGTGGACGACGGCACCGAGAAGATGGTGGAAGAAGGAAGTGTCACGGTGTCGAGCGTGGTTGGGTCCCCGGTTGACGAGGGGACGGCATCCGACGGCGATGTCGATGGAAGCGGAGAACCCCACACATTGATGCGATTGCCAGCTCCGCAGATCTCGGCATCGTTGCCGGCGCAGGTGAAGGAGCAATCCGAAGCAGGAGCCAGGTCTTGGGATGGATAAGAGTTGCCGCACCAGCACTCACGTCCAAATTCCACCCCAAAGTAATTGTAGCCGGCACAGTGCTGCTGGCAAACCTCGGCTGTCATATTGTCTGCGCCAAGGAGGTTGTCTGGCAGTGCACGAGCACCCTCGTCAACAAAGCAGCCGAGGTATGGTACATCGAGAGTGGCAGGCTCTGGCGCGACGTAGAGGAGATTCGTGAAGATGTCGAGACGGTCGCCAGCTCCACACGTCTCGCAAGACGCACCGGCACATCGGAAGTTGCAGTCGCTGTCATCGGCACGGGCGGCGGCATTTGAGTTTCCGCAGTAGCACTCACGGCCATACTCGAGGCCAAAGAAGTGGTACTTGGAGCAGAACTCGGCGCAGCTCGCAACCTTCATCGAATCATCGGCATAACTCGGACCAGTCAAGGCGCGCTGGCCGCCGGCATTGTCGACAAAGCAGCCGTCGCGAGTGAATGACTTGTCTCTCCTGTATTTTAATTGCCGCGGAGCAAATGCCTGGGCGGCAGCAACAAAGCAAAAGAAAGAAGCAGCCCTGAAGCTTAAACGAGTGGGAGCCATGGCTAAAAAAGAGAATTAACCTTGGGCCTCGTGCCAGTAATTAGTCGAAAGGGAAGGAATCGGTTGCTGAAGGGAAAGAAGACCAGTCCACCACCACCAAGGAAAACGGTGCGAGTGGGAGATTAATAGACCCCTTGGGAAGGCCTGGCTTTCAAGACCCATTATAAATTTTTAGTGTTTCGATAAATCGTGGTCTCGCCCAGGGTCTCTGTCCGGGTTTGTGCTTTGATGCGCGTCAAATCCAAGGAAACTGTCCAATGATACGCGGGCAATAAATCCATCAGCTGTGGCTAGTAGGCGCTATTGGGTAATACTAGCCCCTAAGGGCGAAGCGGGGAAGCCAGCCTTGTCTAGCGCGAGTTCAACGGCAAGGGTAGTATTGGGGTGGTTTAACCCTTTTTAGCTAGGCAGATAGCCTTACTTCCAACTCCATCCATCCATCAGTGGTCTAATTAACTAGTGCCCGTTGTGGGTAATGGTGTCGATGGTTATGTTGTCAACTACACCGAGGTGTAGACTCTTCGGTCTTCATGGAGCCCCTGACGTGAGTGGGAAATGCTTTCCACGAAACGAGAGCAAGAACTGTTGACCCACTCGTCCGACTCTGTTGGGAGTTCCCTAAATACTGAAGGAGCCATCTGACTGGCAGGGCGACGACCTTCCGCGTTGCCCGTAGTTGTAAGGTAGAGATAGGGGTATTACGACCAGCGCCGAAAAGAGCCCTTCTTCCCAACAAAGACAAGCAACCCAAACCCGAAACGGCCCAAGGTCACCACTCGGAGATCGGCCCAAGCTTTTCACGGGCGGCGGTCCACCATAGGCGATCCTTGCGTGTTGGCGGCGACGCTAGTCGGGTGTTGTATGGCTCCACCACGAGAACGGGGTCCAAACGTTGCCAAAGACGAGAGAGACGCAGTTCCTACTGGCCAATCGGGTGTCAAGGATTAGAAAATGCGCGAAGGCGCGGGAGAAATACACGGCCTTACAGGAAATATGCCTTACTCATATATCATTGTACTACCTTCTAAGCCTGCACCATTGCCCTCCCGGTGCGACCAATGTTGATGCACGTGTCCCCCATCCAAGAGCCTGCACCTCCAAGCAGATACCCTCCAACCCTTCACTGTAAAGAAAATTTCTAGTGCTCTCCCCGTTAAGACTGCCAGTCAAGGCCTGCTTCTCAGGCAGCGACTCTGTTAGATACGGCAGGTCTGAATGGTTGTTGTCTGTAGAAAGCTATGTAGGTAGGCTAGACGCAAGGTGGCTACATAGTGTACAAGAAATGGGCGACCACGTGATCCATCACGTGGCTCGCCACAGACTCGCATCCGGACTGGCCGATCCGAATCCTAGCTTCTCCACTTAATTTTATCAGATTATCAGATAATCTGGCATCCAGGGATTTAGATAACCCGCCGTGGCGCCAATTCCCGTTCCTTGAACCGGACATTCGGATTTAGAAGTAGAGGCGACTTTGAATGTGTGTTAATTCGCTGTCTCTCCACTTTTCTATATTCGACCAGAGCCTCCTATTAGGCCATTCCCATCCCGAACTCGGACATGTTTTTCGGTGCTGAGACGGGCTACGCAATCTCCGAGTGGCCGCCCACTCGTTTCAACTTCCAACTCATAAAACCAACACGTTCCCTCGCACAGCCATCACTCAACATTCCCAGCAAATTACCAAATGTTAATATATGGTACGCTTGTATAAGACACTTGAATATTTTGTTGTCATCAATACCTTTATCTCTCCCCGCCCTCGTCAGTCCCTTGAGGGATCCGAAACGAACATGATCAACGCTCTCCGCAACGTCGTGGTGGTTGGAGGCTCGTATGTCGGGGTCGTAAGTGGGATGACCTTCTTGAAAACGTTTTGAGCAAAGTCTAATGAGGATCTTTGCAGAATGCTGCAAAAGAATTGGCGAACTTGCTCCCGTCAACCCACCGCGTGAGTATATGCACCAACTTCGAACCTGCTCAAGGGGAAACAACCGAACTTACATCTTTGCGGTTCTCTAGGTCCTTTTGATCGAGCCACATAGCCATTTTCACCATCTATTCGCCTTTGTACGTCCCCAGTCTCAATCGTTTACCTTTTCTCAAACCTGACATGTGCAGCCTCGGTTTGCAATCCTACCAGACCATGAGCACAAGGCCTTCATTCCCTACAAGGGCGTCTTCTCGGCAGCACCTGACGCCTCCCGACATGCTGTCGTGAAGGCAAGAGTGGTGTCACTCCAGGCCACGCAACTCACCCTTGATCGTGAGTGGGAGGGTTCGCGACTGGTCTCTTTCGAGTACCTTGTGGCTGCATCAGGGACTCGGTTGCCCGCCCCTGGATCGATGCAGAGCAACGAAAAGCCTCCATCAGTCGATTACTTCAAAGTGCACCAGGAAGGAGTAAAGAAGGCACCGTCGATTCTCATCATTGGTGGTGGAGCAGTCGGTGTGCAGATGGCATGCGATTTGAAGGAGGTCTATCCTGACAAGGAGATCACGTTGGTGCATTCCCGGGATGTACTGATGCCAGTCTATCATGAGAAACTGAGTAACATCATAAAAGACCGTTTCAAGGAGCTTGGCGTCAAGTATGTCTTCCTCTTGCACGAAACTCCCTATGCCCCAACCGATAAGCACTTGCTGACAGAACGGCCATTAGCCTGGTCACTGGGTCGCGCGTCATCGTCCCACCAGCCGGATTCCCCACAGATGGCCGCGCTTTCGAGGTGGAGCTCAAGGACGGTCAAAAGCTCTCCACCAATCTGGCCATCCTGGCCACAGGCCAGACACCCAACAATGGATTTCTCAGCAGCCTCCGTTCCTCGTCGAAGGACTCGCTCATTAACCCCGCCAACGGCTTCATTCGTGTGCTGCCCACCTTCCAGTTCCAGGATCCCCTGTACCCCAACATGTTCGCCATTGGTGACATAGCGGATTCCGGGGCCCACAAGGCGGCGAAGCCCGGCATGGGGCAAGCCTCTGCGGCGGCCAGGAATATCGTCGCCATGATTGAGGGGAAGGCGCCCAGTGAGACGGTCGCCGTAGCACCGCCGGCTATTCATCTGACTCTCGGCTTGGTAAGAAACGCAAAGGGGAGAGTCGGTATTTAAGCAGGGATGCTGACTCGTGTGAACAGACGAAAAACATCATTTTCAGGAATCCCAATCTCAAGGAGGGAGCGACAGAGCCGTTCACCAATCTGAAAGACGAGTAAGTTAGCGGAACCCAGAACTGCGTAATTGGCAGTAACTAATTCATGTCAAGTGGCCAAGCGGATATGGGAATCGAGGGAGTCTGGGCGAAGAGAGGTGTTACCGTTGCCAGCCCCCAAGAATATCACTTGTGAGGGAGCGAGGTTCAGTTACGGGTCCATGATCGGACGATTTTCGTTTGTCTCTTAAACTAATGGAGAATACAATGTCGAGCTTGGAAGACTAGAGCTGCTTTACTCGGAGAGGGGAGAAGATGGCTGTATAGAGCCATGATACAATAGAACCAACACTTCAGTCCCCCAGAGCGATGTCCTGCTCATCTGCGCCCACCTGTCCAGGCCGCCGTCCCCCTACCAATCGCGCTCCGTCGTCTCGGGGTTATCAATAATAACATTATCAAAGTCCGGCAGCGACCGGCTCTGCGGCATGAGCGCATCGCACCTGGCATCCCGCGCAAACGTAATGGCCGAGCCATCCGGATTCCGCGCCGGGACGAGCCAGCACCCGCCATTCGGGCCCATCCAGTCGGCGCCGTGACAGCGGCTGTCGGCGGCGCAGGCCCTGGCGCACTCGTCTAGGTTCGCGGCCCGCTCAGCCTTCCAGGAAGCGCCTGGCGTATGCCGGATGCAGTGCCGGCACTGCAGGCGGAAGTCCTCGTTGCCCGAGCTGATGATCTTGCCGTGGTCGGCATCGCATGTCGCCTCGTCGGCTTGGAGCGGTTTGTCGCGTTTGGCCTGGTCGCAGCCCTTCTTGCAACTCGCGCATGCGCCGGCGCAGCCGAGCGAGTGGGCGCTCGCGAAGGCGGGGGCGTCGATGGCGGGGGCGTTGTTGTCGTTGCTGAAGAAGCATTTCTTGGTGCGCGCCTCGTAGTCGATGCTGTCGCACCCGGGCAGGATGGCGCAGGCGGTTAGGCAGGCCTCGAAGGACTCCCGGCGGTCGATCTTGAGGTATGTCGTGCCGTGGCGCTTCTTGCAGGTCATTTGGAAGTTCTGGAGAGGTGGCGAGCTGGGTTAGCCCGCCATAATTACTTCAAGGGATCTTCCAACACCAGACTCTCTCTCAGCGTTAGGATATTGCTTCACTGACCTCTCCGGTGTGGCTCACGAAGAGCTGGCCGTCTGCCTCGGGGCACTCGGTGGAGCAGAGCTTCGCTTCCGAAAGCACAGGGTCGTTGGTGGGCGGGTCGGTCACGAAGGCGTAGTGCGCCCCCTCCTGCTTGGTTGTAGAAAACTTGCCGTGCTCGTACAGCCTGCAGTTTGGCCGGGAACCATCACCGCCCGGCACAAACATGGCACTGGGCTCTATTAGCGACCAGCGCCGGGAATGACCAGGGAGAGGGGCTCGAAGGGTGTTTCTAGTTACCTCTTGCACTTCTTGTCCACAACACACTTCTCAGCACATTCCTCGTGGGTGTTGACAGTCTCGTAACCCAGGATGGATGCGCCGTCGGTATCTGTGCAGCATTGCAGGTAGAACCAGGTCCCATCGGAACCCTTAAAGATTTTCCCGTCATCTGGCGGGGAACCGTTAGATTGCTTGAATCACACGAACGAGAAACAAGGATGCTTACTCTGCGGGCAAGTAAGGCTGGTGGTTACTTCGGGTTTCGCGATCTGCTGAGACACCCGGTTTTTGGGACATTGGACGGGATACCAGGCATCTCCGGGTGCCCACGACGACGTTTCAGAAGGGGCTTTCTTGTACTGGCAGGTCTTGGCGGTCCGCTCCCAATCACAGCTATAGCAGCCTGGCTTTCTGGCACAACGATCGGCACACTCCTTCAGAGTTGGGCAATCCTCGCCGGTCCAGTGCCCGATGCTGTGTCCCGTGTTGCACCTCAGCTCGTAAGTGACACCATTTCTGTTTTTTTGTTTTTTTTTGTGTTAGCCAACATCTCACCCCCCCCCAAAGGACTGATGAGCTGGTTCCTTACGTCGTGTATCTTTCCCCTTCATCAGCTGGGCAAGTGTATGATGCCTTATTTCCAGATCCAGCATCAGAGGTCGTGTCGTCTGCAATCGGCCTCTGGGTGTTGTCACCAAGGCCAGTGTCCGGAACCGTCGTCTCCTGGGTATTGTCATCATGGCCAGTGGTTGGTTCCGGTTCGGCACGTACATCCCTGACATAGTACCAGGTTACGAGTGGGAAGTCAGGGTCCGAGTAGTTGAAGAGATCAGCGTCTTTCCTGAATTCACACAAGTTCTCGTCCGCGACGAAGGCGGCGTGGACGCAACTAGCATCAGCGGCGCATTTCTCAACACATTCCACAGCGCTCCTGCCGGGCTTTGTGGCAACGGGCCTGCCTTTGACAGCTTGTTTGCACTTGATCTGGTACTCTTTGCCATTTCTAGTATTTCGGAATAGGTTAGTCGTCGGGCCACAAGGTTGGGAGATAATTCAACACATAAATCAACCTGGAAAAACTTGCCTGACAATAAGCTTGCCCTCGTCGGCGTTGTTGGCACAAGAGTATGTTTGAGCAGCGACTGAGCCCAATGATCCGATGAGTGTCAAGCACGGTAGGAGCCAATGCTGAGAGATCTTCATGGTTGCAGTTGTTTCTTTGGTTGCTTTCTTATAAGTGAAGCCCCCGGCGCTCAGTAAATACTTGACAAGTGTCTGGGATGGATCGGGTCGCAACAAGAGGGAGAAGGCGCTCTTTTATCTTGCCCCATATCAGAGAGTCCTCTTCTGAAGCACTGGCAAGAATTGGGTCTGACCCTTCGGATCAGACTCATGGAACGTAGTCTCTCTCGTCGAGCTGTTTTCACCGTCCACAAGATCAACACCGACCGTCAAGTAAAATGCCGCCCATACCCTGAGACATGCCGCATTTCAGCTGCGGTATCAATTCGGTGTGATTGTTGGGTGTTGGCCGTCAATCCAGGCGACTTCCATTCTCACTTCAGCTGCCAAGTTTACCCAAGCTTGCTAATCGTCGGTTCGACGGGTGGTGATCATGACGGAAGGCGGTTGGTTTGTGAGATAATGGATTCCGCTAGTGTCATCCGATTGGCCCTACGGCTCGGCTCAGCCCGCCCACTCTAAGCCACTCACCGAGATCCGTGGTCGATCGTCGATCGTTGATGATGAGTGCAGGGAGGCGGATGGTCGGCTCTTGATAAACCTAGGATTTAACCTCAACGGGGTGTGTCTCGGAGCTGTGATGTCACATCCTCAGTCACCCGAACAATGGAAGGTGCTTTTTGCCTCATCTTCAGCTTATCCTTTCAGTAATTACGTAGAAGCAGCCCAATTGTGAGGCATACAATGGCAAAGAGTGGCTTATCACGGCCCGCGGATCGGCCCGCCGAGTCGGCCCGTCGTCTAGATCTGCTTCAATCCCGTCGAGTAATGCGGATTATCACAGCTGAAGTGAGACTCCTCTCGTAGTCTAAGCGACGTAGCGACGTAGCTTTGCTCTCGCTCTACAGACGTTGCCGGAATCGCTGCGGTTGTTTGTCTAGCCTGTGCTTACCAGCCGTGTCGACCAGACACCGGCTTTCGGGACAGGACGCCCCTGGATGGAGCAATCCGGGTTACTATGTCAGGGGCAAGTCAGTCAGGTTGAAGTCATGGCTGATCTTAAAAAACAACCCCCAATCTAGGTATATATATACAAGATGCCGTCGCCCAATTTGAACCTCAACCTCAAACTCAACTTCAACAAACACCTTGTCATCTTGCATCTTCAACCCGAGCTCCTACCTACAGGGACCTGTTCCTCCTACCTCAACCCATTTGCATCTACACAAGTCGAATAAATCGATCACCCAATGAAATTCATTTTCAACTTGGCCATCGTTGCCATCCTAGCTAGCCAGACGGCAGCTTTCCTCTTCTTCCCAATCGTCATCCCCTTGTTCAAACCAAGGCCTTGGATCACTCTTGGTGGTGGCGGCGGCGGCGGCGGCGGTGGCGGAGGCTCGCAATGCCCACCCCCAAATTGTCCCATGCACCCGGACTGCCGGCAGAGAGTACGGGACATCAGCACGTGCCAACGCAGTGGCCAGACTGCCGTTTTCAATGCGGACGGATCTATGAACGGCTGCGTCTAAACGACCTATTTCCTGCTGGTCATCAGCAAGCGAGACGTCAACCGCAGACGGGGAATTTGGTGAACCTGTCGACGCTCGCATTCTTCGGCACCAGTCATTCCAAGAGGTATACGGTGGTGGGAGGTGTAGGGAGATGTAGGGAAGGGATCCTTGAGACGAACCGAGAAGACGGAGACAGACTAGTCAGTAGCGTCTGAGAGAAGGGGTTGGCACGCGGAAGACTAGTTATTGCACGGAGCCTGGGGTATTCAGCGGACTGTCTTGTCTTGGGGGTTGGTTTAAGCTGCTACCTGTCTGGCTGCACATAGCACATGACGCGATTTTGAGATGAATGAAGCAGCGGAAACAGAGCGCAGTGAATCTTGAGAAACACCTTGGTATCATCCATCTTGCCGTAGTAAAGGGATCTTGCTCTCTGGGCGAATGAGCTCGAAACATCCATCGAACACCTCGAGGTCGACTGTCTAACTAACTTGATGACATATATTAGTCTTTTCGACTTAACCATCAGTTAGAAGGATACCGTGGGCCACGATCAAGACCATATGGCCATGGTTACGGCGGACAAGCAGCACCTCAAAATGACACAGGGTTTTGATTGCACCCTTGGAACCGTTGCACGTACTTCAGGCAACATGAAGGTCTCTGTCGTTTAAGGGATATGGTAACACGTCATGGGGCGGCTTGTCGGCCTGCAGCAGGATGATCCTCAAGATTTCCCTTTTTTTTCCTCTTCGATATCGACCAATCGGGCAGTTCTGCAAGCAGAGCAGCAGCCAGCAGCCAGGACCGCGTTTAATCGGGGATATACTGCAGGAAGGCGATCGAAATCAGGTTGCCGCATTCCGTAATAATGATTAAAGAGAGCTAGACAGTCCAATGTAGCCCAGGTTCTCCCCGCGGGTGCGAAATTTGTATCAACGTATTGTTAGTGAGACCTATCAACAATTATGGGTGGGACGAATATCCATGGATACACACGTGATCACCCAGCCTAACACCAATGTAGCTAAGCCTACTTTTGGCAGTAAAATGGGGTCTTCCTGCATGACCAAGGAAGACCCAAAGGGGCACGGAATCTGGGGTACTTGACGATTCCCCCGCTGGGGATTCCTTTCTTTCCTTTCTAGTACGCTTCAAAATATAGCCCAAATGAGGATACGTTGCCCACATTCATTGTCGATAAGACCCCCCTCGGAATCGTGGCATTTGGGGGGCCGCCAAGGATTATCCTGGGAGGAACCCCGTGAGTCAACGCGCATGCTAGTGGCACTAGTGTATTTGGTACTCCTAGGCTATTAATAGTAGTTCATTAGCCGATTGCTTGCTGTTCCTCAATCACTTCCCCAACCCAAAATTTTAACATTTTAACGCGTCGACACCACCAACTCACGGCAAAACAGAAGCCCCGTTTTATTTACACCGAGCAACGCCTCTGCATATCTGTTATCTACTTTCAATATTTTCGATTGGCCATGGCCCACGTCACCGAACAGACTCCGCTACTCCAGGACGAGTCAGCACCGCCCGCCCACACAGCCGATGACGGCCAAAACACTATTTCGAATGGCTCTGATCATCCACATGGATATTCTTGGCGCGTCGCTGCCGTCGGCCAGTGGTTCTCCCTAATCGGCGGACTGGCCGTATTTGGTCTGGCAGCGGCTGTTTCCGTTATCCACCGACACTGCAGACCAGAGTTGTATCACATTGCAAGGGACATCAAATCCTATCTCGAGACTATGGTCATACTGGTACACGTCACCGAGGTCACCTCTTTGGCGTATCCCTGCCCGGCTGGTCCTGTCGTTAACCAAATCCGAGTCATAGGGCCTTATCACCGTTTTTTGGGCCGCCAGCAACCTCCTTCACCTTCTCACGTCAGGGACGCTGATGCCGTTTCCACTCTCCGCCCTCCTTTACGCCATCTCTAGCTTCTTCACAATTCCGGCCGTCGTTCACGGCATGGCCGCCCTGTTAACAGAGCGGTACTTTGGGTACTTCTGCGCCGACTACCCTGAATGGGGTAACGGCCGCTGGGAAAAATGTGCAGTTTGGGCGGAGAGATTCCACAGGCTTGTATGGGCTTATCTATATTCCGTTTTGGCTCTGAGGTAAGTCGAGCCGGCGTCTGAAGATCCGACCGACATGGTCTAACCACCCACTCACGGTTGCAGCTTGATTCACGCCGTCTTGTTCGTTGCCTGCTTCGTTGCCTGCTTCGTCGCACCCTACAGCGGCAGAACGTCGCTTCGGGGCCGCCAGAGCAGGCAACTCACGCTGCAATTCACCTTCACGTAACCCTGACCCTCAGAGGCCAGGACGTGCCACGTGTCGTCGAATACGGTCCCCAGTCGCAGTGTAAGGGTCTGTTTCAGACGATAATCTCGTGGCAATCCTATCATCTCTTCTGGTTTGTGGCACAAAGTCCGCTAGGTTGGGTGCCGTAGGCTCTTGCAGGGTTGGGGGGGGGGGGGGGGGGGGTTCATTGTCATGGACGTGACTCTCAAGAGGTCTTGTGTCCGAATATGAACTTCCAGTCGCACCAACCTTCTGGGCGGTCCAATCGAACGTTATTATTCATCTTGGAATATCTTCACAGTCGGTTTGTTGGTCAAGTGAATGTGTGAGATGCTACATTAATTGATGGTACTTATGGGAGAGCGGGATCATGTCTGCGGGGAAATCCCACCAAAAGGAAGCTCAAAGGGAAGCTCGGCTGGATCGAGTGATTAATTGCCAGGTGCCGGGATATTTTGGCAGGCCTGCCCGCGCCTTTCGCTGTTGCTGTCACTTGCAATTGCCATCGCTGTTGCTTTCGCCATCGCCATCGCAGCTGCTTTTAGCAGCAACAGCGACAACAATAGCAACAGCGATGGAAATAGCAACAGCGACGGCAATAGCAACAGCGATGGCAATAGCAATAAACGCCGACCTTGGTTTGGCGACGGCGACAGCAACGGCGATGGCGGCGGCGAAAGTAGTAGCTGTTGAGGAACTAACCAGCCCGGCCCCACCTGGAGCGCATAGACCTCCTGCACACAGCCGGAGACCCGCTCATTCGGCCTCTCCAAATTCTACAGTTTCTTGATTTCGATTGCAAGAATACGTTTCTACAAAATAAGAACTTCTGTCCTCTTCTGATACTCCATTAATCTACACCATCTTGTTTTGTTCACGTCGCGTATCTACAATAGAAAGGGGATTTCAGGGGTTGATTATTTTTGAGCCTGTTGCTAGGACGATATTGGAACATCCGAAAAAAACATGTGTAATTAATTACTTGTCACTCGCTGACCTGTACCAAGCGAATTGTAACGAGGGGATGAAACTTCGTCCTCAGTTGTCATTTTATGACTGCGCACTACGGCGCATGACTGCACGTTGCAGTGCGTTTGCACTTCGTGTTCGATACATTGCGAAGCACGAATTAAGCGAGACTCTGTGCTCTCTTTCCACGAATATATTTGGATGGCTAGTCAAACAACTGCCTTGGCATTAACGCCCCCTTGCCTGCCAAAAGATAAAAGATTATCACCGGCGGCGGTATATACTACGCAGTAGTTTGTCATTTCTGCTCGTGTGGCTTGTCGTGATAGGGTAGGTAGGGTAAATACATGCCGGCGACCGTGCCAACATGGTGCTGCGCCGTGCAGGGACCCTTGGACGGACCTTCAGCCGCAACGCCATGTAAAGCCATTCAACAAATTACGAGGCCCGTCGGGCTTCAGTGATCAGCCACCACCCCAGCCCCAAAGCAAATACGGGACCGCAGCATTCGCTAACTTGCTTGGCAAACAGAAGCCTATTTTAAGTGCCGAGACTGTGGTACAAAATGCAGCGGCATCCTCAACACTTGCACTCAAATCCCCTGGTCATCATTCCAACATTTGTCTTCCCCCGTCGTCAAAACTTCTACTTGCAGCAAGTCTGATTAACCATGACTAGACTCTCGTCGCCCTTGAAGCTTCTACTGCTCCTCGCAGCCTCCTGCCGAGCCCAGGACTTCACCCAGGATCCCTCTGTCATCTCCGACCTGTGTCCGTCCGCAACCATCTCCACTGCCTGGTCGTGAGTAGTTACACCCCCCACACGTCTTACTTCCCACCTCTTGATGGTCTGGCTACTCACCGTTGTTTCCTGGCTCCCAGAAGCTATACCGAGTGCGGAAATTCCGTGGTCAACGACATCTGGGGAGCAGCACCGTGCGCCAATGCCGCGACCAGCACCGACTTTGGTCCCGAGGTTGCTTCTTGCAACTGCGATCTCTACCAACGATTGGTCAAGTACGTCATCTCGCCATTCTCACTGCCGTCTGCCATTTTACAGGGAGAGATGGTGCTAACAAAACGACAGGAGCTGCCTGCCCAATATCTGCGATAGCAAGGGCCTTGATGAGTTCGAGACTTCCACACTGGCAGCTGTCTGCGCGTACACCACTGCCGCCGAAGGAGGACCCACTCCCACCTCCTCTAATATTCTCGATGGATTGACTACTCCTCCCACCGGCGGACGAGGTGGACCTGCCGCACCGACTTCGACGTCTAAGGGCGCTGCGCATGAAGGAGTGGTTCCCGTTGCTGGCGGGGTCGTGATGGGTTTTGCTGGGGCTCTGGCAGCTTTGCTGTGAGGCTGGGATGCAGTTCTGGGAGTCTTGGATGCTGGTCCACGGTCAGCAGGGTTCTTTCTGGTAGCTATTGATGCAGTCGTCCATGGGAGATGGTGGTTGTTTGCGGGGGGTACTTGACAGAATGCATTAACTTTCGATCCATTGCAATTTTATCTTGAGATAGAAAATCATGATCTCTGAAGATCGCAACAACATATCCTTTCATGTTTTATGACAGCCAACTTTTTTTGCCAAATGAACACTTGATCCCGGTTGTTGGCGCATCATAGAAACAAAATGCCTCCTGAACGAGGGCGGCAAGAGCATCATGGGACGACGGCATTGCGCCAAGTTCACTCCGCACAATATCCACCACGGTCAATGAGCCGCAAGGCGCCGTGATGGTATTATAGGGAGCGTATTCTCTCCCCTCACTATCTCTGGCGTTGATTACCCCTCGTCTTCTTTGGCATCTTCCACATCTTCCAAGCGCTCTTTTTACTTTGAATGGTTACCTCTCTCCCTGCCAGCATCCCTTCACTGCCCAGCCTCCTCACCATCACGCATCGGTTTGTGTCTGACAGCACCCCCTTCCCTAAGATTAGTGTGGTGGATTCTTTAGAACTGCTGCAGACATGTGATGTGTGCGAAAATTGTGTATGGCTGTGTCTGAACGAGGAAAAAGAAAAGTCCCAACGTCGGTATAGTGTACGCGATTAACTGTCCATGTGTCCGACCCTTTTACCTCTGTCACAAGTGATGTACCATGCTAACTTCTCTCGCCGAGTGATGGGGGTGTACTTGACTTTCCCGCAAAGCCCGCAAGTACAGTGAGCTTGTAGGTCAATCTACGTACGCTCTTTGCATGCTGGAACTGTTGCACTTTAAGCCATGGCCCCGAACTCTATCCTACTTGGCATCCGGTGCTGATCCATTGCCCCTGTTAGCCCCTCTTGCACATCTCATTCAAAGATTTACTCCAAAAAAAAAGGCAGTCCTTGATGTTCGAAACAGGTCGTCATATCTTGGCCATGCAGCCTGCACGTTGATGTAACATCCAGGTTGCTACAATAGGTAGGTAGAAACTAAGCTCTTTCCTCCCAGGATTCCATTCGGTGAACCGATCTGGAGATTGCTCGGCGCTCTTGGCATATGTCTGCCGAGTAAATGTGCCGGTAATCGGGCCATAGTCTCTTGGCGCTGAGCCCCCACGAGAGTGGTGGATTTTCCAACGTTTCCTAGTACTACGTCGACAAACAGTTGTGCGGGACTATTCGAAGATAACGTGGGTAGTCAATCTAAGTCTCACTGCAAAGCGCAGGGTGAGTGTATTTGATACTGAGGGTGGGATTGTGGGCAGAGCATGGTGCCTCGTAACATTTATCCCTTGTTCTCCCAGTAATGCTTCAAGCTTAATGCTCCTGGCTATGGATCACCAAGAGGTACAAGCCAAATTCCTTCACAAGCTGCCTTCTAATCGTCGGAGACCCCTCATTGCGGAAGGTGGTCATGACATGGTGTTTTCCTGATCTTCCCCTGGTTGTTGTATGCCATATGACGCCTCAGTGATCTTCCACAACCCGCAGTTGAGAGATGCTGATCAGCTCATATATCTGCGATTCTCATTCGCTGGGGACCCCTGATGTGGGATCCCCGCATCATCAAATCCAACCAGAATCGAGTCTGTAGTTTGGCCAAGGCTTCTCGGTGTGCCGAAGGATTCGACGTTCCATTGGGGAAGGAGGGGGAAACAGATGTCGTGAAGGATGTAAACGTCGAAACATGTTGCATGCAGCATTAGTTTTCTGGGAGGTGAGTATTAATTGACTCAAGTTCGACTCCCAAGTCTATCTCAACCATCCTTTCATTGCGGGTTTCCCACAGCTCTCCTCTTTTGTCCTCTTCCTCTCTGTTGTTCCCACTCCCCAGCAGCAACAATGTCCTCAATCCCAAACGAACCCGCCGACCCCTTGGCCAAGGGCATCATCGCAACGGCCAAGCAATCCTGGCGCGACCTCTTCATCTGGAAGCAGCGCGTGGTCGTGACCAACGAGGTCGGCGAGACGCGGTGCGAGTGGGCGGACCCGGGCCCCATCCGCAACCCCATCAGCCTGCTCGCCCAGCTCTCGGGCCGGGACTGGGTCTTCTTCCTCGTCGGCCTCGCGGCCTGGACCGCCGACGCCTTCGACTTCCACGCTCTGTCCATCCAGACCGTCAAGCTGGCCGACTACTACGGCCGCAGCAAGACCGACATCTCCACCGCCATCACCCTGACCCTGCTGCTCCGCTCGGCCGGCGCGGCCATCTTCGGCCTCGCGGGCGATAAGTGGGGGCGTAAGTGGCCCATGGTCCTCAACATGATTGTGCTGGGCATCTTGCAGATCGCCACTCTCTATAGCCGCACGTTTTCGCAGTTCTTGGCGGTGCGGAGCCTGTTTGGTCTATTTATGGGGGGTGTCTATGGCAACGCGATTGCCATGGCGCTGGAGCACTGCCCGTAAGTGCATCTCGAAGCCTTATTGTGTTGCATACGTGACATCCGATCCATACTAACTCGGCTGGGGGGCGTAGGATTAATGCCCGTGGCTTGATGTCGGGAATTCTGCAGCAGGGCTACTCCCTTGGCTACGTGTTCGCCGCGTGCGCGAACCTCGGCGTCGGCGGCGAGACGGACAGCTGGAAAACCGTCTTCTGGATTGGCGGTGAGCTCAGCATCCCCCTCCATGGGACCGACACCAACACTTTTACTGACTTGACATGCTCTAACCAGCCGGCATCTCCATCAGCGTCGGTCTTGTCCGCGCTCTGTTTCCAGAGTCGAGACAGTTCCTCGAAGCAAGGGCGCAAGGCAAGAAGGCGACATCCCCCGGAGCGTTCTGGCGCGACACAAGAAAGATGCTCGTGACGGAGTGGAAGATGTGCATCTACGCCGTCATCCTCATGACCTGGTTCAACTACTACTCGCACACCTCCCAGGACTCGTACACGACCTTTATGCGCACGCAGAAGGAGCTCGACAACACCCCGGCATCCCGAGCCTCCATCATCATGAAGGTCGGCGCCTGCGTCGGCGGCACCATCATCGGCTACCTCAGCCAGTTCCTCGGCCGACGGAGAGCCATCGTGGGGTCGGCCCTCATGTCGGGCCTCCTGATCCCCGCGTGGATTCTGCCCAGGGGGGAGCGCAGCCTCAGCGCGAGCGGCTTCTTCATGCAGTTCTTCGTCCAGGGCGCCTGGGGCGTGATCCCGATCCACCTGAACGAGCTCTCGCCCGCCGCGTTCCGGTCCAGTTTCCCGGGCGTCACCTACCAGCTGGGCAACATGATCTCGTCGCCGTCGGCGCAGATCGTCAACGCCATTGCCGAGAAGACGTTCATCACGCTGGGCAATGGGAACAGGGTCGAGGCATATGGCCCGGTCATGGGCATCGCCACGGCGATTATTGCGGTGGGAATCATGCTCACTACTGTCGTTGGACCGGAACGGTGTGGGAGGAGCTTCGAGCACGCGATTGCTGGACTTGACACTGGATCGGATGAGAAGGTGGCAAAGGACGAGGAAAATCCAAGCGTTCACGCTGTGGAAACGGCAGACGGGAAATAACGGCTGTCAGGAATAGTTGAATGACTAATTCGTTCCCCACAAGTCCGATCGCTATTTCCAGTTACTGCGGGTTGAGATTGCCTATTTCCGGAGAGGTATGCGACGGCGCCCGGCAATAAGTTATTCTTAACTCCGACCGTTCACCCAAGCTCGACATCGGCGATCTCTGATTAGAAAGCCGGAGTATAGACGATTGCAAAGCTAAGGTCCGGAGACGAAATGGCCTGATCAGTATGGTACCATCTGCCGCTCAGTGATATAAATCAATAACTCCCTCCAGATACAGCTCTGGTCGGGGGTCTAGTCAACTGAATATTGCATCTACTCAAACTTCCCTCACATCAGAATTCTCCAGAAGATGACTTCCAAAATAATTCTCATCACCGGTGAGTATCCCGTGAATCTTTGAAACAGACTTATCCACTAATGTGGCGAAACAAGGGGCAAACTCGGGCGTCGGCCTAGCAACAGCAAAGGTCCTAGGCCAGTCCCCGGAGGACTTCCACATTGTCATGGCAGGCCGGTCTCTCGACAAAGTCGAAGAGGCCAAGTCGGAGCTCGAGGCCAGCGGCGTTCCAAAGAACCGTCTATCGGCCGTGCAGCTAGACGTCACCGACAACAGCTCCATCCAACAAGCGGCATCTTTCGTCGAGGACAAGTTCGGACGCCTCGACGTGCTGATCAACAACGCAGGGGTCTACAGCACGGATCCGGATATCCAGACCCGCTTCCGCGTCTCCTTGGAAACAAACGTCACCGGCCCGGTCTTGGTGTCCCTGGCTTTCAGATCGCTGCTCCTCAAATCCCCGGGTCCGTACTCTCTCTACGTGAGCAGCGTTCTGGGATCCATCGGCCTGTCAGACAATCCGAAGTCAGAGCTATACCGCTCCCTCCCCGCTTCGATTGCATCGGTGTATCGAGCAAGCAAGGCGGCGCTTGACATGGTGGTGGTGCAGGAGTCGATCGAGATGAGTTCGACGGGCATGAAGGTGTTTGCCTTGTGTCCGGGATTCGTGGTGTCCAATCTCCGAGGGACCAGCGAGCAAGCTAGGACTGGAGGGGGAAAGGCTGGAGATCCTGAGGTGTCTGGGAAGACCATCCTGAGTATTGTGCGAGGCGAGCGTGACGGAGACGCGGGGAAGTTTGTCCATAAAGATGGTGTTTATCCTTGGTAAAGGCCGCCAGGGGATTTGTGCTGTGGAACTTTTGACAGGCCTTGTGCAACCCTGCTACTATGGTATATCGATATTGCCGTTGCTACTGTTATCTAATGGCTGCGCTGTCTTTAATTATTTGGAAATCACACCAAAAGTGGCCGAATTAATATGGATTGCGTATGAATTCCGTAATTCTGACTCCAAACGCCAACGACTGTGGAAAGTTCCGCTTTTTTGCTGAGCCCGCTTCCAGACTGGAAGGTTGGAAAACGGTATTTAATTAACGCTCAGCGAGGCAGAAGCAAGATATTGGGGGCCGGGTCCGGATCGGGGGCAGGGTCGGGCTCGGCTTCGGTCGGAAAGGAGTTCGGGTTCGGCTTTGTCGCGGAGGTAAACTCAACGAGAGTCCATGCCTCCGCGGGCGTGGGCTATTTCCTCCGCGGGCAGACAGTATTACGTCCAGTCATCTGCCCGCGGAGACATGCCCAACTGAAAATGCCGACACCGAGCTCGGAATTTCCCGAGTACTTCTACCTATGCTTCCGAGAACGACGTTTACGTATAAATATATGACCTTTCCATCTCTGTACCTTGTCGAGTCTTCAATTAGCAAACAATTATCCCCAGTTCTTCAATTTGTACCCCTTTCTGATTCCCTTCCACCCTCCTATTTCGCTATGGCCACCTCAACCTCAACCCCCAACCCCATCCTTGCGGACAAGCTCGAAGCACTGGCCCAACGCCTCCATGCCACGGCACAGGATCTCCGGTCAGGGTCTATCTCCCTAGAGACTGACGCCAATCAACGAATGGGGATGATCAAGGCCGGGGCGGAGCTGGTCGACGCCGTGAGCAAGCCATGGGACAAGATCTTGAACTGGATCCCGCAGTTTGCCCAGGCTGCTGCAGTCCGACTATTCATCAAGTGGGGGGTCTTCCAAAACATCCCAACTGGCAATGGGGAATCCATCTCGTACGAAGACCTGGCTGCGAAAGTAGGAGCCGAAGTGTCTCTTATAAGTAAGTCGAGATCCTCCTCGGTTGTGCTAGTGATCAATCCCGACCCTTCACTAATATGGATCACCAGCCCGTTTTGCATGGGTCCTTGTATCAGGCGATCTTTTGCAGCAGATCGGAACGGATCGCGTCGCGCATACTCAGTTCTCCGAGATGTGCGCCACTCCCAGTCCCATGCGAGCCATGGTGGAGATGGGGTGAGACATCCATCCTCCTCCCCAGTCTGTTCACCACGGATTGTTCTGACATAGGTCCAGGTTCGATAACCACTTCACATCATTCATGACGATGCCGAAATACTTTGACCAATTCGGCCTCAAGGAGCCCAAGGATCGCCTGCAGACCATCTTTGCCTTTTCCGAGGGTCAGCTCGGATCCACGGCCTGGGAGATCATTAACAAAGACAAGGATCGCATGACGAGCTTCATGCTGGCCATGGGTGCCGCCGAGGATATTGTCCCTGCCCTCGGAACGTATGACCTCGGTTGGGCCGTCGAAGAGGCTGCCAAGTCCGAGGACCGGGCCCTCGTCGTCGACGTCGGTGGGGGAAAGGGGCAAGCTCTCAAGGCTATCCTCAGGGATACTCCTGGCCTGCCCCGCCACCGATGTGTATTGGAGGATCTCCCCGAGATCATCGAAGAGAACAAGCAGAACGATCCCGAGCTTTCTGGTATACAGATGGTTGGCATGGACTTTCACAGCGATCAGCCTGTTAAAGGTCAGTTGGCTGTCTTTCGAGCTGTTGTCCGAGGCCAGTGACACTGACACCAACACACCTTTTTAGGTGCCCTTGTCTACTACATCCGCCGGTGCCTGCACGACTACTCAGACGACGAATGCGTCGGCATGCTGGAGAAAATTGCGGATGCCATGGCGGCAGATAGTAGGCTGTTGATCGCGGAGACGCTGCTGAGCAATCCGCCGGCGCCAGTTCCAGCTTGCATGGACTTCGTCATGGCAACGATTTCGGGCAAGGAAAGGACGGTGGAATGCTTCAGTGACATTACCGGAAGGGCTGGCCTGGAAATCACGAAGGTGACACGGAACCCTGGTGGCGGTGCTGTAGTTGAGTGTGCCAAGGCGTAGGGTGATTCGACGGCCTGATAGCGAAGAGGTTGCTCTGAATTGGTGCTTAAAGTCTTGTTTCCCGATACTCCTCTCCATCGTTGTGTTGTGTTCCAGGTTGCGTTGTGGGAATACGTTGATCCTACAATTAACTATCCTGGTTACATTACCTTAGTTCTCTGAAAAAAAAGATGATTCACATTATTTCGTGGCTTAAGACTATGGAAAGTTTCAGATTTAATTAATCCAAGGTCTTGAGCCTCAATTAATTTACTAGATTAATTAGAATACTATCAAGAACGCATAACCTCTGATACAGCCGATATTAACTACTGAACAAGGCCAGACCACGCCCAATTACCCTCACAGGCTATAGCCAAGGAAAAGCGCAATAGATCCAGCGCCCAATACCACAGTGATTTTGCTTGGTCGCGAGACTGCTCTCCAGCCATATGCACCAGATACGCTCACCGCTGTCGACGAGGACGCTGAGCCAGTCTGCGACGACGTCTGGCCGGTGACGGAGGAGCCGGCTGAGTTCGTTGTACCTGCTACTGTAGATGTTCCCTCAACAGTCGAGGTTTCAGCCGTCCCAGTCGCCGAACCGCTGGGACTGCTCGTAACACTGCTGTTGCCGTTGCCAATGCCGCCGGCGCCACCGGTGCCAGTACTGCTCGTAGCGCTGTTAGTGCTGGAGCTGGTACTGGTGCTGGTACTGGGGCTATCGGTGGTAGTGCTGTCGGCACCGCTGGCAATAGCAATAGCGGTGCTCCTGCGGCCAACAGAGCTGCTACTTTTGCTCCCACTCGTCTCATCAGTCCCCGAACCGCCAGCTGCTGCGCCGTCGATCTGGATGCTTTCCCAGGAGCCCGACTGGTCGCCGAAAGAGTAGCTCGCCGCTGGGTTGAAGTTGGTTATGTCCACCCTCTCGACGAACATGGTGAACGGCCCCTGGCTGTAGTCCGTCACCCCGCCAGCCCACTCAATCGTCCCCGGGGGGTTGTTGCTGTCCCCGCCCGCCCAGATCCCCAACCGGATCCGCATCGGCGTCTGCGGGTAGTTCTTCCCACCCACGGCGTCCGCGTACGCGAGCGTCCGCACGGGGCTCCCGTCGATGTACCAGATGGTCTGCTCCTTGTTCCAGACGATGGTGTAATTGTGGCTGGTCGACTCGGCATTGCCGCCGGGGACGCCAACAGTGGTGCCCCGGTCGTAGGTGGTGGTGTTGCCCTTGCCGAAGTAGTTGGTCTGCACCTCACCCGCGGCGCCGCCCAGCCACTCCCAGTCGATCTCGTCGAGGTCGTCGGACTCGAGGATGGCGCTGCTGACGATGCCGGTTCCGGGGGCGGAGCGCATGACCACCGATACGGAGCCGAAGAAGATGTAGAAGTTGGTCTGGATTGTGGGGGCGTCACCCTGTTTGTTGATGGTGAACGCCGCGCCGGAACTCGAATAGCCCACCGCGCCGTTTGTTACGGTCCAGTCGGCACTGGCGCCGGAGGTAAAGTCGACGCTCGCGCTGCTGGTGGAAAGGCCATCGTCGGAGGGACATGCTGGACATTGTTAGGCGGTGTGTGTATATAGAGGGGGAGAACTTCATGGTGTCTTTACTCTTCTCTGTTGGGTTACAATCGGTCGAGGTCTGACCTCTAACCGCATGGGCGAGCCAGATGGCAGTCACTGCCGCTTGACGTATATGCATGGTTACGATGAAATAGTAAGCGAGCGTATGTCCAGAATCACAACTAGAAAGTGCAAGTATTGGGCAGCGAGGGTGAAGAAAGAAGAAAACTGTCAGAAAGGCCGGCAGACTGAGCAGAGGCAGAAACTGGATATTTGGAGAGGTCGGGGTAAGAGACCAATATCATATCATATTATCATATTCACAAAGTCATGCATACCCCAAAAATAGATTAAAAGGATGGAAGACTAAAAAAAGAAACCGGCTTGCGCGGCCAAGTTGGGCCCGTCACGTCACGGGGGTAAACCTGCTCGACCACTAACGAGTTGCGCACCGGACTAGCTTCTAGAACACCCGACGGTCGCCAAGACCGGTGCTCTGGTGCGACACCGGCTTGAGCAACGTCTCCACTCCGTTGTGGGCCGCCGCGCACGACTGGTTTCCCGTTGCCCCACTTGCAGCAAAAGGTCCTAATGGCACGAGTCTAGGCCCCGGAGTACTTGTTCAGCCAGTCAAGAACAACCCGATGCCACTCCAAAGCATTTTCAGGCTTGCTGATCAAGTGGCCCACGTCTGGAAATATGAACCCCTGGCTGGGGGTGCTGTGCACTGTGCATCTGAAGCATGCGAAGACGGCGATGCCTTCGGTGATAGTGCACTACCAGCATTGGCGTCATCCAGTTTTTCTTTTTTTCCCTCTCTCCTTTTCTTTTCGTGAAAATTGAGGATAGTTGGTTACCGAATGATCTGGTGACCTTGCGTCCTAGGGTGTGACCCTGGATCTAGTTAATCATGTGCCCACCAAAACTCAGCCCCAGCAGCGACAGCGACTGATTTTGCGTTATTTTATACGAGGTCAATTGCGGATGCTGAGCGAATAACGGACGGGGAAGGTCTAATACACTGAGCGAAGTTTGGGAAAAGCTTGCCGTATAACCCGGAAATTGTCATAGGCTCTCGCCATAGAAGACTTCTTCTTCCACGTCTCCTCGTCGTACAAGTACAACACCCCTCTAATTATCCTCAGCGCTGTCAGACCCACGACCGAAAAAGCAAAACCACCCCCATCCCGAACATGCAGACGCAAACTACTGACCTAGTCGACGGAGGATCCTGCCAGCCACGTAAGGCTCCTCCGTGACATGGCCAGCATCGGCGACGACGACGACAACCCGCGTCGTCCCCATCCTGCCGTTCCTCGACAAACAGGACTGGTGCTTGTACTTTGTGCTGTCCCAGAGCCAATTGGTATCGTGGATGCCGGCCCGCCCAGAAGCCACCCGTCGCGACGGGGCTTATCTCGGCGTCCACAACGCGCAGCTCCTGGCTCCGTGCCTTGGAAATCGCGGCAGGTGTGTTGCGTGGCAAGCCTGAATATCCCGGCAGTAGGGAACCTTGTTCCACACTGACGTCAAAGCAGGGCTTAGCGTGAACATTAGTTGGCTTCGATACCCCTGTGTACAAATCGTCTCTTGCTTACCCACGTGCAGCCTCACAGGCCTCACTGGCTGGCCTGCCTGTAATGGTCGGCATACAGTGACTTGCGAATTATGTGATAACATAGGCTTAACAAAATCAGTTCATTCGCTGTCCACTTGGCAGAAGAACTTACACGATATTACCATTCTCCAAGTTTGCGATGGACGTTTGCGAGGGTATTAATCTGAAGAACTGGAACCACACAACAATGCCGAGGAACAGACTCTGGATTTCTGGGGATGGAAGTTTCCTAAATGCAGATGTCATTGCAATCATACACACAGCTTGACTAACACAAGCTTGGAGAAATTCCCCGTCCTCGTTCCTCTGCAATCTACCCTCCGTACATGTCGCAACCCTCATCATGCTATAGGCAACTCAATTCCCCCCCCCCCGCGCCCCATCTAACCCACCCAGCGTGCTCTGCACCTAATTTAGAAACAGTTGCTCTTGACCATGTTAATCCCCATCAACTCCGCCGACAGATCCACCAGTGCCTGACCGCCAACCTTCAGCTTCTCCTTCTTGCTAGTCGCCTTCAGCATCAGCTGAACCGCATCCTTGGTGCCGCCGAGGTCCTTGATCAACCTCTTGATCTTCAGCAGCTTCCCGGCCGGGATCGCCACCGTCGCGAGCGCCTGCACGATCGACGCCACGCACTTGGTCACCTTCCACCACGACACGCGCGCCTGAAGCAGCGCCCTCTCCCACAGGGACGTGTCTGGCGTGTCGCGGGCGTCGAGCGCCTCGTCGGACCGCTTCGGCGTGACGCCAGGCTCGCGGATGCCGCTCGCCACGAGCCAGTCGTTCAGCGCGTCGTCGCCCGCCGCGAGAACGTCGTCCGGGATGCTCTCGATGGCCGTGAAGAAGCTCGTCAGGGCCGGGCTGAAATCGTCGGTGAAGTTGAAGTTGGCCCCGGCCACTTCGGCTTCGCGGGCGGTGACGTCTTTGTTGGTTCGCTTGCTGACCATGCCATTGGAGGGGAGCGCGCTGGCGAAAGCGGCGAGGAGCACAGTGACTGTGGCGAGTTGGAACTTCATGATGGTGATTTTTAAGGTATGGACGCCCAGAATTGAGGTTCGAGATAACTGAAAATCTTGGGACAGTGGGGTGGCCTGAGAGAGCAGCGATTGAGGGTGTAGAGAGAGTGAGGTCTAGGAGTGCGAGTGCTTGAGGGCTTGGGGTGCTTGAGTCTGGTGCTTTAGACTCAATGGATGAGCAGGACATGCCAGTCCTTCTTATACTTTTTCTTCGAGGCACTCTGTCAGCTTCATGACGATGAAAAGCATTCAGTGTGCCTGCGGTATAACGATCACGTCCCAAAATTAGAACATCATAATATCGTGGATCTGCTTATGGAGTTGCTCCGCTGCAACCAACATGCCAAAACATGGCCATCCATGAATTAAACAGCAAACCAGGGACAACCAGTCGCCGACAGCTGTCAGGCTCAATCGTCGACATGTTTGGTGTTGGTGGATGGGATGATAAGCCACATAAGGGTCTCTTGGCAGAGGCAAACCTGTTTTTAGAAGCCAGGGTAAAGTTAAGCACCTTGACCTAGAAACATCAATAGTGAAGGCGCTATGTCATGAACAAAGTTGACTTACACTCAGAATGACCGTCTTGCTCACCGAAGGGCATTCTAAATTTCACAAAGTTGTTCCGTTGCAGGATAAGCAGCGAAATATCTCAGATCAGGTTCAATCCGTGATAATTACCCCGCGTGGTCGACATGGTTGGGCCCCTTACAGAAGCTATATTTGGATATTTGGAGGCTTGGAGCCTCCACTTATAGCGACGGCCCGCCATTCTCATTCAAAAGTGCCAAGTCTATCACCGAGGCTGTGGACCTGTAATTAGATCTTTCTGTTCTTGGACAGGATTTAGGGGGCATCATCGAGGGTCATCACTTTGCTTGAGGAGACCATGGTTAATCATTGCCAAACCACGCACCCTTCCAACATTTCTCCAGATACCTAGAAGCCCAAGAGCTACCTTGTGCGATGGGTGGCTTTGACCAGCGTCGCAAACTGAACGCTGTAGTGTAACTGCTCACGCTAGCATCGGGATCGACATCGTCCTCAAGAACAAGGTGAGGGACGCCTCGGCACGGCGCGGTACTAGAATGCTACAAAGTTTAGGGAGCAGGGGGTCAAAGTCAGTCGCATGCCCCTCCCAGTTACACCCGAATCAGCTGCCGGCCTTTAGTTCTAACCACATGGTGTACCCCTCTCTCTCTCCCCAAGTCCGTCCTCATGATCGGCTCGGCCAACACGGTATTTGACGTGCTAGAGGATGGCACGCGGCCGGGCCGACCTATATTGTCCCCGTCGAGTCCGTCTGCGACAATCGGAGCCTAAGCGCCTACGACTTTGGCCTCGAGGCAGCCGACAGGCTCTTCTTGACGCTACCAACACGCGTGGACAGCCATCTGAGCTGGGACCTACTGGCAGTGTTCACATCGCAGGAGCCAGACCGCTACGCAGCCCTCTCGGCGGCCGGCTTCCCCGTCCTCGACAGCCGGCGCCCCGATTCAGTGCTGATGCACAACCTCCTCAGGCGAGGCGGCGGCCACCAGGCTGCTAGCCGAGGGCAAGGCAGGCATCGAGCCCGTCGCCTATACGGCGATGACGGGGCTCCGCTTCTCCGACGGCACCACTGCCGACGCTGACGCCGTGGTGCGGTGCGTGCACGGGGTTCGCCGACAAGGACCCCTGGGCGGGGGGGGGGAGGGGGGTGCTGCCGGTGTCAACGAGACCGGGACAGGAAACGGCGGCGGCGACCCGGAGGCTAGCAATGACAACCTGTTTGGCCTACGCGATAGCGCAGCACGGCTTGACGCCACGTGGGGCGTCGATTCCGAGGGCGAGATCCGAGGGCTGTGGAAGGGCCATCTGCGCCTCGAGAACTAATCCCTGGGTCATGGGTGGCCACATGCTGTTCCACTGGTGGCACCCGCGCACGCTGGCATTGCTGCATTGCAGATCAAGGCTGCGCTCGAGGGTGTTTTGCCGCCGGCTTATCGGGATACGCCGGCGGCGAGAATTAATTGAGTAGTCTCAGCCCAGGCGTTGAACCAACATCGATCGTTCTATGGGCAGAATTAATTACATGGAAATCCCGAAGTCCATTTATGTGCGTGCTATTTATCACCCCACTTCATACCGTAGCCTAACCTATGGTAACCAGGTCAGCCTCAAAGTCCGACACTATCCTCCCTCCATCAACAGCGAGGACCTGGCCCGAGACGTAGTCGGACGCGGGAGAGGCCAGAAACACAACAGCGCCCTCAAGGTCGGACGTCTCGGCGAACCTCCCGATGGGGATGCGCCTCAGGAAGCCGGCGCCGTTCTTCTCGAGGTTGACCCTGGTCAGATCGGTGAGGGTATAGCCCGGGGCGATGGCGTTGACGTTGATGCCCATGCCAGCAAACTCGGTGGAGAACGACTTGGTCAGGGCGTTGACGCCGTGCTTGGCGGCCGTGTAGGCGACCGTGTTGCGGCTGGCCAGGAAGCCGCCGACAGAGGAGGTGTTGATGATCTTGCCGGAGGCGCCGCGGCGGACCACGTCGGAGGCGAAGGCGCGCCCGAGCACGAAGCCGGCCGACAGGTTGATCTGCATGATGTCGTACCACTTGTCCTCGGGGTAGCTCAGGATGGGCTCGCGGTGGGCGATGCCGGCGTTGTTGACGAAGATGTCGACGACGATCCCCGCCGCCCACACGCGCGGGAACAGCTCGCGCACCTGGTCGCGGTCCAGCAGGTCGGCCCGGAACACGTGCGTCTCCACACCAATGGCCTGGATCTGCTCGGCTGCGTCGTCGGGCTCCGACGGATGGAGCACGAGCACGATGTTGGCTCCTGCTCGCGCTAGGGCGCGTGCGTACGCTAAGCCGACGCCGCGACCGGAGCCAGTGATGAGAGCTGTCTTGCCGGATATGGAGAAGAGGTGGTGGAAGTACTCCGTGCTGGGGGTCGTGGGGGTGGATGCCGTTGCCATCTTGGCTTAACTGGTAACCAATAATAATTGTGCGGGGTTGTGTAGGGGATGGGATGTATGTGACTCGCTTTTGCTCCTTCTTTCACATTGTCCAGAGCGTATGAAAATTATTATACATCTTGCGGAACCTGGTTAGAAGCAGAGAGTGGAGATGGTTAGGTGTGCAAGGCCCTCCGCTCCGCCCGGAGCTCCGTAGCGCCAAAAAAGAAAAGAAAAAAAATTCCTCAGAGCTTTCCATGCTAGCTCAACTCCACCTCCATCGCTAGCTTCGTCTGCTGACAACGCTTGGGTCTCTTCCTCCAGAGTTCTCCGCTGTCACCCCCGCAGTTTTCCCCGGACGAGCCCCGGATGGCCGATGTTGTCGTGAGGGCTGATAATTATAAAATGACCGAACCTTGCTGGCAAGCACATGTCTAGCCCAACCTCTCTAGACCTCGTGTTCCCCTTTAAGAGGCGAATCTAAACATAGAATCCAGGGAAGAGGATGTACCGCGACACCGAAGCCCAGGGCGTTGCCCCTGATGTTGGGGTAGAGCTCTATCCCGGCACGGAGATCATGGGCGAGGACCTCGTCGGTGGCCACCTCATCCACGGCCACAACAACAGGGAGGGAGTGGTGCTGGTCCCTCAGCCATCCACCAACTTGGATGATCCGCTGGTAAGAACCACAATGCCACAGAGCTGCTAGGCTCGGCCTGGTATAACGATTCAACCCATTCTCTCTGACTAATTAATGACTCCATCTGGCCAGAACTGGACCCCGATGTGGAAATGGACCGTGGTGGTCCTTCAAGTCACTTTCATCCTGACTTCGGTCATCTCCGCGCTTTCAGTGTCACCCTTGACTCCGGTCTTTGAGGCCCAGTTTCATAAGGATGCCGAGGCTATTGCGTTGCTGGTACGTATAGGAATAATTCACCAACACCCTTTGTTTCTGCCACTAACGTCAGCAACCACGGTGAAACCAGACCAGCGTTCTCGTCATTGTTACTGGATACACCAACCTACTCCTCGTTCCGATCGCAGAAGTGTTCGGCAGGCGATTCGTGCTCATTCTTTCTTCGCTGATCAGCCTCGGCGCCTCCTTCTGGCACGGCGCCGCCCAGTCGTACGGCTCGTTCATGGGGGCGCGCATCTTGATCGCCGTCGGCATGTCCATCGGCGAGAGCCTGATGCCCATGGTCATCGGCGACGTGTTTTTCCTCCACGAGCGCGGCCGCTACGTCGGCATCTACTTCTTCGCCCTGTTCAACAGCATGTGCCTCGGCCCCCTGATCGCCGGCGCCTGCGCAGAGCGCTTCTCGACCTGGAGGAACTTCTACTGGATCATCGGGAGCCTGTCCGCCGTCGGCTCGCTGGCCATCATATTCCTGCACCCGGAGACCAAGTATATCCGAGAACAGCCGGCGACGACGACGGCCAGCATCACAGACACTTCGCCCCCGAGTCCGCCAATCGAGAAGACCGGCTCGGCCGAGCAGCTCGAGTCATCGCAGGATACGTCAAGCGAGGCTAAGGCCGACGGAGCGAGTAATGATAATGACAATAGAATGGTCATGATGGACCAGCACCTCGGGCGGGGGCGGCCCTCGAGGAGCCAGTTTCGGCTGATCCAGGCCACGGACAGAGACGCTCTGTCCAAGATATCGCGCCACGTGGTAACGCCCTTCCGACTGCTCGGGTTCCCCATCGTGCTCTTCGGGGCCTGGATGCTCGCCGGTCCCGCCGCCGGCCTGCTGGCCGTCAACTACACACAGGCCGGAGTGCTGATGGCGCCGCCGTACAACTTCAACAGCAGTCAGGTCGGCCTCAGCAACCTGGCGCTTGTGTGCGGGGGGTCGCTGGGCGTGCTGACGGCCGGCCCGTTGTCGGACTGGGTGGCCATGTATCTGACCAGGAGGAACCGCGGCATCAGAGAGCCCGAGATGCGTCTGGTATCCATGGTTCCCTTCATCATCCTTTCCACCATCGCTCTCGTCGTTGTTGGCCTGGGCTATGATCGCCTCTGGCCGTGGGAGGCCATCATCATCGTCGGCTTCGGAGGTATCGGGCTGATGACCGTTAGCCTTTCGACCATCGGCATTACGGTATTATGCCCTGTTTTCCTTTCTCTCCCTTTCCTTCTGCTTTCTCTCTTTTCTCCTTTCTCGTCGGGTTTGAAGCTGACATGATGTGGCAGTACGCGGTCGACTGTTACAAACCAGTGGCGGGACAGATCATGGTTATTGCAACTGTGGTGAAGAACACATATGGGGTGAGCCTCCTAATGCCCAAACGACCACCTTCTCCCTTGGGGTTCAAAGTGTGTGGCTTATGCTGACTTCTACCTGACAGTTCGGCATGGGATATTATGTAACGGGCTGGGTCGAGAATGCCGGCTACACGCCTCTTTTCATGTGCAGCCTTGCAACAATCATCGGCCCGGCGTTGTTCGGGATCATCTTCTTTTCTATCTTCGGAAAGCGTCTCCGGAAGCTCACACGCCATGCCAAGGTTCACACTTATTAATTTAGTTCAGATGTCACGAGGGTTTGCCATAACTATGCTGTTGGCTATTGGAATTGTAACTTCGCTGTGCATTCTGCTGTTAAACATTGGAAAATCACTACCCAAATATTAATCATTGGTCAGGTGCTGGCATGCTTCAAGGATAATCTAGGCATTGCGGGCGCACGCCCAGTGTCACCACCGTTTTACCCCGCTATGTGTGTTCCCAATCGATTGGGGGGGGGGGGGGGGGGGGATGAACTAGTTCACGAAAAGCCTTTGAAGAAAGCCCGGTGATAGACCAAACCGATTCATGCTAAGTTCCGGATTACAGCAGCTGCGTCTGAGTTCAAGACAACAGTTCGCTTGCAGCAGCCATAAGGGGCAACCTCGACTTTGGGACCCTTTGGAATGAGGGCGCAGCCATCTTTACCGCATATTTTTTCCAAGCAATGATCTTCGCGAGGCACGTCAGGGTGTAGCACAATGGTAGTTTAATTTAGGTTTGGGGTGGTAATTCAGCCCTGTAATAAGGCTTAGCACGTGGGGCAATCTCGTAGCAGCAAGGCACGATGGAAAAAAGCCCTCCCATAATTCACCACTCAATCCACCGCTCCAAGTCGCTTCAACTCACCGCTCAATTCACCGCTTCGTAGCTATCAGGATCCGAGACATTAGAGATTGGAGCATGAGCTGTGCTGAGTTCAATCGCTGTGATTTTGGAGGCGTGGAGAATGTGTGGAGAATAAGCTGCAGCTCATGCAGGGGACCAAGCAAGCTCCCATGCCTATCTCGATTAATCACCCTGCGAACCCCTGCGAACCAGTTCATGCGAGTTGCGAAGCTCCCACACCGCCAATTGTAGTGATGCAAAGTGCTGCCAAAATTGTGCGAATATATGCAAACTAGTTCATGCAGGGCTTCAGTGCCAAGACCCGTGTTCGTTGATTCCCCTGCCCAGCAATTCCTTCCGATCTCGATTCTGCACGCACCTGAAGCTACAGTTGGGACCCTGGCTGGCCATTAAGTCGCCCCTACTTCCCTGTCGATGCTGTTGCACTTGATTAATAGAGGGAGGAACCCTTTCGTCCATTCATCTTGGCCTCAATTCTCTCCATCTCCACCGTGCCATCTGCCAGCTCTACCCGAACGTTAATCCCATCTCTCATCATCCCCTCCCACCCATGGCACCTCCCGCCTTCTCTCGAGAGTCCCGTTGTGCCCCGTTACCTAGGTAATCACAAGTAAGATTCCCAAGTTCCACCATTTCATGTTCCGTCCTTCTTTCACCGTTCAGCCCCGTCTTCGGCTTGGGTCCATCACACAATGACTTCAACATGGTAACCCAATGCCCCCTTCAAAGTAAGTCTCTCTGCCCACATCCTCCGTTCTATCTCCGTCATCTCAGTCCCGTCCCTCATCTCTCACATCCTCATCTCTTACCATGGCATCCGTCAGGTACTTTCGAACCGCGAGTGGGCCAATCTTCGGCTCGGATTCCCTATCATGCTATCTCCATCCTGCCCCGGCGCCCAAGCTCAGGTGAATGAATCAGCCATGGTCATCCCACACTAGTCCCTCAATTGACTGACATTGTCAACCAGGGCACCATCTGCGGTAACCTCTCTTGACACCATCCAGTCGAACCCACGCCACGTCGGGCTGCCGCTACGCACACACCACCAGGCCGCCATTCTGTTACAACTATTCCAGGCAGGCAAGACGCCGGCACACAAGTTGGAGCTGTTGAACCCGCGATCTGCCTTCACGGCAGCCCAGCTCCTCGAGTGTGGCCTCGCAACGGCCCCGCAGCGGATCCGTGACGCTTTCGGACTGTCTGTGGCGACACTGGTGAAGAAGGCGGTTCGTCTCGGGGCCGTCGTCAAGTTGGGACCGCCGTGCCGGCATGTATCAGTGGAGCACTGCTGTCGTACAAGCGCACTTTACCAGTGTGGAAGTGTGACCGAGTGGCTTCAGAATGACGAGGATAGGGGTACTTCGAATGGTAGTACCCACGCAATCGCGCCTCGGCGTTAACCACGTCAGCAGCCTCCTCCACCCCTTCTCCTGGCCTCCTCCCCTTCCAGAGTCGGCGGTCTGAGCTCAAGTCGTCACGCTCAACCCCAGACTTGCCACACCACGCAGACTCCCCAGTTTCCCCTCCAGACTCCAAGATCCGCCCAGGACGCGGAAGCACCACAGACGCCGCAATCCCACACCCCGCAGATGTCTCCCTGGACACCACAGTCCCCTGCCGAGGTCAAATTCGCCCAGGCCAAAGCAGACTGTGAGGCCGTCGAGGCCCAGATCGGCCAGCTCGCGCTCGCCTCCCCCAGCTCGTCGCTTTCCTCGGGAAGCCCTTCCGTTGCGCGCAACTCGGGCGCGTGGGTATCGCCCGTCTTTCGTTCCCCCCTTGTGCTCACAACTCCACGAAGACGGCCTATTTCTCTTGGAGCGCTGGGTGGTTTTCCAGGTCTGGGGCTGTCCTCCCCACTTTCGATGGCCATGTCGTCTGGGGGTCTCGGAACTGGGATTCCGGCGATCCAGCAGCGTCATCAGCCACAACTACATATCAATCCACCCATTAGTGCTCAGCCTTTAGCCGGTCCGACCTTCCAGGCACAGTCTCCTACCATTCAGCCCCCGCCCTCGCTGTCCTTCGGCCCGGCCGTTCCCAGCATAGTTCCGCCGCCCGTGCCGGCGCCGGCTCCAATCCAGACTCCCACGGGAAGAACTTGGTATTATCAACCGTCCTGGCCGCAGCCTGTCCAATATCGGCCCCAGGTAGCACCTCCGGGTATCCTGTCGGCGCCGGGGTTGGCGACAGCACAACCGACAGTTGCCAGCATGGTTCCACCACCCCCTCCAGGTGCGGCTCCGCCTCCAGCTTCGGTTCAACCTGCGGCACAATTCCCCGCTCTAGCTCCAGCTCCCATGCAGACCACCACGGAAGGACCTTCGCAATACCAGCTTCCCTGGAGCCAACCCGTTCATCTAGCCCAGCCATCAAACATCTCGTCTGTGCCGGCGTTGGTCCCGACGCATGAGGCACTGTCTGCCCAGGATACAAACCAGCGGATTTTCTATCCTCAACCCATTTGACCAGATCTCATCGCCGAGCCGTTCCCACCGGCGGTGTTGCAAAATGCGGGAGTCCCTCAACACCATCCGCAACCGCAACCGCAACAGCATTCCTACTCCCACTCGGACATCCCCCCAATTCAGTTTCAGCACCAGCTCCAGTCCCAGTTCCAATCCACCACCCTAGCGCCCACGACATCAACCCCGGAAACATGGCGCAACGCCCCAGAACCCCCGCCGTGGTCATCCCATTAGCCCCATCATCCCAAACCCCCACCACCACCGCCACAGCCACAACCCGTCCCCGTGCCTGCTGCCCCAGTCATCGCCACCCCGACTGCCCCCGCCATCAACCGAGGATGTACCGAAGCCGCCACTCCGAACCCTACCCTGTCATGGCCCGGTATCATCACCCCGCGGGCATCGGGGTTTGCAAATAGTCGGCACGCCCCCCGGGACACTGCTCCATCTGGTGCGTCGGCTAGTTGCTGGGCGGATGGGGGTGCTGGTTTGGGTGGACCGAGTGCTGGGACCGTTGTTACGGGTGTTAGTGTCGGTTCTGGCGGCGGCGGCGGTCCCGGCCGGACATCCCCGTGGATCATGTCCCCCGGGCTGACGTTCCTTGCGTCACGGGGTGGGGGTGGTTCCTCGAGTAGTACGACAGACCACGGCGCTATCACCCCGGGAGTTAATGTCGCTATGGCTGGGGGTACGGAGAATTTGGTTCAAGGATATCTGAAGCAGCAGAACCACCACCACCACCACCACCACCACCACCACCAGCATCAACAATCATCCGCGGCGCCGCATCCTCCAGCGCGTCCGCAAACCATTGTCCCAGCACCACCGTTGCGGCCGCAGACCGCCATACATGTCGGGGTGGAGTCAATCTCGGCCGGGATGGGGGCGCCTGTGTTGTCAACGAAGGAAGAGTTGGCTCGGTTGATGGGGTCGTAATTAGGTTAGTGCGAAGGAGAAGGCTTGGGTAGAGGGAAGGGGTGATAAGTAGGTTTGTCACTGAGTGGTTGGCAATTATACGTCGAACTTGTAGCGCAGGTACTTGAAGCTAATGATAGTTAGCAGGATAGCTAAGCTTCCACGTAGCCCATGAAGATACAGATGACTTTGCCGTACTCCGTACTAGGCGTTGGCGGCGTCGCTCCCCGCAGACGCGTCAGACTCGGGGAGGAGGAAGCGCCCGCCGATAGTGGACGAGGCGGAGGAGACGACGTTGCCAAGCTAGTACAAGGTGCTGACGGTGGAGATGCCGAGGGCCACTTGGGACAGTTCAGTCAGGTGGATGGGGATGACACGCCTTAGGCGCCTTGGAAGGACGCCCCCAAGTGCAAACCCCATTGTTGCCGACATGTCCTAGACAGCTGCGCAGGCAGCTAAAGACAAGTATATGACGGCGCGCCAAGTTGACTTCCAATGTAACCTGCCCAGCGTTTTAAAAACACCACAGAATGGGCACTCCCGGCTTCCAATGCATCACGAAGCAGCCATCAAGAGTAACCATGCCGCTCATCACCGACGCCAGGTTAGATGCTGGATGCAATTACAATGCAAAGCGCAGAGTTAATGATAGCACACGAGTAATGGCCGGCGTGGGAAGTGCAAGTGCTCGTAGTTACAAGGCGCACTGCTGTGTCTACCTCCACATAAAGTTATAGGTAGGAAATCCGATCCCGTATCCCTAATGGGAATCCCCACCAGTCGGTTACGCTATCTATATCCAGCCACATGCAAGTGCCGTGCATATACTCCTCCTCCTTGCTCTCACTCACTATGACTCATCTCTATGGCCCCACGGCCGCCACCTCGACCTGGATCCTCCCTGCGGAGGAGGCGGGCCCTCTTGCCGGCGTGAATTGTGGGTGACTGAACTGTGCCTCGTCTGGGCTTGGTTTCTTGGCGGCTGCGGCCTCAACTCTGAGTCGCTCCCTTGGTCGCCCATCTCCGAGTACAGCTGCTGGCCGGTATAAGGATCATAGAGGAACGTTGCTGGTGCGGGTTGCGGTGGCCCCGGCGGTGGGCCGTACATGGCCGGTGGTCCCCATGCCGGGCCGTACGCCGGGCCCCATGTCTGCCCGTATGCCGGTGCATATGTCGGGCCATAGCCTGGCAGGGGTGGTCCTCTCACTGGCAGACTGTATTCGCTGTTGGACCTTGCGTGTCCGGGGTCATGTAGATCATGATTTGGGGCTGTTTGACGGCTGTTCATCACGGTCGGAGGCGTCCGCGGGCGTGGGTTTTGCCGGGCCGATCGGTATGGTTCGCGTTGTTGTGCGGGACGGGGCGCCGGTGCTCTTTCCGGCTCGGGCTCGTCGGATATCAAGACATGGGGATAGTCCTTATCTGTGAGTAGATCCGCGTGGGGTTTGTAGTCAATCTTGTCGCCACACCACTCCAGGCCGATTCTATCGAAGTCCTTCTGGAAGCTCTCGTGGAAAGCGTAATACACAGACCCGTCGTTGTACGCTAGCACGTACTCCCTTGCGTGATGCGGATTCAAGACGGCTTGCTTTTCATCCATCAACCAATGGTAAGTGTGTGTCGGGGAGTACAGGGTAGGTAGGTAGGTCGTCACTCACATTAATCACCAGTCCCCGTGTCTGTCCGTCCTCAAGTGCCTTCTTCAGTCGAGGCGGAAGATGCCTGCCGCCGAATAGGACTTCAGACTGCTCTTCTCTGTATAATATCCAGCCTCCGCCCTGTCCAAGCGTGACTGCCCGGAGACGACCAAAAGTCCAGTGTTGCAGGTTGTGTGGGCATCGATCCTTAGGGTCCTTGTACAGTCGTGACGCGGCCATGGACTTTTGGATCGCAAGGTCACAATCCTCCGGCAGCCCGTGATAACGGTAGTGCCAATTCCTGTCATCGTCGGATAACCGAATGAAGAACGACTCGGATGTGTCTCCTATCGCAAAATGGCTCGGATTTCCCCCCCGAGGTGCGCCGGTATGGATATCTCTCAGGTATTTTCCCAGCGTGGGGTGGCTGTTCTGAGGAAAGGTGGGATTCTTGTCAGGGAGCCATTGGTGACTGGCTCGGTCTGTCCAGGAATACGCGAGCCAGAGCGCCTCCTTGGTCTCCTCGAAGGGAACATAGTCGTAGTCACCCTCCTCGGGGGGCTTTGGACGCCAGCAGGTGATGTGCATAAAGAAGCACCCTGGCTTGAGCGTGTAGTATCTCGTAGTGCTTGGGTTTTTGGACAGCTGTTCGTGGCCTTTCAAGCTTTCGATGCATTTCAAGAGGCTCGATGGGATGTTCTTGCTCCTATTTGTCGGTCAGCTTCGCCATCTTGGCCGTCGGTCCTGCTATCCTGGGAAGCGTAATTTTTGCTGACATACAGAGCAATGTCTCGGGTTTCGTCAGGGTTAGCCGCCTTCGCCTCTTTGATCGGGTGAGGATACGATGTGGCCGCATAGCTCTTCGGAGCAACAAAGGCAACCATCAAGACGCCACCGGGCGAGATCGGCGGCATGGGAGACACGGTGTCATCACTGCTGCGTCCTGCCATCGTCTAAATTAACTCAAGATTGGCACATGGTGTTGTAACGGTATCATTTCAAACCTATAATCTTCTGGGGTTGGAGGGGAATCGATGCCTCTTGTACTGCGGCGCGGCATGGTTGCAGGTGCAAGGGAGCTGCAGCCCTGGCAAGTTAATAGGCAGATTGTGACCCTGTATTGCAGAGGAAATGGAGGGTTAGCTTGGACTCTGATTGGAGTTTACGAAAGCTCGGGGCTGAAACTGGGTGGCGCATGCATGGCCTGCACCATAACCAGGCTGCTCTGGCTCCCTCCAATTCGAGCCTCAAGCATGGAGTTAAATGAGGTGTAAGGTGCCAGCCATACGTAGCCAATGTCTTCATCTCGAGCTCTCATTCGTTTATATACCCAGGTTCAGGTTTACAGACGGTCTTGCAATCCTTTCGTCTCCCGCCGAGGGTGTTGGCGGTGGCGTGACACGGCATTTACGCCCGGGGCTGCATAGTTGTCTGGCAAGTCACACCTTCAGTTGATTGGCAGTGATTAAACGAGAGGTCCAAAACTCGCTCAGCCGCACGCTGCAGAGTTGCGCCTCAAATTTCGTCACTTCTTCGTGCTGAAGCTCCTTCCCGAATCTGCTTGGTGGAGACCCCGGAGGAATGAGGAGCCCCGCACTCGGAGACGCCAAGCCCCAGCGCCGTAAGATCGGGAGATCCTTGGCCCGCCCGCCACGCAGACGGGACCTGCCGATAAACCGGCGGTGAGATATTAAAATTCGTGGGTTCCCACGAAAACTGGTTCTTACTGCCAATTAAGAGTCCAACGCCAATTTCCAGCGTTTAGCACATATTCAGGACGACATGAGTTCCGGAAACCCCGATTGTCCGTGTTGCAAGGCGCAGACTTATGAGGGCTGGTCGTGTCTCCCGGAACTGAAATCGTTCGCCAAGGACGGATGTCCGTACTGCTCTCTTCTTCTGGAGGGCATCCTTCACCTGATTCCCGATATCGAGGCCAGATTCGGCTACGATGCGACCTTCCGCTTTAAAAACCGGCGTGCTATCGTCGTATATGCGGATCCCAACGGCTCACTCGGGTACCACCCAAACTCAGAGGACGTGAAGCTGGAGTATGAATTCTACACCGTGGGTGCATATCGGGAGCCACAGCCTCCTGGGGACACGTCCTCCGAAGCAAGCTTTGAACAGGCGCGGCAGTGGATCCAAACTTGCTCGACGGACCATGTGCTCTGCGGCGCGCACGAGCCGTCGTCGCTTCCCACACGGGTACTCGACCTCGGGGATGATGATGCAGGGGCCGAGCCCGCGCAGGTCAAGCTCCTGGAATCGCACAACCAAAAAGAGCTGTACATCTCGCTGTCCCACTCCTGGGGGGGTGAGCAGCCTCTCACCACCACTGCGGCGACACTAGAGGATCGTAAAGCCGGCATCGAATTTGCCCGACTGCCCAAGACGTTCCAAGACGCAGTGCGGATCACCCGGCGATTGGGCATTCGATACCTATGGATCGATTCTCTCTGCATCATCCAGGACGACGCCAAGGACTGGCAGGTCGAAGCCAGTCGTATGGCGAGCATCTACCGAAATTCCTGGCTAACCGTGTCCGCGACAAGCTCGTCTTCGCCCAGCAGTGGCTGCTTCAAGTTTGAACAAGCGATCGAGGTAAAAGCCGACGATGACGGCGACGACGACGACGACCCTCTAAACGTTCTATTCCCCGAAGCCACCAAGCTTCGCCAGGATCTCCGCCTGTCCCTCCGCTTCACGATCGCACACACGGACTTCAGCCCCTTCTCCCGCCCACAGGAAAACAAGCCATTCCCGCTACTCAACCGCGCGTGGGCCTACCAGGAGCGGCTCTTAGCCCCACGGGTCCTGCACTTCGGCCCGCACGAGGTCTTCTGGGAGTGCATGCAGGACCTGGATTGCGAGTGCGGCGCCGCGAAGTGGTCGGGCGCGCGCAACATGGGGACCTACATGAGCCGCGACACGTCGGGCCAGCTACCGCCCAAGATCTCGCACTACGCGGCGCTGCACGTGGGGACCGCCAAGAAGCGCCATGGGGTCGACGACACGACGCGGAAGCAGAAGCTGCTGTCGCGCTGGGCGGACATGGTGCAGGAGTACAGCCGGCGCGCCCTGACCTTCCCCACGGACCGGCTGCCGGCTTTCTCGGGCGTGGCGGCCGAGATGGTCGAGGCGCTCGGGATGAAATACCGCGCGGGCCTGTGGGAAGAGACACTGCCGCTGGGTTTGTTGTGGGAAAGGGATAATTGCATCGAGATAGGTCCGCCGCTGCAGAACCCGAGACCTGCCCCGTCGTGGTCGTGGGCGGGCATCGATGCTCCTGTGAGGTTCCTTCTGTCGCTGTACGGGCCGTACCGTGCGTGGGACGTGCCTGTCATACATGCGGAAGTGGAAGAGATTCGCTGCATCCCATCAGGGATAGACGAGAGGGGACAGGTTCGAGTGAAGGAATCATACGTCATACTCTCCGCTGAGATGGTGACGGCATCATTGTATTTTGAACCTGATTCCGGGTCGCCTGAGTGGACACCATGGATACCTGTGAGCGAAGCAGTGGCAAAGGGTACCAAGGGGCCAACCGAACTCACTCGTAGGTCGTTCATGATCAAGGCCGGGCAGGGAGATCCTGTCATGTTTGTCCCTGACATTGCACTCTGCGACAAGGACGGCAATTGGGCATGGGAAGAAAAGGATGAGCTTTATTGTGCGAAGATCCTTAAGTCGTCGGACTTTTGGCACTGGCTCGTTCTTAGACCGATCCATGCGGAGGGGGATTCGGTATATGAGCGGATAGGAGTCGTCCAAAATTCAGACGCAGACTGGGGCTCCAACCAGGCAAAACAACGGGTTAAAATCATATAGGGATGAACGAATACTAGCAGTTATAAGGCAATAGGCCCTTTAGCCAGGGCAGCAACTAGCTAGTTCACGAGCATCGTATGGTTAGTATGCTATGGGCGAAACGGTTCGTGGCCCGTTGCTTCGGTCTCTATATATACTTTCTTAACAGCCTTATTCAGCTCACTAATTTCCCATCCGGCAGTGGACTTTGTGGAACCACCGATCAGCTGGTGATTAGTGATCAAGCCGGTGCTGCTCCTATGTTGACCCACGGCACTTCACCAAACCGACTGTCTTCATCGACGGGAACCCCCAAGGTCACGTACAGCAGCTCGCCTGCCACGGTCTCCGCCACCAGATCGATAGCTCCATTCCCGGAATTGAATCCAGCGGCAAGCGAGAGATACTGTGTCTGCCAGGTATTGACACCTTGCGTATCGTAGCACCACAGATAGTTCCAGAAGGTCCAATCGGTGCCGTTGAAGGAGTTGTAGTGTATGCAGTTGTCCGTACCGCGGGAGAAGAGGTGAGCTGCAGGCAACGACGTATCATCTTCTGGCTTGCTGCCTGCTCCTCCGGGACGTCCGATCAGGGCCTGAGTGTTGGCAAACTCGTAACCCTCGTGGCTAGCCGAGAGCAGCCGCCATTCCCCCCACTGACCACCAGAATAGAGCTTATGGTGCGTGCCCATATTCTCGACGACCTGCACCAAGTCGATCGCCATGTCCCCTGCATCGTCGGCAAACACAACCGCCAATGGCGACCCGAACGGCCCGACCCACGAGCTTTGGCTCGGGCTGCCAAGATCTTCCCATCCGCCCTGCCAGTCCCCATCACCGTTGCTGCTCCAGACTCGGTGTTTGACAATACCCTTTCCCCCCCCAGTCGCGGTCCGCCCAAATACGTCAATCCTCCCATCCCCCTCCCACCCCGTGACAGCTATCTCGCCCACGAACCCGGACCCAATTTCTGCCCAGCCTCCCCACTCGGCCCCGTCCAAGACCCCATGGTACACTCTCCCTGCTGCATCAACAACAAACACATCCACTCGCCCCTCGACGACAGAGACAGCCGCCGGCCTCGCCGCCGCCGGTCGGGTTAAGCCCCCGAGTCCTTTCCAACGGTCCTCCCACACGCCGTCTCGGTACCGCGCATAAAGCACACCTCCCCGCCTATCAAGCGCGAGTGCAATCCGCTCTTCATTGTCACCACCGGCAATAGCCACGGCCGTGGGCGCGACCGCGAAGGATCGGGGAGACGACGCGGCGGCGTGCCATTCACTGTTGCTGGTGCTGGTGCTTCCTGGCTCCTTCCACGACAGCGCGCGGCGGTTGTTGAGCTGCCACACGATCAGCGAGTCCGGGCCGCCGATGGGGCCGCCGTGGCCGATGCCTAGGTCTCGCCGGGGCGAGATGGTGACGTTGCCGCCGTGGCCGCCGCCGGGGGTTGCGGTTGAGGTTGGGTATGGGTATAAGGGCGTGGGTGTTGTTGTGCCGGTGATGGCGTTGTGGAGGTAGTCACGGCTGCGGAGACTGTGTTGCTTGGCGATTAGTTGTGTTCTAGGTTGACAGGTTTCTTGTCTTCTTTCTTTCCCTTTTTCTTCCAGCCGTGCCTCACTTACCTCAGGAGAACCTCGTCACCTTCGGTGGCTCGTGCCCCGAGGATTGACCCGAAGATCACAGTGAGAACGACGGCCGCTACAATTACTCCCGCGAGTATGGCGCGCCTCTTTTTTCTATCCCATGAATGCTTGCGTTGCGGCACTATCGTCGTGTCGGCCTTAGTAATGTTGGCATTCAATGCGACGACCTGGGAGTAGGCTGGCCCTGTCGACTGCTGGAAGTCGAGCTTCTCGTTGGTGCTCTCCATGGCGCCGAACATATAATTAAGACGGTGAAATGGAAAGAAGAAGAGTGGCGGACTACTTCGACAAAAGCACTTGGGAGGTTCACCTTGATATTGCCTTGAAGCAATGCTGCCCCTCAATGGTGCAATCTAGCAGGGTTGCAGCTCCTTCGCGCCGAATATCCGACTAGGATTCCCTTGTATCTGGGTCTTGGCAGGCACAGATTCTTCCCAATGAGGAGAGATGCTGAATATTACCGGGTAGCCTGATTGTGCCAAGACTGCTAATTTGATCCTCCTGAAAGTCTATAATTTGTTGGAAACTTTAGACTTCACAACCTTCAAGATCCATTAAGATCGATTAATGAGCAAGCGTCTTTGACTCAGTGTTCGGATCTGTACTTATGTATATCTCCCATTACGCCTCCGAAGGGGTCCTTCTGCTCCAAGCCACCCCACCCCGTAAGCCTAGTAGGAGGAGTAATATGGGATGCTTCGATCAGGTTTTGAAGGGGGCCGAGCCTCAACGCGAACGTCCAACTCGCTGCCCGACCCTCGGTGTTTCCTAAATGCACCCCGCCACGCCTCTTCCATCTCAGCCTCTAGCTCCCAGCCGTGATCTACCTTGAACCCGAGAGACGATGTCATAGCCGAGTAGTCCATAAGGAAGCCCCCCGGCCCACATGTTACCCCCACATGGCAGGTTTTGAGCTCCGGCATGCGCTTCGCTGCCTGGGCAGCAGAGAGCAGCAGATCGTGCGTGGCTTCGGTACTTGCTCGCACGCGGAAGGTTTTCCAGGGCCGGTCCTCGAGCGCAGGTGCGTCAGGGGCCGACATGTCCAAGACCTCGAATGGTGACTCGACTGGTGGATTTCTGTCCAAGTCTCGAGCTATCACATCGTCCCGGTCCAGTAGCCATCTGCCGTCTGGGGCGGCGCGGGATGGACTGACATGCAATTCTCTCATGTGGGGCTAGGATGACGCGGACTCTAGGCTCAGCCAGAAGTCGTTTGTCATAGAAGCCGAGAGACGTAGGGTTATGAGTTGGCGGGAGAATCTGCCGAGAGCAACGCTTAAAGGATCGACAGTGGCGTCTGGGGGAAGAACATTGGGGGGTGAATAGGTATCGTTAAGAGGTCCTTGGTAGTTGGAATCAATCCTGGCATTTCGGATAGAATGGGGTAGCTTGGCGATAGATTTTGCGAAATCTATTCAAGAAGACGTGTTGTATTCAAGAAGACGTGCTGTAAGTGCATGTGCCTCATCACTAGACATTGTGGTATCAAACATACCATGCCGGAGCTGTCGCCGCAACTCTAGGTTTTTCTTCTCCTAGTCCGGCAACTCAAGCCATAGTGTATCGACTTTCACCAGAGATGCTGCTATCTCGCAGCATGCCGCAGGAGCAATCTTACGTGCCCCATGTGGGACACGGAACTCGGATATCCAAGATATACTAGGTAACTGCTGATCATCTTCAAGGACAAGCTCGAGGTACGAGCTCTGGTAGCGGGCATCGGTGATGTCGTTGGTTAGTCCCTGACGCCGGAGCATCTGGTGCCTGACAAGGGCATAGCCATTGTAATGATCGTCACCCTTGTAACGATCGTCACTCTCGCAGGCTGCATCGATGCCGAAGATTATATCTGGTCCATTGCGTACCTCCCCCCTCCCCTGCTGGGTTTGGACCAAGCAAAACAGACTGAAGACAGCCAGCACGGCCTTGGTGAAGGTCTCGTTGTTGAGCCGCTGCTCGTCTGGCGACTCGACGCGCTCGCAGGCCGCTGCATCATACTCGGGCAGGTCAACGCGGAAGAAGACAGCGCGTACCAGCTTCCACCGGTTGTTCGCCGTCAAATATTGGCGTGCTGCGGGTAGGCGCCCACTATCGAGATGGATGAGTGCAAAGATGTGTCGCTCGATTTGATTCTGCCATTTCCTTGCTAAGCTGGAATTTGACTTTGATGGACGTAATCTCTCTTGTCGAGCAAAGAAGTCTCTATTGCATGTTGCGATAATACAATAACCAGAAGTGCGCCTACTGATCTGGGGGAAGTTTAGGCAGCAGCTTCGCCCCGCCGGCTAAATAAGAAAATTGAGGTTTTGACCCAGTGTCAGCTATCGCCCACCGTAATACAGCATGAGCAGCCGATTGGTGGTAGGCCATGTCGTCACTCTAGGCCGACATGCGCCCGGCGGCGGGGTTTACAGAGGAGGGTGAAAGGAGCCAGTGCGTAGTTCAAGTTGACGGGCCGTATGCGCTCCGGGTGACCGTCTGCCCGGATGGCTGCAGCTGCCACGTCTCGTAGTCCGAGTTTATGGCCGTGAAGTAAGCCCGGCGGCAGTGAAAATGTCCACGCCGGGTCTCTGCCGGACCCAGTTCACATCCATGATGAGGACGGGGGGGGAAACCAACAGGTTGCACAAAGTCAAGCCGTTGGCTTGTCTCGCCGAATGCTTTGTTGTACACGAAGTCGCGGCCATCGCCATCCGATGCGAACCGCCACAGTGCACTGTCGCCGGCTGCGGCACAGGACTCGACCCGGATAGGGTAATCTGTCGGTGCAATCAACCCCGGATGGGCGACCATGCAGTCGCTGCTCCGCCCGTTGAGTTGGACGTAGTAGTGCTTACTGGGGTCGGGCGACGCTGAACTCGTCATCTTCGAGGGCTGCTAGGGGGATTAGAGGATCAGGTAGGTGAAATTAATCAGAACTGGGTGCAGGGAGGAGGTCATTTATGGTGCCTTTTGTGGACATGTCTCTTTCCCTCCCAGCTCAATTATTTTTAGTAAGGGGGTAGAGCCTCGTTTGCCCCTGTCCTTTGGAGTGTTTTAAATGTCTGTCAATTGCCGCCGTGGCACAACGGTCCAGCAACGGAGACACCAGCCATGCAGGAAATGAACCAAATGGTAGCCGCACGGAAGATGCTCTGTACGCCAGTTTGCTGAGAGCCTGACACGCGATGGGCAAGGATGCCAACCTAGAAGCGACCAGTCAGCGAATCATAACGTTGGTGGCTCAGCCTTATCAGCGACCTCCATGCTTGAATATTTCATTGGGTATCATAAACTCGGAAGAAGCGCTTAATAAGAATTTTGATACAAGGGATTAACGCCAGGCGCCATCGCCAAGCACTTTCCGGGGAACCAAGATTGCAGCTTAACTCGAATGCGCCTTGGCAAACCCCACCCTGCTTACTGCCTTGCCTCATGTCACCAGCACAGGTACGGTGCAGAACTGGTGGCACCTTGCTCCGCTCTCACCCTGCGAAAATCTAACACTTCATTCCTCGAGGACTTTTTTGCGGCTTTTTAACTGTGGTGGCGTGGCTGAGTAAAATCGACTTGCGAAAACCAACCAACCAAGGCCAGCCTCACTGATCAAGCCACCGAATAAGCCACCGACTAACCAACTATTTCTTCATTATCTCGGGGAACGAGTCGTTGCGTACGGGCCTTCCTATCATCGATAGTAACACTGGCATAGGCCATGTGCATCAGGGATACTTATAGCAGATGTAGCAAAAATACTCGTAGTAGGCGTATATAGAGGCACCAATAGCAAGTAGCGAGGCATTGGTGCATCAGTGGTGGTAGATGCAACAAAAAGATATTGCTTTGTCAGCGCTATCATGAGGCCACCAGCCCTCCCTAGATCGATATATCTCCCAAGTCAAGATCGAATGCAAGTTATCGCAAACAACCCACATAAGCATCACATATGTCATAACGGGTCAAGCACCACCACCCACACCCACCAATAAGACTGGAGCCCGGGTTCAGCTGGAGGCCACCACCGCCGAACAAACAGCGGAATTGGGAGTCCACGCGGGATGCAAGTCTGTGCTGCAGCTTGTACAGTACCACATGCCACAAACTTCTTGTCACCAACCGACCTTGATCATAGATCTTGACCAATTCCCACCCGCTTCAATTCAACGCTCCCTAGATGATGATGAGTATATCGAACCGGGCTTGCTGCGTTTTAGGGCCTTCGGTCGAGTAGTCGGCCTGACCGGGCCTCAAGTGAACTTACACATCCGTCCACCGCTCTCACCCAAACCCCCGAAGCAGCGATGTTGCTGTACCGGAATCTCCTCTGGGAGGCAGCTCTTTTCTTCATTCTCCAGGCGCATCGGTCATGGGCTGCAGGCCCTAATCAGGGTGCTGCCGAGTTCGGGCAATTGGCCTTTCCATCCCCCTGCAGTCGTTGCGATGTCTCCAACGACGTGACACCATGCAGCGGCGGACATGACACAACCTCGTCGTCATCGTCTTCTTTGTCGCCGTCGCCGTCGCCATCGATTGCTCGAACTGACGCTGTTTCTGTGGCCGAGGAGGAGGACGGCCATGATATTGCATCACACTTTGCAGCCCACCTCCCTCGGAATGTGACTGACGCCTACCATGACACTCTCTACCCAGTCGGGGAGGCCGACGCCGCCTTAGTAGGCGAGTCCCGTCTGCAGTACGACGCTGCCGATGCCCCCGGGAGCTCTGCCGCGCGGGTCACTGATGAGCGCCCCCCGACCACCACGGAGCGAGATGGAAGCAGCCCCGAGAGCGTCTTCGACCCATTCCAGCCGGTTGGCCCTGACCCCAGCATCCTCAATGGCAGGGATGGCAAGGGGGACGGGCAGGAGGAGAAGCAGTGGAGGGAGCATCACTATGGCTCCCGCCATCCACTCTTCAGCGCTGGAGCATTGATCCTCGAATTCGGCCAGGATATCAGTCCGCAGAAGCGCAAGAGGCGACCGTCGTCGGGTGCAGACTCCAATGCGAACACGTCGCCTGGCTCCAAGTCTGATAAGGCTTGGCGTAGCCAGGCTAGAGGGAAGATGCTGTTTTCGCCCACCGCGGATGTGTCTCGGACTCCATTCTCACCTGTGAGTCTAGCGGGTGCCCGCAGTGAACCCAAACGGAGAAAAATAGTTAACGACGACATATTAGCCGGCGATTCTGATCAAGCAACCCGAGACTAGGCCAATCAGCCAGGAGCAGCTGGTGGCCGAGGTCAAGGGCATTTACGCTGGCCTGGTGATGGTTGAGGCCAAGTGCATCGAGATTGACAATGCACAGGCCAGCAGCAGTGAGAAGCTAAACAATGAGCATTGGCAGGCGCTGATCGCGCTTCATCGCACACTCCTGCATGAGCATCACGATTTTTTCCTAGTCAGCCAGCACCCTAGCGCTAGCCCGGCACTGCGACGTCTTGCGTCGAAATACGCCATGCCCGCGCGGATGTGGCGCCACGGGGTCCACTCCTTTCTGGAGCTCCTCCGGCACCGATTGCCCGAGTCCTCGGAGCATATGTGCACCTTCATCTACCAAGCCTATTCATTGATTGCCGTGCTGTATGAGACAGTTCCTGTGTTTGGGGATATCTGGACTGAGTGCCTGGGGGATCTTGGCCGATATCGGTATGTAGTGGAATGACATGACCTGGCGACGAACCTCCTGTGGCTGATCCTGATCCCTGGTAGTCTGGCAATTGAGGATGACAACATACGAGATCGACAGGTCTGGACGAGTGTCTCGAGATATTGGTATGCATATACGTCCGACAGGAACCCCACAACCGGGAGACTCTACCACCATCTTGCAGTTCTGAGCAGACCCGACGCTGTGCGGCAGCTGTTTTACTACACCAAGAGTCTCTCTGTTCCCAACCCTTTTCTTTCCTCTAGAGAGAGTATTATGACGATTTTCAATCCGACCTTGGAGAGAACCCCAACTCCACGTCCTCTACCTGCCGATGTAGCGTTTGTCAGGGCACATACCGTCTTGGTCAGAGGGATTGACAGCTCCTTCGATGAGTATCGGCAGGACTTTCTCCCTCAGCTTGATTCCCACATTGCCTCCCGAAAGAAGATGTGGCTGCAAGAAGGGTGAGTACTTAGTCGGCCGATGCCTGCAGCTAGAACCCTCAGCATTAATTACCGTGTACTGTGCTAAGACTCGAGCCGACCAGATTTCACGTGGCGATTGCGTCCCTCTGCTCAATGATGGGATACGGAGCAGAGAGAAATCCCTTTGTGATGGCTATGACACCACTGACAGACGATTCCGGTGATGACAGCGTGGGGCACTCCGAATCCTCGAACAAAGACAACCTGACCGCTAAGGCCGCTGGTCCTCCAACCAGGGACGAGGCAATGTCACGCGCGGCCATTGACCTGGCCATGCAAACAACCGAAATCGTGTGGAATCGGGCCAAGGACCCGAACATCCTACCCTACTCGCACGTCATCCTGGTCTTCATGGACCACCTGGCCCGGCATCCGGCCGCGATGGAGTTTGTCCAAGACATCTTTCCATGGGACCTGTTAGCCCAGTTTCTGAACCACCTGGCGTCGTTGCCCGAGGCCGACGGCTGGGCAGATCGCGAGTTGTTCCCACCTCCCGACAGTGACCACCAGCCGCTGCCTGAGGATTTCGCCATGAGGGGCCTGCCATGGGCGGGGGGTTATTTTCCTGCTGGGTGGTTCTCGGAGAGGAATACCGACTACGAGTACTACGACGAGATGGTATGTCCCGCTGTCGGCTACGACGACAGCCGCATCAGCCGCATCTTGCGTCTGGGCCACGGTCTCGCTCGCTCGATGGATCGCCTGTTATACGACCCTAAAACAATGGTGTTCAGCGCAGCGCCGTATCGCGCCGGTGATATGGACTTGGACGAAGCATCGCCCACGTCTGTTGTTATAGGAGACAAGCCACCGGGCGCGGAGATTGACGCGATGGACGTCGATGCCCCCGACCAAATCTCGGCTGGGAGTGCCGGTAGCCCAGCGGATAACTCCAAGGTAAAGCGGCGACGGGATCTCACACTCTCTCCCGCTGCCATACTATCGATGAGAGGCAGCGGAATTATCCAGCCACGCACCGACTCGGCACCTGAGCAGCACCAAACGAGAAATGCGATCGAACCGCCGGATACATCGGAGATGCCGCCTCCCATATATTTGAACAATTCAAACTCGTCGTCGGTAGCCTCCGCACAATTTACCGGAGCCCACTTTAGCTGCGAGGTGTGTGCCACGGTCTTCCGTCGCAAATGCGATCTCAAGTAGGATCTATCCCGCCCCTCCCTCCCTCCCCCTTCCGCAGGACAGACCAACATTAACGCGACAATTACATCCGGCAGCAAACACAGCTTGGCGCACACAAAGCCGATCGCGTGCATGGTCGACGGCTGCGAGTATCGGTGCGCGACCTCTCGCGATCTCAGGAGGCACCAGGCCGCGAATCATCCCGGAATGGTGGAAAACGAGAGCTTCGCCTGCGAGGTGCCCGGATGCGGCAAGACGTATGAACGGAAGGACAACTTGAAGAGGCATTATAAAGTACATTTTGGTACATGATCTCCTGCCGGCCGGGTTGGGAATTCGGCGGCTGGACTGGGATCTGGTGGCAGTTAGAAGGGATGGCAAAACTGGCCGAGGAGAATCGCTCTGTCGGTAAATACGAACTGAGGCATCGGCTTTCTTTCTCTACCGACTCGGGCAATGAACATGGGCTCGCGCTATTTTTCGCGCTGTCTCACAGACGAGTACTTCGGCTCTGCCAAAAGATACGCACTTGCAGGTGATGGCGACAAATGGCTCATACATGGCTGGGACCAGCGGCGCTTTGTCGACGTGTATTTACCCGAGGGTATTGACCAAGGCTTTGTTTTCAAGGTCGTCGAGAGGTTTATCAACGACCTTGCCGCCAATATCGTTCAGGTTGAAGTATCCAAAGACGGCACACTCTTGTCCAGCTCTTCGGATTCGTTCCTCGTTCTAAATCCCATACCTAATCTGCTTTTCAAGGCGTCTACTCCAATACACCGCTAGCAGGGTTAGGCGCCATCGAGAGCTAGGAACCGGACTCCAGTTCCATCAGCGCTGGGTACATCCAGGTCAAGGGAGTCTCGTCGAAAGAAGAGAGCGCCAGCGACCTCCCCGTCATCCATCCGGTTATTGGCCGTCACGTCTCTTCCGATATCCGCCGGCTTCGCTCCATCAAGAAGGATAAGGACGACGCCAACGCACTCACAAACATGTCCTACTAATCATTCGCCAGCGACCTCTTTAGCTACCACACCGACTGCTTGCAAGTCGAGAAGCTCGGGTGATCCAAGACATGGAGGCCCTGGATCCTGAGATTCTGCAAGATATTGCCGATGCCCAGGAGCCAGACAGCCTGGTGCCGACAAACCCGGACCCTATGACCGGACCATAGTCGCCCCATCCATGGCGGACAAGATCAGGCACGAGTGTGCTGTAGTAGAACACCTTCGCCGACGTCGACCGACCGAACGTGGTCATGGCCACGGCCCGACAGGACGAGTACCCGTCGTACAATGTATGCGCTTCGTAGAGGGTGGAGGCGCTCATGTATATAAGTACAAGTACATGGTACATACCTACACCGTCCTGGGGATCTGCAAAATCGCCCCACCACCTGGCGAAAACCAAGTTGTGTAACACCCTTCAGGCCCGATCACATAGACGTACACTTGGTAGAGGGAGTAGTAATTAGTATATTACACCCACTTGGCTTGGGCTTGTGGTAGCAGGCAGCCCTTGTATTCCATGTATAAGTCAGGTAAGTCTGCTAGGCATCCTCACATTGGCTGCGTAGGTCACGAGAGCAGCTGATGCCGTGCTGGCCGACCCCTGTAATCTCCGGTTGATCAGCGTGATCGGCCCGGCAGAGATGCAGGGCCGATCATAGGTCCTAATTGGTTTGACCGGTTCTAGCTGGTGTGTTATCAAATCTACCTAACAGGTCTTCTTGCAACGATTTCAAGGCAGAATACTGCAAGATAGGACATTCTACGAGTACACCATACTCAAAGAGGAAGAGGGAGAGGAAGAAGAGAAGCGAGAAAGGAAGCGGTTCCTCACGTCCGGCCACTGATTTAGACCCTTTGCTAGGCTCGAATTGAATACTACGTAGCCTTCATTTAAGGATACAACTGCCCACCATATATGGGCCCCAGGCGCATCCCGTCACACTGCATTCAAGACACTCAAAACAAGATACGTGTAGGCGAATCATATGCATTTCTTACCTAACAAGGCGTTATAAGGCTTAGTGCTTCCAGGCGGATTGGCATGACTACTAAAAAGGGGCTTTCCGCTTCTCGGCGAACCATGACATTTTCTCCTCGCTTTCCGCGGTGACAGCTCCCCCGACTCGCACAACGACGCCCGGTTCTCCGTCGACATGGAGCACAACAGTGATCTCGAGGTCAAACGAGACCATGGAGACCTTGAGGTGGTTCAGCACCTAAGCCTTGAAGTGGCTTCGAATCAGGGCCCTGAGATGGCTCACAACCAGGACCTCGAGGTGGCTCAGAGCCAGAATCTCCAGTGGCATAACGGTCAAGACGCATACACATACAATGAGCTACCAACCGCCGCGAATACACCGTCGTCAGCGCCGGGGATTAATGCTGATGAATCGACAAGCCAAGTGCGGAAACCACGCAGCAGGAGGTTCTGGCTCATCGCAGGTGCCTTGGCGCTTGGTTTGATTGCTGCGATCGCGGTTGTGGCGGGTGTTCTCGGCTCGCAACTAGCGTCTGCCAGAAATACCAGCCCATCCAGGGATGGTAGTGCTTCGTCCTCAACATCACCGTCGTCGACGCCGGCGTCAGGGGGGGCAGGAAGCACAACTGCGTTCACGAATATGCCCACCACAGTACCTTCGTTTTCAAGGTTAGTAGCATCGATCACCAACGAGTGTCTCCCTCCTACACGCTTACCCCCCCTCCCCGGTACCTTTCTTTTTTATGGCCTCGCCATCTGGTGTGGTCTAAGTTATGCCGTCCTCTAATCAACTTCCTTCCAGCATCACCTCCTTTTCCTCGTCAGTAACCTACTCGGCAACTGCGTACCCCGTCGAGCAAAGCCCTGTGATGGCAACCCTTAGCGCTGGCGGAACCACCACCTTCATCGACTGCCCCTACAGCAACAACACAGTATACGAGGATCTAACCACCGGCGTCCGGTTCCTTCGGCGGTGCGGTGCGAATGTTATCTCCAACGACATCACTAGCTTCACGGCTTACAGTTTGGAAGATTGTATGACTCGGTGCGCTCGCAGTCGTGCCGAAGGCACCGATTGTTCTGCTGTCGTATGGATATGGGGTTGGGATGGCTTTGTGAATACCGAGATGGCAAAGTTCAACTATTGCTATCTGAAGAACTCGAAGTATAATGTGCCATCAAATCTAAATTGGAATTGGCAGGCGGAGCTAGGCTTCATCATTCCATGATTGGAGGAGCGAAGGCTATAATTGAGGCGTTGAACCGTTGAAATAGTCTTGAAGGTCAGATAATCAGATTACATGAAGGGTCATTTTCGTAGCAATCGTCAATCATTCCAACTAGACGAGGTGGACACACGGGTTTCTCGGGATTTCGGCCTATCTAGACCGGACCTCGGACGAGACACGATGGAGGATCAGCGTTTATGTATGTGCGCTGCTGGACAGCCAAGGTCATACTTATGCTGGGGACCAAGCACCGCAGCCATTCACAAAAGCTGATTCGGATCTAATATTAGGGCAATGAAAAGAATGCGCCGTATTAATTGTCTAATGTCAGAGAAAGAAAACACTGCTAGTACCAGCCAAGCTATTAACTCCCTCATGCACCTCCACGATATGTTTGACCGGCTCATACTGCGGACAAATGCCTCTCTCACTTTAGAGCTTCCATTATCTTCTTAGCGTTAGCGAATTCCAACTCCTCCAAGGTCTCGTCCCAAAGCCTTTCTACTGTTTTCATCCCCTTTTCTTGGTACATCACGGGGTAAAACCTTTAAAAAGTCAGCAGTAGATCACGGCAGCAGAGAGCCCGAAAGAGCAACTGCTCTGAGAAAGGCATCGCGACAAGTACTTACGGGTAGATCTCCAAGTTCATCAAGTACGAGCCATGAGTCGCTTCACCCTTCACAACCGCCGCATCCACGTACGTCCAAGCCGCTTGTCGCAGCGTCCGCGCCGCAACCAGCAACCAGAGCTTAAGGGCCCACAGCAATGGGCCTTTGGCGTCTCTGAACAGCCCAGAGCCACCCGTCAGTCCCGGGTCAACGGTGTTGACCAGCACGTCCTCCCGCGGGACGAGTTCCCCCAGCTTGTGGGTAAGCATCTGGACGAGCGTCTTGGACGTCCCGTAGCGATCGTTGGCTGCGAAAAGGTTCCAGCCAGTGCCATCGTCGAAGGAGGGGATCAAGGGCACGGCGTCGCGATTGGGGAATTTCGACGCGAGTGCCGTACCAGAACAGACGAGCGTGAGTCGGCCGGGCGTGCCGGTGGGGCTTTTCGCTTTGAGGGTCGGGAGGAGGAGGATGGCGAGGAGAGCGGTGGAAAGATAGTTGACTTGGAAAACTTCCTCGTGTTTCGTAGAGGGGTTGATCTTGAACTCCTTCTGTGTAAAGGCCGCGTTGAGGATGGCAATGTCAAGGCGTGTTAATTGTGCACACCTCTCCGCGAATTCTTGGATGGACTGATACGAGAGCATGTCTAGCGGCCAGATTTCGACTTTGGCTTCAGGATGTGCCTCTCTCATTGGGATGGCGACCTCCTCGCCTTTCTTGACGGATCGCACTCCGAGAATGAGGTGCTTGACTCCAAGCTCGAGAAACTCGTGGGCGGTTTCCAGGCCGATGCCGCTGTTACCGCCGGTGATAATGGCTGTCTGGCCACAAAGTGATGTTCCTTTGGGCGGCGGTCGAGGTTTGACGAGAAACTGCGACCTTACCAACAACTCCCAGTGTGTGTTAGAAAGGGGTGGGATGGAGAGAGAGCCCATGGCGGACGGATAATTGTTTGAGGTTGGTTTGACACTGAGACGGAGACAGGGGAGTACTTGACTTTTGGGGAAAGAATAAATAGTTTTAAGAGTCAAACTGTTCAAGGTCCTTGGTACAATGACTTGAGGTCCGGCTTATATACATATCTTTGCCGTTATATGTCCCACGGAGCTTGTGGGTTTAGACACACGTAATCCGTAATTATCAGACAATCGAGGCCCTGGACTATTCCCAAAACGGAAAACAATCTGGTTGCTGGGCTTGTTCGAATCGGTGGATCTTTCGACCACGGTCCCACTTTTCCGGGATTTAAGTCCTTCCTTCCAACGTTCAGCCGGATCGCCAAGCCCGTTATTCCCGGCGCTGTTGCCTCACTCGACGTCACTTCGACCATAATGCTTCCTCCTTCTGGACATCCATTCAAAACACCATCACCGTCACCACAGCCAGCTCACTCATCATGCCGGCGGCCGAGTTTGTATTTGTCACCACAAGCTCCTTCGGCAAGCCCGAATCTGCCGACAGGTCTCTCATCCGCAGCCGCTGCATGCGCGGGAGAAATGCGCGCGAGGGATCGCGTCGATCCGTGCGACAGGCAAAGCGAGATTCCCAGCTGCAGGATCAGGCGATGCGACTTCAGCCGCTAGCCCACCCTTTACCAACGAATTCCACCTCACCACACACTAGACTTCAACATAGAGAAGGGGAGAATACCCCTAGCTCTGACATTGCCCCGTGGCTGGCAAACAATCGTGTCTTCTCTCAGTTTGACGCAGAGATCGACAAAAAGGCTCGCCTTGTTCAACACAGGTGTGAGTAACCGTCATCTCATCCTTATTCCTCTCTTCAAACGGCCTAACTCGGTATACTTACTCTTCACAGTTTTTACCTTTGGGTCAATTCTGAGCGCAATATATCCCATCCATCGCTTTGTCGAGTTTGAATCAACGCAGGATCCAGCTTACTACTGGCTTTACCAAGACGATGATTTCTCTCACACCGTTTTGTTCGCCTCCTCGGCATTCTTCGACCTCGTTGAACACAAAGCGCTCACCGCCAGAACACAAAGCTACCTCCAAACCGCACTATCGATGTTGAACAAGAGGCTCTCTACAACAGAGTCCCATGCTTTTGACTCGACCATAATCATCGTCCTCATTCTTGCCTCAGTAGCCGCCATAATAGGGGACTATGACGCTACGTGGGCCCATATATCAGGCCTCTACCGCATTGTGATGCTCCGAGGCGGACTCGACTACCTACGCAGTGACCCCAGCCTGCACTTCAAACTAGATCGGTAAGCTGCGCATACATGGAACATCATGCGATAATAATACCATGATCTAATTTGGCATCTCAGACTTGTTCTTTCTTGGTTTCTGTCCACGGGCCAAAAGCTACAGTTTCCCACGCTTCCTGTGTCCCGGACGCCGATTCAGAGAGCTCCACGCCGCCTCACTCCAGATGGTTTGGATCCGCTGATTAACGCTGGGCTTCTCGATACGAAAGTCGTCCTTGTCCTTCGCGATCTCCAGGAGCTAGTAGCTTCAGCCAACGAAAGTTTGAGCAGCAACTCAAGGTTGAGTGGGGATAAGTTTCAGCATCCCTTGGCCACAATTCAGAGTCGACTTTTGGAGCTTGAGAACGAAGTCAACAGCATTACATCCGAATGTCTCCGTCTGGGTATGTTGGCCTTCTTGACAACCATGTACCAATTACCAGGACACAGGTTACCGTACAACCACCTGAATAATCGCTTCCAAACCTCCCTTCGAGCCATGGAATCATCAACTCCTGAACTCCAAAACCTGACGACCTGGCTGGTCATTATCGGTCTCATAACGGTATGGGACGCTGAAGAGTCGTGGCTACGTGCGATATGGGATAATATCGCGCCGGGGTCATCATGGGCCGAGGTACATCGGATTCTATGTCTTTTTTTCTGGATTCCATCCATCCACAACGTGCCAGGGAAGAGGGCTTTCGATAAATTAAGGACGGAGAAAAGCGTGAGATGCTAGCGGCATGTCTGGGTAACGGTACAACAGGGCTAGTCCACCGGTAGTCAAGACGTCAAGCAGCCGAAGGGGAGGAGGTGTCGGGGCAGGTGAGGTGCACGCACCCGTGCCTGCGCGGGTTGGTACTGGTCTCTGTTGACCGGGCTGATCGGTGTTCATGACACGCCGGCGTACGTCGTGGTCGGGTTGTCCCAAGGTGGAGAGTGAGGGATGAGAGTGGAAATCGGTTATGGTATTACGAAGTGGATGACTTCCGGACCAGTGCCGAAGAGCTTTCCAGGGAGGACAACGCTACGGCAATGGAGGTCCTTAGGTATTGTCCTTGCAATCTCCTAGAATCTCAAATCCGAGCCAAGTCCGACACCGCACCCCTATTAATTAGCAGCAGTGAGAATCCCGTCCTTGTCGCCTAAACTAACCTCGCTCACAGCAATCAAGACCTCATTCCTCGATATTGCTAGTCCTATGCCTCGGTCGTAGTATTAACCTCCTAGCAAATTGTGTGGTCCAGTCTTTTCTTCCCTTAACGTTTGCAGTGGACAATTACTCCGGACTGAGTACTGTTTCCTTCCGGCTAAACTCCACCATTGCACTACGCTGGTAGTTCGCAAAACTGTTCCATTAGTAAGGTGTAATTAGAGCACAAAAATTTCATCGAACAAACCGTGATTCGTCGGCGCCAGTGGTTTAGTGGTAAAATCTGTCGTTGCCATCGACAGGCCCCGCGTTCGATTCGCGGCTGGCGCAAGTGAAACTTCCTTTTTTTGCACACCTTCTAGGTGTCTCGATTTGAGAGCTGCCCATATTTTTTTTGGCTTTGCAAATTTTCTGAATACGGTCTTTCTCCTTTAATCCTCCTTGTTTTAGTCGCGAAGGTTTACTGCTGGTTCAACTCGAAGAAAAAGACACTCTAGAAATTGACCCAATCTTGCTATCTTATTCACATCGTCCCCAGAGTCGTACCTGCAGCGCGGCCAAGCGACGGTCAGCTATGATAGACGTCACCAGGGACATTTGGAAGGCCACCCCTGAGGTGGTTCCACAACCGGAGCATTATGTCTGCAGAGATTTGTCCAAGCCTGCACATAATGGACGGGCGAGCATTTGTCGCGAGAGCCTGCATGAGAAATATGCGCGATGCGGGAGGCCCGCCATCGGTAATGCGAGAGGCCTACCACTTGGACTGCATTGGGCAGAAAATTGAGGAACATTGCAGATGGCTGCCTGGCGCCTTGATTACAGGAGCAAGACTGTCTGCTCCTTTCCTCCTCCCCAAGATATAAAGTCAATCTGAGCGGCTCGTAGCCCGATAGTGATTGCTCTCTAATATTTCTCCTAGAAAGTTACACTATCCATTATCTCAATCCCCAGAACGAATCCGCGTCACAAGGTAGGGAGGCCATCCAACGCCAACGACAATGGAGCAGCACCGCCGCCGCACCACGAATGGCAATGCCGAAATCGACAAAAGTAATAGTACCGCCTTGGTTGCAAGGGCGTATCAGATGGAAATGTACGAGGCGAGTCGCAAGAGAAACGTAATCGTCACGGTAAGGCAAAGGTTCCTGCCTAAATTATGTATTTGTGTCTGTTTGCTGAGCTAAATAATGCGTTCGTGCAACAGATGGATACTGGCACTGGAAAGACTGCAGTGTAAGTCGACTTGCTCAGTTTCCCCAGCCGCGTAGGCCTTGCTCTCGCACCCGCAGAAACTGATCGTGTGTCAAAAACAACTAATTAGGGCTGCCCTACGAATCATGGCTGAGCTTCAAGACACAGGTCCAGAGAAGGTATGCTTCCCACCCGTGGCACTCACTGCTGTTGGGTTGCGAGACTGACACCTTGTAGCGCGTCTGGTTTATGGTGCCGAAAGTAGCGCTTTGCCAACAGCAATGCGCAGCACTGCAGACGCAAATTCGATCTGTCCAGATTCGGTCTTTCTCCTCTCTCGACAACGTTGACAAGTGGAAAAGCAAGAAGTTGTGGGATGATGCCCTGACCAATGTCAGGGTCGCTGTTGCAACATACGCCGTCCTGCAAAATGCGCTGGACGATGCGTTCGTGACAATGGAGTCTATTGCCTTGATTGTCTTTGACGAAGGTGAGTTGGCAAGCGTCTCACCTAACGTTTCCATCTGCGTCTGCCCCAACGACTGAACCACCCTAATTAGCACATAACTGCGTCGGGAAAAGCCATGCAAGGAAGATTATGAACCATTACTGGTTCCATAAGCGGGAGAACAGGCCTGTCCCTCACATTATGGGGTTGACCGCAAGCCCAACAAATGGTACTAGCGACATTGACTTGGCGGAGCTGGAGGCGACCTTAGATGCAGTGTGTGTGGGCCCGAGGAACTGTCGAGAGAATCTTCTGTTTCACGCCAACCGTCCAACGGTAAAATCGGAGTACTATAAGCTCAAACCGACGGTCTCCTGCAGCACAAGCATCCTGAGTCTGCAAGCAGCCTTCCGCAGTCTCGACATCCAAGAAGACCCTGATGTTCTCCGCTGGAAATCCGAGGATACGGAACAAAGCAGATCGAAGCTGAAAAGAGCCCTAGAGGAGGGCAAGACCTTTGCTCGAGACCAGCTGAAAACATTCTGCCGGAGGTCGCAAGCCATGTGCGAGCAGCTTGGAGTCTTTGCAGCAGACCACTACGTCGCCAAGGTGGCCACCATGTTCAGCGGCTCACTGGCCGCGAACAATTCGTCCTTTTCAACCTGGGACTACTCGTCCAGAGTTTATCTTGCCCGGGCGTTGAGGCTCGTGGCAGCTGACCCCGGCGTGCACAACAAGGTCCTGCAACCAGGTTTAATCTCGGCCAAAATGCAACGTCTCATTGATATACTCAGCTCATACAATGATAGTACCCGCGGAATTGTCTTCGTTACGGAGAGATCGTCGGCGATTGTGGTCTGTCACCTTCTCTCTCTACACCCAGCCATCAACAAGGTCTTTCGAGTTGGCGCCATGGTTGGCACATCCGAACACGAGCGAGGCAAGCGAGACTTGAGCGACACTCTCAATAGCGCCGAGAAGTCGGAGGTCTTGGAACAGTTCCGTGACGGTCGCCTCAATCTTCTCGTCGCAACGAGCGTTCTGGAAGAGGGCATCGACGTCCCCGCATGCAACCTTGTCATTAGCTTCGACGAATCACCCACCGTCAAGTCCTATATCCAACGGCGAGGCAGGGCGCGGCAGCCAGTCTCAGACTACGTCATTCTGGTGGACGAAGCGTCTACCGGGAAATCCACTACATGGCCACAGGTGGAAGAGAAGCTAAGAAAACAATACGCGGAAGACGATAGAGAGTTGCAAAGACTCGCCCTGGTCGCGAGAGACGAGGCAAACAGCCGCGAGTTCCGCGTTCCCGGGACGGGGGCGCGTCTGGACATGGACAATGCCAAGTCACGCTTGCAATACTTCTGTGGACGCATCGCCAACAGTCGCTATGCCAACAAGCAACCGTACTACATCTGCGAGAATCAAGAATCCTCGGGCTCAGCTCCGGATGGCCAGCCCTGTCCCTGGATAAAGGCGAAAGTTGTCTTGCCGGTTTTCATAGGTCCCAATCTCCGCGTTACCTGGAGCAAGGAGTCGTGGCTCACACCGAAAAACGCGACCAAGGACGCCGCGTTTGAAGCCTACATGAGACTGTACGAGGCCGGCTTGGTCAACGAGCACCTGAAACCGCTCAACGCTGACGGGCCAGGCGACGAGCGAGATGCCGGCGATTACTCCATCATTGACGTTCGTGAGCAACTAGACCCCTGGTTGAGTATTGCCCAAGCGTGGAGAAGCGGAGAGAGTCTTCGAGGATACACCGTCGTGGTCAAAGACAGTCACGGAAATACAGAGTGCACTGGCACCATGACAATTCCCATTGACATTCACAAGATGGCGCCAATCCCTCTCTACCAGGACGGCGCGGAATTGCGGAGAGTAGAGATCAGGAAATCGGCCACATCTGTCAAGGAGGCCTCGGAGAGCGACCACACGGGTATGCTGTTAACGTTGGCCTACGGACATCGTTGGAGGAACCAAGACAAGCAGCAACTCGCTCTCTTTACGGTTCGAGGGGGTAATGCCCCTGCCAGAGAAGACCATGAGAAGGTGACGCCGACAGCGAACGACTTGAAGTTGGGAGACAACAGTGCGGCTGCGGCGTACTCCAACCTTGGTAAACTTATCCCTTTCATCTTGCACAATGTTGAGGCACATCTCGTGGCCCAAGTGTTGCACGATGCCCTGTGCCGTGAAGGAGGCGGAGACATATCGGTCAGTCTCATTCGGTCTGCCATCACCACTCCTGCAAGAAAGGAGGCCCAGTATCGGAAGTTGGAGTTCATCGGGGACACTTGTCTGAAGCTCCTCACCACAGTGTTTGTTACTGCCAAGTGTAAGCCTGCAACCCTCCTTCCAAACAATGGCTTGAAATGAGACAACCGAAGAACCTATGAGCTCAATAAACATCGGATAGATCCAGAGTGGCCAGAAGGCTACCTGACACAGCGAAGAGCAACAATGATATCCAATTCAAGGCTCTGCGAGGCGTCAATCGCACGAGACATCGACAAATTCGTCCTCGCCCGCGTCTTCAAAGCCGCGAACTGGCGTCCAACCTACCTAGACGACGTCAACGACGACGGCCCCAGCGGCAGCGACGACGGCGGCGCTCGGCCCATGGCCGGAAAAACCCTAGCCGACGTGGTCAAGGCCCTCGTCGGAGCCGGGAAGCTGGACGGCGGCTACCCGGGGGCCCTGGCCGTGGCCAAAGCCATGCTCACCGAGATCGACCTGCCCAGCCTGGAAGTCGGCCGGCGCCAGCTCTTCGACGCGAGCCCCGGCGGCTCCGCGGCGCCGCTGCCCACCACGCTGCAACCCCTGCAGACGCTTGCGGGCCATTCGTTCGCGAACAAGGCCCTGCTCGTCGAGGCCACGACCCACGGCTCGACGCAGAGCTCGTCCTTCGCGCCGCCGTACGGCTGCTATGGCCGCCTGGCATTCCTGGGGAATGCCGTGGTCGAAAGCATCGTGGCCGAGGAGATCTACGCGCGGGAAGGCCGGCTGTCGCATTCCCAGATGAATATCTACCGGTCGGCCGTGGTCAACGGGCGCTATCTCGGCTTCGTGGCCCTGGAGTGGCACACCGCAGAAAAGGGGGTCAGGCTTCGCCGCGGGGCGGCCTCAGATGCTGCTGGTGGTTTCGCCAGGGACGTGTTTGACGTGGATAGGGCCCTGTGGCACTTCATGACGTATTCTTCGAAGGAAATGGCGGCGGAGATGCGCGGTGTGGAAGGCAGGTTTGCGGCGCTGCGTGGGGATATCGTGCGAGAGATGGAATCCGGAACGTCCTATCCGTGGGTGTTGCTGGCGAGGCTACGAGCGAATGACTTTTACGCGGACCTGGTAGAGAGCCTGGTGGGGGCTGTTTGGGTGGACTCGGGGTCGATGGCAGATTGCAGGAAGGTGTTGGATAGAATGGGCATTCTGCCGTGTCTGAGGCGGATCATGAATGATCAAGTTCATGCCATTCATCCCAAGGAAGAGCTTCAGATATTAGCAGGTTCTGAGGCGGTTAGTTATCATGTCGAGGAGCGGAGAGTCGCTGGAAACGGGCAAGAGATGACATGCACTGTGCATGTGGGTGGCAGAAAAATCGCCGAAGTCCATGGGGATGGAGGCGACGAGGAGCTTCAGGTGATGGCGGCTGAAAGGGCTCGGTCATTGTTGAAGCTTGTTGTTAAGGTTTGATCGGTACATGTACATTATTCATTGGGAAACGTTCCTAGACCTGCTGTCCCACTTCCCGATCTCGGACAATATGCGACTCGATACTAAGTGACATGCAAAGAACATGTTCAGAATGACAGCGAATCAAAATGGCGAGAGTCACGCCTTTGGCTGTGCTCAATGCCAAGAATTATGAGGGCTAATAGGAAGGGGGATGCTCGGTCCGTCGTTCTTACGGTGGAAGCGGTGCACTGGTTTTAATGACGGCATTGCGTTACTAAGAGCAATAGCAATTATGCCCCTCTGCTTTAACCCTGCCTCTTCTAAGTCTTGCGTACACTCCTCGACTCGGCACCGGTAGGACGCTCGTTGCCGCGCGATACGACTCGGCGAAGTCGACCACCAGGGCATGCTCGCATTCTCGGTCACCACCTCGGCAATCTACAAGAGTTGGATCCGGCACTGGCGCAGGCGGACGTGTCTTGGATGAAGCAAGTCATCTCTTCCTTTTACTCTTGTCGGTGGAGCGTTGCCTTGTCGGCAATTTCGCGATTCTCCAGAGGTGTGATCATCCCTGTGTCTCATTGGTGTTGTCCGGATCTCACCTGTCAGATGGGAACGTGTGGCCCAACTTTGTTTGGAATCGGGGGTAATTTGTGTCAACACCTCGGGCCTCTAATGATCTTGAACGAGAAGAGAGGCACGCGGGACGAACAATCTTGGTGGCCTCAAAAGTAAATCTATGTGGGAAAGCGCCCAGGTTTTCCTACACATTTACGTGCATCCAACTGGGCGGTTAAGGAGTCGCGGCAAAAGTGCCGCTTGGCAAACAATTACCCTGATAGGTTCCGGGTTTCACGAATCTCCTCATAGGCCAGGAATGGTCGCGCCAAATTGCTAATACATGTTAATTGTCCCGATGTGTGGTCCGGTAGTTATGAAGCCACCGTTATCGACCATGGATTCTTCGTCCCTGGTAATGATATGAACGGCTTTGGGCAGCCACCTTGGTCCCCTTACTTTTGATTTCTCCCTCCTCCACCTCCAACCTTCGATTCTCCAGTAGTTGGTTAGTTGCCCTGAACACAGCTCTCGCCCACCATGCTTTGGTCCGCTCTTGTCTTTGCGGCGGCGGCCGAGGCCCAGTTCTCCGCCGGCTTGAACCACCTGCGATTCGGATGCTCGCAGATCACAATCGAGCGTCTCGACCCCCTGGTCAACCCTGGAGACCTCCCAACCCCCCACGTCCACCAGGTCGTGGGAGGCAACGCATTCAACGCCTCGATGCCCGGGACTGATATTTCCAACATCGCAACCTGCACCACCTGCGGCCCCGCCGACGATTTCTCCAACTACTGGACCGCCAACTTGTATTTCAAGGCTCGCAACGGTACCTTCATGCGTGTTCCTCAAGTCCCGAACAGGTACGTATGGCATGAATCATCCTTCTGCCCATGCCTTTGAAGTTTCGGGGATGTTCGTGAAGTGTGATCCTAGAGTTATACAATGGACTCTTCATCCGTGCTTAAACAGTGACCCAATATTCACTAATGTCATTTCCATTTAGATTCCTGTTCAATGACAGGTTCACTACACAGACGAGCGGTGGTGTTACCGTGTATTACATTTCTCCCGGAAAAGGCAAAGTTACCGCTTTCAAGCCGGCAAGTTCACAACCCGTAGAATGGTAATGATGTTACTAACTCCAGTCGCTTAGGGCTTCCGCATGCTCGTCGGCGACCCCATGAATCGCTCGAAGAAATTCAAGTCGCAGAGTTGCTTCCGTTGCTACTCCGGCCCCGATTTCGGCGGCGACAACGCCGCTCCTTGCACGGATAACAAGCTTGACTTTGAGACCTTCCCTACTGGGCCTTGCCTTGGCGGCATTCGGTCTAATATCGTCTACCCGACGTAAGTCTTCTTATCCCTGATTTGCCTCCTCTGAATGGAATGCTAATAGCAATTCAGCTGCTGGGATGGCAAGAACCTTGACAGTCCCAATCACAAGGATCACGTCGCCTACCCTACCAGCGGACCTTCGGCCTTCCTGTCCACGGGAGACTGCCCTGCGAGCCACCCTATCAAGATCCCGCAGCTCATGCTCGAGGTATGGAGCTGCGCCACGTCTGCTTGGTAAAACATCTTCATTTTTACTAACGTATAAGAATAGATTGTCTGGGACACTACCGCCTTCAACAACAAGGCCGACTGGCCGGAGGACGGCTCCCAGCCCTTCTATCTCAGCACTGGAGACAATACTGGCTATGGCCAACACGGCGATTACGTCTTCGGTTGGAAGGGCGATGCCCTTCAGAAGGCCATGGACGACAACGGCTGCTTCAGCGCTACATGTGGCAACCTCAGGTCCCAGGACATCAGTGTTGCTAAGCAGTGTACTATCAAGAAGAGCGTGTCTGAGGATGTTGATGGATGTAAGTCGGCTCTCTCTGTGAAGTATATGCCTGATGACAGTCTAACAATACCTTACAGGGTTGACCAAGCTCCCCGGTAACCCTATGCCATAGAGTATGCGTGGGATTTCTATTCTGTGGAAGGGGATGGAGGGATTTACCTAACGACATTTTGAGGCAACACTCTTTTGTATGGGCAGCTCGGGACCCTAGCCATTTATTTAATCCTGGAATGATGCCATCTGTCGGGATTTCCCGAGTTTGGCGACCCTTGAAAGCAAAGGTGTCTTAGGGGTGGCGTTAATCAACTGGCAAGATGCCTCCTTCCCACCAATTTGATAATTAATTATTAAATGCTGGCCCGAATGGGGAATTCGCGCCGTCAATGCACCCCGGCAATTAATGCTGATGATGTAAATGGAGGGAAATCTAGAACGAACATATCCGTAACCCTCCCCTGCCAATATATAAATTGCTGTGTCTTAATATGCATCCTTTCCTATCCATATTGTGTCTATTGCAGACCAACCTCTCCCTGCTGCGGAGACACATATTAGTTGAGCGTCGCAATATCGAAGCGACAATAATTATACGATTATAAAGAGGCGAGTTGGCACTCTCACAGCTGCGCCCCCTTTCTACTCGATCCTTGGTATTTCTTGGCGAAAATACCATTTTCTCTAACCAGGTCGATTACAATCATGATACGCCCTTCCTTCCTCGCCGCAGCGCTGGTCGCAGCCGTATCGCCCACTGCCCTTTGCGCACCCGCCGATCCCCCCCCGGGAGCCGGCACCGCAACACCGACGACCCTGACGGAGGGACAGCTGTGGATCCGGGCCGTCGAGTCGCCCAACTTCCACAAATACCTGCAGACCAAGCCCCCCAACGTCCCCGGCACGGCCATCCTCGACTCGTACACCACGGCGGGCCAGTTCAACATCGTCGGCGGCCAGCTCGTCAACAGCATCGCGAACCCGCCGCTGTACATGTGGGTCGACCAGCCAGCCGACCCGGCGAACCCGCCGCGCACGCTGGCCACGTGGTTCAACACGACCAAGAACCCCTTCGGCACCTTCGAGTTCTCGGGCGACACGGTGACGTGGAGCGACCCCAGCGTCAAGAGGCAGAACCTGGCGGCCTGGCTGGTGTGTGCCAAGCAGCAGCTGTTTGTCAATACGGGTGCATATGCGTATGAGACGCCATCTGGGTGTGCTGACGAGACGGTGAGTTTGGTGTACTCTGGGCTTACGATTTGGGAGCCACGGCCCTGATACGCGGGATAGACTTGGCTAATTCTTTGATTAGATACACTTCTACAATGATAAAATGGCCAATAACTGAATGAGGGCATGCTTAAATAGGTAGACTTGAACTTGGATGTACACTACATACCTTGAATACAGGAGATGGACATAGCGAGAGGATCAGTCATGCCAAGAAGAGACGAGTCATCATCAATGATTGGTGATTTGCATTAATCCATCCTATCTCCCAGTCATAAATTTTGTTACAATAGCAATGCTGCAAGAAATACGCTTGAAATCAACCATGCAAGTCCACCCGTCACTCTGGTGGCCGACCCGGTCACCACCGACGTCGGCGAGGTCGATGGTGAGGCCGTTGATGTGGCCGTGGGCAATAAGGGGCTCGTAGTCGTTGCTGAGTCTAGAGTAGACACAATTTCGGAGCTCGCAGTCGTTGCTGAGCCTGGACTAGACACAACTTCGGAGCTCGAACTCGTAATGCCGGTAAGCGATACAAAAACGGAACTTGTCAGCGTACCGCTTATGCCGGTAGTCAAGCTTGTAGAGGTAGCCACGGCCGTTCCGTCGACATAGTAGATGACCAAAACAGTTCCTACAGGAGGAGTAGAAGTCGGGTCAGGCGCAGCCGTAGTCGTAACCGTAACCGGCGGCGGCGCCTGTGTCGTCGTCTCGATGAGACTTCCCGTAAGGGTGGGAATCGCATACGGAGGGTCGAAGAGGCCGAACCGTCCACAGGCGTTACACGGGTACGCCCACGAACTGACCTGTTTCGGAGCCGCGAGGACGGGGTCACACCGCGAGTCGACCATGGTGGCGATTGCTGAAGGGTCGGCCGTTTGAGCGCAGTCTGTGCCCAGGTCGCTGAGGGTGAGCTGGCGTGTGACCGACCCGTCGAAGATGGTGGAGACTTCGTCTAGGTCTAGAGCAAGTATCCAACTTGTGGTGGAGGGCCCTGCCGGTCCGAGGGAGTTGGTTCCTCTGGCGGTGGGGATGAGCATGTACACCGAGGGCGACGTGCTGTTTTTGTGCCATCGTTAGCTAATACCCCTTATGCTCGGGAGAGAAAGGGCAGGGAAGAACTTACAAGGTGTAAGCCAAAGATGAGTCGACATATGTGGAGGGGTAGGTGTATGGTCTGTCTGTTGGCCAGAAAAATAAGTTGACGGTTCCGGCGGAGCTATGAAGAGATTTTGTTAGCACTATGATCATCGAAATATCCTCGTGATCGAACAGAAACGTACATGCTGCATGTTGTCGGACATGGGTCAACCGTGGTAGAGATGACAGTTTGAGTGGTATATGTCGTGATGGTGGCCGGCACAGTTGCTGTGGTGGTTTGAGTATTTGTGACGGTTGCCGAGTCCGTTTCTGTGGTGGTTGTCGAGTCCGTTTCTGTGGTGGTTGTCGATTCCGTTTCTGTGGTGGTTGTCGAGTCCGTTTCTGTGGTCGTTCGAGTGTTTGTGATGGTCGCTGAGTCCGTTTCTGTGATTGAGACGGTGTAGTGGAGAGTAGTTGTTGTGGATTCGGTGATGCACGTCGAGACGGTACTGGTTTTGGTGCTACTAACTGTAACATTTACATAGTGAGGTACTGTGACATCGACATAGTGAGTTGTCGGTACAATCGTCGATGAGATGATGGTCGTCGTGTCGATAACGGTGACGTTGCTAGTACACCTAGGATCGTGGATGGTTGGTTCGTTGGGGTAGGATGAGTGAGGGCGATGAGCTTTGTAGTGTTGTTAGTTACTTCGCCACGAGAATGCAGAATGCTCAACTCAGGTTGAACCACATACCCTCGCCGAACGACCCCTTGACACCCAGGATTAGCAATCCGAACGGTGTCCATGTGCTCGAAGGCAACAACATGACTGCGGCTCTTGACGAACAACTTGGAGATGAACGATGCGAACAGCAACGAATGTTGGAGCTGATGATGCGCAAACAACTTGGAGGTGAACGAGCGAAAGGCAACGAGTGTTTGAGAGCTGATGAGGCGCAACAAGCGAAAGCACAGCAAAGAACGCAGACCGCTTCCTTTTCTACGTGGATATTGTGGCAAGGACATGGCAATCACTGTCCGATTCCCAATTCTTCGTACCCTTGTCTGAATGCTGTCATATTTCGCATGGAAACCGGGTCGCGCAGCCAGGAAGGGATAAGACATGCATGGCGCAGGACAGGGGTTCCCCAAATGGACGCTTCCCCCGCGCCCCACTCGATTAATTGGATACCCGGGGTGACGGGACAGGGGGTAAAGCTGCCGGGTGACGTCTCTCATTGCAAAGTTGCACTGCAGAAACAAGGTGGTGAATGGAGCTTAAGCTCCGGGAGGTAAACAGCAGCATTGATAGGTCTAGTTCTACGTCATGATTTGCCCTTTTGCAGCTGGGCTCGCGAACAGGATATCGCAGCCGTGCCAGCGAAGATGTCAGAACGGACACTGCACCGATCGCACGCCTTTTGCTTCCCCGCGCAAATCGTTCACTAATGTCTGTTGTACCTTCTGTACACGTTCTTATCCAAGATGCACCGCGTCGCGATAATATGGGCATTTGCGGTTCTCATCGCCAACTCTTTGTCGGATGACACTACGCCCAAGGCTGTCGTGATTCCTGCAAGTGAATACTTGTAACTCTACCTGGTTTCCTTGATTGGCTGTTTGTCATGTGCTGTGCTGACGTAGCGTACCGATAATTAGTGAAGGCAACGATGGACCATGGAGCACCTTCGACATTCGAGTTGGCACATCTGAACAAGACATCAGAGTGCTCGTCTCAACCGCCTCCCCAGAGTCATTGGTTGTCTTATCAGAGTACGGCTGCTCGACGTCTGTATTTGCTACAGTGCCCCCCGATTGCGCAGTCTCAAGGGGTAACTTATTCAACCTTAATGAGTCTTCGAGCTGGCATGATGTGGGCACTTACGGGATTAACCAAAATGGAGTCGGTCTCGAAGCGAATCTTGGATATGACCAGAGAGCGCAGTTCGGTTTAGATCATATGGCAATAGGTCTTACAGGACCTAGTCTTGACAACCAGACTATCGCTGGCATCGGGACACCAGAGCCTTTCTATCTGTATGTCAATCTCGCCTCACTCTTGACTCTCTGTGGATTGGTTCTGATTCGGGGATGTTCAAAGTGGGATATTTGGACTCAATAGTCAACCAGTGAACTTCAGCTCGTTGGGCAATTACTCATCGCCCTCATTTCTCACAACACTCAAAGAGGAGAATAAAATCCCGAGCTTGAGCTGGAGTTACACAGCCGGTGCTAAATATCGTAAGTGCACTAATAGAAGTTCGCAATCATCAGTCACTGCTAATTTTGTGTTTGATTAAAATAGGTCTGAAGCAAGTGTACGGCCAATTGATCTTCTCCGGGTATGACACCTCGCGATTTACGGAGAACGCGGTGTCTTTCACCATGGCAGACGACGTCACCCGAGACCTAGTCGTTGCTCTTCAGTCTATACGCTATAGCGGATCGAGTTCCGCTACTCTACTTTCCAACTCCATCGACATCTTCATTGACTCGACCGACCCAAATATCTGGCTTCCGGGGGATGTGTGTGACGCCTTTGAGAAGGCTTTCGGGCTGACACTCGACAGCAAGACTGGCTTATATTTGGTGAACGAGACCCATCACAACACGCTACTCGACTCGAATGCGGAGGTGTCCTTCAGGCTATCTGACGTGAAGTCGGGAGGAGATACAGTGACAATAGTTCTCCCTTACGCGGCGTTCGACCTCACGGCAGAGTATCCTTTGGTCGATAATAGCAGTTCCTATTTCCCCCTAAAACGCGCCAGCAACTCAACGCAATACACACTTGGGCGGACATTTTTTCAAGAAGCGTGTGTAACCTCTGAAGCAAGGATAGATCCATTCCTACGGACTGGTACTAACTTGACTCCTTACAGCTATCTCTCTGCCGACTACGAGCGCAAAGTGTTCAACGTGTCGGCGTGTGTATGGAATCAGGGCGCCAAGGAGAACATCGTCACCATCACATCCACGGACTCCGATTCAGCCACAGGTCGAGGTTCGTCTTCCTCAGGACACTCACACCTGAGTGGCGGAGCCATAGCCGGCATCGTGGTTGCTTGCGTGATAGTCGGCATCCTCCTTGCCGTAGCCATCGCATACGTGATTCTCCGCAAACGAAGGAAGTGGATGAAGGCAGGTTTCGCAGTCGCAGCACCCAAACCAGAGCCAGATGAATTCATCCTCGACGGCCCGGTCTTCAATTCCTCGCCTCATTCGATGGCATTCAACTCCACGCCCATGTCCGCAGCGGACATCTCCGCGCCCAGGTCGACAGCGGAGTGCTCAAGATCGGCAGCAGACTCTCCAGCGAGGCCGGACACAATCGACGAGAATGTCGCCGGTTCGTCTACACCCGAGTTGGACGGCCGTGATACGCTCATCAGACCGAACACGGAGCTCGAAGGGACGGAGATACAGCCGGTCGCCAAGAATCCGCTCGTCTACGAACTACCAGGCAGCGAAGTTGTGGGTGGCAGGGGTAGAGAGGCAGAGCCGGACCGGGCACCTTCCACAGTGGGTTCTTTGCCCTCCTGTGATGAAAGAGAAGGGCGGAGCGATTCCCCACCTTCACCATTTGTCTCTACGCTTGGCACCTTCCGGGAACAGGATGAGAGGGCGGATTCCGATCTTGTGTCCCCTACTACACCCACCCATCATGGAGCGCGACTGTTTTAAGCTGTGGCTTAGCGACATTATTGTTATGTTAATGATATATTACGACAGTGTAAGGGAAGCAACTGCGGACTAAATTTATTCAAGAATGCCAGTAGCAGCAAAACTCTGCTGGAGACGAGAGCATAATATAGAGTTGGTGTGACCTCTCATTCGAGAGGCATGAGATCGGCGAGGGATCGATGAAAAGATTTGGCGGAATGGTAGGGGTAGCAGGATTAAATGGGAAGATGACGACAAGAAATCAAGTTGCAGGCGCCCCGGGGCCCAGAGGGCTAAAATAGGGGGTGATGGTTTGGCGCGCCGGGGAGGTTTGCGAGATTCGGGGCGGCCCGAGAGAAAGGTACTGCTGTCGCCCGCGGAACTGATCCGGCTTTTGCGCGGACACTAGCGTTGACGTCTCAAACTAACCGAGTCGAATGGGAACTTAGAAATGTCGCACACACTAGGGTAGCGCAGCAGGGATCATCATCCCTCTAACCCTGGCTGCAACCTAGCTGCACGTTACCACAGTGGCCACGATGTTCTTCCAGCCAATAAATACATTGTGTTGGTTGTTTCAATCCCACCTGCATAGGGGCAGCGCACCCCAATCACAGATTTAACCGAGGTGCGATGCCCGTCGGGAACCTTAAATAAGCTGGCTGCCACCGTCGTTGCGTTCGATCAGGCTTGAACGTAAAATTGCCTTTGCCAATCGGTCACGTTTGCGTCCTTCACTCGCACCCTCACAAGCCCCGCTTCTTTCCAGCGAACCCGTGTCGACACCATGAATCCCAACCGCCAGCGAGATATCATCACCTTCCAGAAGGAACTCTCTTGGGATGGGACGAACCCCGCACACATCACCGTAATCAGGGACTTCCTCTTGAACTTCCGTGGCACAATCGCAGACGATATCTGGTTCGATGCCGAAACTGGGAAAGCAAAACCCTTTGCGACAGATGACGGCTGGACAGATACCGAGTCGGAGCGGAGTCAAATTAGATCGGCCTTTGAGCTCTGTGAAGAGTCGAGATATTGGGCCAAGGCACTGAGTTCATCTGATGCCAGCGCCAGACATGATCCTTGGTGTCGCTATTATTCAGAAAATTTCATCGCAGAATTAGACCAGATAACTGGGGCAAGACAGGGTTTAGCAAGGTATGCTCTCCAATGACCCTTTCTCTTTTTCACATTGTTGCCCTCGACTGACTTGGACAAGCCTGCCTGCCTCTCGGGACAAGTGTCATGCGTTGTGAGTTTCCAATCCCCTTGACAGCAGACAACAGCATCTTTGACACGACTGTCAGTCTGGAGCATTCAGCATCTGCTCTTTTTGAACTCGACGGCAGATCCTGTAGCGGGAACAAAATGCCTGTCGTTTGCAGGACTTCCTCCACTCTCTGGCTGCCAGTCGAGGCACTCCCGGCCTTTCAGGGCATCCCACCCTCACAATCGGGTTCATGGAAACATCTCCTTCTGTCAAACCTTTTCGAAACATTTTCAGAAGCCACGGCAGAGCATTTGGCTATACTTGGCTTTGAATGTGACGGCATCGAGCCTGGATTTGAGTTGGCGGCGGCCGAACAGCGAAACAAGACTGAAACTATCAGCCTCCCCTTCTTCGTTGCCGACTTCGACGAGTACACACATGAACCCTGCCGATGCTCTACGGCCGACATTTGTCACCTCTCTCGCCTCCGTGCAGGTACCGTGTGCGCTGCGGCTCTGAATGTCTTCCACCGTCTCGCAGAGATTGCGTTTGTGGAAGACCAGGAACATCTACGCATCCTTACCCCAGTGCCGCCTATGGTGACAATGACTTTCTGCGCGCAACATGTACGCATATGGATAGCGCATCGGAAGAAATACGGGAGCCCCTGCGTTCGTACCATGCTGCTCCGTTGGAGAAATCTGACCTTGTGCTAACAAAACCATTACGTGCAGAAGATAGACTGTATCTGGAAGGGAGATATGACGCGACTCCGCGACCTTGTCGAGCTGAAGGCCATCTTCGGCAATATTTCAACTTGGGCGACATCTGAGTTTCGCAACGGAATCTCAGACTACGTCTCACGATGGAAGGATCGATTTCCATTGGCTTTGTCGGACGAGGACGAGGACGAGGACGAAGAAATCAAATTCCTTATCACGAAGGTGGGCAATCTCAAGATTTCACGGACCAATAGCCTCCGCTTTAGCAACCAGCCTTCTGTTGCCGAAACGGCGGCGCACGAAGGACATCAGCCGCAAACGGGAGATGCTTCCAATAAGACAAACGATCCCGACATCATGATAATAGTCGAGTCAACGGAAGGTCCACCGGAGCCCGACAGCCTGCCGACACCGGCATCCCCATCATCGACGCGGAAAGAGACAACGACATTCCCCCCCAGCCGTCTCGACACACCTCGGCCATCTCGACCGAGAGGTAACAGCACTGGCACGAATATCTCGAGAGACTCCAATCCTTCTTCCTCCTTCCAGCTATCGTCCGAGGCGCGTGGCAACACCGGAATGTCGACCCATGGAGATACGCTGCAGGTCAGAAAATTAAGGAGCCAGCGCCCGCGCTCGTTCGATGCCAGTGAATTCGAAGGTGCCAAGTTTGCGTTCGACGTCTCTCCTACGAGATCCGAGAGCCACGGACGTCTGGGTGCGCGTAGAAACCATGTGCGAATCTTCAGTGGGCATGACCTTGATGCCGAGGAATTCACGTTTATAGCCCGGGCCTCTGATGCACTTGTCCCAGAAAGCACTTGAGTTCTTTTCGCGAGTGGGTTGACAAAGCTTGGTTTGGTTGGAAGAAATAGGTTACTTAGAAATTAGGGCCTACGAAGGAAGACTACTGGGACATGGTTGTGGTGTCAAGGACGAGCCGATGCCTGCTTATGAGAAAGATCTTAGATAACCCTGAACATGTTCTGCTTCACCCCCCGCTTCAATCCTTCAGCCCGGCCATTCTCATATTCCACGCCCGCAGCACCGCCCTCACCAGACATTCCCTCCAGCTTCAAGCGCACTTCCTCATCCAACTCCGCCAAAGTCTTTTTCTTCGGTTGTGACGGTTCCCGTTTTTCTTCCTTCGGAGGATCCGCCTTGCTCGTCTCGGACCCTTTCGTGCTTGTCTGGGACACTTCCGGGATGTTTTGGGCGGAGGAATAGGGTTTATTGGCCGAGGGCGCGAAGGCAAGGGATCCGCCTGCTGCGGTGCGAGCAGTGCGAGGATTGCGAGAGACACCAATGAGACAGGACGGAGTTGACCCGATGATACGTTTCATTGCGACGAGTTTGTTTGGCGCTTTGAGTTCCGAAATGTAGGTCGTGGGGAGAAAATCCGCCCCGATTTTGGGTGCTGTGAGCTTGGTGATGACGCTGGAATTACGTAACATAGGTGATTTTTGCTTATTCATTTTGCCAATTCAGGAGAAGCAAGCGCTAATTTGTATCTGTACTAGCGAAGTCGAAGAAGCTGCATAGGGGGTTAGTCAGGGCTTTTTGCTTGCACAGTATTACCCCCAGACTGGAGACAACCCAGTTTCACGAAAACCGAACAACATATGGGCAAGGGTCTTCATCCCAGGTGCTAAAATCATCCGCGCGGACGTTGGTTCCCGTCTTCAACGCATTCCACATGCTGTTTGAGAATCGTTAGCCAATGGTTCAGTCTTTCCCAATCTTGGCAGGCAGACGACGTACCTGGTACCATCACCAAGCATAAGGCCGACGTGGTGCACCCCTGATGGGTCATTGCTGCAGTCGCATTCGCCGCCAAAGAAGACGGCATCGCCAGCGCGGCGCTCAGCGTACGGCACCTTCCTGTGTGTGTGGCGGGATCAACAGTCAGCAGATATAGCCTATGGAAGGACAACGCACGGAGACTTACTTATACTTCAACGCGGTTTCGGAGGCGCAGTACATAGAGTAAGTGACGCGCAACCCTTCATCGAACAGATTCCGCCCCGTCACCTGGCACACAGCCCAGCTCACGAGACCAGAGCAGTCATAACCTGCCGTAGGACTGCCAGTTGGGCCGGAGCAGGATCCGCCGCCCCAGACATCTAAAAGCGGGCGAGGAAATCTCGTCAGTCACCGACTTCCTGTCCGACTGTAATCAAGGGGGTAGGTCTCTAATCCAAACGAGGCAACTTACATGGCGTCCCTTCCGCCTCTTGCGCCTTGGCGAGGATCTTCTGCCCTAAATTATCATCGGCGGCGTACGTGGATGCTCCAGAACTGTTTTCGGTTGAGCGAGAGACTTGGTGAAGAGGATTGGCGGCGGCCAAGTTCGCGACAGCGAGAGATATTGTGGGCAAGGTAGTGAGATGCATGCTAGATGAGTGTGGTGATTTATGTGACTAATAAATGTCGAATTGTAAGGAGGTTGAGAGGGTAAGAGTTGAATCAGAAGAGGATATCGCCTTTTAAACCCGGTGTCTCACTTCGGAGTCATGATTGGAAAGAGTTGGACAGGACAATGTCGATGAGACCGCTGTCCGTGCTGCTGGTTGATCAGTGGTATAATTAGAATGCCATCAAGGATAGCGAGACGTTTCATCGCAGCTCTCGAATAACTACTGAAAGGTCAAGATCCAGGTTTGTCGACTGGCTATTTTTAATCCGCGATCTACATGTAGACGATCTTCTCTGCTGATCTGCCCGCTCTGATCGACAAGCGGGGTGGAATGGTGCCACTGAGTTGGGGCTGTGCTTCATATTTGCATAATTTTGATTCTGCCTGCCTCTCTTGCTGAAGATCAGCAGTAGAAATCGACCCGAGCTTACCCATTTGTTCTGGAACCCTTCTATTAAGAGAGAAGCCTCTTATCTGACCCCTGTTGATATTATCATAATTTTGCCTCAGCAACTGGAGGAAGAAATGAGATTACAGTGGTATTAGATTATCTGATGCATGTTTTGCTCGGAGATACAGCATTCCTTGTCCACGGTGATAGGTCGATGGTGATTTCCTAGGCCTATCTCAAGATTTGATCCGAAGCGTGACAAAGTGTCTAGAGTTGTCGAGGCGTTTGCAACCGCCAACTGACGAGGGATCCGTCACTCGTCAACCGATGCACCGAGACCTACGGGACCAGACCACGATCGGTGGCCTCGTCCATCCATTTGCAGACCATGTTAATGGTTGAGCGCTCGCCTAGAATTTGCAATAGCTCCTACCACACGAACATGTTCCCATCCTTGTCGTCGATGTAGCCAACTGGTTAATTAGCCGTCAGGCTGTCACGCGAGAGCTCATAACAGGTTGATCCTGTGATTACGCGCCTAGACCGCCTTTGGCAGAACCATGTGGATACACTTACCACTTGTTGTCAGCTCATCATCTCCAACCTCTCTCTACCTGGTGCGCAATAGCCGCTCCAGCATTCCCAACTCCGATCCCGGTCAAGCAGCAGAAATGGACCCGACAGCCTCAGAGGATCCCGGCCGCATGCTGGCCAGGTTCATGTCCAGGTTGACACACGATTCGGATGACGAATGCATCACTTCAATCCGCTGCAACGGCAGAGCTTTTCACATCCATATGTCACCATCCTACTTCCGCGATTCGCCCACTACAGAGGCTCGATATCGCAAATTCCTCGAAGCCGTTCGAGACGAGTGCGAGGAGGACCCTGAAGAGGTTGAAAGTGTGTTTTACGAGTGGCTCATCGAAGTCTTTCAGCCCATCTTCTCTCGGCTTGCCCCAGAGGCCCTGCCGTCGTTCGACCCCGCCAAGATTCGTGCAGGAGAGGCCAAACCTCTGCTGTCTGAATATCTCTTTCCTGAGACCTTCGGGTGCAAGCTAGAGGCGGTCAACGACACACTGGTCCCTTTACATACAGACGATTCGGGCGGCTTGATGCCACCGGGTGCCTGGGTAGACGAAGATCTACTCGACGATCTCGACACGTGGGCGAAGTCATTTGACCCATCCGCTATCGAGGTGTTCTTTGAGGACGCCGACCATGCCCTCTATCGGATGCCTACTCGTGTTCTGGTCAACTTGGACGGGTCTAACCGGAAGACTGCATGCTTCTTCAAGGAGTTTGGGTGTGGCGAAGGGCGTCTTATGGAAAAGGAGCTCGAGAAGTATTTGGAGATGCACAAATCGAAGTTGGCCCAAGACACGCGCGTCATCCGTCTCGAAGGCATCGTGAAGGGGGGGAATGGCTCTGTCATGGGCTTGTTGCTGACGTATGTCGATCACAGCGGACATGGTTTGCTGGCGTATAGCTTGAATGATGACACCCCGCTTCACGTGAAGGAGCGGTGGGCAAGGCAGGTCCGAGAAACGGTCGGGGAGCTGCATGAGGCGGGTATCATCTGGGGAGATGCCAAGGCGGGCAATGTCATGATCGACAGAAACGAAAACGCGTGGATTGTTGACTTTGGCGGCGGCTATACTCTAGGTTGGGTGGACGAAGACAAAGCCGGCACGGTAGAGGGCGATATCCAGGGAGTAGAGAGGATTGTCGAGTATATATTCAATGAGGATTGGGCACGGAATGGAAGGTGACATGGCTCACACCCGAGCTTGCGAGAGGGCTTTGCGGAGGACTGGGTTACACTTGAAGAATACCCAAACCATGATGCGTGCACTGTATTTGCCAAGGGTCTTGTTTGTCCAGTTGGCTTAACATTTGCTTTTATTTCCAAGTGACAGCTGACCTTGGCGTTCGTCAACTCAAACCTAGGCGTGGGCGAAAAGGTTGCACAGTTGCCAACAAAAGCAGCCAGCCAAGCCAGCCAAGCCAGCCAAGCCAAAAGAAATGACTTACCACAGCGTCCCCGGAGTCAGAGGCATGATACATGGACCACGTCGTCCCCGAGATCAACAGCACAGGCACCGAGATGACACCAGCACCGCCCTCGCCCTCGCCGCAGAGCAGACTCATGCGGGCGAACCACGCAGCAACCCATATCCCCACCTGCGCCTTGGCCTCGTCCTCATCGACGGAGCCGAGCTTGGTCTCGATCGCGACAGGCGCGGGACAGACTTGTAGCTTCCCGTACGCCGTGGCGTTGATGGACTTGTGGTCGAGCGGCAGGGAGCGGACGAGAGATTCGAGGGCGGAGCGGAGGGGCGACGAGTCCCTTGCCGGCTCGAGGAGGAGGGCGAAGTCGACCATTTTGGATGAGACGGGGAGGTTGGTTGACGGATCGGTGGGGAGGTAGGGCTCGAGGATGGATGCCGTTGTGCTGTGATGGGGGAGAAGGAAAGTCAGCTTCTCCGTAGCACGCACAAGATGGGCAGTCCCGGCGCAGGAAGAGGAGGGATGGGGACGGACACGACTTACATCATCTCATGGCTCACGTCTTTCCGTCCTCGGAGCGCCAGCTTCAATATGGGGAGGTGGACGAGCGTGTTCCATGCGGCTTCGGCGCGACACCATTCAAGGCATTCCTTTGCGTCGGCCAAGATCTCGCGCACGCGGCTGAGCTCGTCCCAGAGTCGGTCTCTGTCGTCGGTATCGGTTGTCGGTGCCGCGAAGAATGCGTCGGGGATAGGCATATTGGAGGCAGCGAGGATCTCGTTCTGCGGAAAGAAGCAACATGTCAGTATGTCTGGCGCCTAGATGTAATCAGGTTGACAGGTCGAGTCTCAGCTTGAAAAGGCAAAAATGTGCATCAGGCTGAGTTGTTTATCAGGTAGCTAGTTCTCTTGGAGCCACGAAGTATTGACATCCAAATCGTGGCAGGCTGTGTGGAAAAGATGGGCGATGAAGCAGCCAACCACGAGGCACGTCTTGGGGTTGTGGCTGGCTCGAGTGTGCCTTAGCAGCGCCCCTTGGGCAGCAACAAAAAAAAAAACAAAAAAACACGAGTCTGCAGCTGGGTCCACTGGGAGTCTCATTTCTTCTCCCACAGCACACAAAGCTTAGGTACTCACTCATCTGGGTTGATGGACAACAAGGGCTTCGCAGGTCCAGATACCATCTCAAGATGAATGCCAAAATTCCTGCTACCGGCCTGACTGTAATACTGGACCCGAGTGAGCCTGATCTCGAGTACGTTTGCCCACCCCAGCAACCATAGAAGCAACTAATAATTGGTACAACACTGACAAATGTATAGCATCGTCTTTGTCCACGGCTTCAATGGCCATCCCGAGCGAACGTGGACACACAAAAGTGGCGCGGATGATGGCGAGAGTGAACCTCCAACCAATGCTCAAGGGCGTGGACTCCGTCCCCGTTCAACCTCGCGCAGGGCTATATACTGGCCGCGAGACTTGCTTCGAACCAGCATCCCTGAGGCTAGAGTTTTGACATACGGCTATGACGCCAACATACGACACATTGCTGGTAAGCGTCTTAACCAGAACTCGGTATATGATATCGCCAGCAACTTCCTAGTCGAGCTCGAGGCACAGCGTCGCCTGGCCCCCACGAGACGCCTCATCTTCATTGCGCATAGCCTGGGAGGCATCGTTGTGAAGGAGATGCTCCGGAGGTCGAGTGGGCAACACGACAAGCAAGCACATCTCGGAAGCATTTGCGATGCGACCGTCGGTGTCGTATTCTTCGGCACTCCTCACCAGGGGGCAGATCCACGACGTCTGTTGCAGAAAGTCGCGGAGGCAGCGACCAGGGCGCTCGGTTTCACTGTCAATCAGCAAGTGGTTGAAGCCCTCCTCCCGTCATCGGAGCGCCTCCGAGAGCTGCGAGATGAATTTGGCCCGATGGCCCGGCATCATGGCTGGGTCATCCATTCGTTCCAGGAGTCTCTCGGGATACGAGTCCTGGAGGGGCGGAAGGCGGTTGAGGACACCTCGTCCTATATCAATCTTCCGGAGGTGGAGACGTCTCAACATATTGGACGAGACCATATGGATATGTGTCGCTTCACCGGTCTACTGGATCCCGAGTTCAAGAAGGTCGAGGCGGCGTTACGCAGAATGGTTACCCAGTCCCCCGGGTCCCAGAGGCCTCACAATGACCCTTCGAAGTCGGTGACAGAATATGAGAAGGAAAGAATCATGAACGCCCTGACGTTCGACCGAGCCGACTTCAGAAGGACGGCCATCAAGTCCGCCCATACGAAGACATGCAGATGGATTCTTACAGAGCCCGTCTATGTCCAATGGCTTGATCTCAGCAAGCTCAATCAGCACTACGGTTTGCTCTGGATCAAGGGAAAGCCAGGGACTGGAAAGTCGACGGTGATGAAGTTCGCGTTTTCCCACACACAGAAGACGATGAAGGACAGAATCGTGATATCCTTTTTCTTCAACGCTCGTGGCGACTATCTTGAGAGATCAACCGAGGGCATGTATCGTTCTCTGCTCACACAGCTTTTGCAGCATATTCCTGACGGAAAGGAGGACATGATAAATGCTCTGGGTCAAATGTCCACGATGAGCAGCAGCCAAAAGGAGTGGAGTGTCAAGGCCCTCGAAGATGTCTTCCAGCAAATCATATTGGCCCTGGACCAGGCATCGGTTGTCTGTTTTATCGACGCTCTCGATGAATGCGACGAGAGGGAGATGCGCGAAACGGTGTCCTTTTTTGAGAACCTGAGCGACTCTGTCGTCGAGTCCCATATCAATTTCGAGGTCTGTCTGACGAGCAGGCATTATCCCCATATTTCGATTGGACGTGGGTACGAGCTTGTGTTGGAGAGTCACAAGGGGCATGTCCAAGACATAACGACGTATATCGATGGCAAACTCAAGATTGGGGCCAGCGAGCGTGCCCAGAATATACGCTTAGACCTTCAGAAAAAGGCCGCTGGGGTCTTCATGTGGGTGGTCTTAGTTGTGGATATCCTCAACAAGGAGTACGACAGTGGCCGCATCCACGGATTACAGGCAAGGCTAGCTGAACTTCCAGACGATCTTCACGGCCTGTTTCGGGATATCATGACTCGAGACGACCGCAATCCCCAGGGCCTCCTTCACTTCATACAGTGGATCCTGTTCTCCTCAAGACCTCTTACACCCGAAGAGTTGTACTTTGCCCTTCTTCTTGAGGCATCAGAGGAGTTCGGCGAGGTGGCCTCAGATGAAATCACCTCGGAAGTTCAACACAGGTTCATCCTTGACCACTCTAAAGGTCTAGCTGAGATTGTACAGTCCAAGGGGTCCAACCCTACGGTTCAGTTCATCCACGAGGCTGTCAGGGATTTCTTCCTGCATGAAGACGGATTGGCAGATTTCTGGCCTGATTTTGGGAGCAACTTACTGGGTCCAAGCCACGACTATCTCAGGCAAAGCTGTGCTGCCTACATAAGCTATGCAATCCCGGCGGTCGTTGACCCCAACTTGATCGTTGTTCGGGATTCAGCGCACATCAATGAGCTTTGCTCCAGAGTTACCACCGCGTCTCCCTTCCTCCGGTACGCGGTGCAGAATGTCCTCTATCATGGAGACAAGGCCCAGGAAGCTGGCATCGATCAACGGACCTTTCTGGAGGGTTTCCCCAGAGCGAACTGGATCTGGCTCTCAAACCTGTTCGAGGAGCATGAATTCAGCCGGCATACGACAAAGGCTAGCCTCCTATACATCTTAGCGGCGACAAATATGGACAACCTCATTGCAGTTTGGCCAGACAACCTGTCATATCTCGCCCGAGAACCACAGCGCTATGGCGTTCCCTTCGTCGCCGCGATGGCCACCGAAAGCCGCCGGTCCATTCGAAGATTTCTCGAACTAGAGGTCCAAAGCCAACCAGGGTTAACTACCCTCGTCAAGCTCTACAACCTGTACCGCTCACGAGGACACAACCACCCAATATGCGGCCCCAACATACGTTTTCCCCAACCCCCTGCTCGCCTCAGCTTCTTTGAACACTTCCCTCGACGCGATGGTCTCCTGCTTGCCTTCCTCGTTGCCACTAACAGAATGGAATGCAGTGACAGCGACGAATCACTCAAAATCATCATCAGGGCAGACTGGGATCGGCCAGCCGAGTACAGCGAAGCCATGATTCTTGCTGGAGTACTCGAACGGGGACGTGCGAGTCAAGGAGTGATTGGAAAAGCGCTGATTCGTTCCTTGGAACTTGGTTGTCATGACTTTACCAGGCGACTTCTCGACCCGAATAACAAGAGTCCGTTCTGGGGGGACTCAAGCAACAGCCCTCGGCGACTCGGTGCTTCAAACGTTGGCCACGGCATCTCTGAGGCGGAAATGGGCGGGGCTTTATCTGGGTTATCATCCCCGCCACATCGCGGGCCCGAATTGCAGAAACTCGCTTCCGATTTATTGAGACATGTCGACTTGAACGTGACAGATTGGGCTGACAACCCCTTGCTCTCTGTGGCTGCCAAAGTTGGTAACGAGCCTGTTGTGAGGCTGCTTCTTGCCACCGGGCAGGTCGATGTGAACAAGGGCAATGATCACGGGCAATCCCCTTTGACCATAGCCGCTGGTAACGGCCATGTTGGAATCGTTAGCATGCTGCTTGGCATGGGGAAAGCTATACACACGGGGGTTGATCTTTCCGGCAGGAGTCCGCTCCATGCTGCTGTCCATGCCGGTCATCACCTTGTCGTTGAGCGGCTGCTCTCCACAAAGAAAGTCGATCCAAATATCATGGATTCTAAAGCGCGAACTCCCCTCTTTTGTGCTGTAAGGGATGGGCGAGAAAGCATGGTTCGTGCGCTTTTGGCTTGCAAAGACACAGATCCAGACATGAGCTCTAAAGGGGAGACTCCCTTGCTCGCTGCTTACAGGCTACGGCGAACCGAAGTCGTCAAGCTGCTTCTTGATACTGGAAAAGTCAACGTCAACACTCAAACTCGGACTGGCCATACCCTGTTGATGATGGCTGTCGAGCGGAAAGACTACGGTATTGCCCAGCTCCTATTAGCGACTGGCAAGGCTGACATCACCATTGTGAGTCCTTCCTCTGGTGACACGGCACTGTCGCTGGCACAGCGGGTCAAGGACTCGAAGATGGTGGACATGTTACTTGAAAATAGCGTTGATGCCAAGGACTCGAAGATGGAGGACATGGTCCCTGACAATAGTGTTGATGCCAAGGACTTAAAGATGGTGGACATGTTACGTGAGAATAGTGTTGATGCCAGGGACTCGAAGAGGGTGGACAAGGGACCTGAGAATAGGGTTGATGACAGGGACTCGAAGAGGGTGGACAGGTTACCTGAGAGTAGGGTGGACAGGTTACCTGAGAGTAGGGTGGACAGGTTACCTGAGAGTAGGGTGGACAGGTTACCTGAGAGTAGGGTGGACAGGTTACCTGAGAATAAGGTTGATGCGGCGCCCATTCGCCCATTGTCGCCGTTGAAGGATGAAGACAAATGCTGTTGTATTATAATTTAGTTGATAGCATTCTTATTCTTAGTTGAATCCAACAACTATGTATCCCCTTTTGCCTTGATAAGTAGTTGCTCCAATCATCTGAAGAGCGACTAACTCTACAACCTCAAACCCAACAGGCTTAGATGGAACAGCCAAGCAAATTAATCAATGTATAAAATAATATCTAATTGAAAGAGGGCGAGAGGCAGGCCTAGCCAGCAATAGATCCAATCACATATGCCTCCGCGCAGTGCTATCCAGCTCAGCCGCCGCCGGACTAACAGGAAACTCATGGACCATACCACCACCCGGTCTTAGCGGCCTACCGTACGCGTCCACCTGGTTGGAATACGACGCATCCATCTCTTGCACCTGCGGCGACGTAACCCCTTTCCCGACCCGGTGAGGAGCGTGGGCATCGCCCTTGGCGCCGCGTCTGCGCCTCAGGAGGAACCACGCCATGCCCGCGATGAGGGCAAGGCCGACGACGCCGCCCACGACGCCGCCGGCGATGGCGCCGGCGTTTACCGAGTGTGAGTGGTTCTCCGGCGTCCCGGTCGCGGAGCTGTTGGAAGGCTTCGAGGACGCCGTGCCGCCGGTCGCTGTGGCCACGCGCAGTTGCAGCAGGGAGGATAGCGTGGCGTCTGCGAATCCGGCGGAGGGTACCGTGGATGTGGCGCCGCCGGTTGCGCTGAAAGGTTCATATCAGCTCATCTGGCAAGTGACAAGAACTTGGCCGTGTCCCGCATGACTTACTCTCCACCGATCTTGTCGTAGATGATCGGGGGCACCTCGTAGCTGGCATTCGTGTCTAGCTCGGTCTGCCATTCGTACTTTGAGAGATCCAAGACCCGCACGGGCTCAAAGACGTTGCTGCACGCGCCGTTGGTGAGCGAATACGCACCGGCGCGGATCCCACCGCCGAGGACGATCATCCGCGCGCCCTTGTATGTCTGGCAGCTGCCGGTGAGGCTGTCCCGCCCGATGGTGGAGTTCACCTGCTGCTCCTTGTTGCTCTCGTTTGATAGGTCGGTGGCGTCGATCCAGGTGAAGGATGGTATGCTGAGTACGTGGACGTCCTCGTAAGAACGCCCGTAATTCAGGCTCCATCCGCCGTATGTGGTGATGTGAAACGCTCCGCCATCCGGTGAGGCAGTTACGGCCGTGCAGAAGGAGCCTTTATGCAAGGGGGCACTACCAGAGGCCTCCTGAACCCACCAGGTGTGAGAGGCGATGTCGTAAACGTAGACTGTTAGCCAGTCCGAGTCGTATGGCCACCCCCAGTCGGGATCTATGCCTGCGGTAACCTGTTCGGATCAGATTAAAGATCGTCAATTATTAGAATTGGGGATGTTTGTCCGTGGCGGGAACGTACGTTTGACCCTCCAAAGCTGATGAGCATGCCCTCTTTCCCTGCTGGGATGTAGACCATGGCTCCGGACTCCAGGTTCGGCACCTTTACGCCGTGTGACCCATTTCCTAACGTCTCATTTGTCCACGAGAGGTTGTCCGGATCAGACGCGTCAAGGCGGAGCATGCCTCCCATGTAAGGGGTGGTGCCACCATAAATAAAATGGAGGCCTGACCCGGGAGCACTGACATATTGAGAAGATGTCCGGTTGCCAAAGTTGAAGGCACCGCCGGCGGCTTTCACGTCTTTCCACTTACCAGCTGTGACATTGTAGGCCGACAACGTGCTGGTTGGTGTTTCGAAGCCGCCACCAAAGACATAGATTGTGTCGTTGGAATGCCACAGCGCTCCAGTTGCATCGCCACTGCTTGTGCGCAAAGCGCTGTTGTAGGCAACCGTGATGTCGGAATCAATCGTGTCATTGCTGAGAAGGCCCTGCGGAATGGACCTCTCAACAGGAAACTGGCTGCTAAGACTGAGCGAGTAAAGCGATGCAGCTACTCTACGGTTAGGGTTAAGAGCCTAGGCTTCAGGGGTCAGGCAAGACTTGCTAGGTGTGATGTCTTGGCCATCGAAAGATACAATACTGTAATTACCGCTGATGAAATACAGTCTGTCGTCCACTAAGGTGGCTAGGTAGTTACATGGTGGTGAGAAACAACTCGAGCCCGTGTCCGGTTGCGAAGGGGGAGGGGGAAGGCGTACTCTTTGCCCCAATAACATAGCAAATGTCACCCTGCGTGGATAATGCTATCCGGCACAGAGCCAACACTATTAGTGCAAAGAATATCCGCGTCGCCATGGCGGGCGCGGCGATTTTGGCAAGACCCAGCAGAAGGATGATAATCCAAGGGAGTAAATGAGGGAGGAGCTTGGCGTCATTTCTGGGGGGACACTTTTTTCGCTGGGACTGCTCTTTTCGCGTCTGACAGCGCGTGTAACCCAGCTGCAGATGCATGCAGATCTTTCCCCTTTGGAAGCGCTTTTAATTACGACTGGGCTTTCCCGATGCGTAGAGTAAGCACTAATTTGCACCTTCCGCTGGGATATTTAATTGTCGGCGCAACCCCTTTTTTCTTGAGAATCTCTCGGGGGCCTGCTCTCTTTACTCCGGGGGCTATGCACAACAGGTGTCATAACCTTCTGACAGGTGGCAAAGATTTGCAACGGCCTGTTATTACTGGCAGCGCGTCACCTATTGGCATCGCCATCGCCATTGTATTACTGTTGCTGCTGCTGTTGCTGTTGCTATCGCTTTTACTATTTGCTATCGCTGTTGTTATTGTTATTGCCATTGCTATTGCTATCGCTATCAACGTTATCATTGGTGTTTCTATTGCTATTGCTATTGCTGTTGTTGAGAATAGGAATAGGAATAGGGACGCGATAGCGACAGCGACAGCGACGGCGACTATTGGCGATGGTAGTTCAGTGACAGCTGTGTGACACTTGCAAATCATCTGCCAAAATATTTCCAGCCTGTTGTCACCTGTCGCACGATCCAACAGCCCCCCAGAGATTTTAGCGCAGGCTCCCCAAGAGATTCTCTTTTTCCTCCTTCCACCACCACGTGACAACAATCCTGATATTCCGTGCTTGTTTCTGCCAGCTGGCAGCATCTGCCAGTCCTTCGGGGAACTTATGTGCCCCACACTTTCCAGATTTGTCCAATCAGCGATCTCCTCTCCGAGAGCATCAAAGTAGGTTTTCATCCTCACGTTTCCCAACCGGTGTCGATCAACAAACAACCTTGAGTAAGCCAATAAACGCAATTCTCTCTGAGAGTTGGCCAGGCCTTTTTTTTTTTTTTTTTTTTTGGCAGTGTCACCAGCTAATCAACAGCGCTCCCCAGCACCGCCGTATCAATCTGGGGTGTGGTTTCAGGTGGTGATATTAGTCACAAGGAATTACTTTGGCGTAGTTCCTTCTCGAGCCATATTCCGAGAGTGCCAGTCGACATCCTTTGCGTAATGATGCATTCCGTTTTAATGCCACTAGTCTCTAACGATACCCAGCCACATGGCCATTCTCATGCCCAAAAAAGTTTTCTTCCATCTTGAAGAACGAGGATTTTCGAAAGGCAAAAAGCAGTGGAGAGGAGGCTATTTATATTCTTTCCAACTACCACCATGCTTTAGACGTCAGATAGCAAGCGGAAAAGATGGCTGCACTCTGCTAGGTATCCCTCTTGGTAGCTCTTCACACCTAGCAGATTTGCCTCATACTCCCCTGTTTTGCACACGCATTGCTTTTTATTACCACCATGGTTTTCCCAGCCCCACCTATTACCACCATTGTGTGCCCAGTCCCAGCTATATTCAGTCCCATAGTATATCATCCTATGTACTATCAGTTCATGTAGAAAGCTCCTGTAGCTGGCAGGGCATGCATCAGGCTCTGCGTGCAGATAGACACGTCGAAGTGAGAATGCAGGATAGGTACCCGAACCCCAGGCCTGGTCGACTGCAACCTTAATGGAAACATCATCCGCCATTTCCTCTAGTATGGGCTGCCAGTCGGGGCCCTTCTCGTCCGTCTGTGTCACTGGAAACAAGCGACCTTTATATTGCCTAACACCAGCGTAACGATCTACACCGCATTCTTGCCGATTTTGGCCCTCTGCTAGTACGGCCATGACGTCGCCCAAAAGGAGGCAGCCTGTCATGGATTCGAGGACATAGGACCTATTTGGATTATTAGCTGCGGATATTCCAATGTACGCCAGGAGCTTACATTGTCTCGTCCCCGGAATAGTTGCCGTAACATTCAACCTGTATTCGCTGGCTGGGGGGCTGTGTGGCTAGCATAGTAGTCCATGATCCCGGTCTGTCGTAGATGCGCTTCTCCAAATCGAAATCCCCTTGCTCTTGCGCGGGCGGCGGAAGCCATGGGCGAATGCCCACTGAGACTCCCAATGAGTTAAACACAGGATTCAGTTTCCATGTATCCCGACCGGCTTGTTGCTCGCGAGCGTCCCCGCCGTGCGGTCGATACCAGCAAGCCTGCTGGAGCGCCGGAGAATCTTGAACGACGTCTCTCCAGTTGCGACAAACCAGCTGCGCTCGGACTATTTCATTGATATGATCCAGCTGCAGGATTATGCGCTCAAGGAGCTCATAAGTACCAAAGACACTCTCAACATACAATTGCATTTCTAGGACGTTGACGTTAGTTGACGTGGTTTATGATTAAATTACGGTGACGACAGGCTTTTCCCACCTCAAATGAGGGGATGGATGACAGCAAAGGGGTGCGCTAACCTGTTGTGGATCGCGGCTGCGCAACGGCCGCTTCCCCCTCGCGGACTAGGTACTACAGGGTTATCCTTGGCCCTTGATATGCTAGGCTGCTGCCCGCAGGCGCGGGCTCAAATGCCAAAAATAAGCACAAGGGTGTGTATGCATGCATGCTGCGGTTGAGGCTGTGTAGGTATAGTGCTAGTGGTTCGCTCATGGGACAGGGATCACATGCACGGCGGCGTCACCGAGGACGGCGAATGCATCCTCTACACTAGGCATGGGCAGAAATCCAACAGCAGTCGGCAAGACGAAGTCGTCGAGGTCTTCTCCTCTGCGCAGCATGATCTGACTCAAGGCGGTAAGCTTCTCCTTGGGCGATGGAATCAACCACCTGAATACCCGCCTCCTGCGGCCACTGCGACTGCTCGGACCGGTTTACATGGCTGTTGATGCGTCCAGGTTCGCTGACACCGACCAATCGATCCGCCTCACTCAGTCAATGCTGCTTGCCTCGTCCGACGGCAAATTATGCGTGCGAATAAACCGCATCGGGCAGAGGGTACACTGAAATGTTCCGGGATGCTTCTTGGCGGGTCCTAGGTTCGGATTCGGCACGTCAAGAAAGTCTTTGCCGTCGCTGGAAACGCCGTGACTTTCGAGCATGTGGGTGTCCAGGTCCTTTTTTGAGACACAGTCACCGTGGGACAGCCATCAAAAGCGCACGTGTATGCTCGCTCGTGGCGCTTCAGATGTCTGTTTCTGGATTCCTGCGAGTCGAACCCTTTTTGTAGATTTTCTCCCGTTTTGTCGCTACTTCTATCACCTGCGAACCAAGAGTTCAGATATAGCACCCTTTTACGTCTATTAGAGTTCTTTTTCTATATTGTTATCCACCCTCACACCCTCACACATATAGCTATATGGTATCCGTGTATCATCTGGCGCTCCCCCGCCATATTCTTTACAAATCTCGATAAGTGGGCACGTCTCCAAAAGCTATGAACTTCAAAGGAACTAAGCAAAAACGCCAGCTTGCATGAACATCTCGAAGTCCACATCGCTGAGGGCGTCATCGGAATGCATCTGTGACGTAGAGAGGCGCGGCCGCTTGCTGGACGGTCCTACAGCCTCGTGCTCGGGTAGCCCATTCCAAAGCGGCCGCTTGCCCTTCGACGGCCCTGCTTCGGGCTCCTCGGAGTTGGGATCTAGTTCGATGACCCGCTTGCTGTCTGGAACGGCTTGAAGTGACTTCAATCCCCCTTCTGCTTCGTCCACTAATGAGGTGTCTGTTACAACAATGGCCGGCTGTGACCCATTGGCAATGTTGTTGGACGTACGTCGTTGGCTACTCGTCGTGCTCGGCCCTGAATCGCTAGGACGGACGGGATTTCCGTTAGAATCCACAGTGATTCTCCACTTGACCACGGTCTCGGCGTTCTTGGGGGGATTTCGCCAGACTATCGAGTTGAGCCGGTGACCAGGCCGCATAGCTTCCGCAAGGGAGAGAGCACTCATGAAATCAGCTTTGTAGCCTGCCGCAGAGATCGTGGTTATGCTGGAGGTATATTCCTTGGCTGCCCAGAATCCCTCGCTTCCAGTCGAGCTCGCGTCGCCGGGTAACTGGCCCTGTTCGGTAGCACCTTCGAGATGCTTGCGATACTCGGCCAATTTGGGCTCCATAGAGTGGTCTCGGCAGATGAAGTTGCCAAGGTTCCCATCTCTAGCTCCCCAGCCGTGCTTCCGGTGGAACCTTTTCACCCGCAGATGCCAATCTGGGTGTGTCTCGAGAAGTGTCGTGAGCGGCAGCCCAGTTTCCAGAACGGTCGGGTCCATAACGAAAACGCACAGCTCGTCTCGACCTCCTCCGGCCTTACGCGGTTCGGCCGTTGTGGCAAGTACGACATTTTTCTCCTCGAAGTCCGGGAGGCCAGGCGGAGAGCCCCACAAGGATTCGTCTCCTACAGGTGGTTCGGGGTACTCCTTGGGCTCTCCCGGCCGAGGAAGTTCCTCGAGGAGCGACGAGATGCGGAACAACGATGACGACACCTGAACCATTTGCCCCGTGAACAGATCAAACACGATATTCCGCGCCTTCGAAATCGACGCGGGCTTGATGACAACGTCGAGCCGGTGCCTCATCCCTTCGGCTGTCATCTCGGACACGAAAATCTGCCAGTTGGAAGACTTCTCCCCCTCTGGGTCCCCACACACCATCGCCTCGATCCCGCTGTGGCGACAGACGCGGGCGACGCACGCCTTCAGTGTGTCCTGCGCGGTACACTGCTTGAGCACGCTGAAGAAAGTCGCTACAGCCCTATCAACCGTGGGAAAGCCGGCCGGAGCCCGTCCGGGATGGCGATGGAGGCACGCCATCTCCAGCAGCCGGTCAAAGAGAGACTCAGCTACTGCTAGGTAGCCCAACTCCCGCGTCGGCTCCCAGGAGGGCGTCAGGTAGGCCGTAACGGTCATGACGGTGAGGAAGACCTTGTCTTTTGGGTAGTGGTCAGCGCCCTCACGGCTTTTGTTTGTCCACATCCTCTCAATGGCGTCCAGCCCTTCCCGCGAAATGCGCCAAGCCTCGGTCAGGCACCTAAGAATAGAGTTGGCCAGGGACTTTCGCTCGTCGGCGGATATCGAGCCCATCAGAGTCTCAAAGTTGTCCTCCGTCACGTAGAGGGCGACGAACAGGGACCGCACGTAGCGAGCATCCCGAATGACTCCGTACTGGCTGTCGTATTTTCTAAGAGGGTCACCCGTCGATGTTTTGGGGTGCTTCGTGGCCCCCGAAGAGCCATGACTAACTTGGCAAAACCTCCTCGAGGTGCGGGTCTGGTGAACCATGACCATGGGTTTCGGGCCATTTTCCAACGCTTTAGTGAGGCTGTTTATGATGGCTCCGCGGTAGATTTCGCGCGCCCAGTCAACAATGTAGTCGACAATAAGCAAAAGTTGGAGCGCGTGGCTGGGTGAACGAACGCAGCCGTTCCATAGAGGAAGTATATGCTGCCGGCGACCGTTCAGTATTGTATATAAAAGAAAATCTGGGGGGCTCTGACGTACCACGCAGCACTCATCTGTATCATTGCCTTCCATATAAAACGCCGAGATACTCCAATGGTTGCCTCGATGAGATACGGCCCAGGCGAGGGGGCCGGCTTCCCATTCTGTTGTCTCCCCGGCATCCTGGCGCAATCCCTCTTGAGAAACCAGCAGCTGCATCGTTTTGACCACCGTCTCATGCGGTATTTTCCTGCTGCTTGTGTCGCTTTCTTCTCCCTCGGGTTCGGATGATGCGACGACAAGGAACGGAAAGACCCACTTCCGATACGAGAAGTTGTTTTCAAGGGATCCCTCGTTCGGTATTCGAATGTTGTAAATTTGGTGCGCCGTTTTTCTAGCGTTCGATGGCTGCGAGTGAGGTTCATTTTCATCGGCAGGCTCCTCATCCGTCTCTTCGAAGAACAGCAGACGTGTGCCACGCTCATCGCTAACGGATCTAATTAGTGCTTTTAAAACAAAGTATGAAGGCTGGCTTGATGGAATCATACTCTTCTTTGTTACCACTACCGGCATCACATATACAAGGTGCTCGATTTGCTTGCTGATCCTTGAGGGCTGCGGCATGTTCATTGCTTAGCCTCTCTGGGAGGGTGCTGCGCTCGGTATGCCAAAATCTCGCTCGACATTTTTTGCTGCGCATGAGATTGGCATTAGTTCCGCGCACCAAGTCTAGTTCGTTGAGAATCCTCACCATTCAACCTCAACCGATAGGCGCGCCATAATTTCCGACTGTAGAATTGACAGTTGCGTAGGGTCGTCTAGCTGCTTGGCTGACCTCGCAATGAACTTGGCGCGACGCCGCATTTGGTCACGCCATGGTTTGCGAAGCTGATCCGCACCAATATATCCGTGATATTCCTCGATGTTGGTCTCGCCAAGCTGCTGAATGTGTCGAAAAATGGTCTTGCAGATGCTTGAACATGGTGGTGAGCCAGCGGAAACAGAATCCACTTCATCGAACTTTACTCTGGCGCTTATCTGTCCTGGTTCTATCGAGTTCACGGCCATTACCGCTTGGGAAGCAGGTAGCTAGGGAGTAGACGAGGACGCTAGCTAGACAATTAATAAACAGCAAGAATAAGGCGATAGGTCGCAGCGAAGTCTTGGCCAGCCGATGTGTTTTTCTTCGTGGTCGCAGAAGATGTTCCCATTAGGCACGCCTTCCGCTATGACTAGGTAGGGGTTATTCTAGGATTTATTGCTGAGAGGCCGCCGACCAAATGTCACATGTGGTGGTTTATTAAGCAGTGGTTTCTTAAGCAGTGGTTTATTAAGCAGTGGTTTATTAAGCAGCATGCGCAAAACAGCAAGCGAACCGCCGGAACTTGCTCGGGTTCCTGCGGCTTGGTGGCGGGGAAGAGGCTTAGCGGCATCCCGGAGCCAATAGCAACGGCTCTCACTACCAACTGCGGCCGACCCTTGCAGCTACAGTTCCATAATTCGTAGGCCTGGTTCGCCTGATTGGAGACTGTTGCCTGCATGAGGGTCGCATTGTGGCTGCGCCTTTTTTTTCTCGTTAACCAGAGCCACCCAACTGATCGACAGAACGCCTAGCCACAGTCAAACTCAGATATCAACCCCCACAGTCCTGTTGCTCCTCAGGGCCTGGTAGCTCCGGCTCGTCAAACATCAACAATAGACCATGCCAGGAGGAATCAGACAGAATCGGCGCCAGCCGGCTGATTCACAAAGTCCTCGCAGCAAACGGTCGAAGATGCCAGAAACAGAACGCATTGAAGCGGATACCCTTTGCGAAAGATGCCGCGGCATCCACACGGAGGCTGGCCATATTCATGTCAAGGCAGATCTGGGTGTCCAACTCGCCATCGTCGACGATAACTCCGACCAGCTTCTCGGCTCAGCCTGCATGTTCTGCCGCCTCCTGGGATCCATCAAGGACCAAAGCTTGGACGGTCATGAATGCCGGCTTTACGCCTATTCGGCCAATGCTATCTACGCCCGCATTCGTACCCCTACACTCAAGAAACACGATATAGCGTCATCGGTTCTCCTCGGAATTGTAGCGTCTACCGCTCGATCAACGACTCTAGAAGCAAGTGATTTCATTGGTGTTGTCGATCCGCAACGTGAAGGACAGAGCACAAGCATCGGCCCTCGACGGATTCGAACAGACAGGATTGATTACGCCATGATCAAATCCTGGATATCCTTTTGCGAAAGCAAACACAAACGTCTATGCAACCCTTCGATCACCGAGATTGTGGAGAAACTGAGAGTAATCGATGTCGATACGCTAGATGTCATAGACGCGCCAGAGAACTGCGAGTATGTGGCGCTTTCGTATGTTTGGGGAGCACACGCCGCTCCGCCAGGCAGATTTCCCAAGGTTGTGGAGGACAGCTTCGTAGTCACGAAGAAGTTGGGATACAAGTATGTCTGGGTCGACAACTATGTAAGTCTACCATATCCCCGGGCCATCTTGAGTGCCTACTAAGCGATTTGCCAGTGTATTGATCAAAACAATGTCACCGACAAACACGATCAAATCAAAGCCATGAACCTCGTCTATGGCAATGCGAAATTAACTCTGATCGCTGCCGCCGGCGAAGGCTCTGACCACGGTCTGCCAGGCGTGGGAACCCGGGAGAGAGTTGGGCAGAATTCTCTCTCCATCGACGACCATCTCTACATCCAGACCTTCCCCCATGCGTCTTGGGCTTTAGATACTAGCCGATGGGCAACGCGAGGCTGGACTTTACAAGAGGCTATGTTGTCCAACCGGAGACTCGTCTTTACAGATTACCAAGTCGCCTTTCAGTGCAACGGCATGCACTGCTCTGAGGCGGTACACTGGCCCTACGAGCTGATGCACGCGAAGTCTTCCCGCCGGTTGCCCGAAAATGTTCCTCGGCCCCCCTTCGGCCGCCTGACGCTGGACCAGAAGTACTACGACGTGGACCGGCCCTACTTCCATCTCTTGAGCATTCTCGAAGAGTACAGCAACCGCACGTTGTCTTACTCCTCCGACTCTCTGAACGCGTTTCTAGGCATTCTGTCCAGCTTTGCAAGTCGCAAGAATCCGATCTACCATGTCTGGGGCGTGCCCCTAGTCTTCCAGCACAACAGGTGGGACCTGAAGCTCAATTGGCGTCACAGGCAGCCGTGCAATCGGCAGACCCAGTTCCCCAGCTGGTCCTGGGCGGGATGGTCCGGGCCGGTGACGAGGGGAAAGCAACTTTTCATGGGGGCCGGGAATCTCTTCCTCATCAGCCTAGAGAAGGACAGCCGAGGCGAGGAAGCCGAGATTATAGATCTGCAGGACTTCGGTAAAGAACACGGCAAATACCATATGTATGCGTCTGGATCACTTTTCCTCCGGCTGAGGATATGGGCCGTCGACCTAGAGTTCACACATGTCTCCTGGTCGGGTGTTAGTGAGGCAGCGAGACAAGCATATTACGACGAAAGGAACTTGGGCGAACGCTCGCAAAAGGATGCCTTCAAAGAGGGACTATACGCCAAACTCCCGCGACGAGGGTATACCGAGCTCGCGTACTTTTACATCGACGACAAAGATTTCGATGCCGATTCCCTGCAGGAGAAATCGCTACCAGCGATGATGTTCGATGATAATCCTTACAACGCCGACGCGACCTTCATCATACTTATTCACCGTGGAGAGGACCGCTACGAGAGGTTGGGGTATGTTTTGTTCAGGCCAGCTTCGCCGGAGCCGACGGCCGACACGGCGTTCCGCTCGGACAGTGGAAGATTAAGCAAGGTCAGGCCGGACATAGCACCTAGTGTGGGCGAGCATGAACAGCTGCTGTGGAAAGAACATAAAATAGCAATGGACATCCGGCTAAGCTAGAGGACATCGCTCCCAGAGAAGAAGTTGGGGCCCATTGCTGGCAGCCTCTGCACAATAGACTTAACGGCAGGATATTGCTAGACGTAGATAGGCAGTTAGTAAAAAGTGTAGGTATTTAGTATTATTGTGCTTCAAGGGGTAAGAAAATAAACGACGTTATAGGATCGCCGAAGATGCTTCCTACCGTAAGTGCGTCCTTGGGCATGGCAATGAACTCATCTCGATCAGGAGGGCAGGAGCAAGCAATCGGGATCCTCTGCTCTCCGTTGAACTCACTACAACTGTCCCTTTGGAAGAGTTCTCTTGATAACGTTCTCGACCCGCGCGGTTGGGTATGTCCCGCACTTTGACCCCAGTGTATCGCAGGGGAGTTTGAGAGACTGACCACCACGCAAGACTAAACTACCTTACTGTTGCAAACAGCGTCCACATCCTCGAGCCTCAGCGGAATCCCGCCGTGGAGAGCCAAGCCATCGGTCGTGTCCTACGTCTCGATCAACAGAGACAGATCACGATCGTGCGATATGTGATGCAGCGATCCATCGAAGCGGTCAGTCTTCCATCTAATCGCGACCATTCGCCAGACGTCAACGCTAGCTAACGTAAAAAAGAAAAAAAAAAAACACTCTACCAGGTCGTACTATCGAGTCAATTACGGAAGCTGCAGTTGGCCGGCCGCGGGTTCTTGAGCCAAGAGGAGCGGCGAGAACTCAGATCCAACCAACCACGCCAATTACAGGAGTATCTTGAGGCAAACGGATCGGTGGAAGCTTGAAACATAACATTTTATATTCATCAATGTTCTGAAATACCTGACCGGTAGTTAACTACAGAGTCGCCGCTGGGTGGGCATCTCGCTGAAAAGGGGTAAAGCAAATATCATTTCTTCTCAGGCATCCTCTGACTTGTGCACGGTCGAGCAAGCATTGGATATGCAGCTCCTGAAAATTGCTAAGTTCCGAGTAATAGCATGGGCAACCACATGATGTAGAAGCTTTTCTCTCGTGAATGGAACCGAAGCGGGCCAAAAGACAACTCAAGAGACCCAGAGTCTTGGGAATCCTCAGCATCAGACTGGGCCGTCCGGCCAGGTCTAACCACCAGTGGCAATTGGAGGCGAGAGCACAGAAGAAGCTAGCTACCGGGGAGCTTGGAATCCTCCAGCTCCCTTTGAGAATTGCCGATCTCAGCTCCCTCGTAACGTAAACGTGGCACCGCTCGCGCAAGATTGGGGCTTTGGGGGAATTTCAGTTGAGTTTGAAACAAGGCGAGTGATCTTCCATTCCTATTTAGATTCTACGTTCATATCTATGGACCTTTCCTTCCATATCCAGCACTTAGGCAGTGGCCTCCCTTCGTTTGATCGTCAGTGGCAGTGGACCTGGCCAAAGATTGAACGCCTCTTCGTGCCCCAATTCCCACTCTGGATATGGAAGACTAAAGTCATAGCGGCGTAGAAGAGTTGCTGTGAGCACGGTTTGCTCGATGTAGCTGATGTTGCGTCCAATGCATCCCCGTGCACCAGCACTGAAAGGAATATATGATGCTTGCGCTTCCTTGTTGCCATCCTTGAGCCATCTCTCCGGCTCGTATCTTTCAGGCTCCGGGAACAAGCGTGGATTCCTGTGAGCTGTATATGCTGGAACCGCCACGATTGTGTTTCCGGGGATCCAATGGCCATCAATCATGAGACCATCCGGCGGGGTCAAGCGGTTCAAGCCGAAAGACACTGGCGGGAACAATCGCATCGACTCGTCGAGGCACGCGTGAAGATATGGCAGGTTCTTCACGCTGGCATACGTCGCGATGTCCCCATCGTCATGCAACGCTGAATCCAACTCCTCACGAAGTCGAGCTAGCGCGGTGGGAGTTTTGAGGAGGCAGTACATGACATGAGCTAGCGCTATGGCAGTCGTATCCGATCCTGCATCCACTGAGAACAGTTAGTAAGTGATCGGAGAAGTGTGAGGTGGCCGTCAAGAACACGCCGACCGATCAGGGAGGGACAGGACATACATAATGTACTCACTTCCGCCTCCGTTTCGCCAATCTCCAAATTTCGTGCCGTGCCCACCTTGTCTTCGAGAAGACATCCAACCAAGTCATCCAACTCTTCTCCGTCCTTGTACCGTTTGATACGCTGTCGGACAAGGTGCTGAATTAACTCATCAAAATCTTGTCCTTTCTCCCACTGCGAGCGGAAGTATCCTGGGAGTTTCCTCAGGACGGACCGCGAGAACTGAAACCAAGTCGTTGACCAGATCAGCACCGATGTTGCTCTCTTCCCGGCGTGGAGGCAGTCGATGTAGCCGACTGTCTTTTCTCCGCCGTTGTGTGTTTGGATGGCGACAAGATCATTGCCCCGTTCAAGGCAACCCAGATGTTGACTCAAGGCGATGTCGGTGATAGCCTCAACAGTGAAGAGATTTGTCCACCTGCGGTAATCAATGGTTGGTGGGACACATCCGTCTCCCGCAGTTGCCTCGCGGCAAATTCGGTCGAACTGGCCCACCAGCCTCTGCACCTTATCCGTGACCTTGAACTCCCACTGTTCGAGGTTCCGCGTTGCGAAGGCGTGAGACAAGATGCGGCGCTTGCGAGCGTGTTCGCCCTTGTGCACCACGTCGAGTAAGCTGGGGTGCCCACCCGCTGCCGTAGAGTACGTGCCGCCCTTGATACATGCAGTCGAGTGCCCGTATATGGCCCGGATGGCGTCAGGCGAGGAAAACGAAACCGAGTTGGGGCCGACTCGCAGAATAGGGTGTCGCTCGTGGGCCGCATGAATCTCCTTTGAGCGGAATCCGCGCCAGCGCTGGAGGATGTAGCTCAGGTTTGAGACGCCGGACAAGGTGGTCGCGTTTGGGAATCGGCGGAGGTTTTTGGAGTCCCAGAGATATGTGGCCAGAGGTTCAAATAGAATAAGAACCAAGGCCAAAGAGAGCAACGAAATCATCTTGTTGATTTATGTCGGATAAGAGTCTCAACATGACGACAGAGTATTATCCTGCTTGAGAGGAGTCGGCGACATGATCGGGATTTTTATAAGTTGATCGTAGGCGATTCTTCATGTGATCTTCTCAGGACCCGGTTAGGTGTACTCAAATAGCCCAAGTGTTAATACCACCTCCGGTTCATACACCAAATTGAGTATATGACCCTAAAGCGGAGTGGACGAGCCCTGGGGTGATTGGTAAGTCCTTCGTGGGTTGAGGCAGCAATCCGATCGTTAATTATGGCCTGCGCTTCACATGCCCGATCAGGTATGTGACCCCAGAGTGGAGCACCCCCCGGCTAACTTTCCCAAGGCGGCTTTAATCACGGCCCATGCCGAATCCTCGACCGGAGGATAGCCCCAGCCCAGGGTTGGATCGTGACGCACCGTCTGATGCTGTGCAGTGACCCACCGTTGCCGGTGCCGAACCCCCGAGACGAGCCGCAACGATGGTCTAGACTTCCGGCATGAGCAAGCTAGCTGGGTGGCTGGCCCCGAGAAGATTGCGGTGATCGCTTGGGGTGTTGCAAACTTGGACGAGGGGAAGTTTCATTAGCGCCATGTTCCATGTAGCTTGCTGTAACTATCGGTTTTTAATCGCATTTCGAGACTTGGCATGCCGAGGTGTTCACTTTGGCTCGGAAATACTCGTTAGCAACCGGCAACAGTCATTAGCTTTCTGCTTCATATACCTGATTAAGTATATGATCCCGACTTTGGGGTAGTTGCCGCGTAACTTTCCCAGGTTGGTCTAGATCGGGTCATAGTGTCGAGTGGCTTGGAGAAGCGGGCCATTAGTGCGGGGTTTTTGCTGGCCCTAAACAACCCTTGCGAGAGTCTCTGGAGACCCTGGTCTCGCTGTATTATATTCTCGGATGTTGGGATCTTTCCTGCGTCTGCTTGTACTCAAACGAGTTTTTTCCCCCAACACAGTACTACCTATTTGATTCGGCATTCACAAGTGAACCGTTTTTTACTCTGACGATAACCTCTCATTACACGAGGAAGAAAGAGAACGAAAGTACAACAGACAGCCATTCATGCTCACTAACATGGCGGCCCTTCCTGACAAGATGAGAGCTCTGAGGTACGTCTTGCTATTGTTATGAAGGGAATTAACTTGTGAATGTTCGAACAAGCTGTTCCAGAAAGCATGCTAACCATTAATCGTACTTGGAATTAGATATGAGGAGCCCAAGAAATGGTCGATTGTAACTGTTCCGCTACCACAACTGCGAGACAACGATGTCCTGATCAAGGTCAAGGCATGTGGTGTTTGTGGCACAGGTTAGTCTCAAGAAAGATCAGTAAATACCTTTCAAGTGCAAGAAACTAACCTTTTGCCTATAAGACCTGGTATTCAAGCCCACCTTCTGAGGTGAAAGGCTGATCTCACTGATGATTCGACAGCACATTCACGATGGTGAATTCATTGCCAAGTTTCCCCTGATCCCTGGGCACGAAACAGTCGGCGTCATAGCTGCGGTCGGAAAGGCACGTATTTTGCTTGATACTTTGAACCAACAGACTCTTACAACTGGAGAACAGGATGTCAAGGGCTTCCAGATCGGAGATCGCGTCGCTGCTGACAACAGCGAGCTCTGCAATGAATGCTTCTACTGCCGGCGTGGCCAGCTCTTGCTATGCGAAAATGTAGGTTGCATCGACCATCGCCCCGGCGCAATGCTAATGAACTTAGTTCAACGCCCACGGTGTCACCATGAACGGCGGCTTCGCCGAGTATTGCGCCTACCCAGCTCCCAAGGTCTTCAAGATCCAGAACCTGGATTGGGTTGATGCCACTCTGCTTGAGCCTGCCTCCTGCGCATGTCATGGTCTGGAGAGAATTCGCCCCAAGCTAGGCTCCCATGTTTTGATGCTAGGTGCTGGTCCAACGGGCCTTGTGAGTCTCGACGAGGAACGATATTGAAACTGTTTTTAACGGTCTTTCAGATGCTTGTCCAGCTGTTGAGACAGAATGGTGCCTTCCAAATTACCATTGCGGCCCCTCAAGGGCTGAAAATGGACCTTGCGAAAAGTCTTGATATCGCCGATTGCTACCTTGAACTCTCCCGCGAGAACCCCGAGGAGCAGCTTGCTCAGCTGAAGACAGGAAACCCCCATGGGTTTGATATCGGTTAGTAGTTCATTTGCGCCCGAAGCACTTGAGATATTCTGACCTCTGTGCAGTCGTTGAGGCCACGGGCTCTGTCAAGATCTTGGAGGATGCCATCAACTACGTCCGCCGCGGCGGTACTCTGGTTGTCTACGGGTAGGCCAAATTCATACTGTGAACTTTCGATGAATTTCCCATGGCTGACAGAAGAATTTAGGGTACACCACAACTCCGCAATGGTCTCTTGGTCGCCCGCCAAGATCTTGAATGACGAGATCACCATCCTCGGTTCCTTCTCCGAGACCTACATGTTCCGTAAGCATTCTCCAGACACACAATACAGCTGACGCGAGTCAAATCTAATGGCCTCTACAGCTGCCACAATAGACTATCTTGACTCTGGCAAGATTAAGACGAAAGGTATCGTGAATAAAGTCTTCAGACTCGAGGAGTATGGCGAGGCGCTTCAAAGTATCAGGGACAAAAGCGCTATCAAGGCTACTATTGTCTTTGATTGACCAGGGAGTCATAGCCATGGACATAAGGGCCCTCTATCTTGATATTCCATATCGAAAATAAAACAGAAGTTGAAGTTGTCGTCTTCCCGTATCAACATTAGGATTGGAATTGTCCGCCGACTCTAGTGATCTCCTTCCTCGCGGAGCTACTAGCAACTATTCGTACTTTAGCTCGCGTCTAATTACTTGTCTTGTAACTGTTTCTTCGCTGGCATTGGCAGTTCGAAACATACGTCTTATTTGCGATCAAGAACAGAAACATTTTCTTGGCCGGTGGTGCGAACAAGTCTGCGGCCACGGCGTCACAGTGTCACGGCCACACAGGCCCATGACGCTGGCAGCTGAAGGAATCGTGGACCCCTGGCGACAACCAGGAAGCAAGTTACTCCTCCCGGTTCGTATACTCATCTCAGTATACGATCCCCAGATTCTAGTGCTCCTCGCCAAACCTTCCATAACAGGTTTAGGGTTTTAGTATGCCATTGCCCGAGCCACATTTGAGCTTTCGTCCCAATGCTCCACATGTCCGCTAAGCCTTACTTGGGGTATTTAGCGCTGGGAAGGGATAAGATACCAAATTTGGAAGACAGCCCTCCGCACATAACTGCCCTTGCACATGTGGGCATATTCTCTGGCCCGCTAGTCTGGGGTATGGGGCCCCTTAGTACGCCGCCCCGGATTCCAATGTGCCATGTGCTAGGAGGCGTGAAAGGATGCGGTTGCATGGAACCTCGACTGGCCCATGCGACAATGCATAAATAGTCCGTTGAGCGTCCTCACTTCTGGGCTGGGCCTGTTCTGAGCAGATTCGTCACTCAGCCAAACCCATACCCGGCGCTCATTCGAACTTCTTCCAACACTCTCCTTGCTGTCTATCGAGATACCGCAAGGAACATGGCCCGCAGCGATTTCTGGCGGAAGCGCTCTTTGCGCGTCCGCGACGATACGCTCACCAGAGCTGCGGAACTGACCCTTCGTCAATCTTTTTATCCCATTTGCCTTGTCACTATCCTCTTCTTCCTCTGGGGTTTCTCGTATGGTCTCTTGGATACCTTGAATAAGCATTTCCAAGAAGTGCTGGGCATTGACAAAGCACGCTCTGCTGGTCTGCAAGCCGCATATTTTGGGTAACTATGCTGGAAGGGGGAGATTTGGTGTGCAGTCATAGGTCACTGACTAGCTCCTAGGGCATACCCTCTAGCTTCTCTCGGTCACGCCGCTTGGCTTCTCCGCCATTTTGGATACCGTGCCGTCTTTATCTGGGGCCTCTGCCTTTACGGTACCTACAACTCGACGTTTGAGGTTCATCCTCGTTTTCCAATGCTCGGTGGCTAACAGTAATTATGTTTCAGGCGTGGGTGCTCTGCTAGCCATCGCCGCAATCAAGGCCAAGAGTTTCGGCGGATTCTGTGCCTGCATTTTCATCATTGGGAACGGGCTTGGGTCTCTTGAGACTGCCGCAAATCCGTACATAACAGGTGATTCTTCTCTAAATTTCATGCGGGTACAAGAGTCCATGCACTAATCACAGTTGCCATCCAGTCTGTGGGCCACCCAGATACTCTGAGATGCGAGTCAACTTTTCGCAGGCTTTCAACGGCATAGGTTCCGTCGTTGCTCCCGTTCTGGGCTCCTACGTGTTCTTTGCCTTTGACAACGAAAAGGCGCTCCGGAATGTACAATGGGTCTATCTAGCCATTGCCGTCTTTGTCTTCATCCTGGCGGTTGTTTTCTTCCTCTCTGACATCCCGGAAATTACAGATGCCGACATGGAGTTCCAGGCCACAGAGACGCATGCTGGTGAAAGCGACTTGCCTTTCCGGAAGCAGTACCGCCTGTTTCACGCTGCCTTTGCGCAATTTTGCTACACTGGTGCCCAGGTTGCAATCGCCGGGTAGGTTGGAGCATCCCATTTGAGGTGCGCACTGGCTAAACCTGCTCATAGGTATTTCATCAACTATGTCACAGAGACCCGAAGCGACACCAGCTCAGCTCTAGGCTCCCGGTTCCTTGCAGGGGCTCAGGGGGCGTTCTCTGTCGGCCGTTTTGTGGGCGTTGCGTTGATGCACTTTGTCAGGCCGCGGATAGTCTTCGGCGTGTTTATGACCCTCTGCATCGTCTTCATCGGCCCTACCATTACACAGAAAGGGAACACGGGCATGTCTATGCTATACTTGGCCATGTTCTTCGAGTCCATCTGCTTCCCGACCATTGTTGCTCTCGGAATGAGAGGCCTCGGTCGACATACAAAACGCGGCTCTGGCTGGATCATTGGCGGCGTCATCGGAGGAGCCTGTGTGCCACCTTTGACGGGGTACGTGGCTGAGAGACACAGCACTGCATTTGCAATGCTTGTACCCTTTTGCTTCTCTACGGCGGCTTGGAGCTATGCCCTCGCCGTCAACTTCTGGCCCTGGTATAGAGACACTGTTGATGCATTCACTCACACAGAGGTCGGCCTTGATAACGCCCAGATGGCACAGGATGATGAGGAAAAGCCGACGGTGGAAAAGCGCGCCCAGGAGACATCTTCCGAGGAAGCAAACCACAGCGCTTAGGCGCCTGTGTATGTACAATTACCTTCTGGTTATATTCCAGCTCATCTGTTCGAGGTAGCCTTGGACAAGTCAGTCGACTCATTCTTCATCAATACGCAGCTTGTAAGGTCTTGGGAGCATGAATAAACCGAGCACTTCCCTAAGACTTAATATTCTGAAACCCCTTATCGAAAGTGGTTGTGGGCAACGTATCTTCCATTGGGCTATGTATTGAACTGTGTCGTGAAAGCAACGAAAGAAAAAATCCCCGCGCCCTCTTCAGCTCTCCTTCGGTTATGCAAGGAGAGCTCATTACTGCTAAGAGGATGTCTAATTATATTGGTGTCTTAGTAGGCCAACTGGCGGAGATCTCCGTTCATTTTCTTCCACCGAAATAATGTGAAACAAGCTGCGTCGTAGTTGTTGATTTGGCTTCACATCAAAACTGCCCCATAAGAATTAGGGCTGCCCGAAGGCCTGGCCGGCAGGCAACATAGAATTGTCGACCAATGGAAGTCTCAGGCGTTATCAGATAGATAAGGTTGCAGGGATTACGCACTAGAGTCACTTCTGTCCGGGAATGGTTGATGATACCCGTCTTGGCCCCCCCCAAGAGCTGACCAGGGCAACCATCACGCGCACATCACCCGCAAAACGGCCAAACTGCACAGAGGAGAAGAACAAGAAACTACCACCCACTCGGGAGAGCTGACTTGTGAGTCCTGGGCTCGAGGACGTTGAGGAGACCAAAACCATATCGCGACGACCAGTTGAATCACGTGTGAGGGGTCACCTAGGTATCCACTTCAGTCCACTGGATTATTACCAGGTGCCGGGTTTTCTTTCCCGCAACCGAACCAGTTGGGGGACGCCCACTCCACCCCGACATGTCCAGCGCGAGAAATTCACACAAGGCAACAGCACGACGCCGCAGAATAGGTAATGTGTGCAGACTCGATGATTACGCCGTATAAACTAAGTCATCGCAGGCTGGTAATAATTACCCTACAGAGCTCTCCATTTTCCGGCACAATTGGCTGATTTCATAGCCGGATTTGCCGCACCCGTCGCATCAAATGTGACGAGAAACAACCATGTGGCTATTGTTCCCGCAAGGGGCTCGACTGCGAGCAGACAGAATTCATCGTATACGACGGCCGGTCAGAGTCTACTGCAGCGCCCTCTGTGAACACACGTGGAAGCCCATCTAAACGCCGGGAGACATCCTCCAACACCACCAGCACCAGCAATGATCCCGGGTCGACGTATGATGTCTTCCGGCAAGCTTCTTCCACTGTCACACGGGAGCCCACACTCAGCCTCCAGGCACCAGGCTCGATTGAGGTGACGGTCACAGAGGAAATTGCCAAGCTTCTGGGTATCTACCAAAGCGGCATCGGCCCGTGGATGGACATTTTAGACCACTCACTCGCCTACCAACGCCAGGTTGTACGCTTGGCACTCTGGTCTCCGCTCCTCATGCATTCCATCTGCGCACTTTCCGCCAGGCAGATGAGCCTTGTTGGGGAAAGATTCCTATGGGGCCCTGTCTCCGCGCGGCACTACGGGAAGAGCCTTGGATTACTCATCAGAGAACTGAACGAGCAGCAAAGCGGCCGGGAGGTTATAATAGCGGCTACCATTTTACTCTGCAGCTCCGAGCTGCTGACTCTTCCGGGTGCTGATTACCAAAGGCATCTGTACGGTGCTCGTTCTCTTTTCCAGACCCACAACATAGCCGCCAACGGAACCAACCTTGAGCACGCCAGCTTCTGGATCTTTGCGCGGCAAGACGTGTCTGTGGCAATCATTCGCGAGTGCGCGACGCTAATCCCCCCGCAAGAATGGCCGGCAATCCCTCAGTCTGGAGAGACGGAGGAGGATAGATTGGGGAATCGAATCCTGTGGTTGCTCGCAAAGATGATCAAGTTCAGGTTCACTCCTTTTGCGGGTGGTTGGTCTGATCAACTGACTCTAGATTTCCGAGATCTGTGCTCCGAAATCGACCTCTGGTGGGAAGGTCTCCCTTCATCCGCTCGTGGTGTTGCAATGGCGGACAGCTCCGGCGATGGACTTACAAAGACGTGGTTCTGCGTTCCCTCAGCAGGTAATGTGCCAAGAATCCCACTGCAGCAGTTTCAGTGCTGACCCGACGTACAATACACAGCGGCTGCATGTCTGTATTATAACATGGCCAAGATTTTGTCCTTTGAATGCTTGCTAAAGAGGCATACGGAGTCGCCTAGCGGGTTGAGCTATGATAATAGTTGGGATGAGGGACTTCGTTCTCATGCTCTCGCTATTGCCTCTATCTGTCTCTCCCGCGGCGTGGCCGAGGGTGCGTTGGTTGTTGCAGTGAATCCTCTCTTCTACGGTTAGCTTCCTTCGCCATAACAGCCAGGGACTTGATGCTGACTGCATATAGCGGCAAGACACATCCGATCACTTTCACTAAAAGCCAAGATTTGGACATTGCTGGAACGCATTGAGCTTTGCCTAGGATTTCACACGAAGAACCGGGTTGCCCAATTACAAAGAGAATTGGCTTTGGATAACAACTAGGAAACAATTCCTTGACTCCCTGCGGTGAATACCACAGTTGTTCATTCCACGGTACCAGCTCCAGTAGACAACGCAATTTCACATAATCGCTGCGTGTGCGCATCCAATCCAGGCCAGTAGAATTATCGAGTGAGGGGGGTAGAGAGCACCAGCTCCCGACCTCCTTTCGTGCCCCACCAGGCCACCCCAATGGCGGACCTCTCAACGTCCATTTCCCCGTTGACAAGGATATCCCAGAACTTCCTCTTAGCTACTTCTCTCATCGCTGGGAGGATGTAAAGGATCAAGAGTCCAGCTCTGGCGGAAATGGGATGTCAGCTCCCGTTCATGACTGGGGGTTTAGACGTACCGGTCTGATGCCGTCAGCTTCATAAGCGCCTGGGGGCTTTCCATCCGGACCAGAAACACCATTCATAGTGGCAAGCACGCTGTGGATGACTACGTGGATGTGGATGACTACGTGGACGGTTGTCATGAGGCCACAAGAGCAACGTAAGTGCCGATACGTTCTCAACATCGTCCGACTCCCCATGGAGGCGTACATGGACGTGCAGATGAGAAAGCCTACCAGCAACGGCCGGAGAAGGAATCCCGCGCTAATAAAATAATAAGGATGAATCTGTTTTTATCAATCTCTAGCATCATTTCATCGTATCGCGACAACTAGCTGCCATGGATCCCTAAAAAGGGGTAAAAGGGGGTGGCCCGTGCATAGTCGTTTGCTCATCTCAGCGTTGTCCTCCAGCCTCCATACTCACCAGGGTTTGGTGAGGGCATCAAAAGTAGGGTCCATGGAACTCAGCTGCCATATATCTCGGACAAAATTGAGAGGTTTGGGTGTTTAGCTATTAGCAAGCTAAATATACAGTTGATCGGCTTCTCATAACGTGTCAGATAGGGTTCCAAATCTAATAACCTTTACAGTGATCATAGCCATTACATCCATTATTACGCATTACCAGCTGTAGCTGTCTTTATATCTATCGACAAAAGCGGGACATGAAACGTAGCCGAGGTCTTTCCCCACAGAGCCTCGGATCCCAAAGCTATGTATCCAAGGTAGTGGGACTGTGACGGGAAATCGGCGTGGCTGATCGATGCCAGCCGCGTGAGCAGAGAAGACAGATCGCCGCTGAACGCCTCCGTCATCTCCGACGCGACCCACGTCAGGACGTACTGGTCTAGGCTGTTCTGCCCGAAGTAAAGTGTGCTGACCCAGGCTCCGAGTTAGCAAGACACACACGGGGGAATACCGAATTTGTTTGCGCGAGACTCACAAGGTTGTCCCGTTCACGACCTCCGTCGCAACAGCCCCCTCCGCGAGACCGATGGGCTGGGTAGCGTCGCCGAAGGCAGCAAGCCACACCATGACTTCGTACGCAGCCTTGGTGGTGTCGGCGGCTTTTGTCTTATCGGCGTCCAGGAACATGTCGATGGCGACATTGGTGTTGATAAAGTTGGTCTGGAGCTGCTGGGCATTCGTGGACGTGGCCGTGTCGTTGCCCGCGCCGTAGGTCCACTTGACGTCGACGTTGATTTCGCCGAGGCTCTGGATCGTGGCCGGGAGGATGGGGCTGTCGGCCTTGATGTTGGGGAAGGCGTGGACTGGCGCCGTCTCAGGACCTTGCGGGTATTGCCATGTTACTGAGAACTCGGGCGCCGTGGTGTCGGTGGCGTATGTTTTGTTGTTGAATGTCGTGACCTTGACGGCGGCTTTGTTAGCAGGGTATTTCTGGGTGGAACTGCCGTCGTCTTTCTTGGCGACGCTGCATCTCTAAACGCAGGGTGGTCTATGATGGCCTATGACGCCGGTATGGTCATACTTCGAGACGAGATGGCGTATGGACGGGAATGACGTCTGTGGGGTAAAGGGGTTGTTCTCTCTGTGAACGTACATTCATACATAATCTACCTAGTTGACCCTCGGTCCATCCCCACTGGTTGGGATTCACTGCAGAAGGGACAAACAGGTCAATATGTGGAGTTGAGTAGCGACGACTGAGGAGAAAGGCCGGTCGAGGGTTGACTTACGTGTGTACTCCTCCCCTAGTGACTGTGGATGGATACCGTATGCTTTCTGGCAGTACTGAGTTTTGGTGACACTGTTGTCGACAAATAAGGGTGCTTGGCCAGTGGCAGCCCGGTGTGACTGGAGGCCAAGCAGAATGCCCAACGTGGCGCCGATGGGGATAGCCAAGAGGCCAAAGTTGACGAGGAACCGGACGCTCATGGCGAGGGAATCGCTAAATAAAAGAAACGAAGGAAAGGGCAAACGAGGGACGAAATAGCACCAGTTTAGTTGCAGAAAGCGAGTGTGTCAATAATGGGTCGGAGCTCGGGAATGGAGGAAAGCGAAGCACACAGCATAACAAGCTCCATTTCGTCCCTCAAAAGCCACCACAAAACCTTTTTCTCGGTTTCTCGGCGGCGCAAGCCACTAAGTTTAAATCGGAGTCATTCCCCTGACTAGCGTGTCAGACACGCCAAGGAATCGATCGCTTTGCCGACCAGGCTTGACCAAGAACGGACGAAATTTGACAAGAATGTTGATGATGAGCTGGAAAAGCCGAGGGTGTTGCCGAATCATCGTATTCGTCCTGGGTGTGTGTGTGGGCCCTTTTCATGGATTGGGCGTCCCGCAAGTGAGACACAAAAATAAGCCACCGTGTCGTGTATTACGAAGTTGCATAGCCAATAGCCCATGTTACGGATCCGGGAATCGGGTGCGTACCCAATCCCTGTGTCGATCGCTGTCCATCCACTTTGCGTCGGGCAATTGATCGGCCTTCGACTCGGGTGTTCCATCTTTCCATCCCATGTACCGATTTGGTGGCTCCACCCCATCCGGCATACACTGTAGCATTCCGCAATATTGTGTGCCTGACGGATTGCTTGGCAGATCTACACACAATTGACTTTGGGCTGGCCCTGCGGGGTGCATAAGTTAGAGAGAGGCCTGCATGTAATTAAGAAGAAAACGAGATGGGATGCGATGCGGGAGGACTACTTCTGCGGCGTGCATTGCATCGCACCCGAGACACCTGGCATGTGAATGTCGGGTGGCTGTGGGAGGGCAGAGATTTGGTACCTGGCTAAGGAAGGTACTGCCAGCCAGTGCACGAAGATGTCTGAGTCAGGGAGTGGTGCGGTGGGGTTTTCTTCGCAAGCATCTGTTAATAGAGTACTTCGAGAAACTAAAACCAACGGCACTTGACGAATAGGAGCTCCCGGACTAGGCCTATGACGATATTGTCCAAGTCCCCCCTAACATTTCGTAATTTTCCAGGCTGCCGTCAAGGCCTGCATCCGTGGATCCGATCGTATTTTCAGCTTGGGGCTCCGCCAAGTCGCACCACCATGGGCCCGCCCGGATAGGCCTGTTAATAGACAGCAAGATAACTAATAAGGGCCTTTTGGCGTGTTTCTCCCTCGTCCGTTTTCGGGCTGTTGGTTACACGGAATTGTAGTATTGACGTCTTCCTTTCTTTACTTGTTTTATTTTTTCCCGCCCCGCGAAAGTATGTTTCCCACGTTCGTTTCTTGATAACCTACGGAATATCGACTCTCGTTTTTTCCCCTCAACAACGATCGTTACGAACGTTTCTTCATCGCCCAAAGCGTCACCATATACTTGTTGGTTATTCCTACTGCCAGTGGAGGAGGCAGAAGGTCAACCATTAGGAAGGCCAGATGAAGGGCCACCATGAATACGGAGAGATGGTCGAGATCGACATGGGTAGCACATCAGGATCCAACGATTCGAGACGGTCAAGTCGGACTCATATCCCCAACTTTAGCTATGTCTCGCCGGGGAGGCCTGCTCCCTCGGCAAATGTAGCCGGAAGGCATGGCCCGATGCGATATTACGGGGACAACCCCTTCGAGTCCCCGCCCGGTACTCCCCTGGAAAGCGGACAAGCAACACCGCTGGACCACCTCTCCCCGCCACGGATTCCCTACTCGGTCGACTCGAGGCCATCCAGCATCACGGTACGCTACCGGTCCTACTGCTCCCCTGGTCATCTCCCTCCGACATCCTGCTGACCGTTCTCTTGCTTTCGAGGAGTAGAACCCCAGTCAGCTCAGTCTCGCAGCGCTTCTGCCCAACTCCCCTCCGCCCATACTTGCCAAGGACTGGGTGGTGCGTGGCTCGATAGCCCGGCTACACGAGCGAGACGATGCAGACACCTGGGGGGGCTGGAAGCGCCATGTCTTCCGCCTCGTCCCGTTCCTAACCCTGGCAGCAACACTCCTATACCTGACCTACCTCAGCCTGCGCATCGCGTGTCTAATATCTGCCCAGCGCCGCCAGGGCAGGTCATACCCGCAGGCATGGGTGTTCGTGGCCGTCGAGCTCGCCGTGGCGGTCCCGTCGCTGATGCACAACATCTGGACCATGTGGGCCATGAAGAAGAGGCAGAGGCCCAAGCTGAGGCTGACCGGCGAGGATTGCCCGGCCGTCGACGTGTTTGTTACCTGCTGCCGGGAAGATGACGATGTCATCCTAGACACGGTCCGGGCCGCGTGCGATCTGGATTATCCGCGCGACCGGTTCCGGGTGATCGTTCTCGATGACGGCAAGTCGGAACCCCTGGAACACTCAGTGGGCCATCTGGCCTTGTCGCATCCCAACCTCTACTACATGGCCCGACCCAAGTATCCGGGGGTGCCGCACCACTTCAAGGCCGGCAACCTCAACTTTGGTCTCGATCAGGCCCACAAACTTCCTGGGGGTGCGAGCCCGTTCATGGCCGCCCTGGATGCCGACATGGTGAGTATCTCTCCTCAAACACCCGGTCATGCTTGCCAAGTCCCCCCATGCTAACATCACGCCCCCTCCAGATACCCGAGAGAGAATGGCTTCGTGCCGTCCTTCCTCACCTGCTTGTGGACCCTAAAGTTGCCCTTGCCTGCCCTCCCCAGCTATTCTATAACACGCCGGCCTCGGACCCCCTCGCCCAGAGTCTAGACTTCTTTGTGCACGTAATCGAGCCGATCAAGGACGCCCTCGGTGTTGCCTGGTGCACCGGATCGGGCTACGTGGCCCGACGGCACGCCCTCGACGAGATCGGCAACTTCCCGCTGGGCTCGCTGGCCGAGGACGTGGCAACCTCAACACTCATGCTCGGCAAGGGCTGGAAGACGGCCTACATCCACGAGCCGCTCCAGTTCGGCACCGTGCCCGAAGACTACGGCGGGCACATCAAGCAGCGAACACGGTGGGCGGTCGGGACGGTCGACACCTCGTTCAAGCTCAAGTTCTGCCTCTGGGGCGACAAGGTCCGCCAGATGACCGCCGCCCAGCGCTTCTCAGGCTTCCTGTACGCCTCGCTGAGCCTGTACACCATCCTCCTCACCATCTCTCTCTTCGCCGTGCCCATCATCCTCGTCATGGGCAAACCCCTCGTCGCCTACGCCAACGACGACCAACTCCGGTGGCTCATCCGCGCGTGCTTCGCCGCGACCATGTCCAACCGGCTCTGCGAGTTCGCCCTCTTCAGCCCGGCCGGCTACCACACCGGCCAGCGGGGCGCGCGCTACCAGATCTGGATGGCGCCCTACATCGCGCTATGCATCATCCGCTCCTTCCTGCTCCCCCGCTGGCTAGGCGGTCAGACGCAAGCCTTCCGACCGACAGGCTCTCTATCCTCGGCCCTCCACGAGCGAAACCCCAAGACGCGCAAGAACATGTTCCGCCGCCTGTGGGCCATCCTGATCAACTACATGGCCGTCTTCCACCTGGCGTTCGTGTACCTGACGCTCGTGGGCGCGGTGCTGACGTCGTTCCGCTGCGTCGTCCAGGAGGGGCCCGGCAGGGGAGGAAGCACCATGGGCCTCCTGCGCTGCCTCGTCACGCACGCCTTCTGGCCGCCGCTGACGTTCCTGTTCCTCTGCAGCTGCCTGTGGACGCCCGTCGCGTACGCCGTCGATCCGCCTGCCATGCCTGATCGCGAGGAGCTGCTGTGTCGAGATCCCAAGACCGGGGTGGCGCACCCGACGGCGGGGAGTAAGAAGATTGCGTTTGGTGGGCAGGCGGCGTGGTTTGAGCTTGAGTATACGACGTCGACGATCTGGACGGCTGCGGTGTTTGTGGGGTCGTTTATCTTCTAGGTTGGGTTGTCATCGTCTCTTCTGATGCGAGACTGAGGGAGCATACATAGATGGGGTCTGGGTTAAAATCTGGGTTTATAGAAATGGTAATTGCATAATGGGCCGGGCCTGTGGGGCGACAAGGATGGTTGTAATCATAATCGATTGTGGATATATGTTACAATAGTACAATAAATAATGTCGTCAGCCACTATCATGGGCTCAAAAACTGAGATTCGTGGTGCAAGAACTGTTCAACCACTGCAGGGTCATATAGTTGTTTTTTTATGAGACGGGCCCATCTGACTGAGACCTAGTGAGACCTAGTGAGACCTGATTAGCCGATTCTCTCCAGTGTCCGCCCAGTTTTAAGCTGCAGTGGTTTGAGCGACGTCGTGCAAGAGCAGCCAAACGAGGCAAAGCTGCCGAGAGAGACTAGAGCATGGCAAGCTGACGTGAAGTAGTTAAGCGGTCGAACCAGGTGTGTAATTACTTTTTGGTCTTCATTACGTGAGGCGGCCACCTTACATGAATTTTTAGAGTGTCAACAGACTAGCTTGGTACCATTTTGAGGTTGTGTTGGGCTAGCTGGCTCATCTTGGTAACCGCCCCGACTTGCGGCGAAATAGGCGAGACATGTACGTTGGTTACCCGTTACACTCACTGCCATGGGGAAACAAACATCGGGGCTAGAACCATAACTGACCATAGATGATCTACCCGTTGCAACAATCGTAAAAATGGTGCACCCGCTCTCCTTGGCATCACAGCTCTGGACGTGTGCCAGTGACCCTACTTGGTTACCCGATGTTGATGGCGGCCGCAACGACGTGATGCTGTCCCACGTAGACTTTCGGGCCTTCTTCCTAGCAACTTTACATTCTTCCTCGTGAGGATGCAGAGCTCCGTAATCCCGTTCAGAGATATAAATGAGGTTGCAGTCTCCTCTTCTTGACTCGAGGTCCAGCACCCAGCACCCAGCACCTCATCAAACACCGCACACTTACATTCCTATCTACTCTTCTCTTTCCAACCAAGATGCGATTCTCCATCGCCACCCTCGGTGCCGCCCTCCTGTCGGTCATCGCGGCCGCGCAGAACTGCACCCCAGGCGAATACCGGTGCCGGTAAGCTCACCCCATCTCCCCCACCCCCAGATCCCTTTTCGGGGTCCGGTCGAGCAACGAAAACTGACCGCCTGACTCGTTAGATCGACGATATACCCTGTTTTGTGCGATGCGACGGGCAACTGGGTTATTCTCCAGGCCTGCCCGGACGGCACGCAATGCATTGAGGAAGGCGGGGGCGTCTACTGCGGTTAGAGGGAGGACTATTAGTCGGGGGAGGGCTTTAAGATCAACGTATCAGGCTTATGAGTTCGCTAATCGAGATGGAATTTGAGGAGTTGAGTCAGGCCAGGGTCTATTCTCGTTTATCCCGCAAACCACTGAGAACCAGACCAAAACGTTATGTGCCTGAGCATGTGAAAGACCTCGTGAGCATCGGACATGTAATGTAGAGTATTGGACGCCGAAAGGAACAAGTAATTAATTTGGTATCTTCGCCAAGGACCCGTACCAAAACCCCAAACAGCCAAGCCAAAAAAGTGCAAGAACCTATCTCAATCGCTAAAATGACGCCGACATCCGAACCTATATCGAACCCTTGCCATCCCTAAACACCTCATCATACCAGTGCTTTTCCGTCTCCTCCGTCTCCTCAGGGTATCTACACACCTCCTCAAACCCAACCTCCTCCAACCCGACCTTCACCCCCTCCGCCCTAAACACTCTCGGCGTCCTCTTCTCAGCATCCGACCTCGGCGCAAAATACGTCAGATGCCCATCGCGCGCAGGCACCCTCGCCAGCGGCGCCAGTTTGACCGAGGTCTTGTTGATGCGCAGCTCCAGCAGCTGCCGCAGATGGGGGAAGTACCATGTGCGGTCCCACCACGAGGTGCGCCGGCCCTTGAGGCCGTGCTTCCAGGCGTTGTGGTGCACCATCACGGGGACGGCCGTGGTGAAGAAGTCGGCGTACAGCGGCACGTCACCCCAGGTGGGCTCGTCGTCGCCGGGGAGGACGACTTCGGCAAGGGGGTTGTCTGTGTGGGCCAGTACGTCTTTCGGGACGCCCTGGAGACGGGGTGGTGAGATGCCCAGCTGGGATGAACGGTCTTCGACGGCCGATTGGTTGTTGAGGGAGACGAAATCGCCGTCCTTGTCGGAGTAGACTGTCGGGAGAAAGAGACCCTGGGTGTAGTCCAGGCCGAGGTGGTACTCAAAGTCCCTCTGCACCAACGCAGCGGCTTCGTTCTCGGTCTCGTTGTCGGGCATCATGGCTGACCCGTGTTGGTCCCGCCGCCATTGGCGCCACACCTCCTGCTCGCCGAGAATCTCGCCAAAGACCCCTTGATCGCCGGGCAGCTGCACGCCCTCGCTGAACTGCCGCTCCATCCTCTGCTTCACGCGGCGGAAGTACCGTTTCATATCGCCGACGGGGCCCATGAAGCTGCCGCTGTTGATGTACCGCGGCCGGACGTAGCGGTGGTCGCTGGCGGTGGTGTCGGTTCTGGGGCCGTATATGTCCGGCCTCAGACTGCTTTCGGGGAGGGCATCGCAGTGGAGGTTCGATCCCGACTTCAGGGTGGGATAGCACCTCTTCTGGGCCGAGATGATGATGGTCTGCTGCATGGGGATGTCTTCAGAGCCGCCCCACTGCCTGGCCAGTCGAGCATTGGCCTGTTTGTTGCTCTCGTGGTATCGGTGCAGGAGGACAGACGGAGGGAGCTGGAACCAGATGTCATAGGCATCCAGGATCAGGACCAAGTCCTCGTCGTCCAGTCTATCCCGTGTGTTGATATCGGGACCTGTGACCCGGTCCAGGTACTCCAAGGTACCGGTGACTTTACCGAAGTGTGGAGCCCAGGCCGCGACACCACCCGCGCTGCCGTCGACGTCGGAGAAGTTCTTGCCCCAGTTGATAAGAATGGGACTCGGGTAGTCTAGGGCAATGGCTCCGGCGACAAGCTTGCATATGTCTGGACCCGGGTTATTTGCCGGAACGACGATTGCTAATCGTCGCTCTCCCCCGGTGACGCCCTGTTGAGCGTCCGGATACCTTATTTCCTCTGCCTGCGGTACCGGCTGCCGTATCTGCTCCGGCTTCAGTAAGAAGGGGGGGAAACGGAAAGATGGAAAATACATGCACTCACCTTTGCTGAGATAAAAGATATAAATACATGAACACCTATCATGGCGCCCACGACAAAGACAATCCCCCGTGTCAAGAGCCTCAGGAGGCGACGTGTGATGACGGGGCGAGCCATCACCGACGCGTCCTTCTCAGCATCGAGGCTTTCGTCGCTGGCATGTGTAGTCTGGAGGCTGCCACTCCATAATAGGCTCGTCTTGCTGCCTTGGATGGCCATTGGGCTTTCGTTGCGTCGTCGTCGTCGTCGTCGACAGTAGCGTTGACCGCCTGAAAAAAGCTCTCGGTCACATACAAGTTTCTTCGTGTAGGGCAGGGGTTGTCTGGGCGTGGGCGGCGCAGCCCCCTGCAAGCCGAATCCTATAATCCTATGGAACCTAGGAAATTGCGCTAGACTCATTTAGCTCAACGAGCTTGGGGACCAGACCACGTCCAATTAACGCACCTGGTCAATAATACGAAAAGAGATTGCGACTGCCTAAACAGCCCCGCGTTGGTCCAGCCAATCTGCTTTAATGATAGACAATATGCCAAGGGGGATTCGCGTCAACGGGGACATTGGCATGTCTGTGTGTATGTCTGTATTACATGAACACGAGACGATCTGCCAATGATTGAGATGCAGATATATGCTTAATAAGGCAGGGGCGATGCCAGGATATAATTATGGCACCACTCCTATCACTGAGAAGCCGGACTTGCTTCAAGAATGTAAAGCAAGAGGACCCCATTCAGCAACTAATTCCCATCAGAACATTTTTCGGCCGTGCTGCTGGACTGAAGGGTGGCTACTACCAGTCTCGGCGCGCCTTTACACTTGGATTGGGCTACTGGATTTCCTGTAATTAGGCCACAAAGACAGCCAACACCGGCGATAATTAAGGGGTGGACCTACCCCCTCGACATCTTTGGGGGCGGCCAGACGGGGGGAACACTGGTCCAGGTATTCAGAGCTAACCTCCCAGGACTCGAAGAGTCTAGCGTGCGGCTTGTCCCGCCGATGTGGTGGGGTAGTGTAATCACTAATTACACTAAGCACCAATGAAGCAGTAAGGCGCATTCCTGACCACGGGGAGTGTATAATCTCGACTGGCTCTGCCAGGAAAGCAGGCACCTTGTAGCAGTGCTATCATGACTATATTTGTATGCGGGATGACGTTGTCCGTGAACTGTTTTCTAAGGATGAGACCAGACATTACCTCTCTTTTCTCCCAGTCGTCGCTCATTCTTCACACCATATTACAGCATCAAACTTGTCGAGGTCAACGCGAAAAGAGAGAACCCAAAGCACCGATCTAACAGGCCGAAGCCATTTCTAAACGGGCCAGTGCCAGCTGCACGTCACGTGAGGGCATGGGAATGAGAGCTGCCCTTCCATGGATACCTACCCAATCGATGCCCGATCTGTCAGACCAAGATGTATTCAGCTGTAACGCACAGACCTCCCGCGCGCCTTGAGAACGGGACAATTCACTCTTCGACACTACTCCCCCTCTCAGCCCAACATCTGTAGTCTTGCATCGACTGAACGTGAATACGCTCCACGTGGTGCAGCATGGCCGAAGAGCACAGTCGAAGAAAACTGTTCGCCCTCAGGGCTCGGCAGTTTTTCCATCGGAGTCCAAGCCCCCAGCCCCTGCCAGCGCCTTCACCGTCGCCGATTGCACGCCGCGATGACGAGGCTCCCAGCCCCGTTCCAGCACCTGCTCTCCTGCCACCGCCCACCAGGGATCTCTGGAAGGAAGCACTTGCGAAGTCGAGCCCGAAGGCGCAGAAATGGATGAAGTTGAACGGGTACGGCGGTTTGAATCCGGGGTCCTTCTCGCAGCAGATGGGCGAACTGGTCCGGCTCGCGCGGGAGAAGGAGTCGGGCGTCGATGACAAGAAGTGGAAGATACAAATCGGCAGCCAGACAATCATCCCGCGAGACTATGTCGCCGACTCGGTGCGCTTACTCTCGATGATCGGGGATGCCGCTATCACTTTTGCTCCGCCACAGGCGAGTGCTCCGTGGTCGGCGTTGAAGGCTGTGATGCAAGTAAGTGGTATCCATTTTACCATACAAAGCTTCTTGTGATAGGAACCACGATGGAAGTAGCTAACATGCTTCGTTGAGATTCCCGTCATGGGAGCCGAACAGATTTGCGCCGTTCTCGGGATTGTTGATAAGATTACCCGCATTATCCGACGAGGGCAGGTATATGAGCTCGTGTATACCGCAGAGGCGGTAGGTGACAGCGTTGAAACAAGCCTGCAAGACGCGTTACTGGACTTGTACGCGGCCTCGATCGAGCTGCTCGCCGAGTCAGACACATTGTTCAGCCAAGGGACGGCCAAGCAAACAATACACGCAGTCATTCATCCAAAGCAAGCCGAAGGTCTGGTAGCGGATCTTTTCGAACTGGAGGAGAGGCTTTCTCTCGAAGTCCAGGCCTGCGAGAGCACCCGCAGCACCAGAAGCGATGCTCGAATCGACGAGAGATTGGAGAAGCTGAAGGACACCCTCCAGGGGCTGGATCTGCCACTTACCCGCGTTGACGCCAGGGTAGGCAGGTTGCTGGAGAGAGTGGAAGATACCAAGAGGGACGAGATACTCGACTTTATCAGCTGCGAACTTTTTGGCCAGCGCCATTACATGACACGAGAGTCGCGAACTCCCGGGACGGGCGAGTGGTTGTTGCAACACGAGAGTTTTCGCGAATGGGAGGGCATTCCATCATCCTCAACGTTTCTGTGGCTCGAAGGTACCGGTATGGTCCTCCAGCCCTAGTTCCTCAGGTGTCCTAGCTGACGTGGAGTAGTGGGCACTGGCAAGACCTTCCTTACCTCCACAGTCATCGACCATGTTGAGGATGCTCTCAACAGCTCTCCGCACAACGAGGGCTTTGCTTTCTTCTACTGCAGGCGGACAGGCCCGTCCGGCGTCGACCCTCTAATTGTCCTGAGGAGCTATGTCCGTCAGCTATCTTCAGTAGCCAATAGCTTCGAAGACATCGAGGTCAAGCTCATGCAGCGCTGTGCAGAGGCAAAGCGGAAAGGGATGGATTTAAGCTACGAAGTTTGCAAAGAGCTGATCCTCGAGTCTATCAACCTCTACCCGAAGACGACGATAATACTCGATGCGCTGGACGAGTGTGACAGGTCGTCACATAGCCTTGCGGAGACATTTGTCCAAATAATGGAGAAGGCTGCAAAGCCCATCAAGCTTTTCGTATCGAGCCGCAAAGATCGCGACATCGCTAAAGCGTTTAGATCGATGCCCACGATTGCGATCAATGCGAAGAATAACGAGGGAGATATTGAGAACTTCCTAAATGAGAACTTATATTCGAGGGCATGGTATACGGAGACGTGTCAGGAAGAACTCAAGCCCCAGATCAAGGAAATGTTCAGCTCTAGAAGTCAAGGAATGTAAGCGATCATTTTGCAGGTGTTGCATTCGACATGTTCCTTTCGTTGCTGATATGGAAGCAGGTTCCGATGGGTTGACATGCAGGTCAGAGCGCTTGAAGGGTGCTTTACAGAAGGCGCCATTATCAAGAGGCTGAAGATGTTGCCCAAAGACTTGACTGAAGCGTACGACCAGCTCTATGCCGAGATCGAGACTCGCGACGCCAACGATATCGCCCTTGCCGAGCGGGCGTTCAAATGGATCATGTGCTCCTGCCACGAACTGGAGGTCGATACCCTCCTGGAGGCAATCCGCCTGATTCCGCAGGGGAACACCATCAAGACAACTGCCAAGCAGACACAAGAAAATCTCCTCGCTCTGTGCCAGGACTTCCTTACTGTGAACCACCAGCGAAACGTTTTTGAGTTCCCCCACTTGTCTGTTGCGGAGTACTTCGAATCCAAACACTGGTCAATGAAAGAAGCCGATTGTCTGGTGGGACATGTGTCCCTTGCTCTCCTTTTCGAGACTTACTCGGCCATCGACCCCATGATCCGTCTAACACTGTACCTTGACAACTCCGACGATACCAACCCTGACCCACCCATTCCGGAGCAACCTCTCGAGGGTTACGCTCGACACCACTGGCTCACCCACGTCAGACGGTACGATGAAGTGATACGACCCGGCGACGAAATTAACACCGACCTCTCGCTGGTTCTAAAACGCTTTCTGGGGTTACCAGGGGAGAGTAGCATGCAATATCAACGGTGGCTCCGCTTCACCAACACCTCAAGTTACAAGGTCATCCCCGGCCGCTGCCCATGGCCAGAGACATCTGCTCTCCACCCGTTGCGCCGTTATGGCACCCTCAACCCTGAACCCATCTCCCTCTTCTCAATGTGCCGATTCGCCCTCTACCACCTCCTGCAAGACTGGTGGGACTCGGACCCGACAATCACCACCCTGGCCGCCACCACCTGGACGGACGACGGCGTCAACGCCCTCGCCCTCGCCGCCATGGCCGGCAGCCGAGACATCTGCACGCGCCTCCTGCCGCACGTCAACATCAATGCCCCCCTCAAACACCGGGTTTACGGGAGCGTGCTCATCGCAGCCATCGGCGAGGGCCAGGCCTCGATTGTGCGGTTTCTAGTCAAGGAGGCCGGCGCCGACGTGAACATGCGTTTCGACAGCCACTTCGACTTCGCCATCGTAGCGGCCCCACGCTCCCTGTCGGTAGAGCTTCTCGTGTGGCTCATCGAGGAGGGGGGCGCGGACATCAATTTGTCGGTGGGCAGCGGCGACGTGCTGTCGGCCAGGGTGCTAGCGGAGGCGGCGTTTTGTGGGAATAAGGACATGGTCGAGTACCTGGTGGTACATGCAAAAGCGGACGTGAACGCCGTGTTTCGGACCGACGCTTACCCCAGCCCCCTTGTGGCGGCGCTGATGTCCTTCGAATCGGATGTTGAGGTCACCAGGTTCCTCATCTCTCACGGGGCCGAGGTCAACGCACTGCTGCGGACGGGAGCGTTCGGCAGCGCACTAGCGGCCGCGGCTTGCAGGGGGAGACTCGCCGAAGTGAAAATGCTTATAGAGGCGGGAGCGGATGTGAATCTGCTAGTGCAGGCTGGGCAATATGGCAGCGCCCTTGCGGCTGCAGCTGCGGAAGCAGGAGTTGCTGAGATGGAAGCGCTGATAGAGGCAGGAGCAGATGTGAATCTGATGCTGCAGGCTGGGCGATATGGCAGCGCCCTTGCTGCTGCTTGTCAGTCACTTAGTGGCGACACGGTCGAGTATCTTATCCGAAAGGGGGCCGAGGTCGACTTGGTGCTCGAGTCTGGGCACTACGGCAGCGCGCTCGTCGCCGCTATATGCCCCGCCTTTCGCTGTAACGATATTGCCACCTCGACGTTACTTCAAATGGGGGCAAGTCCTGCCCTTCACCTCAAGACGGGCCATCATGGCAGCGCACTTGCTGCTGCCGCGTTCTGGTGGAAAGAGCATCTGCTCCAGCGAATGATCGACAGCACACCGAGAGAGCAGGTATTAGAGGCCCTCCGTCACAGCTGGCATCCTCCGAAAGACTCGAAAAGCTACATTAACTGTGCTCGATACGTGGATGAAGCGGAAGTGAGGATGGCTAGAAAGAGATGTGCAAGACTTCTTGTCGAGGAGGTAGGGTTGGAGCCAGAAATACTGGTACAAATTGGGCTGAAGATGCCTGATGACAACCCAATATAAATTACGAGTCTCGTAAACGAACAAGTATTTTCATTTTCGTGCGTGGGTCGGTGCTAGCTAAACTGTGCAGTGGGTATGCATGGTGTGTTGACCGTAGTGCCTCAGGGTTCCCGTGTTTGAAAGGGTTCAATGGTCACCTTAGGGTCGCCCTTTCAACTATAAATGCCTGCAGACATCCTACCCCATACCTGGAAATTCCTGCCTTTTGGTTTGACCTTGGCGGCATAACGTGAGGATTGTTAATGGGTACGCTATGGTATCTGTCTTCTGCATATTCCTCTCTATCACAATACGCACACAGCTGTTGTGCAATTAAAGGCCCTCGCCAAGTCAGACGGCAGGTTATAATTATGGGAGGGGTTTATCCAGTTCTGCCCTGCCGTCTACACCCCTCGCAAGGTAGCAGATGCAGATGACGTACTACCAGCAGAATCGCTGCACTCCGAGCCAGTCACTCACCAGCGTAGTCTATATATTTTAGCGGTCCCCCACTCCTTAGAGTTAATCCCGAGACAGAGAGAATCATCGGTCTCTAATCTTGCAGTTTGGACAACCTCGGCTTGAATGTGAGTAAGAGTCTTCAATTAGATTCACACAAAGTATCTGGTGGTATATTGGAGTGTTTGGGAACCCCAAAACCACCAAGTTTTGCCTACCGACCACTCTTTGGAAACATTCTTCACACTAGCCGACTTCACATCACACACCCACTTCGGATAAATCTCCCCCAAAATCCAGAAGAGAAAGCCACCGCCGCTCAGCTATGGCTGCCCAAGAAAGGAAAATCGATTTGCAAGACATCAAGAACGGCGGCTTGTCAGACACCGAGCTCCCTCTCTTCCGAGCCCTCGACTCAGCTCTCAACTCCGCCGACGCTGTAGAGAGTTCAGCAGCGGAAGCTGCCTCAAGCATATGCGGCTTCCTCCCAGCATCGGCGTCCACCGACGACGTTGAGGAATTCCTCTGGACCTTCTGGGGCTTGTTGATCCAGGTTTCTCGCGCGGTGCCACACGATCACGCCGGGCAGCAGATACTGGTGAACATTGTGAAGGATCTCCATGGCAAAGACCCAGCAGCGACGGTGAAGATATGGGCAGTAGGTTCCCTTACCCCTTCTATGTCCCTTTGACCGCTTGGTGACTGACTGCGGTACTGGTTTCCAAAGGCTAAAACGTCCCTCTGGAAAGACCTTCCACTTCTCGGGCCGTGCATGAGAGAGGCCTGGTTCGGTACGAACTGGTTGAGCGAAATACGCACCTCCCCTTCCCACCCCCCTTTCAAGACATAGTTTGCTCACCGTATCACCAGACCCAACTAGCAAAGTCCAATCACTCGACGCCAAGGCCAACCAGGAATGGGTCAACCAAAACTCCTTCGCCTCCCGCCTCTTCGGCGCTCGTCTCACATCCTGGCCTATTCTGGGACTCTGGCAGCTCCGAGCCTCGCTAGAGGAGCCGGGAAGCGGTCCCGCTCTTGACTCCCGCGTCTCGGCGACATGCGAATGGGTCGTCCATGCCGGCCGACTCCTGCTGGGTGAGTGTCGTGCCGACGCGGCGCTGGATCAGGCAGAGGCCAGGGCCCAGAGGCCTGGGTCGCTATACGAGGGCAAGGCGGGGTTTAACATGGATCGATGGGGGTTTTGGAAGAGGCGTTTTGCAGAGCTGGGTGCTGAGGACGGTATAAATGCTGAGGTGAAGGATCTTGCGCGATCAGCTACTGAGACGATGGAGGCTCTCGAGGCTGGGACTTGAGTATGTTAGGAAAGTGGCTTGCCCTTCACGCTACTCTCCTGACGTAGCATGCATTCCAGGTGTCTTGAAATATTGAAATAGATACTGCCTGGTATTGTAAAAGATAATATTTGGTGTCAAGTGCCCCTCTCCAGCTTCAGCGCCAACAACCACTTCCAGGTCCGGCATGACGCGCTGGCGGAGCAGAGGTTGGCAGACATGGCGGCAGCAGACCTAGATGCGTTAAGGTAGGTGGAGGCGGTGCTTTAAATGGTCGACAAGAGTTTGCAGACGGGGTGGGAGACGACGGCTGGAGGGGACAGTGATCGAGCCCTGGGTCATCTGACTGGGTGGTCGTTGTCTCCGTTGGGGAGTCGTCCACAAACGGGTCTCCTGCAATTATTTGTTAGACCTCTCCTGAATGGATGGACGGCATATCCCGAGAGCTTGATTCGCAATCCTGGTTCAAGGACGCGATTCCAACTTCCTTCCATATTGACGGAAAGGAAAGCTATTCAGGCTGCCGGCGATCTTGACGCCTAAGACATGGTTGTGAACACGGATAGTCTACTTCAAAGGCCTCACCTTCGCGGCGAGGTCATCGCCAATACCGCGAAGCAGATCGCTGGCTCCAAGAGGCGTACCCCTGGCTGCTGCTCAGGCTTTAGGCCGTCCGAACGGTGACCTTGTGTCTCTCCTTCTAAACTGCGACAGGGATGTTCTTTGAGATTGAGTTCCCAGACACCCTTGGTTATTTAGAAGGAAGTCATCATTCATAAGCGCTGCGCCAGAGGTCAGTTGCTGATGGTGGGTATGTTAGTCATTCTAATGAAAAGGGGTAAAAGGGGGTGGCACGTGCACGCTCAGTCCTCTTTCTTCGCCCCGTAGCTGTCCGAAGGGGACCCTGATACCTCCGGACAGAAGTCCAGCGGATTGGCGGGGTCGCGGAAGTTGTCTACTAGAGTACGTCTCTGACACCGGCCCTCCTGCAGGCCTTGATCACACCTATGCAGTTACATTGATGGTCAACGGGGGTATCCCTTCGTACATGACACACCCAGGCTCTTAAAAAGCACCCGCCTGTACCAGGCGAGACATATGGTAGCCATCGTGCATGGTCTCCAGTCGAGTATCGTCAGAAAATAATAGCTCTGGCTCTGAACATGATACTGGGTTCACAATACGAATCACCGCCTCAATCACTGGGGGAGATCTGGTTGACTCCCTGCCAAGTCGAGCTCCAGAGGATACTCTGCCCATAACGCCATCCCTTCCTCGCGCCATATGTCTGCCTCAACATGGGTGTTTAGCTGATCGGGGATCTCTGTAGCGTTAAGGATCATGTTGGACGGGTTTTCGACGTTGTACTTTGGCCAGGTTGGCACAGACAAGACTTGCAACAACACAATATTAGCTCCAGTCCATAGCACAGCAATATGTGGTCAAGGTCTGCAGGGACAAACTTTCGAAGGAATTTGGATCCCCGGTATAGATATACGAAATCAGCTTAGCCGCAATCGCGTGCGACAGTGCAAGATGTGAGCTCGAGTTAGCAACCGGAGGGTTGCGTCCGAGCATGTCGTACTCCTGGGGTAACCGGAAGAAGTACGTATACTCGGCCGAGTGTGTGGCAAAGCCAGGTACGATGGCGTTATGCACGATAGGAATCGACGTCGGGTTCGTGTCAAACCTAGCAAGGGTCATCGCCACATTAGCGAAAACCACTCTCTGCCTGGAACTGTGATTGTATTCCGCGTAAATCACCAGACCTGTACGTATACGCCGTCATCCCACACTCCGCGAACTTCCTCGCCATGACCCTCCTGCCGTGGATCTGCACAAAGTCGCCGAAAATTGCCGCAATTCGTCTATACTGCGCGCCACACGGAAGGCCCGCGACGGCCATGGCTTCGCTAAACTGGTCATCCATGGGCAGCGAGTACGGCGGACTGGGGGTCCCAACTGGATAAGCTTGCACAACTTTGTCAATTGTCTCATCCTTCGCAGAGGGAAAGTAACTCCGCAGCAGCTGGTCAAGCTCCTCATCCGTCTCGGTGGCCGGGCCAAACGCCTGTGCCGAGCTGAGGCCTTCATCGTTGTTCGTCCCCGCCAGGATGGACACGTCGCGGGGAAACTCGCCGGCCAGCAGCTGGAGGGTCGGTGGCTTGGCAATGAAATCCCCGTCGACCATGGGCCAGTACGTCGGGACGGTGTTGATTCCGACGGAAGCGTTCCACAGCTGGTCCAGGGGAGCCTCACGCAGACACGCGAGGGTATCGTCGGCGCCGAGGCAGTTCGTCGCGTTGAGGATGGTGCGGTAGGCCTGCACGCAGTCTGCGCGGGTAGGATGCAGGGTGTTTCCCACACCGACCGACCCGCTAACCATGATGCCTCCGAGGAAGAGCTTCTCGTCGCTCTGGCCGCCATAGGCCATAATCTGTTGCCCGATGGACGCGGCTCCGGCAGACTGGCCCCACAGCGTGACCTTCTCCGGGTCGCCTCCGAAGGCGGCGATGTTCCCCTGGATCCACCTCAGGGCTTGGCGCTGGTCCTTGAGGCCGAGGTTTGCGACACCCTCCGCTTCCACCTCTGCCCCGCCAGGGAAGCCAAGGAAGCCGAGACGGTAGTTTAGTGTTACGGCCATGCTGGGCATGCCCTGGGCCACACTCGCCTGGACGATGTACGAGGTGTTGGAGCTGCCGTCTGCGCCAAAGCCAGAGACGAAGGCGCCCCCATAGAACCAAACCACAACGGGCAGCTTGGCCTCTGTCATTAGGCTTACCTGCGATGGTCGGATTATGTTGAGGTTGAGGCACTCCTCTGACACTGTTGTGACATTAACATGGGCCATGTATTCAGGGTAAGTGAGGCAGTAGCAGGCGGGGCCGAAGTACTCGGCCGAGCGGGACCCTTCCCACGACTCGTTCCAGGGCGCAGGATTTTGAAGTCGAGGAGCTTTGGCGTAGGGAATTCCGAGGAAGAGGTCCTGGGCAAATTCGGGGGGATAGCGGCCGGTAAGGGTCCCATTGAGAGTAGTCGCTGTGGGCGCTGTTTGGTCGGTTGCCAACACCGGCTGAAGAACGACGGTGACGAGAGCAGCGATATGGAGGAGCGTCATCTTGTCGAGCTTCTCACTCGATCTCACCGTCGGGGGTAATTTCTACGATTTCTAGCTCGCGGCTGTGGACTAATTTATTACTACTGAGAAATGAGGCTACTGGTGATATATTGAGTGAAACGTAAGATCAAAGGATCTACTATAGATGAAAGGAAGGGATAACTATATATACTTCCAACAAGAGACTCTAGCGGTTAAGCTCTAGGCTGGTTCCAGTCCTAAATACCGGCTTCCCAAAGGGGGGATGATTTTTACAGTGGAATTCCATAGTAAAATGCCTTCCAAATCCTTCAAAGGACCTTCCAGTATCCGTATTTCTCTGGGAACCCACGGGAATTTGCAAGACAAAAAGGGCCGTAAGACCGTGAAGTAACGCCGTCAAGACTGGTCCATGCTGTCAATCCATACCGTAACTGTAACTGTGTGTCATTACATGGTTGCACAGCATGCCGACGACGTGGATAACTCGCCCCAAATGCTTGGAATGGATCGGGCCTATTTACTAACTAGATGTTAACAATATCTATTAAGGCAGGGAAGGTAATCCTTCGACGCGGCAAGTACAAGCTATGTTGCACGCTCGCCCAGTCATGTAGTCGCTGGTGGAGGCGCGGGATATGATCGGCAACAGCGGGAAGAGGCTAATTTAGTGCAGGCTCCTCTTGGGTTTGTCACTTACCTCTGACCGGGATACTGGGTCTATTCACAGCAAGTACTTCTCCGAGCAGAAACCGAGATTTCACAGTATTTTGTCAGATGCTGGGACTCGGTAGCAGGCGAAGCAGATCGCCGTTTAAATTCCGTCTGTAGTTTTGCAAGGGAAGCATTGCTAACAACACCAGGTTTAAACAGCTCGATGGGACGTCTGATCAACCTTTTATGTTACCGTCTTACAAAAAGGATCAAATTAGCCAGATCCCGTTTTCATAATCGCTCTTCAAAGATCCTACTCAAAGGAGCCTATAGTACCAAGTGTATTGAAATAGGTATCATTGCTGGGCTACGTGCTGAACATTTCCACGCGGGTACAACCACCTTGTGCCCAGCCTCGTCGCAGACTACGACACAGATCTTCTACATGTATGGGATGGAATCCACCTCACATCTAACGCGGCATGAGAGCCGTAAGAGACTTTCCTCTATCGGTATATGTGTCTAATCCATTGGTTGAGATGTATCAGAGCACGCGTAGGCAAGCTTCGCAAAGGCCATCCCAAACTCAAACAAGGCCTGCAGCGATGCCATGCCCGTGACATTCCCACCCATCCACTCCGTCCACCACTTCTAAAGCAGCTCCACCTTGGGAGCATCCCCAGAGCCATCATCACGCTCCCCCACAACCGTATCAGCAACGGGACGCAGTACCTTCCCCATTGGTGTCACGTACACAAACGGGAAGGGACTCCCCAGTTCAGCGCCCGTAGTAACGACCATACCCAACAGCAACACCGTCCCTATACACGACCAGCCACCTGGCATCCCCCTCATCGGCGAAGACCGTCCCCCTCTTTACCGAGGACGACCCACGTCTCGGTGTCGATTGGGACAGTACTGCCCTTATAATCGATGCGGGCTCACGAAGACGACTCATTGAGGTGGCGGGCCGTGATGCCGGTCGTACGGCCGGCCTCGGAGACGTCAGGCTTCTTGTACAGGGTGATGATGGCAAGTTCAAGACGTATCAGGACTAGTCATGGAAGTAACGGTCTGCAGTTGCTTCGCGGAGACCGGAGGTTTAGAAGATGGTCCGAGTTGTCAGTCGAAGCCATGGGAAGGCTGCAGTTGGCTTTCTGCTTTTGGATGAAACGATCTTTCGTGGTGCATTCTGCGAGTTCCTCCCCTAGATGTTTCAACCAGGATGCGTGGTCACGGGCGGGCGGACGGACTCTCGACAAGAGGAAGTGGGGTCGGGGTTGTGGCTGAGGCTTTGATGGGCCTCCGGAGCTCTCGTGGATCCTCCGTGGCTAGTCCCATGGTGTGATGAAGGAACGGGCGAAGGAAGAAAAACAACATACCGTCAGGTGCAACAACATGATGACATGTCACAGTAAAGCATTTCCCACTGATAGGGATGTAGAAGCCTAGTGTATCCGAGCTTGTAGTGCTTGTGATACCCATGCTACGACCAATGCCGGGGGTGGTCTAGGTATAATCGTCATGGAGATCATTCCGAGGAAACTAATCATCTTGCTTCTCCACGGCAGAGCAGGGTTGGGCAATCTTCCGGGAGATTTCAACAGCGACGTCGATAAGATAATACCTACACACGTTGGTAGTCATTAACGTTAGCAACCAGCACCAGAACAGGCAGCACACACGGACAGAAAGGGAACGAACGTGTCAATGGTACCTCGGCAGCTGAAAGCGGCGGCGCGAGCAGCCTCCGACCCGACGGCGGAATCGGCACGCACAACCACCAGAACCATGACGCATCGATCCTCGGCGCGGGCGGCGTTTGCCTAGCCGATGCGAAAGACGCCAACATGAATCCAAGACTTGCCAAAGCGCTGGGGCAACTCGGCCACGATCTGCTCGCAACATCCATCGTCGCTCTCCTACACTTGCGACACGGGGTGGTGCGGGCCGATGGCGACGTTGACCTTGTTGTCTGGCATGTTCTCTATTGAGCATTCTGGAGTTGGTAGAGTCTGGCCATTAACCTCGGGATTCCGCGAGAGCAGCCATACTGTGCTGCCAGAGAGACGCGCTTTACAGGGTTTAATTAACACGGGGAATTCGAATTGGGATTTTCTAATGCAGGTGGACTTCCTGTCAGACCCTGGGGAATCCTGAAAACAAGTCTCGAGTGTTGAGCCACGATTAACGATATATTCGCCTCCCTTCCACCACGTCTTCGTCTTCCTCTTCTTCATTTTAGCTTGGGGGCGGGCCATGGTTTCGAAGTCCCAAGCACGACCCAAAGAGCTTGGACTTGATTGAAGGATGTCTGCGACGCACCAGGTTGGTAATTAGAGCCTGGCCTCTCGGAGATGACTCAGTTTATGCTTTTACATCATGTCGGCTGGGGTGGGGATAGAGAGATATGCACTAGACTGGGATGAGGTAACCGAAGTTTTACACAATCTTTCTGAAGAAGGCCCAGCTTGACCTTATTGAGAGTGAATGTGGGCAACGTATCCTCAGTGGCTAAATATTGAAGCGTACTCTGTGTAGGTAGAAAGGATAGAAGGATAGAAAGGAAGGAATGCCCCCCGGGGAACTGTTGAGCACCCCGGATCGTGCCCCCCTGTAGCTCTTCCGCGGTTATACATTCATCCCCGAGTGGGTCAACTACCTAGCGGAGATCTCCGTGTACCGCCGCCATATAATTGTTGAGCCGGGTCGCCGCCATCAGAACGCTCCAGGCTATGACCCGCGCCCGCGCCGTTATCCTGAACCCCGATGTGTACAGGATCCACTCCACGGCCCGCAGGATAACCACACCCGCTTGCAGGATAATTACACCCAAGGCGACCGCGACGGGCGATAAGTTGCCGCACCAGAAGCCTGCGCGCACGACTCGCTGGTCTAGGGGGAGATAGCAACGACGGTTTTCGACCACGATACCAGTGGCCATGGGCAAATCGGCCGAAATGGAACTTCTCTCCCCATCACGGCCGATACAGGTTCCTTAAGTATGGCCGAGTTCCTTCCGGTTCAAGGTGTGGCCTTGCAGCTCGTCATGAGCTTATCGGCGGTGAACAGACGCTGATTCGCTCTTCTACGTCATGTGCGTTTTCGTAGGGCAGGCAGCTGGAGCTGTCCGTAAGCTCGCCTATCGGATACGGGAGCTTGTCCCGGGGGCGGGGCGATTTTCTCCACCCCCGAGTGGAACTGGCCAATCTTCCAGTTTATATCCGTATCGGGCCGGAAATTGACCGGGGCAGATCCCGTGCGCCGTCTTGGCAGATCGTCCTGCATGGTCCGCCCAATGCTTGCAACGGTTCCTTCCGTTGCTTTGGATGCTGGGCATCATGCTACTGGAAAAAATCCCGGCACAGGCCAGAGATACGTCGAAGTATGTGACTGGATTATTGCGTTGAGTGGGACTGTGACGCGTGGGTGCAAAGAGAAAGAGATGGGGAAACAGCAGCCGGAGGCGAAAAGGAAAAAAAACACAGCCCCTAAGCAGACAGGCAGATGACGAGGCCAACGGGGATGGCGTTCTCACGATGTATGAACGGATTTTCCTAGCTTGATAACTAGCTCCCCGATATGCGGCGACACTCCAAGCAAACGATATCAAGCGCAAGTCTCCCCGCGTGATGACGTTGCGATCTTGCAATACTGCAATCTTCCCGCTCCAAATGCACCTCCGGCAGTCGGCATTTTAGAGTTTGGGTGCCACAATGGCCTGGGGGCGAATGCGGAGGTCTAGATCCTCATCGGGACACTCTCATTGGCTGGTAGTGTCGGACTAACAGAGATTTCCAGATTTTCACACGCACCCCGGCCACTAGCTCCCAGAGCTACGGGTCAGCCAAGAGAAATATCAATGCACGCTCCCCGTTTTCGAGCCCGTAATAATGAATCCTCTCCTCCCATCCCAGGAAGGTCTTCGACTTCTCAGCCCGGCGATTGAGCCCAGCAAACTCGAGGCGAGGCTTTTCTCTTCGGCATGGATCGTCGACTTCTGGGCGCGGAGGACCTCGTCACCCTCCTCCAGAAACTCCAGTGACAACAGCTTCCCACGGAGCCCCACGACCGGCCCCCCGAGATGGCGCTCGGCGACTCCGGTGCGTCTATCACCACCCAAGTCACCGGCGACGAAGTTCCTCTCATCGCCAGCTTCTTGGCTGTTGCCGTCTACAACGTCATCGAGCTAAACTTCATCATCGCGACCACATTCAAGAGACGGCATGGCCTCTACTTCTGGAGCTTCGTCGTCGCCACTTACGGGATTCTGGTCTACTCGATCGGATTCATCCTCAGGGACTTCGTGCCCCCCGCGAACATCTACCTCTACGTCACCTTCATCGTCGTGGGATGGTGCCCCATGGTGACAGGGCAGTCCATGGTGCTCTACTCACGGCTGCACCTCGTCGTTTACAACCAGACCATTCTCCGGGGCGTTTTGATCATGATCATCGTCAACGCCGTCATTTTGCACATTCCGACCGTCGTGTTGATCTACGCCTCCAACTCGTCGCATCCGGGACCGTTCATCAAACCGTACTCGGTCTATGAAAAGTTCCAGGTCATTGTCTTCTTCGTGCAGGAAATGACCATATCGGGGCTGTACATCTGGGAGACGTCAAGGCTGCTGCGAATTGCCGACGCGCTGGGTCACGAAAACAGCCGGACCAAGATGATGAGGAACCTGATCGCCGTAAACGTCGGCGTCGCCCTTATCGACGTCGCCATCATGGCCCTCGAGCTGGCAGACCTCTACAACCTCCAGACGAGCTACAAGGCCCTCTCGTACAGCGTGAAGCTCAAGCTCGAGTTCAGCATCTTGAACCGCCTGGTCGACTTCGTACGGTCCCGATCGAACAGCTCGAACCTCGGCATGACGGATCCTAGCGTCTCGGTCGATATGGAGAATCTCAGCAGCCAGGGCAGCAGGCCCCAGCGGGTCACCTCGAGCGGCATGGTAGTCAGACCCATGAGCCGCCTCGAAGAGTCGACAACAAGAGACGAGAACTGCCCGGACTCGGACAGTGGTCCTGGAGTCCATCGGGGCGGTGCTGGCTCACAGTCGGGAACATATCTGACGGCGGATGGAATGCGTGTACGTCGCGATAGTGTGCGACGGGTGCAGACTCGAGACGACGCCGCGCCCTTTAAAGGTATCGTCGGGGACAAAGCTTGGTCGCCGCAGTACCAGTACAGGCCGGATGATGATAGTCCACAATCTCAGGACCAGGGTCAGGGCGAGCAAACCCCCCCTCCTCGCCCGTGAATTAATTAATTCATCAAGTATTTCCCCACTCACCAAGACTCGGATTTGTTTCAAAACACGGTCCCCTTATTTCAGTGAGGTTCCCTTGCGCGATTGACGTGATTCCCAACACCGGACCTCGCCACCATCTCCCCGGCCCGCCGGCTTGGGTGCAATATCAGGAACTGAGCAGCCTGTAGAAAATGCATCTTCATCATCATCCCTACACAGGCTAAAGCGGCTCTTATCAAGGGGTTCGACGCCGGAAATGGCCAGGTCCAGCCAAATCGGATGCGGCTGAATGCAACGTTTATCCTGACTTCACTGATCCCGTTCTCTCTCCCGTCCCGACCATCCGAATATCGTGCCGCGCCAGACGGTAATCTCTTTTTGATTGTCTCCCCCGAGCCGGGTCGTGGGCGGGGGGCGAAACATTTGCCCTTCTATATGTAGCCAACGGGCATGCATTGAGGGGTCGGGATGGCCCTTGAATGTGCCAAACATTCGGAATAGTTCGTTTCTACAACTCTGCCAAGATGTTGTCCAGTTCGCCCAAAATCCTCGCGTGGTTCCTCTTGGCGCTGCCAGCATTCGCGCAAGACGAATGCACAGCAACGGGGGTAGACTTTACCGATGGCGGTACCTATTCGGTCGATTCTAGCTCAACGAGCAAGTTCACATTTGCCACGATCTTCTCCGGTGGGTACCCGTGGACTGTCTTGCTCCTTACACACAACGCAGTTGGCAAGTTGTTGACGATGCTCACGCTCATATGCAGGATGCGATGGCACCGCCAATCCAATACTCCATGCGCCCGACGGAGGAGACGACTATACATGCTCGTCATTGGACATGAGTAGAGATAGGACACAGCAGATCTCGACATGGTAAAGCAACCCAAGAAGAGAGCGAGGGATGATAAGGGGCAGCACTCGGCTGACAAGATTCTCCAGTGATATCACCTTCTCGGAGATTACCTCGGGAAATTGGTCCATCACGATGGTGAATCCCACCACCAACGAGACGCTGGAGAGAATATTCTACCTCGTTGCAGCAGCCACAGAGAGGGTGACGACCACGGTAAGTCTTCGTGATGTTTCACTTCATTGTCCCACGGTGGCTGATATCCCACAGGTCACTCCGACTGTCATTGTTGGATACACGAGCACACCCCTCGGGTCAAGTAAGAACCGCCCCTTCGTAGAATCACCCTTGCCTTCACCATGACTAACCGTTTCCGCAGCTATCATCGAAACCGTCGACCGGACTCTAACCCAGCTATTCCCCGCGGCAACTGTCACCTCGACCTGCACCCAGCGATCCCAGACCGTGACCAGCTCCCTAATCCAGAGCACCGAAACCTTCACCACGCGGGTTACTCGGACGGCGACATCGGGAAGCACGACTCTCCGATCGACTGTTTACGGTCAAGAGGTCACCGCGACCTGTCACTACGATGATGCCGCTCCCACCGTGCAAGCTGACCATGTGTTGGTCCCTGCTGTCAAGCACCAGGGCGAGAAGAAGCGCAGGCATAGCCGCCATATCTATGACAGGGCAGGTCGCGGGATTTACAGAGACCAGGCAGAGGACGAGGCGCCCGCTAGTACGCGTCCCACAATCTTCAAGCCTTTGATTCAGACAGGCTAACGCTAATTACCAATAATTAGAGCGTGAAGTGGCTGCAACTACTGTCACGATTGTGGAGACCACCTTCACCTACTCGAGCACCTTCACGACGATAGCGCCGACGCCGATGACAACAGAGACCAGTAAGTTTCGATTCTCTAGCAGTTGAATTGGGGCAATCTCTAATTACCAAACTCGCAGCGATCGATCAAACCACCATCAGCGTGTACGCCACCCAATCCTCCATTCCCGCAACGAATTCCGCTTTTTTTCCCGGAACATGGTCCAGCTGACATATAAATCACTTCCCACAGGACCCCGTCTCCCAGCATTGTTTGCGGAAACCCGACAGTGGTCACCCAGACCGTCACCGTGACGCCGCCGCCGGCGAGCGAGACGGGCACCATCTACCTGACCACGACGGACCAGCTGACTCTGTGGATCATGTGAGTTAACCCACTTGGGCGCGGGCGTGCGTCTCCCAAGATAGAGGCGTCTGACTGACCCTGGTTTTAGAACCACGATGGACACGACGACGATCAGCGTCCCCGCGAGTGCGACTGCTTGCTGGGATGACGGCGGCGTGTACTATTAAGCTTCTTGCGGGGGTGTGGAGGGTTGGTTTTATTGCGCACCTACTGTTGCCGTGGATGTTTAGGATGTTTAAAGAAGCAAAACGAGGGGAATTAGCATCCCATGACATATGTAAAGGGTGATTTGGATATTGAGGGCTGTGGAATAATAGACTGCGTCTCTTAGAAATTACCTTCTGCTCTTGCACGTCAGTCGACCGAAAAGCCGATTGGCCTGCAATGGGCCTGTATTCTCGATGATAATATCGTTATAGTAATATTATTTTACATTATCTACCTCTTTTGTAAAACTTCCAGGTGGTGCTGCTTAATATGGCTGATGGAGAGACAGTATCTCGAAATGTTAAAGCTAGCTGACAACCCAGAACACGACGGAAAACAAAACCTGAATAAGGAAACAACACCAAGACCATTCCACGAGCTAGAGAGTGATACCCACGAGCACCCTCTTAACATACTTCGCCACGGCCAGCTCAGGCCCTCGTCGAACAATATCACCAACACATCCATGTCATCCTGCGGCAGCTTCCCCGCGTAGATGGTGCTGCTCGACCTCCGAGGTCGTGATGGCATCGAGGCCCGCCGACGCAAAGGCTAGGGCATGCACCGGGGCTGGATTGGAGCATTCTGAAGCGTGTATACCTTGTATCTGTTGTCCCCGGCAAGCCTGATTGCTGCTGCTGCTCCGGGGGAAGGCCCTTCCTAATGACAACGATGAGGTCCTCTACCACTCGTCACGCTGGCTGCCATGCCGGTTGCAGGTAGACGACGTGGTTGTGATTGGGGCAGCGATTGTAGCCTTCGAGCCGGCATCGCAAGGAGAACTCTAGCTTGCCAACCAGAAGGCTGCTAGGCCTAGGTAGACCAGCGGTTCCAGAGACGGGAAGAGAGGCAGGATGATGCACAGGAAGACAATGAAGAGCCCTGCCAAAGTGCTGAAACGGAAGGCACGGCGTCGATGATGGCCCTGCTCCTCTAAATGCTGTTGTTGTTCTTGTTGTTCGTCTTCATCGGCATCTCCGGCCACCTCCGCATGTCCAAACCACGGACCGATGGGCTCTATTTCGGAGACGTGGTGTGGAGGCTTGGGGATGGGCAGATTGAACTCAAGATATATGTGTCTGATGAAGCCACCGTCGTATATGTGGAGCAAGGCGTGGTCTTTGGTTGGTTCCCACGGCTGGCGCATCTCGCTAGCCATGTCGTCCGCCGTCTTGAAATATCTCAAATTGAAGTGGCAGGGCACGATCAGTCGTCTGTATCGGGAGGATAGACGAAACCACCGCCGACTAAGTCATTAGTGTCGGCATGGTAACTGGGGGTGGAGGTTACAATCCGAGTTGAAACTGAAGAGGTTGGTCGATGGAGATTGGAAGGGGTTGTTGGAGGCGGACTAGAAGAGAATCAAGATTCGGTGAACTCTAGCGGCAGGCAGGCCAATCAACGGGGGATGCCAGATGGCGCAGGTTTATCGGCAATATTGAGTGCTGCTGGTGGATTGCAAATGCATGCGGAGGTATGTTTTCGGAACTGGGGGAGGGATGAAGGACAAAGGGGAGAAATGGAAGCACTTCAAGAAACTCGAATCCGGAATCGGACAGAATGTCGTCTCTTTCTCTTGGGGGAGGGTACAGACTTGGATGCCAAACCAAACCCTGCATACGGTTCTGAGCGAACAATCCGGCAATTCAGCTTTGTGGTATACGAGGGGGACTGCCCTCACTGTCCAACTACTAAACCTGGGACAAAGAACAAGGCAAAATCACAAACCCCACCAATTCTCTGAAGGACTCTTTGGTTCCAGGATGTTGTCCTCGTCTCCATCCCCTTCCGAATCGACGCTAATTGACAGAAGACAGCGTTGGAGGCTCTCGGCCAGAATGAACATCCCATCAGGGTTCACAACCACAAGTCTAATGTGGAGGCAACCACGCGCCGACACGGGGAGATCCGCAGGATGGCAAGACTCACACGAGCGTGGAGGTCATGAGTCACTTGCCGAGGCAGGGCCCATCGACCAAGACACTTTTGCGATGAGTCATGCAGTGGAACTAATGCAAATGGAGTAAAGCACCAACGAGCAAGGCAGCAGTAGTAGGTAAGATTTAGCTTAGGCTAAACTAAACTTCGTCCTGCATAAGAAGTTCTCACAGGCACAGCTTTTTGATCTGGCGTTATTTTATTTCTTTCCTGCCGATGCCAGCAATTTAGTGAGCTGACTGGAGTGTGCTCAACTTTCTGCTCAGAATGGATTCCTCTCTGCCAAACAACACCTTTCACAAGTTTCCGCGGCTCCCACCAGAGATCCGCCGTGCTATCTGGGAGCTCTGTCTTCCTTGTCGTGTTGTCGAGGTTGACTGCCCATCCCCCTATATCACAGAGCCGTATCGGACCTGCAGCTTTGCCACCACTACCACGACCAACACTCGACCGCCGTTGATCTCCCGCGTATGCTGCGAGGCGCGTGAGGTAGCATTCGAGCATGGCAGCATATACGGCAGCATATACGGGTCTGAGACTGAGGAATGCTCCAAGGTCTCCAGCGACCCTGGCTACCTCTACGCCACCGTTGACGCCTGGATCCAGCCGTCAGTCGACACCATCCACCTAAACTGGATGCCGGCTTATAACTGGACGCTCGAGGGCTGGCATGACGCGGACCCTATTCCCTTCTTTCACTGGGTTGCCGATCAGACAGGGGCACCCGCCGTGTCCATCACGGCGGAAATGCTTCTGCCATTCCACGACGATTGGTTCAAAGGGGGGACGCAGGCCAATACGGACGCAATAATACAACTCGATTGTCAAAGAGAGTACATAGTCGCCCTTGTCATGGTCAGCATCCACATCCCTCTCGACATTGCCGCTCGCTCGGGGCTATTCGGCCTGCTGGGCGACGATAGAGTTAAGCTTGTCGATCCGTCGGACTGGGTTGCCATCGACAAGTACATGGGGCTCTGGACCGACCACGGCTCTGTCGACGACAAAGAGGCGGTCGCCTTCAAGCAGCTCTTCTCAGACAGACAAGCCTTTCAGACACGCCTGGAGAGATGGAAAGACGACGTTGCCAAAGTGTGGGTTTGGCATTACTGGAACCACGGTATGCAGATACGCCAAGAACGGCCCGGCCATGAACTGCCCGATAGGGACGCTATCTGGCTTGGGAGCAACAGCTGGCCAGATCCGTGGACACAAGTGCCAGATCCGTTGACGCGAGTGCCATTTCTTTTCCATCCGTGGTTCATCGATATCGAGCACAGACAACTCAACGCCGATTTGCCGTGGGTTCAGAGACAGAAGGAGCGCATGCCTACATTCCATCCGAAGATAATGTTTAGATTGTGTGGCAGGAAGTGCTTCCTGCCAAGGGAACTGCGCCCACGACTCGGATGCAAACCTGCGGTTTGATGTCGAGGAGGTTTTGGGAAGGGTATGTAAGGATAGGAGAAGTACTGCGTGGGCTACCGGTATGTGGTTTTGATTCTTCGAAATTATAGGTATCCTGACACTGACGATCCTCACTAAATTAAACTCCCAACTCCTGCATCAGACTAGACTGCTTCTGGAGACCCCCACCTAAAGAATCAACTTCCCACTTAACCCTCTCTTTCCTCTCTTCGTTTTTGCACCTTTCCAACGCCTGAACTACCCCCAAACACCTACAGTTTATTTCGCCCTTCATCTTGCCAATCCTAGCACGGAACCAGCCTCCCCCGATTTCTCCGCAAGCCGCTCGGCATCTTCCGTCTCCTCCATTTCTCAAAGCAAAAGCTGCTCCCGACCACCGTCTCGCTTTCCCACTCGTACAGAGCCCGCTCAACAACGCCCTGCCCGATCCCGCGTGTTCATTTCACGATCGATCATCGTCTTCTCCTCGACCGCCACGATGAAGAGCGCGTACCGCACACCATAATTGTGGCCTGCCGCCGGCCTGGGCAAGAACAATGGACACAGACACGGAGCGCCTGCTCCTGCTCACCGCTGTCTTGCCCGCGCAGACGGCGGACGGCGGCGTGGTCGGAGACGAGAATTATTCAGGGTGACGGCCAGCATACGCGTCTGGACCCTCTTTGATGACGAATTCCCCGAAGCCTCATCAGCCGAGCTCGACCCCGCCCTCTTCCGCCGCCGCCGATTGACTCCTCCGCCGCCCGGCTCGTCCCAAGCCTGCCCCGGCGCCTCCCCCCCTTGCCGACCCTGTCCTCATACTCCTCCATCGACAGCGATTCCTCCCCGGGGCGCCGCCTCCGGAACCACGCCGACTTGATGGGCAGTCCGCTGTGGCACCGCGCCGAGCAGTCGCGGTACCCGGCCAGAACCCAGCCGTCGTCGTCGTCGTCGTCCGCGTAGTTGACCGCCTCGGCGAGCGTATACGACGTGCTGAACCCGGCGTGCATCGTCCGCGGAAACGTGACGACCACCTGCCCCGTCGCCTGCCCCACAAACGCGACCGGCACCCCCCTCTCCCGCAACCCCGTCGCGCAGAACAGCGACGCATGCTAGAGCCACTGCTCGCACAGCGGCTCCGTCAGCGCCAATCCCCTAACCGGGTTCTCCTCCAGCACAGACCGGAACTCGGCCTCGGCGGCGGCGGCGTGCGCCTCGGACACGCACATCCACACCTTGTGGCCGGCGTGCAGGTAGTTGAAGGCCAGCAGTCCGACGTCCTCGATGTGCCACCCGAACACGGCCCCCGGCCGCCTGCCGTCGCCGTCGCGCGGCGCCGCCGCCTCGTACATGTACGCGCCGTCGCGCGGCGCCGCCGCCTCGTACATGTACGCGCCGTGGATGCCGCCGATGCCCTGCACGATGGTGTCGTCGAGCCGGTTGCCTGCGAGCGGCCAGATGGGGCTGCGGGGCGGGAGGCCCGCCGCGGCGTGCTCGCCTGCGCTGGCGGCGGAGATGTCGGTGCGGTAGTAGACGCCGCCGCCGAGGTCGCTGATGGGTCGGGAGGAGGAGGAAGAAGAAGTTTTCTTCGGCTTGGCTTTCCGCTTCTCATTCTGTTTCTGCTTGTCCTTCCTGCTGTCATTCTCATTCCTCTCATTCTCTTCCCATCCCCCGTCGCCCTCCCGCAGACACGCCTCCATATTCGCATCAGCCTCGGCCACAGTCCAGCGGTGCTGCTCATCGTGCTCCCCATCGCCGGCAGGGGGCGGCGGCCCGAACTTGGCCCGCGAGACGGTCTCGTGGGCGAGGTGGTAGATGCCGTTGCCGAGGTGGTGGGCGCTGTATTTGCGGCCGGGGTAGTGGTGGCGGGTGCGTCGTCCCGTGACGGCGTCGTCGGCGTCGACCTTGGGCCGATGCCCGGCCGGGACCTCGATCTTGAACACACCCTGCTCCGCCGCGCCGAGGTCCCTTGCGCGCGCGAGCAGGGCGGGCGTGTTGCTGTATTGGTCGTTGGTCGGGAGTAGTAGGAGGACCCGGTAGGGGGTGTCCTGGTCGCCCTCCCATCTGTAGTTGATGGTGGGTTTGGGATGCCCGTCGAGTGGTGGGTTGTCTGATGTGTTCTTCTCGTGCTCAAGTCCCACCGTGTCGTCTGGTGTTGTGTTTGTTAACTCCGAGGCTGTGTCGTCGACGATTGTCTCAGGTCGTGCTGATGACACGGTGTTGCTGCTTATGTTTGACGGACTCTCCGGTGACAACCCTGTGGTGGTGTCGGACAGGTTGGAAGACGTGTCGCGTGGATCACAAGTGCTTCGCGTGCTCGTGGACGCGTCGTATGGACTGTGGGGAGCTCCGTGTTGGTGTAGGGAGTGCTTGTCGGGTTGGGAAGCGATGTGCTGTGCATTCTGCGCATGTTGCTCGCGCATCTGCACATTCGAGAACATGTCAGCGATGCCACCACCCGCGTGCCCATCGAGGAAACCCACCAGAGGCCCCGAGACTCTGCCCGGATGGGGGTCCAGGAGGTTCTTTGCTATCGCAAGTGCTGACGTGGGCGACTAAGGGTTTCGGATCGTTGATGACCCTGGTTATCGAGCGCGTAATCGAAGGAGACATGCCACGGCTCACCCTCGCTTGAAGATGTCGTTGCTTCTCAGCCAAGTACTCTCTCAGGGCCGCGTATTTGGCTACCATGCAGCGTATGAGACCGCTGAGCTTCCAAGTGCCAGCCATTGTGTCGCCAGTAGGGTTTAAGTACTTTGTGACGATTGGATTTGAGAATTGAGTCCTTGCGAGTACGTGTGCTGCACCTCGAGTCTCTCTTTGAACCGTTGAAGAGTTATCTTTGTCTTTGTTCGCTCCGTTTGCACGCTGCAGCCTGCAGCCTCCTTACACGCCCCTTCCCGTCAGCCTCGATCGCTAGTCGTCAGCCTTGCGATATGTGGCTTGTTGTGGCGCGCTGTTGGCCAATTGCGCGGGTGGAATCTAGCCCCACCTCGTGCGCTAACCGTATCCGGACCAGGCTACACAACAACTCCAATATGGCCCGTGCGTAGCTCCCGGAACCAGCCATCGAGAACCTGAAGCCGACTTTGCTGCATTCCCGTGAGCAGTACCGGCGACGCAAGAATTCATCCGTAAGAAAGCAATAAGTATCGTCTGGCAATACCCAACTGTTGGAGTGTTACGGTGGGGCCGACGTGGGAAACTGTACCAAGCACTGACACCGCGAATAGCCGATCACACCCGTCTGAGCGGCGGGCTGTGATTGCACTAACGCTTTCGGCAGTGATTCTTACATATACTTGTTAGTGCAGGCACTTTGTCAATCCCTCCACTTCAAGGGATACTTGCCTCCAAACAACAATTAATTGCAGCGCAACAAATTCCCTGAGCGATGCGAAACCGAGGATATCATGTTGGCTAACCAAGCGCAATTGATTGATGCCATTTTCATGCGGCTTTGATTCCCCTTGCCTTTCCTCGATGGTTCCCAAAACATGCCCCCGTCTCGCCTGTAGCTCAGCGCTGCAAGTACAAGATTAGCTAGCGACACCGAACATGACAACAAAACAGCTTGATTGCGGCCCACGTACTGCCCCGATGAAATCGAGATTTTGAAATCTGTGTCGCTTAATTAAAGAGAATTGACTGACATCGGTTTCATATTATCTCACTCGGCAGGTGACTGCGATCTCACTGCCACCTGCCAATTCCGCCCCTGGATATCTCGGCCAAAACCTCACTTCCCAACTCGAATCGTGAATATACCCCATCCGCGTATCGCATTCGATTGCTCAAAGATGTTAACCGCTCAAAAATTCAGGAACTCGAGGCGCGCCAATTGGGTTCAATTTCCCAGTGTTTGCTTCGTTCAAAGTCTTGGTGGTGTTTGACCCCTCCTTCAGTGAGGTTCGCGCTGTGGGGGCCAGATCTTGGGAACGGCCAAGATATACAAAGTTGATGCCAATTGAATATCGACTACTGGATATGTCATAACCTATATTATATGGAAGCGCTTGAAGCGTAATACATTATGCAAAACTGGGAAATGCAGCGACCATTGATACGCCAATTCGAGTCCGTTTGCAAATATTGGCAGTATCGCTCCGTCATTTGGCTCCCAGCCCAGTCTTCCACACAATGGCCGCAACCGCCGTGGCAATAACAGCAGCGATGAGCACTACCACAGGCATGAATGTCCCCAGCATAGCCATGCTCGTCAGAGTCGCGAATATCCCGCCAGCCGGCGTGAGAGCGCCATACATGTACGACTGGAAGGCCGCAGCAGGAGTACCTGTGCCTCACGAAATGTCACGAAGTGATTAGCAAGTGGAACCACTGAAAGGAAGCGATCAATATAAGAACGTACTGGCACCGACTCCATCGCGGCGGAAGCCTAGCGCCAGGACCATACAGAACACCGTGAATGTGACCATCCAAGCCAGAAGTATGGGAAGGACATCTTTCCGACCGCCAGTTAGCTCATTGGGTTCTGTGGAGGTTTGTCTCACCTGGAGAACTGCAAAGGCAAGTAACTTACGGGGTTGAGTGAGCCATTCGAGGAACCGAGTCCATTGCTGATTGATGGAATCGCCAAACCCTTCATCCCACTGGGGAAGGCTGAGGGGAGGCCAATGAGGAGGGTAGGCAGCAAGGAGCGGAGCAAATGCAGGCATAATGTAGCAGGTGGTGGAATGTTGGCTTTGATGAGCGTAAAGTAAGGATTCAGACACGTCCTTGGGAAGACATTCACAGTCGTTAGACGTTGCGGAGAGGCTATGTAGGGCGGAAGTGGTGCTGAATGGTGGACTTCTGCCGGAAGGATGAAATGTTGGGCATCCATCATAGTTCCATACACCCACAATGGTTACACAACATGGCTCAGCTTTCCCCACGACGACGGAATATCTCAGCAACCAATTGGCGTCATTCTGAAGCGCCTCAATTGCTCTGTATTGGCTCCTCGAAATCCCTGTAACTAATTGGGCGCCAATTGGACGAGGTTGCGCCTTTCCAGTTTTCCAGCGCTTCTCCTTCGCTCACAGTTTACGCCGGCCAATCCTCCTCCGCATATGCGCACTCCCCCTCCACCGGGTCGGCGCGCTACGCCATAGCTTGGCCACCTCCTCGGTTCCGACATCCTGTCCCTCCGCAAGAAAGCCCCGCCTCGATGCAGCCTTGATATCGATGAGGGCCTCGGCATTGGCGGCGTTGGAGACTTGCATACGGAAGGCAAGGGACTCAAATATCTAGAATACCAGGACCATGGGAATGGGAAGTCCCATCCTGTCGATGGTCTCGAATCGTCAAGCTGACCGGAGTCGTGGGCTGGGATGCTGTCAGTGACCTAGAAACACACAAGTTGAGATCAACTCACACGCACTTCCTGATCACAACGCCGTTCAGATCAGAGTCAAGCATATTTGCAAGACCGTACACAACAAGAACGGGCAGGAACCACTCTTCGTGAGAGCCAGTGTTGGTCTGGCTAGTGTGCACTTCCAATGTCAGCTGTGTACAGCATGGTTTTCGATCCTGACACACAGCCAGATCTGCAGATTCTAGATATACCATTACTCATCAACCAGTCTCATACCAGGCCGCCTCCTAATCCGCATAATCACACCCGACTGCGCGGGGAACAGCCTGTTGTGAATCGTCCATTCCGCCTCCGGGTCAGCCAGCTCGAACTCAAAGCGCGCAATCAGCGTAGCCACCGTCTTATACACCTCCATCATACCCAGATTCATCCCAATACACTTGCGGCTCCCCTCGCCAAACGACAAGTCGCAGTTATTCAGGCGCGTCATCCGCGCCTTGAACTCCTCCTCCGACTCTTCCACTCCCCGCAGGAACCGCTCGGGCCGGAACTCCTCTGCATCCTCCCCCCACACCTCCTTGTTCCGGTGCAGCACGTACGCGTTGAACCCCACCGCAGTCCCCTCGGCCACGAGCGACCCGTCCGGCAGCCTCAGCCCGCCCGCGGGCACGTACCTCTCCTGCGGGAAGCAGTTGCCGGGGTACAGGCGCAGTGCCTCGCGGATGACGGCTTCGAGGTACGGGATGGCGCGCGTCTGGGCGTACGGCGCGGGGAGATGCAGCGTCCCCTTGCTCGCAAACGGGGCGGCGAGGATGTCGGCCTGCAGGCGCTTCCAGACCCGGGGGTGCTTGACGCTGAGGTAGAAGACGGACTTGAGGCTGACGGCGGTGGTGTCCGCGCCGGCGGCGAGGTTGACGAGCAGGTATGACAGGATGCGGTTGTCGTCGACGTCGTCCGGGTGCAGCTTCTTGGCCTCGATGTAGCGGTCGAGGAAGTCGGGCTGCGCCGCGTCGTGCCCGTCGGTGCCGGCGTAGCGGCTCATTAGGTGGCCCATTGCCACGGCCGTGATGTTGCCGAAGGAGGGCGGGCCGATGCGGAAGATTGGGTTCTTGTCTAGGAGGTTGTCGAGCTTGTACTGCATCCCTATCGTCACGAGGTAGTGCATCGCCTTTTCTGAGACCTTGAGCGTGCCGTCGAAGTCGCAGCCGTGCTCGAGGTAGCCGATCGGCTTGCCGAATGTCGCTTGACCGACCACGTCCCATGCATCTGTCCAAGCCAACAGTTTGGTTAGCAATGTCTTCATTTCATGGGGTCAACGCGGGAACCGCAGGGAGATCACTCACAGTACATGACCCACTCGCCAAAGTCAAAGGGCGCACCCATCTCCTGGCCCGCCTCGGCCGACTTCTTCTCAAGCTGTTTGACTAAGTAGGACAAGACGGTATCGACGTGTGGCTCCATCGGCAGGACCCCGGAGGTGGTGAAGTACTTGGCAATGGGCTTCTTTATGCGTGCGTGCTCGACCGGGTCTGTCTCGCTGAAGATGTTGTAGAAGATATGGGGTCCCATCTTGACGCCGCTTACGCCATGCCACTCGGTCTGTTTCGAGGAGCCAAGCAACACCTGTTAGCAATGCTGTCCATTTGTTCGCCCAGATACTCCCAAACGACGAGATGATTGTGTCGACATACCTTCCTCCAAACCCCATTCCTGTCAAAACAAGTCTTGATCAAGGAGGAGTAGTCGAGATCCAGATAATTCGGCGCCATCCGAACGACAGGTCCGTACTTGTCGTGCAACTTCTTCGATACCACATGCATGGAGCCGCCATGAGCGTGGTACATGCGCCAGTAGTTCGTCCATGCTGAGACCGTGTCAGATGCAAATTGAGAGAGATCTACCTTCTGCAGACCGAGGACAACACGGAGGGGCTTGCGTACCTGCGAGGGGCGGTCCTGGATATCTGCGCAGAGGTGACGCCAGGTAGGAGGTGACATACCATAGCACAATGCTGACAAGAGGGACAAGAACAAGCAGGAGAGCAGGTTTTGTTGTGACGGCTGCCACAGTCCCTGCCAAGTTGTGCAGGGGATATATCCCGTCCATTCTCAGACGTAACCCGGGTGCTGGGAAACCACAAACACGGGAAAGATGTTTGTTTGTTGGGAATTTGTGCTCCCATACGGTACTTATCACAGCTGCCCTGTGGTACCCGGCTCGGGATCCCAAAAAATGAAGAAGGAGTCCGGCCGAGCTGCAACCGAGTGGGAAGAGAGCAGGGGGGGCAGCAGGGGGTTTATTGTGCAGGATTAAATGGACACTTTGCGTGGGGGAATGTCGGTTCCATGTGTCAGGTAACCATACAAAACAAAGTTATTCAAGAAGAATCAGCTCATTGCCATTGCTGGTGCTGTACGTGTAGGGGTTCAGTGGGGTTGTACGCAGTGGAATTGGTGACAGGTAACTTTCCACTCATGATCATCACGTTTCGACCACCCAATCAGGGCATTCGCATTGCCATACCTCCATATGTGGACATGGGTGCCGACGTTGCGGTGTGCAACGGGGAGCATGTGAAAGTTCTACGCGGGCTTTCTTGTTCAGGGTAAGGAAGGGAAATGGTTTTGATCAGCATACAGGGTGCTGGTCCCGAATCCAGTGATATGGGGAGTTATTACTGCAGTCTGTATGTATCGTAATAAACATTACCCAGTGTCACGCAGTGTGTGACCCCCGCGAAGTAGTATGCACAGACCTACGGCGTAGCTACACTGCCAATGTGCAGCAACACCCCTTGTCTGCCAAGGGACGGAGGAGTCCAATTCGAGTGCTTCCAGGCCCCGCGGAAGACACGGAATGTTACAATGGCCGCACATGGATACTGCATTGGCTGGTGTGTGGGATCATTAACTTATTGGGTCGGGAGAACGCCGTTGAACAATAATCCATGTCTTGAGATCTGCACAAAGCAAACGCAACAGCCAGCTTCAATTTCCACGACCCCTGATGCTTCCTTTTCTCGAGTACACACCTTCCGAGTTTCAAACTTTGGGAGCATGACCTTTGGATTCGTCTAAAACGGCGAGGCTCCCATGACAAGACTGATGGGTATGAGGGCATTTGTTCTTTCATTTTGCTCTCCGCCTCTGACCACAGAGTGAACTGGCAAAGCGCGACTGTTTCCGACATGACATCAACGGAGGCAGCGCTTGGCACCCTATGGGGCTTAGCTGGCATGACCTTTCTCTTCGTGGCTCTCCGGCTGTACACGCGGTTGGTATTGCTGCAGTCGTACGGCCTTGACGACTACTTCTACAATGCAGCGTTTGTGAGTCGGAACGGTTCACCGTGGATAGGGCCTGCCAATGGCGCAACTCTTGATACTAACCATTCTCAGCTTCTCTTTGTGACGTTCAACATCATGCTTACCGTCGCTGCACAGTATGGCTTTGGTAAAGATATTGGAACAATCACTTCTCAAGATGACCTCATCCACGCCATTCTGTACGAGGCAATCGGCCAAACGGTCATGGTGGTTGGCACAGTAGTGTCCAAGGCGTCTCTCGGCCTCTTCCTCATGCGACTCGTCGTCGACCGTAAGCAGATGATAGCACTAGCCGCGCCCTCGATCATCCTCGCCCTGTTCGTCGTCGTCTCGCTGTTGGTCTTCTGGTTCTCGTGCCGACCCATCTCCTTCCTCTGGAACCGATTCATCCCGGGCGGCCGCTGCGACATCGACGCGGGCCCCATCTCCACGGCAGCCGGGGTATGGAGTGTTATCGTCGATTTCTGGTATGCAGGGTTTCCGTGGTATCTGATCTGGAAGCTCCAGATGCCCCGCCGGGAGAAGATCGTGATTGGAGCCAGTATGAGCCTGGGCATACTGTGAGTCGCTTATCTCGCCCATTTTCCGACTTGCCGCTGGTTACTCCCGATTTGGACCTACTAACAAACCAACGACAGGGCAGGTGCATGCGGTATCAAGAGGGCTTTGGAGCTAGGCTCTCTGAGCAGTCCAAACTACACAAGTAAGTCACCGCTGCTGTGCAGAACAACTCGAGTCTAATCCCTGAACCCCTCTACAGAAGACACAGTCGACCTCAACATATGGCACGCAGCCGAGCTAGCCGTCACCATGGTCTGCATCGGCATACCCGTCTGCCGCCCCGCCTACCAACCCGTCCTTTACAAACTCGGCCTATCGACACAGAAGAGCAGCCACGCAGCGGGGAGCTACAAGAGGAGGAGCATGGAAGACAGCGACGGCGTTTTCGGCCTGCACACCATCGGGGGAACCGCGTTCACGGACCAGAATCGCCGAGGGCAGCGAGGAGGAGGCAGTGCTACGCAGAGTCACGACCCAGAGGCTGGCACGAGTGCCGTTCCCAGCAACGCCAGCGACGAACTCATCCTCGGTCCGGATTACAGGTCTCACCCCAGCGTGAGGGTGGCGCGCAGCCAGGCGAGAAAGGAGACGGAGATGGATGACAATACAATATTGGTAGAGACGAAGCTTGAGGTTACGTCGTCGGCAGCCAGGTGAATGAGGACCGAGCGAGAGGGAAGCAATGGTCATGTAAGAAATGGCGGAGGTTAGAATTGTACATTATTCAAACTTAAAGTGTGCAGTTGCCTGCATGTCCGGGCTTTCGCGGCACTGGGAGGGCCAAGGGGGAGGTCAATCTTCCCTGAGTTCAAATACCGAGGCATCTCCCAGGAGTACAACGTACGGCCCAGATACCGTCACTGTCATCCTGGACGATCGACTTCCTGTGCTTCTGGCTCCCCTTCAGGATGATGGCCATCTCAACGTCCACCTTCGGGCCTCGGTGCCGTCCTCGATCCGCCGCCGGCAACTTGTGAACCCATTCCAGTCCGCATCCGCGGGTCTGTTTTCACATTCCACCCTCGTCAAGCGGCTTCGGCTTTGGTCTGCGATTGAACGAGAAGGGGATAAAGCAGCCGCTCCAGGATAAGGTCCCAGCAAGCATGCCTACCCGACCGGGGAGGAAAGGGACGATATCTTAGCTCACTCGCCGATAGCTCCCTCAAATTTGGATTTCCGTCAACTCAACTCTCTAGTTGAGGCCCTACGGACTCCCCCGCGCCGCTATCGACCGGGTCCGAGACCGGGGCGCCCATCCTCGCCGCCGCGCCGCGACAGTAACCATGTGGCGTGCGCCAACGGTGGACTTGATATTGGCGGTGGCGACGGCTTTCTTTGCTGCTGCTATACCCTCCCTCTCGAGCGCCCGGCCCGGCGCCCGGCGCAGGTGCAGGTCCTTAGCTAGGGTAGCCTCAACCTCGGCGATCTTCGGCATGATCATGGAGGGCTTGACATTTTGACTGATGTGGATGGTCCTCCGGCTGCTGCTGAGGGGGGAGGGGACACAGGAGGGAGGGGGCACTGAATGGGTGATGAATCTCCTCGCAGAAGGATGGGTGAGTGAAAAGAGAAGAGAACCGGAAAGAAATGGGTGGAGAGATTTGGATGGCCTGGGAGAGGTCGTGGCCGTGTCTGATGGGAGCCAACACAGGTTGACACTTCGGGCTTGGAACCACCAAGAATTGTGTTCTCCTTTCCCCGAACGCCCTCTTACATCCACCCTTGCGACCCATTTATCATCCACCATATACTCCAGGGCTAACTATAGGCGCCCGCTCTTGCTTATGGAGGTATTTCTCAATACTTCATCAGCGAGGCAAACACGCTAGTCTTGCCCACACAATTTTGATGGACGAACCTATGGGGAAGCTCATCGGCAAGGGTTACATCCGGGTCGAGGATTTAAGATGGTTCTGTAGGCCAAATTAAAAGACCATCACCTTGTCAACTTGTCCGCTTAATGGAGTACCTCTCGACGCCGTCATATTCGGCCTGATTTCGGCTTTCTTCAAACTCTCATTCGTCTTCCGGTTCCAGCAATAGGAGCGGACCATGATTGGTCCGGCCAAGGCCAGGGAATTAGGTACCCTTGAGACTGTGTCGGGAAGATGCCATAGAGATGACTGTACCTGTTTGACAGGCGGAGACAAGTTGTGGGTCTGACCGTGGATCTGTTCGGCTTGGGCCACGCTGAATGGTCCGGTTTAATGGGGATTATACTTCTAGTGCTTCGTTCCTTGGTTGGAAACTTGACAAAGACGCTTGGGTTGAACGGCCTCGACACGTGGTTCCAGTCAGAATACCTGGCCGTCTGTTCAGCCGCTTCCGTCGACAACTCCTGGGTCCATAATGCCTTGCCGAGGACCCGGAAACACCCCGTTGAATTCCGAGACGAGTTACTCGACCAATGGAAATACGAACCCTACCCATAGCTACCTACGAGACCCCAGAACCACGCTGGTTGACGCCAACTGTACCGCTGCGGTTGATAACAACGAACCTTCCATGCAGCAGCTAATGTCTTGGTACCCGTCTCGGCTTCCTCATTCAGGAATTGCGAAGAGTCTCAATGATTGCCTCATTGGCCAGGGATTGACTATTTACCCTTGTTAAACCCTTCTGGATGATGGTCAGGGGGAAATATCGGTTGACTCGGCAGAGCCCGCCCCCTGCCGCCCGGTGCGCCGGATCACCAAATCGAGTGCGATCTGGATACGACTGCATTTCCTGTCGACTGAGGCAATCGACTAGAGATATCTCGTCTTACACACACCAGAGAGTGTTTACCCCTGAGAAATTGCAGAGTGTTCGAGGTAACTTTTAACGCTCTTGCAACGGTTTTGGATCCCCACTCGGGTTACCAATTTCGTATTATGCGCATGTTTATATGTCCAAGGATCTGCCCCTGACCCAAGGGACAGACTAACAATAATGAAAACGAACAAGGAACCCGGTCTTCTTTGGTGCAGTAAAGGCTGGATATCCGGATCAGAAACGCTGCTTGATCAATGAAAGAGACCTGGCTTCAAGAGCAATCACGGCAGCGAACCTGCTGTTACTGTCAACAGTGTCGGCGCTCCGTGAGCCGGTCCCACCATTAGACCATACCGTTAATCAGGGAGGTTCTCAGTTAGAATTCAGCGGACGGTGGTGCAGTAAATCTCATGCCAGTGGCACCATAGAGCCTGAGGAAATACCGAGAGTGGAGTATCATCTTCAAAGTGAGCAGACAGAAAACCTGGACAGGAGAGCAATTACATGTGTACCAGGCAAACCAACATCCAAAAAAGTGAAGATGGTCCCTGATTTCAGGGTCTCGCCAAGGAAGGATCACTACTTGTGATCTGCAATGAAGATCCTGACGTGCAGATCAAGTGGAGCGAATCGGGAAAAAAGGTTCGGCATTGGGCAACCAATAAATGCCCAATTCTCGGTCTAAAGTAGCCTGTGGTCAAAGATAGCTGAAGGTGTACATATGTTGCACAGTATTCTGTTCCAGGTGGGTCTGCCTGCGTCGACGGTATGAGGTCATAATGGGCTTGTTTTGTGGGAACGGATGGACCAGCGCCTCCACCTGGGCTCCAAGCGTTAGCTTACCAAGGACAGATACAATAATTTACTACAGTGCCGCAGCAGCAGCGGCGGTTGTATCGACCAACCAGGTCACCGGTACTATCACCTGAAACCCAAGTGGAGGTATAAAATGGGGTTCCGTCTCCAGTTTAACTTTCCCATGGCCCGCAATTGCGGCCTTTCCTGCTGAGACAAACTGGAGACTAACGAAAACTTTGAGGCTCTCGCCATCCTCCAAAACTCACACACGGCCCCCACTCGAACCTCCTTACCGGCGCCGTCATTGGCGACCCAGCACCTCGGCACCACCTTCATCCTCAGCCTTCGCCTCAGACCGCCTCTAGTGGTCTCATACATTTATGGAGACGGAAAAGCGAGCTTGACGTCAACAAATGGATCCCGCCCTGAAAATTTCGAACTTCTGAGCCCGGTTTATCTTCGATAACGGGCCGGCCGCTGCAAGGGGAAATGCGGTATGCCAGGGGAAAGCGGGTCCGTCTATCTCCATCATCTCCAGTTTGTGTTATCTAGTATCGAGAAGAAACATGGAGATGACTCGAGTTTGCAGTCGCCCCTCGACGGTTGAGAATGTATATAAACCCCCAAACTGTCTACTCAGGTCCATGTGCAAATCTTCATCCGACCAACTCACCGCTCTCTCACTCACTCACTCATCGATAAATCCAACGCATATCTGAGCTCCAAATCAAGACCAAATCCAGTCCTTACCTCTCATCAATCACCATGGCACCCTCCGCTATCTCCCCCACAATCGCCCCCCAGCACCCGATTCTGGCCAAGAAGATTGTGACCGACGCCCGTGAACGTGCATCATCCGTCTCCAACCCCAACCCCACGGTCGAGCTCAACGATGGCAACCTGATCCCCCAGGTCGCCCTGGGCGTGTACAAGGCGCCCAACGGGCAGGAGACCGAGGACGCGGTCATCGCGGCGCTGGACGCCGGCTACCGCCACATCGACTCGGCGGCTCGCTACGCCAACGAGGAGGCCTGCGGGCGGGCCATCCGGAGGTGGCTCAAGGCCAACAACGTCTCGCGCAAGGACATCTACGTCACTACCAAGCTCTGGGACGCCGACCACGGCTACGAGGCCACCTTCAACGCCCTGTGCGACTCCCTCGACAAGTTCGGCCTCGACTACTTCGACCTCTACCTGATCCACTCGCCCTCGAGCTGCGAGCAGAAGCGGCTGGAGAGCTGGCGCGCCCTGGAGGTGGCCAAGAAGCTCGGGATAGTCCGGTCGATCGGCGTCTCCAACTTCGGGGCCAGCCACATCCAGCACCTCCTCGACAACGCGACGGTCGTCCCCGCCGTCAACCAGATCGAGGTGCACCCCTTCTGCCAGCGGCAGGACCTCGTCGACCTGTGCGGCAAGTTCGGCATCCGGATCGAGGCCTACTCGCCGCTCGCCCGCGGCGACAAGCTCGAGGACCCGACGATCCGCAAGATCGCCGAGAAGCACGACCGCTCGCCGGCGCAGATCCTGCTCAACTGGAGCGCGTCGCGCGGCAACGTCGTCCTGCCAAAGTCGCTGACCGCCCACCGCATCGAGTCCAACTTCCGCATCTTCGACTTCGTCCTTGATGACGACGACGTCGCGCTCATCGACGCCCTGGGGGCCGAGAACTATGTCACCGGCTCCCTCCACAAGTCGGATTGAGTTGGCCCTCTTGGTGCATTGTCGGATATAAGACAGTGTGGGGTTGGGTGCATCCTGGCGCCACGCTCCTGGACTTCTCGCCCGGGATTTGTGTGCATCCATGAACAGGAAGGCATGGGGACAGAAGAACTAGAGACAAAAAGATGGTCTGTCTCGTTCGTTGTCCCGTTGGATCAGTCCAACAGTCTATCCCGTCAGGTAGAAGGCCTGATTGTTACGTCATGACAGTGGTTGTGCCTTTGCAAGGCCAGACTGTGGAATTTATCTTTACCTTATCGATGTGTTAAGCCTAGATCTGGTGGGCTAACAATAGATTAGAGGATTAGAGAACGCATTAGAATGGCATAGACTCGAATATTATGGCTAGAGGGAGAAAAGCGGGACTTACTTTAAAAGTGAGCCCGCGATAAATGGAAATCACACAGACTTTGACACACTTCGCCGAACTGCCGTATGATATCCATTTGATAGTTTGACCCTCCCTTAACTAGGTGGTAAAACACCTCGTACTAACTATATATAAGTTTTCCGTCCCAGGTGAACGATACAGACGAACAGCTAGGCCCGAATCTTCTCAGCAAGGTCATAAATATTTTGTGTCCTCCTCAAGCTGAGCCACCACCGCCTCATAATAGCTCTGACAAAACGTGCCGTCTGACAAGCCCTGAATCCGGAACACACTCCTGAGGCACCAATTCACCGCATCCCAGTGGTTTCCTCCGCCGCTCTCCATGATTCGACCCGGAAGTAGTGTTGCAGGCTCGACCTTGGCTAGCCAAGGTGTGGTGTGCAGATGGAGGACATTGATGGAAACCACTGAGATTTTGAGCTTCTCGGAATAGCCAAGAGCGACGAGGCCCGGTGCTTTGCCGGCCAGGACCTGACCCAGAGTGACGGCGGAACAGAGCTCTGGTTCGGGGTGCTGGGGGGAGACCGTGAACCTGTGGTTAGCATCTATGATGTATCCGTAGCAGTCTGTGGCTGGCCTCTTGGATGTCCCGTGAACGACCTGGTAGATGTTTGAGACTTGCAGTTGCACGTGGGTTGGTGATGTCGGTATGAGAACGGGGATCTCAGGATCTTGCACAAGTGTTTGAGTTGATGACATGTTTCCGTCTCCTGTCGGCCTGGAACGGATGGGCAAATACCATTTTGACCCCGCGCGATGACTTGACCGGGATGGGAATGATTGGTGTAATTGAGGGTGCTGCTGGATTATTGCCACACTCCGCAAGTTGAAACCGAAGACTGTCCCGTCGAGATATTTGCTACGTAGTTCCAGCTTCCCGCACTGCTACCATACTGCTGTTGTTAAAACCGTCGCAATTCGATCCCAATACAACGTGGAAATGGAAATCTGTGGCAACTCAATCGTCCACATCGCTGGGTACGAGCACGGCAGTTCTGGAGACAAGCTCCAGAGCAACGTGGCGGGACTGAGCACAGCGGCATGTTATCGCGATTTGTAGGCCTTCAAAAATGCTGGACGACATTTTGCTCGCAGGAGTCATAAGCCGTGTCTGTGAACGGAGGCGCCTATCGGGCTCAAGATCAAAGCTCTGACGGGCAAGGCCCTGAAGAACCGAATTCCCGTCTTTCAGCCTTCTCAGGATGCTGTCGAAGTCGTTCTTCTTGAGAGTAAAGCAGCGAGTTTGTTCAACTGCCGCAGAATGGAGTGGTCATCTGTTAATTTGGCTACGGGCCAAGCAGTCAGCAAAGTTAAAAACACCTAAGATTTCCAGAGTCGAAGCCGGAGGCGATCCCTAAACCGTCCCCAATCGGGCCCAAAGGGAGTTTCGGTCATCTGTCCCTGTTAGGGTCTCACATACGTTCTGAAGCAGGAGTTGCTCTGTTTGCAGTTCCTGTCCGAGAGCATCGAGGTCGCATCTAGCTTTTTTGGTCGAGATGATGGTTTTGTAAGTCTGGAGGACATTTATCGCTACGGGGAGAGCCCCAAGAACGAGGGCCGCTATCTCTATCCCAGACATGCTTGCTTAGGCAACCTGGATCAGACGGGAGTGAGAATACTTTGAGGAATGTATCAGGGAAATGAGGTCTCTACGAAGGTTTGTGGAGTTCTATGGGCTAGGATTGTCAGAATGTGGGCGCAACATCCTATTAAATGGGCGTTAATTAGAGGAGCTCGTCACCAAGCCAATCCGGGTCATAGCCCGTCTCTTGTCGCCGCTTGTACTGCCATGGACCTCGTCTACTTGGGTATCGTTAACAACCTGCATAAGAAGGGGAGGGCCAACGTTATCCCTCCGGAGGCTTCCCCCTTTTCCCCTTTTCCCCCTTTATCACCGCTACCTCTTTTTAGTACAAAAGTGTGTGCAGCTCTATTTATAATCACAGGGTAGGTTTTATTGCAGCTGAAGAGAGAGGTATCGTATCAAGTTGCGTTACGGGGTCAGTTTCTAACGGCCAAGATTTCACACCTCCTGCAGCATCGTCCACATCTCAATTCTAATTACTTCCGTTCCGAGCAATTAACAAGCTTTATCGTTATACCCCGTCCCATTTTGTTCAAGGACGGAACGCTCTGCTGAGTGACTAAACCTGGCCTGCGAATAAAAGTAGCTTGTGTCGAGCAGCGTCGAAGATAAGAGAGAGCATCGAGGACGAAGTGCAACAGGTACCGGGAGCCGGGGCTGCGGGCTTATCCGACCAGTTCCGCCACCAATGACACGCTCTAAACCTAATAAGGTTAAGTGCAACCTGGTTAAGCACCTGCCTTATTCTGCATCTGCTGCAGAAGTGCTTCGCAGAACCAATCAAACATTCGGTTCTTATCACTTAGATAACAAATGCAGGGATCATGCGGTAAGAAGCATTCTGGAAGATAACACATGCCTATCGATAACGCTTTGTCGGGTTTTGCACTCCACATTTCGGCAATACGCAGAAAATTCCTGTAATCCGATGTGGGGGGATTGGCACTAGGAAGCCTGGAAGGCAAAAAAAGTCAAATTGTGCTTAACTTGAGAACGTGAGGGTGCCTCTTTTGTCTGTTCCTCCTCCGTCTCTGCTGCAGACTATCTGGCGATAACAACGACGGCGACAAGGATAAAGACAGCCACAATCGACTAGGGGGGCAATCGCTATCTTGCTTGTCCTTTCTGTTGCTGTTTCTCAGGCAGTTCATCCCGATCTCAAGTCTCCACTCTTTTTTTCTTCATTTTTTTAATCTTTAATTTTTTTCTTCGGTCTTCCCCTCGCTTCATATTGCCCCTCACATATCCAAAACATCAGGGCTTGCTCCGCCACCTGAAGCAATTCACCCCATTGTTCAAGGCATTTAACCATGGGGATCGTTAGGAATATAAACCTCAAAGTAGCCGCTAGCCCTGTCGGCCGCTGGTTTCGGCTTGATGGCTCCGGTCACGTAGGTTTGCTCCGTCACTATTGGCCGCCTCGTGCGTCCGGTTCAATTAGCTGACTCTCCTTTGTAGCGCAAACAGCGGAAGGGCTCCGACTTCTTCACCGAGGTGCGGGCTGGTCTCGCGACCTTCTTCGCCATGGCTTACATCATCGCTGTCAATGCCTCTATCGTCGCCGATACGGGCGGCACCTGCGTCTGTAACGGACCTGCAGACGACCCTCTGTGCAAGTCCAACGAGGAGTATCTTATGTGCGCTCAAGCCATCAAGCGTGATGTTGTGACGGCTACAGCGGCTATTGCCGCACTGGCCAGCTTCTGCATGGGGCTGTTTGCGAATCTGTAAGTTTCACTCTCGCCCAACTTTTGGACGTCGTTGTAATTATATTTGTGGGAAGAGACCATTGTTCTAACTTCTGTCCATATAAAGTCCGGTCGCCTTGGCCCCTGGAATGGGTACGTGGTAGCATTTCTTCTCTGGTGTTTCGTCTCTTGGCATTTGGGACGACCCAATATTGCTCCACGACTGGAAACCAAGGAAAGAGGAAAGGGAATGATTAAGAAACTAACGGTTATTTCCTTTCCTAGGTCTCAATGCTTACTTCGCCTACACTGTCGGTGAGTTCTCTCATGTCTCAAGAGGACATATATCTCTACTCCACCCCCCCAGCTGACCTTAACGTCCCTTGCAACAGTTGGTGTTCATGGAGGCGGTCCAATCCCCTACCGAGTTGCCCTCACGGCCATCTTCGTCGAAGGGTTCATTTTCTTCGGCCTCGCCCTGTTCGGGATGCGCCAGTGGCTCGCTCGGGCGATCCCCCGCTCCATCAAGCTCGCCACCAGCGTCGGCATCGGCCTATTCCTCACCTTGATCGGCCTGACCTACAGCGAAGGCATCGCCCTCGTCGTTGGCGCCACCGCGACCCCGATGGAGCTCGCCGGGTGCTCACCGGGGAACAGGCTCGAGGACGGGACGTGCCCAAGCTGGGACAAGATGCGATACCCGTCCATGTGGATCGGCATCTTCTGCGGCGGCATCTTCACCGTCATCCTGATGATGTACCGCGTCAAGGGCGCCATCATCGCCGGAATCGTCCTCGTCAGCATCATCTCCTGGCCCCGGACCACCCCCGTCACCTACTTTCCCTACACGACGCTCGGCGACGACGCCTTTAACTTCTTCAAGAAGGTCGTCGACTTCCACCGCATCGAGCACATCCTCAACGTCCAGGAGTGGAACATCTCGGGCTACGGCGGCCAGTTCGGCCTCGCGCTCGTCACCTTCCTGTACGTCGACATCCTCGACTGCACCGGCACGCTCTACGGGATGGCCCGCTTCGCCAACCTCATCGACCCCGTCACTCAGGACTTCGAGGGCTCCTCGGTGGCCTACATGGTCGACGCGCTGAGCATCTCCGTGGGCGCGGTCCTCGGCGTGCCCCCCGTGACCGCCTTCGTCGAGTCCGGCGCCGGCATCTCGGAGGGCGGCAAGACGGGCCTGACGTCCATGGTGGCGGGCCTATGCTTCTTCATCTCCATCTTCTTCGCGCCCATCTTCGCCTCCATCCCGCCCTGGGCCACGGGCTGCGTCCTGATCCTCGTCGGCGCCATGATGGTCCGCTCCGTGACCGAGATCAACTGGCGCTACATGGGCGACGCCGTCCCGGCCTTCCTGACCATCTGCCTCATGCCCTTCACCTACTCCATCGCCAACGGCCTCATCGGCGGCATCTGCTCGTACGCGCTGCTCAACGGCGTCGTCTGGGCCATCAAGGTCGTGTCGCGCGGCCGCGTCGTCCCGCCCAACTATGACGAGCGCGACGGCTGGTCGTACCGCATCCCCGGCGGCTTCTTCCCGCCTTGGATCGTCCGCCTGTTTGCTGGGAAGAAGGCCTTCTGGCGCGAGGACGAGCCCGCGGTCGTGGAGGAGGTGCCTGAGCAGGAGGCCGCGGCGTTGGGGGCGGGGGTCGGCGAGGATTACCCTGGGTCTGATGCCGAGAAGAAACACAATGGCGTGGTGCCCGAGAAGGAGGCTTGAAGTCGCTGAGGTCAAGTGTCTCCTCTGGTCATGACTTTGATATGTGTTGAATGTTTATGCGTTCCGTGTTGATGTTTCGAGTTTTCTTGTAGAGTTTCTAAATCGCTTTAGCTTTTGCATGACAATAAATAATCCGAAGAGATAATAATTTTCAGCGTTGGCATGAACGAAGTAACGGCGTTGTAAATGCAGGGTGGCAAGGTAGGTTGTCGGAATACAGCTTGGTTCGAAGCGGCAGACACCTCACTTAGACGAGGTGGCTGCTTGGCACGGTTTCGGCCAAGTCTGTGGGCAGGGATGGGATCACAGGTAAATTGGATGCGGAATGACCTGAAAATGAACTTCATTGAAGCCTGCCGTTCTAATCCTTCGGCCGTGTCTGGGACCTTTTTATCATACACCCCGGGGATCCCATCGCCGGATGCCGGGGCTAGCCGGTCCTTCTACAAGACCCTACTGGGCGAAGCTATCCGAATCGCCGAATACGAGGCCAATTAAATACAAGGGTTTGGAATTAATCGTTGCATCGGCAGCCCTCGGTTCCCGGCTGGTTCCCCCTGAATTCGCCCCCGCTCTGGGCCGTTCCTGTGGGGTCCCCGGACCCAGACCCACGGCTCGTAAGAGGTTAATCTCCGCGCCTCCCTGTTTTCGCTAATGGCACCTTATTTTAGCTAGCCTATTTCATTTTTGCATAACATATTTAAAGACCTTGATATTATAAGACGCCCTTGCGATTGGGTTACTCTAAAGGAGAAGTATCGTATCGGGTCTTGGATTAGGGGCAGACGATGCCTTGAAGAATTTGGCATTGAACCAGTCTTCTCAAGATGACTCCAGAAAGCCCTATCCTTATTAAGTCAGTCAGCCCTAAGATGTCTTGAAATGGCTCTACTTTCAAGGCAGAGGAAGTACGAGAGGGATGAGACTGAACAAGACTGAGTTTGATATCCGCGACGAAGGCTCCTTCACACCGAACTGGAAAAACAAAAGAAGAGCCAAAGACAAGTCTGCGACCCAAAACGTGAGGCGTCTGACGGGGGTGACTGCCACCGCAGCTATTTTGACCGCGTTGTCCGCCGCATGGTTCCCGAGCGCGACTGACTTGCCCACAACACTCCACTGATTTAAACAATTTCAGATTATCTGCTAAGATAAACATGTGTAGCCACGCGGCTGTCGTATAATATCGAAACTTCTACTTTGCCCGCCCATGCTGCCTGCACTTGACTGTATCAAAACTTCTACTCCATCCAACCCATGCTCCACATGACAATTATCCAAATCCTCTACTCGATCCATGCTGCCTTGACTCTCTGCAAAACAATAAACTCCAGTGTGGGGATGCACTATCCGTGATGCGAGGTTGATTAAAAGTCCCACAGAGTGCCGAATGCGTGTAATCCAGCTGAGCAGGGCAGAGGTTAGTTGGTTTCTTTGGCTGTTGGGATCACCAGGCTGCATTCCGAATGGAAACGTACCTGCACGGCAACCTTGCATCATCTCATCATTGCCCTGCATGTTGGAGGTGATGAAGATGACCTCGGCCCCAAAGCTTCTCCATGTGTCCTTGAGGAGTTGCATGGTGTCCGGTCGGCCTCCTCGTTTCTTCGAGTCCCAGAGGATCATCCGCTCCGGTTCGATGTTTTTGTGGACCAGAGCTGAAATGGTTGGTCCAAAGGTTCTCTCTTGATCGGAGCCTATCCAAATGAGGAACCTAGCAGAACGTTAGAATAAAAGGGGGGTTTTCAAAAAAGGGGGTTGGGAGTGGCATGCGTACCAGTTTGGGCTCTGGATGCAGGTGGAGAGCGCTGCCCCGATACCGGTTCCGGTGCAGATGCGGATTCCTCGTTTAAACATGGCGGAGGCATGCCCAACGCCAGCTATTAAATATCAATTAGTGGATGCTCAGTAGTCATCGGGAATGAGAGAACTAGCATACCAAACTTCAGCTCCCTGGTCCACACGGTCTTTGGTGGATCGGCTACGAGACCCTTTGTGAAGTCGCCTTGGACACCGCAGATCATGTAATGATACTTAGACTTCCGGCCCTCGCTGATGATTCCGAAGGCGTGGTACTCCATGATCGAGGTGCGACTGATTCTGCCCAGGAGACCTTGCTGCATCCCGCGTTCGAACCGGAGGATGGCGACTCTGGGTGATGGCTAAAACCAGTTTGTCAGTCGATTTGTTTTTCGAGCAAAGAAAGGCTAGGGAGTACCCACAATTTCAACTTCCACGGGGACCTTTCTGAGGGTGAACCAAGGGATGAGGACACTGTAGAGCATGAGTAATAGTCACGGGGATAACTGGAGGGGGAAAACGCACAATACTGTCATGAACATGGCAAACCAGAACTCCTGTGCGCTGAGCAGAGAATTGGCGTCGGCTCTCCATTGCCCCAGTTTGATGTCATAAGTATTTCCCAGGATCACGAAGATCCACGTGGTCTAATCCCATTTTGTCAGTACCAATCTTGACGCCAGATTCGGGGTGTAAATTACGTACCGCAAGACCCAGCCATCCAACAAATCGATGATGCCTCTCGAATACGTTATGATGGTAGCTATTTGGGGAGTCAGTCACCGACATGTCCAACAAGGGAAATCGAAACACAAAAGACTGACTTGCGAACCCATGGGAAGGCGCTGAGGACGGAAATGATGACCAGGACATTTGTGATTATGCCCGTGGCAATCACAGAACCGGGCTGAACAGCGCGGTGCCGTACGATGTCGACGATCTTGAATACCAGCCAGCTGAAGACACTGTTAGGCCTGTTCACCAGTGTTGAAAGGATTGGCTTTCTTACCCGGCGCCGGAGAGTGCGCATCCCGAATGGATGCCTCCGACATGTTGCAAGATCGAAGTCACTGCCAACTTGATGCTCAATGGAGCCCACTAATAAACGGAACGATCATCAGCACGCCCGTCGCGGGAATGATAAGAGAAAGAGACGTACGCTTCGCAGGCCATAGATGGCGATGAAGTACAGGATCCGCAGGAACAACTCGTTCCGCATCAGGATTGCGCAGAGCAGGTTGCCAAGCACCAAAGCACCGAGGTGGTTCTCGGCGTAAGGGAACCGATTGAGTGCGGCCATGATTATCCCTGCGAGGTTGAGCAAGGTGACAAAGGTGAAGAACTTCCGGTACGTGTTGAACCAGATTTGGAAGAGGATCCATCGGCTGATCTTTGGTTTTGGTTTTGCTGGTTTCTTGGCTCCCGGCTCAGGTGCCGGAGGATTGGGAGCTCGCCATCCCGCAGGCCATGCCAGCGACAGCTCCGGCACACTCGAGAACGGCGTGAGACCCTCGTGGATCGGCGAGGTGGGCCACAGGTTGGTGTCGATGTGTAGTGGCCTCTTCTGGTCTGCATGGGCGGCCGGTGGCAGCACCGGCAGGCTCTGCGTGCTGACAAACAGACCCTTCTCTGCGTCGTCGAAGTCCTGACTCTGCGCGCCGGGCGGGGTGGCTTCACCGTGAGACCATGTTGAAGACATGTCGAGTCCTCGAGACCAGGAGGAGGAGCTGAAAGACGAGGCGGCGGCGGGAGATGACGCACTCGCTCCAACCCTACAACGATCCCAGATCCAGAGTCGCAACTTCGGTTCCAACGACCCGAAGGGGGGAAGTGGATGGTTGTTGCGAGCAGTGGCCAGGACGGTGCAAAAGCTGGTTGGGATTAGACCCGGGCTCTGCACCGTTTAAAGCTCGTTGGAGCCAGTTCAAGGCCTAGATGGGAAAGTGGATACGCCGGCGTCTGCCGACAACGAATAAAGCTCATGTTGTCAAATAGGCTGTGGGCTGAGTGTGCCAGACAGATATGCCGGGCCTTTGGAAGTGAACGATCAAGGCAATTGCAGCCCGCGCCGGCTGTCCTACCGAGGCCGTAGTCCCAATTGGGCCACCAGAACAACATTCGAAGCGAGATTATTCTTTTTCGTGCCGCTCTCTGCAGCCTGCGATGGTGTCATATGTGATGCTACGCAGAGGTGGCCCTAGGTGGCCCTCCCTCCGCGTTTTCTGGCAAATCTCGATTAATGCCCCGATTATCCAAATTAACCCCGGATTCGAAGGGCGGATTCTGCACCTCCACGATCTGACACGTGAGAGGACGCAGAGGACCGTTTTTTTACCGGGTCGTAAGAGCTTGGGCAAAAACCGACTGATTATTCGGACGAGAGGAGCGAGAGGTCTCGCCGTGCTGACATTTGGGGGGGAGAGGATCATCGCCTTAGACACCCCCCCTGAGATCTAATTATCTTAAAATGCTAAATAATTATAGGACAGGTCCCGGCACTTTCCTCGCTGCCTTTCCTTTTCTTCTTATCTTTCCTTTCCTTTGTGACTTTCCTTTTTTTCTCATTTTCTTTTTCCCCCTTCTCTTTTGGTTTTTTTTTTTTTGGTCGTTTATTACTGCAACACAGTGACCACGTGTCAGGTACTAACTACGAGTTGGCAAGCCCCAGCAACAAGAGTTAAGCTTATCAGAGCCCAAATAAAAAAAAAGCGGCAGAACCGACGGACCGGGTGATGGACAGTCGTATCAAAAGAGGATCCAGAGGCAGACAACCACGGCCACAGCATGTCCGAGTCTCGACCAGGCTTCATCGCAAATGCACCTTGCCCCGGATTCCTGATCTAGGTTTTCTGATCCTCTCGGTCGCCGTTCCTAGACTCCGGGTACACAGCCAAAAATAGCCGCACCTCGGCATTTCAGATCACCCCTGTCAGGTTATTGTGTGTAAGAAGCTTGTACTGCGTCAAACCGGGCCGTTGCGCCGAAGGTTTGCGCATCTACGTAGTAGTATGATGGGTAAGTATTATTTTGTCTATAACCAATCATTTTACTGCACCGCGTACAACGTAGCAGTGGGAAGGGAAATTATTCCAGGTGTTGACAGTCTAGCTTGATAATTTAGCGTGTTATCAGGTGCTCAGTCGCTAATCTGTTGTCTGTGCGCTAACTGTGGATCCTATATGGAAACCACTGCCGTGATGTCATGTGACAGCCCTTGTGCCACACACGCATTTCGTTTATGCGGCGTAGGCTGCTCTCTTCCGGGTGTGGCTTGTGCAAGGCGGGATGGTCTTACATATAGGAGGGGGTGTTGCACGCATGTGCACTCGTCTGCTGACGTCACCCTGGACTTTACTGATACCATTTCCCTGGCACCGCCATGTCTCTCTGCTGCCTTGGCTACAAATACCAAAGCGTTTCCAAGCTTCCTTTGACAGCATCTCCATGATCAATGACATCAGCGGTATGATGGAACAGCCGTGCAACCATCCATACCACAATGCCGATGACGCCCAGGTATGATTACTTCCTCAACGCCTAGCATGATGCTCATAATGTCAACAGCATTAACATGTATTTTCTCACATCAAGTACTTAGGTTCCGCACTACCTGACGCACAGGAAATCATCTGCTTAGATGAGTTGGGTTGTATGGATCGGGAAAAACACGAGGAAGCCATGTCGGGGTTGGGAGAGATCTACAGCGCTGCCGAACTGCAGCCCGCTGCTTGCATGACCGAGCACAGCAAATCAGCAGGGATTAATTATGCCGGCATGACACCTCAATATACCCATGGGCCGATAAAGTAAAAGACCCGAACAGTTCGTCCGCCGCCTCGGGTGGGAGCATGTTCCTGATCATGGTGCGGGCCACGCCGGGTTGCCTCCCTCTCGCCCTCGCTTCACTGCTCAGAGACTGGTTTTAGGGATGGAGCTGATGGGAAGTTCGTCGGAGGTGAGCAACACCGCGCCATGCGAGGCGTGTTGATAAATCCCGGTATACCCGGAGAAGCTGAGGCAACTCAGCCGTGTCTGGCGAATCTGCCGACTGCCTAACCTACCGTGCAGCTCGACGCATCTTGCATGAACCACCCCTGCAAATCCATGGTGAAAAATACCTGGAATGCGAGCATCACGACGCCTTACCAAGCAGCGTGTGGGGGTCTCCTCCTCGTCCATCCAGAGGAACCTGAGGATCGTGGAGACAAACTGCAGCCCATCGTTGCTGGTGTCGATTCATTCGGAGGTAATTAATCCCCCCAAGCTGGTCAAACACTCGACTCCCATGAGGGATTTTCAGAGGGCGACGCCCAAGATGAAGCGACCGGTAGGTGTCTTGAGCAGCAAGTAAGTACTGTACTTCCCTCGCGTACCTGCCGAGATCATGCCAAGCCTCCTGAAGCTTGATCGGCAGATCGGCTCCTGTCTAGCTCCCTGGCACGAAGATTTTGGATCGAGTATTTTCTAGCATGACATCAGCAGGGTCATTCATGAAGCTGACATCCATCTTTTATGTTGACATAGAACCGTCAATCGACTCATTGGGCGTTGCTACAAGTCTCCCCTTGACGTGTTGACTCGTATCCTTCTACAACCGACGCCAGCACTTCGCTAAACCCCGCAAACCAGCTCAGCCCATGATCCCGGTTCGCCTCCAATCATCATCGTCATCAAACAGTGGATTATTATCTCGTATGCACTGCTCGAAGTTGACATTCCGAGCACAAGCGCTGCCAACCCGCCCACGGTCAATTAGCTTGCCTTTCACGCCGCCCTTGACTGTCGTATTCTGCCTGGGGATTAAAAAGGGCTGTGCCAAGTCCCTCCGACCGCGTGGGAGGTCTAGACCTAGCCCAGCCGGCCAAAGGAGCCTCCTGTTCCTTAGGAAGCAACTGATGTTTATTATTGGCCTCCTTTTTGCTTGGAATTCCATCAACATGGGGCCTCCCGTGAGTCTCGTCGACAAGTTGACCGACGGACACCTAGCGTATGATAGGCTATATTAAGGGCAAGATTAGCGGGCGAATGAGTAGGAAGCTACATATTTGCTGAAAGTGTGGAGTATTATGATTCATCGAATCTATAGCGTACAATACTGTAGGCTAAGTATCCGTGATACAGCTTACTTGGTGTATTATAGGGAGAATAGCGCGGTGCCGTCCGTCGCGTTTCCCGTGGTGCGTTGTGGGGGTTTGTTGTGCGGGACTTATTTGCAAATTCCAGAGCCTGCCTGACATACAGAGGGCGAGTTCGTCCTTGGGCATACCGTTCCCGTGTTTGGTTTCGCGAAGCCACAGCGTCTGTTGGATGGAAGAGGGTTAGAGTTCTTATGAAGGGCAAGTGCCGGCTAAGTACTGATTACTATGAGCTACTATTATATATTACCCGTTCTGTATTGGGAGGGCGGCAGAATGGCAGCGCCGTGAAAATACTGGGGGTATGGGGATAAGAACTAGGTCACGATCCTTGGCCCGGGACCGAATTGCCCGGCGTGGCTGTGCTCCGGGTCCGAGAGCCTGCGTGGCTGGTGACGGGTCGCTGCCCCAACCCGAGAACTTCAAGACCATCGAGGCAAGGCCCGTGTGCGGCCCGGCCAAAGATCATCGCAGAAAATCCTATTGAGGAAGAGAAGTCTTGATGCCTCTCGCAATTCGGTCAAGCAAGTCGATAGATATCCAAGAGATGTCAGGCAATGAAGTAGACACAGCCTCGTTAGGGTTAGGCAGCCATTGGGCACAGACCCCGCAAATGTCATCTTACGGTTCCCCTCACTTTACATCCCTTCCTCACCTTCGCTGTTTACTATTGAGGCTCCCAAGTTGGCTACTGCCGAAATGCATTCTCCACTGTAGTAGTTCCTCCCGCGAATTGGAACTTGCAGCTATGCCGGATGAATGACGGATATACAGCATCCCCCTGACAACGTTACACCATGAAGGAACTTTGGACTCGCGCAGTGTCCAAGCGGAAGCAGAAGGCCAAGGTCTGCGACGATCTTGAAGAGTCCCCCAAGCCGCTGGCTCGTGATGGTGTCGGTCCACTCGTTTTGCGCGACGACTGCGAAGGAAGCGGCAGTGGGGCCGATCTTGTCTTCGTCCACGGCCTCCGCGGCTCCCGACTCCACACTTGGTCGACAGACAAGATATGCTGGCCGCGAGACTTGCTCAAGGATGATGTGAAAAACGCCAGGGTTATCACTTGGGGCTATGATTCCAGCGTAGTCAAAGTCTTCCAATTTGCTAGCGAGGAGAGCATCTTTGGCCATGCCGAAACCCTGCTCGCAGATCTGGCCAGGTGCCGGGCAGGCATAGTATGTCGATTCAATTCGGTGTTTCCTCGATAGAGATGCCTTGGCGCTAACCGACATTCCAGACAAGGCCCATCGTCTTCATCTGCCACAGTCTCGGTGGCTTGGTCGTAAAGGAGGCCTTGATCAAATCGGCAACCTACAGCAGCTATGGGAGACACCCCGGCCTAGGGGAGATATACGCCAGTACGAATGGTGTTATATTTCTCGGGACCCCGCACCGTGGATCTGCAAAGGAGCCACTCGCCCAGGTTGTGGCAAATGTCGCCAGGTTCTCGTTTCGGCAACCAAACACGCAGCTCCTCCAGACACTGGCGCCCGATTCTCACATTCTAGAGAATCAACGAGATCAATTCACAACCATCTCAGCAAACTTGAGCACCGTGTGTATTAGGGAAGAGCTCCCAACAGCCATAGGCCTTGTAAGATTGCTCAGAAGATAGTGCCCCGGTATCCCCCGTTTCGGTTGCTAATCGACCACAGATTGTCCCAGAAGCTTCCGCTTCCTACGACGGCTTCAATGTCCGCCGCGATGCCATCCATGCGAATCACATGGATATGGCGAGGTACGACTCCAGAGGGGATCAAGGATATGAGAGAACTCTCAGCCATATTATCGAACTTTGCAGTATTCAACAATCCAGAACCGAAAAAGGTATGTTGCGAGGCGGGCTCTCCTTGCGTCAACAGAACAACGGATCCCAATTCTCGGGCTTCACCTCCCTACAGTCTTGATCCAGCACCATGAAACTAACAATTCCCAAGAGATGGAAAAGAACGAAGAAAGAAAAGAGGGTGAGGAATGAACCCTTTCCAGCTCCTTTAGATGCCTCTGACAGTCTGGTAATTAGAGATCCTTCAAGCTCTGTCGTTTTTGACAATGGACGACCGCGAGCAAGACATCCACGATGCACTCGACGAGAACTGCTCTTGGATCCTCGGCCGGCAGCCGACGACTCAGTCAGCACATGCCGAGTCGTCCCAATTCCTGGAGTGGGTCAAGAGCGACGAAACGGTATTCTGGATCAGCGGCAAGGCCGGATGTGGCAAGTCGACTTTGATGAAGTTTATATACCACAACCAAGAGACGGCAGCTTCACTCTCTCAATGGGCGGCTGGAAAAGATCTGGTATCCGCGGCATATTTCCTGTCGGATGGCGGCGATAAGTTACAAAAGTCCCGAGAAGGGTTGCTGAGGAGCTTGCTGTACCAACTCTTGAAAGCCAATCGCCACCTTATACCCGCTGTCTTCAAAAGCCTGTTCGTGAGCGCGTCGCCGATACCGATCTCCTTCACTACCTGGAGCAAACTCAGCACCGCATTCAAGTCGACTCTAGACCAGCTCGGAGACACCAAAGTCTGCATCTTCATCGATGGTTTGGATGAATACCGCATGATCGACAGAATGGAAGAATATGCAGAGAAGGACCTACACCTCCAGTACGACGGCCCCAGCGAAGACGACGGCTGGGGCTACAGCGTCAGGCTCCAGGACGGGCACCGGGAAATCGCTATGTTTCTCCGCGGGCTCTCTGCGCGCCCGAACGTGAAGGTCTGCATCTCCAGCAGGGAGCTGGTCATTTTTGAGCAGCTGTTCCGGAAGTTCTCCAGAGTTCGGGTACACCAACACACGGCCGGGGCGATCCAGCAGTACTGCGAAAGGCGCCTAGAAGAGGAAGCCCCCGATCTCGCGAACCGCTCGGAATTTGTGACCTCGATCACGGAGAAGTCCCTCGGAGTCTTCTTGTGGGTGCGACTCGTCGTCGATATGTTGGTCCGGGGCAAGGCCGACGGGAATTCCAGGGAAGAACTGTGGAAGACGCTTCGCAGCCTTCCTCCCAGGCTAGGCGGGAGGGATGGCCTCTACGTCCGGATGCTCCAAACAATCAACCGAGAATATCTGCCAGAGTCGAAGAGGCTGTTTCATCTCGTCTTGGAGTGGGAGGCTTACGGTTACGGGCCACGCCATCTCGACATCATCTCACTCTTCCTTGCGGAAGAGGACTTCGTCAGACTAGGCCGCAAGCAGGAGGTGCTGGCCAAAGACGATGCATTTCTGCCCCGGAGCTGGGAGGACTTTCAACCTCGCTGGATGGAACTGCAAAGTCGTCTTAAGAGTCGATGTGCTGGGCTCATCGAAGGGACAAAGGAGGTGCGGTTCATGCACCAAACCGCAAACGAGTTCATGTCGAGACCCAACGTGTGGGAGACATTTTTCCACGAACCCCGTGATGTCCTCAACGGACCGAGCGCGAGCCTGGCCTTCCTGAGCGCAATCATTCGGCGGCTTAAATGCTGTCAAGAGGCCACGCTGAAGGCGCCAGTTCCGTGCCACGGCTCGGCTCCGTCGGTGCGCGACTCGAATATGTCGGCGAAAGATTTGGATATGTTGGCGAAAGACTCGGATGTGTCGGCGGAAGACTCGGATACGCCGGCGGAGGGCTGGGTCGATACATTTGGCGATATCCTTCAAGTTTCTGGCCCCTGCTGCCCTCTCCTAGAGACGGCCTTGGATTGGGCCTCGAACCTGGAGTCATCTGACGAGCATATCAACCGCTACATAGATCTCCTCGATGAGCTAGACGTCACCGCCGAACATCTAACCAGATCTTGGAAAGAACAGTTCCCACAGTTCGCCGATCGAAGCTGGCTCGAATTGTTCACGAAACCCTGGAGCGGACACCTGGAACTGTGCACCCAGCCGAGGACCTTCTTGGAGTATAGCATTCCGAGAAGACTTACTCGGTATGCCGAATCAAAGATTAGAGGAAGCAACATACCCCGACCTCAGTTACAGTCTCTTCTAATACAAGCGTCGAGGCCCATGCAAACAAGCTGGAGGGGTCCATCAAGCATAATCATGGTGCGTGTCAACCTGACTATTATTAAGCTCCTTTTTGAAGCCGGCGCGGATCCAAACTATCAAGAGCAGGGACCAAGTGAGTCAGCGGTGCCAGAGGAAGGATTGACGACATGGGTAAAACTACTTCAAACCTGGGTTCGTCCTCAGGCCGAACAATTTGAGGACGACTTTCCTTCCGCTGTGAAGCTTTTCCTCCAATACAACGCCGATAGGACGGTCAGGTGGTATACCTGGAGGGAGGGGATGTCAAAACAAGTCGTTACGCCGGAGAGTGCCATCAAACATATCCTATCCAGTGGTGGTCAGGATAAGGCGTTGCGGGAGATCATGGAGCTGCTAGGTGAAACAGACCAAGATCTGACGGCTGGGCAAGCGACTGCTGCTGGAATATTGGCCGAGCATAACAAAGCAGAATAGACACAATCCAAGGTCCGGTGCACCACTGTGTTGGGTTTGTTACTCGATACAATTTGGCTACGGAGGAATATATGCATGCACTTTGAGCTCCGCACAGTACATTCAGATATGCTCCTACCATACGGCGCAGCAGAGCAGTCCACATTTCCTTCAGAAGTACTAGGCATATGGAATATCTTAACCCTAAGAGAAGTACGGACGTGGGAAGATGCCTCCCATGATATATATATAAATATAAAATACCATGCTGACTTTGCGTCCACCTCAAGGGCTTCCGGATGCTTGCCGGTGATGCCTCGCGTCGCAACTCGACTGGGAAGGGGCGGCCGGGTCTGGAGTGTTGGAATACACATGGCTTGAGCAGGTGTTTGTAGATGTTCAGTCTTGGCAGTTGACATTGGTTCCAAATCCCCGGTCCTCCCATTGACACGCTTGTGTTGGGCAAAGCACGACCATCTCATACAGCCTTCAATCTAAGGAAAGAACCCCGCGTCAAGTCAGGAGAAACAAGGCGTGGGCGGGGAGGAGAGGTAGCCGGAAAAGCTGAGGTAGCCTGCCAAGATAGATAGTTCCTGGCGCAGTAAGTAAGCTCTTGGACTTGCCGTGGAGGATGAGATCCATTCTCTTGCGACGTTCCTGCGGCTATGTTTAGCCTCGCGGTGTTTGCATGCTCCATCATGGGATATTTGACTTTGCGTTATCCCACGGAACAACTAATTACCCCAGAAAACATTGGTGCCCTAATTATGGCGGTTATCATTTCCCCGTCACCGCTAATCAGACGCCAGAGCATTGCAAGACGCTAGTGTGACATTGCATTGCCAGTGGAGATGGAGAGCTCGCACGTTGTTTGCACAAATTAGTATATAGCTGGAATAGCTCGCCTCCGTTTGGGAGGCAGGATTGGAAACTAGCAAGAAAATGAGACTGAGTCAAGTCACCTTTGCCCTAGCGGGCTGCGCAATCCAGATGGCCAACAGCTCACCTTGCATACCGCCACCTCTGGAAGCGACGGCATTTGCACTTACTGTAGGTTTGCCCCCGGCTGGGCCATGTTCTTGTTCCTCATTCTTACCCGCACACAGTACGGCTATCCAATCCGGCAATACTCCCTTCTTGTGAAATCCTATCTTGGATCCACCGGCCCCAATGTCGGCTTGAAGCGGCGGGCATTCTATCCGGCCAATACAACAGAGCCTGCAATAAGGGTCAATGTCGACACGTTATACATCACCGGGTACGTTGATTTGTCAAGCGACAATGTCATCTTCACCTACCCGGAGCCAAAGGATGATCGATTCTATTCCTTTACATACTTTGACCTGTAAGTTATACAAGTCCCTTGTGAGGCTTGAGCACTTGTCTCATATCCTTGCGCTTTAGCTATGGCAACAACATTGCGACTCTCGCCAGCAGCTTAGACTCGACGCCGGGCAAATACATGCTGCGACCTCGGGACGGTGAATGCAATGACAAGTCTGCTCAAGATGAGTCAGTTCAAGGATACATCAACTCCCCAACCACCTACGGCTTCTTCGCCTACCGGTTCTGGATCAAAGACAAGAATAACGCCACTGAACTTGACCTCGTTCACGCCATGCAAGACGAGAGCACCATCACCCCCGTCCCGCGAACCTGGCACTCCTTTGCAAACGCCGCACCAGCACTCACCAACGAGACCCTCAAGGAAACCCTCGGCAGCACATACTCGCCCTCGGGGATCCTCAACGTCCTAGCCCGCATCAGCGCCACAAACCCACCCATCGAAGCCTCCGACTGGGCGCGCGTCAACAGCAAGCTCTCGGCGGCGGGCCTCTCCAACGGCATCTACACGCCCCCCGCGGACGTCGACCTCTCCGCCGCCGACTCCCTCGCCGACGCCCTCGTCGCCTCGGCGCTCGCGTCCCCGCGAGGACAGCGCGACCTCGGCAACGGGTGGGAGGTGGCGTTCCCCGAGACGGCGGGCAACTTCAGCACCGACTACGAGGCGCGGTCGTACCTGGCGCAGCGCCTGTACGGCCTGTTGACCCCCGACGTGGCGCTGTACCCGGCTTACGTGCGCGACACGGTTGGGGACAACCAGAACCTCGTCGTCGGCGCCGGCGAGGCGTACCTGCTGACCTTCTCGGGCAGGCCGCCGCTGGCGGAGAAGGGGTTCTGGAGCATCACGGCCTACGATGAGAACCAGTATTTGATCCCCAACGGCATCGATGTGCAGAGCTTGGGAAGTGCGAGCAATATGACGTATCCCGATGGCGAGCCAATTTATCGGAATGGTCGGGAATACGGCCCCGATGGGCAGTTCCAGATCTTGCTGCAGCCGGCTGGGCTGTATCCGCCCGCTAACTGGACGAGCAAGTGCGTATTATTATCCTTTGCTACTGATGAAGAATGGTAGTGGGGTCGGAATAGCTGATCTGACTGTTTACGATTAGCTGGCTACCCGTGACGCCCGGCGGTGGAGAGTTTACCGTCACTTGTAAGTGACTCTTGGTTGGCCTGCATGATGCTTCGAATCTTAGCTACGATGAGCAAGTGAGGCTAATACTCGGCTGCAGTGAGATGGTACGCGCCTCATGAGGCATTAATGGATGGCTCGTACGAGTACCCGATATTCACCAAGATCAGCGCCATCACTCCGTAACTGCTCCGTTCAGACTCGCCCCGGTGGCGCGGAACCCGAACCCTCCCCCGGGTTGGGCATCACACTCACCACAGATCAAACCCGCAAATTCTGAGCTTGTGATGATCAGCTGGCAGAGTGGTGGATGAAAGATAATTACTCTCCTGAACAGGCCCCCTCGGAAGGACGATCAAGAATCGGCCACAGGACTGATCAGAGGACGCGGTGGACCGTAATTATGGATGAAAGGGTCTGGATAGTCGAATAGAGCACTTTTGAGTTACAGAAAGGCGACCGAGGATATAATTACTATGTTAATCCCCTCGCGAGTGTTCGGATTGTACCCACTTGACGCTTTCCCAAACCCTCAGTTCCCTCACCAGTGCGACAGGTAATTGCAACCTGCCCGTCTCGCGGTCTTGCCTTTAGAGTCACGAAGCAAGTGGCCGACTCCCTTCTGCAACAAGGAGAGAGAGCTCCACACCGCCCGTTCGGTGCGACCTGTACCAGCATGACGCCTCAGTGTTTTCCCAGGGCTCACCCAGGGCTGCCCACTCACACCAGCAGCATCTAGTGGTCTCCCAATACCTGGACATCGACGAGCGGGTGGGTCCGTTGTAGTCGGGTTCGATGACCAGCTCGGGGAGAAATCGCTCGGCAATCGCGGCCGCGACGGTCGACCAGCGGCGGTCCGGGGCATGAACGTGACGCACTGAAGAGATAAGCCTTGGCCCCGTTGTCATTTTGATCTTTCCACTTACTTTGCCATGTCCAATCTGGCCAATCCCCTTCATTTATTTCTCCAGGAACATGAGCCTTTCCTCACGATGCCCCAGTACAGTAGAGCTCCCATACTGATGAAGATTGTCGCAACTGTTTCGTTGGTAAACGAGGGGATTCGCACAACGGACAGGGATCGGGGAAGCGTACCAACGGCGATGGTCTCCAGTACCCGGTGATCTACACCTCTCCGTACAATGACATGGCTGACGTTGGCTAGCCCGCGGGCGAGGTTTTGGGCGTCGAGAACGGGCAGGGCGGGCATTGGTGGAAATTAAACGTTATACATGTGAAAGGTCGGCCAGCGAGTCTATTATTAGTATCCGTCCTGGATAGAGTGTAGTCTATATGGACATGACTGGTTGTCGTGGAAAACTGCTTTCAGCAAAAGACAACTTCGTCTCAACAAACCCTCGATCGTGAATTGGGACAGTGCCTTATTATATTTATCATGCAAGTCTGCGGCTCTCTCACCCCCCTGTATGCCAAACATGGCTTGTCTTGGCCCCAAGTCTTCACTGTTTCGAACGCTGGGAACAGAAGCATTCTCGTCCGACCATTTCCATTTTTTACCCGCAGGACAAGCTGGGGTTCAGGGGATAGCATGGAAACTTGGCGACGAAGCTGAAGGGGGAGCCCCACTTATGGTACGATGTCAACGAGCGTACCATCTTATCCCGTTTCATCTTGGGCTGAGAATCTAGGCATGGCCCCACTTTAAGTGCCAGATCTGCAGGGCATCGTCGCACCCTTTTCGACGTGGTCCACTTGTTTAAGATTCACATTGGAAGCAGTTACATTCGAGATTCGCACGACAAAACCGGTCTGATCGTCCGTATTTCTGCGCTTCCTCTGGGATCCGGGGAGCGCACAGATCTGTCCTCTTCGACCTCCACCTCCACGTTCGGATCAACTACCGCAATTCGAAGTAAGGAAGCAAAAAGCAAGGGAAAAGAGCATCGCGCACCGCCGCGACGTCCCCTGACAGAGAATCAGCCTTCGTGAGCTTGGCGGGTGGGCCCTAGATATGTCACCGCCGCCGCGCTGACTCGCGAGACGATGTATCGGCCGACGGCAATATAAATTCGAAGGCCAAACATACTCCGGTCAGCCACTCCGTCGGTCTCTAAGAGCTGAACCCCGCTCAAAAGCCAGTTAGGCTCGGTGTATTTGTGGAAGGGAGATGCGTGGCGTAGTTCTGTTGGGTCGGATCAAGCATGATCCCAGCGATCTATCTAACAATTACATCCTGCTATGAGCTGCTTTGCTACTCCCCCCGATGCTTCGATCTTACGTTGACTAGAGATTGTCCTGTCATGTCTTGTATCCTTCCACTGCATTCCACCCGTCTTGCTCGTCGCATACAGCTATGGCGGCGACACACCAAGTTGACAATACCTAGATGTGGCATCCCTCCTTTGCAGAAGAACGGTTGGACACGGCTGGATTATTTGTCCACCTTCGGGAGGGAGCTGTTCCTTGCCCAACCTCGTGGCCAATACACATCGCCGTAGACACGCGGTACACTCTGTGTCAATAGACAGCTGGTTGCATTTGGCCACGTGAAGGCCCACGCAAGCCTCTAGTTCTACGACGAGGTTGACATTGGCCCCCATTTGCGGCGCGGCTAGAATCATCTTGCCGTCCTTGTCCTGAGATACTTCTATGCAACATCGTTCCCTCGGTTGCCTTCCGGTGGTCTGAGGATCGTTGTCCCAGAGCCGCCGGATGGTGGGCCATGGCTTGAGATTTGCGGAGCAGCACTCTGTGGAAGGCTGCCATAGGCCCGGCAACAACTCTCCGAATCGACGAACCCGAGGACGACTTCCTACACATTTACAAGAAGAGCCTGCACAACAAAGTCCCGTGGCAGTGGTTACCCGCCAAGCTCCTAGAATATCAGGTCCCAACAGGCACATCATAGGCACCGGGAAGCAGGTCACCGATTGTTATTGCCCTTACAAGCTCTAGGTCAACGCGACGAATGACGCCCTCCCCAGGGGCCGCAACATACATATGTCTGTTCCAGTCCCAACATCGAGGATTCTGTGGACCTTGTCTTCCTCGATGGGGGCATGGTATAGCTTCTCGCCAATGCCTTTGGTTATGAGAGTATAGGTCAAGTCAAGGCGATTCAGTTCAGCCTCCAAACGTTGCACTGTCAGCAGCTACAGAGCTCGCTCCTCCAGGATGTCTCAGCCTACTTCATCATTTTGAATCGGATAACCTAGGGTTATAATTAGCTCTCAGGCATGTAGCAAGGTAGGTGCAGAAATCCGCACCGCCTGGTTGGCATCGCTCGCCTGTGTCAGTAAGAGCAGAAACGAGTTCGTATGAAAGTTCCCGGGATGACCTGAGGGATGACGAACAGCGACATCAACATCGACATCGATTGGCGTATCGGCGTGTGGAGCCGCTCCCGTCTCAGTTAAGGACTCCACATCAACGGTGTGATGCCTTGTTTGGGGAATGTGTTGGTCCTCAAGAACCAAACGCAATTTGCTCTGCAACTGCAGTGAAATAGTGAGTTAGAGAAAAGTTCCTTGGAATGAACGTATTTATGGAGACCGGTGGGGTGTCCCCCTGCGGCTTATCTGCAAGGACGTTGCATGCGGAGGACGTTCCGGTCGACGTGGACGGGACACCCCGCAGATGGAGGTCGACATATCATTTTCGCCGCCATAAAAGCGGTGTCCATTGGACCAACGAAGCGTGCAGGGTGGCACAACGACCCGCATCTGCCTGAGCGACGTGGGGGGCGGGCAAATCAATGATCGATTCCCAGTTCCCGTAGGCGAGCGCTTCTTGGTGTTGGAGATATCGTTGGTGTGGCCCTGGTCCTCGGCCTGCAACGTGGTGAAGGCGCCATTCATCACGTCGGTCATTTTGCTGAGTCTTTGTCGCAGCCGGGCGGATTCCTCGATCGTTTCCTTGTGGTTAGAGAGTGTGTTCTGGTTAGACATAGACAAGAGATTGAGCTTCCCACGCTGCCATTGCCGTGTTTGATCAGAAAGGCCTGCTTCTCTAGTAGCATATTGCAGATAAAATGGAACTCATTTGGCATTAGGCTAGGACGGTGGATGTAGCTTTCCCTGTTGGCGCGAGAGTTGCGTATTCAAGTTGTCTAATTATAATACACTCGCTGGATATTGGATCCCTCATGAGCCACCAGCCTTTGGACATCTATACCCTCAAAGAGCTAGTCTCGTCCTCAATAAGTCTCTTTGGATAATCTCTTCCTTCCGTCTCTCCAGTTCCTCAACATCCCACTTCGCACTCAATAATCTCCCGCTTAGCCACTTCCTCTCCTCTCGTCCAGCAGTCAACCAGACGCAGAAAGCGCCACACAATTCTTCGCTGTCTGTAAGATACTGGACAAACATGTTCGGCGAAGTATCAAGCGCCTGTTCAGTCGCTACCGCGCCGGGATGCACGCTGTAGGCAACCAGCCCCTGCCCGGCATACTCCTCGTGGATATGCTCCATGAGCTTCAGCTGGGCCATCTTACTAACGCAATACTGTGCGTTGGCGATGGGGCCCCGCACAATCAGTGCAGCCATCGATGAGACGGCCACGAAGGCCCTGGCGCCGCCAGGACTAGCCAGCAGCAGGGGCACAAAGAACTTGGCGCAGAGGAAGGTGCCGAAGTAGTTTACCTCGCTCGCCTGCTTGAAGGTCGATGGATCGACGTCGCCGATAGTGGTAAGGCATGGGCCGGAAAAGCCCGAGTTGATGGCCAGGACATCGAGCCGGCCGAATCGCGACTTGACGCGGTCGGCGAGGGATGAGACTGACTCTGGGGAGGCGATGTCGCAGTGGGCGACGTCGATCTCGGCCTGTGGACTGATGGCTTGGCAGGCGGCGGCGGCCTCTTCGAGTCCGGATATGCGCCGCGACGCTAAAACCAGACCGGAGGCGCCGGCTTTGGCGTAGGATGTTGCCAAGCCCGTGCCTATTCCCCGTGAGGCCCCGATAACGCACACGACGAAGGGGTGTGAGAGCTTGAACTGGGCGGGGTCGATGGCCGGGTGTACGTCAGAATACGTCCTTGCCGTGAACTGACTGGCGCCTCCAGTGCCCCAATCTTGCGACATTGCGGGTTTCTCGGACGAGGGAGTTTCGTGGCAGCACGAGAAGCGATTGAGAAGCTGGCTAATGGAGCAAGTTGAAGGTACTTCGGCGGCAAAGTGGATTGAGAGGATTGTTGAGAGTTCTACTCCCGTGACTCACTTCAGATACCTTCCTAATAAGGTAACGACCCTGACAGCGTGGGTAAACGGTAAACCAAACCAATCACACGGCCATTCTCGCTGTGTGTGGGGGGTAATTATTCGAAACTTGCTACCTAGTTAAAGCATAGTTGAAGTTAATTAATTCGGTGGCAAAGAGGATATCCTAGAACACCAACTCGGAGAGGCAGAACCAATACGCCTTCTCGATAGATGGGAAAGACCCAGCCACCACAGTGCAGGGCAAGAGCCGCGTGGGTAAGAAATCGCGATCACGAAGAATGCGTGGATCACCGACCCGAACTCGGTGCTGTCTCGAGCAGAAATCACACATTTATTTGCCTATCCATCCTGGCGCGTCGAATCTAAAACCCAACGACGGGCGGTCAAGAAATGTCGGGCTTCCTAGCCCAGACAACCCTCTGGTTATAATAGGGATGATAATTCCCCGACCGCATCTCACGGCGGAACTGTGCGCAGTACACAGTCACCTCGTCTCTCCCCCATCCAAGCAACAAATTGGCCATGTACAACACGTAGCCCTCCAAGTCCGAATCCAGCGACAGCTGCGAGAACCGGCCTATCTCCCTAAGCTTCTTGTCTGCCGCCCAGCCCCCGATCGGCACCTTCTGCTTGCGCACCTGCATGTCCACAAATCCAGCCTCCTCCATTCCCTTCTCCTGCAGGTCATCATCGAGCGGCGTAAACGTGCGTCCGAGTTTCTTCCCACCCTCGAGGAAGAACTTGCCCCACTCGGCCAGGGCGCTCGTATCGCCAACCGTGCCGTCGTCGCTGTAGATCATGGGCGACGCCTCAAAGCTCTCGACCCACCCACCGGGCCGACACACCCTGTACGCCTCCCTGAACAGCGCGTGCCAGTCCGGAACACTCCCGTAGAGGTACCGCATGTGGACGTAGTCGAAGGATTTGGGGGGGAAGGTCCACGCCTGGGTAAAGTCCTCAATCTCGAACTTGAGGTTCGGTGGCACCCACGAGGGTTGGATGGGGGATATATCCGTGCCGATCACCTCGGCCTGGGGGTTCTCGTCGGCAAAATCGATGGCCCAGATGCCGGTGCCGGTCCCAATGTCGAGGACCCTGCCCACGGTCTTCTTGTCGAGCGGTGCTAGGAAGAGTTTGCCACCGAGGGAGAGGGTCAGCAGGTGATGGATGATGTCGAGCGACTCATTCTGTCTCTCGTCGTTGGCTGCCCAGTACTGGGTGTTGCTGCTCGTCTCGGAGTGGTACCTCCTGCCGTTGATGGTTCTGTAGTCGATGATGGAGGATGATATGGACGCCGTCGAGCTTGCAGTATCTTCTACAGCCGAGTCTGCGTCATCATCCCCCGGATTCCCGACCTCGTTATTCTACGGGCAAATGTTAGCTGAGAGTGTGATGCTGACCACATCTCTGGACCCGATCTGACAATCACAGACCTCTTCTGCTGCTTCAAGCCAGTGTTGGGCCGGAAGCATACCCGTGGTCCCCTGCGTTACTTGTGTAGTAGCTGCAGTAGCCGTCGACTGTTCACTTACTGCCGGGTCTTCAGTCTCGTGAGGAGATGCAACTTTATCCTCGAGGTTCTTGTTGTCTGCCATCGCAAGCGTCGATGAATAGAGGCGTTAAGATACTTCAAGAAAGAAGAGGAAGAGGTAGAGAAGAGGTGAACCCGGTGCGGGGTTTCCTCATGGCGTTGATTGCCGTTCGGAGCCTGCGAATACATGCACATGCACATGCACATGCGTTCAACACCAACGGCCATGATGCCGTAATTGGAAGCGATTGTCACCATCGGGCCGCTCCCGCACCCTGCATCCTGCAAGGTTGCACAGGAAGCACACAACCTGCATCATTCTGGCCAATCGATACTGCGAAAAGGGAGCACTTACGTACAAATCCAAAGTTATCGGATGACGAATGAATATTTTTGAGGAGGTGAGCGCATTTCCGCTCGGCGCTCCTAATTATCGGTCGGAATGTAAGATTCTCAACAAAAGCTTGGATATGAGCAAAATCCCAGGACAGAGTGCCATATATAGAGGACTATACCATGGCAAAGCCGATAAGTTGAGCAAACAAGAACCCCCCCTTCAAATGTTACGGCCTCTTATGGAGCTTATTAATGCTGTGAGGCGGCAGCCAACCTGCGGAAGAGAGACACCTCTATTCAAGGGTGGGAAGGTACTTGATTTCAACCGTCTCCCTAATAACTAGTTATCCGGGAACGGTTGCCAATTACCCCTTGCACACAACCTCCTCCGTCACCCTGCCGGCCCAGGACTCGATACCGCTCTTGTAGTTCCCATGGTAGTACGTGCTCGGCACCCACGTCTTGCACGTTCAGGGTTCCGTCCTTGGCGCCGACGGCGACCTCGTTGTATCTCGACACGCTGGCCTGGAAGTTGCCTGCGTCTCCAGATACATCCATTCCCGAGTACGATACGATGTCTTGAGATCCGTCCCGAACCTACCATCGATGTACCACTCGAGCGTCTTGCCGCACGCATTTGAGACGATGCCGTCGAAGCCCTGCCCCTCGAAGGTGGTCGATAAGCGGCCTGCGCCCGCCACGTACTGCAACGCAAACGACGAGACGTCGTGTACGGACGTCGGCGTCGGGCCCGGGTTTGATGGCGGTGTGGTTCCGGTAAAATGGGTAGTATGGCTTGAACTGCCACCGTCGCCGTCGGGGTTGCTGCCGGGAGTGCCTCCGCCACCGCCGGTCCAGGACCACTGACAAGTGTTGGAGGCGCAGCAGGCTGGAGACGACGTCAGGCACACACCCTTGTGACAGTCTCATGCTGGGTAGCCACAAGCCGACGGCGTGGGTGGGTGCAGCTGTGCTACACTTTATTTTTATTAAATCTGCCAACACCAATATCATCGCCTTTGTAATTACATCCGCGGATAAAATCCAAAGCCGGAGGGGGAGCCGGGAGAGAGCCGATAAAATGCTCTTGCGACGAGAATAAAAAACTATCTCATTGCAAACTAACTGCGGCTCAGCCAGCAGGTTATCAGCAAAATTTTCATCAGGATGTCCGACTCTAGTCCCAGATCCTGGCTGCTTTTCGTCGTCGCCGAGCTCGGTGGCCAGCACCGGCAGCTCGCTGCCGCGCAGCGTCTAGGCCTCGACACGCCCCTCAGCGTTGTCCAGGGCGCCATAGTCGTCCGCGCGGCCCTGCGCATCGTAACCATCCTGTCGGACCCTTCCAACCGCATCGCCATCCAGGGCGAGGTTACGCTCGCGGCGCAAGCCTACACGCAACAGGGCCTCGCCCCAACGCGGTCGGAACCCTTGCCGCTGCATCGAAAGCCGTGGGACCGCGCTATGTGAGAGTTCCCCTTCATCTCAACCTGCTTGATGCTGGGTGCCGGCTGCGACACGGACCGCGTTGTGAACTACGAGAACACGAGCGAACGGCTGGGCCTGGTATACGACGATGCCAGCCTGGACTATGGTATGGTGGTGGTGGATATTTCAGATCTTGACCGCGTCAGCTATGGCATTGTGGCCTTTATGGCCTGGCGGAAGGTCATCACCCCGGTTGCCATGCCATGGCCGCAAGATGAGGTTGTGGTTTCCTACGACGAGATTGCCTACGAGGAACCACCAATCGTCGAGGCGGAGAGGCCAAGGAGACCGCTGTCAGCGGTTGCATACATGGACAAGGTTGGCTATCAGGACAGTTGGGAGACCAAATACGACGCAGACTTCATCCAAAGGCTAGAGAAGAAACCACTTGTTCACATTGCAGCCCTGGAACGTAGGTTTGAACATCGAATGTCTCCATGTTAGTCGGTCATCACTAATCAGGCATATAGCGGTCTGGCCGTCAGGCGAACACGACTCTCAGTCTGAGGCTCTCACATCGTACGAAGCTGAGCGTTCGCCTGTTATTGGCCCGCAGCCGTTGTACGAAAAATCTATCGCAGTCTTAGTCGCCAGCATCTTAGAGCCCGACCGGGATTTCGACTCGGCCTTGCTTGACGAGCCTCAGAAAATACCGAGGTTTCAGGGCATTTTTCGACGTCAACTCCTTAAACATTCCCCTCGTCTTCATCAATCCCGCATTGCTTCAGAGCTATTGCGAGTCGCCTTCGCTGGGCAACAACAACTGGACTGGGTTTCGTTCGACCAACTCTCAACCGACGTGATTAGCGCTGCCTTTACCAGTGAAGATCTGAAGGAAGCCAAGTCAATCAGTCTCTGCATTGATACAGTCCAAGGCACGCCAGCCCAGCTTGTCGAGGCACTGTCCCACGCCTCGGCAACACTAACCGAATACTACTTTCATCAACAGCCAAGCCGGCAGAGTGACGAGGCAAGCACCCAACTATTCATCCAGCTTTCGACCTTGCAACCCGGGCTTCTCTGCAACAGCACCAAGTTGATGCTCTCTGGCTCTTTCTCTGCCTCATTGTGTCGCAAGATGTGGCTCCCGACGCCAGACTCTTTCATCCCGCCATTCTCCGCTTTTCCCGTCCAGCACATGTTCGTCCGCTTGCCCTTGTACCACGACGGCAACGACAGGGACCCGAATCGTTTCTGGCCCCGCTACCACTACCTCGCCGACGCCCTGCTGCTCCCAGAACGCTTTGCCACGTGCTTCCTTGCTTTCCTTGCAGCCATCGTCAAACCTTGGATCCGCGTCTCCTCCATCGAGGAGCTCGGCTTCATGTCCTGTGCCGCACCGACGCTTGCCGATTTGACTATCGGTCCGGATCTTGCAGGCCGCCACCGCTTCGAAATCTCTCCGCTCCCAGCGGAGAACCTCGCCATCCCATTGTTGCCCATCAGAGCGGCCCCCCGCTCCACTGCCATCCATGCCGAGTGCTGGCCGCGCGTCCGTAGCCTAGTTCCCGGCAGTTGGACCCTGCTAGTGTCGGTGGAGAAAATTACAAGCAACAAAGTGGTGCGATACGCGTTTGTACGGCCGCTGGTGCCCATCGGGCCGGGGCTTGTGCTGGGGCGGCCGGAGGTGGAGGTTGTCGGGAGCTTGGGCGGCTTCTTACGGAATACGGCTCCAGGGGTGGATGCTTCCGTGGTGGAGCAGCGGCTGGCGGACCTGGAGACTTGGGTGGCAGGTATTGACGAGTGGCCGCGGCCAACAACCCCTGAGTCGAGCCATCGGTGGGTGAGCGTAATGGAGGAAGGTGAGGCACGTGTTATCTTGGCCGAGTTCCTGCAGGATGCGGCGACGTTTGGGCGGAGCATACTGCGGATGGCCATGGAGGAACGTCCTGGTAGGTTGTTTTTTCCCTTTTTTTCCAACTCATGTCCCTCGCTGTTATCATATCCCTTGTTGACAAGAACCTGGCGGTGTTTAGATCGAAAATGGTACCCGGAGCTACTTGACGACACCGGTATGATGCCGACGAGCAGTTTTGTGAGGGACGGATTACCCAGGTATGTTTTCATTTGAGACATGGCAGTAGATGCGAGCAATATTGGCCCTCGGATTCATGATGGATATGTCTTGAGGCTAACATTTTCTGTTGACAGGCTGAGCAAAACGTTGACATTTCATGAGGACTCTCGGGAGGATGACCCCGACGATTCGATTTTGGATTTGGACATGTTCCCCTACCGGGATTCACGATTCACCTGATTAAGCACATGGGCAATGTAGCCAGGTACGCTCAAGTCATGGTAGCTGTCAGCAATAAAACGTTACCCAGATCATTCAGCGAGGCTGATCAGTCTTGATACCACCAAAATCAAGGCCCCTCAGGTGGCTGGGTCATCCGGCAAATCGAGGTGATAACTTCCCGTGGAAGTGGGCACTTATACGCCACCACTTGTGACAGACAGAAAAAGAAAGGGATGACGAGGTGCCTGTAGTCTACTCTGCAGGTTTCCGGCCCCAGACTACCCTCTGCCAGAAAAACGAGTGGACCTCCTTGGAGCGAATTTCACGCCGGAAGTGGGCAAGAAACACAGTAATCTCCTCCTTCGTCCAACCTAACATCGTGGCCATGAAGAGCACGGTACCCTCCGCATCCTGTTCAAGAGCAAGCTGCATGTACGAACCAATCTCCCGAAGCGTTGGATCTTGAGGCCACCGACCAACGGGATTCTGTCGTTGTATTAGCCTTGCAACCAATGAGGGGATTAGCGGGTTGGTCAGCGTCAAGACTAACCTTCAAATCCTTTTCTTCGATATCGACGAATCCAGCTTCCTGCATGGCCTTCTTCTGTATGCCGTCTTCGAAAACCGTGAACGGCCGGCGTAGCATGCGCCCTCCCTCCTCAAAAAACTTTCCCCATTGGCTTGCAGCGCTTGTCTCAAGAACTGTTCCGTCATCGCTCTCGAGACGAGATGACGGCTCATAGCTCTCAAGATAGCCTCCTGGTTTCAAGCTTCTGTATGCTTCTTTGAACAGGGCTGTCCAGTCCTCGATGCTGCCGACAAGCCAACGTGTATGGACGTAATCGAGAGAATTGTTCTCAAATGTCCACTCCTTTGTGCAGTCATCGATTTGGCTAACAGTGGGAAGAGACTTAATCAGCAAAAGTACATATTATCAGATCATCAAGTACTTGGTGATTACTTACAACTGGAGATTTGGCGGAACCCAGCTAGGTTGAATGGGCGAGAGATCAGTCCCAACGACTGAGGCGTTTGGAAACTCATCTGCAAAATCACTTGGTCCCTTGTAAGCTCATGATGCTCCCAGAATATGAGGTGCTGAGGAATCATACATTGCCCAGATGCCTGAAGGTCCAGTCATTAGTCAATGGTAATTAGCAACCCATCTTGTCAAGCGACGTACCTGTCCCGGTTCCAATATCCACGGCCGTCTGGTTGGTCATACGGATTAGTGAGCCGGCGACGTTTGATCGGTTACGGGACATACCTGTATGTTTTTCGGTAGCGGCGCTAGGTAGAGCTTGCCCCCCAGCAAGAGGGTGAGTACATGATGGCTATATGCCAGTGGTGAGCTGAGTCCTGCGTCTAGTCGTGCCAAAACTCACTTGATATCCATTGCTTCCCGTGAGACGTCATCGATAGGACCCCTGTTCCCAGATTAGCTGCGGATAAATATGTCTCCAATATCCGAATGCTTCAACAGACCAATAATCTCCATTTCCACAGTCACTATGATACGCTCTGCCGTTGATCGTCCTGTATTGGAGGATGCTAGAAGCCAGGGACGCGGTTGAGCTGAGATTATCGGTCAAAGTCGAGTCCGCATCATCTTGCTCATCGAGTTCCTAGAAAGTCCCACAGGTTAGCCGCTGGTGTCTTTTTTTCAATCGCTCCTGATACTGACGTCCGTTAATTGTGCCCAGTGTTGTGGAGGAAGGATGTTGGTGCCTGTATGGGGACTAGGCTGTTCGGTTGCCAGCGACGCCAACTGAGTAACGTCACCAGCTGGTTTGTTCCGAGGGGGCAAGTCCGACATCTTTTCCGGCTACGCGAGCAGATATGGAACAAAGGACAGCACAAAGGTGTGAAGGGGAATGAATGGCATGACCATTTTATAAAACGTGATGATGGAATGCGAGGCGAGGCACACATCCCGGGAGCCCTGCAACTTACTCCCAGCCAACGCAACGCTGCTGCATCACAACCGTTGCGCCCGAAGCCAATAGGCGGTTTGCGCCGACGACCTTATGTCAGTGAGGTGGGGGGCCCGCCGCGGCACCATCCCGATGCATGCCAAGATTTGTTCCTTAACTTCATATGGCATAATCTCTTCGCTTTCCCTTGATACATGCTGAACGCAGAGTAACATCATCCTCCAATGATTGAAGATGGGCTCTCCAACTGCTGAACATAATTTTTATCACATCTCTTCATGCACAAAAATGTGACATGATGATAGGACTGGTCGAACCAAAAGGGGGTGACCTGTCCTTCGCTCCGCGGCATCTTCTGGGACTGGTTACTGATTGAGCTTGACTCGGGATCAGTCCACTCCTGCAGGAGGTTTGGAACCGGCCTGTCTTCGTACTGCTGCAGGTGCAGCCACCGATCACCCACCGCTCCGCAGAGCTACTTTTGCGCCGGCACAGCACGCCCTTTTACCCCCTTTACCCCTGAGCAGCGGTATTTGAGGAGTTTAAATCGGTCTACTGACACCATTGCGAAGCAATCCAAAACATTGACGGACCGGGCGAGGCCTTGATCGGTCGGCTTCTTCTGGTACGGCTGGCCGGCCTGGGAGCGCACACTCTGGGTCATCCCGAATCGTCCCAGCTCCAAGGAGGTTGAGTGGGTAAAGACGGATTCCTACCTCATCAACGCGTTCCTTAGCTCCGTGGTGGACACTAGCGTTGGACTACATAAGCCAAGGCGGAATGATTAGTGTATATCGGCAAGGCTAAGTGTTGCCTCGCGGAGACGGTCCAGATGGAAATTCACCTGGGCGCTGGTCGCTTAAATCTAAAGGGTGGAGGGCATGCCTGCTTGGGATGGAAAGGGGGTGTTGAGGTTTCGGGCCCGGTCGATGGCGAGCTGGGACTCTGCACTACGGGAACGATGTCGGCTCCAATTGTTACGGCGAAGGGATTGTAAGCATGAGACGAGGCTAAAGCCAGTTTCCTCAGAAATAAAGTGAATTTTATTATGAAGAAAGAAGAGAAAATAATACCACATGGCAGCTCGAGATCTCAAGGCCCTGGGTAGAGCCGCATAACCGACACATGCCCCCGCGCGTGACCACGTTCAGCATGTTCCAGCCGCGCCGTAACAACAAGTTGACGAATAAACAGGGTCATTCTGTAGCAGCAGCGCTGTACGGTTATGCCAGGAATATTTGTGAATCAGTTTCCACATCGGCTTTGGCAAACTGTAAAGAGAACTTTGTGTTAGTATAGTCATTCCTGTTCCGGCTCCTTGAGACGAAGGTCTATTACTCACCAAACGGGCAAGTGAAGCTATCGCCTGCCGAGCAGACGTTTCCATCGCAGGTCCCGGCGCTACAATTCTGGCAGTTTTCATCGCAGCACCAGATATCACATTCTGCAGCTCCTTTTTAATCATATATCAGCAAGATGTACGTTGAGGGGTGGGGGGGGAATGCAGGAGGCTGCAGGTTAAGTCTTTTGACCCTGCAGACACATAACCCTTTACATCCACAATATGTAGGATTGTTGAACGGAGATAAGGGGAACATACTGGGAGCTATCCATGGAATGGCTACGGCCAAGGTGCTGAGAAAGACGAGGGCGATGACTGAGAACTTCATGTTTGTTGATGATAGTGTGGAACACTGAATCTTAGGTGCGAAAAAGGTTGAGAGAATAGTGTTTGGCTGCGCTTGCTATTTTGCTTGGCGGCAGACGGTGGCTCTTATATATCTGATGATGGGAGCATTCCTTATTGTCATCTCCTAGTCTCTCAGTGAAACGTTGCTATCTCCTTACCATACTCACCCCTATACTATAATTAGTAGTTAGATGCCTTGTCAATCTACCTAGGTTCGGTCACGTTTGGGTTGTTTTGTTTTGTCGTTCCGTCGTGTAATTCGTTGTCAATGCCTACTATCACGTAGGGCAGGGGCTACAGAGCAGTAAGTAGGTGGTGTTGTCTGTGATGGAGATTAAAATGGATCTTCGAGTGCTCCGGCTCTCAGCGTCCCCTCTATACGCCGGCATAATTAGAAGCTGCCCGCTGGCACGGCCTTGCTCAAAGTTGTCATCCCACACGCTGGTCAGGATGACACCCTCGTCCCAGGTGATGTCTTCTGTCTCGGGCTAGCCTCTCGGAGCGAGACCGCGGCTTGAGCATTAGCACTCTGTCGTAGCACGACTGCGGGGTCAACGACAACTGGGTCATCCTTTCAATGACACCCTCAAATGCGATCCTGAACGCTTTAAGTAGGGCCAGAAACATTAGGCACGGGACCTAGACGAGGACCGGTGGTACTTGCCACGCGCCGTGGTGGCAAGCCGCAGACATTCAATGGTGCCACTCCAAGAATGGTGAGCACACACCCAGAAACATATAATAAGAGCCAGAACAATATATATAATACAAATTTCCACTTTACTCCTATATATATATATCTAATCATAGCGCGCAAAACTGTTGCTTGAGCTGCACGTCAGTTTACCTGAACGCAACCTGAACGCACTTAGGTCGCGTTATTTATTACGAGCCAAGCCTAATACTACGCTCTGATCTGGCAACGTGCCGAACATTCATGAACTCCCAAACCGCTGTCCCACCAGTTCCTCGGAGAACTTCCAAAGGTTCTCCACGGTGCTCTCGCTCTCCGCAAACGCCGCCGACTTCTCGACCTGGCAGTCAGATAGGAAGGCGCCATTGTCCGTCTCGTCCAGGCCGGGCTGGAAGGCCGCGACAACATACGTCGCAACGGCCTGCTGGAACGTCTTCCACCCAAGCCCGAACCTCTCCGCCAGGACATCCGCCTCGGCGCGGGGCTTCCCGCTCTGGTCGCTCGCACGCCCGGGCCCCGTCTGCACGGCGAAGGAGACGAAGCCGCGCCGCGCCAGCCCCTTGGTGAAGAAGATGGTGGCAGCCATGGCGCGGGCGTACGCTACGTCCCGGTCGTGGGCCTCGCCGGGCCGGAACCACAGGTCCGATAACGTCACCTCGGCATTTCGGTGCTGCAGGCTCGTCAGGTTTACGATGCGCGCCCGTGGAGCCAGCGAGCTCCGCAGCAGGCCCGACAGCAGGAAGTGCCCTAGGTGCGCGATCCCCATGATGGTCTCGTAGCCGTCGGCGCGGCGGGTGTAGGACCGCAGGCCCTCAGGGCTTGCGTTGTTGACGAGGATGTCAAGCTTCGCGCCCGATCGGCTCTGCGACAAGTAGACGATCACGTCTTGGGCCGCCTTACGGACAGACGCGAAGGAGCTGAGGTCAACGAGGAGGGGGGCAAGGGCTGTTGCAGATTCGTCGGTCTGAAGGGGGCGCAGCTCGCCGATGAGATTGGCGACTTCGTTCGGGTCGTGAGAGGCGAGGATTATGAGTGCAGGGTTGTATGGAACCATGGTCTTTGCGAGCTCGGCGCCGAGACCTTTCGTGGTTATCCCGGTTATGAGGACTGGCGAACGCGCGTGTATGTTAGTAAAAAGGCAGGTTATCGGTCTCGGTAAGTAGTTCTATAGCATCGCCACGCACTATTTTTGCCAGCAATCTGATCCTTAAAAGCTTCAGCCACCTCCTTTCCTTCGGTTATAGCTCCGAAAGCCGTTTTGGAGTCTTTCGTGAATTCCTCCTGTCGAGCTGCCATGGTGTAGGTGATTCAGAACTTTCCACGACCGGTTTAGACAGATCAATCACCAGAATAAGATGTTGGTGTTAATTTGTTGGAACAATAAGGATGGGATAGGGTCTCCCGGGATAGACGGGAGTATCTATCGTCATATGATAATGTTTCTTGCTGCTGTACCTTGCATTTTGTCCGGCCTGCCTCCCACGCTCGTCACGTTGCGGCATTTGAGGTGTGAAGTTTAGGCGCACCCCGCCAGGTCCCACAAACCATCTCCGCCACTTACGCCATCATTGACGTTGCATGCCGGAAAGAGCGGCAAGTTGGATTGACAATTGAATTGTCTCAAGTCAAAATGCCCTGAAACTTTCAGGTTATGTACCAATGTTATCCCCTGTAGCCTTCGCCTTACTGCTGCAGATGTGAGAGACGTAGCCGTCCATATCCTCAACCGGTCGTGTCGGTGCAACCGCCTAGAGCATGGGCCGACGCTACTTACTGCTTCTCTTGTAGCCCCGGCAGTCGAATGCAGTTGCAGTGTTGAGCCCTAGGATGGCCGTTATAATGAGCAGGTGTAACTGGTTCATCTCGAGGATTTCCTGCTTGACTTTGGAGATATCTATCCCCACGTAAATTTAACTCCGAAAAGCATCTGAACGTTGTGGATTCGAGGAAAGTTGCCCACGACAAGCGCAAAGAAGAGATCCTTCATCTGCTCAGCCTACTTGGTACGTACAACAACAAGTCATCCACCCTCCTTATCTGCTGGGGTGAAGCCAACAACTGCCGTGTGATTCCTGTCAAAATCCGCCATGGAGCAGATGATAAGGAGCAGTGGCGGAGGAAGGCGATGGGCCTGTTTGGGGTGAAACGGGTATCTTTCACAAGGGTAGGTACAATACGTCAAAGATTCGGCATTCCGCAAAAGCTAACACATAAGAGAAAATCTCTCTTGCGGAACAGATCTCAAGGGCTTCCCGAGGTTTGAGACAAAATGATGAGTTTGTCGGGACGTATATCAGAGAAGAGGAGAATGAGATAAGGACACAACACCTGAAGCGGGAAATCGCTAATTATATACCCCAAGACCCACCTTGTGAGTATAACTACGACACTGGGATGGGGTGCTCCTTTTTCTGCGGAGAAGACTTGTCAGAAGGAATATTGTGCCCGGAGAGAGAATTTTGGGATAGCAAGAGAGCATTATCACGCATGGAGAGTCGGCTCCCTCTGGTTTTAGCTTTTCGCGAACCGGCGCTTGCAATGGGTAACGATCTTCTTGAGAAGGAAGACATTTATAGTCATCTGTGAGTACGCTTTTGTGGTTTTAAGACCCAACGAACGAGCTGACCCACGCAGACGAATTCTGAGTCTGCTTCGCAGGTGGAATCTCCCAACGCTTCGCGAGCTAGAATTTCAAGGCCTAATTGTTGACGAAGGCTGGGTACTGCCTCGATGGAATGATGCCATAATTATAATTGGCACGGTAACCTTCATCGCGATTCTGGGCAAAATTGTCTTTGGTGGTTGGGACGCGGCTTGGGGGGTTGCAGCTTGCTTTGTTACTATCGTTGGGTTGTTCACTCGTGGCCATTATTAGAATATGTAGCACCTTGCCTTGGACACCCTAGGTAATTTGCTTTCTTCATATAGTAGAAGAAGAAGAGGCAGATAGAGGAAGAGTAAAATTGTCAGCAGCAGGGAAGGCACTAGGAGTGGAAATATGGATAGGAGAAAGGAGTGGGTAATGAAAGGAAACATAAGAAATGCAAGAAAGGAAATATAAACAAGATTGGAGCTCTGAAGGGAACGCCTTTTCGAGATTACGGAGAACCTTAAATTTCCAGCATGTGGAGGCATTACCTTTGAGTTTTAGTCGCCCGAAACAACTCCCTGCCAGGATTCTGGCGAGGAGTTCACGATTATATTGGGCCCCTTTCAGTTGCAAAGTGCTACCAACTTGACAAACCAGTGCGGACCGTACCTGGTTCCTGTCTGTGCTCGCCCTTTAGCGCCGGTTTAGAGCTTGTTAAGGCGGCGGAGGGTCGGTGGCTCTGGACTCTGGAGATACGGGGAGCATTACAACAAAATGGGATCTAGATTAGCGTCACAGCTCGGGGCCGGGGGTGCACATCTTGGGCATCTTCGGCGGACCAGCGTCACGCCCGTGAAATATCAAGATCATACCCCCGCTTTGTGGAGAGACGACGGGGGTGTTATCGCAATCTGGACCCACTTTTGTTACTGTATGGACCGGCAGTATGGATCGGCAGAACGGACTTTCTTTGCAGCCTTATTTCCCGGAGTAATCCGGAGCTCAAGGGTCTAGACCTCAACCTCCGGACCCTTGTGATGGAAGTATATATATGCCTTACTTCCACCCACACTTAGATCGTTTGGCCTTACGCTTCAGTCAATATAACTCAGTGGCCTCAATTCTCTGTAGATGTAGGCCGGCGAGGCGCAGGGAGCGGAGAGCGCGGGGTCGAGGCACTGGCCTTCGGTCTGCTCAGTGCCAAGTGGAGCGAATGGGAGATATTTTGGCCAGCAGATGAAGCTGTGCAGAGCGTGATTATAAATGACGTGAAGAAGAAATGACTTGGTCGGTCCTCTAATACATTTTATTCGACACCGCATCTTCCACCACTTCTCGCTGTCATCAAAACGTCGGCATGGTACGCTGTCAGGGGCTCGGTTATCCGGCAGGCCTAATGTGGGGTAACTTTAACCACGGCGCTGGGGCTACGGAACTCGCCAAGGAAGTGGGGGTATCCTTAGCCAGCAGGACCCGACGCGGGTCTCGGGTTATGAAATCCGGGAGAGTTGGAGAAGATACATATTCTTAGCAAGTCGGTCGCAACCCACCAGGACCGAGTTGCCGACATCCCCTCTGAGAGTGCATTTTGAACCAGAATCTACCAACAAGGAAATAACAAGATGCCAGCAGCCAAGAGAGCAGTTCGTGTCGCTGGAGCCTCAGGAGGCTTTGCTGACCGACAGCGGGCCATCCATGATCTGGCCAAGAACTGCAATGTTGATGTCATTATTGGCGGTGAGTTCAACAAAAGCTATACTTCGTCCGACGAGTAATTAACTAACGTCGGCGCTTTCGGCAAATGCAGACTGGATGTCCGAGTGCACCATGACCATCCATGGCTCCAGCAAAATAGCCAACGCGAATGCCCTGGCCAAGGATCCCAATGCGGCCGTAATTGACCTTTTTGATCCATCCTTCATGGGCAGTCTCGGGCCTGCATTGCCTTATCTTCAGCAGAACGGCGTAAAGGTGGCCGTAAATGCGGGTGCGAGCGCCCCGGGCTTGCTTGCCAAGACCGTCAAGGACGAAGTGACGAGGCAGGGACTGGATCTCAAGGTTGCCTGGGTAGAGGGTGACGACGTGACTGAGCAGGTCAATGAACTGCGGAAGAGTGGCGAGAAGTTTAAGAGCATCGACACTGGCAAGGATCTGGACGAATGGGGCCACGATCCTCTCTGCGCACAGTAATTTTCTCCTCTTTTTTTTGATAATGCTGTTTCTGCATTTGCACCGGAATTAGCTGACACCGCCGTGTTATCTTCTTCCTAGGTGTTACCTTGGTGGCATGGGCATTGCCGAGGCCTTCAAGAATGGGGCAGACATCGTCGTCTGCGGCCGTGTAGCCGACGCTGCACCGGCAATCGGAGCGGCGGCATGGTGGCATGGATGGGACGCCAGCAATTTTGACGCCCTCGCCGGTTCGCTGATCGCCGGCCATCTGATCGAGTGCTCCACCTACGCCACGGGTGGATACTATTCTGGGTTCAAAGACCTATTCGATGGGTGCGAGAATCTGGGCTTTCCCATTGCCGCCATCGAGGCCAACGGAGACGCTGTCTTTACGAAGGAGGAAAACGGCACCGGCGGCGAGATGTCCGTTGGAACATTGACGTCGCAGCTGGTGTACGAGATCCAAGGCCCACTCTACTACAACTCAGATGTGACTGCCAACATAGAGGACATCAAGTTCGAGCAGATTGGAAAGAATGAAGTGCGAATGACCGGCGTGAAGGGAATCGCTCCTCCGGCAACCACAAAGGTTGGCATTACGGCCCAGGGTGGCTACCAAGCCGAGTTCCATTACCTCTTTGTGGGGCTTGATATTCAGAAGAAGGCAAGTAACGACACCGCACTTGGAGCTTGGGAAGAAGCACCAATTATCCCTGTGGATTGCTGCTAACCGCAACATTAGGCGGAGTGGACCGAGAAGCAGATCCGATACGCGATGCGGGATCACATTCACAAGTTCTCCAAGATCAAGTTCCACTTGATCGGCTCTCCCGCCCAGGACCCCGAAACTCAGGATTCGGCAACGGTCGACTTCCGCATCTTCGTGCAGTCCAAGGACCCATCCATCCTCGGCATGGGCAGCTGGGCCAGCCTGGGCGGCGCCGACTCCTTCACGCGCTGGTGCATGCAGAACTTCCTGACATCAGCCCCCGGTGCGAGTGTCACGCCTGACAGCCGGCAGTCATCCGGAAAGCCCATATTCGAGTACTGGGTGTCCATCCTCCCCCAGGCCGTGGTACGACAACGTGTCTATCTCGAGTGGACTGGCCAGGCCATCGACATACCCACGCCAACCAAGACGCAACCCTATGCCAATGATCAGAAGTCGTACGATACCGCTAACCCAGTCGACCTCGCCAGCTTTGGCCCGACCACGCGCGGCCCGCTTGGTTGGGTTGTGATGGGTCGATCGGGCGACAAGGCATCCAATGCCAACGTCGGCTTCTTCGTCCGGCACGACGACGAGTGGGACTGGCTGCGTAGCCTCCTGAGTACCGAGAAATTGATCTCGCTCCTAGGCAAGGAGTATCTCGGCCATGGGGTGGAACGCTTCGAAATGCCAAATCTCCGTGCTGTGCATTTCTTGGTTCGCGACCACCTGGACCGAGGGTTTAACTCTACCTCCTCGCTTGATGCGTTGGGTAAAAACCTAGGCGAGTTTCTTAGGTCTAAGTGGGTCGACATTCCGGACAAGTTCTTAGCTAGGGGTAAGATTTGAAGCAAGGAAGAAAAAAAGAAAGAGACGGCCAGTCGCACTTCCGGCCCGGGATATGGCCGCGCGCGTGGAGCCTACCATGCTGCTGGCGTCGCCATCCTTGGACCGAGGCGAACATGTATTTTCATAAGGCTTTGAGACAGACGTAACGTTCATTTAATGTGGAATAAGACTCAATGACATGCCCCAGACATGGCTAATAACTAGTAATTACAAGCCCAGTGACGCAGGTACTGCAGCGTCGATACGATCTGATAGATTCCCAAGCCGTCGCTAGTAGAGATGCCGCTTCCGAGCACAGGGGCTCCGAGTCAGAGCCGAAGCCGCCCGAGAGAGTTAAGAGGGCCGGTTTCGGCGCCAGGCCGGCTTTCCCGTCTTCTCAGCTGAGTACGTCGCTGCGGCCAAAACTTCCACTACAATGAGGTTGGCCCCGACTGGTAAATAGGCACACGTAATGTCTGACAGGTAAGCATAAGCTACAGCTTCTCAACGGCAAACACCAGTCTTTTCGTTCTAGGATCATCCCATTTTCGATTCTACTCCGCAATACCCAAGCATTCGTCAAGACAGGCGGTCTGACATTGCGATGATCCAGTTTATGACTGGCAGTTATGGTGATGTCTGGTACCAGTCAACCCTGGTTCAGGACTGTCACGGGATAATGGTTCTGATTGTCTATGGGGACTTAGAAGGTGCCGCTGGCACCAGCTCTATGCCTTCGGCATCCCTAGGTATCAATGATTAATGTTCAGTTTATTCGCAGACTTCTGTTTCTTTATAATTCTAATATTTATACCGTAGGACTCGACTCTTCATCAATATTAACGCCAAATGAGGTAGTGGCAGTAGAATAACTCTTCTGCACAGCCTCGCTGGCGTAAACCCTCATCTCCTTCTCGTAAGCAGCAGTGATGCCGGGCTTGTAGCCACCAGCTTCGCGCAACAACCTCCCAAGCAGGGCGGAATCTCGAACGGCAGTGTTGGCCCCAATGCCTCCTGCGGGTGTCATGGAATGGACAGCATCACCAATGACGGTCACGCGAGGGTCGTTGGGCCATTCCGGCACACCTGAAGGCGTCGAACATGTGATCTTCCAGAAGGTGGCTTCCCACTCGTTCATCTCATCGAACAGCGGCTTAAACCGAGGGTGCCAGTCTTTGGTGAGCGACTTGGCGATATCTGCAGCCTCCTTGCCCATGATGGTGTAGTCGTCGTTGGGGGCGCGGACCACGCCTGGTTGGCCCCCCATCGTCCAGCCGAACTGGATGTCGGGGTTATCCATGTCACCAGGGCGCACATTGGTAATGGCGAAGATTGCGCCATTGGGACGTGTATCGTCTCGCAGCCTGAAGACTCCCTCGCCCAGGCCCTTGAACGCCGTACTTGGCGCCTGGCCGTGGATACCCCTGGCGCCTGTGTCGTAGACCTTGAGCCTCCCACCCGATAGCTGCTTGGCGACCTTGGAGTAGATGCCCTCGCCGCCGATCAGCATCGAACCTTCGACTGACTTGGTGCCGTCGGCAAATATCGCCCTCACGCCGTCATCGGTCAGTTCGTAGCCCGCGACGTGCTTGGACCATTCGATGTGTTCTTCGCAGCCCTCTGCGAATACCTTGCGCATGTCTCCCCGAGCTATACCGACGATCTTGCCCCCCCGTGAGGCCAGGCTGCCAGATGTCTCGTGCTCGATTTGCTCCCCAGTCACAGCATCGAATGCGACGAAGCCACTGCCGCCTGTTTTGCCACATCTGTCCCAGAACCGCTGGAATGTTTGCGGATCGAGGACAGACTCGATGGCGTCGAGACCTTCTGGTGACAGGCGCAGTCGGTACCCTTGCGCGCGAAATACAAACGATGCATCGCGCTCAAAGATCTTGAAGGGGATGTTGGACAGCCGCAGGGACTGGGCAAGCAGCAGCGATGCGAGGCCGCCGCCTGAGATCAGGACTGGCTTGCTGGCTGACATCCTGCTCTGTCCGGGCTGGAAAGGTGATGTGTTGGGCTGGTAGCTCTATGATGAGCTGGTAGCTTGGTCAACAGAATAACCTCTCATATAAGCGGCGGGGTATTCGGTCTCTGCCAAGATGTGCTGCCATTATTAATTCACAGTGCCTGCTGACAGATGGCGTCAGAACACATTGAATTTGCGCATTTATCAGATTCGAGAAATAACATTCTGTTTATCCGATAGGATGAAATCGTGAGAGTGGGGGTCACAGCGGGTGGGGTAGTCATGCACCTGAAAGAGACAGCCCGGGAGGCCCGGGCCGTCGGTTTTCCGGCGGTGCGGGACCCCCGAACAGGGGCGGTTGAGGACGCGTGATGCGTTGGCTGGACAGCTCGGGTGTCTGGAATGGCGCTTGCTGTTGGCGCTTCTTATAGATGCTGAAGCTGCCGAGGCGTGAAAAAGGGTTGCGACAATGGTGATTGTGCTGGGCTCAGCCGGGATCCTACCCGGAGGCTGCCGGGTGCTACGTACCAAGGACACAGCTGCACCAGCGTGAAGAGGCTTGCGGCTAGGTGTCGGGCCGGCGTTTTCGGGCTATGGACAAGCCCTGTGTGTGGGGCTGGCCGGGGCGTGGATGCCTGGAGGGGTCGCCTGAGGGCTGGCCGTCTCTGGGGCTCGGGTTAGACTTGGGCGTGGAGGAGGATGAAACGGAGCGTAACGCGATCTGCGCAGCTTGGATGTACTTCTCCTTGCCTTGGCTTTTCGCAACTTTTCTTCCCCTTCTTCTTCCAACTTTTCTTCTCCTCTCGTTGTTACTCTCGGCCCTTCTTCTTCACCTTGATCATCTTCCCTTTTAAACTTCTTAAACCCCATCGGAGCGATAGATGTGTCTTGGAATAGTGTCCTAACCAGGTCATTTGAGCTTTGGCAATGCCCCTTACAAACAGACTTGGCCCCATGTCATTACCACGACCATTGGGTAACCCGCCTTGGCTCCCACGCCCCCTAGGCCAGCACCCTACCCCTCTGAGAGTTGGCGGCCTAATTTGCCACAAACTTGTTGTCGGGGTCAGGTGCGGAGTAGAGAGCGAGTGAGACGACAGACCACCTGCTGGGTCATAGGAAGGGAGCCAGGGGTTGGTATTTAGAAGGTAGTGGACAAGCGGTCACTACATTCTTATATACATAAATGGGAACAGGGGGCATGCCCTGACCTGCCTAATCCACCATCTGCTGTAACCCGGGGCATCCCAAGGGCCTTATCCGGGCCAGAGGAAGGGGTTGAAGAGGGGCAGGGAAAGGGAACGAGTAGGAGACGAGTTAGGTTCGTGGTGCGGGACAAGATCTGCTACGCGGCAGGGCGCAGACGTAATAACACAGAAGACTGGTGGCACACAAATGGCTTCCGTACTGGTAGACTTGTCCTTGACTCCTAATCTTCCTTGGCGGGTATAATTACCGTTTCTTATTCCCGTTGAGTAACTAATTGGGCATGTGAGGTGTTGATAGGTAACCCTGGTCTCCCAAAGTGCCTTTGCGGCTGGATAGTGTCATGGGAATGGTCATATAACGTGCTGCATTGCATCAACGAGAGTCGTCTAAGTACATACTTTGCCCCTGAATTCCTTCGCGACAAAACTCAACGCCTCAACCCTCCCTTCCGGCCTCGGCCCAACGACAACGCCCCCTTGAGCAGCCGGCCCCCTCTCTGGACGACCATCCTTGCCCTCATCGACAAGCCGCCAGCCGACTGCAGCTGCTCGACAGCAGCCTTCTTACTGTCCTTGTCCCAGACAATCCCCAGCGCAGCCTCGAAAGATGGGCGAGAGGTCATGGGACGCGCAGATGGTCCCGTCCCGGCGCTTCTCGGCGAGGGCCCGCAGCGCACTCTCCAAGGTGCCACCGTGGCTGGCGGTGGGCACGGCGAGGAGCCTGTCGCGCGTGTCGTCGCTGAAGTACGGTCTGCCCATGCTCGTGCCCGGTCTGCTCGAGGCGCGCGCGAGCCGCCTTGTCGGACCCGAAGGCCCGCAGGTCGCGGACAAAGTCGCGGCAGGACTGGCGGAAGCCAGGCTGGGAGGTCGAGAGGTCGGCCAGGGCCTCCTCGCGGAGACACTGCGCGCGGATGTGCCGGTCCCAGATTCCGGCGAAGGCGTCGCGCCATGGTCCACGGAGAAGGGAGTGCTGCCATACCTCGGCGGTCAGGGGCACGTCCCTGGGCTGGCCGTCAGGCCCGATGGTCTGTACGACGATCTTGGTGGGGTTCTTGAGGCGGGAGAGCTCGGCGTCGAGCCATCCTGGGCGAATTGTTGTTAGGGAAGACAGGGTTATGGGTTTGTCGAGCGAGCAACTCACCGAGGAGATAGTCCTTCGTGAAGGTGACAAAGTCGTCGTCGCCGACTCTGATAGAGACAACGTCGTCCTGCTCGGTGATAGGCTCCATCGTAGTGATGTCCGCGCTGCCGGTCTTGTGACGGACCTTGGGCTGGATGGGAAGCTCTGGGACGGCGATGCCGCGAGCGGCCGACTGCTTGCGGCGGTCGGCAAGCGACTGCGCGTAACTAGAGGATCGAGAGATGTTTGGGGAGGGGTCATCCTTGCCACGGATGATGATCAGAACGAGCCCGTCGGCCCGGCAGTAGAGGTTGTACGTCGCGATGATGCTCTCGTCAGTCAGCAGTTGGACGGCGGCCGACATGCCCTGCGAATGAATGTAAAATGCGTAATCGTTGACATCGCCCTTGGCGTTGGTGATCTTCAGACACCTCCGAAGAGTGATGTCCATGTTTCTGACCTCGGAGAGGGTACGCGAGTGCTGCGCGAACGAGGGCACCGGCATGTCTTCCAGGAGGAAGAACCACAGCTGGTCTTCCTTTGGGGCATTCTTGGACACAGACGACGACGACGATGCGGATGCCATGGCCTCTGGTGGTGCAAACAACACGAAACTACTGGGGCATATTGGAGATGAAGAGCTGAGACGACGGAATGTCGTTGGATTTGAGTTTGGATGCGATTTCGCCTGGTTTTGGCAGGAGCAGTGTGTCGTGCCTTCCCTCCGCTCGCTCGCCATGCACAGCACCCTCATATTTCACCGCAGACAGTTCACCATACGTTAAAAACACGAGTAAATGCTATCCTTTCAGCTGTTTTAGTTCTTCTGCTTCTTCTTCTGCTTCTGCTTCTGTTTCCCGTTGCTGCTCCTCGTGCTCGACTTCTCCCCCCCTCCACCTCCATTTGGTGCCTCGGTAGGGATTCTCCCCTCCGTCTCCCCATTTCCCAATCCCGACCGTCTCAAACGGCCCAGAAACCGTTCTTCATCCGTCTCCCCTCCCTCGATCCCGAATATCGCCTCGTAGATGGGTGCCATGTCGTGCGGCCCGCACGGGCGCGCATCGCCGCTTGCCCGCCTCTTGTCGAAGAAGTTGGCCATCGCGCTCTGGATCGCGCTCTCCGCCGTCTGTCCGGGATTGAATTTGACGAGGTTGATGCCATCCTTGTCGGCTACTCTTGTCACGGTGTCGACGATGGCACCCTTGACAGCGGCAGCTTCTTTGGGCGTGAAGTATGGGCCGCTGATGTAGAGAGGATCTGTGGTGTTGGAGATCCGGTGCTGGGAGGTGTGGTTGCTAGCGACTTGGCGAAAATCATGGATGAGGACGCGCAGCTTGTACCCAAGCGTTGGATCGGCGCTGACAGCTGATGTTGTCGCCCGTGGCAGCGACGGGCTGCCCGGCAGAGACGCCGGTGGTGGTTTCTTGGAAATATCTTTCTTCCCCATTGATGGAGGTCTGGCACAGGTCTTGGACATAGTATGAGTATGTTGGAGTATCTTGGGAGAAAGGGAAGAGGCGACGGGGGAGAGAAGATGAGGTAGGAGTCACTGTGGCAAGCTGCGAAAGGTTTAAGTCCCAAGCCACGTGACTTTCATGTGACTTTCTCGACGTGGAATGAAACCTTCGACCAAAGAACCTTTTGTACTGTAAAGCTAAACCATTTGCCTTTGGCAGCCTACTTGCATACTATGAATGAAATGCTTCGCGCGGAGGTTGAACGATCTAGGTATGCGGATTTAAGCTCCAAGAGCCAATGAGATTTGAGAGTTTCAACCAATGAGATCTGAAAATTCTTAAGAATTAATGAGAGGCCTGAATTCCGAGATATTTGAGATTGGGGAGCCAATAGGAGTCCAGTTAATTATTTCTCAGGCTGTAATAATCGCTTCGCCCTGAGTAAGATCCCAATTTGGAGCCATATGTTGTGGTCCCAGTGAGTGAGAAAGAATCCCCCCTGATTAAAGGCGTCCTTTAGCTAGCTGCCACAATTCAGACCGGACTATCAGGGCAAGCATGACCCCTAGATATGGTCAACCGACGAACTTCGAGACCCGACAAAGCTGATGGGGAGAATATGAACACGTACCAAATATGAGCAGGCAGATTTGCGTCTTGACGTTGGTAATGGAGGAGAGAAGGGTAGAGAATCTTTTCTCCTCGGCCATCGTACCCGCTGACAGACCTTTCCCCTGCGGTTCGGTGTCTGCAGGCTTCTCGACGTCGCCTGATGCTGGGTCAAGTGATCCTACGTCAGTAAGCGCGGCGAGTCCCTGATCGCTCTCAGCCGCGCCGTCAAAAATCTTCGTATTCCTCTCAACAAGCTGGAGAATCCGGTCCTCGTTCTCGAAACCAACCATTTTGATGAACTCGGTAAGAGAAGCAGCCTCGCATGCGTAGGGTATCAAGCGAGCGGGACCGAATCTGACCAACAACTCCTGACGTTCCCTTCCCACGGTCAGCCTGAACACCCAGGTTTTGCCATCAGGTCTTTCAGCCACGAATTGAAAATGCGGGTTTGCTCCATGCTCGAGGAACTTCTCCACGATATAGCCAAGAATGGGTAGCTTTGCACGCGATCTCCACGCATTGCTGACATAGCACTCCAGCAGAAGATGCTGCCAAACTGTCATATCCATGTTCAGTTGTGTCCCCAAGTCTTGCCTATCAATGGGGGTTTGAGCCCCAGCGAACATAATGTTTGTCGGCCTTTGAGGGGTAAGACCAAGATTAATGAGAAGGCCAACCGTGTCGAGAGCATCTGCTGTGTCGATTTTTGACAACGACTTCCATATACAAGTCAGCACAATTTCCATGCTGAGCTGCGAAAAGGCGGTGGGATCGTGCGTCAGTTTCCATCTGACATAGTCGTGGTTCCCTATAAAGGCAGCTTGGTATATTAGATGCTGATGTTGGTTGGTAGCCGAGGCGTCCATTTGATTGCGTTCATGACAATGTACTTGGAGAAACGTATTGGGGCGACAATACACCTCGACAGCCGCTTGATCAAACGGGGACATCCAGGACATCGGGGGTCTTTGCATCAGGATTCGGGATGACAGCGCCACCGAGAAAGCCTCGAGGAACAAATACGGTGCGCTGTCCAGTTTTTCCCGGTATCGAAGGGGAACCAGCCCTAAATACAACCTGTTTGAGGAAGCGAGAGCTGCCAGCTGGGGGTTTGCCAGAAGATCGGCAAAGACTAGGTGGGAGATGGCATCCACGGCGTTGAATCCTGACAGGAGGCGTGTCATGTGGTCTTTCCGCGCATCGGTTGACAAGAACTCAAAGAAGGACCGGTGGGTGAAGTTTATATCCTGACCGACGCCGGAACTCATTCCCCCACGCCTAGAATTCTGAATCGGCTGCACTACCTCGATGAAGCCCCTGCAACACCCGCCGAGGCGTTTGAGCGCTGACTCCTTTCGAGCCACAAGCTCACCTGGCTCGAGTTGAGCATGGGCAAACGATTGTTCCAGGGCGAAGGACGGGTTTTGGTTGTAGTCGTCAAGGAAGGAGTAGGCAAGAAGTGGCAGACAGGGGTATCGGATTTTGCTCAATTTTGCAACCATTGAAAAGACCTGGTAAGCTTCCCTGAGGTCCGATTCGGGCATAGAATCGAGAAGGACGGTAAATAAGCCTTCCATCTCCTTGGGGAGAGCGTTGATCTCGAGCCTCAGGTTGTCTGGGCTGCGGCCGTTTTCGATCTGCTCGCGCATTCTTTTCACCACGACGGCCACCCATAGAAAAATGCCATGGGCATTGTTCACGATATCGTAGGTGAGACCACTCTTAACTTTTTCATCATCCATGGGCCCAAGCATGCCGGAAACATACTGTATCATGTCCCGTCTCGTTAGTTCGTGGAGACGGATACGTTTGTTGGCTGAAAACGCGTTCATGAACACATTGTATTCCCTGCTGGAGACACACAACTTGACGTTGTTCGGCGCAATTGTGGTCCAGTTGCAGAGTAAGTCCACCAGGGATTTGGAGTCGTCTTGAATGGTTCCCTCATACTCATCCAGGCCGTCGATGAAGAAACAGAAGCAGTGATCCTTGTATAGACTGGCATCCGATATTAGGCGGGAGAATGCCCTTGCGATATCCTTGTCGGAAAAGTGAATATTGTTCATCACTTGCCACGGCATTGACTTCCCCTGTTGCCAGTAGTTCGGAAGGACCTTCGGAATGATCCCGGGAGAGGCTTGTAAGACATCGTGGAGCAGAGATCGGAAGAGGCCAGTCAACGACGACTGCAAGACTGAGCCTGGCTTCCAGAAGAAGAAGCTTGCAAAGACAAGGCGCCGAGGATCTTTCCCGAGCCTATTAGATTCGTCTGTCACCAGTAAGCAACGAAAGGATGGAGACCACGTACGTGCCCATTGATCGAGCAGAGCCAAGGTAGATTCATGCTCGCAGAGAAACTTCATCAAGGTCGACTTTCCAGACCCCAACTTTCCAGAGATATGGAAAATGCCGTTTCCCGACGATAGCCAAGCGTGGAGGGCTTCCTTTGCCGCTGCTTTTGGTTTATCTATCTCGGCAACAGGAGACAGCATGGGGCCATCAGCCTTGTCAGCTCCGTCGAGTGTTCCAATAGGACCAGCTCCCGTCTCAACCTCGCCCCTGCCTTCGCTGCTGGCTATACTGTCACTATCGTCGTCGGATGTATCGCTTAGATCGGAATCCGAGTCGTCGTCGAAAATCCATCGGAGCGTCTTGGAATGGGCGTCAGAGACGGCCTCGTACCGCCGATACATTCCCTCAAAGCCCAGGCCTGCTAGGATGCGCTGTTTGGCCACCAAATCGCCAGCATGTTCTGAAATGCCTAGGAGCGAGCGTAATTGATCCTGCGCCACGGGACTGAGTGACAAAATTTCCACTCCTCGGCGGAGATGGTCGACTTGGCTGGACAGTCGCTGGAGCTTAGACGTGTCGTCTCTGGCGGCCGTAATCAGCTCGTCCAGCTGGGATTTAACCTCGGAGCTGCCAGACAGTCAGCAACGTCCCAATAGCCGGGGGGACGTCGTCCCCACCTTGTGAGATGGTTAAGCTGCAAGCCAAGTTGATCCCGGCAGTGGTCAAGCCTCTCCTCTAGTTTGCGACTGTCGCTCTCATACCACTTGGTCCTTACGGCCGCCAAGAGACTGGCGCTCTTGGACTTTCGCCCCCTGGGCTTAGCCTTTTCGACGAGGGCAATGATCTGCTTGGCCAGATCATCGCATTCCCTTGCGAGCGTGCAGAGAGCCTTCTCATCCCCCGTGAGTTGAGAATCGACCGGTGGCTGGAGCTTGGAGGCAAAATGTCGCATCTCTGTCACGACTGTCTTGGTGTTGCGGTTGCCCGAAGAATCGCCCGAGGGTGATTCATAGATTTCTATAGCGCCGGAAACCACCTTGACGCCGAAGTCGATGAATGAGAGGATGTTCGATGCGAGGCCGATTGCAGTGAGCGGATCCATTGCGCGTGCCTAGAGCCTTGCGGGGGCTGCCGCAAATGCATTCAGCTTCACTGAACAGGTAGGAGTTGACGGCTATCTTGGGGGGTGAGTTGCAATGCGCTTTCTTAACAAACACATGCCACATTAGTGCACACCAGATACGCTGTGCTATTTTCGTGGATACCCAGGCTCGGGCTCGAGGGCTTGAAGGCGGACGGTGAGTTGCAGCTCAGCTGAATGCAGATTTAGGTTGCAACACCAGGATGCGATGCGAGCCTGAGAAACAATCGTGGCGCAAGGTCAGTCAGTGGCGGTGCTCGCTCCGCCACAGTCTGACCGACAACCAGCTGCTCGCAATTCGTGCGACCGCATTTAAACCGATATCCAAAAAACCGTGACTGGTGGAGGCGACGTGGTTGGCAACAATGTGCAGTAGAGCAATTCGGCTTTTACGTTGGACCCTGAGAACTACCCCGGTCTCCAACCTCGAGGATGGGGTCTGTTCTCCCTCGTCGCTGGTTGAACCGAGCGCAGACGCCAGCGAGGGTGGCGGTCTTGGCAGGCTCCTCGTCGTGGGGCTCGTCAGCTAAAGCTAACAATATCTTCGTGTGTCGAGGGAAATCCCACGAACGGTCTGACGATGACCGGCGGGAATGCCGCCAAGGCATGGATGGGGACTTACCACTCGTACAGGCGATTATCACAAGCATCGGACGCCCAGCCAAGTTGGACAGACTAAGGCGTTCATCGTGCCCGCGAAGGAATGAGGAGACGAAGGCAGAGATGAAGCCAGAAGCGCCTGGAAGGGTGTGCACGAAAAGTTCACCCTGCTTGAGGCAGAAAGGCAGCAACGGGCTGCGCCCATTCTCATCTCGTCGCGCACCAACAGCATCCAGCGTTCTTGTGCCGACCTCTCCAAGGAATCGGCATCCATTCATTTAGATCATCGGGGTGCACAGGGCATCACGGACAGGCCGCCCTTCCTCGCCCACGCAGCGACCCCTTCTTCGCCTGGCCTCCGTCGTGGCACAAGCGCTTCGCCTGTCTCGCCACTGTCGCCGTCCTACTGCGGCCGGCCCGACCCGACCCGTCACCTTTCGGCCAACATATCATCGCGGGCGGTCTCCATCTTTTTCAGCCACCCCGTCGTGCAGCTTCAAGTGTGCCATCTCCGCAGCGACAGAAGACCCAATAACCCCATCAGGAATCTCTGCAGCATGTTTGTATGGGGCTTCAACTTCGTCGATAAACCCCTGAATGGACCACTTTCCAGCCAGCATCTCATCGTATGTGGTCTCCGTCCTTTTCAGCCGCTCGTCGTGCAGCTTCAAGTGCTCCATCTTGGCGGCGACAAATGACTGAATATCGTCCTCGGAAATCCCTGCAGCAAGCAAGTCCCAGTCTGGAGTGTGGTCTTTTAGCTGCTCCCAGGGCAAGCTGTCAGGACCGTGGAAGAACCCTTGCAGGACCATGTGGTACCACATTGTCCCCTCGGTCTCGGATCGCTCGACCAACTTCGAGAGCTCCTTGCTCTGGTACTCTGGCGTGTGCTTCTCTTCTTGTTCCAGAACGCGCTTAAATAAGCCCAAGTGCCTGAGAAACCGAGCTCTTATGTCGGGGGTAAAGTCCCAGAGTTCTGGCCTTTCCTGGAGGAGCCACCAGGGTGCAGTGCCAAGTAGCTGAGCTGGGCCGGTATACGACCACTCAAAATCGACAACTCCAGTGATTTTTAGCCTCTCCCTGCTGTCGACACGCATATTTGCTAGGCCAAGATCGTCACAGATAAGCTTGAATGGTCCTTTGTTATACTCTGGCCAGACATGACGATTAGTCAAGGACTTCAGAACCCTGAAGAAGATATATTTCTGTCGGGCATCGTCTTCATCCTCGACCGAATTCAGCTGTCCAAGAAGCTGCCGCCAGTGTTGCTCGACGACATAGTCGAAATACTCCTTGGTTGTCGAAAATCCTGCACTGCGTAGGCCTGATCATTCTTAGTATTGCAAAGAGGGAAGGCAGGGGGGCGGGGAAAGCATAGCAATACCAAGAACGTCAACTCCCCCAAGGCGGACGATCTCGTGGGCCGTCACTGTAAGCGGCCGCCGCGTATGGGTTGATTCAAAGGGTAGACTGCTGATCTGGCTGAAGTTGAGGTTGAAGAGCTGGAGCGTGAATTGAGCAAGCTGTCGGTAAATGATCTCGACTTCCTTGTCGTCCAGGTCATTCCTCAAGAGCGTAGATCCTTCAGCCTCTTCCCTCAGAATATTCTTGAGGCTTATGCCTTGGATGAATTCCTCCATGATATACGGGCCCAGGCCAAGTGCATTATCGCTGGCAAGGCCCCAAGCCTTGACTTTGGGGACGGGAATGTTGGTTTGCTCGTGGAGAAGCCTCAATACCGCCACCTCGCCAGCAACCTTCTCGTCAAGGTGTGCCTCACTCGTTTTGCCGGGTATTGGAAAGCGAATGATCCATGCCTCGTTGTTAGTAAAAACCACCTTCTGACATAGATTAAATGAGCCATAAAGCTCGTCTCCTTCCATTTGACAAGGCAGTCTCTGTGGATGGAATGTCGATGCCCATTCCGGTATCTCTTCCGTTCTTTTTCTCAAACGGTTGAGCCACCGAAGCCCCTTGACTTCCTTGACACGTTCGAGGTTCTTGTCGGTGTCCATAGAGTTGATTGGGGTTATACGCTCGCGGCTAGAGGGAGGAGGGAAGAAGCGCAAAAGAGGTGCCAGGGAAGAAGCGTGGGCAAAAAAACAGCTGCGAGAGAAGAAGCGCGGGCAAAATAAGTGGTGCAGGAGAAGAATGGTATCAACAATTATGGGCAGGATGAAGTATCCATATAACCCTCCTGCCCGGGCTCGGACATTCTGTGTTTCTGGTGCGGGGGTGTGGGGGTTGGGGTTGTCCCTTGACGGTTCTCGGAGGAGTAAGTGGTGGTCGAGTATTTTGGATCGGGTGTGCTTGAGAGTTTGACGACATGGATCGGACTGGGTGTGGCCCAAGGACGGCCTATTTATGCTTTGCTGGGACGCCAGCAAGATCCCAGAATGGGCTCCAGAACAGGCCCAGAACGCCATCAGCTCACGTCGGGACCATGGCGCCCGGTCCTGGATGTATCATTCCCAGGTCGGGATGGTATGGGGGACCGCCTGTCCTGCTGTCGGTCACCCTGAGGCAGCGCGAAGTGATCCGCCAGTGGGTTGACCTTGGTTGCTCTGCCGAAGTCGAGCCACGCACGTCTGTTCGCGGACGTCGCTCCACGTTTGAGACGGAGTCCTTGTTGTTGCTTGTTCATCTGATGTGAATCGTGGAAGAGATCCTGGCACGTTGGTGGCGTTCTAGTTGGATGGAGGGCAGATCGCTTGTACATCGGTTCGTCGGGAACTGCTGTATATTGGATAGCAGAGGCAACGCACGCCTGCAGGGAGCCTCTATCCGGACGGGGGATGGCTGCGTGGATGGGTCCCTGACGTGTTCAGCATGCCTGGCTTCGTTCTGGTCCCAGGCTAGTTCCAGTTCTTGTATGGGGGAGGTGGATGCAGGAACGTGTCCAATGCCGGCTCCACGTTCAAGAGAATGGCTGAGACAACGAATGTCGACCCGCAAAATGCATATCCGCAGGAGCCTCTAGCCCAGTTTCGGTTGCTGAGCGGAGGAGACGGCTTTTTGCTACGGCCAGGAGTTCCTGCAGCAGCTCAAGGGCAAGGGCCTCCTGCCGCTCATCGAGGAGACGGAGAAGAAGAAGGCCCTGCCATTTCGAAGTGTCGAACTTAGTATCAAACTTAGCCCTGAGAACGAGTGAATAGTCGAAGGGCAACATGGGGCCGCAACACCAACTTGGAGACAAAAATTAGTGACAGGGATGCAGTGAGCAAATGTAGACGGCTTGCGTGATCAGTTACGGCGGGAACGGGGAAAGTGTACCAATGTGAGGAGACCGCCAACGATCGAGTGAACGCGGGGGCCATGCCTAAGGATTCGACGGGACGGAGGCGGTGTCCCCAGATTAGACCTGTTTGGTTCAGCTCCCTCCAGGACCTGCTCTGTCCATGTTTGTCAGTCGCTCAGCCAGCTTGGATCCGAACACACCGGTCGGCAGGCATAAGAGTGCCCTTTCGTTCCCCGTCAAGAACTCCACCACCGCAACCATGCCCGGTCGTCTCGTGCGCAACTGCTAGTGTGAAGGCACTAATCCGGTCGACGTTGCAAATTCGTCTTTTTGTAGGCGGTGTTGCAACCAGTGCAGAAACAGTTCCATCAGCCCACACATTAACACATCATCAACTTCACAGGGCCATCGATCTCAACGCCTCTGCCCGGCATCACATCCCGGCTCACGATACGGCCTATCCTTCTGTCAAGACACATTCCCATGGTCTCCCCGCCAGGTCTGGGCCAAATGCAAAGCCAGGGATGGCCCGCGTGAGGTCTGCGAGAGTCAGCGAAGTGTCCGAGACTTGGACCCCGTCTTGGAGACTAGAAATGCGCCCCCCAGAAAGTTGAGACGACAGATTTCCTCCGGAATGGAGTCCAGAAATGGACCTGTCTAGAATGGACCCCAAAGATGGACCTCTAGAGAGGGCCAACTCGCCAGCGCTAACGCACTGCTACCTATGTCACATGGCAGGCACTCTTGGCACTAGCCAACATGCTCTACACTAATGCGCGCATTGAGTTGGGCTTCGATATGTGCTCCCGCATGCTATGGGAGTGACTGATTTGTCTATCACTGTGGGTCCATCTGGATGTCCTTCCTCTTTTCAACATCAATCACCACTACGGAGCTGGTCGACCAAAAAAAAGGATGACGAAGCTCAGTGGGAGAACTTTGTTGACGTTGTCGGGGACACATCGAAGGTCAAATCTAGATTTCTTGGTTCTTTGAAGACGGTGGCCCGTTTCTGGGGTGAGCATTTCGTTCAGCACTACGAACTGGCGTCCAAAGGCGCAAAGTATTGAGGTTGCAGCCAGTGCCGGCTATTCCTCGGAATCACCCTCGGTGGACTTCGTGCATGGGGGGCTCTTCCATCCCAAACTCGCTGATGCCAAGCGCCAGCGACTGAGGACCGCCGCTCTCCAACCACCACCCTCCGACCATCGCCCTCCCAACGCCGTACGCCGTGGATGCTTCCGACTGCCTGCGATTGCATCTGTGAACTGACTGCCCCCGCCCCCGCAACAGCCTTTGCCCCGGTGCTGCTTCCCCTCTCTGCCCGAGCACGGGACGACAATGACAGGATACGACAAAATCGTCGAGGCCGATGCCGAGGAGGAGTGCAGGGCTTGGATACGCAGGCTTATCGACGCAAAAGACGAAGTTGTGGCCTTTGTAGATGCTCGCCTGAATGGCGGTGGAGCCGGGACGTACAAGGGTTTTTTCAAGGGATCTTTTAACCTTAGCTATCACATCGACTTCGGCGATCGACGACCAAGCGTTCTCATCCGCTTTGCAATGCCGGGCGAGTCGGCAACGCCATGGAGAGCCGAAAAGGTCGCGAACGAAGTGCGATTCATAGAGTATCTCCGCGAGAACACCTCCATTCCCTACCTCACATACACTGCTGGGGATCAGTGGAGGAGAGCCCGCGGCAGTTGGGGCCATTTATCATCATGGACTTCGTCCGGGGGACTCGTCTGTCGACTTTCCTCAGGCGGCCGACCGACGACGAATACGAGGCAGCGATCCTGAACCCAGATCTACGAGGCAACGCTCGACAAGGTCTACGAGCAAATCGCTGATTACATGCTTCAAATATCTTGTCTCGCATTCTCCCGTATCGGAGCCATCTCCAAGGATGACGGCGAATCGGGGACATGGACTGTTACCGGGAGGCCCCTGACATTTGACATGAACATATTGGCGACGAGCACAGGCTACCCCGTGGACCAGTTTCACACCGCACCGTTAGATCTCGCGAGCGACTTCTTCGAGTTAGTGGCGCGCCAGCATCTCCTGCACCTCGATACCCAGCGAAACCTTGCCGACGACGAGGCCGACGCTCAGAGGCGGTTCGTCGCCCGTCAGCGGTTCAAGCAGCTCATCCCAAAGTACTGCACCGACAACGCCGGGCCGTTCAGGATCTTCTGCGACGACATGCAGCCCTCGAACATGCTCATTGACCCAGATACCCTCCGTATTACTGCCATGCTCGACTTCGAGTTCACGAACAGTATGCCGGCCCAGTTCGCGTACGACCCGCCATGGTGGCTGTTGTTGAGGGGACCGGGCATATGGATTGAAGACGACGGCATGGACGACTTCTTGGCCAGTTACGTGCCCAGGATGGAGCAGTTCCTACGAGCGCTGGAATGAGTGGAAGCAAAGTCGTCATTGGCCCGGGGTGGAGGCCCGGCAGCGGAACTGCGTCTTTCCACCCGGATGCGTGAATCATGGAGGACCGGGCGTTTCTGGTTCAACTATGCCGCAAGGAGGTGCCTAGATGTCGACATCATCTACTGGGAGGCTTTGCATGATCATGGAGATGGCGATGGTCTCTCCTTGCTCGACCCGGCGACGCGGGCCGAGGCGAGGCGCTTGGTACGGACAAAGATGGAGCAGCTGAGCCCATATAAGGCCGAATGTGCCACACCATCGAAGCAGCATCCCAAGCGGCCAACACCAAGCTGACCAGCGTCTACAACGATTTGGACTCTCATTTGACGGACATTAAGATAGCCAAGACTACGGGAAATACCGGAGCCATCATAGGAGCCATCCTGTGTTTCACTCCTGCGGCAGCGATAGGGGCTGGTCTAACAGCTGTAGGCGCAGCCACCTCGCTTGGCGCAGATACTGGGGGGACTTGCCTTTTCGAGCACAACGCCTCTGAAGAATTCGAAAAGATCATGGGAACATATAATTCCGCGTCCAAAGCCGTGGTCGACACGTTTCAAAACGTTGAAGAGGCCAAGGAGGACATGGATGGCCAACTCCCTGGCGGAGCTCATCACTCTGCTACGCACCTGGCCCATGCCGCAGCCACCAGCAGGTGGCCAAACTCGGATGAGCGACTGTCTAATGCAGACTGACCAAAAGAATGAACACCTCAGGCTGTACCGAGCGCCGTTGTCGCCGCCTTACCCTCTGATTAGGCTCAGCCGGTTAAGGAGGACTTGTGAATGGCTTTTGTGGCGTCCGTAACGCCATCGCTTTTGGGTCTGAAATGCTACAATTGCTGATGGAGCCCACTAGACCGCCGTACTACGGTCTTCTCTTGGCCTTAACAGGCTCACAACTTTACTTTCGCTGGTCTACCGGCCACTACTCCGTGTTCCCTTGGTGCATGCGAAAGGAACGCCGTTTGGGCAATTGAAGCCTGACGTTGGAATTTGGATACGGCGAGCAATCTTGTCGCGAGAGGCGACCCATCCCGAGAAATGCAATGAAAATCCCCCGGTTCTCAGCTCGTTTCCTCCTCCACCGATTTCTCCCGGACCGTATTCGCGACCATCCGGTCGCATTGCCGTTTAATAACTTCGATCGCCTTCTCGTCCGATACCGCGAACCACTTGCGGTTCAGCCTCATGCACCCACGGTGGCAGTGATCCCTGAACGCTTTCAACCTGAATTAATGGATGCCGTACCGTTGTCCCTCTTTTCCAAGTCTACCAAGCCCTCGACGTCTTCCATCTAGAGAAGACTCCTTGTGTTCAATCGCCCCTTCGTAAGTCTCATCCGTAAATCTTCACGTTCGTCAAATCACAAAATATTAAACCATTCCGTACGGATTCTTCGCCATCCTCGCGGTCCATTTCTGAATGACATCGACGGCCACTTCCCCCGACACCTCGAACCACTCCTCGTGCTGCACGCGGCAAGGCCCGCACGCGACCCGGACCCGGCAAGCCTCTAGCTCCGCGTGGCACAGCGCCTCGGCCCGCCGCGGATAGGGGACCAACACCGCATCTTTGGAGTCCACCGGATACGCGGCCGCCACCTTCCGGTCGCAAGCCGTCTGCCACTCGATGTGCCGTGTAGCCACGTCACGAGACGTGTATCCAATTTTGACGTACTTGGAATTCTCCTTGACCGTGTACGCGTACAGGAAGCCCCACTCGACTGCCTGTTCTTCTTTCGTCAGGGGCTCCCGCCACTTGCTGGTGACGCGCTGGCGAATGGACTCGTGGTCTCCGGGCTCGTCAGACCGGTCGACAATGCGCAGCGGGGACTCGTCGTGGCCGGACGGCGTGGACCTGCTATAAATTTCTTGCTCAAACTCCGTGAGCGACTGCAGCGCGGGCGTGGACGACGGTCCCACCGGAGCGGCGGCCCGCGGTAGGTTCCTCGTGATGTCGCGGATTTGCGACAGCCACTTTGCCACCCACGCGGCGTCGAGTTTGTTGTGCACCGAGCAGCGCCGAACCAGGTCGAGGAGCTCGAGCGAGATCTTGAGCTTCTCGTCATCCAGGTTGACGGCGAGCCTCGCAATCTCGTCGGCCAAGTTGTCGCAATGGCGCATATTCCTCCCGGCGATGAGTTTTTGGCACCGCTGGCCGGTGCTCTCCGCAATGACGGGACATTGAGACGACAAAGGGCGCAGCAGCTCCTTTATTTTCATTTGGGCCTCATCAAAGGGATTGGTAGTGGTGATTGCTGCGGCCGGAGGCCCGCCCGGAAACAGCGCCAACCACTCGCGGGCCCGGTCCTCTGCGTAGACGACCCCCGGGTGGGACTCGCAATGCCATTTCCGCGCGAGCTTGACCAACTCGGCCCACAAGCCGGGCGATGCACGCGTGAGACCGGCTAGCGACTCGAGGATCTCGTCGACTGCGGCCTTGTGCCTGTCACCCTTGCGATAGGGCATCGACTGCGCCCTACAGCGAGGCCCCGTCAGCGGGTCGGGGTTCGTCTCGCACTTCTTCAGGTAGCTGCCGCACGTCCAGCCTCGGAGGCCGAGAAGCTTTCTGAGCCCGCTGGCGGACTTGTAGACATCTGTGGCAGTGACAGGAACGTCGTAGATTGGGAACAACGTCATCCAGCGCGCCACCCGATCCGCTTTATAGCGTCCCCAGGCGTGAAGATGGCAGTGCCACTTGCCGGCGACCTGGTCCAGCAGATCCGCAAGATCTGGGTCCGCTAGCTTCAGTGTCGCCAGGGGCACCAGCAGCTTGTCTATTTCGCCGTCTTTACCCGCTGAAGGACAGCCACACGATCCATCGGGATTATCCTTCTTGCCGCTGCCGCAGTAGCGGCTGTCGAGTCCCAGGCGCGCCCGCAGTTGCTGCATGGCCGTGGCCTCTCTTTGCGCCGCCGAGGCAAGCGCTCCCGAGGTGGTCGCTTGGGCCTGATGATATGGTGTTGCGGGGGGACTAGGGAGGGAGGGAGCAGGACCGGCCGTCGAGTACTTCGCGGGGGTCGGGGAGCTTGAGGTCGAATAAGGGTTGGTGGCCTTGGTGGTGGTGACGCTCCCGCCGGGGGTATGAACGTTCTTCTTGGGAGGGGTGGTCGGCGGGGAAAGCAAAGCCCTTCCCTGCGCCGGGACCAGCACCGGCTCATAACTCGGTGCCTTGCTGTTGCCGCCAGCAGAAGCAGGCGGTGCGACTGCTGCCATTTTTGTGTTGCCAGAAGGGAAGCTGGCCAACCAGAGTTCGACCCGGGGACCGACCCGGATGTCCTTGTCGTAGTGGAGATCGCAATGCCAGGTCTCGGCGAGCTCCTTCAGCTTCTGTCGCAGATTCGGGGAAGCCCGCGTGAGGCCGACAAGGGCCGGCAGCAGCTCGCCATCAACCTTAGTCTTGTTGGGACCTGGAGCGGCGGCCGGCGAATTCCACTTACACGGCCAGGGTTTGGTCGAGCTGCTGCCACACTTGCCATTGAGGAGACCGAGATCCTTTTTGAGCTGGGCGACGGCCGTCGCGCTGACGACGGGTCGAGCCGGCCCCGGCGTGGGGGCAGGGCTGGCGGGGTACGACGACATTTGCGACTTGACTTGACCTCTCGACCTGGCTCAATGCTGCCTCGGGCTGACTTGGCCGCAAATATATGGAAAATAATGATTTGGTATCGATGATGATGCTCCTGGGCAGGTTGTACCTGGAGAGAACATCTTGATCAAAGACAAGAAATCCCCGGGACGCGGCACAGTTAAACTTGTTCAGCTGGACGGGTTGACGGGAACTGCGGGGGGGACGAAGACTCCAACGGGTGGCCAATTACATACAGCCCCTGTCCTGTAGACGCCAGCCCCGCTGGCTGCCTTGCCGTCTTTGGGTCGGGGCCCGCGCGGTGAGACGACATTCCCTCCAATAAATCCACTTGCATTCCGCCACCAGTTTCAATATTCGTACTCCGCCTCGAAGCACCTGGACCAACCATTTCGCGACGCCCTACTCATTACGCAGACGTCTCTCCCGCCCGTGGCAGGCGTCCTCGGCGCTTGTCGACTTATCGCTCAGTCCAAAGCCCGCCAGGTCCCCTGCGCGTGGACTTGACAATCGTAGCTATTTCTTCGTCTTTGACATCATTCTCTCCCTGTAATTTACTGCTAATCATTCAGTGGATCAGAATGTGAGTGGATTCCTCCGAATTTGGCGCCATGGTGGTCAAATTATTGATGGCTGATGTTGAAACGAGTGTCGGGTCTCGATCTGAGAGAGGATCGATTTATGGTCCATTTTCTGCTGCCTAGTTAGGTACTTGTACTTCTCGGGCCACGGAGAATTTAATATATCCGAACGTCCAAAAGTTAGGTGGGTTACCAATCAGCGAGCTGCTCACTTCGACACGACCATAGGTTGCTGCGAATATGGCGCATCCGTTCGTTGAGCGTCCGGCCACGATTGGGTTGCCCAATACCGAACCCGATAACGGACTCGGAGACGACTCCCTCGTGCTGGGTGACGATCAACTCAAGGAAATCGCCCGATTTCAGGAAGAGATCCGCCACCCCGAGACCGACGCGGACAAATATCGGCTTTGTACCAGGACATGAGATGACCTGCTCCGAAGGCATGCCGATTTGCAGCTTCTGATTGCCGTGTACGAGCATGTCATGCTTGACGAATGCGCGGCATACGGAACTTTCAAAGAGAACAGTCTCCCGGCGACAAACAAGAAAGACGACAAGACAGAGGAGTGGGAGTGCTTCGTTCGCGTTGCTGTAGCTGAGTCTAAGTGCCTTACAAGTCTGAAAGCTGTTGGAAGGCTCTGGGATTGAGAAGTGATCCAGCAATACAAGTGGACTTCTAGAGGGCTCAGGTTCTGCGAAACGCTTCGCACCGCAGCACGCACAGGTTCCAAACCTGCCCGAAGCTATAATCAAGTTGAACAACCTTATGCTTCGACGGCATCAAATTCCCCGGCGACGCTTGATTGAAGACTCGGCAAATCCCATCAGTCACGCAGATTTGGAGAACCTACTTACTGAGACCATTGACCGCTTGACATCTAGAGATATCGTCAGATTGTAGTGCCGTTGCCACGCGTTGTAGAATCGGCGCATTTTGCCTCGTAAGCTGTCCGTAGTTGGTAGCTCGTCCTCCTCATCAAGCTTGCCGATTGTTCCGAGTCCCATAGCTTCGGCAAAAGGCTTCATCACTTGCATATCCCGGAAGTCAGAAGGTCCGTGATTCCTCACGTACTTAAAGCCTGTCAGCTCTTGGAGTCAGTCAGGTTGGGGTGCTGTTTAGTTACAAACTCTATACTTTAAGGTCATAAGCGTACTCTTGCTCTTTGGCTTAAGCTTTTTGCAAACTGCGTGAGAATTAATCTTTAAGCAATCTATTGTAAGTTCTTTCTATTTAGCCTGTTTAATCACAGCGTCTTTATAAGTCTATGTCTTTGTTCTTGTGCTTATGTTTGCAGTTTGGTTTCTTTGTTAAAGAAATGTATGTATGAGGTAGGAGTGGATGAGGAGTGGATGAAGAGTAGGGAGGAAAAGGAAGGGGGCAAGGAGGGAGATGGTATGCTTGAATCTCTAGCAGCGACCAGATGGAACGAGGGAGAGAGGACGTGCGTGCAAAGCCAAGGCAGTGCCACGTGCCTTTTATTAAGTCTAGACAGGAACTTATTTTGGGCCACCTTGCAGGGACTGGTTTTGCACCCACTTCTTCTCTCCTTGGCTAGACTTGAAGCAATTCCTAGTCTGCAGTGGTAACACCCCTGACCCAAAAGGGTGGACAGGGTGAGCAAAGGTAAGCAGCGCCTGAACAAGCAAAAGCAAAAGCGGCGACGCATCACGTGGGCCAGGCTAGGCTGCGGTCGTCTAGATTCGTCTCATCTAACAGAGAGCCTTAAGCAACCTCAAACGTCCCTTCGTCCCACCCATACACCCTATTCAACCGCTGAGCAAATATAGGAAGGGTGTATCCTTCGATCCGCGACTTATGCGGCCGGTGTAGCGTCAACGACTTCTTCACCGCCACGGTATCGGGAGGGAGGAAAGTGTACACGGAACCGAACTTTGGCACGACAGAGAACCCCAGGTCTGCCATGGCTGCTTCGAAGGCCGCCCAGGATACCGAGCCCCGCGACTGCGACTTGTTGAACAGCGTCGAGAAGACCTCGGCTGTCGACGAGCTGACCTTGAAAGTCTGGGACGGCGGCGACGGGGCGGGAGCTTCTTTTTCGGCGCGCGGCGCAATCTCGTAGGCTGACGAATGTGGTGGACGGGTCTTCTCCTTCTGTCTCCGCTCCTCGACTCGCTCGGCTGGCGGCGGTTGCGAAAAGGTCGGTGCTGGGAATGGTGGTGGTGTTTTGTCTTTCTGCTCCAACTTCGCCTTGGCTTGCTGATATTGATTTTGGAGTTCGGAGAGACAATCTTCGACCAGGTCCTCATACATGAACCCCATCATTGTGCCGGATTTCTCGATGATGAATTGGTTGAGAACATTCAATGCGCCGTCGGACATTCCAGGCTCCAGGAGATTGTCGATAGGAACGGCAAAATCGCGCAGGTCGACCTGGTCTTTGAGCTGGTTCAACTCGGCCTCCAGCTCCCGGTATCTAGCGACGAACACTTGCCCCTTCTTGTGGGAGAGAGAGGGCATTGAAATCGCCGGAGACAGGTCCTTGACGAATCCAATGATGACAGCCAGGTCACACAGGGAGTCGACCTCTCTCTCCTCCAACTTGTCCCGTTCCATGGGGTGAGCTTGATGAAGGTTGCCCAGCTTCGTGATCCAGTCGACGGCCTTGGGAGCGGTGGTCTCGGGCTGGCAGAGACGCAGCATGTAATGGAGTTGAGGATTGGTTCTGGTTAAATCGTCCGGGTTGCCCTTCATGGCCACCCGTGCATTGCCGGCGTTGTCGTATACGTTGGATACTCGTTTGAACCACTTGGAGCCTGTGCCTGTCTGGACATGGCGCTTGAAGATGGCTTGGGCACGGCCGTATTCCAGGTGACAGATGTTGGATATCTCCTGAAGAAGAATGGCCCGGTACACCTTATCGGAGGTGCCCGAACGTTCGAGGAGGTTGAGAAGACGACTCGTGTAGCTCCAGATGGTGGCGCCCTTAACCGCGCCGTGGATTGCTTCGAAAAGGGCGGCGCTGATGTATTTGTCGGTGTGGACGGGCAATACACGGCCTTTCTCGTCCGCGACAAGCTCTGGCCGGCTGAAGAAGCAGATGTTGACGGCGTGAGCAAGAACAGCAGGTTCCGTCGAGAGTAACCCAAGATACCCTTTGAGCGAGGCCTTTTGATCGCTGGCGCTGGCGACCAGATCCGGAAGAGAAAGCTTGGCTGGCGGAGCTTGGGCGATGCTTAGCTTGGAAAGCGCAGCTACAGCCGCCTGGTCGGATTTCTTCTGTCGCTCTTTTCGATTCCGGCTTTTCGAACCCTCGTCCAGAATATCCTCGATGATGATGTTGAGGGACTGCAACAAGGCGACTTGCCTCTGAAGGACCAACTCTCCAGTCGACTGCGGGATGCAAAGGCCAGCTCGAATGGCAGGTGCAAAATCGTTGAGGGTCTCGGTGTGCTCGGCCAGAACTCTGTAGGACTTGCCGTACTCCTCGCCATCCAGGAAAAAGGTGTAGCAGTCCTTGAAAGATTCGACGTGGCGGAGATGTTTTGTGCGCATCATCTCGTAGATGAATTCATGATCTCCTGGACTACCATTGGTGCCGGTGAAGTACTGATCGTAGAGCGACTTGGTGGCGCGATGTTTGAGAAGATGCAAGAGGAAGTCTGACTCCGGCTCCGTGATGTCGCGCAGGTTCCACTCTGGGGCGATTTTGTACACGTTTCCAAGGGACGTATCCAGGGGATGCTTCAGTACAACTCCGTCTGCTGCGCCAGCCCTCAGACATCTCGCTCGTTGATTCTTGTCAAATGACCGCCATATGTCCTCGATCGTGGCGCCGTGCGTCCGGTATTTCCGAGCGAGGTCGCTGTGCAAATCCTTCACCACGCCGGAAATATTGTCAAGTGAGTCCATGATTATTTCCAGGAGAGATTTCCACTGTTGCTGCGTGGATCTCTCGCTCTCTCTTGGTGTCCTTGAAGGTGAGAGAATTGGTTTGTTTTCGGCACCTAATTAAATTTTCAGCACTCTGCATGGCACAACAGTTGTTCCATACTTCAGCCACCACACCAGAGCCACAGGCGGTGCCACAGACGGAGCCACAGCCTATCTGAGGCGAGAGTTCAGCTTTGTTTGACCGCCAGTCGATCTTGGATGGCCTTTGATCAATCAGGCTCCCAGAGTGAATGGCCAGAGCCTAACCAAGCCACCGCATCATGGTATTTGCTTTTTAAACATGCTCGCCAGTTTACTGGTTCGATTAAAGCCACACTGAACGCTAACTTGACTCAACACATCGACCCATCTCAACCCCGCCGCTGTCGTGGAAAATCACAAAGTTCCCGCACGCTACCTACTTTGTTAACCTCCATTTTCCAACGAAAGTTTCCTCCCCTAGAGGATTGTCAGAGATTAAAGAATGTCGACTAGTGGTCGAGGATCTCGTGGACGAGGATTCTACCGTGGCGGCGGTGGAGATGGTCGTGGTGCTCCCGGTGGCGGCCGCGGCCGCGGAGGGCCTGGAGGTGGATCCTATGGAGGTCGTGGAGATGGTGGAGGCTTCGGTGGAGGCTTCGCTGGACGCGGCGGCCGAGGAGGGTCCACTGGAGTTCAGATATTCTCGTGAGTCTGGGCAATGCTCGACAACATGCCACACACTAACGCTTCGGATAGCTCGCAGGACGGAAGCATCCCTCCTCCTAGTGCAGCCGTGGCCAGATTGGAAGACGCCCTCCAGGCTGGCAAGGGGGCGCTGAATCTGAGTGCGCTCAGCTTGGGACATGTCTTTCCACAGCGGCCGGGATACGGCACCAGAGGCAACCCCGTAACACTATGGGCCAACTATGTCGAGATTGCCGCATCCCCGACCCTGAACCTCTACCGATACGACCTGTCCGTCACCCCAACCGTGGCTGGCAGAAAATTAACCCAGGTCATCCGGCTGCTGCTGCAAGCACCGGAACTGGCAGGGCTACAACAGGACATTGTGTCGGATTTCAAGGCAACTCTTCTGTCCCGGCACAGGTTGTCCGGGGACATGAGCATCCCAGTTCGTTATCGAGCTGAGGGCCAAGATGAGCCCCGGGACAACGCCACGGAGTATAACGTGCGAATCAGCTACACGAATACCCTGACTGTTGCGGAGCTAACCGAGTATCTGACATCAACTGATCTGACAGCACACTACGACAACAAGCTTCCCATGATCCAGGCTTTCAATATTTTCCTCAACCACTACTCCAAGTCGACCGGAACTATTGTCACGATTGGCTCAAGCAAGACTTTCTCACTAAGCCAGGGCTCCGCCACGTGGGACCTTGGCGGTGGACTGACGGCCATACGAGGGTTTTTCGCCAGTGTTCGAGCCGCGACTTGTCGGATCTTGGTCAACGTCAACGTCAGCCACGGCGCTTTCTACAGCGACGGACCACTGGATCAGCTGATCTTGCGATTTGATGCTCAGCTGAGAAGCAAGACCAGGATTGAGGCGTTTCTCAAGAAGGTGAGGGTCCGGACTACCCACCTTGCCGAAAGGAGAAACAAGAATGGCGAGGTTATCCTCAAAGTCAAGACCATCTTCGGCGTCGCCACAGCCAATGACGGCCAGGGGCTCGCTCACCCACCAAGGGTGAGCCAGTTTGGGGCAGGTCCTAAACATGTTGAGTTCTGGCTGGATAGTCCGGCTCAATCCGGCTCGTCGTCGACGACGACGGAGAAGGCGAGCGGAGGGAAGAAGAAAAAGGGCGCCAAGGCGGCGGCTGGGCCCGGCAATCGACCCGGGGCGTCAGGAAGCGGGAGATACATCAGTGTCTACGATTTCTTCTTGAACAGTAAGTGTGATCCGACAGCACGCTGGACCAAGCACGGTAATTGACAGTGCATGCAGCGTATGGCAGACGGATCGCCAATCCTGATATTCCAGTCGTCAATGTCGGGACGAGAGAGAATCCGACATACCTCCCCCCGGAGGTCTGCATTGTCCTGCAAGGACAGAACGCCACTTCGAAGCTCAGCCCTGGTCAGACACAACAGATGATACGGTTTGCGGTTCGCAAGCCGTGTGAGAATGCGACGTCAATCGTTCGCGAGGGATTAGGAACAGCCGGCCTCAATCCGCAGACGAACGTCCTTTTGGTAGTGATCCCTGCCCTCGTCTTCCGCTCGCATTTGCTAATTTCCGTAGGGCCGGTTTGGCATATCCACCTCGCCGGGCTTGATCACAGTCCCTGGACGCGTTCTTGCGGAGCCAAAGGTTGTCTACAAACAGAACAAGGCCGCCCAGGTTCGCTTCGGCAGCTGGAACATGGTTGACATCAAGTTCAACACTGCCGGGAGCCTGAGGAAATGGTCGTACCTACTTATCTCGCTGCCGGGTTACCAAGATGCATTCGACTCGGCAGGTCTTTTTGCAGTCGTTCGGACGTTCGGGAACACACTGAGCGCAGCCGGAATCACGGTGGATCCCCCCAGTGCCGGACGCAGGCTAGTCCTGAACAGCCCAGACGACGCGCAGCTGGACCAGCTCCTCGAAACTGCAGCCAAGGCCCTCGATCTACTCCTCATAGTCCTACCAGACAGCAACATTCCGCTGTACAACCGGATCAAGCGGTGCGGCGATGTCAGATACGGTATCCACACCGTCTGCGCCGTTGGCCACAAGCTTGCCAAGGAGAGGGGACAAGACCAATACTTGGCCAACGTTGCCTTGAAGTTCAACCTGAAGCTCGGCGGGACCAACCAAATGGTCGACAGCTCTCGGCTCGGCATCATCAATGAGGACAAGACCATGATCGTTGGGATCGACGTGACCCATCCGTCTCCTGGCTCGAGCCATCATGCGCCGAGCGTCGCTGGGATGGTTGCCAGCGTGGACAGATGGCTGGGACAGTGGCCCGCCGTGCTGCGGATCCAGTCGGAGGCGCGCCAGGAAATGGTGTCGGACCTGACAGACATGTTCAAGTCACGACTGCGACTCTGGCAAGACGTTGGGAAGCACAAGGCTCTACCCGAGAACATCCTTGTGTATCGCGATGGAGTCTCAGAGGGTCAGTACCAGAAGGTCATGGACGAAGAAGTACTACTCCTGCGCAGAGCATGTAAGGAAACGTACCCGCCCGCCGACCAGAAGAAGGATCTTCCGCGATTCACTGTCATCATCGTCGGCAAGCGCCATCACACCCGCTTCTACCCGACTCGAGAAGCCGACGCAGACCGCTCGTCGAACCCAAAGGCCGGCACTGTAGTCGATCGAGGCGTGACGGAGGCACGCAACTGGGATTTCTTCCTCCAGTCACACACAGCCATCCAGGGCACGGCCCGACCCGCACACTACTTCGTGGTGCTCGACGAGATATTCCGCAACCGCTACAAGACCGTCCCCCCGCCGTTCCGGAATGTTGCTGATCTGATCGAGGACCTGACGCAGAGCTTGTGCTACACCTACGGGCGCGCCACGAAGGCCGTCAGCATATGCACGCCTGCGTACTACGCTGACATTGTGTGCGAGCGAGCAAGGTGCTATCTGAGCAGCGTGTATGACACCCCGCCGCACTCGGCCACACCTTCAGTGGCTGGTAGTGCCCAGGGGCCTGTGCGAGGCGAGGAGTTGCAGGTTCATCCGAAACTGAGAGACAGCATGTTTTACATTTGAGGACGGCCTACAGAAAACGTGCTAAAATGTGGTTAGACAGAGATCGAAGTGATGGTGGGCGAATAGGAGAAGAGGAGCAAAATTGGTAACATGCGTGGAATTTAGTTATGTCTAATGAATGATTTGACGGCACACAGTGTCATGACAAAGGTGCAAGACGCCAACAGGCAGACCACTAATCACCCAATCCTAGCCAGTCCCGGTGCGATGTTTGCCAACTCGTGCCATTTCGACAACACGAATTGAGCCCGTTCGGACAGGCTGTGAATGTTGCAGGGCAGCACACAGTATGGCAGGCGAGATTCGTCCAGCAAAGTGCAGAACATTCGATGAAACTGAAGCCAATCCTCCTGGTCCTCTGGCATGAGTCGAACTCCGTCATCCTTCAGCCACGTCGCCCCGGCTTCGCAGACAATAACCAAAGACTCAGCCATTCTCTCCTTCAATTCAAGCCATCCCGTAGACCGTTGCATTTCCATGGCCGATTCTCCGCTGACATATTTGCTCGCGTACACCACAGGGTCGATGCCAGACCTGTCGGAGATGAACCACGAGCTTCGACTGAGTGCGTCCCTCTCGGCGTCGACCTGGGCGGCTACAATCAACTGTTGTAGAGCCAGACTCCGCTCAGGGAAGGATCGGATGTCCTCGGTGACAAATTGATGCTGCTTGAGGACCGTTCTTGCTACTTCCGATATGATCTGCGGTTTATCGATACCTAGGACCGCGGACGAGCAATAAAGCTCCACTGATAGCCTGTTGACAAGAGTTGTTTTGCCCGTACATTGCGCCCCGATGATGTAGATGTTGGGTATCTTCTGTTCGCTCGACATTCTTCGGAGGCTTGGTAATCTCTAGAGGCATGCATGGAAGTAGGGGGCAAGCACACAGCTTCTCTTGGCTTGTATGACGAGAACTGCAAGACAGAGGCCTCTGGGCTTGGACACAACTCCCCGGAGATGCAGCCTTGCTAATGTCGGAGGCCGACTACACACCCGCACGTGGACACACAAACCTCCAATGATCAGGTTGTCCGCCTCGAAGTGGCTGCTGTGTAACAGGCGACCCCGCAGTTGTCGCCCCATATTGGGTTGTCTATGAGGAGTCTGGGCATGGATCTGCCGCGTTATCACTCTGTGCGGCCCTGTGCAACGCCACCTTACTTGCGTTTGGACACCACTTTGTGATGTCGACGGAAAGGACCCGCAGCCAGACATGGAACTGCTCGACATGTTGTCCCAGTATGTACCTTGACATCTGCCCCAAGAGAGCGCCATGACACCTTATCTTTTCATGCCCGCGAGTCCCCGCCTTTTCCACTTGCTAAATTAAGACCCGTTCAGTTTGCGATAGCGCAACCCAATTCCAGTACCACCACACATCCGACACTATCCCAGATGCCACGATGTCGGGAAAAGACAAGACAAAGACTTTTACCCATTTGTTAAATCCCGCCGTCCGACTGGACGATGGAGAATGGAATTTCCGTGTGCCCGGTCTTCCAGGGCCGCAGGAGCTCAATCGCCGAGAGCTGGTCAAGAAAATCGCCCTCCGCACTAACATGAAGAAATGGAGACATGAAATACTCCTTGTATTAGAGCACATCGAGCGGAATCGGGCCATCGGCGGAGATCCACTCGACCGCTTTCTCATAATCTCGTTCGAAGACTTCCGCCCCCTCAAGCAACCAGATGGCAGCTCAGCCCAGAGCGCCACAAACGCCCTCCAGCCAGCGACCTGGAGAGACTGCACCGACTACGCTGTCCGACTCCTCAGGACCGGGATCTCGCTCGGGGGAGTCAGATACCACTTCTACGGCCACAGCAACAGCCAGCTTAAGTCGCGCACATGCTTCCTCTATGCCGCCTCGAAGGAAGAAATCTCGCGGAAGGTGGAGGCTCTCGGTGACTTCGCCAAGATGAAGACGGTCGGCAAGAAGGCGAAACGCATCGGCTTGCTCTTCTCGGTTGCTCGGACGGCCACCACCGTGTCTCCTAGTAGGTGCGAGGATATCCCGGACATCGAGACGTCCGACTATGTCTTCACCGACGGCTGTGGCTTGATCGCGCCTGTGCTTGCCAGAGAACTGGCGCGGAAGGTTCGCATCGTCTTTCGAGACAGACGGTACACGCCTTCTGTGTTTCAGATCAGATACCGTGGATACAAGGGAGTGGTGACTGTGGATCTGCGGATGGGGGGCGGCAATACTCTTCTGAAGATGAGGAAGTCGATGAAGAAGTTCAGTGGCGTCGAGGACCACTCCTTTGCTGTCGTGGAGTACTCTAAGGTACTGTACATACCGAGGAGCATCAAATTCTTCCCCGCCTTTTTCCTCCAGGCTGAATGATTGCTGATTGTGTTTCCTTCCTCCCAGCCCTACACCTACGGATTTCTCAATGATGAAGGAATCGTCCTCCTCGAAGCCCTCGGCATACCCCGTTCAACTCTATTGCGAAAGCAGAACGAGCACTTCCAACTTCTCACCAATGCCAAGACCGACTTTCGAGACGCCTTTCGCTTCCTCTCGTACATCAACAGGCCCGACCTCGCCGAGAAGGTGCTCATGGACGGCGTCGAGTCTGTGCGGCCTCAGATCAACAGGTTGATCAATGCTGAGCATGGCAAGATGCTGAACAAGCGGGAAGAGCAGAAGTGCCGCATATTTGTCCCGCAGTCACGGCTGCTCTTTGGGGTTTGTGACGCCTGGAATGTCCTGAAAGAGGGGGAGTGTGCTGTGAAGGTCACCATGGAAGGCGACGGGCAGCCGTATGCCCTCAAAGGTACCGAAGTCTCCGTGATCCGCAATCCCTGCCTTCACCCAGGAGACTGGCAGAAGTTCAGGGTTGTTGAGAAACCCGAGCTGGCGCACCTGGTAGACTGTGTGGTTTTCTCAACCCAGGGGAGGAGGCCTGCTGCAGATATGATGTCAGGCGGTGATCTCGATGGCGATCAGTGTAGGTTTACCTGAGTCCTTTTCCTCTATACTTGGCCACATCTCAAGCCCACCCAAACTAAGTCCAGCCCACATCTACAGTTTTCGTGTGTTGGGACAAAGATTTGATACCTTCGACGCTCTCTCAACCAGCCCTCTATCCCGGAGCCCGAGAACCTCTTCGATTCAAGCCCATCACAGACGACGATCGTCTTGTGTACTTTGCCAAATATTCGAACGCCTCCCTCGGCCAGGTCAAGAATCTCTATCTAGACTGGGCTCGCGCATCCGGACCGATGAGCCCACAATGCCAGGAGCTGAATCGACTGTTTTCGCAATGTGTAGATGGCAACCGTATCAGGGTCCCCGAAAAGCTCAAAGACACGCCGAAAGTGGCTCCTGACGCCCCCGCCTTCGTCCTTGACGAACTCCACGATAGAGCTAAGGAGTCAATACAGAGCAGCGACACGAGTCAGAAGGACTGGGACGGATACGAGTTCGATGCCGTGGACCTCCTCTTGGCTCGTGACGATATCGCAATGACAGAGTTTGAGTTCATTCACCTGGCCCATCGGTGGTGTCGGAGAAACAGCGTTTCCTTCGAAGGAATGCTTCACCTCTTCGACTTCAACGTGCTGACGGCCGAGGAGAAGGGCTGGGTGCTTGGACAGCTCCCTGTGTCTGCCGAGACGCCGAGCTTGGTTTTGAACGCTCTCTGCTCATCTAACCTCCTCGACAAGAGCGAACTGAGGCAGTTCCAGCTAGATCATACAGGGATACGGTGGAAGTGCGTCTACGACTCATCGCGAGATCGACTTGCCACCTTTTTAGATGCGGCAGCTAGGAACCTGGAGATATTCCACCGCAAGCTCATTGTGTTTCGGCCGGATGAGCGGTTGACATTGGCGTTATATGTGCCGCAGAAGATTGAGCGCGCCCGAGACTGTCTTGTCGATGACTCGGCGCGGCTATTTGCCTTCCCTCACTCTCAGGGAAGCGAACGTCAGAGCCGTCTATCACTGCCAACAAAAATGACATATCGCTTGTATTGCGACGAGAATGTCTTCCAGCTTTTCGAGAACCAGCGGGCAAACTCGTGGGTCTTCCTTGCGCGCCCCGGGTCCAACGACAGCGAATACCGCAATACAGTCGACGCCGGGGACCGCAGAAGGCAGCGACAGTCCACCATTGACAGCGGTGTCAACTTCGACGTACGGGCTAGTATTGCGCTCGACAAATTCAGCAGAGGCCTCCAGAGACATATTGGTAGGGTGAATAGAAATGAAGTTACTGCCGCGGTAAGACACTTCGCCCCCTGGTGGGTAATTAATCAATTACAATAATTAACAGCCTGTAGGAAATCTATGTCATCAGCAACAGAGACGTCAAGTCAATGCAAAACCTTGATCTTTGGCTCGAATATGTCGAAACAGGACAGAGACTTCCTCTGTTCCAGCAAGAAGCGAAGGAGTACTCCATCGCCAAGGCGAAGGATATAATATCATCGTCCAGTCCTCAATATATCGTCCAAGTCGTGGAACACCAAAACATCTCGGTTCTTGGGGACTTGGAAGTCAGCGAGTACCTCACGGTATTTTCCTCGCTTCTGGAAGCAGACAATAAAGCATTCTTGCTAAAATGCTTCGACCACTTGCTGGGGAATATGCAACTCGTTCGAGTAGATCCTAGCTTGCTACTCCAGGCCATGATCGATTTCTTGGGCAAGGCCCCCTTTCTGGCTATGAGTTTTGGCCGCTGCTCGCAGTTGGACACATTTTCTGAAGACTTGGCCGAGCTGGTAGAGGTGGCTGCTCGGCCCATTCTACGTGCATTTGTCCTTTCGGCAAACGAGGCCGAGGACTTCGTCGTGGCTCCGTTCAGGTCAATGCTGGCAAAGGTTCCAAGCGGGACGCTGTCGCTGCAAGATATTGCAGAGCTCGTCGAGCTCGTATCTCTGACAGTACGCTCGCCAGAAGTGGCTCTGGACCTCCTGTTGGGATCTCTCGAGCCCGAAAGCTCCCGTGTTCTGTCGGGCCAGCCAGAGGTCATCAGCCACTGCGTCAAGAACTTGATCGCAATTGCTCTGGACCATATCGGAGAAGCTACAGAGCAAGCTAAGAAGAGGAAAGATCTTTTTGAGCTGAGGCTGCTACCAGACGACGACGATGGATGTCCAGTTGTTGAAGTGTCTTTTCGAATCGATGCGCCCGGTGGAACCCCAGAAAATTCGGCCCATGTCCGTCTGACTGCAGCTACCTTGCCAACGAACGTCTTGGTTGGGAAGAAGTATTCCCTTGACGCGCTGGTTACGCATTCACAGCAAGGCCTCGCAAGATTCCGGTGTCTCCACCCGCTGCCGGCATTCTTCAACAAGTGCTCGTGGAATATGGAAACTTGCGGTCCCTTCGTGACGACCAAGACGACGTTTGATGCCGTGCGCACGCTTGCTACGCAACTTGAGCACTGCTGTCAGGTTGCGGGACCGATACTTGGATTGCCACTGCTTGGACTCCAAGCGGACCTGGGCTCTAGGCTTGAATGGCAACCGGTCAAGAAGCTGAATGCCAGCCAGAACGCGGCTGTCGAAGCAGCTCTTCGGAATCCTTTGATTTGTCTCTGGGGCCCTCCTGGGACCGGAAAGACCGAAACCATCGTGGAGATGATCTGCGCTCTTCAAGAGACTTACGAGGATGCAAGAATACTAGTGTCGGCTCCCACTCACAATGCTGTCGACAACGCGATGCGACGATACACGGGTCGTCTTCAGAAACAGCCGCTTCGGGGAAGACAGAAACCATCTCCTCTGCGAGTGTCTACAGATGTAAGTATGAAGTGATTATCCACAACCTGGAAACTTTTTGGCGATGCTGATGTTCGGCTAGGTTCGCAAAGTGGCGGAAGATCTTCGCAGTTACACGTGCGATGCGATGGCCGGGCAGGAGGTCTACTCGGACTACAGAGCTATGAACCAGGCAAAGAAGAAGATCACGGAATGCGGCATCATATTCACAACATGCATCGGCGCGGGGCTCGGCCTTCTCCGCTCCGAGGAATTCGAGATCGTCATCGTCGACGAGGCCTCCCAGCAGTCGGAACCCGCGTCCCTGGTTCCATTGGTCAAAGGATGTGCAAGGGCAATTTTGGTCGGTGACCACGTCCAGCTCCGGCCCACCGTCCAACAGCATGCTCTTCTCGTTGACTTTGACGTTTCGCTCTTCGAGAGGCTGTACACCAATAGACCGGCAAATTCGCCTGGGTCCGACGACGATCCCGGCTCCGACTCCACGGGAATCCGTAGGCTCATGCTGGATACACAGTATCGAATGCACCCGCAGATCTGCAATTTCAGCTCCAAAGAGTTCTACGAGGGCAGACTGAAAACCGGAATCACGCCAGATTCCCGGCCCCTCTTTGCTTCCGCGTTTCCCTGGCCCCTGGCAGTGCCGCTCGAGAAGGACAGCTCAACCCTGGTCGGACACCGGCAAAGGACCATATTCATTGAATGTGCCGCAAAAGAGAAGCCGGGACAGAAATCCAAGGAGAACGAAGGACAGGCAGCTCTATGTGCTCACGTCTGCAAGCTCCTGACCTCGCCGGCGCAAACAGGGAGCGCATCTGGACTTCAGCAACCCCCGTCAGTTGAGATGCAGCGCATTGCGGTTCTCACACCTTACACACGTGAGGCTGATCTATTGAGACGACTTGTGTCGGGCCTATCTGATAAGGCCGAAGTCTCCAGTATTGACGGGTTTCAGGGGCGCGAGGCTGACATTGTGGTGTTTGTGACGGTACGGTGCAACGAGCATCGAGAAATTGGCTTCTTGAAGGATCTACGGAGGATGAACGTCGCCCTGACCCGTGCAAAGGCTGGGTTGATTATCATTGGTAACCGGGCGACCTTGACAGAGGGGACATCTGACCCTGAGAGTGCAGCGATGTGGAAGAGGCTTCTGGATAGTCTGACATCGGTGACGATTGAGGTACCGGAACTATAGAATGCTTGGGATGCCTATCTACTATCTAGAGATGTACTGCTACATTGAAATACCACGTATGAGTACATCCTGGTGAGGCAAGCCCACCTGACGTCGGACGTCCCCTGAGCTCATGCAGGCTGGCTGTTGGACGAATGAATGGGCTGATTGGAGGTGCCCCAATATGGCAGGCCTCCAGCATACAATGTTACCCAATCTTCCATCGTTTCGTCACCGGAGAAACCTTAATAACTGAGGCATTTCCGCACTGGATGTAGAGTAGTACTGTACCTCTCTGAGCTTTCGAAATTTGTCATTACAGCGTTGCTGTGTCGTCACCAAGGCCATGTCTGAAAACCAACAAGAGAAGGACACCCCTCCGGAGGAAAACCTAACTCGCGGAGATGAGCATGAAAGGGACCCCGGGGTGATCACTTCGTCGGTCGAGGAGGAGGTCTCGAGTCAACGTCGTCGCCAGTCCCTTCCTGTACTCTTTCTCCACATTCTCGCCTGGGTAGCCATGACTGGGTACGAAGCTCCCAGCTTTCTGCCTTGCATAACTTTTACCTTCTAACAGTCTAGCAAAAGCTGGTGGATTGCCGGGCTCATCCTCCATCGCTACGATTTGGGATGGCTGGTCCCTTTTCTCGTCTGGCTCGGACTTTCAATTAGGCTGCTCACACTCCACTTCCCAACGGAACTTGTCACGAAGCCGATTGGCCATCTCTGGGCCGAGAACATCACCCCAACCTCGAATCACATTCCACAGTCCACCAGGCTAGCCATTCTGTCTACCCTAACTCTGGCGGTCATCCTCGTGGGAACTTTTGCCAGCAAGGAGTCTGCTAGTAACACCCGAGCAGATCGTGCCGTCAGCCTGTTTGGCTTGATTGTTTTTGTGGGGGTCTTCTGGGCGACATCGAGGGATCGGTCGAAGATCAATTGGCACACAGTCATCACGGGCATCCTCATCCAGTTCCTGCTTGGCCTCTTTGTTCTCCGCACGCGGGCAGGCGTAAGAGCCTTGTTTCCTTCTTCCTCCCACAAGCAGCACAAACCCCCGACACCCTCCCTTCATAACCCTAAGCCTCACACTGATAATCAGCCATAATTAGTACGACATTTTCAACTTCCTCGGTTCCCTAGCCCGAGACCTCCTGGGCTACGCCGGTGACGCCACCGTCTTCCTAACCAGCAAGACGGCGCTGGACTCAGGCTGGTTCCTCGTCACCGTCGTCCCACCCATGATATTCTTCGTCTCCTTCGTGCACCTGCTGCACTACTGGGGATGGGTGCAATGGCTAGTCCGGAAACTCGCCACCATCTTCTTCCACCTCATGGGCATCTCGGGCGCCGAGGCCGCCGTGGCAGCCGCGTCGCCGTTCCTGGGCCAGGGCGAGTCCGCCGTGCTGGTCCGCGCGTTCCTGCCCTTGCTTACTCGCGCCGAGCTGCACCAGATCATGACCTCGGGCTTTGCCACCATCGCGGGAAGTGTTCTCTCCGGATACATCGCCCTGGGACTCAGTCCATTGGCACTGGTGTCGTCGTGCGCCATGAGCATCCCGGCCTCGATCGCTATCTCCAAGCTGCGTTACCCTGAGTCTGAGGAGCCTCTGACGCGAGGAAGCCTTGTCAGGATTGCAGAGGACAGTGAAAACGAGCGGCCGTTCAACTCGCTCCACGCCTTGGCGAATGGGTCATGGGCTGGGATCAAGATCGCCGGAATGGTGGTTGCCAGCGTGCTCTGCATCCTCGCGCTCCTTGGCCTTGCCAACGGCCTGTTGGGCTGGTGGGGGAGCTACCTCGACATCGACGACCTCAACATCCAGCTCATCATTGGATACATCTTCTATCCGATCGCTTTCTTACTCGGTGTTGAGCGTAATGGGGATCTGCTGAAGGTCGCTCAGCTAATCGGCATGAAGATTGTTGCGAACGAGTTTGTTGCCGTAAGTGCACCTTGATTACCTGACCAGCACATCACTGGAGCCAAGTTAACTTGTTTGCTCGAGTTTGGTAGTACGGCGAGCTAACACACAATCCAAAATACGGCTCTATCTCTCCCCGCTCGCGCCTCATCGCCACATACGCACTCTGCGGTTTCGGGAACATCAGCGCGGTGGGTATCCAGATCGGGGTTTTGTCTCGGCTCGCACCTGGAAGAGCTAGTGCTGTGGCAGAGGTGGCGATCTCGGCGTTGGTCTCGGGCATTTTTTCCACCTTGACGAGCGCCTCGATCGCTGGCATGTTGATGGTTGACTGAAGATACGGCTTAAAAGATCCTCGCATATGGAGTGTTGGCAGGCAGCGTGCTTGCCTGCTTAGCGGACTGCTGGCTTAGATGGTAGATAGATCCATCACTTCAGATATTGCGGACCGCTATTATTCACCCCGGTTGCTCGCCACTAGCCTTGAATTTGCAACTCTTTTCTTCCTGGTGATGGTCGTCTGTAGATGCCTCAGACGTGCTTCTTGATTCCACAGCCGCACCCTCCCCCTCCTCTTCCAGCCCGCCAAACACCCAGCAAACGTCCAACTACCAAAACACATTCAGGATAGCACTGACCCTGTCGCTCCCCCAAACGGCGTCGTTTGAGCCACGGCCTCCGATGCTAGCCTATGTGCCGTAGGTGTGTCTCAGTCAACTGCCTTGTGAACTTCTCGAGGACGTTACTCGCAATTATTGTCTCACTCTACAGCTTCGACGATGCAAACCAGGCTGGGGTAGCTGCTGAGCTCATCCGCGCCTCAACGAAAAGTATTCCCTGGCGTTTCCTACCGATTCTTCTACAACCAGTCGCCTTATTCTGGACAGGGCCTGGGGGGTCCATTTGTTAGGGAGAGACCGGTGGGCATATAGCCGACTGGCTCTTGGGTCCATGTCCTGCCCGCGATCGTCGCATGTCGAGGATTCGAGAAAATTGGTCCGGTTCGGGCAGGCATACCGTGTCCCTCTGTTGGTCAGCTCGGCCGGCGGCGACGGTAGTGACGCGAACGTGAGGAAGTTCTTGGAAATCATCGGCGATATCTTAAACTCACCTAGCGAGAAGCGAGTGAAGTCTCTGGCTATATATAAAAATGGCGAATAATCTGACGAAGCATCCTTCAAAGAACAGATCCAAGTTGAAGGTCCTCGCCACGCCGACCTCGTCGGAGAGATGGGCCCCGAGCCCTTCCTGCGCGCCATGGCCGCACACTCAGACTTCGGCATCGTCATCGGCGGCCGCGCCTACGACCTTCTCCACTACGTTGCCTTCTGCGCCTTTCTACTCCCTCGGCGCCGGTACCGGCGACGGCGACCACCCGCTCCTCCCCCTGTCATGGCTAAGCCTGTCCGCGCTGAGTGGGTCTGTCCACACGGGCAAGTTCATGGATATGGTAGCGCGTGCGCCGCCTCGTAGAGTAGGTTGTTGCTCGTAACTGTGTACTGCGACGGGGTCGTTCGATGTATGCCCCTTAGTAGCTAGGTCTGTATGCGGACGCTGCCTGCTAATGCCCCATATGCGAGAATCTTTTAAGGCGAATCCTCAGTCAGCCATCAACATAGGTTGATATTGATTTAACTATGCATCTAGACTCTATGCGCACCCTTTTCAAGAAGCAGCTGGACTGTCTTCTCCCGACCCATTACTGATGCTGCCTGCAAGGCAGTCCCATAGCGTCCTCCTTTAGCATTAACATCAGCATTCTTTTCAAGAAGTAGCTGGGCTATCTCCTCATAACCTTCTGCTGATGCTGCCTGCAAGGCAGTCCCATAGAGTCCTCCTTTGGCATTAACATCAGCATTCCTTTCAAGAAACAGCTGGACTATCTTCTCATGACCTTCTGCTGATGCTGTTTGCAAGGCAGTCCCATAGAATCCTCCTTTGGCATTGACATTAGCATTCCTTTCAAGAAGCAGCTGGACTAACTTCTCGTAACCTCTTGCTGATGCTCTTTGCAAGGCAGTCCCATAGTATTCTCCTTCAGCATCAACATCAGCATTTCTTTCAAGGAGCAGATGGACTATCTTCTCATAACCATTGCTTGATGCTGCCTGCAAGGCAGTCCCATAGAATGCTCCTTTGGCATTGACATCAGCATTCCTTTCAAGAAGCAGCTGGACTATCTTCTCATAACCATTGCCTGATGCTGTTTGCAAGGCACTCCCATAGAATCCTCCTTTGGCATTGACATCAGCATTCCTTTCAAGAAGCAGCTGGACTATCTTCTCATGACCTTCTGCTGATGCTGTTTGCAAGGCAGTCCCATAGTACCCTCTTCTGGCATTAAACAAACTAGAAGCTTGTGTTGGGTTTGGGACTGAGAGAGGAGGCTCTAATGGGATATTGGAAAGTAATTCAGGTACAACTGAAACAAGCCCAAGAAGCGAAGCGTAGTAAATAGGCGATGGAACCTCGTCACCGTCACTAGGTATCCTGATAGGGTCGGGATCCCAAATGCTAAGCCAATTCTTAAATTCCCCCCCCCGTACTTTGAAATAGTCGGAGGGCTTGGTGCTTAGCATGGTGCGCGTTTTCGTCTCCTTCACGAAGGTGTTCGTGCCAAAGCTCTGCGGCGTAGGGTGCCAGCGGATATTCTTTAATCGGTTTCTCCGACATTAACAACGCAGGCTCTAGCAAATACGTCAAGCATATGCGAGCTATGTTGGTATGAGCCTCCCGTCTTCTCACACGGAATGTCGCGATTGAGTGCTGACCTGACCGGCCAGATTCTAGGTACTCCTGGACTGAGAAATGCGCGAGGCGCACGGTAGCTGGCCTAGCATTAGGTTGCATATCCACTTCGATAAAACCAGGACAGACTTGATGAATCGCGTCCGCAGTTTTTAGCCTTCACTTGGGGTTGAACTTTGGAGAGTCGCCGAGTTCTACGGCAATTCCGTCGATGAGTTCTGGTACTGTCAATGGGCGCAAGGCGCAGCAGAGCAAAGTCAACATCTGCTGAGCATATCTCACGGAAGCCGGGGGGATATTCGAAAGCATTCGCTCGTAGGTCTGATCCAGTGATTGAGGCAGTGAAGCCAGCAATTGGTCGAGGAGGTCTTCGCATTCTGGGCATTGCTCGAGTGCCTTGAACTGGCATTCCACCCATCGAAACCTGTGTGATAAAGATCAGAACTCCCACCCCTATTAGACAACAGGTAACTGGGAACATACACTCCCTTCGCACGCTGGCTAAGCGTGGTCTCTATCCGATCATGATATTCCTTCCATTTTCGAAGCTTCCGATTGTCTTGAAGGTGTTCGGAGATGAAAGCTGCAATGTCACTTTCGACGAAACTGTTCTTCATCGAGACCACCTCGTCTGGTAGGGCGTTGAGCTCCTTGTGAAGCACATCGCCAATGTCAGGCTCCTCACGACTCGTGACCAGAAGATGAAGTCCAGGCTCGCCCCACGCCCGCAGATCGACCAACATTTGGAGAACCTCCCCCCTGTGCGTGTCCCGAGGGCTTTCGTCTAGTGCGTCCAAGATGATGTACACGTCGTCAAATGCCCGCACGATCTGACGAAGACAGTCCGCGAGAGCCTGATCAGGCGGCATGGCGTTGCGGTAGTTGCTGTGCAGTTGCGAGAGAAAACCATGGTTGTCGTTTAGCTGGCTTGACAGCTGCAAGACAACTGCGCGGAGCATCGAGGAGGTGTCTTGCTTGGAGTTGTCGTTGAAGGTGAAGAAGAAGAACGCAATCCCGATGCGTGGGTTGGACCTCCGATGCCGAAAGGCGTACTGTATGGCCGTGGAACATAACACTGACTTGCCGCATCCGGCGAAGCTGTTGAGCCACAGGAAGGAATTCGACTTCTCAAGCGAGGCGGAAAAGGAAGAACCCTTGACAAGCCAGAGGCCGGTACTGGGATGCTTCTATTTGCAAGCCTCGTTGTAATTGATGGTTGCATCGGGAGCCTTCAGCCAGTAACGGATGGTCGACGAGATCTGGTCGGCTCTGACCAAGTCAAGCAATGCCTTGGTTTCCCCAATGCCATCCTGGATGCAGCCGATATCCTTTTGCTGCAGCATCTGCAGCACCAGAGACAATTGCGAGACTGTCTCGTCAATATTCTCGTCCAGCTTTTGCAGCGTGCTCTGCCGGAAGGGATATGCTAGGCGGCGAGAAGCGGTCTGAGCGGCGGCCCGGATACCGTCTTTCGAACCACCCTTGAATTTGTCGTTTTCGGACTGGAGCTCCTGGACGCACTCGTCGCAGACTTGGATTGAGCTCTCTATCTTCTCGAGCAGGCCCTGCTCGTCGGCTCGGAACTGGCGGCTGGCCAGCTGCCCGTGCAGAATCTCTAGTACGCCCAGGAGATGTTCCAGCTTCCTGGAGGTGGAGGAGATGTCGGTTTTCTGGCCCTTGCACGCCGCATAAAAGGCTACCAGAGATTGCGTGACCTGGATGCCCAATGAAACAAGGCCGGCTACGCTTGCGGCCACGGAGAGTGGGTCAGCCATTGTAGGGTAGCAAGTTGGTTAGGATGCGATGCAGCAGGGTATCGAGTCGGTTAGGACGGTGTCAGTTGGAATATCGGTCGTCTTGATCGTGCTTGTCGGTCGGTGGAATTTTTGTGCTTGGGGAGGGAGTGGGGATGACGGATTGCCAAAGAGCCACATGGCTGCCTGACGAGCTTGGCTGCGCAGGTATTATGCACAGTGACTGATCAACTCGAAGGGCATTGGCTTGCCTCGCGCATTGGTGATCCGATCCCGCCGCCGAACCATTGGGCCGGGCCGGGTACCCCTCTTCCTACCAGCCCGTACTCCTCTCAAATTGGAGGCGTGAGTGGCAGGCCGGCACAGTTAGCTCATGCCATCAAATTCCTAGCGCATACGTCTGCTTTCTCAGGCGGGAAAAATAGGTGCTCTGTTCGTATGTATGTACAGTACATACATACATAAAGGTGTCTTGGCCATCCCCATAGTAGCCGCACCACCAACCCCGCCACGACATCCTGGAGCGGCTGGCCTCCGCGGCTGAGGACTTCGCCTGTTCCGATCTCGGCTTATCGCGGCTGCCGGACGGCCGCGAGGTGCTCTTCGCGCAGCCGGCTGTCGTGGCGGCGTGTCAGGCCTACGACCTGCGTGCTGCTATCGATATGGTGGCGGTGGGTGTGTGTCTGGGGTTACGGGGTACGCAGGCTGTTCATCTGCCGCAGGTCGGGGTCGTTTGCGCCATCGGAGGGGGGGATTGGGTGGCCTGTTGAGGTCGAGGTCGGGGATGTGGAGGCGAGGAGGCAGGGGAAGGGGGCTTGGAGCTTGGATTGGGAGATGGTTGATGCGCCTGTGGTTAACATGGCGAGGTTGTTGCTTGAGAGGGCGGCGCGGTGCGGGATTGATATTCAGGCGTTTCGTGAAGCTAGCGTGAAGTGAGGCAGAGACTTCATTTGGGGTGGAATTAATTGGACAAATACTTTATGACACACTGCCTAGGATTTCGCCTTTCATGCAGGTGACACCGTTCTTCATGGCCAGGATTTCCCATAGTTTCCCTCCGTCATTCTCCTCCCGCACCTCCTGGGTCCCGATTGAATAGCTTTCTCCGGCGTAGATTGGAGACATGGCCCTATAGGTGACCTGTTTAGGTTGTGACCCGTGCCCATGAACATCCCGCCAATAGTCCAGGATGTTGATGAGGTTCAGAGGACCATGGACGATGACGGCTGGGTGGTCCTCCACGGTCTTTGTCCAATGTTCGTTGTAGTGGATCATGTGGCCGTTGAACGTCAACGCCGAGAAGCGAAAGAGACCCACAGGCGACCAGCGAAGCTGTCGCTTAGGAAAGCCTGTGGTAAATGGATGATGAGCACGGTGGGACGGGGAAAGGAAGAAGAAAAACAAGGTCCACAGGACTGACTAACCCCCGGAATCGCTCGCCACATCCCGGATAACCGACGGACCGCGAGCCACGGCTAAAGAAGGCTGCTGTCGCTGTTGGCCTCCCGGACCCGTTGAAGTGGTGGTGGAGGTCGCCTCAGTCCGGAATATCCACGATCTAAGATGAAGGAAGTTCAGCGGATGCGGTTTCTAAGAAAAGCCATGTCTGTTATCTGCTGACCTCTGGTCCGTCATGGCGAGACCCTTTTTACCCCATAATTCCTTCTCGACCTCGACTAGCACCATTTCGCCACCGCTGCGACTTTTCTTCGCCGTTGCGCTGAGGAGCCTTGTCCGCTCCTCGGCCTCTTCCCCTACTCGGAGGGGAGAATCGGCATTCCAGTGCATCTTGCCGCCCGCCCACATTCGCCGCGAGAAGGGCAATGGGGCATTGAATGTTTGGTCTGTCCCGTCAGCCCCGAGTTGGCCTTCAACTCCATCCGGGGTGAAGTACACCAGGTGGTAGCCCGGCGGAATTGGGGTGCCCGTCGCTGGCGGTTCGGCCGAGATGTCCTGTTCCGGGTAGATGTGCGTGCGGTTAAGAGTCAAACTCAGCTTTTGCAGCTGGTTGGCGTCGAGTATCTGTCGTCGAGTGATGGTCTGGCCAGAGAAGTTGTGCAGAAGTTGCTCCGCAGCGTCCGCCGCACTGGTGGTAAGCCGTCGGGAGCCTATCCTGTAGTAGGCACGCAGTACAGGGCGGATACTTCCAATCGACATGTGCGGTAGGGTTGCCGGCTTATGCATGGTCAAACCCGTCAGTGCCGCAGATTTGGTTGCCCAACAAGAACCAGTCCTCACTGGATGGCGTTCGCACTGGATGGGATTGGTATTTATCTATCTACCTAAGGAGATGAAGAGAGGAGGGGAATTCGGAAGTCTCCACCCAATCTACCCTCTCCGAGAAGCCGAGTTCGTTGACCCCACATGTCTCGAGTCGGCTTCTTAACAGTTGCCGACGTCATGCCGAAGTGGGGGGGCGCACTAGCGGATCAGTCGTGCCAGTCCACTGAATTACAGCGACCTCTCCAGAAAGTCCATCCCCTCAACCTGGGTGGGATTGTCGTGAAGTTGAGGGTCTAGGAAAAACCCCAGGTCGCTCGGCGCATCGTCGCTCCCCCAGTGGCCATTTAGGAAACTGGACCATTGGTCTTCGAAGAATTCCGCACCTGTCCTTACTGGGCCTTCGTCTGTAGAGTCGGTTCTGCCAGCTACTAAGGGGGGACCATTCTCTGTGGTGGTGATGGTGTTTGTGGTGGTGGTGGCGTCGGCTTGATTTCCATGCAGCCGCTTGGCAATCGAGTCGTCCAAGTATTGCAAGAACAGGTCCAGGACATTGTTGTTGATCCTCCAGTATTTCTGGATCTCCTTCAAGCCTAAAAGACACATCTGTGCACGATGTTCTGCGATTCGCCTCAGGACGCCTGCTGCTCGCCTGATAGAGATGGCGTGGATACACAGCGCAGCAAATAGACTTGTGATCCTATAATTCCGCGTGTGAATAAATTTTTAGTACTACGTACGAAGGTCATGCCTCGACCGCTTAGACTCAGTCAGACTCGGACTCACAAATGCATCTGGCCATAGCGCAGTATTCCTTGCGACAGCATGTCCTCGGCGGTTCTGCTGATTTGGCAGGCGGCGGTCAAGGCAACCTGCTTGCTGCAGTCACCTTCCGTGTTTCGGAGGAAAGCGTTCCGGTATATAAGAATGCGCAGATGGCTAACAGAAGTTCAGAGTCAGTCAGCCCTCATATCCTAGCGCATTCATCACTACATGACTCACTTGTAGGCTAGTTGCAGGAGACACGTCCACACAGAGGTAACGCCACCCTCGGATTCGCCCTTCATGTTCTCGGGCAGATTTTGCCTCCAGGCTCCCAGAGATCGGTCAAGATTCTGAACCTCTTCAGCAGTCGAAGGTGGGCGTCCGGGTACAAAGTGCAGGTCAATGACCTTTCCAACTAGAATCACGTATCAGATGCCTCGAATCATCACAAAAAAGCATGGGGTGGAAATACGTAGCCTGGCGAGCTCAACCATCTTCATGGCGTAGGTGATATGTTCTGATTTACACGAACCAAAGAAACTGCCAACAATGCTGTCGTCGGGTGACTCAAAATCCGAGACACTCAATGGCTCAATGTCGCAGTCTTCGTCTCGGATACGGCTGGGCAGGCCCAAAGAAGCGGCTGATTGACGTTCGCGAACCTTGCAAAGGGTAAGCGTGTGGCTGACCAACCTATTGATATGGATTAATCTTACATATATCGACCACCATATCCTCCTCCGCATGCGAGCCATCCGAGAGTCTTGGGTAGTGGTTCGTGTCCTGGTGACGAAATGGTCAATACATGGCAGCAAGATAGTTGCCGTCGGCTAACTACAAGTTGCCCGCTTACGATCTGTGCAGGCCGTATGACTCTGCAAACGTGATGGCAACACCCAACCAATACCGGACATCTCGAACGTCAAACTTGTCGCCCCTCCAGAAGCTGACCAAAAATAGTGATTGTATGAGCGTGATCTCGTCCTTCTCCCAGTCGGCATGGAAGAGCAGCCTCGCCCTGGTGTACAGCAAGGACTTGGCCTCTGTTCGGTCCTTGAACCCCATCTCTAGAATAGTCGAATCGTCGCAATAGGTGGCACCGATGAAGAGCATCGCCTGGAGTAAAAGGCGGGAAATGTCCATGGTTGGCAGCCGGCGAGCAATGTCTGAACGGTCCACTACCGGAAAGCACGGGTGGAACCAGGTGAAGTAGGCTTGAAGCGCAGGGAGACAGCTCCGATGGTCCGGGAACGTCAAGGCTCCCTCGTCGCGGAGATAGCGAGCAGTCCCGGCACTGAGATGGGCGATGCTGACGGGCGACTCTCCTTTCCCTTGCGACTGTGGCGTTGCCGTGTGCGTGTGGGGGAAGAGCAGGCGTCCCTTCTCGTGACTGGTGGCTCCAGCCGTCGCGGGCTCGTCTCCTGGCTGCGCGCGTCCGGGTACAAGAGTGAGGAAATTCGACTCCCCAAAGAAGAGGGTGCCGGGCACCGAAGCTGCGGATGGCGCAGGTGTGTTGGTCTGAGCTTGAAGTCCAACTTGAGAGGATTGGGGTTGCAACACTGGGTCCGTGGGACTCAAGTTTGCTGCCGGAGCTGCATGGATGGTTGTTGGCGGAGTCCGAGTGTTCTCGACGGATGGCCCCGGACTCCCGGATGTAGATGCTCCCGCAGATGGTTGCCGGCGCGACCGCCGTGGATACCTAAAAGAGTTCGTTTAGCTATCCTCTTTTGTCTGATTACAAAATCTAGTTATGTGGGAGATCAATATTTACCTGCCTCGCCGAGAAGGCAGCACCTCACAATTGGCGCCTGCAGTCTGACAGTTCGAGCAAGGGCGGATCTCGTTGACGTTGCAACGGACGCGGCGGGAATTACACACCCGACAGGCGTTCTTTGCCCGGGGCTTCTTGCCGGGTTCCAATGGCATGGTGTTAGCGAGACAGGCGTGAGGTGGCTGGGCATTGAGTCTTGCAGACAGCGCTCGGGTGAAGCAGGGACTGCTGACGACTGCCATGATTTTAGTCAGGATGCGAGGACGGGGGCCCAAATGCGGGGTAACTCTAGCGCATAGTCTCAGCACAGTCCTTCTGATTGAACCTCCCCGAGAGATACAAATGCCACGCACCTCGCGAACCCTGGGATTCCATGGCCACAGCTATCTTTATTAATAACTCCGTGGAAGCTTGAGCACCCGTTCGCTGATGTAATTCAATATCATCTCCTTCGACACCGGCGCAATCCGCGGAACCAGGCACTCTCTAAACCATCGCTCGACATCATACTCTGCCGCGTACCCCATGCCCCCGTGGGTAAGCACTGCTCGCTCGCATGCTGTAAATGCCGCCTCGGCTGCCAGGTATTTGGCGCTGTTGCACGCAACGCCGACATCGTCTTGTCGAATGGAAGAGTCGGACTTGGACTTGTCGTAGAGCTGCGCCGCATGGTACGTCGCCAACTTGGCCGCTTCGAGCCGCATCACCGCATCAGCGAGTGGATGGGCAATCGCCTGGTTCATGCCAATGGGGCGCTGGAAGACAACGCGGTCGCGAGCATAACTCGCCGCTCTCGACAAGGCCGCATAGCCGAGACCAAGCGCCTCCCCGGCAAGGAGACACCTCTCGGCATTCATCCCGTGCAAAACGATTTTGAAGCCTTGTCCTTCAGTCCCGATCAGACTGTCCGCTGGGATGTTGTAGTTGTCGAAGAAGACCTCGTTTGCATCTACCGCCCGGCCACCCATCTTCTTGATCCTTCGCATATCCAGCCCAGGCTTCGTTCGGTCGAGATCAATGCAGAAGAGGGAGAGGCCTTCGCTTGGTTTGCGAACTTGGTCGAGAGGTGTTGTTCGAGCGAGAAGGATCATCTTGGAGGCAACCTGAGCACATGTGATCCAAATCTTCTGTCCTGTGACACTGTAGGACCTGTCGTCCAGTTTCTTCGCCGTCGTACTCAGCCGAAGTGTATCCAAGCCAGCATTGGGCTCCGTCACTCCAAAGCAAACGCGCCACTTTCCCGAGATGATGTTCGGGATTGTGGTCTCCAGCTGCTCCTTGGTCCCGAACTTAGCCAGTGGCTGTGTCGCATAGACGTTGGCGTGGATGGCCTGGGCGCCAGCCATACCTGCTCCGCTCTCCGTGATGGCCTGGAGCATCATGACTGCCTCTGAGATTCCAAGCCCGGAACCTCCCAATGCTTCTGGTAGGGCAATTCCAAGCCACCCGTCCTTGGCGAGTGCAGCATGAAAATCTGCTGGATCCTGCTCGTTCTGGTCGTGTTCTTGCCAGTATGTGTTGGGAAATTGGGAACAAAGCTGGCTGACTGCTTCCCTGACGGTCAACTGTGAATCGCTGAAGCCGCTCGTCTCCATAATCCGTCGTGGACTGGAGGTTGAGAAGCCATTTCCGGGACAAACTCGGCGGCTCGGCAACGGCGGTGCAGCCGCCAGACGGACCAAGCGCCAGGACTGTCGTGATACTATCCGAGACATCGGGATATTGGGACGGGGATTGGAAGTTGTTGCTTGAGGCCAGTTGCTCAGCCACAGAGCTGGTCTGTTCGAAGGCAACAATTAATTATTGATTGTTTGTTCGCACAACTTCCATACTCCACTCCACCCAGTGGATGCATATAGCCGACCCCAAAATGCCGACTCAATTCCCCCGCAAAAACAGGGAACATCAAGACCCCGAACCTGCCTCGGTACATAAATGCGGAGAAGCAGCCACCCCTAACCCCCCTCCAGCCCCAACCAACCTTATTCGTACGCTGCACATTAATCCACTATGGTCCAGCCGATCTTTCACGTCTACCTGCATCCTCAACGAAGCTTGGCCGTTCTCCATGTCTGTCTCGTTGGCTTTGGGTGAATATGGCTTCCACCATGTCTGTCAACTTCATCACACCCCTTCGAGCCCTGACCTGCGGCTCAAGCCGAATTGGACTGGCGGATTTCGCTTCTCAAACCTGCAGCGGAAGACGGTTACGTGCCTCTGCAAAAGTTTGTGGTAGTGCTTCATTCATACAAGCACAAACCCGGACCCTCGCAACCACGAGGCCGGAAGGCAAAAGCACAAGTCTACCCCTGGAAGGAATCACGGTTGTCAGCCTTGAGCATGCCATCGCGGCTCCATTCTGTACACGGCAACTCGCCGACCAGGGAGCTCGTGTCATCAAAGTCGAACGACCAGGGGTTGGCGACTTCGCACGTTCCTACGATACGAGGACCCGTGGGCTGGCATCACATTTCGTCTGGGCCAACCGCTCCAAGGAGAGCCTGACCCTCGATCTGAAAGCCCCCGCAGACCTGAGAGTCCTCAATACTCTGCTGTCGAAAGCCGACGTCCTCGTTCAGAACCTCGCCCCTGGCGCGAGCGCACGCCTCGGGCTATCATACGAAGCGCTGCGGAAGCAGAACCCCAGCCTGATCGTCTGCGACATCTCAGGCTACGGCTCCGACGGGCCATACCGCGACAAGAAGGCCTACGACCTCCTCGTGCAGAGCGAGGCAGGCTTGTTAAGCGTCACCGGCCACCCGGACAAGCCCGCCAAGGTGGGCATATCCATCGCCGACATCTCGGCGGGCATGTACGCCTTCACCAACATCCTGGGCGCCCTTCTGAAGCGCGCCAAGACGGGTCACGGCTCCCGCATCGACATCTCCATGCTCGAGAGCATGACCGAGTGGATGTCGTTCCCCCTCTACTACGCGATCGACGGTGCGCCCGGGCCGCAGCGCGCCGGCGCCGCCCACGCCGCCATCTACCCGTACGGGCCATTCGAGACGGGCGATGGCGGCTCGGTACTGCTGGGCGTGCAGAACGAGCGGGAGTGGGCCGCCCTGTGCCGGGACGTCATCGGCGACGCCGGACTTGCCGAGGATAAGCGGTTCGCTACCAACTCCGCCCGGGTTCGGAACCGCGATGCTTTGAAGGATATCATCTGTGGGGCCTTCTCGAGCTTGTCGGCGCGGGAGGCACTTGATCGATTGGACGCGGTGGGTATTGCCAATGCCAAGATGAATGATATGCAGGAGGTCTGGGATCACGAGCAGTTGCGGGCGAGGGGCCGGTGGGTCGAGATTGACACGCCTGCTGGACCGATCCCGGCATTGCTGCCGCCCGGTGCCGCTTGCGCAGCAGATGTCCGGATGGGCCCCGTCCCAGCCCTAGGTGAGCATAATGATGCCATCTTGGCCGAGTTGGGCTTTGACCAAGACGACAAACCGTAATTAATTAGACTTAGGTAAAATGGTATAGATTGAAAGGCCTTTGTCAAGTCCCCTATTATGGACAGTTTCTGACCGTCTACTGGACTGTGATCATATGTCAAGGTAATGTACATTATCTGGAGGATCTGAAGATAAATTACAGCCTGAGGGGCTATTACTGGAAAAGGGAAACTTATAGGTCGAATTTCAGGCTTCCCATTAATAGCCACTATTCGATCCATCATCGTATTCATGTTGAAGACTGCTGCCTGCGGATAGTTGTGCCGGACATAGAGCCAAATATGCTAGGGTTGCTGATGGAGAAGTTGCCTCCCTGAAGGTCCTCCATGGTCAATCTGCTATGGCGGGCCTTGCAATTGGGTCAGCATCGGTTAACAGACGGGTTTTGGGAAACGATGCTCACTTTCAGCGCAAGCACTGCAATCTGACTCTCAATCTCGACAATGCTCGGTGTCTCGAAGTTCCTCAGCACAGGGTGTGGCCAACCCTTTGGAACTCTATTCTACTTACATGTTTGCTGCGAGCACCACACCCATATCTGGCTCGTGGCACCAGGTCTGTTTCATCACTATGCCTTCCCCCAGTGCCCGCTCAAGAGTATTAGGGCGAACCGTTAGATTCACCAAGATTTCCTCCATGGCAGTGCTGCGAACTACATTGATAAGACATACGCTTCTTAGAATCGATCCCCAGAATCAGTGCATGTCTCGTGCCAGACCTACTTCCGAAGTGGTGACCCTATCGTATCCATTCTGGTAAGAGAAGTCGTCGTCGTCTTTGGTCTTCTCATAACGACCGAAGAAACGTCCATGACGAATAATGAAAATGACGAAAAAGGAGGGAGAGGTGTAGAACTGGAACTGAGGAATCAACTATCTAGGTAAATATTAGGTAAAATCTGGAAACCCCCACGCTGCAAACCCCACCTTCGCAAGTGGTGTGAGTGATCATTAGACACTCTGAGATAGCACCTGGGCCGGGATTGGCATGTAATAGGAATCAAGTTTCAGATTGAGAACTCGTCGTCTGGTCTGTGGTGATTTTGTGTCCCTGCGTGTGTGCCCTGCGCATCTCCCTCGTACGGGCGGGACGTCCGTGAGACGCACATCACCGTGGCCGGAAATGTCGGCGTATAAGTGCGACTGACACTCCACGATAAGGCCGCAGCAACCCGCGGAAGTGATCAGGCCACGTTTGCGTTTCGGAGCCAGTCTTGTGGGGTCTCTGCAAGTTCTCTCCTGCGAGTTGCCAATATTAGGGCGAACGACACCCCCCCCTTCCGCCCCCCCCCCCTCCCGGCGCGGAGGTTCAGGCTGGCGGGCCTTTGATTGCTTGCCTGCCCATCCTTCTAGCTGTCTCGTATCCTGGCAAATAGGGCTGCAATCTAGAAGTGTAATAAGAGAAGAAAGGAACCGAGGCAAACAGAACAGTCGGTCGTGTCCGCTATATGCCTATAAGATGGAGCATCCACGGGGGCCGCAGATATTGAAGCTAGTCTTCGTCTAGAGCCTCCTAAACCCATTCCTCGGGCTTGGGCCTCAGACCTCATCTACGCCCCACTACCATCGCCTGATTGCCTCATCCTCCTGGAAGTAACAGCAGAACCCTCGCTCGTTGCGGATTCTCACCCACTCAAACTCCAGTACCCCGAGCCGCAAGCCGATGACACGGACTATCACAGCACAACCAGCACCGTATTAACGTAAGGATTCCTCTGAACTGTTAGTATTATCTCTACCATCTATTATTCACGCTCCACCACCAATCGGATTATCACTGGGGCTTCAGCTAAGTAGTTGGAATATCCTCGGAACTACCCAGGTCATACCGCGCTAGATTGCGCTGCAGCGATGTGCAAATACATCAAGTCGAGTATGAAGTATAGCACGTGTAAAGGAGATCCAAAGCATATCGTTGAAAGGCGGTCGAGAACCGACTGGGACCCAGATGCCGGAGGGAAAGATCCTTGCAAGGAAGAGAAGATGTCGGACGGGCTATGCTCATATGCTATTCAGCTTGGTGTTTTCGGCAGTACTAGCTACACGACTACCGATGCTTGCCCGGAATGCGGGTGATGGGTAGGCAAATGCTCCTGGAACGAGGATAGCGTGGCTATATATGTGCTCTGGCTAGTATGAGTGTGAAGTTTGGACGACATGTGGATGAAGATATGAACAGAAGATTTGATATGTGGCGGATAACTAATTTCCATGTGGGGGATGCGTCTCGGCGGCGCCGTCAGTCTGACAAAAACCCAAGCACTGCCAGCGCCTGGGGCCTCTCATTGGTTAAAATAAGCGATGATGGACACGCGTGCTGCTTTCCCCACAAAATCTTGGTGCATAACCCGACAATCCTCTTCAATCCAAACCCAAGCTGCGTCGCCTCTGCCACTATGACGAACCCTCCAGATCCCACGGGTGATGGCAGGCCGATACTGCAGCCCGTAAGTGCCGGATCGTCGGGGAATATCTTCCTGCTGGCGCCCGATCTGGTGGTCAAGCTTGGGCACTTAGGATGGCCCCACCACGTCGAGCACGAGCACAAGGTCTACGAAGCACTGGGCCCTCACCCCCGTATCGTCGAATACCTGGGCACCTGGAACGACATCAACCGCTCCGCTGTTCTCAGATACCACCCCCGTGGCTGTCTTCGCCAAGTTCTGCAACGCGCTGCGGACAACGAAGTGCCGGTCCCGCGCCGGAAATGGGCCGTCCAGCTTGCCGAGGCCCTCGTCTTCATCCACTCCAAGGGCGTCGTCCACGGCGACATTAACGCGAGCAACGTGCTCGTCACGGACCACGATGACGTATTGCTTTGCGACTTCGCCGGTGCGGCGCTCAACGGCGAGCCGCCAGTCGTGGCCTGCTATGAGATCCGGCATTTCCGCCCGAGGTCCAGTGACGACGAGTGGGTGAGTCGATCCGAGGCCGACGATTTGTTTGCACTTGGCTCGCTTCTCTTCGAGCTGTACACTGGCGAGAAACCGTTCAAGGACAAGGAGGAAAACGAGGTCGAGAAGCTCTACAAGCGGGGAATTTTTGCCGACACCTCTAGGATCCCGGCAGAGGTAGAGGCTTTGATTAATGGATGCTGGACGGAGAAATATACGAACGCGCTGGAGCTTCTCCAGGATGTGTCACATCTAGCTACGAGCTGACCAAGCACAAGCACAAGCACATGCTCGGCGTGTTCCCATTTCCACGCCATGTCTAGCAATCGCACAAGGTGCTCGGCATGAAAGTCACAGGCGCTACAACTCTCCTGTCGGAATCTCTCCTGAGGCTGGAGACGAGCTGAAGTAGCGTTCGCTCAAACCACCCCGACTGCAGTCCGCGTTGGAACTTGGGTTGGTCCGAGTATCATTTCCGGCACTTGTTTAACTTCGACACGGCCGCGTTCTGGGTGTTTGTTTGCCTCTGTTGCTGGCAGAGCTTGCGGATTGATAGATTGTGCAGACTTTGTTCGGGCATTCCGTGACCACCCGCGGCCGCGTGCATGTTGCGGGTGTCGAGTTCAAGTCTCGTTGGCTCCGTGGACAGGCCAGCCGGTTCCCGCGCGTTTGGGCTTGCTGTTTCCGAATCGTACCGTGATCATGAGGCCTATATTGAGGTCGGCAACGGGCGGGACTGTCGGCGCATGGGCTAGTCGATGAAGGCAGTGTGTAGCCCCAACCGAGATGGAACAGTGTAGGGAGAGCGTCTCGAGGCCGCTCCCAAGACCGCTGGACCCGAGCCGCGGCCATGTGTTTCCCTGGCCTAGAAACTTGGCCGGCCAATTGTTGGCCTCGCCTAGGAACTTGAGAAAACGGCACCTGTGATACTTGCTGGTGCATAGCTTGCAGACAGAGAGCCTTGCCGTCTCGTGGCGAGCGATCTCATTAAGCCTGCGCATGTTCCTGGGTGTGAATTCCGTCTCTACCAGCCCCGAACCAGGCAGCACTGAACGTTGCTAGGGTTGTCTCATTCAGGTACCGGCAGGCTTGCCAAAGGGAAAGGAGGTCCTCCCTGTCAAGGAAATGGGCAACGCTCGTGAGAAGCTCGGGCGGATGGACAACACGAAATTAAGGCGGGGGCTGCCAGGCGGGATTACGCAGATGCATATGAAAGCCAGAAATTCCACCAGCGCGACAAAGCCAGGGTTTAGCTCGTGCGTACGCCAAACGCCATTCAAATTACTTCCACCTATCAGCTCATGGCGTGTATCCGTACACCGCACGGAATAATCTGCGGATCCGTATGCAGTAATACCAATATTAGACGCTGCAGCATTAGCCCCTGACCCCAGGCAACCCCGCATCAAGTTGGGGCAATTGTTGGGAATGCCTGGAACAGGCATGCATGGATGCTATTAGCACGCCGCTGTATTTCTCCATGAATCAACGATCGGGCCTGCGCTGCTGATGACCTCCAACTCAAACCATGTTGTCCTTCAAAAGACTACAAACCTAGTTATTGGCCTTGGCCCTTCTTTCCTCATTAACTTAAAGGCAGCTGTCTTTTCATTCCCGACAGAGCCACTTTCCTGAGCCCCAACGTAGCGAGTCTTCATTCTCTGATACTACTACCCATTTCATCCTTGGTCTTTGTAATACAAGACAGAGAGCAAGATGGGCCAATCGTGGCGATGGGTTGCGGCAAGAACAGGTCTCGCAGTCCTGACCTTTGCGTCCTCGGTCCTTGCAGCACCAGCTGCCTATGTTAATTGCCAAAAACCGACCAACAATCCGTTAGATGGTTGTCCTGACGGCACCATTCTTGTATCAGCCTCGGACCACGACGGGGCCCAGTTTCACACCATCCAGTCTGCAATTCTTTCGCTGCCCAATGACAACTCATCTCAGGTTATCCTAATTCTGCCCGGTGACTACGTCGAGCAGCTCAACATCACCCGATCCGGTCCTGTCACTCTTTTAGGACAGACAGCACACCCGACGGTGCAGGCGAAGAATCAGGTCCAGGTCTATTGGGCGGCTGCGAATGTTAACGGTATCTATGGTGATAACGCATACACCTCTGTATTGACGGTGGCGCCGACTCTCGAGGCCAGTCTTACCGGCTCCGGTCCCACTGGCTACCCGGTTCCTGACGAGACCCCCTTTGGATGCGTCCAGTTCAGTGCTTATAACTTGGACTTCCGAAACGTCTATGCAGACTACGCGATCTCTCAGTCTCTAGCTGTGAGCATCAGCTACGCCAATGCTGGGTTCTATTGGTGTGGGATCTACAGCTACCAGGACACGGTGAGACAAGACATCACTCGCTAGCAACTTCTTCCATTGATAGGAGGTTGGACTTTCAGCCGCGGCTCTTTTGTCTAACTCCCTGTCATTATAGGTCTACGTCGGAAAGCTCGGAAATGCCTACTTCTATCGGAACGAGATTGCCGGAACGACGGATTTCTTCTATGGTAGGCAGCAGAGCCCAGAGCACGATTCATGATCAATCACAAAAAATAGCGGAACTAATGAATTATTCCTCATAGGTTTCGGCACTGCCTGGGTCCAGCACACCAACGTTACTCTGAGATCATGCGGCGGAGGTATTACAGCGTGGAAGGGGACGAACACGACCTTCCCCAACAAGTACGGCGTCTACATCTCCGATTCCTTCGTCAACGCGGCAAACGCTTCTATTGCCCATTCAATGGTCGGAAAATGTGCCTTGGGCCGACCCTGGAACGACCTACACCGCAGCGTCTTCTTGAATACGTGGATGGATGCAAGCATCCTCCCCAAGGGCTACAAGACTTGGTCTGGCCTGCCATACACGCCCGGGTCTAACTACGACAACGACACCCTCATGGCCGAGTACAAGAACAGTGGACCGGGATACGATCTCGCTGCGCGCCTGGCGAGTGATGTCACGAAGGTGTTGGATGCTGACCAAGCTCGCAAATACCGGACGCCGAAGGATGTTTTCATGACCTGGACGGGCGTGCAGCCGAATATCGCTTGGATTGACCCAGCCACCTACACTTGGTAATTTCCATGCGACCTGAAGTCAAACTTGATAGATGTAGTTAGTTGCCTTAATGCCGCCTTGCATGCATCTAACAAAACCATCCAACCGCGCTTTTAGAGAAAAGCTAACCTAATCCCAGCAAAAACACTTGTATGGCCACGTGTTCACAGCTCCTTTTCGACCCAACGTCGTCTCACGTAGAAAACGTTCTTTCAACGAACCATGTTCCATTCCACCCTTCGCTTGGTGTCCACATCCATCTCCTGACGCAATGGCTGGTTCAGCGCTACTGAACTGTCCCTTAGAAGTCATAAGCGCAATTTGCTTTCGTCTCTGCGATCATTGCAATGGCGGTTATAACCCCTCGGGGGGCGTTGACCCTCACAGTCTGGCTGCGCTTTCGAACTTCTCAAAGACATGTAAGGTTTTGCAGCATGTGGCTCAACCATTTTTATTCCACTTCGTTTCTGACCGCAGCCGGAGTGATTTCGATCAGATTGCTCTCCTCCGGACCATTCATAGCCGCCCCGACCTGGCAGCGTGCGTCAAGGTCATTGACCTTGAAGGAATGAAGGTCAAGCCATCAGCAAATGGCACAAAGCTCACTGAAGAGCTTGTTTCAAGCCTTGGGCTTCCCGCTCTTCACACCCGCTGGCACCCGGAGGACAGCGAGTTCAGGCTAGTCGCTCTAGAGCTTATTCTCGTCCATACAACTGGACTCGAGATCTTGACGCTCCCGCAGCAAAGCGAATGGCCTCTCCAAATCATTCCATCTCTGGTTTCCCAGGACGCCTCTGTTGTCTTGTGGCCCAACCTGAAACAACTTTCAAGCTTCTACTACTATACGGGCCAGGGCAGCTATGACTTGGTACAGCTGGCCCCCATTCTGTTGGGAGCGCCGAATCTCGAGGAGCTGTCGCTCTCTTCCGGCGGAATCCAGCTGCTCACTCCAGGTATGGACATGGCCATGCGCAGTCTACGCCGCCTTGAGCTGCACGAATTCGCCATTGACCCGCCCCGGCTGTCGAACCTTATTGAATGCTGCGGCCCGCTCGAGGCGATTATCTTCAGTGGCGTAGAGCCCGAAGACTTCGACGACAGCGAAACGATGTCCGTTGTTGAGACTTGGCAGGCGATGGAGCAGAAGAAAGAAACCCTGAAGGAGATCACAATGGACGTGGACTGGCCATGGGAGGTTGAATCCGGCACTTTAACTACCCTGCAGCATTTCGGACGTCTCGAAGTCCTGGAGGCGCATTCCGTCGCGATCGAAGCCATCCGAACAGGCTGGTCACGCGCTCACGGGAGGCAGGGCCGGGCTACAGGCGGTAATTTTCTCTTTCAGATGCTGCCCGGGTCTATCAGGGAAATCAAGTTGACGAACTTGGATTCGTATCTCTGGGAATATGTGCTGCGTTTAGCGGCTGCGAAAGCATCTAGACTTCTACCCAACCTCAAGAAAGTAACACTCTGCGCATCCCTGCAGTGGGGGCGGTATTGGGACGACCGGGAGAAATGGGTCGAGAAGGAGGAAGCTATTAGGAGCGCTTTTGAGACTGCGAATATAGAGCTGGAAATTGGAAGGTACTCTCGTTCATAAAGATATGTTTATAAGGATACAGGTTGCTGTTGAATATGGTCATCCCTGCTTACGAGTAGAAAGACGAAGGGAGAAAAAGGAACGGCTTTCACTTGAGTGAATCGGCGGCGGAGAAGTAGAAATATCACGGATTGAGCTTCTCGATGCGAGCTAGGACTTCCACCAGGATCTTGTAGCCTTCCTTTGCAGCTTTGTACGAACAAATGATCCTTACGCCACGGCCCTTAACACCACGCCTTCCAGTTCGGATCATCCTCATCCAGCTCCTCAGCCTCGCGCTTCACGGTGCCGCTCTTGGTCAACACCTTCCTCGCCTTCCCCTTGCTCAGGTAAGGAGAATCGTCATGGTCCCGGATGTAATAGCCCCAATCGCACGTGTCGTCGCACTCGGTCTGGCTGAAGCCGTTGCCCAGCCAGTCGAACCTGTTCCCCCTATACTCGACCTCCCAATCGTCGGCGCGCGTGTGCTGCATCGCCTCAAAGTAGTGCAGCGAGCTGCCGGGCCACAGCGCCGAGACGCGCCCGGACACCGTGTGTGACTTGTACCAGCTCCGGCAGCTGTCCCGCCAGATGGTGTCCCGCATGAAGAAGTCGGTGCGGCGGGTGAAGTCCTCGATGGCGCATAGCTTGGGCGTGAACGAGTGGAGGTTCTCTGTCTGCCACCGGTCGCACCAGCGGAGCATGTAATCCGCTTGCGCTTCTATTTTGCCAACCCCTCTTAATCAGCCATCTTGTGTATGTGTATGCGCATGCCAAGTCACTTATCTGAAAGGAAGGGAGGGGACGTACCGATGGCGCCAATTAGAGGCCCACTTCCGATAGGGCAGTTTGGTCCGAGGAAGTGCAGGTAGTTGGGCTGTGCCGGAGCGGCGACGCCCATGTACGAGTGTGCCTCCTCGGCCCAGAGGTCCTGGAGGTTCTGCCCGCCAAGTCCAATGATCGGGAAGCGAGGTCGGAAGGAGACGTCAAAACCTGTCGCACAGATGAGCACGTCGAGGACGTGTTCCTTCCCGCCGGCGACACAGCCGGTCGCGGTGATGCGGTCGATGTCACCGAACGCCACCTCGACATTCTCGGCCTGAAGGGATTCGAGATAGTTGATTCCTGGTGTCATCCGCCGGCATCCAAAGCTCCACTCCGGAATCAGCTTCTCCCGTAGCTCCGGTTTGAACAGCTTCGACTTCATTTGCAATGTGACGCGTCGTTTTGTGCTCTCCTGTAGTTTGCTGCCCATGAGGAACATGGCGTAGATGTTGTTCACGTTGCTTTCCGTTTGTTTTCTCCAGCTGAGTAGGACCCCGGGTTTGGTTGCAAAGTCTTCCTTTTCCTGCTTCGTGTACGAGTGCTGCTCGAAGCCCCGGAGCGGAGTCACCCAGGTCGGCGTTCTCAAAAACGTGGTGACTGATTTCGCCTGTGGTTGGATAGCCGGCAGGATCTGAATTCCGGAGGACCTGGGCTTGTTAGTGGACTTGATACCACGAAGACCGTGGGAAGAGGAGAGCCTACCCGTTGCCGATTAAGCCGACGCGTTTTCCAGTAAGGTCGGCGGACTCATCGTAGTTGGCGCTGTGAAGAAGAGTCCCCTTGAAGTCGTGTAGGCCCGGGATGCTTGGCCATTTCCAGTTGTTTAATATACCCGACCCGTTTATCAGAATATCACAGACGTCGGTGGCTACTTGCCCCGTAGTCGCGTCCTTCACTCTCACCTCCCACTGACCCTCGCCTTCAAGCCACCGGGCCTCGCACACTTCGTGATTGACGCTGATGTATTTGTTCAAGTCGTACTTGGCTGCAAACCACTTGAAGTATTCCTTAATCTCTGCGCTTCCGGCATAAACTGCAGACCAGTCGGGCTTGGGCTCCCACGAGTAGCCGTAGTTGTGAGCCGGGACGTCGCATGCGCACCCAGGATACCTGTTTTCGAACCAAGTTCCGGAGATCTCAGCGTTCTTCTCGTACAGCCGCAGGGAGAAGTTTTCGAAGGAACGTTGAAGCTTGTAGGCAAAACAGAGTGCAGATGCCCCTGCACCGATGACGATGATCCGCATGAACCTCTCCGAGTGGATGGGCCCACCAAGTTCTTCGTTGCGGTAGTACCCCTTTTCCCCATTTCGCTGCTTTGGAGGGATCGTATCTCTCCCTGCATTTATAGCAGGAGAGAGCTCGAGGAATTCGGGGTTGCTCTGAGGTAGTTCCTCGATGGCGACGGAGCCATTCATGCCGTTTTTGAGGTCGGCGGTTTCTGAAAGCACACCGACGGCTGCCATTTCGATATTTGATCAGATCAGGTGAGGTCTTCGATAAAGATAGTGACAATGGTGAGGATTGAACCTTCAAGAATGGCCTGCCGTTGAATTAATCGAGGAACTCACCAAGGCTGGTATATGCTGTTCAACGTGCTTTGTAATGAACGCATCGAGTTGGGATAGGATCATGTCCGTAACTAATTTCCAGGCATCACCGATGGCGATAATCTACTGCGGGCTTCAATTCCGGTGTGCCGGGTTATAGAAGCACCACTCGTAGTGCCTCGCTCTATTCTTCCATCGGGAAGATGGACCCACACAAGTTAGGGACCGGCACTATGGTCTTGGCACTTCGGTGATATTGTCCGATGCCAGCGCTCCGTGCCCCACTCGGACGGACATGGTGAACCCATGCATCAGATCTCGGTAATTCTAGGCCGAAAGCTCCAATTCTCACGTGGGAGTCCATCTATTTTTTTGGGATGTGCTTCAGCTTCAGCGCGTGTGACACCTTGTAACCCTCATAGTCTTTGGTGCGCCTTGAAACGGGAGGCGCCGTATCGCAGGAAGCGGACAGCATCGCGTATAATACGCAATTTTATCAGCTTTACTGCTTACCATGTCGTCTACTTCCACGAGAGTGGCCATAATCACGGGCGGCGGTTCCGGCATGGGCTTCGCAGTCGCGAAAAGACTCGCAGAGGAGGGCTGGCACCTGACTATCGTGGATCTCAACGAGAGCCAGGGCGTCAAAGCGGCTGACGAGCTGGGTGGCAAGACAACCTTTGTCAAGGCAGATGTGACCAAGTACGGGGACCAATTGGCTGCTTTCGAGCAAACTTTCACGAAACACGGCCGCTTGGATTTCGTCTTCGCAAACGCTGGCATCGCCGAGAAGGCGGATTTCTACGATAAGCCTGGCGCATGGCCTCCGAAACCACCACCAATGCTTTCGCAGGAGGTGAATTTGACGGGTGTGGTATATTCCAGCTATCTGGCAATGCACTTTATGCGCCAGAACGAAACCCCTGGGGGAGTTATTGTCATGACAGCTTCTGGTAAGTCGAGTCCACACGAACGGGAGAATACCGCTCTGACAGGGAATCGCCAGCTGCTTCTCTCTATGCATCGCCGGAATTACCCATTTACACAGCATCAAAACATGGGGTTCTGGGCCTCATGAGATCGATGAGCCTGGCACTCCATGATGAGGGAATAAGGGTGAACTGTACGCTACCCGGAGCAATACGCACGAGTCTTCATCCCGACCAGACATGGTCGCAGTTTGCGCATGGAGATTTCACGCCGATTGGGGAAGTGGTAGATACCGTTGTAGGGCTCGTGAAGGACTCGGAGGCAACGGGCAGGGCCATGGAGATCAGCGCAGGGGAAGTCTTTGACCGAAAACAGCCCGACTTTTCAAATGGGACCATGGCAAGGATTATGAATGGAGCCTCGTATTGAGCGTCAGGTTATTACATAAAGGCTAGATAGACCATTCCCATAGGATTGTTGGAATGTCAAATTCGTGAGCTTGGTTGACACTTGAAAATAAAACTCAGAATCAAAATATGACAATAAAGAGGAAGACCGAACATGCAAATTTTTCGAGATTATTGAGATGACTTATGGTAAGGCCAGGAACATGATATAAATAACCGAATCAATTACACGAGGGAAGCCTTCGAAAGAAACACAAGCCATCCTATCCTCTCCATCCTTTCCCCTCGCCTTCGTCTTTCCTCAATGATACTTGTTCTTCTCAGCAAGCGCATCATTCTCCAGAAATACCTCAATCTTCTTCGTCATCTTTGGCCCGATGTCCTCACACAGAAGCGCCAAGATGATGCCCACCACCCCGAAAGCCATCGAAGCCAGCGCAGCATTCCTGTCGGCCCCAGAGTCAGTTCTCGGAACATGAGGAGAGGGCAGGAATCATATATATCTCTCACCTGAGCCCAAAGGCAGCAGCATACTTGTACGCAGTGCCCACAGCCTCAATCACCTCCTGGTTCACCCCGGGGATCTTGGAGAGCGCCGTGGCTCCCTGCCCCGCTGCCGCGACCACCTGGGCGAGCGACGACTCCGGCAGCCCGGCGTCGAGGGCCGCGCGGGGGATCAGCTCGGCGCCCCTCTTGGCGATGCCGTTGCTGATGGCGCTGGAGTAGCACGCCGCCGCCACGGCGCCGCCGGCGTAGCGGGCCGTGCCGGCGAGGCCGCCCGAGATGCCGAGCATCTCCTGCGGGACGCCTAGCTGGGTGAAGGTGACGGACAGATAGGCGGCCCATCCGTACGAGAGTTGGCATAGGGCGACGAATGTGATGATCATCGCTTTGTTGTATGGCGTGATGAGGGCGAGTAGGCTGCCCCAGATGACGAGAGACGTGGTGGAGGCAACCATCTGCCATTTCCAGTGGCCGATTTTGTTGCCAAACAGCGAGAGGAGTGCCGCTCCAACCGGGATTGGTACTGAGCTGGGGAGTGTGAGGAGGAGTTCTTTGGAGACAGAGGTTGTTTCGTCAATGTAAAAGGAATCTAGACGGAGTGGGATATCATGTCAGTACTCTTCTTGTCCAAGGCGACGGGGATGTGTGTTCGAGAGAGGGGCCTTACTTAACACAGTGGGGTAGATGACGGCAGTTCCGTAGAAGAACCCGACCATAATGAACGCCAGGAAGAAAGGCACTGTAAACTCCCGGCCGTAATGGCTCGTGAAGATTTCGGGCGGGCAGAGCGGGTACTTGACAGGGCCAAATCTTTCCCAGGCCCCAAAAGCAGCGATGACCGCGAACCCAACACAGAGACAAGCCAGAACCCTCCTGTCTGTGCTTGGCAGGTACGAGGTGTACACGATGCCGACAAGGACGAGAACGGCGCCAGTTGTGAAGAGGATGCCGCCAATCCAGTCGAGACCTCTGATGGCCTCTTTCCACGGAATGCCCCTTAAATGCTTGGGAGGGTCTGAAGCCTGTTGTCAGTAACACGGCCCCGGGGAAGTCCTTTGGTAAACCTACGGTAGAGAAAGAAGAGCCCGATCGTCGCCACGACTTCTATGATAAAGCCTGCCCAGTAAAGGTAACGCCACCGCTCGTCGTGGAGTATTGCGAAGCGACCCACGATAGGTCCGATTACAATCATGATATACACGATCGTATCTGCAAGCACCACTCCAATGTGGCGATATTTATTGGGCATCAGCTCTGGGACCGCAATGAGAGCAACCCCGCTGATTCCGGAGCCGACGCCGTTGAGACTGAGCCCCGCAATGAGCATGGAAGTCGAGTTTGCCCGGGCGCAAATGATGTACGACACGGCGGTTATAACATTGGCCGACAGGAGGAAATACCGGCGGCCGAAGAGGTCTGAGTTGGCCCCGAAGATGAGGATAGTCACGGCTGCAGCTGTCGTGATGCACGGCACGACCCACGCCGCGAGCTCGGCATGGCCGAAAGTCCCAAGCAACTGCGAAGAGATCGCGGCCGTGGTTGGCGTGGCCCTAATTATGTCATGGTGAGTATTTTCCGTGGGTTTGCGGCTCGGGAGTTGACACGACCTACCAGAACGGGCCTCCGAACGACAGAGCGAGGAACTAATATATTTCATATGTTGTCAGAGAGATGGACGTTCCTTCAAGAGTGTCTGTTGGGTTGAGAACTCACGAAGATAGAGAGCCACGCCTTTGCAGTGGTTTTTTCCTCCAGCTCTCCATCCAACTCCCGCTTCATTTCATTCGGAGGAGAGATATCTTCGTTCGGTGGAGAGATGTTATGGCCAGCAATCGACTCGACCATTTCCACATTGGCCGAACTAATGTCCGATTCTTTAGCGTCCGTCATGGTAGATCAAGTATGTGTCAGTAGTATATCGCTTTGCAATACCGGAAGTAAACTGAACGACACAGATAACATGTATGGAACGAGAGGGAAAACTTTCATAGGACCAGATGAAATGCAAATGATATCGCTAGATATAGACGGGGGGCAATGAGGCCGATAGTGAAGTGCATACATCGCATAAAGGAGGTATTTTCCATGTGGCGCGTGAGATATGAGCGGGTGTGCATATGACGTGAGGCTTGGACCCGGACATGGTGTTCTGGGGACAATACCGCCTTGCGATGCCAAGAGGGTACTCCCCATTTCTCCGCATTGCCAAACCCGAGGATCTAGGGAAGGCTCCCAAGAGGCCTGGAGACCTCTTAGCGTGTGTCGGGGATATTCACCGACGCTAGCTGATGCCAACCCAATAGCGCCTAGTTCGCTCGCCAAGGACTGTCAGCTCTTAGATGCCGCTTGTGGTGTTCAGTCTCGAAAGGAAGAAAGCAAGGGAGAGGAAAGTCAACGGCGATCATGTCCGAACGTCATGTTGTCGACCAAGTAGTAGTTACCGTGGCCGGGGAAAGTTTACGGACATGGAGATGCATTCAATATTGCGCATCTAGAAACTCTCCCCAAGCTATTGCGGGCTGCAGTTATAAAGTACTTAATCATGTGAGAAAAGTGAAACCACCATCAAGTTCGAGACCCCTGTCGACTGCCGAGTCAAAGTCTTGTCCCAAATTCACGCGATTCCCCGTCCACATTCATCTCAAATCCATTTGGCGAACATCAAACATGGTTTATCCTGGCCAGCTGCACTATTCTGACTTTAATGCGCCAGTCCTGAAAAGGCCGATTGACGACCCAGGACGGAAGCTTCGAGTTGTATGTGTTGGCGCCGGGATTTCGGGCATAACCACCATCATCAGGTTCAACCAACACCTCGGCGAGCATGTAGACGTGCAGGTCTACGAGAAGAATGCCGGTGAGGGCCTTTTTGAAATCGAGGATAGCCCATTATTTGCTAACCAAAGTCCAAACAGAGGTGGGAGGCGTATGGCTCGAAAACACATATCCCGGAGTTGCGTGCGACATCCCGGCTCCGTGCTTCGCGTTCCTCTTCGAGGACAACCCGGACTGGTCGAGTTACTACGCAGGCGGCAAAGAGATCAACGACTACATACGGAGTGTTGCGACCAAGTACCAAGTGCGGCGCTTCATCAAGTTTCGCCATCTCGTCACGCACGCCGAATGGGCTGAGGACGAAGGGAAATGGCATCTAAGAATCTACGACCAGGCCAATGACCGGGTGCGGAATACATGCCGCTCTGTTACGTCTGTACCCCGTCGCTGACCAGTCCGTGAGTAGGTTATTGAGGATGAAGCGGACGTCGTGATCATGGCGGTTGGAATGCTAAACAACTGGGCATTCCCCGACGTCCCGGGAATCCATTCATTCAAGGGTCCTAACATGCACACTGCAAACTTCGACGACAACTTCGATGCCACGGGCAAAGTGGTGGCAGTGGTCGGGGGAGGGTCAACGGGGGTCCAAGTCTTGCCGCACATTCAAAAGTCGGCAAAGACGGTGCACCACTACATGAGATCACAGTGAGCTTCCCGTAATGCTGGATTCTGAGGACACACTAACCTGGTAATTAGGAACTGGATTGCGCCGGTCGGATTCGGGGCGGCAGAGCTAGAGAAGCGAGGATCTCTAGCAGAAGGCAATTGTGAGTCGAACCCGCAAACTGCAAAAATTTCCGGTCCCATATCTAACGTGCCGGATAGTTTGCTACCCAGAAGATGAACGTAAACAGTGGGCAAATGATCCGGAGTCATACCACGCATACCGAAGAGGCATTGAGGAGGGTATCATGGCCTACATGGCCGAGGAAGGGTTCAAGTACGGGTCGGAAGAGCAAAAGACCATGGAAGCAGACTTCAGGGCCCACATGCAGAAGATGCTCGGCTCGAGGCCGGATATTCTAAAGACGCTGCTCCCGGATTTCCCGCCGGGGTGCCGCCGGTTGGTGCCGGGCCCAGGGTACCTCGAAGCGCTAGTCCAAGACAACGTGGAATGGATCCCCAAGGAAATCCAATGCGTGACAGGAGAGGGAATCATTACGACCGATGGCATAATGCACAAGTGTGATGCGATAATATGGGCCACTGGCTTCATCTGGTAACTACTTCCCTCTGACTGAGTCGTTTGGGAGTGCGATCAAAAGCTAACTTCGGCGGCTACGTCAACAGTGATTTCAGAAGCAGGTTCCCGGTGATCGGACGAGGCGGCATAACCTGGAACCAGGTCATGGACCCGGAACCCGAATCGTATCTGGGCTGTATAGTGGACAAGATGCCGAATTGTTTCTTATACTTCGGCCCGAACTGTGCCCCCGGAGCCGGCAATGCTTATCTCTGCTCCGAGTCGGAGTGTGAGATGATGATCTCGTGCGTTGAGAAGATGCTCCGCGAGAAAATTAAGTCGATCTGCGTCAAGTGAGATGCGCACATGTCTTTATCCTTCCCCGCTGAGAATACACACTGACAGTGGTTAAAGACAGGAGAGGGTGAAGCAATACACCGCACATGTTAACCAGTATCTGAAGGGAACAATCTTTGGGCAACCAGTGGGTGACTTAGGCAAGGAAAGGAGAGGTACATGAGCTAACCAGACTCAGTGCAAATCCTGGTTCAAACGAGGCAAGCCCACCGGTCGAAATATAGGTAAGCCGCAACATGAGCTAAGGAAGTTGGGGGTAATTATGAGGAGAGACTGATCAGTATTGCAGCATATTATCCCGGCAACGCGTTGAATCAGCTCTACGCGCTCCAGCATCCACGATGGGAAGATTTCGACTACACATACCTGGACGAATTGGGCGATAACCCGATGGCCTGGCTCGGTAATGGGTACACGGTTGCAGATTACAATGGCAGCAGCAGGACAGCATACTTGGACCCCGCGATGATTGACTATCCCCCAGTGCCGGAGCCAGAACAAGATACGGATACGGTCGTAGTCCCACAGGTCAACGGGGAGCTGAGCAAAGGGGATGTGGTAATCGTGGATCGTGAGGTGCCAGAAGCTACCGTCTGATGTAACGATGCCAATAGATAGACATATTTTGGGATAACTAGAATAACCACATCTGTACTACATGATTACACCATAAAATGACAAGCCAGCGTGTCGTGGATCTCCCATTATTATCGAACTCGAAACCCAACTCCAACCAGAAACACCAATGTTGGCCCAGGAAAAAAAAAGAAAAAGGAGACAAAAAAAGGGGGCGGAATAGAGGCTTAGGAAAAGTACGACTCGAACGAGTTCAGGCCATCAAATTGCGGCACCGCAGGGAGCACGGCAGGGAGGAGGTCAAGGAAGGGCAACGACTGCAAGTCCACGCCGGGCGTCGTCACCGAGGCGGCGGCGGCGGCGAACGGCATCGGCAACGGCGTGTGGAAGCTCCCGAACCGGCCCACCACAGACGCGGCGACGGGGTTGACGGTGGCGTCCAGGTTGAGCAGGCGGATGGCGTGCTGGATGACTTTCCTCACGCGGCGCGTCACGACGTGGCTCTTCTCGAGCTCGCTCAGCGCGTCGAGGCACCTGCGCAGGCTGTCCAGCTGCCGCTCCGCTCCCGGGCCGGCCTTGCGCTCCGCGACGCTGGCGATCAGCGTCGTTGATGCAGTGGCGATAATGTGCAGCGCGATCCACGACATAGTCAGCACGCTGCCGTGCGCCTCGTGGTATTCCTGGAGGTACTGCGCGACGGAGCACGCGTTGTCGATGCACACCTGGCGCGATATCTCGCTCGCCGAGGATTGCATGGCTCCGTCCTTGCCGAACTGTGCTAGGGGCCGATGGAGAAGGATCATGGCTGCCGAGTATTGCATGCTGGGTTGATATCGAGATCAGTGATATCTCCAATACGAGGGGATTGTGACACAGGCGTGCTTACTGCAACAGGAAAACCGCCGGCGCCTGCTTCGGGTTGTAATGCAGGGAGGGGTCTAGCATGGAGTGCCAGTTCCGGAGCCGCTGGTCCACCGAATTCATGCGATGTCGAGGTGTGTGAACACCATTACTGTTCTAGTCAGACGCCCTGATAATTACTTGATGGTCAAGACTTAGGATCCGAGTTCCACTCACACAATCTCGCAGATAAGACCGACAAGCTCGAGGAGATTCGTCCACGCGGCAGACATCCTCATCTCACTCGAGATATCTGTCCGCCCTTCTCCAGGTCTCTTGACGTCGATGTCCTCCAGTTTGATGCACTGGGGGCGCCCGAGGTAGAGCGCCCACTCGCTACCTGCCGTCAGCTCGGTTCCTCGGGGATTTCCGTACGACACTTACCGGTCCAGGTTGAAGCAGCTCCAGAAGGTGATTTCGCGCACCTCAAGGTCGAGCTCCGACAAGCTGGTGCTCAGTCCTTCGCTGTTGCTGTGCAGGCCAAGCTCGTAAGCCAGCCTCCCAGCACCACCTAATTACCGCGGCTGTTAATGCAACTCCCCAAACCCCGACACACCCCAAGTTCCACACGTGCAATGCAAACTTACCGGCATACATCCACCCTTTTGTATCGTGAGATATGGCGCAGTGCATCTCGCTCAGGAGCTGGAGCGATTGCGCCGTCGTTATTCCCGGGTTGTCCAGCTCGGTTTCGAGTAGCTGAACACACTTTCGCACAAGGTATGGAGGGTCGTCCTCGGCATCATCGGCGAGGGCCAGGGCACGCAGACCCGGTTGGTTTGATATGGCGGCTGCTCTTGCGAGTATGCAGTACATCAGGAGGGTGCTGCAATACTTTGTGTCGCCGCTCTTCATGTCCCTAAGGAATGCTGCGGCACAGGGTTAAATACAGCGACAGACACGGGAGTCGGGCCGAAGTCACCTTCTTTATGGATGCTAGACGTGGAATGAGCAACCGCACGCAAATCACTGTTTGTTTGTTTCTTCCTGGGACCTCACGTACCATGGCAAAACCTGGTGTTGGTATGTCCAGTAGAGAGAGAGAAGGTGATCCTGAAGGTCAAGCGGGAAGTCGCCCTGCCAGACTGGACAGCTACTCCCGTTGGTCTCCCTGGTAAAGACAGACGATGTCACACTCTCCATCAGATGAAGACTCGAGGTCGGCCCAAAGAAGCGCAGCCGACCGCCGCGGTCGCTGTTGAGCTGCCGCTGTCCACCGCACAATCGCACGATCATGTTATCGGACTTGGTGGAGCAGGAAGCTGGAGAGTTTCCATCTGACGGCTCTTCCGATAGCCAATCCGAAACGGACTCGCCGGCGTTGTCCCCCATGAGGCAAAAGTGACGGTGCTCCTCCAGCTCGGCCTTCAGGCGGGCGACCTCGGCTCGAAGGTCTTGGATCAACTGGCGAGAGTAGGTCCGCCTTCGTTCGTCAATGTCAGGGATGTCGCATTCTATCTGGAGCTTCTGGCAGAGGGCGCAGGTACTCGATCCCCGCGGTCCGGGCCGACACTAGAAAGATGGAGGGTCAGCGAGGTGGTCCTTCGAGATCAAGCAGAATATAAATCGCGTGGGTCACGACAAGGTTCCGCGCCCTACCTTGACCTTCTTTCGCCGGCAAGTGAGGCACGCGAGCGTTTTCGAAGGCTGCCCTTGTTTCCTCTGGCTCGTGTCCCGATACACCTCGGTCTCTGGTGGCGACTGCAGTGCCGTTGGTTGGTCTGGCAGATCCCCCAGAAACGGCGGCCCATCAGCCCAGATGCTTGATTCCATCATCGACTTGAGTATTGAGGGGCGTAGCTTTGACCTAGGATGGGCGACATGCGATGACTTGCGATGACCTTCCCTACCAAGTTGTGCTCCTCCGCAAATCGCTTGGATGGACAGACAAGGGCACCCTGTGAACCTCGGATTGTGGCAACTTCTCCCCCGCAGTTTGGAGATGAGATAATGACTCCACCGGGGGTCTCACGAGCTAAATGTTTGTATTCGATGATAGTCTCGTAGCACTAGTCTGCCTTGTGGAATTACCAATGATACGCACGACCCTGTCTACGCTTCACCGCGAGCCAGTAGCCGTGAATCTTCACCTACTAGATCGTTGTGCATTGACTTTGCCAGGACTAGGCAGTTTAGCTTCGTACCCGAGCCTCCGGGTCGAGCAGCAACCTCGAATCCTAGATGACATCGGCAATGATTTTCCTGGTGGGACTTTCGCGGGGCACCAAGTTTGCAGGAGCGGTTAGACTGACCAACAATATTTAGTGGAACACCAAGAATGCACCCCCCCTAGCGTCAACTGGGGTATTAGTACGCGCCTGCAAGCTTATGGAATGCGGGGGTGGAACTCGACGCCCGGCTGGGCCTGCCTAGGGCTTCCCCGCATGTCTCGGACTTATTTACCGATCCATGGGGAGAGCATCATGTCCAGAAACACGGCCATGGGCTATCGGCCTTGGTCAGCGAGACTCGAGGCACGCTCGGGGTTGCAACATGTCCGATAATCAGCAGAAGTGTCGGGGGATGGCCGCACTTGCGGTCTTCGAATATTCCCAACGAGTGATGAAACAGATTTAATAGAGCAGGCCCGTACTCGGGTACTGAAAGCAAGTTACACGGAACCGCCATCTCTCCAGCACGCCATCAGTCAACATGTCGACCAATCTGCAAGGGAAAGTCATCACCGTCACTGGTGCGGGCAGCGGAATGGGGTTAGAGACGGCCCGGATGCTCGCCGCCCGCGGCGCGAAGGTGTCCATGGCCGACGTGCAGGAGAAGGCCCTCCTCGCAGCCGCCGACGACATCAAGCGGGCCGGCGGGGACGTCATGGCGCAGGTCGTCGACGTGCGGGACGAAAAGGCCGTCGACGACTGGGTCGACAAGACGGTCCGCAAGTACGGCAGGCTGGACGGGGCTGTCAACCTCGCCGGCGTCCTCCCCAAGACGTTCCACACGCACTCGACGGAGCTGCAGGTCACCGAGGACTGGGATTTCGTCATCGCCGTCAACCTCACGGGTGTCATGTACTGCATGAGGGCTCAGCTGAGGAACATGAACGACGAGGGCAGCATCGTGAATGCGTCTAGCGTTGCCGGGCTCCAGGGTTTCGAGAACAATGTGGCGTATGGAGCGTCCAAGTTTGGGGTCGTTGGCATTACAAAGTGCGCCGCCGCCGAAGTGGGACCAACCCGGAGCATCAGGGTTAACTGTATCGCGCCGTAAGTCACTCTCGCTTTGCCAGATAAGTTAACCGGTGCCGGAAGCTGATGGCTCTCCCCCAGCGGAACTTTCAATACCCCAATGTACGCCCAGGTTAGGGAGGCTCGAGGGGGCGAGCCTATGCCGACGATCCAAAAGATCAAGCGAGAAGGGCAGCCGTCGGAAATCGCATCCCTGGTAAGCTGGCTTCTGTGCGATGAGTCAAAGTATATCACAGGCACGGTCCAGGTTATTGATGGCGGTTGGATTTGTTGATCAACATCTGCTGAAGTTGGCCAGGGGTGGGAGGAGTTTCCGTAGCGGGCTTCTCCGTACCTGCCTACCTAGACCTACCCGTTACAAACACCATCTAGCCACATAGCTATTCTCCTGCACCAAAAAAAAAAATGCTTCGATCTGTATCATATGCCCTGTCTGTTTCCTGCGACTTGACCTTTTCAAGATCCAAACCCTTCCGCAGCAGGATGCAACCATGAACGCGCGGGGGAAAGATAATCCCAACGCCCTTATCCCAGAACTCAGTGTGCACATAGGTTCTCAGCCATTCAGACCTGAAAGTAGCATCGATATTGCGTTCGCTTTCGACCCAGGTGCCTGGCTGCTGGCGACATGTGCAGCGTGGGAGTGCGCGTCCGGGAGCCATGACAGCAAGGCGTATGGGGAGTCCTTCGCAGGTGGGGGGCTCCTCGAAGTGCACACCAACTTCGGCCCCCTGTACTCGTCGCTGTCGGGCTCCCATCTGCCGCAGTGGAAGAAAGCCCAGTCGACAGCGAGATGGCGTATGCGGGCCAAGTGATGAGGGTTTTCAAGAGGCGGCTGGAGTTGGTAGATGTTTTCGTCGAGGTTAGGCATAAAGACAATGTCGACTCCGAAACGAAACCAGACGGGCCGGGGTACTTGATGACGGACATCAAGCCAGAGATCAGGCAAGGCCCCACACAGGAGGGCCACTCGGCGAGACTCGCGGCATACGTCGATGAAGGCGGGACGCCGTCTTTGTTTTGACGCTGCCCAGGGAAAGACGAGCAGACGACGAGTTACACAATCACCCGTAGGTCTGGGAGTTGTGGTGACGCGCGTCGTCATCGTCGCCGCTGAAGTTAATCAGGGACGCCTCGCATTCTCCGTGGCCCTCGTGTTCTTGTTTGTGGACCTGGCCTTCAACGATCTGTGGCGCATCAATCAAGATAGCTGCTTCCCATATTTTGGCTTGCAGTTCGGGTGGCAGGCTAGGAAGTAGAGTGAATGTATTAGTCATAATGGCCAGCAGAGGAAGTTGTGTTCCCGCTTTTTAGCGATGAGATGATGCAGAAGCCTGTGAAGCGCGGGGCGAACAGGAGAAACATAAAGAAATGCGCGAGCCAATAACCCTACCGAAAAGGGAACGACTCCCTGAGGACCAAGATTTTTTGCGGGTAACTAAGAGATACGGTTACATCACCACCCATCCCCCTGCCCGCAAGTGAAGAGGAAAGAAAAAAAGAAGAAAAAACACTCTCCGCCCTCCCCCCCTTTGACCGCCTTCCCCCCTTCTCCCTCAGAAGATCATGAACCCCCCTGCAGCATGCTCTGGACTTTGCTGCCCGCAATGATCATGGCCCAGTGCCTCTTGTTCCTATCCAGATTGTTATGCGCCTTCAACTAGGCAACGCCTGCCTTATTGAGAGCCTTGGTCTTCTTCAAGTCGATGGTTGTCTGCGTTGTCCCAGTACCGGAGACGCGCCCTTGCCAGCTCCCCTCTCCAACGCGGAATGTGGTCCCACAAAGCCAGGGACAGTGAAGCCACCATCGGGTACGAATATCTCGACACTCAACCCGTGTCCACTCAATGTCTGTTGCAACATATGGGGCAACTGCGGGATGGACAAGGATTTCTGCATCATCTCTCCGTCTAGTACAGGCAACCCTGGCACTTCGGAGCCCCGGGAAAGAATGGCTGCATCTCCAACTGTGGAATGGACATCGTCAAGAACGGCGGAAAGCCGAGTAAGTGGCAAGGTGTTGGATACTTTGAGGGCTGGAATGGCAACCGACCATGCCTACACATGGATGTGGTCGACGCCCCATCCGATCAGTATAGCATCATCCATTTCTCCTTCGCCGTCATCGCTCCTGGCACTTGGGACGTGGTTATACCGCCTGATTCGCAACATCAATTCGATCTTTTTGTCACCAGGGAAGTGGGGGGAATGAAGAAGGTACGTAAAAGCATCCCTACACACGCCGGCAGCGAAAATAAACCATTATGGAGCCTTGCTAACGACTGATCAAGGTGATTGCCTTTGGCGGCTGGACATTTTCAACCCATCCCTCAACATTCAAAATATTTAGAGACGCTGTCCTGCCAGGGAACCGCGACATTTTTGCCCGTAAGGTGGTTGAGTTCATCAAGAAACACAATCTCGACGGCGTGGACCTCGACTGGGAATATCCCGGAGCTCCAGACATCCCCCAACATCCCCCTGGGTGGTGCCAACGAGGGGACAAACTACCTCGCCCTGTTGAAAGCCATCAAAAGCCAGATTCCATCCGGAAAGACAATTTCCATTGCTGCGCCAGCCTCGTACTGGTACCTGAAGGCATTCCCAATCAAGGATATTTCGGCCGTTGTTGACTATATCGTTTTTATGACGTATGATTTGCATAGTTAGTTTCTCTCTCTCTTCCGACAGTGCTGGGCGCTGGGGCAGCGTCTTGGGTTGATTGGTATTGGGCGTCATGCTAACCCACGAACTTCCAGGGCAATAGGACTATGATAATCCATGGGCCAGTCCTGGGTGTCCCGAGGGCAACTGTCTCCGCTCCCACATCAACATGACCGAGACAAAGCTTGCCTTGCCCATGATCACCAAGGCCGGCGTTCCCAATAACAAGATTATGGTCGGCCTTTCCAGCTACGGACGTTTCTTCAAGATGGTCGATGCCTGCCACGGGCCAAATTGCCACTTCGTTGGCCCTTTGTCGGCGGCAAAAAAGGGCGAATACACCGACACAGCAGGCTACATTGCCAACGCAGAAATCTTCAGCATCGCGGAGAGCGACCGAATCACCTGGTCGGAGACTCACCTTGCCAATCTGGACACTAGTATGACCGACTTCATCGTGTACGACGGCGTCAAATGGGTCGCCTTCATGACACATCTAAACAAGTGGTTCCGTGTCGGCATGTACCAAGATTGGAATTTCGGAGGCTTCGCGGACTGGGCGGTCGACCTCCAAGCCTGGCGTGAGTCCACCATCGTTGACTCCGACCCGGACGCCGCGGAGAACGTGGAGAGCTGGTGCGCGGAGACCTTCGACTCCCTCGAGGCCGTGGACGAGGCCAAGGATAGGCACTCAGCGCAGTGCCGCAACGTCTACGCCCTCCGTGTTCTCAGCGAGATGCAGAAGTCGGCTCTGGATTCGTACAGGAACCTGGTAGCGGGCGGCTACGACCACGAGTACAATCTGTACAAGGACCTGGTGAAGCAGATGGCGCCCACTGCCCTCGTCACCTTCCTCAAGAAGCGCGGCAACGAATTCTTCGACTGCAACATCGAGGAGCAGGTGCTCTGCTGCGACTGGTGCGAGCAGCGGTACAGCAAGGAAAGGTGCCGCTACTGCGACAATACCTGCAAGGGCTACCAGGAAACCATCAAGCTCATCCACGAGCGCTGCCCGCCAGACGTCTCGCAGCGCGGCGTGTTGGTGCTATATAACGAGGAGGCAACGTCGAATTACAGGGTGCACTGGGTACTCAAGGCCGGGAAAAGGGACGCCTTCCTTGCGGCAGCACTTGGCCTGCCCGATGACTGGCTCGGCATGTCCAAAGACAAGCAATTGCCGGTGCCATGTGCAGGAGTATGGAACTGCGAGTGCCCCGGTTTTAACCCCGATCCGGAAACCTGCGAGCACACCGGCTACTGGTACGTCGCCAGGACCGACGACGACGGCGTCTCGAACCCCAAGGCCTTCATCGACGAAGCCTTGTCAAAGCTGACCGAGATCGGGACCAGAATGGACGACCTAGCCGACGAGATGCAGTCCTTCTTCTACATTGAGGACGCCTCCCCGGGCGACGTCATCGAAGCCGCGGCACTGCCAATCCTCATGCTGGACGAGGCCGTCAATAGTATGAAGCAGGTCGCCAAAATTGGGGAGGAGATCGACGAGGAGCAACAGAAGAATTTCCTCATCATGCTGCTGACGTCGCTGTTGATGCTCGTGCCGTTCGTTGGCCAGACGGTCGGTACCATCGCTCGTCTGGGTACCATCGGTCGCGCCATCGCCATGCTTGGAGAAGTGGGCCACGGTGCCTTCGATATCTATGCCGTCGTGGATAACCCAGACAGTGTGCCCCTGGCTATTTTCGGTCTCGTCTTGGGCGCCGGGGCGTTGCGAGACATCAACAAGGTGGGCCAGGCGGCCAAGGCGGCCCGTGGCATGAACCCCGAAGACCTCGCTAAACTCGGGGGTAGAGTGAGCGGCAGAATGAAGACTATCAAGAGCATCGCTGGGGATACTTGCTCTAGATAAGCCTCGGGAGAAGCAGTTGTTCATATTGCTATCGAGTCCCTCGTAGGTAGAAGGATGGATTAGATCTGTGCCTGCCTACTTTAACCCTCTGAATAACCACTAAAAATGCCAAAAGCAGGCAGCCTTTTTCGAAGTCAGACATCAGGACAGGAGCGATTTACCAATTAAACCCCCAAGTCCATACTGGCACTACTGTAGGATTTAACAAAGGGCATCTAATGTCGCCATATATTCAGTAAAGGCGTAATGCGGTTTCGACGCAGATAACCAACAGTAAATTTCTGATTGGGTGGAAATGGGGGCGGGACCTACCTCCTCGCCTCTGTAGGCAGCTTCTGTTGGACTCTTTTCAAGTTTGTGTTGCATACCGTCATGCATGTGAATGTTGAGTGTTTTGCCCATGTTCTTCCTTCCCATGTACACCATGTGCTTACAAACGTCACTCTCTAGGTGCCTTACACATTTTGGTAATATTTAGGCTCGCCTTTTGTCGACAACTATTGCTATCGTTTCGGGTCGCTCACTGCCATCATGTCTCGAATATCTACGGACGACACGGCGCTACGCGAGCTTGAAGACCCTGCCGCCCTCCCAGAAACTGCCCCAGCCGCCAGCCCCGAGAAAGGCACCCAAGCGGTTAGCGGAGTCCCCTTGGTATCGCCTCCTCCAGACGGTGGCTTCCACGCCTGGGCTCAGGTTGTATCCGGTCATCTGGTCGTCGCCCTGACTTGGGGGTATGCCTCCAGCTTCGGCGTCTTCCAGAATTACTACGAGGCCACGCTGCCGCAATTCCCCTCCGACATCTCGTGGATTGGGGGGTTCCAGGTTTTTTGTCTCCTCTTCATCTCGACGCTCTCCGGGCGCGCGACCGACGCAGGACTCGCGTGGCATGTGACAGTGGCCGGCACCATCCTGCTGCTGCTCGGCACCTTTATGACCAGCCTTGCCACCGAGTACTGGCAGATCTTCCTGGCACAGGGCCTCTGCATCGGTATCGGTCAGGGCCTTATGTGGCTGCCTAGCGTCACCCTGATCTCGACGTATTTTGTGCGCAAGAGAGTCTTTGCCGTCACCGCCGCAGCCACAGGCACGAGCACCGGCGGCATGATCTTTCCAGCCATGATCCAGCACCTAACTCCCCGGATCGGTAAGTGCTGCACGTTATCGGGCCTATCTGGTGCTTCACGGATGGCAGAAAAGCTGATGGTAGAGCCCAAGGTTTCCCCTGGGCCGTCCGCTGCATGGGCTCCGTCGTGCTGGTCATGGCGCTCGTCATTGTCGCGCTCCTGCGCACTCGTCTTCCACCTCGCAGGTCGGGCCCGTTGGTCGAATGGGCCGCCTTCAAAGAGCCCTCGTACATGCTGTTTACACTTGGGATCTTCCTCCTCTACTGGGCGATGTACTTTGCATTTTTCTACGTGAGCCGTCACTACCAAGGTTCTGGCACTTGTCGATTTCGTGTGCTAACCCCGTCATAGATCCAGGTCTACGCCGTCGAAGAGCTGCACCTGTCCCAGGCGGCCGGAGTCAATCTGATCATTGTCATCAATGCGTGCGGCATCCCCATCCGCGCCCCCTGTGGCCCTCTGGCTGATCGGTACATTGGCCCGCTCAACTGTTTGATCCCGTGGGTCGCCCTCTGCGGGGTCTTGATGTTCTGCTGGATGGCCGTTTACAGCGTCGTGGAGCTGTACATCTTCGCCGTCTTCTACGGGCTTGCTTCGGCCGCGGCCATGGGCCTCTTCGCCGGCACCGTGCCGTCGCTGACAAAGGACATGGACAAAATTGGGACTCGGGTCGGCATGGTGCTGACTTTGATGAGTCTCGGGCCCTTGACCGGTCCGTCCGTGGCGGGCGCCTTGATCGCCTGCACCGGAGGAGGCTATCTGGCCGCGCAGATCTGGGCCGGCACGTCGCTACTTGCGGGTGTGGCAGCCTTGGTCGGAGCACGTCTCATCACTTCTGGATTCCGTCTGAAGTTTAAGATGTGAAACTAAAACTAATTATTCGGGTAGTTGCAGAGCCAAAAGATGGCAAATTGTTGAATAATATACGAGCAGGTCGAATAGAGATTAATTATATCTAACTACAACTAACACTGCAAGTCTATGCCAAAACTAACCCCTCAACTGCCCACACTTTTCCCAAACTACATGCACTTGCTGCGTTAACGCAAACGTTGCATCTTCATCCATCAGGCTCCCCTCCGCGCTACTATTCCGCGCAGAGAGACTGATCGTCGTGCGGATTAGCAAGTCTGCATCCTGCCCGTCACACGGAGATGTAACCCGCTTCTCAATCGGAGTCGTGTCAGTCAATTGGAACGTATCCCCGTCAGCATAGATACCGCCTCCAGGAATAATCGCGTCCGTCACTATCCCTAGCGCGTTATTCACGGTACCGACCAAGCCTCCCAGCAACCCGCCTAGCAAGTCAGAAACCAAGCCCTTCCCCTGCTCGTCCGCAAAGATGTACTCCGACTTGAAAGATCCCTGGACCCCATCATCGAGCTGTGCGTAGCCGTGGTATGTTGTCTCTGCGACGGCGTACGAATATCCAGGTGGGTAGTGGAGGTTGAGGTGGATTTCGCAGTTCTTCTGACTGTCGGCGCGGGAGAAGCCGCGGCCAATGCCAATTTGGAACTCATCGAAACCAAGGGTCACGACGGTGCGGTCGTTGGAGATGTTGATGGACACGGCGCGCTTGGGACAGCCGCTTCCAGATGTGGAAACTTTGTTGATGGTGATCTGGGAGGTGTCCGCAGGGTCTAGGGCTTGATGAGACAGTATTGGTGAGGCAAAGACCAGAATGGACAGAAAGATTGCAAGATTACACATGATAAAAATAAACACGTGAAAGATAAGACCTCCCCCGATCGTTACTAGAGGCCAAGAAGACTGCCAAGTGTGTGCATTTGGAAATAGTCTGTGTTACCACGATTCCAGAGCCATGATGACATTAGGAGGGTTACCGAAGATGCTATTTGCGGACGAGTCCCTTAATATACCATCCCAAAAATATCTCTGCTGGATGTGGTGCTACCTTACAACTATTGATATTATTCTACAAGGTCTTCGTAGTTTGAATGCTGCCAGCCGCGAATCATAGAACACATCATATAATCCCCAGGATATGCCGTGGGCGGCTCGGACAAAAAACGGGCAAGTCAGGCAATTTAGTCAAGGAATTTAGGCGAAGAACTAATATCAAGCCGTTCCTGTTCCTGATCTGTCTTCACGGACTTGCAGGTTCCATTTTGCATGAACATAGGTGTTTACCATTGAAAATGCCTAGCCTAGCAGTCCTACCTATAATTAATGTCAAACGCACTTCGTGTTAAACCTCAGACCCTCGCACCATTGGTAGTTACTTACTAGCAATTTCAATAAGTAACGAGATAACTGTGAATGACTAGGTTGGAAATTCTCTTCTAAAAAATACGCAACCCAAAATTCCACTTCATTGCCTACATTAACGCTCTAGTCCTGACATCCCTTAACTTTGCTGCGGCTGGTTTCCCTTGATTATAAGTGATGTGCGTGGATAACCTTATCGGCAAGGAGACACTTGTTGCCCAAGATGGCGAAGGCGTGCGTTAAGGATATGACGGGCCATGACTAGCTCTGACCCGAGATCAACATGCGTCCTAGCATATCCTGAGAGATTGAGAACTAGCCGAGGTTGAGACATTTCCTACCCAGTATATAAGGCTGGTTAGCATACAATGCTGTCACATACGACCATACCCACTGGAGAACTCGGGATCCCGTCCGCTCTCCCATAGATAAGCCAGTGAGGGCCAGACTAGTAGTTGGGTCGGTGACGACCAGCGAATCCCTGGTGTTGTATGTTTTTTTTTTGTTTTTTTTAAACCCCTCTTTGAATTAAATTTTTCTTCTGTCTCTCTCTTATCTCTTCCAGATTGTCAGGCTCGTGGTTGGTTGACTCTTTGTTGCAAGAGGGTGTGGGGTTAACACTTGACACTGGGTTGGTTATTAACCAACGTCATAACCTACGGTATTCATGGTCTGCGGGATCAGAAGAACCTCTGGACCGGTCCGTATCTCAAGGGGCACACCAACATAGGTGAGATCGAGGAGGGCCTGGACTTGCTGTGGTATGAAACCTCCCCACCCACCCAACCCCCGACCTAAACCACCTTCCTTTTCCTGCCACGCCACTGTCCTTCTGCAAGATGAAATCTTGGGCTAACCCTATGGCACTGATTAGGCGTAACGAAGTGACGCCAGAACAAGGTGCTCCGGCCGCTCATTTACCATGGACTCGCCGTCGTGCTCCACGCCACCGAGTTGCACGTTCAGCGGGCCTGGATTCAATGGCGACCTCACGAACGAGAAATGGATATTGTTATATGCCGAAATCATGGCCAAGAAGACGGAGTTGAGCTCTCAGACATCATGCGACAAACTGTCGGCTGTCAAATGGATGGTGTACTTGTCTAACCAGTGGAGCTCATACGACGACGAGTCCTTGACGACAAGAAGCGCTATCAGACTTCCCAGTGCCTCCGTGGTCTGATGATATGGTTGCTAGACCTTGTCACATCCGATTTTCAGGCCATGATCGGGCTGTTTGGCGAGACCGCCGTGAAGGTACCTTAAGGACAGCAACATCTGAAATGTTTGAACAGGCAAAGGTCGGCGCTGAGAAATATTTGTCTGTGGGTCTCGGCTGCTCTCATAAGGCTCCCCAAGTCCCCAACCACGCTTTCTCTTCTCGTACACGCTCATCTAGAGGGCTTCAAGACTTGGCAGATCGAAACCCTACCAAGTCCCTTGTGTTATGGTCTCCGAACTACACATAATGAGCATAGAAGGTCATGATTATCTGAATCCGGATGGCCAAGGCGACTGGGCATCCCTCCTCGCTCCCCCGGGGACCTTCAACACCGAGCCGACCAGAGCGGCATTCGCGGATGGGACGTCCCGCTATAAGCCACTCGACCAAAACCGCGCGAAATTCGGTTGATGTACCTCTGCGGGAACGCAGACAACGACGGCGATGTACGTGCATTCATAAAGCCCGTATCGCTCGATTCTCAACCATAATACGCTTGCCTCTCGTACACATGGGGCGACGCCTCCGAGCCACGATACATATCACTCAACGACCGGGCCTTCCCTGTCGGCACCAACCTCTTTCTCGCGCTCCAGCACATCCACACCCGCCTGAGAGACGGCGCCCTTCCCATCTGGATCGACGCCGTGTGCATCAACCAGGGTGACGGGAATGAAAAGACCACCCAGGTCCGCGAGATGAGCGCCATCTACTCCGGGGCAAAACTCGTTATTGCCTGGCTCGGCCTCGCCGGTGATGGTAGTGACGTCGCGTTCACCAAGCTGCATCGCATTGGCCGGTTTCAGGCCGCGAGGCATACCAGTTCCGGGACATCTGCTCAGCACCCGCTGGGCGGGCCGCTGAGGTGCATCTCTCAACCTCTACTTCCCATACTCACCAGTGCGCCAAGTCTCATGCGCTCGACCTTTCATACGTCGTCGTCGGATGCACCCAAGCAGCCCCTCGCCGAGCTGCCCCGAGCCACCACCGACAAGTGGGCGACGGACAAGCGCGACTACGTGTTTGGCGTCTTGGCCATGGCAATGGATCTAAAGGAGCTTGGCATCGAAGCCGACTACACCAAGACCTGTCTCTGATGTCTATGCCCGAGTTGCCGCGTCTATCATCACCTGGCAGTCCAGATTCCAGTTCCTGGCCCTGTGCGGTAGCATGAAGGCGCGGATGAGCAACCTACCATCCTGGATCCCAGACTGGTCAGGGATAGGAAACCACGGATACGCTGCCTCGGGATGGCGGGACAACATCTACCGCGCCGGAGGCACAACGTCACAACCACACAAACCCCCCGCCTCAGCGGCGTCCTCGTCGGCTCGGTCGACAGACTTGGGCCCGCGGCCGACGACTTCAATCATCTCGGACGGTATGTAGCTGCGCTCGAGGCGTTTGCGCGGGACAACTGCACTGCTGCGTACGCAACGACCGCGGTGCTCGACGATGCCGTCTACCGCCTGGCCGTATTGGATGCGGAGGAGATACCCAGTCCCGAGACAATGAACATGTCACATGCGAGACGCGTGGAGGCAGACCGGGTGCGCGCCCTGTTTGCCAAGCTGAAGGCAAACACCACGCGTGACCGTGTGGGAGTGAACGAACATTTGGTCATGTGCCACTACGGGAGACGGGTGTTTGTGACAACCGGGGGTCTGCTTGGACTCGGGCTTGAGAGTGTGATGGAGGGAGATTTGGTCGGCGTGGTGCCCGGGTGTAATAACCCGCTTCTGCTAAGGAGACTGCCGTTGAAGCCCATAAGGTTGAAGAAGTATAATGGGGGGCAGGGGAAGATGAAGATTCATTGTACGTTGGTTGGTGAGAGCTTTATTCAGGGGATTATGGACGGGGAGGCTTTAGAGGACGAGGAGCGAATCCACGCCCGGTTTATGATTTCTTAGCCTCTTCTTACGCTTAGTTTATATTTTTAAAGCACCGAGATTTGTATCCGGCTTGTCTGTCTGATCTTATCCACTACTCAAAAGGATTATTTGTGGTTGAACCTGAGTCTAACCCGCTCGTCCGCGTGTGGTATAGCGGCTCGGCGGTGACAGTAGCCTTGACCCGTCGTCCAAAGTACTGGATCTCGACAGAGTCTCCCTCTTTCACTGTGCTGGGCAAATGACTATAGGCGATGGGCTTGCGGATTGTGTACCCAAAGGCGGCATTGGTAACATAGCCCACTGGTTTGCCGTGGAAATACACCGGCTCCTTGCCCATAACCACCGAGTGTCCATCGTCGATGGTGAGACAGCGTAACCGTCGGCAGACCTTCTCTTTAGAGAGCCGCTTGATGGCAACCTGGCCGACGTACCCTTCCTTTCCCGCCTCAATGGCGTGTTCGAGACCGGCCTCGAATGGATTGTGCTCGGTAGTCATGTCCTTGCCCCAAGTCCGGAACCCTGCCTCTAGTCGCAACGCATTGAAGGCACTCCGTCCAGCTGCAATGACTCCATGAAGCTGACCAGCCCGCCAAAGGGCATCCCAAAGCCGTGGACCGTTATCAGCACTGGCGTGGATCTCCCAACCTTGCTCGCCAACGAACGACAGCCTCATCGCCCTGGTCGGGATACCGGCTATGGTTGCCGTCTTGACGTGTGAATGGGGTAGACCCTTGTCTGTTAAGTCGTCGGAGCTGACCGCAGCTATGACCTCGGAGGAACGAGGGCCCCAGAGCCCGATGCAGCAGGTTCCTCCGGTAATGTCGCGAACCTGAACATATCTGTCTGAGGCTTTCCCCCGCTGAATGCGAGCTTCTCGGGCAAGGTAAACCAGGTCGGCAGGCCCGTTGACAGCCAACTGGAACAAGTCATCAAGAAGCCTAGCCACAAAGACGTCGCTACGGATGCCTCCTTGGTCGTCAAGGAGAAGGGTGAACTTGATAGTGCCCGGCTTCGTAGTAATATCGCCCGTGGTTAGTCGCTGGAGTAGATCAACCGCTCCAGGGCCGGACACCTCCAGACGTCGCATGGGGGTCAAGTCATACATGGCCACCGCCGTGCGCGTCTTCCAAGCCTCAGCGGCAGCGATCGGAGAGTAGTACCGAGCAGACCAGGCATCGCGCTCCACGGGTTTCCATTTCGCTGGCAGCTGCTTGAGCAGATGCTCATTGGCCTCGTACCACTGCGGACGCTCCCACCCGCCGGCCTCGAGGAAGTAGGCGCCAAGGTCGCGCTGGCGGGCATGGAATGGACTGACGCGGAGATCTCGTGGTGACTCTCGCGGTTGAAGTGGGTGTAAGATGTCGTACACCTCGACGAAATTCTGTTGCGAAGTCTCGCTGACGTAGGCTGGGGTGAGTTGGACCTCTTCAAAGCGTGACAGGTCGCATTCCGAGAGGTCGGTTTCGGACCTTCCTGTGGTCAAGAGCTGGGCCATGGCACGTGCCACGCCGGCGGAGTGCGTCACCCAGACTGCCTCTGCTACGTAGAATCCTTCTAGGTTGGGCGCCCTACCGATGAGGGGTCCACCGTCGGGGGTGAAGGACATGATGCCGTTGAATCCGGAGGCGACTTCGCTCTCCCGCAGGGCGGGGAGAAGCTCTTGGGATAACTTCCAGGCCGGCCCGAAGTCTTCGGGAGTGAAATCGAGGCGTGACGGCATATTGTGCTCGTCGACTTGATCTGGAGTTTTGCCCAACGCCGCGGCGACAACTGGCATAGGACGGTGGCCATAGGAGCCAATGCCAAGCTGGTCACCGTGCTCACGGTAGTAAAGATCCCGGTCCTGGTGACGAAGAATGGGTAGAATTGCTTCCTTCGGCGGGGTGTTTTCTCTCCCGATCAGGGCTGGTAGGGGGCTGGTCTTGGCGTACTGGTGTGCGACTGGTTGTAGGGGGATGGGTAGGCCGACCATGGCCCCCACCTCCACACCCCATAAGCCGGCGCATGAGAGAACAATGTCGGCAAGGATAGTGCCAAATTTTGTCACTACGCCGGTGACACGACCTCCACTCTGCTCAATGCCGGTGACTGGGGTCAGGCCGAGGTACCGAACCCCGGCATTGCGGGTGCGCTCCATGAGCAGCTGAACAGCGCGGGCTGCCAATGCCAGGCCATCACTGGGAATGTGCAGACCACCAAGCACCACGTCAGTGTTCAAAAGCGGGTACAGCTCCTGGCACTCGTCAACGCCGACCAGGCGCGACTCAATGCCCCAAGAAGTGGCAAGGCCGTGTTTCCGCTTGAGCTCCTCGAGTCTTTCAGGGGTGGCTGCCACTTCAAGGCCGCCCACCTGATTGAAGCATCCCAGCGACAGCAGCTTTTCCACCGTGTACCGCGCGAACAAGCTCATAGACTTGGAGCTGTTGGTCTGGAATACAAGGCCGGGGGCATGCGATGTAGAGCCTCCCGGCATGTCCAGTGGCCCCTGCTCAATCACGGTGATGTCGTTCCATCCGCGCGAGACCAGCTCGTCGGCAATATTGGTACCGACAATACCAGCTCCAATAATGACGACGCGCTGTGTGGGAGCCATGGCGTGGGTAGGTACGGGTCTCTCAAGGTAGTTCTGAACTTCTGATCGTCAAGAAAAAGATGGATGACGAGAGACAATGGAAAGATACGCCAGAGCTGGACAACTTCGTAATAAACACACCGATTACTCTCTTAAAAAGACCCCTCCCGTCCCCTCATTAAGCCAATACCATGTCCTGTTTACATCCTGGTAGATAAGTTCATAAGCGTGTATGCAGTCCCCGATACCATCGCGGTCAGGTGATCGGCATGAGGAACCCGATGCCGGGGGTCTCGATGCTTCTGGCCGCCCAGACTCTCCGCTCCCCACTTATATCCGTTGTTACATCAAACGCCACGCGAACTTCACCTCCATCCGATTCGGCCATTCGGTCAAGATAGTGCCATTTCTCAAGCAGTGACAGCGCCGCTAACCCCGCGCATTTCAACATTTTGTTTTACCAACCAACCCCTGGGTGGTTCTTGTTGGGGCCGGGCAGATTCCAGGGGCGAAAAAGCAAGGCGGTCCGCTCCGAATTAGGTCATGGTCCCTTTACCCCGCCGCCACTCAATCTTCAGACGTTCCCGTTATCAAGGTCTTATTTTTTGGTGTCGCGGGGAGGACCGCAGAACCAGGGGTAAAGATTAGGTGTCATTCTTTTCCACTCGCTGCAATGTTATACACAATGGCCCAACGCCAACGCCAAAGCCAAACATCAACGCCCAAAAAGATGCCAGATTACTCCCAATTATTCCCAAAATGACCCCACCAATTAACCTAAACTGACTCTGTGTACAAGAAACGGGCGCCCATATTAAGAGGGCTGGTTGCATTGCTAAAAGTGATTAAAACATGATATTGTTAAAAGTTTTCGCCTTCCCACCACCCACTCCCGGGCTCCGACTGCGGATAACCCAGGTCTCCGATATTGACGAGTTGCGAAGAATCCGCGTACAACCACGGAGTGGTATTGAAGGTGAGACTGTCGATCTGCTCAGCACTCGGCGAGTCGACGACGGTCTGCCTTTCCCGTGAAGAGCCAGAGCCAGCCCCCGAGGAAATGGGGGGCTTGTACGATAGTGTAGGAGCTTCTTGACCTCCATCGGCTGTGTTAATCGTGATTTCCGGAGATGTGGCGACGATGATTTCGAGCGTCAAGCTGTCGCCCGCATCGTCGGGAGCGAAGACGGGGGCGAGAGAGGCATCTAGTAGACCGGAGGTGGGGATTTCCTGCGAGTGAGTCGTGGAGTTGAACTGTAGAATCTCCCACATCAAGGGAACGCTGAGATAGATTTTGGATGGCATCCAGTCTTCGACATCCATGCTCTCGGAGCCGGCGGCAATGCGTGTCATCTGGTCTAGGTTGTGGTCCTGGAGGGCAGGCTATTTGTTAGCAAACGTGGGGAATTTTTCTGGGATGGAGGAGAGTTCAGTTGATACTTACGAGTGCGCCACAGGCGGCGGAACAGGGTATGAAACTCTTCAAGAACGTCCTGCATTTAGCAAAGTCGGTATTGGACTTGTGCTTCAACTTAGGAGCGGCAGCACAGCAATAGTAGAGGTGCACCGTAGCTGCAATCGCGGCAACGTGTCCAAAGAACGGATCCACGAGCGGCATTTGCTTGTCCACGACCATGTCTATCATCCGAACAATCCATGTGGCGTGGAGTAAGGCTTGCTCGGATGACCTCCTCCAAAAGGTGTTCGGGATTCCCAGATTTGGATTGTGCTGTGCTCCGACAATGTAGAGGAAGGGGTGGTTCAAGACGGTCGGGATCGCATGGTATGTGAACTGCTCCTTCAGCCATGGTGCCCAGTAGTCTCGTTTCATCTTCATATCTTCCACTTTGCGCTCGTAGAACTTGACCGAGTCATATCGGTGGCACATGGGGATCCTGTTCTCGGTCTCCATGAAATCAGAGACGACCTTCGCGTACGTCGAGTCGTGCCGCCAGGGTTCCTTCAAGATATTCTGAGCACAATCAGAGACATACTTTCTTACTTGGCTCCAGACCCAGCCCAAATGCACACTCGTGTTCCAAATTCCCGGCTCGCTCGATGTTGAGGTTCCAAGCTCGTCCCTGGGCAAGGGTGGTGTCTTGCAGTATAGGCCCATCTGGTGTCCCCCGACAAAAGAATAAGCTGGTCGCCATATGTCGGTTGGGACACTCAGAAGTCCCTCTTGGCGGCCATAAAATTGCTCGAGCAGCTGGAGGCTCCAAAAGAGCCTCTTCTTCCGCTCTGTAGTTCCATCATCGATGGCATATACAGATTCGATATCAAGCATAGCGGATCGACAGAGCTGAAAAGAAAGACCGAGATGAAACTGGCCGAGGTGGACGTTTCCGTCTAATCAGCGTCAGTGTCAAGGTTGCTTCCCGCATGTTAACTTAGCCAGGTCTGAATCGCATACCCATGAAGGACGAGTACGAAAGGAGACACAGGCTCTCGATCGTTGTGAGGTCCACTGTGCCATTCGCAATGCGGAGCATGATCAATGTCTTCGCATTGTTTCCGTAGAGCTGTACGAGGTCACGTTCACGCTTCTCAGAGAAGCGCGAAGTCAAGGCCAGGATACTGGAGGCAAGTTCCTCTGGAATAGAACCGTAGTCGCCGAGTTCTTCCCGCTCAAAGCACCAGATCGGTTGCCTGTGGCAATACTTGAAGTAGAGGCTGATACCAGTTGCCATATTGGATCGGCCAAGCCGTAGATTTCCGGATTCAGGGTCGAACACGACAGCGGAGGGATTGTTGGCAGGGTAGCTCGGCTCTCGAGCCGGAGGAGTGGCCGAGTATGACCGCCCCGAAGTGTCAGTAACTTCATCGTACGACGGCCCTTGGCGCACGGGACGGTTCGGTCTAAGAGCCGGGTCAGATTGTCCGAAAGCAGCATATTTCACGCGATGCGGGGTCGTATTACAAGCTCCCTCCGCTGAGAAGGATGTCCAGCTTCTCCTCTAATTGCTGCAGTCTCTCGTCCTATTGATGGTTAAGGCCCTCTGAACCATTGATTGGAGAGCCCTTTCGAGGACGTACCGATCGCCTGCGCTGTGATTCTTTTATCGCAGGATAAGAACATGACTGTTTCAGCCGGACACAACTTGAACACTTTGGCCTCTCGCCCGGACAGCGAGTCTTCTTCCTCCTACAAGTAAGGCAGGCATGATGTGATCGTCGTCTCCCTCGAGGACTGATGGAAATGAGGTCCTCCTCTGGAGGCGGCATGACTGACTTCACACAGACAATGCAAATTCTTGGAGAAAAGCCGGAGGAGGGGGCGCATCGACCTAAATAGCTACACTCGTGACACAAAACCACAAACCCCGCATTGTACTCAGCCGCCGTCATTGTGCGCCTCGCTGCTAAGGCTTTATGAGCTAAACCGTATCAAGTTGGGCCTGCACTAATTTATCTCTGTTTGCAGGAAGAGTAGTCTGCTGTGCAATACGTCCTCTTATCGTTTCTAATAAATCAAGAAAAAATCTGAATAGCTTCCTCGTAGAAATTTATATTTGGGGCTACCCAATTTTACGATCATTGAAGCATTAGTTTGTTGCGCATCCTTAATCCACGCGCCATAAATTCTACCCGTCCTAAAGCCTCACACAGTCTGCCTTTGTGCAAGTACTGGGCAAGGTCGTAACACTCCCCTTGATAGATTGGCCTACACAGGTGCGGCCTTTGATATTACCCGACATGCTACAACCTTGCGACTGAATCTAATAGATCGTTCATCTCCGAGTTGGGATACTCCGGGTTTTGTGACGAATCGGGGCGCTCCCGATCCCAAGCCCATCTTGCCTCCAACTCCGGAGACAGCAAACCCTCAAGCATTTGTATCACATACTTGCCAAGCACCGGGAAGAACTTGAACCCATGGAATGACCCACAGGTTGCAACGTACAGCCCCTTCAAGGTTGTGTGTGGAGAGATGATGAAGTCTGAGCTTGTTGTGAAGGCATCCCTTTTTTGAATGTTAGCCGATCGAACTTTTTGGCGATGTGATTGATGACTTACCAACAGATCCGATGCTTGGTCATATTCCAGTCTGCACTCTTTCTACCGTACCACTCATTTCTTGACTCAGCAACGTCGTTCTTGAGGAGCCGAGGTACCTTCCACTGAGCGTAGTCCTTTTCGGCTGGTGGCGCAGAGACACTGCAGCCAGGCAGCACTTCTTGAGTATTTGAGAAGATCTTGGATCCCCACCACTTTAGCTCTCTGTCTTTCGTAGGCGGTAGAGTGCCAATGAAGGGTTTGCCTGTTTGTGATCGTTAGCTCGATGGCCAGCTGATTGTGGCATGTGCAGAGAGAGAGAGGGATTAAGAATGGAAGGTGGAGGGGGAATTACCATGTTGCGCAGTGTACCCTTGAAAACCGACAGGCATGTTAACGTACTTCTCGTACTCCTTCTCATCAAGCTGTGCCATTCCTGTCGCGATGCCAGCAGACAAGATCCTGTCTCCAGCCCGGAGATTGGGCAGGCCAATCTTTGCAGCACTCAGCTCCAAGAGTTTCGGCGTGTATGCTCCAGTGCAAAGGATAACATGCGAAGCGGTCAAGACGTCTCCTGTTGCCGTCTTGATCCCAGTACAAGAACCGCGACCATCGGTTTGCAACCATGCAGTCTCAGCGGTTACGTACTTGACACCGAGGTCCAAGGCTTTGCGAGTGATGGCTCGTAAACAGTCTCCGGCAGCAGCCCAACCGCTGGCCTTGTTCACGAGCACCTCCTTGACACCGGAATAATCAGCGTCGTCAAATAGCCCGTTATACAATTTGCGGGCCTCAGAAACGGGCAAGGCGATAATGTCATCCTTGCGGCCGAGTTTGTGGTGGTGGGCGATGACGTTCGTCGCATAGTCACTACGACAGGTCCAGTAGACTCCGGTCTGATGGAAGTAGGGTTTCCAGAGTGGGTTGGTTTTGAAGACGTCTTGTGCCTCTAGAGCCAGTTGGCAATAGACAAAGTCGTCGTAGTCAGCCCGGACCACTTTATTCCAATCCCATGAAGCGGCCACACGACTGTCTGCGTCGAATGCATCCCTGTCGACCAAGGTCACAGATGCATCAGGGTATTTCTGGATGAGATGATAGGCGGTAGATACGCCAAACACGCCTGCGCCGACGATAAGATATGACGGTTTGCTCGGGGCCATGTTGAGATGGGAAATGATTGGCAGAAGGGAAAGGAGCCAATGACTCAAGGACTCAAAGCGGTCTCGGAAGTGGCTCTGTGAGGGCAAAAGAGACCGAGGAGACCGAAGACAATAAACTTGGCGATGCACAGGAGATTGTATCTCGTTTTGCTAAGAGCGGAATGATGGCTTATCCGTCGATAAGCCGATCATCCGACGTCGGCTGGCTACCCGAACTTGCGGTCACGTGATTAGGCAGGCTGTGGATCTAGACCTTCATTGTCTTCCGTTCATTCTCCTCCCGATAAGTCCCATGACCAGGATCAACAAAGAAGGCTTAATTTCCCCCTTCCGGTTTCACTCCACACTACATACGGGTCGCATCTCCATTGTATTGCAGAAAACGTTGCATTTTTGGTATGCGCATGTGACAGGACGGCGTTGTTCCCCGACGCGACCACGTTGCAATAATTGTTGCTATCAAGCAAAGCGCTGGCAACCGCAGATTACTTTGACGAATCACAGAAGACGTCTAGAGGTGCTATTTCCCGCTAGGCAGTCTGGGGCTGTCTGACGACAGTTCCGGCCAAGGCCAAAGCAACCAAACCCCGTGTAATCTACGGATAGCTGCGGAAAACGAGGGCACGAGAGCTTCAAGTGGCATGATGAAAAGGATCAAGTGATCATCGTGCACATCTCTTGCATCAAAGCCCCGGCCGGGCTAGACTCTTCTGCAACACGGTGATCAGATAAGCCATTTGGCTGGCGAGAGAAAAGTTCACCGATCATGTGACCGGCATATGACCCAATACCCCGTGTAAGCCGCCAGCTGATAGCTATCAGGTACCAGAACGGGTGAAACACAATCGGTCTGCGATATCGAATGCCGGCTCAAGTGACCGGTCTATTGTGTAAGAGGTTGGGTTGGAGGCGGGCATGCTCTCAATCTGCCTGCTGATTGTGATTAGATATATAGAAGAGCAGCCGTCTCCGGAGTTTAACCTACTTCCTGGCTCAAATTCAGATTTCCCTGCTCCCTTATCAAGTTTCGTATTGCTTAATCCTCCCTTTCTTCATTCGCAATGTCATTCCTGAAGACCTACCTTGGCCTTGCAGCATCCCCACCCGCTGCAGATGCTAAGGCTCCCGTCAGGGCCTTGCCGGCTTCCTGGTACACATCCCAGGAGATGTACGAACTTGAGCGACGCGCTATCTTCTCCAGGAAATGGCTCCTCACAACCCACAAGTCCAGAATCCCCAACTCGGGGGATTGGGTCCGATATGATGTGGCTGGCTACCAGTTTATCATTGTTCGAGATCGACAAGGCAAGATCAACGCCATGCACAACATCTGCAGGCACCGTGCTTTTCCAGTTGTGACCAAGGACGAAGGGAACAGTCTTATCTTCTCCTGCAAATACCATGGATGGTCATATGGCCTTAGTGGCAACCTCGCGAAGGCGCCGGGCTACCAGGACCTCGAGGGTTTCGATAAGACCAAGAATGGCCTGTTCCCTATCCATGTCCACATCGACAGGAATGGATTTGTCTGGGTCAACCTAGACGCTGGCGATAAGCCAGAAGTGGCCTGGGAAGACGACTTCAAAGGTGTCGATGAGCAGGCCAGGTTCGAGCACTACAACTTCGAGGACTACGTGTTTGACCACACGTGGGAGATGGAGGGGGATTATAACTGGAAGATATTGGCGGACAACTACAACGAGTGCTATCACTGCAAGATTGCGCACCCCGACATCCCATCAATAGCTGACCTCAATTCCTACTACGTCGAGACCAAGGCTGCGTATATCCTTCACTTTGGCAACTCCACGCCGGAACAGATTGCGAATGGTTTCCGGGTGTCCGCCACCTACTTCTGGCCCAACGCCTCGATGAACATCTCGTAAGCAGAGCACACTACTGATGACGTCGCTGATGATTCAGAACAGTATTGCTGACGTTGTTCTCTCTCAAGGCCACACTTCCTCTTTCTGCAGCGATTTGTGCCCAGCGGTCCCACCAAATCAGTAATGAGGTACGAAGTCTACAGGAACAAACACTCCAGCGACGACGACTTCAAGGTCATCGACGACATGTACAAGCGAATCATGTCTGAGGACAAGTACCTCTGCTCAAACGCACAGAAGAACCTCAACGCCGGCGTGTTTGTCAATGGAGAGATGCACCCGGAGATGGAGAAAGGCCCGCTCTTCTTCCAGAAGAAAGTCCGCGAGGTCGTCACGGCCCACCACATGGAGGAGCAGCAGGCCAACCGCGAGATCTGGCCCGCTCAACAGGTCATCCCGAAATCCGCTTTGATTAGCCAGAACGATGTCAATTTCTGTTCGGCCGTAGATTGCTGCAGGAAGAACAAGCTGGATGAGAAGCAGGACGCTTTTGCCGAGAATGACGCCGACGCCCTTGCCACTGCCATTGTTGCCTAGGACGCCGTTGGTTGGGGGAAAGGGGGAAAGATGGTTGAGATGCTGGATCATTTCATACGTGCCATTTCATATGTATTCCTTTAATATTTCATGATGCAGTTATTTAGCAAGCGACTTAGCCGAAATTGACACTTTTGATATTGCCAGACACTATTTTAGAGACTTTTACTATGTTTACCATGTGTTTGTGAGCAACGCCTTGCTAATAGGGTTATGCACACCCGCACAGCCCCGTGGTGCCTAGAAACTAACTAGCTGTACTCCGTAAGGACGGGAAAGCCTCCTTCAAGCAGCGGTTCGTCCGCACCGAGAAGTTCGAGCGCGAGCGCGCGGCCCAGCGCGCCCTGCTGGGCAAGTACCGCAACAAGTACACGGACGCAGTCGAGTTCCAGATCCGGACGACGGCCAACACCAATGTGGTGCACTTCAACAGCAAGCTGTTGGCCTTGAAGGAGGACGCTCCCCCATACGCGCTGGACCCGGAGACGCTCGAGACCATCGGGCTCGAGACGTTTGACGGCCAGCTGCCGTCCATGACTTTCACGGCCCATCCCAAGTTCGACCCCGACACCAACGAGATGATCTGCTTCGGCTACGAGGGGAAAGGCGACGGGACCCCGGACACCTGTTACTACCGCATCGCGGCCGACGGCACCTTCCTCGAGACCGTCTGGCTTATTTATCCTGTCGTCGCCATGATGCACGACTTCGCCGTCACGGAGAACTGGGTCGTATTCCTCATCATCCCGCAGGTGTGAGACCTCGAGCGCATGAAGGCCGGAGGCGAGCACTGTCAGTGGAGTCCCGAAACGCCCTTCTACATCGGCGTCCTGCCTCGCAAGGGTGCCAAGCCCGAGGATGTCAAGTGGTTCCGCCACCCCAACTGCTTCCCCTCGCACTCGTCGAACGCGTACAAAGACGAGCAGGGAAATATCGTTTTTGATCTGGGCGTGTACGAGAAGAACGTGTTCTTCTGGTGGCCCGACGCAAAGGGCAACGCGCCGAACCCGGAGACGCTGCACAGCCAGCTCACTCGCATCACCATCAATCCTAGGACGGACGACCTGGATATCAAGCCGACGCAGGTGCAGGCGCTGGAGAAGAATAACTCGGAGTTTTAACCCTAGACGACAGGTTTGCGACGAAGAAGTACAAGCACAGCTTCTTCGACATGATGGACCCCCGTCTGGGGACGATCTTCCCTGCCATCGGCCCCGTCTTGGGCGGGGGTTACCCGCTGTATAACAGTCTGGGAGATTTTGATATCGAGACTGGAAAGACGGAGGTGTACTTCCCTGGCCCGGTGCATATGGTACAAGAGCCGGTGTTTCATCCCGCGCAAGGATAATGCGGAAGAGGGAGACGGGTATCTCTTAGCGCTGGTGAATAACTATGCTACCATGAGCAGCGAGCTGCATATGGTGGACACCAAGGACTTTACCAAGGTGCTGGCTAAAATTTTGCTTCCGGTTAGGATTAGGCATGGATTGCATGGAAATTGGGTTGATGCTGCGGATGTTGGGAAATAAGGGCGGAGGGAAGCTTTAATGATATGTTGCAAATGAGGAACACGTTTTAGTCAGTGATATTCCGAAGCATGGGGATGGAGTGATGGTTGAGGTAAGATTTGTCTTAGAAATATAAGCCGTCTTGCACATACGTGCCCATGTCGAGGTCCAGCGTGTCGAAGACGTCCAGCTGTGCGTCGATGTTGCTAAGTGCCAGTTAGCATCCTTCCCACAATCACAAGAGCTAAGCCGGGGTTCAACTTACTACTCAAAGTCCTGAAAAGTATCAAAGAACGCATCGCCCATCCTATCTGCCACGGGCGTAAAACCCTGTGCCGTCGTCCCACTCCACGTCGTAGTCCCAGCAACGAACGACCCACCGCCACCACCACCACCACCCCCATCATAAAAAATACCAGTCTGCTCCCCCTCCGTTCCTTCCTCCATCTGCCCCCTCAGCGCCGTCCTCGCAGCCACCGTCGCCTCCAACTCCGGCAATATCTTCTCGCACCACCCCACGCTCTCCATACCCTCCAGCGTAGCCATGCACGTCTCCAGCGCCTCCCCACAGAACGCCCTCCTCTGGTAACCCTCCCACTCCTTCCCCAACAGCAGCACCTGCACCAAATCCTGCAACACCTGGGTATCAAACAACACCAGGCTACTCAAAAGCCCAGACTCCCTCATCCTCGCCACAATTGCCACGCTCTTCTCCGCCGCCTCGAGACACAGTCCTGACAGCTCCTCGTACCACCGCTTCTTATTCCCCTCCAGCTCCGCCCCCCTCGTAACCGCATAGAGCAAAAACGGCCGTTGGACATGGATAAGCGTAGTCCAGTACCGCAAATGCAACACCGCCACCGCCCGCCTATGACTCGGCGACATACCACTGCTCCAACACAGGTGGGGAGGCAGTTTGGCCAGCCAATCCCGCAGGTCGCCTATACAGCCCGTCACGGCCGAGAAGGGCACCTTCCTCGTCCCTAACGCGGGGGCTACGTACAGGGTATGGCTGATCTTCTTCTTCACCTTCACCAGCTCGACGCAAACGGCCTGGTACCCGTGGGGCGTGGGCCGTCCGGGGTCGAGGATGCTCTCGCACGCCGCCGGGGTGCGGATACAAGCCGCGTCGTCGACGATGGCGCAGGGGTAGCCGAGCTGTACCGCTATCTCCTGGTCGAGGAGGTATACCGTCCACCAGAGTCTGTGCAGCCGGGCGCGGGAGACGGAGTCTTGCCCCCTGGGAGATATATCCCGGTGTAAGCCTAAAGAGTAGGCCATGCGCACCGTCATGCCGACGATGAGGTAGGCGGTCACCGTGTAGCACGAGGAGTGGAGGGCTAGAGACGTGAGGGCCAGGGCCCCGACGGCGTCGGTGTCGGCTTCGTCGCAGACTTGGACTCCGAGACTCTTGGCCAAGGCTAGGTACTCGCTGCTCCGCCTGCTCGAAGAGTCAGAGAGGGAGGGGGGGCAGGGCCCCGGTCCTTCTTCGCGGGCGGAGCAGATGGCGAAGATGCAATACAGACTGCAGAGCCAGGATGCGGACGCGGAGGACCCCCCGTCGGCGTAGGTGCGGTCTACTAAGGTGAAGAATTGCTCGGGGGAGTAGAACCAGTAGATGCTTTGGATTTCGTCGAAGAAGCGCATGGCGTACTGCTGGCAGACGGAGCGATCGGGAAGGTAGATTTTATTAAGGCTGGAGAGGCCGGAGAGTTGGTTGTAGGTTTTGGGGGTGCCGCCCTTGTCTGGGGAGCCGTGGACTGACTCCGGGGTTGCGGGCGGGAGGCGGGATCGTACGTGTGGGACCATAAGGGCGGGATCGTTCTTGCGGCGGCGGGGCTGGTGGTGGGGGGCTTGGGAGATGGCGTTGGCGAAGCGGACGGAGGAGTCGGCGCCGACGTATCCTGTGACGAAATGTCTGTAAGGCGTCACCCAACGTGTGAGAGATGGGGAGGAGATAAGACGGACTATAGCTTCCTCTTGCGTCGATAATCATGCAGCCTAGCTCTTCCTGGAGGACTTCGCTCTCCTCCGTCTCGATGGGCGGCGTGGAGTCACCTGATGATACGGATGCACCCCCGACTGCACCGGCGGTACTACTGCCTTGTTGCTGTCGTTGGGTGGGCGAGGTGGGACCGCCCTGCTGGTGCTCCTGCTGGTCTATCTCAGCGATCATGGCCTTCATGGTCTTGAGGTCGAGCGTGGTGTTGGGCACGAAGTGGCGGAGCAGGCGCATGCAGCACTGGTATTCCTCTTCTGAGACGTGGTAGTACGGCCGCCTCTGGAGGCGCACGCTGGTGGAACATGTTGCGCCTGTGGATGCGCAGTACTTGCATGGTCCGTTGCCTGTTGGGGGTCATGCTGTCAGTTCCAGGCGCAAGTGGCAGGTTGGGTACCTATGTATGCTGCCGTCGTGGTATTCTCACCTGTTTGAACACACTGATCGTACAAGTCAGATTAGCTGCATCTCTCAGGTTATACACGCTTGAAGCACACCTTTGTCTTCCTCGCCTTGCACGCGTCACAACTCTGTCTCATGCGTTTCCTCAGCCCAGAGTCACTGCGCATCTGCTGCGTCCTTTGCGATCCCAGTGGTCCCGACGCGGCAGAGGAGGATATGGATTCGCCCTCTTGGCCCATGACTGTGTGCCAAGGATCGAGTTGGTGATGTGGTCTTGTGTGGGGACCTGCCGAGGTTCATGTCTCGAGTCTCTGGCTAACACGCGGTGAACCCCTTGGTGACTAATTAGTCTGTGGAGTAGGGTTGAGACAGTATCTATCTGCTTGTAAGATATGTGAGTCGGATTCTCAGTGCGCGTAGTAGGTACAAGGACAGCGGCGGCGTGAATCTCGCTCCGAGCAGTATGAAGTCAGTGATGTTGGGGAGGATGTCAAATGTCAAAAAGTTCGCATGCGCAGAACGAACGAATGCGATTAAAGACATCCAAGCATTCGACATCCTTCGCCCCACTCTGGGTGATGCGCCATCTGGGTCTCATTCCCACATACCCTTGACAATTGAGGCTTGCTCATTGGAGATGTGCGATCGCTAGCAGTCGCTGGCGGCGCCCGCTAGACCGTTTCGGCCTTGGTTCTTGGTCTGGGCTTGGATTTTGAGACCCTTCCCCGCACGCTACATGTAATTACAAACAACCCCCGTGTTTGCTGGAGTTTGGACATTACAGGGGTTACGTTGTAACTTTCCGGTGCGAAGTCGGATCTGTGCGCTGTGTTTGCTGTTGCACGGACCGTGCATTCGTCGGTTGTGGCGTTGACACGTCTAGTTCCAGTTCTGCGGTGCACTACGACCTGGTCCCTTACACCCCATCGAATCAAAAGGGGCGAGAGATGTTCAATGCGGGTTGAGTAACCCGGTATACAATAGAGGCCAAATAACAAAAGGCCTTCCAGTCCGTAATTCAACGCTGAATTATAGAGAAACACCTGCCATCACATCCCCCCATAAGATCCAACAAACCCCCAATACTGCTTACAATTTCCTCTCCTTAAAAACAAGATGTAAATCTGGCACCTCAATAATAAAATGATCCCTCGCCCCCTCCATAAACCCACTCCCATCCTCCCCGGCTGCAAACTCGACATCAAACCTACTTAGAATCTTGACAATCAGATTCCTCATCTCGACCAGACTCAGCACCCGTCCGATACAGCCGTAATGTCCGACCCCGAACGCCGCGAAAGCGTCCTTGTGCTTGATCAGGTCGGGCTGGCTGTACCACCGCTCCGGGATGAACTCCTCGGCCCGGGCGTAGCAGGACTCGGAGTGACCCATTGTTCGCAGGGGGATGACCACGGTGGTGTTGCCGGGGATGTAGGTTCCCGCGACGGTTATGCCCTCGGGGGGCGTGACTCGCGGGTAGCCGGAGGGGATTGGGGGGTTGAGGCGCAGGGACTCGTGGATCACGCCGTTGAGGTGGACGGCTTTGGATACGTCTTTTACGTCGAGGTGGTGTTTGCCCGAGGCGGCGAGGAGGGGTTGGAATTCGGCGCGGAGCTTCCGCACTTCTTCGGGGTATTTGGCTAGGTAGTAGAAGCTGGGACGCATCGTTAGTGGGGGTTGTTTGGGGGGAGGTGGTAAGGGAGAGGGAGGGCCTTACATGAAGGAGAGAGAGGAAGCAGTGGTGTCACTTCCGCCCACGATGGTGAGCCGGGTGTCACCCCTCAACCACTGGTAGTCCTGAAAGCCCTTGGCGCTCTTCTCGTATGTCTCGAGCAGGTTGGCCAGGATATCGGGCTTGGTGGCGCCCCGCGCCCTTCGCTTGGCGGCCTGGTCCTCGACGAACTTGATGAAGACCTTAGGCCCCTTAGCGAGGAAGGGGAGGCGGTGCACGATATGCGTGCTCCAGGGGATGGGCTGCAGCCAGGCGATGTCGGCCATGCCGCCCATCACGAGGCCGGGGATGTGTCTGTTGTCTTCCTTTTCGAGCATGTGGAAGGATTCTCCGAGACCGATCTCGCCCATGACATCGAAGGCGAAGTACTTGAACCAGTGAGTAGCGTTGAAGGCCTTGCCGCGGAACTTGGCCACCTGGTCGCAAAATTGCTGCGACAGGAGGGTGATGCGCTCCTCGTAGGCGACCAGAGCCGCCGGGCTGAAGGCCTTGTTAAAGACCTTGCGGCGCAGCTCGTGTAGCTTCTTGTCGCGCGTCGAGTGCAGGTTCACGAGGGGCAGCGAGGTGTCGTACCAGGGGGACTTTTCACACTTGGACTTGGAGCCCAGCACGATCTGGACGGCCTCGGGCACGTTAACGGACAGGTTGTGAGGACCCGTGCGGACGATGTCGCCGTACTGGTTGTGCAGCTTGGTCATGAGGCGGTAGTTATCGCTCTTGTACGTGTTCTGCCAGCTGTGCCAGAGGTTGGTGAACCGGGCCAGGAAGGGGCCATCGAACTTGCGGAGGGGACTGAAGACGGAGCGGTAGACGGCCATGCTGCCGAAGAGGCCGGCTGCGTAGGAGAATGCCAGCATGACCGCCCGTACTACGGCTGCGAGCACGGGGAGTTGCAGGTAGTGCCATAGCAGCAAGGGGGTGACCAGCAGGAGGAGGGTGTAGAACTTGCTGATGGTCATGCCCTGGTTGTGGTGCTCCCCGTGGTAGAAGTAAGCCCAGTGGGACATGAGGCCCGCGCCGGCGGCACATACTGCCTGGCCGGTGGGTGTGTGCCATTCGAGGAACAGAGGTGGCGTGCGCGACGCCATCTTGACGAAGTGTGCGGTAGCGTTGGCAGCCATGTTGAAGGGTGTCGACAAAGATGTTCAGAGACTGCTTGTCTGGCAGTGACAATGACAAGAAAAAGTCCTTGGCTGTCTGTTGATTAGCTATTAGGAAGAGGACTGGCTAGTCTTATGGTTGAGATGATGCCAACTAGCGGAGTGTCAAGGAATTGTGATCTTGGACGGCAAAATGTGAGCGAAGCCTTGATTGGGGCATGCGTTGGTAAGTGGGCTATCTGGGGAAAGAGCACAAGTCGACTCTCCGATACCTGTATCATCGGCTCGGCGTCGTAAATGTCTAAGAGGTACCAGCCTCGGTCCTCTCACGTTCTAGGTAGGGGTAGCCCGCTGCACTCTGAAGTCCAACCATACTGCGTGGCATTTCAGTAGTAGTATGTAAGGAACATGCCAGGAACTCCACCCCAACAACCATCTCTCAGTCTCATGAACACGGACAAGCACTCACGTTCGCGTCTATCCGGCGGTCATGCTTCCGGTGCTGTGATAGCGGCGAAGTTGTTTTGGAGGTTGCAAGCCGCCAAGGCCAGCGACGCCAAGCTAGCGACTAGCTCGACTAGCTCGACTGTCGGTCTGATGAATGCGAGGCGCCGAGGCCCGAGAAAGCAAAGCGGGTGCAACGCTAATGGTGGCGGTCTTCCGCAAAACCTAGAAATGTAAACTTCTTGGCGTGGGGAAATTTCGGAAGGATCAATGTATGGAGCATAGGTAGAGAATAATGAGTTCTCCAAGCAGTATGCAGGAAGGGTATGTCACGGGGCAACCCAAAACTTGCTACAGACTATGTACTCCCCTTTAAAGTTCAGAGTCTATCTCATCTGTAGGTCTGATTCGCTGCCAGAGATCGAATGTATGGTTGGTAGTGTTACAGTTGCTTGCCAAACGCTTTTGAATATCTGCTTCAGTAAGGGAAGTGCGTTACAGATAACAGCCCTAAACTCATACCTGTTAAAGGCTTGCTGTTGCCAAGTGTTCTGCAAGTGTAGGTATAGCTACTTCCTCACATGACACATAAAGATAAGCAAATGTGAGATTAAGTCTCGGGTCTCACAGATCCGTTACATCAGTCATTGCTAGATGCCAAATTGCTCATGGCTCATACAATGCCTGCGGTATAGAAGTTCCAGAATTGTGATCTGTTTGGCTAGACCCATCAAGTATAATGACTGACACTGACACTCGATGTCGATATAATCCGTGTCTTGTTAAAAGACATCACTGGCAATCACAAGTAGTATATCAAGTATGCGCATAAGAATTCGTTGTCTGCATTCAAGGGTGCAATTAAATAATGAGCACTTTGTCCCCTAACTAAAATTCCTTGCTCTTCACAAACATCCTAAAACCCCCTAACGTGATCAATATCCAAATATCCATGTCCAATATTTACATCTTGCCCTCAGCGCGCATAACCCTGGCCTTGTCGCCATCAGGTCCATACAGATCTTTCTCGGCCTCGCGACGGGCAATCTCGGCGTTCTCCGAAACGTACTTGGGGAAGTCCTTTGCGGGGAGGCGCTTGTCGAACATTTCCTCGATCTCCTCGAGGGACCGGCCCTGCACCTCGGGCACCAGAAACCAGACGAAGGCAACGACGAGGAACGAGCTGCCGAACCAGATGAAGCCGTACTTGCCGCCCCAGTTGAGGTTGGCCGGGTTGATGAAGTAAGGGGCTGTGAAGGTTGTGAGCCACCCAGCGACGTAGCCGGTTCCCGTGCTGATGCCGGCCGTGTACGCACGCATGTTCTGGGCGGGCAGCTCGCCGGCGACGAGGTAGGTGATGGGCACGACGCCGAAGTTAAAGAAGAATTGAAACCAGGAGGTGAGGAAGATGATGGCCACCTGGAGGCCAGTGGTGCCCTTGAGGTTGGGGACGGAGAACATGACGCCCAGCACCAGCATGGAGAGGCCGCAGGCCGTGGTGCCGACCAGGAGGAGGGTGCGCCGCCCGACGCGGTCGAGGAGGTAGTAGGCGAAGAAGAGGCCGATGACGCCCATCCACTGTGTCAGGACGATCCACTTGAAGGGATTGGTGACTCCGATGACCTTGAAGAAGTAGGTGCCGAAGGCGAGGACGAACATGGCGCCGATGCCGGCGTTGATGAGGCCGACACCGACGCAGAGCAGGGTCCGGCGGAGGTTGGTGCCGCGGAGGAGGTCGAGGACCAACCACTTGGATTGGAGCTCGAGATCGTGCAGGGCGTTGAGACGCATCTCCTCGAACTCGGAGCGCAGGGCGAGGTCGTCGTAGGCGCCGTTGCGGATCCATGTAAGGGACTTCCAGGCCTGCTCCTCCTTGCCCTGGAGCAGCAGCCAGCGGGGCGACTCGGGCATGAAGGGCATCGAGATTATAGTCACCGCTGGCATGGCAAAAAGGACGTAGAGAGGGATCTGGTAGCAGGCCCGGCCTTGCATGGCCTGGGTGGCGTTTGTGATCAACTGTCGCGGTACGGTGGTTAGTCACGAGATGTAGCAAGTAACGAGACGTGTCGTTGCAGACTTGAGGATCAGCTCACCAGGCCGATGGCAGTACCAGCAGTAATCCACGTGGTCATGAAGCCATAGGCCAGACCTCTGAGCTTGGCAGGCGCAAGCTCAGAAATGTAGACCATGGTGAAGGTCATGACGAGACCGTTTCCGACGCCCATGACCAGCCGTGCGAAGTAGAGCAGACCCATAGAGGTTGTGACGATCATAATAATGATGGAAACAATCAACAAGACCACGCCGAGAACGATGCACCACCGCCTTCCAAGCACTGAGCCCAGGGGGCCGGTTGCAAAGCATGACATGAAGGCGCCGAGGAGCATGAAGGAACTGATGATCTGCTGGGGGACTGATGCGATATTCTAAAGAGTGAAGTATTAGATACCGAATCAAGATAGAGTGACAAGGTTCAACGAGACAAGACTAAGACTCACCCATCCTGATGGAACCCGATGATCCTGGTAGCCGAAAATCTCGAGGAATCCCACCATGGCCTGGAAAGAACCCACGATTCCTTTGTCGAAACCATACTCGAGCAGGGCGCAACCAACAAGCACAGTCACCCACAGGAAGCGGAAATGAGCCCTGACAGAATCGTCTCGCTTTCCGTACTCAACGTTAGACGAAGCAGTCTCGGAGGTCTGTTGCGTCTGCACCGCTGTCTTCTTATCTGACAGCGATGCCGTCTCCGTAGGGAGGGTGCCCTGCTGAGCGACGTCCGACATGGCCCACAGAGTAGGTATATAAGAGATGTGTGGCTGTGGCGTGAGGTGTGTTGAAGACAATGACAGGTCGGATGGAATATACCGTCAGTGGAGAATCGGAATGATGGCCTCAAAAGAATGAATCCACTGCTTCGATATCGAATGATGGATCGAACGATGAGGATCCCTAAGCTGTTGATACCTAAGCAGCTCAGTGTTTATATATAAGATCGCTGACAGGCTCGGAAGCAACACTGGATACCATCGATCCGAGTGGCGTCTGGAGTTCAGGTTAGAACCAGCGCAAGATTGGTTAGAAAGAGACTGACAAATCCGGGGAAGAGCCAAAGCCAGTACAGTCCGTAACAGGATATAGTCTAGACATAAGTGTCTGACCTGGCATTCGCTCTCCGCCTTCTTACCTGGTGTGTTCCCCAATCCCCAGCTTCCCCAGGTATCCCACGGCTGGGGAAAGATGGCAGACGGGGACCCGACCAATTGGTAACCGTGATTTGAGTATCAATATGGCAGCTTCGCGTGTTAGTTGGTGTGGATTAGACCACGTTGAAGGGCTCGTCGTGGGGAAATAACTCAAGAGCTAATGACAAATCAACGAAAGAAGAGATCGTGAGTGGCTAGCGGACTTAAAACTTATCCCCAGGGAGGGACTAGGGAGCCACAGATGGTCTCAACTCAACGCATTCCTCAGCTGCGCACGGTCATGTTTAGACGATCTTCACGGTGAAAGACGAACCCAGATTCGGAGGTGACCGTCATGTCCTGCTGTGGAGGAGTTGGCAAGGCCATTAGCCCAGGACATTGCTGCGTCGCCAGACAGGGTTGCCTCGTCTCGCAAACATCGCTCCGATGATGGTTGTTTTAACCCTTGAAAATTTTGATGTTAGTGAGTGCGCTATTGCAACGCTAGGCCGGCGTTGAGTTGAGGTCCTCTCTCCAATCTGTCCAAAAGGTACGTCCTCACCTTTCTCCGCATTTTCTCCGCGCCTGACCCATGTCTGACCGGTGACAGGCCAGATTTAAGCTTAACCCCACACCATCTCAACTTACCCCTCACTTAAAAAAAGAGGAACTTCAACCCGTCTGTACGTTTTTGCTACCGTACCTTATCTTTCCGACGCCTCCAGTGCTATCCGCTCCACGTCACCAGTGCTCCACGTGGAGTACCCGTCGTCCTTTCGTGTCTATGCTTCCGACGATGTGGTTCGTCTCCGACACTTCTCCATATTCGCGCTCTCAGATGGTGGGGATGCAGCGCGGGGTCAGCTTCGACTCTTGTCAAGATGGATGATCGGATGATGGGCGCTGGGAGCGGTTACCGGTGCCGTCCAACTTGATCCGTCGCCATCATAGCCCACGGCGGGTTAGGGATAAGCCGTGGATGACGGTATATATTTAGAATATTTGTTTTCTCTCATGTCAACAATTACTCTAGCAGTTCATCAGTACACTTCACAACCATCCTTTCCGTCTGTATTCCCTTCCGTCATTATACCCATAACATACAGTGCAGTCCTCCCAGTCTTCCTAGAAATTATAGGGCAACGATGGCGTCCAAGCAGCTGTCTTTCCCACAGTTCAAGCTGTCTCATCAACAGGGTGAGAACGAGCTCGTGGACGTCATCCTCAAGCGATGGGCACATTCTCTCTCGGGGCAACCAACGACAGAGGTGCTCCCGCCCGGAATCGACATTAACACATGGAAGGTAATCTTCTCCAAGTTCCTGGAGGTCCTCGGAGAAGAGGGTGTGATTGTAGGCGATGAGCACAAGTTGAACTACCTCGACATCTTCAGCCTTAGAGACAATGAGCAGGACGTCCGGGGTAGCCCTTGCGCTGTCTGTCCCACCACCGTCGAGCACATTCAGGCCATTCTCAAGATTGCCAACGAGTACAAGATCCCAGTATGGACCGTGGCGAGAGGAAAGAACCTGGGTTATGGCACCAATGCTGGAAGGATACGTGTAAGAGGCACAGCCATTCTAACCACCAGAAATTGAGACTGTCATACTAACAAGAGGGTAGGGATCCGTCATCATTGACCTGCAAAATATGGACAAGGTCATTGAGATTAACGACCACTTCTCTTACTACACAGTCGAACCCGGAGTGTCCTTCTTCAAGCTCTACGAGGAGATCCAAAAGCAGAAGAAGAACGTGTGGATGTCGGTACCAGCTCTGGGATGGGGCTCCGTCGTCGGCAATACACTGGACCGCGGTTGGGGCTACACTCCCCACGGCGACCACAACAACCAGATCTGCGGTCTAGAAGCCGTCCTCGCCGACGGCACATTGGTCCGAACAGGCATGGGTGCGCTCAGCGAGAAGATGTGGCCCCTGTTCCGCGGCGGCTACGGCCCAACGTACGAGAGCCTGTTCTCCCAGTCAAACTTTGGCATCATCACCAAGCTCACGCTGTGGTCCTCTCCGGCCCCGCTCGGCTTTATGTCGTGCCACATCCGCGTCCAGAAGGAGACGGATCTAGTGCAGATGGTGGACATCTTCCAGGACCTCCTCAAGCACGACGTCATCCAGAACCACCCTGTCATTGGCAACATCTTGCGCGAGCTTGGCAAGCGGGGCACCCGCAAGAAGTGGTACGACGGCAAGGGCGCCATCCCCGACTGGCGCCTGGAGGAGCTCGCTAAGGAGATGGACTTGTCATGGTGGGATGCCAACTTCGGCCTCTACGGGCCCAATGAGATCATCGAGGTCAACTTCAAGCGCTGCCAGGAGGCCTTCAATGCCATTCCCGGCGCCCGGCTCCGGGGTAACGCGTACTACCCCGACCCCTCTAAGGGTCAGAAGTACCTCCCCGCCTCGGCGGTACCCTACCAAGACGCCTGGCTGCAAACGGGTGAGCCCTCTATGGGTCCCATCGTCTCGATCCAGTACCGCGGCCTGGACGGCGGCCACATCTCCTTCTCCCCCGTCCTCCCTGCCGAGGGCCAGGCGGCTCTGGATTGGTACTACGAGGCCAAGAAGATCTGCGCCAAGTACGGGTTCGACTTCATGGCCGGCCTTCATCTCTACCAGCGCCACCTCGCGCACCTGATCATGATCTACTTCGACCGCACAGACCAGGATGACAAGACGGCGGCCAACGAACTGTTCGTCAAGCTCGTGCTCCGCGCGAAGGACTTCGGCTACGGCGAGTACAGGGCGCACATCGACCACATGGACCTGGTGGCCGACCAGTACAACTTTGGCGCCGCCGACGAGGGCGCCAACGGCGTGCCGGCTCTCATGAGGATGAACAACCGCATCAAGGACGCGCTCGATCCCAACGGCGTCCTGTCGCCCGGTAAGCAGGGTATCTGGCCCAAGCAGTACAGGGGCAACAAGGCGAAGGGGAGCGACAGGGGTCAGGAGATCCGGGAGTTGAAGAATGGCGATGGTGTGGACGATATCACCAACGTGGTCAAGAACGGCCTGTAGCGGTACCTTTGATATAGGAGTTGAAGTCTATAGAAAGAATTAACTATAGAAGGGGCGGCATTTCCTGACAAAACCCTACCCTTTAAGCCAGTCTTCAATCTTTCGAGGATGCTAGTCGAGAGCCTTGGGGAGTGGCCATGCTGCTTGGGAAGATGCGCATTCCGTCTGTCACTACGTAGCTGCTTGCTGACGCCGCCGTAATAACGCTTGCGATTTAAGACTACAGCCCAACATATTCTCGAATTGACAACACGGGACACGGTTGGGAGGAATGTGTCGTCGGCTGGGGAGAGGGCCGATAACTATTACTCTCGTGCTTTCTCAAAGAGGGTGCTCGGAAGTATACATGTACATGGTCTCTCCTATTGTTATGTCAACTACCAGTGACACGGATCGTGTCGCTGTATTGATTGTGGAGAAACTCGCGAAATCCAAGGGAGATTGCATTGTATGCGGCGGTTGTGCACAAATACAGGCCCAAGAAAGAGGTAGCGCTTGGTGACCACGGCGTGCGTTTCTGCAATTAAGGCCTCGTCCGGGTAGTCTATCCGCAGCCATAATAGGTCACCGAAGGGCGCGGCGGGGAGCTAGCGCTCGATCACGGCTGAGGTGCTCCATTGGTACATGTACTGGCCCTAACCCTAATGCTGCCAGGCAACTCCTAGTCAAGGAACACAGATGTGCCGAGGACTTCGAGGGCAGCTGCGCGGCACTGAGTAAGCGAGGCGCTGGGAGGGAGCGTAGATTCGTAAGTTGTATACTGTTGGTCGGAGTTGCACTGGGCCTTGACGGCGTGGTCGAACATCAAAGGTACTAGCAGCTAGTGCTGTTCGTTGGCACTCTTGGCAAATCGGAGAAGATGTATGACCGATTACCGGGAATGTTTATCACCCTCTCACTATATCCTCATGATTTGGTTGCCGGGAAGTTGGAGATAAGACTAGTGGAGAACAAAGCTGATGGATACCGAATTTAAACATGGTCTATCCTCTGGACTTGGTTGAACGTTGAACAATGTTGACATGTCTTGCTCCGCCTCTCCTTGATCTCCACCTCTTCTTTTCCTGTCTCAACCTCAACTCTTAATGCTGTCCAGGTTAGGTTCTCAGTTAGGACCTCTCCCCAGCCACTAGCGAGGGACAAGAGATGGCCGCTACAAGGACCATGGCTACCACCTTAAAGTTACCCACGAGGGCGGAGAAGAATGCGGAAATCTATCCGCATATGTCGGCCCCTTCACTGGCAGATGAAACTCCGGGGGCTGTGAAGGTGTCTGGTTGGAGAATCTGGACGTCGGTGCCGTGTACGCCGATGCGGCGTGGGAGCAGCCTCCGACGCCGAGGAAGATGTTGGCGTTCGATGGAGATTTGACCGACGGGTCATGCCGATCCTGTTTTCCAACGTCATCCTTGCCAGTGACGACGAGACGTCCACATCTACCGGAGTGTGGTGAGAACGCCCTAGCCATAGATTTTGCGGACACAACCAACATTCTCGAATGTGTTTAGGTACGGCCTGGAAATTGATTGCCATCGTAAGGTAGGCAACCGGTATTCTTAATAGGCAGCGCCTTTTACTTCCGCTACCTAGTTGTCTCTCTCCACGCGGCATGGACCATGCAGAGGTATCCCAAGGTCATCGTCGGGTGCCAACTCCTATGGAAAATCCTATTGCTTGTAACGGGCTTATTGAGTAGCTTCCAATCACTCCTAGATCTCCGCATCGTCCTTGGAATGCTGGGAGCTCCCATTATCCCAGGGGGCCTCCCATCATTAGCATGTGGTACCCGAGACGGGAGATGGCCCTTCGCCTACCATATTATTACACTGCTTATCACGGGCTCCATCAGATACGGGTGTGTTCCTGGCTTTCATTATGTGTCGTGTCCTTTAACTATTGCTGTTCACGTCTAACTGACTCGTCGCGTCGGTCACCTGAGCGATGTTTGTTTCAAACTCTGGAGCCCTTTCTTCTTGATCCTCGGCGGTATCACGATCTTCTGGGCTGTTCTAAGCGCCCTGATCCTCCCCGACAGCCCCATGAAGGCCAAATTCCTTTCCGAGCGCGAGAAGGTCGCCGTCGTCGCCCGCATCAGCGCCAACCAGACAGGCATTGAGAACAAGCAGTAGAAGAGCGAGCAAGTTAGAGAAGCCTTCACAGACCCGAAGACGTGGTTGCTGTCTTCTTCAACATCTTCGTCGCTATCCCCAATGGCGGCCTGACCAACTTCACCACTCTCATTGTCAACGGCCTCGGCTATTCCGCCCCGCCCGCCGCCCTCCTCAAAATACTTACGGGTGTTACGGAGACCGTGGCGGGGTTTATGTGCAACGGCATGGTCTTCCTCGTGAGTACCCGGTACGGCACCATCTTCCAAGTGCGTGGCCTTGAATGATCATCGGTGGTCTGGTGGGGATGATCTTCCTGTACAAGCTACCCTTAGACGCTCTGCACTCCCGTCCCGGGACGCTTTACGTCAGTTTTTTCTATCTTGAACTGTACATTGTGTCTCTAGGATTCGTCACCATCAACACTTCCGGATACACCAAGAAGGTGGTGCTGAATGGTATATGCTTCGTGTCCAACTGCGTTGCCAACACCATCGGGCTGCAATTCTTCGAGGCCCATCAGGCTCCACTGTCCCCGCTTGAAACCAGCGCGATTTGGGGCAGTCGCCACCTGGGGATAGTCACTACATGCTTGTATATGGCTTACTGCGCGTACAAAAATAGGCGGCGGGATAGACTCAAGGGAGGGCGGCCGGCCACGCATGAGGATGCGGACTTCGTGTACTTGTTGGATAACCAAAATATCCACTTTCGATACGCGTGGGTTGTATGGTGCGAGTTAGTTTTCGTAGTACGAGTCTAACTAACCTTGATTTCTTCCGTTATTGTTCTTGTAAAATTAAGGGCGCCTCTCTGCGGGAAGTGTCATTCGCTCTCTATACGGGGTTTTCAGCTTCTTGGACTTACTAGTCGTGTGATTGGTTTGTCTTTTACTAAGAGTAAGACTATCCCCAATCCTCAAAGCTACGTTACAAACTCTAGATGCAGGACTACTGGGGTCGCACGAAGTTAATCACTGCTCTAAGTGTGGCGGAACCAGAACTGCACCAAGCTTATCAGGCCCGCTCTATGACAACGAATGTCTGCATTAGGGTGCTCGCCGATCATTTTGTTTGGGAGGTAATGAGTGCATTGGTTGCTATTGATGTCAGCATCTAACTCAAGCCTGCCCCAAACAGCTAGCTTCTATACATGTCTCTTACATAGCCGGTGAGCTTACGTCGGGGTTGTATCGAACTCTATCTCCCCCCCACTAGACTCAATCGCGACTGTAAATGCTGGACTGCTGGATGTGACATGGATAGATGTTTCGCCTAAAGCATCCATCTCATTCTGACACAGCCGCCACGTGTCACGGAACTCTTTTCAAGAATGTGACGTGATTCTAGCTCACCGCGCGCGCGCGGGAACCTTCCTTAATTAGATATTACTTTTATCCACTCCTCTACCACGTCATATGTAGCTGTATTGCCCCGTCTAGATCTACCTTGCCCCGTCTAGATCTACCTTGCCCCGTCTAGATCTACCTTGCCCCGTCTAGATCTACCTTGCCCCTTCTAGATCTAACTTGCCTCGTCTAGATCTACCTTGCCAACTCTAAAACACTGCCTCCAGAGACAGGCTCCACAGGGCATAGCGCCAGAGACACAATCTTCTCATTGGATCGTCCAAAACGTCGTGCCTGGAAATATTAGTTACTGCCTATTATTTACGACATGTTAAACTCTACGCAGAAACTTCGGGTAGTAGTTCCCTGACATAAGCCCACGTCAGCGCAGTCATGAAATGCTAATTCTTATTCTGCTCAGTGAGTAAAACGCTGCATATCATTCCCCAACCTAGCTCGTCAGCTGAGTCAATCTTATCCCGTGAGATGCTCCTCGGGCCGAATGGTCTGACGGTGCCCATTATTGTGGCGAATAACTGATGTTCACGTGGTTATCTAGACTAGGTTGGAGGTGGAGATGGCATATCATGTAGTAATTAGGTTGTCACCAAACAGTTAATCTGACCGCTCGGTCACCCATCAACAGAGCGTCTGGATAATGCACTTCGATGTATAAAAACTGTCCGAAGGACCGCAGTCTAGGATTGAAAGTGTTTTGATTATCAATGTCGGCCACGTAGCTTTCAACTCCTGCTCCGGATCTTCACAGCAGCACACAAGACATCACTATTATCATCTCCCGCTTCCAGCCATGGCTAACCGCGACGTGCCCCCCACCTCCAACGGAGAGCCGAGAGAGACCATGAAGGCCGTCTTCTGGGAGGGCAAGCCGTATGAGGTGGCCGTGCATGACACGCCCAAGGCCAAGATCGTTGACGCCACCGACGTGGTAGTGCGCGTGTCTAGCGCCGCCATCTGCGGCACCGACCTGCACACGTACCACGGCGTCTTTGGCAGCGCCAAGGTTCCGTACCCGCTTGGTCACGAGGCCATGGGCTACGTCACCGCCATCGGCGCCGACGTCAAAGCCGTCAAAGTCGGCGACCGCGTCATCATCCCGGACCTGCCCGCCTCGGGCGTGTTCCCGACCAACCCGTCGTTGAATGAGAACATCACCACGTTCGGCTTCGGACCCGACTTTGGAAACCTCGGCGGCTGCCAGGGTGAGTCACTTCTCAGGGTTACCTCCTACTTTTTTTTTGTGTCCGGATCCCATCCCAGCTAACCTCTCGCGTGTAAGCCGAATATGTCCGCGTCCCGTTCGGCGACGAAAGCGTCGAGGTCATCCCGCCCGGCATTCCAGACAAGGAGTACCTCTTCATCTCGGACATCTGGGCGACGTCTTGGACGGCGCTCGACTTCGCCGGCTTCCAGGCCGGCGACACAGTAGCCATCTTCGGCGCGGGGCCTGTGGGCCTGCTGTGCGCGTACTCGGCGCTGCTACGCGGCGCCGCCCGCGTCTATTCCATCGACCACGTCGCCGCGCGCCTAGCCGTCGCCAAGTCCATCGGCGCCATTCCTATCAACCTGACGCAGGACGGTGGCCCAGCTGCCCAGATTATCCGGCTCGAGCCTGGCGGTGTTACCCGCGCGTGCGACTGCATTGGCGAGGAGGCTGTAAACACTGAGCGTAAGTACCAGGAGGGTTTCGTTATTCAGGAAGCCGTCAAGATGGTCTCAGTCATGGGCGGCATCGGAGTTATCGGCGTGTACTTCAAGCAGCCGACGAGCGCCGGGGTGCCCAATGCGTCCCGTGTTCATTCCGAGATCCCGTTCCCCATCAGCCAGTTCTGGTCGAAGAACTTGTCTTTGCAGGCGGGCGCTGTGGACGCCAAGCAGCTGGCGCCGAAGCTCATCGAGCTGGTCAAGTCTGGGCGTGCGCGCCCGGGGTTCATCGTGTCACTGGAGATCGACATTGAGGAGGCGCCGCGAGGTTACCGACGCTTCAACGACTACCTAGAAACGAAAGTGGTGCTACGCTTCCCAGAGCAGAAATAGGATGTTAACATAGTCGTTTATATCCTCGAGGATATGAAGCAGGGGCGTGGAGAAGAAGGAAACTGGCATCTCAGTGGCTATGGAGAGACAAAGTGCAGGAGAACTTATTACAACGAAGGGAAGGGTTAGGTTAGTAGAAGTCTAAAAGTTAGGAAAGAATGTAAATCTATTATCTTAAAAGCTAGGGAATCTAAATTTTGCGTTTTACTTGTTACGCCTTAAAGGCTTAGGCTAATATAATCTTAGGCACTCTACGCGCAAGGCTTGGAAAAGCATCGTGGCTAAGGTTGGCATGAAGTGGCTTAAAGTAATCAGCGCAAACGCGGCTGATAATGAGGAGGAGGAGAGATATAAAAACCGCCTACCTACTTACCTCTCAATGTAGTATACTGCTGCTAAGGCGTAGGCTCTAGCAGCAGCAACTATGTAATTAGCTAGCAGGCAGATAGAATTGTGTTACGCCTTACCTCTAGCGCATGTGACTAGTGACGTGGTGAATGGAAAAGGCACAGGCTGCTTCAGGCTAGGATGAGTCAGCTTCAGACTGGATTTTCTGCGCTTCTATATAAGAGCGCGATCAGGGCCTCAAATTGTAAGATTAGGATCAATTACGCAGACTTACACGGATTTACAAGCGGCACTCTTTACACCTTAGTTATTTCCAAGCTTTCTATGCAATAATACTTGATTTACCGCATTCTATTCCTTCCTTACGCCTTCAATTCAATTAATCACGCTGCTGGCGTTTTTCTACCTTACTTACACGACTAGATTTAGGCACTACCGCAAGACGTATCAGGGCTAATCAGGGTTACCTAACCAGTCACATGCGCTAGAGGTAAGGAAAAAGCACAATTCTATCTGCCTGCCAGCCAATCATATAGCTACTACTGTTAAGGCCTACGCCTTAGCAGCAGTATACTATGTTGAGAGGTAGGTAGGTAAGTGGTTTTGTGTCTCTCCTTCTTATATTTAAGAGGCAATCTGGGATTGATTCAAAAGGCTTACCAGAAGGCTGCAGTCTAATCAGGCTGCGCAACCATAAGAAAAGCCAAGGCACTTGCTTGACTCTAAAGGCTCCTAGTTAGTACACTCTTTTCTTTTGTCACAAACTAAATACAAAGATGCCCTAGAAGCAGTAGCTTCCTTATTTTGCAAAGCAACTAGCTTTTTGCATTGCTAGAGCAACCAAGCATTAAGCAAAAAAGACCTTTAATTACGCTAAAGTAGCGTTGAAACCTTTTTCCCCTTTCCTTTTCCTTTTCTAGAAAATTACAGGATAAGATAATATGAACCTAAAGTTACCTAATTGGCTAAAAAGAGTAGCATGTTGAAAAAGAAAGTATAATTAGACAAGTGCTAGGATTAGAAAGAGAGAAAAGACAAGGATTAAAGCTAAAAGCTATAATAAGAGGATTAGGAAAGCCAAAGGCTAGTAAAGCCTAGACTAGACAACCTGTTCCAAAGCTTAAAAACTAGCTAGTACAAACTGATTAGTTAGTTGCTAAGAAGGCTAATGTATGCGCAAAGAGATGCCAAAATGTTGAGATAGGAAAGAATTGCCTAAAAGAGAAACCTAAAAAGGAAGACTCTTTAGTTTAAAAAGCAGTAAAGAAAGAACCTATAATTAGTAATAATGCAAAAGTTTGCGTTTAGGCTAGAGTAGTAATAATATTGCTATGGTTTATATTCCTTAGCATAAAAGGCCTAAAAAGCATCCTAGTATTTGTTAAGGACTTAGAATTGTAGAGATAGGCTATTGCAAAAAACCTAAAGCCTCTGATTAGATATCTAGAAAAGGCAAGCCATTTCTATAGAGACTAGAAAAGCAAGAATTAGACAATAAGCTTCTTGCAAGTAGAGGAAATCAAACCAAATTACAAAAAGAGGAAGTCTAAGCAGTTATCTACCTTGCAAGTCACATAAGCCTTTACTAAAGATTCCAATTCTTTAAAGCAGCCTACTCCTCTTTTATCACATTAACTTACCTCTAGCCTGCTATAAGATTAAACCTTAATACCTTTAAGAATAGCAATGCCTTTCCTTATAGCAAAACCTTCCCTAATAGCAGGCTTCTAATATTAGGTTAAGTCAATGCCTCTAATGCCTTTGCAAGAGGAAATCACAATCTTTAATAGCAAAAATGTCTTGGAATTTCTAGAAATCTTTAGCTTACATGCTAATCAAAGCTAGCTTACAGACAAGTAGAAGAAGAGATAGACTAAGCATTATATTGACGTGGTGAATGGAAAAGGCATAGGCTGCTTTAGGCTAGGATAAGTTAGCTTTGGACTAGATTTTCTGCGCTTCTATATAAGAGCGTAATCAGGGCTTCAAATTGTAAGATTATTATCAATTACGCAGACTTACACAGATTTACAAGCAGCACTTGTTACACTTTAGTTATTTCCAAGCTTTCTACGCAATAATACTTGATTTACTGCATTTCATTCCTTCCTTACGCTTTCAATTTAATTAATTACGCCGCTAGCGTTTTCCTACCTTACTTACACAACTAGATTTGGGCACTACTGCGAGATGTATTGGGGTTGATTAGGGTTACCTGACTAGTCACGTGCGCTAGAGGTAAGGAAGAAGCACGATTCCATTTGCCTGCTAGCCAATTACGTGGCTACTGCCGTTGGGGCCTACGCTTTAGAAGCAGTATACTACGTTGAGAGGTAGGTAGGTAGGTGGTTTTGTGTCTCTCCTCCTCAATATAAAGAAAAGGCTGCATATTACTGTAGAGATAGTCTTAAAGCACAAGACTTAGAAAGAGAATGTAAAGGCAATAAAGTTGCAATAGGATAGTCAAAACCCTAAGTTAAACTCTAATTCCTAGACTAAGCTTTTTGACTTTTACTAGAAGAAGATTAGATTAGGCGCCTACAAATTGTTAGCAGCAATTGCAAAGCATAACTATCTTATCATAAAGGCTAGCAAGACCTAAGATGATAAAGACTTAACCAAATGGTTTTATCAAAAGCTTTTTGATTAAAGGAAGGCAGACTTATGCAACTAATTTGCTTTAAAAGAGATGTTTTTTAAAAACCTCTTGTAGGACAAGCTAACAGATAAGCTTTAGAAATAGGCTAACGACAAGATTAAAGACCAAATTAACAATACTAGCAGCTAGAGCATCTTAGACTTTAATTATTCGACAGACTAGTCAAACGCTAGCATAGACAAAAAGCTAGTAAAGCGCTTGGCAAAGAAAGAAAAGAAGGTTGCTTTTAAAAAGTTAACTCTAAAGACTAAGATAGAAAAACCAGCCCTTATGAAAGCCTAGAAGCTGCAAGAAGACTTTTATATAGACAATATAATCAAAGAGTTTAAAAAATTCAAAATCAATAACCTTTAGACTTACAAGAAAAACAACTAGCTGCTTAGCTAGCTAATTAGCAAGCTTGACACTTAAACCAAGCCAATAGAAAGGTATTAGTAGGCTAATACTAATTATGCTAAGGTTGTCAACACTAACATCTAGTATTCCTAGAGACTATAAGGCTACTATTAGCTGCAAGGTTATGCAGATTAGCTATAAGGCTATAATTAAAGCTACAATTAGACAGACTATTACTCTAGAAAAACCTTTAATTACAACTAACTCTAGAATAGCTAGTATATGCTATTAGTATGCTTTTACTATAGCATAGCTAGGTACATATACAACTGCTATGCAAAGCTTAATTATGACATTTACAAAGGCCTAGTATATGTTACAGAAGATAATAATTTGCAGATAAGCTGCATAGAAGCCTAGGGCAAAGTCTTTCCAAAAACCTTATTTGAAAATGGAAAGCAAGTTAATAAAATTAGCAAAGTAATTAAGGCTTTTGTAAGGATTTACATTGACAAGCTAGAAAGGGAAGTGCTAAAAGAGTTTATAAAGTGCAACCTAGATTACAGATTCTAAATAAATCTCCTTGGCAGCTATATGCTAAAGACTTTACCACTAGTCAACTTAGAAAGCCTATTGGTATAGTTAGAATTAGCTTGCTTAGAACTTTTAATCAACTATGCAAAAGAAGACTAGGTTAAGTATAAAAGGATAGACTAGCCTAATCTAAACCTTGTCATGCTAAAATTAAAGCAGAGACTACTTTTAATCTTTACATTGCAAGCAAAACAATGCTGCCTAAGTAATAGCACTGCCTACTTGTTAGAATATAAAGACTTACTAGCTAAAAATACAGCTGCTAAGGTAAATTTAATAAAGCCTAAAAGCTTAAACCTAGCCAACCTACATGATTAGGCTATAGAAAAGCTAGTAGCAACCTTAACCTTGCAGCCTATCTTAAGAGTAAAAGAGAAAACTAAAAAGCTTCTAAACAAATTCTTCAAGCAAAATATAAAAGTTAACGTTACTAACCTAATCAGACTTTGCCTTAGGTTTGCCACAGCTCTAGAAAGCTATATTGCTAACCTTAAGGTAAAAGCTAAAGCAGTCTTTTATATTAATAAGACTCAACCAAAGCATTCAAAGCTTAAGAATGGAAAGAAAGGCACTTAGACTTTAGCCTTAATCACCATGACAAAGTTATTAAAGCTAGCAGTCTTTAGGTTAAGCTTTTAAAACAACAGTATAATAGAGATTAAGAATAACAAGAGGAAAGTCTTAGATATCAACCTAGTAGGACTTTTTAATTACAATAATGTAAACACTTGCACTACCTTAATAGATGCCTCTGCTACAAGAATCTACGCCTTACCTATAATGTACGTTTAGGTTAGACCTTTGGAAAAATTAGCAGCGATTTAAGCTATTCTCAATACTAGCTTAGAGGCAAATATTATCTCTGCAAAATACGCTAATTGCTACAGGCTTGCCTATAAGCTAATAGAGGTCTACTTGTTAGCTTACTATACAAGGCACTTGATTAGATTTTTGAGAGAAATAAGAGAGTGCATTTAGGTAGCTAAGCAATAGGTTTTAGGCTATTTCTTTGTAATGCTGCTAAGCTAGACAAAGTATAATATATTGTTAGGAATGCCTTTTG